AACTGGTGTCAATCGATCACAAATTTAATTAGTATGAAATTTGCAAATACAACTATCTGCAAATGCGCAGGTTTGGCGGAGATATTTGCATAAAAATAGGTGAAAACTCGCAAATTTATAAGGCAAAATTCGAAAAGTGTAAAATTGATGACATTTTGGGCGCGTTTTCGCCTCTTTTTATGCAAATATCTCCGCCAAACCTGCGCATTTGCAGATAGTTGCATTTGCAAATTTCATACTAATTAAATTTGTGATCAATTGACACCAGTTTCGTCCAAATCTGCGAGCATACGTTGGGAGACCTCCATTGTTAGTTTATTATAAGAGCAATCGTGGCAGAAGGATTCCATGCAACATTAACTAAAATTTTAATAACACATAATCCGCTGGGTCCGTCCACCCGACAGAGATTTTGGAGGTTTATGATATGTATTTTGAGGCATATTATATTTATTTCAATCAACTAATTCGATTTCCAACTTTATGTGATAAGAAATGTAAAGTAATGGAGGAATTTACTAATTAATACGGAAACCCATCGAATTTTTAGGTATACATCAGATAATAGCAGACTCCGCTATGCAGTATATTGGTAAACTTATACAAGCAATTGATCATTTCTTTAAACCAACAAAAATAAATTAACCAATTGGTCAGTGCTAAACTGCTGTACGACAAATGGAGTCAACCCGTCGACAAAATTTTGACCAAACTTTACTTTCAATGGTTTCAAGGAAACTAACATCTTTCTACTTCTACATCGCATATTTGCTCCCGCCTTACAATCTCGTAACCATTGCGCACTTATCTTGCCCGCCCCGGCAAATAATGTCAGCGTGAATAACGTCACCATCAATGTTTCCATACCGATGAAAGAAAATACCAGAGGGTTCATTCCTTGTAGGAGACGGATGCACGCAAACCCGCCCAGAACTTCGAGAACGGGGCTAACTGACATGATCGCGGGAAATATGCGGGCCTGGGAGTTTTGATGTCCATACATTTCTCGCTGTGAGAAAGATGTCTTAACTGACATTTTATCAACGCCTCAAATGCGACAGCCTGTTGGGGTAAAAAGAATTGAAGTTCTTAAATAAACTTTATTTGCCAGCCGACCACCCGTCGGCGTATATTCAAAAATAATTATAGAATTTCATACCTACTTAAGTATTTATGTATGAATATCACTCAAGGAAAAATAATACAAACTTCATAGCTGGCGTAAATGGAATAATCGACCGGGTTCATGTATGTATGTGGCTTAGTATTAATTAAATTTCATACAATTCTTGCATGAACAACTGCCCAAACTATTTCAATCCAATATGTTTTAATATTCACAGTGCTCCTTGAGATAGTTGGGCTATATGAGCGTCGTAAACTGTCAGATTGAAACACGAATTTCAGTTTACGAGATAAGTGGCAACCCAAAAAGCTGGTCCCTTGGTACAGTTAGGGTTGGTTATCCGACGGATCGGATCGGATCGGATAGACAGTCCATCGGATCGGATATTTCATCATGTCGGATAATCCGATCGGATATTAGGGCCGATCCGATCCGAATCCGAGCAATCCGACGGATATCCGATCGGATCGGATAATGATCCGTACATTTTTAAAAGACAATCAAATCCGCTAAAGATTCATTGTTTTAATGAATAATTAACTTATTTAGCTAAGTACTGTAGTAATTAATTACAAAAGCACATAATAATTATTAGCTGGTAATTAATAACAATTGTTTTTGTAATTAATTACTTCATTAACTGTATGGAACAATACTCAAGGCAAAATTAATCAGTATTTTAACTGATCATGCGCTCTAAGTACTTTATGGTAATGTAATTGTAATAAGTAATTAATAACTTTGCGTCAATTGATACGTAAAGCAATTAATTAGCATTATCTAATTACCTGATGTTAAAACTAGAATGCGTATTACATAAAATCTTGATGTGTGAGATACTTTGTTTAAAAATAGTAAGAAATTGCAATAGATTACACTAATTAATTATGCTAAACAGTTGTCAGTTGTAACAACATTTGAATTTGCGCATTTCAAGGGAGAATAATTTCGCAAGTCACCAATAGAGTGCGGAATTATAGTAAATACAGATTATCCGATATCCGATCCGATATCCGAACTATCCGTCGGATTGATCTGATCGGATAAAAAGTCTGATCCGATCCGATCCGAAAGCTCTCGGATATTTTTATTTACGATCCGATCCGATGATTATCCGATCCGATCCGACGGATCGGATATTCTCGGATCGGATAGACCAACCCTAGGTACAGTAATGATAAAAGCATCCTAAAAAACAAATATTAAACGTGTATTCAGAACACGTGGGTTCAACTCCCTCTTGGGATACGACATTATTTCAACTGCAATTCTGTATCTTAATTAGATTTACCATGTTGTCATGACAACTTACTTTTCCTGAATAATGGTCAGGAACTTATTTATATTCCGTCTCCGGTATAAGAAGTGATCAACTTCTGATGGAAAAAAGTTAAAAGCATTCCACCATGTGTCCTTAATGCATGAAGTTGAATTAAATGAATGAAATGCATGGAGTTAAATTGAAGTATCTGAAAGTATGTATTGGCCAGGATTTCAGTTGCGAGACTGTTCAGACATCGGCATGGTGAATGGTGACGGAAGTTTATGACACAATCACAATTAATTAACTATATGCACATAACCTCGTCGTCGTCTGTATGTATATTCCCAATTCCATTACTTTCAAATCATTTGAAATTGTTATTTATGGTGATGGCTCGTCGCCATAACGATTTCTGCGTATTGGGCCTATCAATAACATTTGATATGAATTTAATATCTCTAATAAAGTCTACCTTTACAAGGCATTTTTTTAAATTAAATGCCAGATCATACATATCTTATTTACAGGTAAATTCAGACTATACAATATTATTGAATCAATCAAGGATTAGTTACCGCTTGCCCTCAGAATACTCAATTATGCAAGATTAACAATATAAAAGTTATTAAAACTTGGGTAGTTGTATAGGCATGACCTAATATAAACTGAGCCCAGACGAATTTTATTCCTCGAAACGGCATAGCCCAGAAAGTAGATATTTTTTCATACAGTAAAATCTTCTATTCCGCGCTTTAGTATGACGATCAAAGCGGAAAAGTGGCGCTCACTGGACAATTTTACAAAATTGTTGGCCTTCATGCCCCCCTTTCCGCTCGAGTGGATCGTTGCCAAACAAAAATTTGAATCTTGCAAAAGTTTAAAATTTCTATTATTCTGGGGAATATTAATGCTTGCCTTGTTTCTGTCCAATTTCATCTTTGTGATTCTATTCCTTGCCGAAATATATGGCATTGGTCTCCTCAAATTTCCAACTATCATGACTTCAATCGTCTTTCTGGCTGTGGGTGTCTTCGTCTGTTTGTTGGAACTTGTGACTTTCAGCTACTCAGTTAATGCGGCACAGGCATTTAACTGCCTGGTCATTTTGGAAAGACAAATACGTAAGGAAAAAATTATTTTGGGGACGAATCATTACCACGCAGGGGCGCGAAGATACACTCTAAATAAAAGTTGTGGAAAATTTACCCAAGGTTGAGTAAAAAAGAGGATGACACAACAGTTGTGGAAATTTTACTCAACCGATGGGTAAATTTTGTTCAACTCGTGCAAAATTTATCCAACGGTTGAGTAAAATTTACCCAACCCTTGTGTAAATTTTGCCCAATTGTTGTGTCATCCTCTTTTTTACTCAACCTTGTGTAAATTTAGCACAACTCTTATTTAGAGTGTACGCTAATTTGTTGTTTTATGTAAAATTATGACTGAATATTAGTAAAAGTTTGTAAAAAATTCAAATTTGTTACCAACCATTTTAATCTCGTGGCAATCAGAGGTGACCATTTTTTGACAAGTTCTACTCCGGACTGTAGGGTATAATTGTAACTCTGCAGGGTAACGATTCGTCACAGAATTAATTAAAGGGTAGGTTTCACAGTGTAAGATTATTTAAAAAAAAAATCTACCCTCTCTTTTGCAGACCGTCGTACCCAATCCGAAAAATCTACCAGGGAAAAGGATATCGTTGAAATGTTTCTTTCCGCGGTTATCGTCATCTTCACCTCGAGCCTGTGTATTGTCCCAATTTCCGGACTTTACCTCCGACTATTTACGATCCGTATTCTCTGCTCGAAGAACATTTTACGTGGGGAAATGTATCAAAATGTGGTCTGATTCCGTTCAAGGCCACCATAATTTTGGCATGTTGTCTCATAGTTCGAGTTCTCTTGTTACTTATCTGTTTCCCCACCTTATCCGCGTATCTCATGTTTAGTTGCATTTCTTACTTGGCTAGGAAAGCGGATATAATCGGGTTTGGCGGGAGGGCACAGGTCACCCAGTATTTATTAAAGTATTCCTCATGCGAAATAATCTTGGGTCTTCTGCAACAGTTTTCGTCCCCATGTGTCTCCATTTTTATGTTTTACGGCTTCATTTTGACCATCCTGTATAGTTTCATTTCACTAAAAATGTACCATATCGTACCAATGCCGCTATTTTTATTTTTTCCGACTCTCGCGGTTTTTGTGCCGGTCATAATTCAGATCATGTTGCCAGGATTGATCACAATTTATGAGGATTCGACCAGCCTGAGAGAGAAGTGGGGTGGTGTGCTGCACCTCAGGCAAGATTTGCGGGGTGTGGTGAGACGGCAAATTAGGGGGAAGAGGAGCCTCTCTGTTTATGCGGGGGTGGCAGAGCATAATTTTTTCAAGTGTAAAAGATCAACCATGGTAACGTATTATGAGGCTATAGTAGGCTACGTGATAACAGCGTTGATGTCAGTAGATGTTTATGAGATTAGTATTGAATTTTGAAAATGGATCGAAATTTAAAAAGATTGTGTAATTACGACTTATTTGTATGGATGCCTACTACCCTGTAAATAATCCGGGGTATTTTCAATACTGAAACAACTATGTATAGACAAGTCTATCAAGCCCGCCTCTGCGGGCCGTGTGCATAATGGAGACGTACAGCTAAGGTTCCTATTACGAAGATGTGCAAGATAGGAACTGTTTGAGTTTCGCTTAAATTTTGTGTTTTAAATTTATCAAGTTTCTCGGCGTATCAATATCCTTAAACAATATAACCTTTCTAATTTTCCATGTTCGGGTGCGAATTCTTTGAAATTACATGATCACTGAACACTCGAAGGGTAACATTACCCAAAACTGCACGTAATTTAAGGTCATGTCCGCAAATTGCCCCTTTAATATTCCAGCCGTCAAATTTTCACCAGAATTCAATAGACAGATGTTTAAATAATTTTTAGACTTAATTAAAATCTACATTAATATTTCTCACAGTAATATTCATGACCTGGTGCAAGATAATTTAAGTACATTAATCTAAATTTGTAGTAGGGACCACGTCTGGGATTAACTGTATTAATACTTCGCCTTGTAAATAAAAAGTAAAATGGCGTTCCGTTGCATTAAAGGCAACCAAAATTATTCTGCATCAATTCTGCAAAAAACATAAATACGTCTTGAGCATCGAATATATTTCCTAAAATAACACTCAAATAATTATGCATAATTAGAATATCATATTTAAGCTACACTATAATTATCACATTATCACATAAAGCATGTGAGACACCGCCGTATGGTTGAGCATTGGACGCACAATAAAAAGGAACTGAGAATCTTGAGGACCAATAACAAAATGGTGAGCTGCTTACCGCGCGAAATGTTTGTAAACATTGCTTGTTGGATCAGCAGACAAAATTGTCAGTCTCCCGAAATTCATTAGAAACAATGGGTTCCGTTTGCTTGCTGGATCAGCAGACAAAATTGTCAGTCTCCCAAATTTCCTTACAAACGATGGGTCCTGTTTGCTTGCTAACTTACATATCATGCCACACCTCACGAAGAGAGCCGTCAGCGATTCCCCACTCCCACTTGGATCGGAGCACCCGAGCAGTACAGAGCTCTCTCGATTTTAAGATTAAAATTGCTCAGGAAGTTGTACATTTAATTACAAAATTAAACGAAAATGAACTCTCCTTCTTCTTCAATTGGATCTTGTTCGTCGACAACTTCAAAGACGGTAAGTAATTGAAAATTTTTTACGGTTTGACATAAAATAAATACTACTTCAAATACGCTCAGTAATTTAAAAAATTTGTTACCCTTTAACATGAAATAAATTTATTTGATCCTCTTAGCTTTGCTTAATTTGCGATGAATTGCCTGCAATGTACACCATCGCAGCGAACAATAATGCTGGGGATGGAACAAAACCATGTGGCCATCATTATTGCGTGCAGTGTTTGATTAAACACGTGAGTTCATCAGCGAGCGGGGATCAGTTCTCGCCCACCCATCAACCTAGATGTCCGTTTTGTGTGCGGGATATTTGTGGCTTCTTGCCGCTGGATTCCGCCAATTGTAAGTAATCATCTTCCTAAATTAATAATTTTACTTATTTACTTACTTTATTCTACTTTTTATTTTTACTTTTATTTTACTTACTTATATTGACTAAAATTATATTTGCTAATTATATTTTTAGCCTCATTGCAACTTGTTCGTCAAAAGGATTTCGACGGTACCATTGGAGAGATTACAAATCCGTACACGGATGGGAACGGTTTATCAAGGTGCAAAGAAATATTTCTCTTAACTTTGCGGTCAAGTCCAGTTTGTAATTTTAATAGTATAACTAATTGAAACCAATTTATTTATTAGACTTGACCTACTTGAGCATCCTTCGCATGGAAGAACAAATCCCTCCAGTAATCCCGTTCGAGAAAATGTCCCCCGTTCATGCGGAACCCAGCTGCCCACCTCATCGATATACTTGCGTGGAATGTGATCTTCATTTCCTGACTGTTCAGGGAATTGTCAGACATGAAGCACGAAATCATTAGCTGCCATCGTTATCAGCTGCGAACTTGGCTCTCCCTTTCCTAATTAACCTTATTATCAGCTTTCAAAATTTTATTTCGATTGGATTTTTAAATTATTATATGTACTCGCTTTCAAAATTATATTTCTATTTGGCTTTTTAAACTTATTCTATTCGTGACTGTTCCAAAATTCAAAATTTTTAATTCTTATCCTTTGGTACCCAATTAGGTTCGACTCAAAAATATTTTAAATAGCTAATCATAATTATTAGTATGTGCGCGTGGGTGGAAGTAGGGCGTTAGTTATTATAGTAGTTTTTAGTCATAATTTTAAGGCAAAGTATTTAAGGGTAGGTTAGAATTTTTGTGGGAAAAGGGTAGCTCACCGACTATGCATTTAATCTTTTCGATCCCCCTTAATCTATAATTTTACCCCCAATAATTTCAAAGGTCCATCCCGTTAAATGCATGGTTGGTGAGCACAGGGTGGGCCCTCCTCTTCTGATTTATACCCTTTTGCAGTAGAGGCCACAAACAATGTGCATCCATTTTATGAACCACAAATTGAATCCCACCCCTTTTTAGTTAATGAATTTAGTATAGTTTATAGTTTTTAACCTGGGCAAGTTCCATCCCCATTAGGTCCAGTTGTTCATAAAATGGATGCACAATGTACCACGCACATGTTTATTTAATATTTTTATAGAAATTTTTTGTACAATAAAATATCAATATTCCAATCAATTTATCAAACTCTCTATCAAACTATGTAAACTGGCGAACAATTTTTTATAAACTTGAACATTTCATCAAGCTTATTAGCAAATTAGTACTTCTGTGGTGGCGAAATATGAGTAGCCAACTCATTTGTCGTCAACTGCTAGGCTGTTCGGGTCTTTGCTAATTTTATTTGTATTAAGCTCTCAACTTTTGAAACTTTATTGTGGAATTATGCCATATGGAGTTTCATCGGAGTTATCTTGTTAATGAATTTCTAAAACAAATTAAAACACATTAGTAACATTTTAAATTTGAACAAAAATTCATCCATCTAAAAAACCTAATAATCTCCAAATGTTGTCATAGTATGTTCAACCTTAAAATTACAGCGACGAATAAATATAGGTCATGGAGATTTCCTAAACACTTTCCAGTGCTACCGATATCATTATAATTTTTTATTAGGCGCCATCCATAAATTATGTCACGCAAAAATCGCGATTTTCAAGACCCACCCCCCATCCTTTAACATGTGTCACATAGGCACGATATCATTGGAGCCTTAGACCCACCCCCCCATCCCTTGCGTGACATAATTTATGAACGACGCCTTATTCCACTAAGAATCCTATATGCGACTTATGCGTGTATTACTAACCAAGCTTTAAAAAGTTTAGAAATACATTTTGCATGTAGAATTTGTTTTTTACGCAACGGGCTCAGTCTTACAATCATTGCCCGGTTGCGATTAAATTGTGAATTTATTATAAATATTATATCATTTTATTTCTGAAGTACATCCTTGAAGACAACATTCCTCGTGAAAACCTTATTTGAATTTTCTAATAATTTTCCTTGCTCGGTCATATCACGTACATAAACTCTAACGTCTGAGGACCTTCTAACTCTTGAAAATGCAACGTAAAGTTGTCCATGACTGAATACTGGAGTAGCCAAATAAATTCCAACCTTGTCCAAAGTCTGACCTTGGGACTTATTAATAGTCATAGCAAATGCTAGCTTAACAGGGAATTGCAGTCTTCTTAGTTGAAATGGAAGATCAGAATCTGCTATAAGGTCAATTCTAGGGATAAAGACTATGTTTCCCTCAGCTGATCCTGTAAGAACCTTGGCAATAATCAAGTTTGGCTTTAGTTCAACAACAACTAATCGTGTTCCATTGCACAACCCACGCTTTGTGTTTAAATTTCTCAGTAGCATTATGAGGGAACCAACTTTCAATTTTAGTTCATGTGATGCTGATCCAGAAGGATTTAAAGTATTCAGGAATTCGGTCGGGTAATCATCCCTATCAGAATCCTCGTCTGTCATAATTGAGTCAGTACTTAAATATGTCTTGCATTCTCCTTGCAGAATTTTCAAGACTTGCTCGTTTATTTCATCAACGTCTGCATTCGTGGGGCATAAAATAGCCATTTTTGAAAATTGCTCTACTTTTTCAGGAGTTAGAGACTCACCAAAAATATCTTTAATTATATTTTCTGTCGCCAGCATTGCTTCTGGAATTTCTATTAAACTATCTTGTAATCCGTCCACATTTGTCAATTCACCGTTACCAAGTTTAATTAGCCAATCACTGTATTCCTTATCAAGTGATCTTACATTATTATTCAATTTCAAAATTTGAAATTTCCTCCAAAGGTGACTAAATTTTATGCTTGCCTGGACAATTGATACAGCATCACCGTGTGGGATTATTGGCAATGTTTGCCTAAAATCACCTCCGAGGAGTAAAACCTTTCCTCCAAATGGAAGATCATTTCTCATAATTTCTTTCAACAGCCTATCAATGCAATGCAAAGCATGAACTGATGCCATCGTTGACTCATCCCAAATTAGCAGTTTAGCGGTCCGAATTAACGTCGCATCATTCGTAGTCATCTCTATCGATGAAACTGATGTCTCGTTTAAATTCAATGGAAGTTTGTATTGGGAGTGGTAGGTCCGTCCTCCCTTTAACAAATTAGCAGCAATTCCTGTTGATGCAACAGGCAATGCAATATCACCTTGCCCTCTAACGTAGCTTAAAAGTGTTTTATATAAGTAAGTTTTCCCACTTCCACCAGGGCCGTCAAGGAAAAAACATTTTTCAACTGGTTCAGCAGAGTTTATTGAGTATTCTATTGCCTCAAATGCACTCAGTTGTTCTTCTGTCAATGTTGATTTAAGATCTTCCGCGACGCCACGCTCTAACTCAATATCTACAAAATCATTTAAATTCAAAGGCAGATGGGAAGGAGGGTCCTTTAGTTTGTAATCAGAACACTTTCTCCCATGTGTAATAAGTGTTTCTGAAATATCCCTTAGCGCATATGACTCACACATATCACACTCTTCGTCAGATGGATGGCCATGAACTCTTACAAAATCCTCGGTAAGATTTTCTTTATGTTCATTCCATAGGCCTGTCATGTCGGAGGTCTCTCCAAATACACAAATATATGCAAAAAGTTCTCGCAGCTGACGTGGCATTGATGCATAAGCAGCATCATTTAATGTATCATTCCACACTGTTTGATCGCAAATCAAACCTCTCGCCTTAGCAACTTCATAAAATGAATCGTAAGCATGTCCTTGATATTTTAGAAGGTCGTCATAACTTGTTGGTCCTGCTACATGAAGTAGCAATAACCTCAAGAAATATCTCTCGCCATCGCTCATACTCACAGAATACAGACGTCCGATAACTTTGTCAGTGTGTCCATCTTTACGACGAACCCATTTATTCTTTGCATTAAATACGTAATACTCTGGAATTTCCGCATACTTGTATTGCCTGGCTTTTGGATCTTGGGTATTTAACTCGAAGAATGCCGTTAATGTAGAGTCTGTATTTTCTGCTTTATGAATTGCTTCTTGAATTTTATTAGGATCGAATGACACTCGTTTCTTGCCTGGTAACTCAACCTTTAATCTTGACATGGAATGAGTACTATCTTGCATAGGGAATCTGAAAATTCTCCAAGCTGCCTCAGGAGGACTGACATATCTTGAATCAACATGTGTCTTAATCTCATCTATTCGTAACTCAACTTTTGCGCAATCGTGTCCCTTATAAGCGTATTTAAATAAATATTTAACGCTTCTAATCGATGCGCAAATTTCAACATTGATATGACAATTGTATTTTAAACTTAAGTATGGGTTATATGGAACAACCCATCTATTGTCAATTTTAATATTTTTATTAGTCACAACTGGTTCTAAATTGCGTCGCCGGTAAAACGGAAATCCGTTAACGTTAGCCAAAGTTTCATGTTGAAATGGTTTTGGAAAACCTTTCGAACATTTCCCGGCCACCAAGCATGGTGATTTTGAATTAATTTTATCACACGGGCCGTGGATCATATTTTTCGTAACGACATCAAATAGCCTTGGATGTGTTTCGTTATTAGGTATTTCGGCACACACGATCTTATCGATAAGGTCAACTGTCCTTGGCTTATCAATATCTTTTAGAATTATAAGAATATGAGCATGAGGGAGACCTCTTTTTTGAAATTCAATGACATGTACTTTTGCAAGTACGTGTCCTAGGACACATTTTTTTGTCAAATCCTCCAGCATCGATCTTAATTTAACATTGAATACCCGTGCTACCAAATCGGGTCTATTTTCAGGCTTTTGGCCATCTTCCAAGTTCGCAGTAATTTCAAACCATTTGGGGTTGCATGTCATTGTGATGAATAAATCTGGTTTTCCAAATTTTCTTACAATGGACATAGCATCTTGATAATTTTGATTCATATTTCTTCTGCTACCCTGAAAAGTCGAAGGTAAAATTATTGGTTTTCCAGGAACTATTCCATCCTGTTCTGCAACGGAGTCCATATAGTCCACCAATGCGTCATAGCTACCTGCTCTAAGCTTGCTTTGATTTTGCCGAACGAAATTAAGGTCGTTTGCTTCAGCTTTCACATACGCATCGACAAAGTATTGCTGAGTAAGTTTTCCGGCACTCAAAAACGGACTAAATGTCTCACGAACCGAAAATATGTAAGAGTAGTACATTTTTAGTGTTACTCTTTTTCTCGAGTTTGTGTTAACATTTGTCGAGTGAGAACGTACGCATAACGCCAAGTCTTCTCCCCAGCCTTGTTCTCCATATGGATAGAGGAGGGGATAGGTCAGGGCATCAAGATTTTTGTTTAGAATACTAATTCGTTTTGTTGTAGGAGAATTTTCGCCGGTTGGTCTTAAATGAATTAGTAAATCTCTTTCTAGTGGAGGCTCGCCATCGGTATTGCTGAAGATTATCGCAACCTCATTACATGTCTGCATGTTATATCGACAGTTGTCAAGAGCTCGGTCGTTAACAATCGCCATTGTAACTTCTTTGGCTAAATGTCCTTGGCTTTGTTCTTTGATTTTCTCCTCCTTCTCGAATTCATGAAGCATTTTGAATGCTCTTGCAAACGGATTATCTTTCATAATATCAAGCAGGTTCGACATCACATGATTTTTGCAGGCAACATTAGAAGGTTCGTTCAGTCTTTGACTGGTTGCCTCATCTGGGTCAAGTATATACAATTGCGCGTACTTTCGTGGTTCGCCTTCTTCTGGATGCAAGGTCCCTGCCCTGTGATAGATCTGACCATGGATTCTGTAACAGTACGGGCCATACCCAGGTGGAGCTTTAATTTGTGCTCCAACTGATGCAAATGCGAATGCATTATTGTAGGACCTTATATGTTCCATGAAATGTTTAGAATCTGGGTCCTTCCCTGTTAAAAGTCGTTTTATGTACTCATATGTTGCAAAATTTTGGATTTTGACCTTTCCTTTGTTGCAGCAAACTGTAAACTTTTTATCGGTTGGTCTTTCTCTAGCAAAATGCTTGGCATTGCAAAATTCACAAAGAACATTCATCTCCCCCATATTGTGTAATTCCACAATGCTTTCTTCTAAATTATCAATTATGGCTGCTCTTGCTGTCATTTTTAGCACGCGACATGAAGCATTGGCTCGATTTGTGCGCAATTGCTCTAATCTCTCATCTCTCTCTTTGGGTGTTTCAAGTTGGCGTCCTGATGAAATTCGTTGATTGTCCTGAATTTTTCGTTTCATTGTCTCTTCGTCAGTCTCTGTCAATCTCACTACTGAAGTTCTCTGAGCATTCGCTAGGCAACGTGCTGACCTTTCCTCTTCGGTCTCAGCTAACCTACTTTCATTGTTTCGTCGAGCATTCGCTAGGCAACGTGCTGACCTTTTCTCTTCGGTCTCAGCTAACCTACTTTCATTGTTTCGTCGAGCATTCGCTAGGCAACGTGCTGACCTTTCCTCTTCGGTCTCAGCCAACCTACTCTCATTGTTTCGTCGAGCATTTGCTAGGCAACGTGCTGACCTTTCCTCTTCGGTCTCAGCTAACCTAGTTTCATTGTTTCGTCGAGCATTCGCTAGGCAACGTTCTGACCTTTCCTCTTCGGTCTCAGCTAACCTACTTTCATTGTTACGTCGAGCATTCGCTAGGCAACGTTCTGACCTTTCCTCTTCGGTCTCAGCCAACCTACTCTCAGTGTTTCGTCGAGCATTTGCTAGGCAACGTGCTGACCTTTCCTCTTCTGTCTCTGCTAATCTGCTGTCAGCTGTTCGTCTGGCATTAGCGTCTCTCCGAAGTGATGCTTGCGACTCAGTTTCTCCTGGTCGTCGTCGATGCATCATAGAATTTTTAGTTTCCGAATCAGATGCTGATTCAAATTCATCTCTGCAGTTTAACCGTTGCTTCTTGCGTACCATTCTGAATAACTGCCAACTTAGGGCTCAAAATTGCTACGAATAGCTCAAGTGGTTGCCACTTAGGGCTCAGTATGTGTCTACAGATAGATCACTCAAAATTATGTATAATGAATCGAAAATGCCAACTTAGGGCTGAAAATAAGTCGACTTAGGACTGTTTCCCGTGCAAATGCAAATAATGCGAGAATTTACGGGTTGCTTGCCTAAGAAAAAATTAATCAAATTAATTGGTAAAAATATAGTTTATATAGAAATTCTTGCAAATAGCGAATTTTTTAATTAGTGGCTGCAACCATTTCCAAACAAAATTCAAACAAATCATCAGTCAAATTACCTACCTAAAATGATTTTCTGAACAATCAATTGGAAAACTCTTTTATTTAGTTAAATTTAAATTTAGTTAATTTTCTGTTTTTTGTAGTTTCCTGCACACAAAAATTCAATGAAAAACAGATTTCCAAGGAAAGCTCAAAATAATTTCGGCAACCCAGTCTGACGACATTGCACAGCAAAGTGATGACCACTAAAATTGTTGCTACCGTTTGATTAATTCAGCTTAACGTTGACAAAACGTTTTTGTTGACTGTTAGCAGGTCCTATAATTATGCCTTGCAGGAGAGGGGGTAACGTAAACAAACGTTTCCACCCTGCCGACACAAATTGGTAAAGGGATGCAAATTTCAGCAAGCTTTCACAACGTTCAGCTAACGTATAACTGAGAGCCAATCATAAAATTTTAATTTTTTAATGCTTTCACTATTGGCCCTATCCTGCAATGTATAATTAGCATTGGAAGATTCGAAAAGTCTTGAATCCTATCTTTCAATGGTAAGTTGGCACCGTCTGGCAATAGAAACGTTCTGTCAACGTCGAGCTGAGACAATAAAACGTCTGACAGCAGTTTAATGCTCATCAGTCGATCGCCAACTGTCAGCTCGGTTGCCACAATTTTTGCAGTTCCCTTGAAAATTAATTTCTACATTTTGCGAACTGTATTCAATTCTTGATTTACTTTCATATGGCTTATAGAGTCGCTTCTGAATTTTCTCCCAACGCTGTGGCCGCTGGTTGGGATGTGGCCTCTACACGGCTCTTGAAAGCACCAAATGATCGATTTTGCGTTCAGTGCGGATTTGTTATCCGGGGTCAGGCGATGGACAAACCTGGTAATTATATTTCATTGAAAATCTAATATTTATGCTTTATTAGTTTTTGATAGTCCAGCGTATACGATGTACTACTATTTAATAAAGTTAGTCTAATAATTTATATCGTCTCTACAAATACAAATTTTACTTTGTTTTTTTATAGCTGTGTGCCCACACAAAAATTGCAAGCAGCCTCTAATCTTCCGAGCAAATCAATTTGATTCCGCTAGCAAGTGGGGACGCTGCCGACAGTGTGACAGCTTTACTCACGGTATGTATAACTGTGTTACTAAACATTTAGAGTTAGAAATCCACCTGTCAAAAAACCTTTTAATTGAACGTCGAAATATAGATTCTTCGATAGTTAATTTTGGGTCATCACATCTATATGTATTTTATTATTTATTATTACAGCCGACTTCCCATACTGTCAATCCTGCGGTACGGCTAATCGAGACGCCCTTTCCCGAAAACGCCGCTTTGAACAAATTCAAATTCAGAAACAGCAGCTTGAAGCCAAGCGACTGAAAGAAGAGAATGACGCCTTGAAGCAGCAAACGCATGATCCTGATTTCTTGTTATGGAAAGAAGTGAAGAAGGAGGAGGAGCGGAAACGAATATTAGAAGAAGAAAAGAAGAAAATTGAGGAGGAGGAGGCTAACGCTGATGCCGAACAGGTAGCTGCCGCGAAGAAGTTAGAGGAATCTCTTCTACAGGATGATGAAGAAATGAAGGAATAATGTGGTAAATGTGCAAAATCATAAAATTTTAATGAAGCTTTTTAAGTCTCCCTCTTATTTGTAATTAGTTTGATGATTTTTTAAATTTCAAGAACTGTTTTTTGTTTTATTTGTTTCAATGTTTCTTACTTACTTTCATGCTTCCTACTTAAAATTTACACATGTATTTATGAAATAATTTAAATGAATAAAACATTCCATTAAAAATATATAAAAACAAAATTAAATTTGCCTTAGCATTACTTTTGTAAATATTAATAGCATTAAAACTTATTTTTATTTCATCAAGCCAAACACATTGCTCATCTTATATTAAAATAGTCACACATAGACAGAAATGTTAAATTTAAGAGCCGGGGCTATGAGACTACTCACACGAAGCGGCAATTTCAAACCTTAGCATGTGTGGTCAGCCAACGAATCCCGGCCAGCGAAATACATAGACAACATTTAAAATGCAGACTTAGTCACGTAAATTTCAGGACACGTGGCGTAATACAGGGGGTGTGCCTAGGTCACAGGACACGTGGCGTAATACAGGGGGTGTGCCCAGGTCACAGGACACGTGGCGTCAATCAGGGGGTGTGCCCAGGTCACAGGATACGTGGCGAAATTCAGCTGGGTATGCGGGTTATCTGTCATGCCAAGTCAATGTTATTATGTATTGATAATGTGGATTCATGGGTAACGTTAGACTGTCATTGAGTGAAGCGCCCAGTTCAAAAAAGCACACATACATACATACATACATACATACACACAGACAACACGGGGCTATTAGTATTTAGGATAGCTGGAAACTAGAAATCTCATCTTCCCCCAAAATCTGATTTTACCCCAAAAATCCCTACCTTATAGGAAAGTGACACAAAGTCTTGGAATTCTCTGAAACGTTCAAGAGTAATTTGTCTACACAATTTCAAAAATTTATTTATTTTTGAATTTTGTTCAAAAATTGTTTTATATACTTGTTCAGCATACTTTAATTAGTTTAGAAACTCATTTTCATGAAAATCTGGGCAAAAAAGTAATTTTTATACAAAATTTAAAAAATTTCTAGAAATTCAATTTTTCGAGACCGCCGCGAACAAAAGGTGGTATTGTCGTCGAGATTATAATAATCATTTTTAAACAAATATATGAACTCTTAATGATAATGGAAATTTGCATGACATGATGAATATAATTTTTTGTATGTGATTTGAGACTGGTTCCCGTAGGGAAATTTGAACGGGCTCCAGTGAGACTCGAGTTAATTGAGTTTGTTGCCCATTTTTATCTTTTACAATTTGTATTTTTCTAAAGTTTTGACCTCTCCTCTCCTCCTCTTTAAATTAAATTAATTTCAAGGTGTTCTTTTGTGATTGGTCGAGAGGAGGAGAGGAGGAAGTGCTTTTGTAAAGTTAGCGTCGTTTTTTTGCGTGATATTTGTGCACAATTGTGAAAATTAAACAATGTCACTCCAGCTCTCAAGATAACAACACACGATTTTTCCCCTCGTCCTCTACACTCTAAATTTGTAATTGGCTTTTGTGTAATAATAAATGACACCGCAAAGTAACCAAATTTTGTGACCACGTCGCCGTTCATTTACACAATTACGGTCATCACCATCGCAAGTTACACAAAGTCACACCACATACATACAAAAACACATACATTTCTCAATTTAAAAACTACAGGTATAAAACAAGCAAAAGGACTCCTCTCCGATGGGGGAATGTGATACACCAAATTGAAGGGCTTTTCATGCTGATCAAGAATATGTAAATTTTTTGACCGGCAAATGTATATTAAGGTCAAAGGTCAAACATTTTTATTGTATTTTTAGAAGTTTCAGAGGATTCTAAGACTTTCCTCCATGGCGGGAAATTTTTTGGGGTAACGTGAGATTTCTTGTTTTTGTTGTAGAGTATCGAAAGTCAATCATTTTTCTGAAAATTGTAAAACTTAGGGGCACGTGAAATTTTTGCGGTAAAGTGTGTCAACTATTATCGTAATTATGCCCCATATTGGGCTAGTGTTCGTATTTAAGCGAGCGAAGCGAGCAGGTTAGGTTAATAGGTACGGGGAAAGCGTAGATAGCCCTCCTTGCTAGCAGTCCTAGCTAGCACTCCTAGCTAGCAATCCTAGCTAGCAGTCCTAGCTAGCAATCCTAGCTAGCAGTCCTAGCTAGCAATCCTAGCTAGCAGTCCTAGCTAGCTATCCTAGCTAGACACTAGAGGTCTCATGGTACCCCAAAAAATTATCCCGCCATGGGGGAAAGTGAGACAAAGTCTTAGAATCTCTTGAAACGTGTGGTTTTAGTGGGAATTTGAGACTTTTTTTGAAATTCCATAAAAACCCGCTCCTGACCACACCCCCTTCGAAAATCAAAATGGACAAAATTTGTATGCTTTCCTACCCCCGTGGGAGGGTTTTGGACCTTAAAATAATTTTTGCGTTTTTTTGGGTCCATGGCACACTGTGCAATAACACCGCCACCACCACGAGGCCTACTTTGGAGTTTTGCTGGACTAATGTCTCTCCTGATGGAAAGACATTAGTTAACACTAGTGAAATATCTGTAACATGAAAAAATGAGATAAATAAAACTCTTGTTCCATTAATACGATAATTAGAATCATCAAAACTTCAATCAATTTGGATATTTACAAGTATGTATTTGTGTTTTAATTGATTGCTTAAATAAACCTTTCCGCCAAATTTCTTATCTTTTTGGCGACGAATTTTCTGCAAGAATTTATTGCTGTTCTCATCAGAAGTAAGAAAATGCAAGTAATCCTTCCATCCATCAATTCTCAGTACTTATTTAAGTATACGAAAATTTCCTAGAATTTATGTCCCTCAGCATTCACTCTTCTTCTTCTTCTGATTAGTTGTTACTTGGATTCTGCAGCTGGTTGTGGAGTCAGCTTGACTTTTCCCATCCCTTGAAGCTGATTTAGATCCAGAGGAACCCTGGAGTCGTACAGGGAAGGGGCTTGCAGAAGAATAATACAAGCTCCAGAAACACACGCGATAGTGAAAACATAGAGGAAAAATCTGTCAAAGACCATCGCCACGTATTTCCAGTCTTCCACGACCTCTCTGTCCTTGTCGGCATTTTTTATATGTTCCGCCACCAGTTGCACGGACTCGAATGCGGCCAGCACCTCGGGCGAGTAGTTGGGTCGGGAGTTACCTGGGAGAAAGTTATTCATTTCGTGACATGATTTACGTACAGAATTGTTTCATGAGCAAGTCACCATTGCTGGTATTTTCACAATAAGTAGCTCGAGGGCTTGAGGAATGGTCCATGCTTGAGCAATCTGTTCTTGGGCTCATGTCGTAATACGGACACCCGTCCGGTCTGCTACCACTGTTGGTAAAGTTTAAAAATTTTGAGTTTTTTTTCAAAATTTTGCTATAAATTATTTTCAAGAATATCAGAATAATCACCTCCCACAACTCCTCTTTCTACTATTATTCGTCACATAATCGTACTGCACCCTATATTCTGGCCTCCTTATGCAAAGCAATGCCGGCATAAATTCGAGAAACACGACTTTCACCCATTTTGGCATTTTATGGGTTGACGGTGAGCGAAAGTGGATGTTGAGAACGCCCACCGTCACAAAAATGGACAACGTCACGAGTGACATTGTAAAGAGGAGATACTTTCCCAAGAGCGGGACAGCCAGCGAGGTCGGTGGGATGATTTCAGCGAGGAGGAGGAAAAACACGGTCAGCGAGACGAGAATGTTCACCGTGAGAGAGACTTTCTCCCCACAATCGGATGGCAAATAAAACACGAGCACGGTCAGGAAGGAAATCCCCAAAACGGGAATGATTAAGTTGACCGTGTAGAAAAGAGTTTTGCGGCGGAGCATGAGCGTGAAGGAGACATCTGAAAGTAGAGAGAGAAAAAAAAACGGTGACAATTTTGCAAAAATTTAATATTCCAAATTTAGCAAGTATTTCAATTGTCACCGATATAGGGTTCTTCGCAGCATGGGTAGTACTCTTCATTTCGGGTGGCAGGAACGCCCAACACATCCCATTCGACGGACATGTAGAATTCCTTCAAGTCGATGCCATTCGCGACGTAGTTGGCTCCGTCGGTCTGATCGACGTGTTTCAAGTTGACCTAAAAAAATATTCAGAAATTGTATCGAGTTTGGAACAATTTTAGCTTACAATTTAAATATTAATGATAAATATTACTTGTAAACCATGATAGGTCCATGATCCAATCTTCATGGGGCAATTTTGCTGTAAATAACATTAATAAAATATATGTAATTGAAGAGTTAACTCTTAACTTCATTGTCCGAAATGTCAACGGTTTTCAAACTCCAAAAAATGACATAAACAAACCTCATCGAAGGGAAACCATTCCACGTCCATTTCGCAGTAGGATTTGTAAATTGCAGGAGGAACCCATGTCACTTCTCCGTTAAATTTTACAGTGGCTTTTGTCATCATTGTGACCTAGGGTTAGAATTATGGTTTATTGGTCACGTTTATATTCCTTTAATAACTTATAATAAAAATACCTCATAGTTTCCATCCGCACTACAAAAACATTGGATAATTAAAATAATTTTTATATTTGAATTCAGGCGTGTTTAAATATTTTTTTAATACTTGTTAAAGAGGACGATATCCGGCAACCAGATATTTTCTGAAGGGACGTGCAACTCTTCTACTCCTCCGTATTCTTCCGGGTCCCAGGTCAATCGTTGATCAATCCACACCTGAAATTCAAAACTTAATATTATTTTTACTCCAAATATTTTGAAAAGGAACAAAATGATTAAACACGTGCCTGTTCAACCCACAAATTTGTCGTCATCACTTGATTTTTAAGGTTCTGCAATACAATCATAATATCAGCATCCATTTATGCAAATTGAGCAAACCTAAATACAACTACTCACCACCCCAATCAACTGCGATAACCTTAATCCAACCCGAACTTCCAACGTATCCGCTAAGTTTATCACCGGTCTAATTAACCTATTGTAATTCGACATTAAATCATCATATAGCGTCTTTGCGTATCTATTCGCCTCCAACGGCTCCTGCGTGTCGGCGATGATAAGCCGGATTGAATCTGGAAATATACAATTTTTATTTGTAACTTTACTTTCCCAACTTTCTCCCCTTCCACTTTTTTTTACCTGACGCTATGAAGCATCGCAGTATGAAAAGTAGCAAATTCATCCTTCCACCACTTTAGTATTGCACGGTTTGCAGTAATCTATTGAACATTTGCTTGTTTATTCTCCGACTTGAAAAAGTTGAGGAGAAAGTTGAAAATTAAGGTGGCCAGGCCAAGACAAAGGAGTAATATTATGGTTTCCTCATCCTCCAAGGTCCCTCCCATCCCACTTTCTCTGCCTGAAGTGTGGTGTGCCAAAGTGGACTGGACGATGGTGGGAGGCTGGTGGTGCAGATATGTGTTGGTTGCGAGGGATGAGGAGGAGACTGCATCCTTCTCGGATCGGAGGGGGAATCAATACTGCAAAAAAAGACCCGAATGCCTTGCAACCGGGTGAGGAGAGGAAGATCGGAGAGACGACGGAAGTGAAATCGGGCGAATCTGCTGTAAATGGGAGAAGAGGAGAGGACGACGTGATGAATAAAAGGATGCATGCTACTTAAACGGGTGGGATGGATGGACGGGTGAGAAAAGTGGAAAGTGAAAGCTGCTCTTTTCTCCGGGTTTTGTGGTTTTATTGTAATCGCTTTGTTGGGGTGGCACATTTCGCAAAAAAGGATCATTTAAATGAGATGTGGATATTGCGACAAGTTTTTTATGGCAGAGAATATTCATTATTTGATTACTAATTTCTGGAATTATTAAAGTTTTATTGAGATTTTAATTTCTAGACAAAATGTGGTGCACATTAATTATGCGTGCGAAATTTTAGTCAATAAGTGTAAATTATGTAGTGATATCCTCTTATTTGACTTGTGTTTTTACTTAAAAATGCTTGATCTCTGTCACTTTCAGATTTTCATAAACAATTGGCAGTGGGATGTCAAAGTAAATAAATATGCATGACAATTTACTAGTAGATACATAATCTTAACAAATCGTAATAAGACTCATGCTATACAAAAATTTGTTCATCCGCATTAAACCGAATTCTCTCAGTGACAAATACTAGAGCCAAGTTTTGCCCGTAGCTGTTTTTGAGTACATTTGCAGGCACAATTTGTACCAAGTTTTTGCCCATTTGGTTCTTGTCCCGTACGACAACGCGAGAGTAAATTTCCATAAGTTCGCCCAAAATGAGTCTCTCCTCGTGGAGAAAGCTCCACGTAAAACCCACCGAGCTTTCTTTCTTCTTTCCTAGAGCGGATTTTGACATGTTGCCATTTCGAGTGGTAATCGTCAGCGTCGAGTTGTACTGCTCGTCTTGCGGGAGGGTGTAATTGGTCATGTTGGGAGCGGCTACTAATTGGAGGACCAAGTGATCTTCTGACACAGAGATGTCAATCTGGCTGCAATAAAGCGTTCAATGACGAATTGTATTTATTGAGAATGTAGGTAAAAGTATTCAAAAACTGCATACACCGTTGTATTAAAACCTTCGTCCATCTCGAGGTCAAATGTCCGCCTCAAGTTCAAATCCGGGCTGAATTTCCGGGCAGCTTCATAAAACCATTGAAATCTGATTAATGTCCAACGTAGCGTGATGACAGTGATGTTAGCGTGGTACTGGAATCATAAAAAACTGTACATACATGCTATTTTGAAAAATAGGATTAAATGAGATCAACCTTACAACAGAATTTAGACAAATATTTTTATTGTGGAACCAGTCGATCGATGAAAAATTACTTTCCTCCACGCCAACAATCAAGTCGAGAGTGGAAAGTATTATGATGGAAAGTAGTATTAATCGCGATATCATCGTCTTCAATTTTTCTGGAATTTAAACCATATCGAAATTCAAAAGGTACAATTACAAGTACAATTTATCTACACACACATGTAATTAGATTTGTGTATATGCACAGACGGGACGGGATGAAACAAGTAATAAATATGTATGTAAGCAATTGTTAAGCAGCAAATATTTAGTTTAAAAAGTACGGCGATGCTGTTTTGGCTGGACCAGGTCAACTAATTAATTTTATCGGCAGCAGTCAGGTTATCTTCAAAACATCTCCGTATATTGTTATTGCATGTAAAAAGCGTGACCTTAATCCGCTGGCAGCTGTAGTAAATAAATTACTTTACTCATTCATTCATTTAATTCCATGCGTGGCTCAGGGTTGGTAAATAAATCATGAGTGTATTTATTTATACCTGTGCCGGGTGCCCACATACGTGAATAAATTTTGTCTTACTGTCAACTCTATCTGTATCTGTAAGACAAAATTTATACCCCATGCATTAAGAAATGCCCACGCCAAGATGTTGTGACTTGGATAATCCAACTTGGATTGCTTCAAAGCAAATAAATAATTAGTCATATATAGGAACCAACTAGAGGAAATAGGGCAAGCTACTTACTTATTTTATATGATTGTTTCATGAATACTTATGAACACGGTCAAAAATCTACAGGTCAAACTGTCTAGTCCCATTTTATATTAGGATTACTAGTAATTACATATTCATATGTACATATCTATATGTAGCTACATTTTTAGATACATACATACATATGTATACGCACATAGCATATATGTGTGGTCTATGCGTAATTAAATAAATATGTAAAAAAAAATAACTATTTATATTTATATGTACGTGTATAACCACTATTTATGTTTATTAATCATGCAAAGCGAAGATGTGCAATTTTATGTGTGCAAGTTTCCTCCAGCATCATCGTGCTTGCTTCTATAGTTGTGATTTGTTACATCGATGCAATTTTTCTCTGAGAGAGTCATTCACCTCAAACTCCAACTTTTAATAATAATGCCGACGCGAATTGATTGAAGGACTCGTCAAGTATATGTTAATGATTTCAGCTAACCATGGGGAAACCTTAAGAATTATTTATAAGACTGAAATATTTCATTCAAAAAGTTACCATTTTATGTGAATATAATGCAGAATTATTTATATATGACCACAAATTATTATTTATTCCTATTATTCTTCGTTAGTTGAGTATGATTACATAAATATTTTAAGTAAGTCAATAGTTATCGCTTTCTTCCATACACACACACATTCAATATTCAACCAATTATTTAAAATGCCCTGTGCTACACCCTTATCTTCAGTAAAAAAAAAATGAATTTGAAACTTTAAACAATTTAATCTTCATTATAACACGGTACTACAACTATTTACATATATAATTTTTCCAAAATTGTATTATTTATGTATATAAACATCCATCTTTTCACATTATGTTATTTATGCACATACATACATGCTGACAAACAACTTGGTGCATATTCAATTATTTTATGGTTAATAATTATAATTAGTACTTTTCGGGATTATCTATCTCAAATACTCTTGCTCTGTCTCCTTCAATTGCTAAAAGTGGGTTATGGGGTCGACCCAACGGCTGCATTTCTGGCAATGGATTTCTATACTGCATCTCAACGCGTTTCAACAATCCCCTCACGTACCAGACAGCCCCACCCACGCCAACCAATATAATCGCCAATACAATCAGCAGGCCTATAACCCCCATCTGCGCACTTACTAATCCGTCCCCCCTCGTTTTCCCAATCATTTCCACCTCCTCGGGATAAGGACAATTAACAGAGACATTAAGCAAGTAAAAATTCAACTGTAATATTTTTGGCATTAAATGCATGACTACTTTTTTGGAATGGAATTCCTTAGCGGGTTGAAAATCTTCGGGTTTTAGCACTTTCGATACAGATTTATTATTCAAAATTTCTATGACTTCATCCGTATGAATTTTGAATACATAATTGGGACACTCGATAATACTTTTGTAAACCTTGATCCTAAACCCGTAACAATAAATGTAATAATTTTCCCCAATAGCTTTAAACTGGATGGACGTTTCGTCCATGTAATACATTGGAAAACAAGACTTTTTCCAATATTTGTATACAGAAAGCTCATTCATCGGGAGACAAGACTTTTCTCCTGGAAACATAATAATTTCTGTGGGCGTGCCTGAATACGGCACAATGCAGTCGGACCCTTCATCATACGCGACCTGCGAGGGACCCACGTAGTCCAACCTGTATCCTAAATAACTCCCGGGAATTTTTTCATACAAAGTGAAAGGGTTTGCTTCTAAAACGTGGACTCCAAAGTCGGTGTCATTCTTGAGAAATTGGAATTTGGCCGTGCCAGTTTCTGGGTCTATGTAGCACTCGACGGGTTTGACATTTTTATGCATATTCGTCAAGGTGTGATTATTTCCTAGCATGAAGATATCAAATAATTTCAAGCTGAGTCGATTGTCCTTCCATTCGCGTACAATTTCATTCATGTGGGATTCCGATAGTTTAAAGTACGCTCCCAATTTTGTCACCAAGGTCATCGTGGTGCCTAATGTTTGAATCAAGTCGGTCTTCCAGGTTTGAAGGGTGGCAATGTCTACTTCAGTTTTGAACAGGCGGTTATCCAGCTTTGCCATCTCTTCTTCAAACTGCTTTAATTTCTTGTCAAATTCGTCCTGCCTCTTTTCACCATTTTCGATGCGCTTTTTGAGGGAGAACATGTCAATGGAGAGTTGGTTGACGGAGGAGGATAACTGATCAATTGCTGGATCTCGTCGAGGAAAAAATATTCCCAGGATGGATCGACCCGCATTAACGACTCCGCGGAAAACTCTCTTGATAAATCTTTTTTTCCTTGAAGGAACGCCTGCCGCGAAACCGGGACGACACATTTCCATCAAGGGTTTGATTATGACTTTCTCCATATTTTCGTTGCACCAGGTTGTGAAATATTCCTGGGTTCCATTGACGATTGAGGGGTCGTAAAATTTGTCGCATGGTTTGATAAAGTTGATGCTGAGGCCGAGATCTGACACGCCAGATTTTAAACTGATTTGCGTGTCGACCCATAAAAGTGGTTCGGTTTCGTACAAGGAGGCTGTGCAGGAGAGAATTGTGAGAGAAAGGACAAGAAAACTGAATGGGAGAAGTTTCCAGAGAGGTGACATGGTTAAAAATATTATTCCTGTTGAAATTTAATACAATACAGGATTAGATAGAGTAAGTATTGAGAAATTTAGAGGATTTTTAAGCATACCTTCACCAGATGTAGAGTGAATTTGTAGAAATTAGATCTACTTTTGCAATTATCTTGCTTCTATCACACTGTAAATAATTTGTCTCAACTAACAAATTATACTCAGTTATCGATTCGCGTATAAATTCAAGCAGTCGAATTGTCGAGTTCCAAATGAAAATGCAAGATATTTCATGGAACGTTCGCTGAAGGGGTCGGTGATGGTTTCATTCAAACTCGAAATAATTTGCACGCTTCAGAATAGTCTGGACGACACTAATAATGATTCATTAAGGTAAATAAAGACATGAATTCTGATGTAACGGGTAATTCAACAGGAAATGTCCTCGATGCCTGATTGGAAGATTACATGACAGGTTGATGGTTGATAACTCCTTTCCACGAATACCTTCACTTCTGCATCCTCAATAACATCCTATTATGCAAACCTGGAGAGTGGAGATGTGGTTTGATGCAGAGTCGTTGGAAAAAGCTATAAATGCACATAAACTCCAGTCAGGAGTGCAACATTTATATAAATGTGTATTTTTGTATGAGTTGTTATGTAAGCTGGTATAATCCCTTTTGTCGGTAAAAGTTGTTTGGTCATTCTTCGTAGATTATTAGCATTTGATCTCATTGTTGGTTTTATAATGCTTAGTTAGTCATGAGCTCATCCTTAGCCAGTCATGTAAATTTCGTATATCTATTCGTCGGATTTATGTGTCTGAATGTGTTCCAATAATTATTACCCCGGAATATATTTACGCAAGGATGATGATTACTCGGGGATGAATGAACATACCGGAAGAAACTACACTTTCCAAATAATTATGCTCACGTATTTGAACGTATGCAAATATGTATGTAGGAACAGTAGATATGTAAATGTGTGAATTAATTTTTCGTGGTTTTTCTTTATTTAATTTTTAGGGTTTTGACTTTATTTCGTAAGGTTACGGATTAAAATGTGCGACTCTTGGGTAGTCGTTTTGTGCAATATTTTATATTTTATTGGTCAATATGGAAATTATGCAACACACTGCATAATTCTCTCATTAACAAATAAACGTACTTACATATAATCAATTTCAACTGGATCAGTTTATTATGCTCAGACATAAAAAATTAAGTTTACAGCAAATTTGAATGAAATACTGATCAATTGATTACCGGTCAATAATAAAATGATCTGAACATGTCTACCTTCGTTTTACACAAGCATTTCGTATTTGTGCTAAATTCGTGCATAACGTTCTTACATATTTCTTAAATGCAAAATTTTATGATGTGAAACTTGTAACATTTATTTCTTCAATATATAAAATCACTCCAATTCATTAAAATTTCAGTGTATTTACAAAAAATCGTATTAATATGAAATTAAACTCTACTTAATAATGTCCATGATCATTGGCTGTCTCGAAGGTTCTTCAGTTCCCCAACCATTATTTCTTCCTGCCCGAAGTCTATACTTTTTTTCCTCCAATCTAAAATATATTATGATGCCACAATTCACCAGTGTCAAACAGAGTGCCAATACTCCAACATAAAGTGACACTTTGGACGACGAGCCATCATCTCGTCCACCCGTCACAAATGATGCGGGTGCCATTTCAATCCTACTTTTCTCTGCTTTCTCCATATCGTTAGAATTCGGACATGACCCAGAAAGTGGGAACATATCAAAAGAAATGGATCCTAACTGTGGCATAAGTATATGCGTCACTTTGGTGGATAATTCTTCTGAAAAATTGGCATGATTTTTTACAACCGCCGTGGTCAAGAATGGGTTTTGTAACCGAATTATCTGCTCATCACCCCCACTTGGTCGAACCCTAATGGTCAAGGAGACAGTTTCATTCCCATGGATAGAAAATACGTGCGGGGGACAATTAATCCATTTTTTGTATGCGTTGACCTCATGCCCGGCACAATATGTGTAGTAATTATCGCCAAATTTCTTTACTTGAATTGTCCCCTGATCCAAATAATACATTGGTTCACACGACTTTCTCCAATATTTGGCCAGTGTATCGGGATGGTTAAAGTCATGTGTTGCGCAAGCTTCACCCAATTCGGGGAGAAGGACCAAGTCGGTGGATGGATTATGCCCGTGTGGCGTCACACAGTTAGAAGTTGTATTATAAGCGACATATTTAGGACCGACATACTCTAGTTTTACCCCTAATTTCTCATCCTTCCCTGAAAATTTATGATAAAAGGTGAAGGCACTTGCCCGCAATATTTTAATATCATCTGCAACAATGGTTCGGCTAACGTCAAAGATAAGTGTGGCCTCCCTCCTGTTAAAGTGACACGCGGCTACCTGAGCTTTGGTGAAATTAATTTTTTGTCCGAACAAGGAGAATATCCGGTCCCCTGCTTTGTACGACTCGATTTCGTTGGTCATCCGTTCAAAGTAATTTGCTTGACTGGTGTCCCGGACGTCCTGATAGTTTCGTTGAAGTTCTTCAAATTCGAGAGAAAGGTTCTGATTTTTCCTGGCAATAATTTGAAAATTTGTTTCGAGTTGATCGACTCTGCCTTTTGTATTTTGGGCCAGGTCGGAAGTTGCTCTGAGATTGTTTTTTATTCCTTGCATCTCGTTGTCTAATTGGTTTATGCGGTATTGGTTCTGGTTGATCTGCGGATTTGGCTGGGTTGGAGGGGGATAGTCTTGGTTAGGATTTGAATTTGGATTTGGAATTTGAAAATTTTGTTGGTTTTGTTGAATAGGAGAATTATTATTTGGATAATATTGCTGCTGTTGTGGATACTGTGGAGATCGCTTGGACACGTGGTGCAAATTTGCAAAGTTTGGACTGCACAAATCTTCCAGTGGCTTTAAAACATGTTTTTCAAACTCTTCTGAACATCTGTTGTATCTTGATGGTAACCCATACTTAAGTTTGTCGCAAGGCGATGGAACCTGTATTGATACTGTTTCATGGGTAAAATTGGTTATCAGCTTGACCCCACTCTCATACCAGATGATTGGAGGAACTTGCAAAAGGTTGGAGAATGAGGAAGAAAATAGTCCAAAAAATGTTGATAGAAATGGGAGGATTTGTATGAAATTCATTTTTGGGGACATTCTGAGATATATTTTTACTTGTGTACGTACAGGACTCTGCAATAATGCACAAATAAAGAGCAATTAGCAAGAAATTGTGAAATAAGATACTTAAATGCGACAAGTAATTTTACTTTTACTACGTTTTTAGAATTAAGTATTTAATAATTGTTGAAAAAATTGTACCTTTTCTGTCGACTATATTATGGAACAAGAATACTGAACCAAATCGTCCCAAGATTCTACGATTAAATAATACGAGTGTCAAAGCTTGGCTTGGTTTGCTGGTTTATTATGGATTCTCATTTTTGCAGTTCGTATGATACATGAAAATCTGTAAACCTGTCAATTCAGCCGGATGCTTTACCTCTTATCTACAACACACGTTAAACAAATAAATAAGTTATACAACAACTGAAAGGGAAATGATTCATAACGGTTTCAATCACCTTTGTGCACACAGGATTTGACCAGGGATTTGTCCATTGAGTAAACTCAACGAGTCAAAGAGACTACAAGGATAAATATTTATAATTATACAGCTTATTTACAGAGTAACGATTCGGTGTTTTTAATGTGCATAACTTACAAGAGATATGTGCATGAGACAACAATGGACGAAATGATGATGAACTCCATGGGAAAATATGTATGGACACAGACATCCTGAAAATCGGTTTTTGTTTTGCAGATTATTCCTGGTAATTAAGTAATCTACTTTTGTATTTATTTGATACCTACATATTTGATTAAGTATCTGATTCACCTAATTTACTGAGCTGTACATCTACTTTCAATGCTAAAATTTATGCCAAATTATTTATCAAATATGCAAAAAAAATATGATGTTATACATGAATTTTAATGATTTTCCAATGGAGATACGTATATAATTTATATTGTGACATAAAAAATGATTTATTTAAGGTCAAGGTAAGCATCTATGCATAACTCATCAATTCTGTATCATTAAAGCCATTCCCTGTTCACCGTAATGGCGTGGATGATGTTGTTCTTGTTGCTGTTTCGATTGACGTGTTTTATGGCGGATGTAGAACATTCCACCAATTCCCATCAACACCAGGACGACCCCAATAATAGCAAATCCTCCCAAAAGAAGCGATTGATTTGTAGCAACGTCGACCTTATTTTCATCCTCAATTTTCCCAAGAATTTCTCCCGTGCGAGGTTCCTTGTTGCTCTGCATACTTTTAGGACATTCATTCGAAGCAGGAAAAGTATCGAAATCCAACGCCATAATTTTGGGAATTAAATGATACACGGCTTTCGTAGAGTGTAAATCTTGCGCTGCTTCAAAGTTTCCTGGAGTCAATGTTTTAGCTACACTGGCCCCGTTGAGAATTTCAATTTTCTCATTACTATTAATGGAAAATACGTAATTTGGACATTTATACTTGGACTTGTAAATCCTGACTTCAAACCCGTAGCAATAAATGTAGTAGAGCTGCTCCACTGCTTTGACTTGAATCACCGTCTCGTCCAAGTAGTACATTAGACGACATGACTTTTGCCAATATTTGTACACTGACATGTCATTCATTGGAAGACAGTCTTGCTCCCCAGGAAATCGGAGGACGTCCACCTGGCCTCCGGAAAAGGGGACGATGCAGTCCGCTATTTTATCAAAGGCTGCTCGGCGTGGTCCCACATACTCTAATTGCCACCCAAGGTCGGTGCCCGGCACCATTTCATACATCGAGAAGGGATACGCTTGCAGGACCTGGACCCCAAAATCTGTGTTGTTTTTATGAAAGGAGAATGTGGCGACGCCGTCTAAGATATTCAGGTGACATTTTTCAGGTTTACTCCCTTTGTAGATGTCGATTAGTGAGAAATTTGTGCCCATCATGAATACGTCGAATAATTTGAGGTTAAGATGTCCCTCTCGCCAGTCTCGCGCGACCTCGCTCAAGTCCGACTTAGCTTGTGTAAAATATGCACCTAATTTAGACGTTAATGTAATCGTAGAGCCAAGACTTGCTGTTAGTTCTGTCCGCCAGGAATTGATTTCTTCCAGCCCGATCTCAACGACGCGCATGCGTGCATCCAATTTTTCCAAGAAGGCGGCCAATTCTTTTACTACCGCCTCCAACTCGGCTTGGCGTTTCTCTCCGGCAGCTATGCGACCTTCTAAGTGGGCAATGTTTTTCGAAATTTCATTAATCTTGGAAATAATTTCATTAATTGCGGCATCATTTTGTGGAGGTTTGGGCTTTGAGAATAGACCGACGATGGTCGACACGGCGCTGACCACGGTGGGAAGGGCGGTCACAATTCCGGCCAAGATTCCGCGTTTCTTTCTTCTTCCGGGAACTGGAGAGGGGCCGCCGGCGAAAGAAGGGCGACACATTTCTTCCAAAGGCCGGATAACGCTTTCGAGAGCTTCATTGTCACACCATTCGGTAAAGTGGGGAAGAGTGTCGGGAACTATTTTTGCCGTGTAGAATTTGACGCAAGGAGTTTCAAACTTTATCTTGAGAATGGCCCTTGAGTTGCCTGATTTTAAGGTGTCACTGCTCGCACCCCAAACAATGGGGTGGACTTTTGGAAGAATGGAGCTGACCTGGGGTGTGGTGAGAGTGATAAATATCAAAATTGTGAACAATACTTGTAAGTTTGACATCATGAGGGATCAAATGACTCTTCTGCAGGTATACACGTAATATGATCTCAATCTGTAAAATGATTTTAGTGGATTATGCAAGTAGACTTGTCAAAGTGAAAGAGTTGAACTTTATGTAAAGACTGAGACTCATCACAAACTGGAGGTATGCATGTGCATACATTCTGTACATAATATGTACGTATGTATGTACATACATATATGAATATGTACGTGTGAGAGATAAAATACTAGATAAAAGGGAAGATGCATAACTATGTACACAAATGATGAGTCAATTGACACAACGGAAATAATTTGATATTCACTCTATCTATGTAAAATTTAATAAAGTATTAAAAACAATTAAACAAAAGTAACTTATTTTACGCATATGTATGTATATTTTGCTTAATCAATATCATCAATTCGGCTAGAATCTCCGGAATCAAACAATTCGACCATTTCATGCACCAAGTTATGAGGGATATTCTTGAGCGATTGTCTTTTCTTAATTGATTCTTCAAACTCGGCACTCCTTTCGCTCTGATTTAACCGCTTCTTTCGTGGTGTTCTACTATCAATGGTCAAATTTCGAATAATTGTCACGCCCACCCCAGTATTATTCGGATCCTTAGTCTTAACATATAAATACCACACAATGGCACCCATCCCGATAAACAAGATACCGAACAATCCTCCCACAATGCTCAAAATCAAGACCAAATTAACCCCACATCCCACACCAATTGGGAAATCGTCCATCCTCAACTCGGCCAATTTTGGGATTAAATGAAAATTAACCTTGTCCGAAAGTAGGGCTGATCCAGCCTGAAAATCCAATCTCTGCACGACCCGATCAATCGTAATGCTCGAATTAATCTTAAAACCTTCGTTGACATGAACGCTAAAAACGTACTGGGGACATTCGTACACGTTCTTATACACGAATATGTTAAAGCCGAAGCAATAGATTGCGTAATTATCTCCGACTTGTTTAACCTGGATGACGTGCTCATCCAAATAGTAGAGCAAATTACAAGATTTTGTCCAGTATTTGAGGACTGATTTGTCATTATGGACAAGACAGTCGTCCGCCGTGGGGTAGAAGAGGACGCTCCCTTGGTTGGCCGAGTATGGAACGATGCAATCCGCACCTTCATCGTATGCAACTTCTCGTGGCCCTCTGTACTCAAGGAGATACCTTTAATTATAGAGATATCAAAATTATTTCAAAATTCTTACTATTTTGAGAAATTTTAGAAATTGTCTTAATGCGTAATTAAATATTTAAAAAAAAATCTTACCCTTCCTTCTTTCCGGCATCGAGCTTATAAAAAATAAAGGGATTGGCCTCAAATATTTTAATTTGAAGGTCCGTTCTCGCCCTCTTGACCTGGAAGAAGGCGACCTTATCACGCACGTTGACATGACACTGAAGTGGCGTTACACCTTCAGTGTTGTAAAGTCGCTCTAATCCAGGGTCCAGGTCAACGGTGAAAATTTGAAACAATTTGAGACTCAAAATTCCCTTTGACCATTGTTGACGAACCGTGTTGACGTTAATTTTTGCCAGAGCGAAGTACACTTCTAGCCCTGTATCGGTAGTTTTAATTGTAGTATTTTTGGAGTGGGTGTGGTTACCGCCGGAGTTGCTGGATTGGATTTCTTGATGTACTTTTAAACTTAGATCGTTCAATTGTTCGAGATACGTGTCTGCCAGGGAAGAATCGTTGTTGGAGGAGGAGTTTGAAATTGATTGTCCTCTTTTTAAGGCAGCCACTGCCTTTGAGATTTGTTCGATTTGAGCTGATAATTTATGAAACGTGGTCAACAGTTTGGCATACTGGGAGTGGCTTTTCCTCTCTGACGAAATGCCAAATGTTGAGGAGAATACGCCACCAATTACGACTTCATGATCCGCCGTAACGTCCACTTTTTGGCCGATAGTTGTGTGACACAAGTCTAACAATGGGAGGAGCACGTTCTTGTCGAGCTCGGAGTCACACCAGGACACATTTTTGGAAGAATACTCGATTTGTAGACAAGGGCTGGAAAACTCGAAAATTAATGTTTCCACAATATCGCCAGATTTTAGGGTGGTCACAGATTCGACCCATATTATTGGGAGGCTTTGTTGCAGTAAGGACTTTCCGAAACAGTTTTGAAAAATTGGAAAAAATTGGAAAACTATTATGAGTTTATATGTTGGATACATTTTCTAGCTAGTTGGTCCGTGTTATCGGGTTGTGTACTGTGGTACTACTAAGGTAAGTACGTATGCATGCATGCTTTCATCAGTTTCGGTGGATGTTCAATAATTTGCGTTAGATAACAGAGAGGAGTTATCTGTCATTTTAATTTGCATGGGTAATGTATGTAGTGGGGCATCAATATTTTATAAAATGCATAATATGATGTTACATTACATATTAATATCTATTAATCGAATCCTAAGTAACTTTTTCATAATTTAATCTAGTAATTTTTGAAGAGTATCAAATGTTACTGTAAGAACATTAAGTCCAGAAAATTAGCTAACTGTTAAATATTCCTTTCGTTACAAATATCTACGTATGCAAAACACATCCCTCCATTGTTGTCACATACATACATACGCTGTAAAACTATGGGCGAATAAAGCCAAATCTCCAGCATGCAAATTGTGTTTATGCATTCACAGACATCACTGCAGAGATGATGATGAAAAGTGTAGAGAATTGGCGAGATTCTTTGTGTGCAACATACACATATGTACGTATGCGAATGCGTATACATACGCGAATGTACATATGTACATATGCGAATCTTGCATTTCCACTGGCAATTTGCAGTTTAGGACAGCAGTTAAAATCCAGCAATCTTTGCTAAGTTAGCTGGGCTAATATTCCCTGTCAGCTGCCATATATCTATTGTTTTACATTTACCATTGGTTACAACGCAACACAAAGAAGTTCATTATTTTGTAATATATTTACACGGTATTATATTAAGTATGTGAGGTATTTATGCATCTCCAAATTAGTGAAATTTTTGTGTAATAATTAATGCACTTTCATATTTTTAACATTTTCGTAAATTCTACTGCATTACGAAATCATGAACCCTAATAATACGGAGCAAGGACGACTCGCAGCTTTGAGACGTCTCCAAAATCAGTATGATCGTGATGCAGAGGAGAAGGCGAAGAAACAGAAAGTGGTGAGACAAAAAGTTTTTTTTTTACATATAAATCATAATTCACTGACATTTTTCCGTGAATCTGACGTTCGTTTCTTGTGCATAGATTGATGAGCGAAAAAGGAAAGAGCGATTGGCTCAACTTGAAGAAATGACCAAACAAATGGCAATGAGTGGTGATGGGCATCGACTCGGTACCGTGGACGAACAAGGGCGTCGTGGAGAGCTTGGAATCCAAAATCCTCGTCCAGTCGTTGGTGATGATAATCCTATGGCTCGGCCAACTCATAGTCAAGCTGCAGGACAAGTTTTGGGAGGATCGCGACCTGGCAGTGGTGAGCTAATTTTTGGTCGTTAATTGTTGAACTTGAAGTATATTTGCAAAATTTCGATTTTGAGGTTCTGGGCGCTTGGGGGCGATAAATCGTCTGCAACGAGAGTACAATAAGGATGCAAAGTCAAAAGAAGAACAAGTGAAGGCAGTGAGTGATTGATTGATGGTTAATAAATTATCCTTTAATTATCTCCTTTCAATTTAATTTATTATTGTTATTACTTTATTATTCAGGTAGACGAATAGAGGCAACAAAAGTGACTGGATGTAAGTAAGAAAATCGGAGTATTTATAATATCAATGCAATACTAATAGTAATCTTGTGGAAAATTAGTATTATCAAAGAATGAATTTTATAAATAATTACTAGCTATTATTTGTTTACTACTTAAGTATAAGTAACTGTCTCGAATAACATTTTAAACTAAATATGACATAAAATTTACATGCACTTAAATAAGCAGTTCTATGAATTTTATATATTTACTATTTTGGATTCTACATGCAAATATGCAAAATTGGTCAGAAATCCTGCAATATTAATTAGTAAAATATCAGTGCACATTTCAGTACGCTTAGTAAATTACTTACTTATTCAAGAGTCAGGTCATTTCTCATAAAGTTACCGATTGTTTAATTAAAATACATGTCTTGTTAAATTGCAAATTAAGTAACCGTTTTTAATAAAAATCCTGACTAACTTATCCAATTGCATTTCCCAGCTTTCTTGCAACAGTGATACAGCGTCCCCTCCTTGTTGAAAACGTCATCCCTGATTCACACTGATTCGGAGCTATATTTGCAACTATGGTGCGAAGTAAGGGGTTACGAGTAGTGGCACTTTGTTTGATTTCCTCCTCTTCAGAATCCCTGTCACCAATGTCACCATGCATTATGTCCATCATTTGCTGCGTGTTTGGTTCCTTGTTAAAACTTATGCCCTTATCGGTGTCTGCTGTTATCGGCGATGGTGTAAATATATTATTATTATTATCCCGTGCATTCATCCCTCGAATCCCTCCATCAAAAGATACCGGACCATTGCTGATGGACTTATTATATTCGGAAAATGTTAAACTTGGCCAGTCCGTTCCATTCAATTTGTCGGGCACTTGTCCAAATTGAGATATGCGGTCTTTTTTCACAGGATATCCATTAGAGCACGAGATGAGCAGTAACGTCAAACCCAATAACGAAAGCACTTGGGGGATTAGAAATGTTCCCATTTCAATAGCATGCTGGAATATTAACAAGATTTCACCGATTTTAATTAACAAATACGTATGTAGTACTTTTAAATACCTACAAAAAGAAAATGTCTTTACTTTAATCCGAATTCAATATATTATGACCTCCTCTAAAACAGATGAACAAGTTCAGACTGTTTTCTTACTTTAATCGTACATTTAATTTCCTTGAATTGAATATTATAGACGAGATAAAAGACATACATATATATGTAAGTATGTGGATATTTTTGCGTGTTTTTATAAAACATGGAACCGGTTATGAAATTAAAGCAAACAGGTACTTTATAGTATAATAACTGGATTATGTACATACACATTTGATACGATTGTCCATGAACTGAAACATTTCCATGTAACCTACTAACAATATATGTAATAACTTTCACGTAAATATGTAAGTTCTTGATTGATTTCAGTGATGACTTATGAGTCACATTTTGATTCTTGTTCCTGAAAATATTTTTATTATCCTTCCTCTCCTCCTTTTTTACAATTTTAGTGAGTGTGTATACATTACAGATTGTAATTTACCCTGTTTACTATTAAAACAGTGAGTCACAAAAATTAGAGAAAAAACATGAATTGGAAAGTTACCATTTGAGCTCCTTTGAACAAGTGGAACGAATAAATGATAATTCAGTTTAAATAATTTAAATGATAAAATATCTGTATTGTTTTGGTGTACATCAACGGAAAAGGCTGCACATTATATTCAGGTGCTCTGGCTTTAAGGGACTGTTCGATGTGAAGGTGGAAGCATCCCTCATTCCGTCATCATATTCGGGTGAATTCACGCCAAAATCCAAAACCAGCAATTTTGTTGTTTCAGTACCGTTATGACTACCGACTGCACAAACTAATTTCGTTTCTGATGCTGTAATCCACCAAACCTTGCCGCCAGATTCACCACTATGCAGCTTTACTAGGTCTCGAACAAAAGCTCCTAGAAATGAATAGCAAATTGCTTAATGAAACCATTTATACAACAGCATTTGGGAACACTCACCCGTTGCAATGTCCCAGAGTTTCACCGTTCCATCATCGGAAGACGTAATTACAAACTTATTAAGTAACCGGACGCAGGTAACTGGGCCAAGATGCCCGTTAGGACCTGTATTAATTTAAATTAAAGTTGTGTCTCAAAGTCGTTGTTGTGCCATTGAATTCTTACCTGACAAAGTGAAAAGGCACTGTCCAGTAGTAATATCCCAAATTTTGACAGTGGAATCTGCATTTCCGGAAACAAGTAAATTGTTTCTCAATTCCATCACGGATGTCAAGCTCCTATGCCCCATCAGAGTATGCTTGCAAATTCCAGTCTGCGCATCCCAAACTCGAATGCTTGTGTCAAGCGAACCACTAACGATATGCATATCATCAAACTGTAAAATGAGACTCAATAATAAGTATGACATATTCTACGAACATAGCATTAGTATACATTGTATGTAGCATAAATCAATTAATTCTAAATACCCAAACTTGTATAGTGCATAATAGTGCATATTACTTACTCGCAGTGTATAAATTCGGTCTGCGTGACCGCTCAAAGTACGCAGACATTCTCCACTTTCGACATCCCAGACTCGAATCATCGAATCATATGCTCCAGACACAGCAATCTTCCCGTTATATTGAACACAACGCACAGCCGCAGTATGGCCAACCAAGACATGAAGACACTCTCCATTGTCAACATTCCAAACACGAAGTGTTGTATCTCGAGATCCACTCACCACTCTTCAAAATAAAGCAAGGGTTACCTCTTAATACATCTTTTTAGCAAATTATCAAAAACCTTACTTTTTTCCGAACAAATGCATACAACGAACTGTGGAAGTGTGACCCTCAAGTATATGTAAGCAGGCTCCAGTATCCGCATTCCAAACTCGCAATGTACGATCTGTCGATCCTGAAATAATTGTTGTTCCAGATATTTGAGCCGACCAAACCCCTCCAGTGTGCCCAACAAGCCTTAGTAGGCACCGTCCAGTCGTTGCAGACCACACCCTGAGTGTAGTATCATCGGATCCAGTCACAATTCTGAACATGTATTAAGAGGAAGAACACAAATAAATTTGATTGGTACTTTTAAGCAACTATACATTGTATTAACCTGTTGGATGAAAATTCGAGGCAAGTTATCCAATGTTCGGTGTGGGCCCTCAAGGAAATCTGAGATTTGATTGGCTGCCATCTCCAGTTCATTTCGATATTGTGCTGCCGTATGTAGGCAGCCTTCCAAGATCCATAATTTGGAACAAAACTGCTGCCATTTCCCCCTAGATGCAATTGGTTTGTCCAAAAGATATTATTTTGGGCTTCTCCTCGACCATGAATTCGTTGTGCCATCGCGTTGGAAGGTATAATTCCAGCTTCTCGACATTTTTCCTTCCAGAGCAGACTATCATCGCACAAAATTCTCCAATATCGGCAAGTTTGAGCCCCTTGGAGTAAGTCCTTCGGTCCAATAAAACTCAAGATATACAATGCCAACTGCAATTTTAAACAAATCATTTATACACATTTATAAACGTACGTAGGATTGAACACCAAATTATAATTAATACAATTTAACTAATAATGTATTTTGACGTTTGACCTCTTTTGGGAGCAAGGAAATGAAATCCCTCTGGAAAAGGGAGTCAATCAATCTCTTCATATGACCAAGTTCATCCAACTCTGATCTCTTGATGATGTGATAAATTACGTTCAACCTATCAGTCGGATTCCAACTCTGAAAAAAATTGTTAATTTAATCTTAACCATAATTCACCTACTCAAATTAAAGTTTTAAATATGACTATAGCGAAATAAATAAATCGCTTAAATTGAAATATTGATTTTGAAATTTAAAAAAATATATAAACACTTACATCCATTACAGTTAACCATTCAGCCAGCACAGAGCTCAATGGACTTGCAGATGGCAATGATACGTCGTTATCATCATTGAACTCGTTTAATTCTTCATCATCCCTTGATTGATTCATTGAATTTTTTATGTATGATGTCGGAACAGCGTCAGCACACATTGTCCTATCAAAATTATTCATATAATTAAACAATTAAGTAAATCAACAATATGAATGACCTTACTCAGATATTGTATTATCCTTTCCCATTTGTGCTCTTCAATTTTTAGCACTGAAAGTGTTGCACTTTAGTTTCCGCTGCTACTGAACCAAAAAACGAAAAAAGTAGTTCATTCGTCTTTAAACGACTAAAGTGTACAAAGGGGGTCAAACAATAAGATAATACATTAACGTATGATTTAACTACTAAACAAGAACAATTAAATGTCCATTTCCCATTTAAAAAAATGTCCTCCTGTGCACGTGTGCCTTTAATTATTTCCTTTCCCTCTCTCGACCCACGTTCTTCTTCTCCCCGAATATTCTTGAAGATTATGAGTTTTTCTTTGTTTACCATTTACTTAGGATTAGCTTTGTCGGTGAACTAATTCATCTGGAATTAAATTAAATGTGTTACACATTATGTGTAGCTGTGATTTGTTATCATATCATCAATCATTGGCCAATTTGTATAAATGCATGAACTCGTCTTTTCGAAATTTTAACATCACTATAAAAGATTAGCATTAGCAGAAGCTTTAGCTCGAATTAAAAAAAAAAAAAAACTATAAAGTTGGAAAGAATTAGCAAATTCATCTTATTCGTTCACTTAAAACTTAAAACTTAAAACAAACAATGTAGAACGATGAAATAGCAATTAACCTAGGCCGGAAATTAAAATAACGCGGTATTATAGCAAAACATAATAAAAACTATTATTTATCCTCTTTTATAATTGCTCAGTTAAGTAATTAATGGTTAACATTCTTGGAGAGCAAACATACACACATATGTACATATTTACTATGTACGAATGTATGATGAATGTAAATGTAAACTCATAACAATTCGTTCGTATGCAAAATGCAAAACACTGTGCGTTTGAAAATGAGTATGAGGAAACTATCCGTGCAACGGAAAAGCTCCGCGAGGATACAGGAAACACGGACAAAGTACTGAGCAAATATATTCCGAACTCATTTTTGGAATTTTTTTGGCAAAACTTTGTACTTTTCATGCAATCATGACACTAAACATTTATTTGTACATTTTTATTTCCATTATCTGCTAATATGTATGGCAGGTCATCAGAGATCCGCCTTATCCAGTTTTTCAAAACTTCTCAACCTCTAAAGTGAATAGTAAGAGTGCATGAATTCGAAAGAAATATTCTCATTTCTTCTAAACGAGGGATAGCGTGCTAATTTTTTTTCAAAAATACAAATAAACAAAATTACGGTTAGGCCGAAATTGTTATATACTTAATGGCAAAATTTTATCATTGACATTAATCGTTGAAATCGTTGACATCGTTGAAATTAATGCAAATAAATATAAACGGTTGAACTTGCCATACTATTTCGAATTAGATGTACATATAAATTCGACAATCATGATAAATTCATTGGTGAATTTATTCTCGTTATAGATATTGAACAAATTCAAATTCAACTTGTGTCGAATTGAAAATATTATATTGTCGCCAAATTAATTTTAAAAAAATTACAAGTCAACGAGCGGCTTTTTTCCATTAATCGGACTCAGATCAATGTATCCAATATTACTCCAAAACACGGGGTTGACAAGTCCTGTTCCTCCGCCAATATAATAAATCCTGTTCAACCTTTCCACGTAAACCACACCCATTCCAGAAAACCATCTTCCTACCGATCCAGGAAAGTTGGCGACTTGAATAAATGTACTTGTCTGAGCCATGGGGTCATATTGGTAAATTCCATCAGCGGGCTCCTCTGTCCCGTATAAACCTGCGCCAAAAAGGTAGGCGTAACGACCATCGAAAGCAACGGATGGTTGAGTGTTCATTGGAGGTATGTCCCCCGGTAAAATGGTTCCTACATTTGTTCGAATATTGTACGCAAGCACGCCGGGATTTGGATTGTCGTATTCGTCATTGCAGAAAATGTAGGCTGTTTCATTTCCATCAAAGAAGCCTTCATTCCAGGAAAGCCACTGTAGAATTTAGGTGATGTTATTTAAAATAAATCGTATTTTTATGCCCTTGACTGATATTTGAATTTTTAAGACAGTGCTCAAAGTATACCTTGGGAAGATCACCCAACATGCTGACCTCATGCGTCACGGTGTCCATCGTAAAAACCTTGTAACTCTGAAATGTTCCTCCAAACGTGTAAATGGTTCTGTTGTTGTCATAAATTCCGGCAAAGTGTGACATTGAGGATTGTCCAGAGATGTTACCAACCCTTGCGGATGTCAGGGAATCCGGTGCCCATACATAAATTGGGGGTGGCAACGCTTGAAATGAACCTCCAACAGTGTACACTTCCCCATCAGCCTTATCATAGTACGAAAATCCACCGCTTTGCCAAGGGACGACGTCCAAAACGGTCAGCGTGTCGGTGGAGATGGAATATTTCATCATGGACTTTGACTGGTTGAGCGGAACTTCAAATCCGGGTCCGATGTAAATCGTGTCATTGCCATCGTATGCGTGTGGAAACCAGAAATTTGGATATGGCATGTGTGCCGTAGTATTGACAGCTTGAAGAAGTTGAGCCGAACTGGTTGCGAAAGTTAGAGATGCAAACACGGCCAGAGTCCCGATGAGGGATTTTCCTGACCTCATGGTGACCCTTGATAATTTAACGGTAAGAAAAATTAGTTGGAGGTGGACGCGTGCTTAGGGTTGAGATGGCGAATAGTAAAAAGTGTACATCAATCAAATTTATCGTGTTATTTATCACCCACAGGTTGTTGTTATCAATATCCGAATGACATGCTTCTCTAATTAATTGATAATTATTTTTCTGTGTAATTTGTAATCAAACAAGTTGAGTAACTGCAGACAAATAATGTAATGATCTGTATATATGCAGAGTAATGCACACTGGTCCGGGTTCCTTTATTTGTTTGCCAAAACCTCTAGCTCTCGAACCATTTAATTTTTTCGTATTCTGCCTTCGGGGATCGAGATATGAAGTTCCAAGGGGCATAAGCTATGCAACTCTCATTGAAGCCACACCCCTTTGGGGGTGTGGTCACAGGTGGATATTTATTTTATTGCATTACCCCATCAAGTGGGGTGTCATTTGAAAGGTCTAATCAAGCTCTAAACAACTCCGACCATTGTTGGGACATTATCGGCACACCCACTGCCAGGGGGGTGTGGTCAAAATACAAATTTGAAAGTTTTGTTTTGATAATTCTGAGGATGTATTTTCATAAAATGACAATATTCTATAGTTTATGAAGTATTTCTACCCTCTAGCTTGATTAACAAAGAAAATAGGACAAAAATTATAAATTTAGTTATGCCTCCTCAGGGGGTCACCAATTCCTAAAATCCCCCGCTCGTAATTAATTTTTTAGAGGGGTTTGGTTTACCATATTTCCTTCCCCTAGGACTTGGCAAGATATTTCGAGGCGATTGTGTTATTTGGAACACTCGAAAATTTCATACGTGACAATAATGGAACACTCCAGCTATTTTGCGTATGGCAATTTGCAATTACATAAATTCAAATCTCTCTGCCTATTTATAATGGTGGCAGCTGGTGGCAGCAGTTTTTGTAGATTAGATATGGGGGATTAATAATACATTAACGTTCATCAGAAAAGCACAGGAATAGACAGGATTTTCAACTTGAAGTTTTCCCCATTTAGCCCAATGTTATCAGCCAAGTTTGAGTATACGCCACGCCTTCACCGGTGGAACAATCCAAATGAAACTTTCCGAAGTTGAACATCTATGTCAAAGGTACTGAAGGGGGTACTTCGTTTTCGAATCGGTGAGAATAGGTTTTGGCCAATAAATTCAGTATTCCGGACCAACGTGTAATGGCATGATCAATGTACTTAATTAAACTATATTAGGCTTTTACAGTATTTAACACGATAAAATGGGGTGTTACTCTTTCATTCTACTGGCAACTGGAATCTTGTGTTAATTATCGAGTTAATTGATTGGATTTTGTACTCTATTCATGCTTCCAAAATTATCTTTAGTTGTTTAATAATAAATTTTCCAAAGTAAATACGCAATAAATGTAACACGCGAAAGCAATTAAAATAAGTACTTGAACAAACGTTACAAACAAAAATTCCGACTTTACTTAGCAAATCGAGTGAATTAGCACATCAATTGCATTTAGTCGACCTAAGTAATTTATCCAATTATCAAAACCAATTCGATCTCTTTCGAATGCTCACTCGTTAATATAAACTCATCCGCGATTTTGTGCATAAAATTGTTATATTAAGCTAACAAAATATATACAACTTCTGTTTATTCTGATAATTCAGTCATTAAGTTTTTGTCAACATGAAATTTTTCTTGCTCTTAATTTGTTCTCCCCTCCTTATAGCTGCGGGTAGGGTTGACCCCGGCCTAATGCAGCGCGTCGCACGGCGTCAAGTTACCGAGGCAATTGTCGAATTCCCCTCAATTGTCGAAGAGGTCGTGGCCAACCCAAGGATAAAATCCCTCTCCGGTGATGATAAGGCCGCCGCAATTGTGAACTCTTTGAAGCAGCTTACAGCCCAGAGTCAAAAACTTATCATGGAGCGTGCAAAAACATTACAATTGTCGACAAAGTCTTTCTGGGGATCAAACATCGTTCTGGTCCAAGGACTCACGGAAACAATGCTCGCTGTACTTGGAGAAGTGGAGGGCGACTTTATCATTCGGGAACAAAATGTGGCCCATATTCACGAGGACAGAATAACTGAAGGAGATGAGGAGTTGGTGAAACTTAATCAGGAAACACAGCCACAGGTATATGCTACTATTTAAACCTAGAGTTTTTAGTAGGCATGGAAAAATTCATTGACATACGTTTTAATTTGCAAAAATGATTCTGCATTTTTAATCAAATATTTCTAAAATATAGTAAAATTTGGTAGAAATAATCACCTCCAGAATAATAATTGGATCCCAGTTGAAAAATTATTTATTAACTTTAAAGTGGGGCGTTGCTAAAATTGGGGCCCCTGCGGTATGGAACACTACTCAAGGAGAAGGGATCATCATTGCCTACATCGACACAGGAGTTTATCTCGGTCAGTAAAAAATTGCGTACATATGTAAGTCGAGCATAAAACTAAATTTAATTAATAAAGGTCATGACGCCATACCTGGAGACACTTTCGCCGGAGCCTGGTTCGACCCCTACTATTCCTACATGGTCCCCGATGATTCTCGAGGTCACGGATCGCACTGCGCCGGAATCGCGATCGGACGAGCGAACGGTATTTCTGTATCACCCGCCGCTAAGTGGATTGCATGTCGAGGTTTTAGTAATTTAGGGTCAGCAACGGAAAGTAACCTTATTTCATGCGGGCAGTTCATCCTCTCGGCCACTCCTCGTGCCCACATCGTCTCAAATTCTTGGGGCGGAACTGCCGGAGTGACCTGGTACGATTCTATCATAACGGCTTGGCGAGCGGCGGGAATGATCCCGATTTTCTCGGTTGGAGACTCTGGGTCGACTTGTCGCACGGTGACATATCCCGGCGATAGCGAGAATGTTATCACAATTGGGGCTTCCGCCGCTACCGACGCGATTGCCGCCTTTTCATCTCGTGGTCCGACCTTGACGGGAAACGTTAAGCCAGATTTTGTCGCGCCTGGACATAGCATTATTTCGTGTGGGCCAGGGCCAAGGGACCCGAGCCGATATGTAAATAAGGAGGGAAGTACTGCTGCCGCCGCGCATTTCACGGGTGCAGTAGCTCTCTACCTTAGTCAGAATAGGGACGCGACATATGAGGAAATTTATGAAGCCTTTAAGGCTACTACCGTTAAATCACCTTTAAATAATGCGGACAGAAATTGTGGCCTACCACCTGGAGAAGTTGAAGACTATCCTAACTACGCATTTGGCTGGGGGAGGATAGATGTTGCAGCCGCCATGGGCGTTTAAGGAGCTTTGTGTCAGTTTAATTAGTAAATTGTGCGAAGAAATTAATAAACCGTCGCAAACGCGCATACGGAAGTAGCTTCAGACTACTTCACCCCAACCACTCCCATGACATCGCGAAAACACTCAATTTCACTCCATTTCACCTATAGATTAATTTTTTTAAATCTCATTTTGCCCCGACCACACCCCCTGGCGCGGAGGGGGTGTGGCACAACTCGGGATCACTTCATTTCACTCTATTTCATCCATAGATCAAATTGCACTATAAATCTCATTTTGCCCCGACCACACCCCCTGGCGCCAAGGGGGGTGGTCCGGTTGCCCACAAAAGTTGATAGGATCCTCCCCCTAGGGTCATATGTATAATGGCGAAAACCGATTTCGATTATCTCAATCCGTTCTTCCGTTATCCTGCTGACAGACGGACAGACAGACAGACAGACAGACAAAGTCTTCGCATAAAGTAGCTGAAGCTACTTAATAAATATATGGCCCGATATTTTAGAAATGTTATTGTCTATCAGGTGCGTCGTCATTGATTTCATTCTTAAATGTTAATTTGTGCGAATCATATTAATTCTGCATATGTATAAATTGTCTCTCAATCGACCAACCATCATGATCAGGTCTGATATCCTTAGGATGCGATTTGTCCCATGTTACGGAAATTCTATCACTTCTATCAATATCTTTAGAATGAACTGACCTATTAGGCGGCTTAATCCTAAATATGCATATTTTTTTTGTCGTGCCCTTTCGTTCAATACAGCTCATGATTATTATTGTTATGCACTTCATACGTACTTATGTATGTCGTACATATTGCGCCTCTTATGATTGATGCATATTTAGGTACATAAAGCAATATGATATTGTTTTATATAAAAAATAACAATAAAATAAAAACTTCAAGCAAAAAGGGTAAAGGAAATGTACACTATACGGCAATCAGTCCACATTGTTTTCAAGAATCAAACCAGTTTAGAGTGGGGTCTGCCCTTAACTTTCGTTCTGAAATGCCAATGATCTTCCCATCTGAATAACTTCCTTCCTGCATGATCACTCTCCTACCCCACTCGTGATCATAAATTCATCAGTTTCCAATCTACAATTATGTATGTACACACACACAAGCATGCGTTACTTTGAAATCAACATGCACCTGATTTTTTAAGGAAATCAATTGCATAATAAAATTTATCAACTTAAGACGCCATTCTACTGTTGCAAAAGACATTTCAATTCACAATGTCGTCCTGCTCGTAGTCTGTTGTCAAATTTCCAATTCAATTAATTTCAGTTATTTTATTTGCATTTAAACATTTTTAAGATGCAGCTAAAGTATTTTTCCATAACTCTGTTGATATTCGTGGGATCAGATTTTTCATATATTGTAAGTCTCCATGTAGCAAATTAATCTAATTATGTATAAATTAGAATGATGTAAATCATGCATAATTGTCATTGTAGCACGCCGTTAAACTTTTATCAATCTCATTCGGAAGCCCTGGAGGTGAATCTTTCCAGGTACTTATTAAAAACTGACGGAATCTTACATATTGTAAAATCTGCAGAGAAAAAAAATATTATGCAAATTATTTAACGTGTAGCACAATCCATTCCATGGAGAACATGGTCACGGGCCACCCCATCATCCTCATAATTTTGAGCAACACTTCCCCGACCACAACCACCAGCCGATTCAGCACCACGCCCACCATGACCTTACACCTCGCCGTCGTGTCGGATGGCATCGACCAGGACCGAAAGTAATCCACAGGGAACACATTCACAAGGAGCACATTCATGTGCATCACATTCACAAAGTGAGTCGACAAAATGAGACTATTTATTTCAATAATAATGTGCAAATTTATTTACATTTTCCGTATCAATTGTAGCACAACCACATTAAACACAACATCTTAAAGCATCACCATCACAAACACATCTTGAACGTTGTCCGAGTACCGGAGCAGGTTGTGCACGAGTATAACGAGGAGGTCGTCAAGATCCGCCCATCCGAACAGATTGTAGAACATGTCATTCCACACCACGTTTCGGAACAGCAAGTCTTTACTCATGACGAGCAGCTTCCGCCGAGAGTGGTTGACCATGGGTACGGTCATGCGCACCATGGACCCACTGCTTTTTCGGGGTGGGGTCGAAATATTGGAGGTGATGGGTGGGGAAGCTACTTTTAATAAGACCGTAATATTTCGGTTGTATTAAAATTCTGGAATAAGTGTTGCTTAACTTTTAAGCATGTTGTTGTTGTTGAATGACTTTGAAGAGATTGTATGCTAAGTATTATTATTGTTATTATTATTATTAAAGATTATTAACGCAAATATTTACTCGTGTAGTATTTATTTCTTCTGCATACAGAAAGAATTAATAGAATTGATTAAAATTATGTAAGTACTTATAGCATACAAAATTATGCACTCATTTAAATTCTTAATGTCTTCATAATAAAAAAATCGGCACAAAAACTAATATTATAATAAAGGTAGATATCTACCTAAACTGAATTCAAATGAGTTGTGAATGTGAAATTCACAGGACACGATAAGGTCAAAGTATTAAAACATGAAGAAGGCTGCAACTTTTCCGGTGTTCTAAATATATTTATTTTGAATTTATCTATAATGCTATTAAAGTTATAGCTACAAACTAGCTAGTATTTAAAACTAATTATTTTTTTCCAGTTTCAGTTTGGATCATGATGATCAACAAGCATGCATGAACATTAAAATGCCCTTTACAAAGTTTCGTTAATTCACAATGAATTTATTTGGTTTATCACAGTTTTTGGTTTACCAAATTTTGGTAATTTTTGTATAAATACTTACATACTTACAATCTGGTACATAAATTAAATAATTGCATATCAATATTAAATTAATACTCACACTAACTATAATACATATTCATCATGTTATTTTGATAGCACTAAACAGAGTTAAATTTATTACGACTAAATATTGCAGGCTGTATGTACTTATTCCTAAACGTTTACGCATATATTCTCTTCCATAAAAGGTTATTTAATCTGGGTATCAAATGTTTTTTCATCGCCCGCACCATTATTGCGTGCACAAAATTGATCGAATCAATCAAACCGGTCGAGCCGTGACCTCCTTTTGCAATAAGCATTTCCGCTGTGTCAATCTCATCCAACTTTTGCGCTATATCTGTCGCAGAAAAGGAAATCATGCCCATAACAATACTATTTACACCCCAATTCCTTACAAACTTAAACAACCAGAGATAATGCTTTATGGCTGGATCATTTTTCGCAAAGAACATAATATCGCTGATGAAATCTTTAAAATTTTCTGCGGATGTGCTAAACTTTGCATTAATATCGACATAATTTTCACTCGAAAGGGATGCATATTCCTCATTCTTCCGAAACAATGCTTCCAATATTCTCCTCCTGTTGGTCACATTTTCAGGCAAAATAGCTGCAAGATGAAACACGGTAAGGTTCATCTTTCCAAGATAACTTCCCTTCTGAGAACCCAAGGAAACGTTCCTCTTCAATAAAATATCTACGCACTCTGCCGACCCCGAGAGCACCGCGCACTGTAAAGGGGTCAAACCCAACGCCAAACTAGGGTATTCTGGATCCTGCACTATTTCTGGGTCCGCTTGGGTTGAACCATACCCCAAAAGAAGTTCCAATCCAACCGGATTTTGAAAAAATGCTGCTGATGAGACAGCAGTAAATCCTGCTTTTGACGCGATATGTGGATCCGCCCCATTGTCCAAGAGGTATTTGAGAACCTCGCAAAATTGGATTTTATCCCGTCGAAAAAAATGAATGTATAATGCCTCATGGAGCGGCGTGTTGCCCAATCGGTCTCGTATATTTACGTCAACTAGCTTACTCTCCACTATTAACTTTACCACCTCCAAACTATCCGGACTCATCGAGTGGGCCGAGTGATGCAATGCGGTGAAAGTGCTTGAAGTTACTAAATTCAAGCGATACTTTAATCTTTTCGAATCTCCAATATCTTCTGATCGGGAGGAGTCTGGCGTAGCTGGAAACTACTTCAAAGCCTTGACCAACTCGTGTACCAAAATCCTTACAATATCCGTGTATCCTTTTCTTACTGCAAGATCCAGAGGAGTTAGTTCTTTTTGGTTGTAAAATTCAGGCAACATCGTGGCACGTGTCATAACATCGATAAAAATTTCGTGGCTGAGCTGGCTCAAAATTTCCTTGACAAGGTGGACATGCCCAAGGCGGCAGGCCTCGTGCAGTGCAGTTCTGCCATCTTTTAGATGAACTGTGACAAAGTCTTTAATGTCGATCAATTCTTGGGACGACCTGTACGCATCGCTTTGCAAACATAAATCAACGATCTTCCACCTCTTCGCCATTGCAGCGTATTGAAGTGGAGTCGAATTAAAGAGAGTGTCCCGTCTTGTGATGGCGTCGAAATCATTATTATTATTCGCCCCCTCGAGCGCCACCTTAATTTTTTCCAAGTCCCCGTTAGCCGCCGCCAAGTGGAAAGGTGACCTCCCCCCGGAATCTAGTTGACCATGGATCTGCAGTTTACTCTAGTCCATAAAATGATCAAAAAACCGACGTAAAATTTCATTCCCTTCGGAAAATAAGTGCTCCTTCAGAAAGTTTGTAATATTTGGGACCTTCTTTTCAAAACTGTCGTGGAGATACCAAGCACAAAAGTACTCGGCAAAGGTTCTATGGACAAATTGTGGTTTCTGGTCAAGCGTCACTCTCAAAATTATTCCGACGCGCTCTCCAGTGTAGATGTTTTTAAATGTCTTTATCGCTTTCTCCAGCCCCCTTTCTCCTAACAAAGTCGCCACGTCGTGCTGGTGGAAAAAGGCGAACAATCCGGCCACTTTGTGTCGTTTGTAGAATATGTGTCGTAAGTCTTCATTGTCCTCCTCGGCAGCCAAATTTGTCACAATCTCCTTCTTTTTCTCAGTCCGATAGATTAAAAACTTCTTCTCGACAAATCGCTCATAAAGATTAACAAGTGTAAAGTTATCCTCGCTGAGTGAAATCTCGGCCTCTTCAGTGTCCAGAAATTCTTTCATATTTTGGGAAAATCCTTCCCCCAAAAGTCGTGTTTGCAATGGGATCCCAGCAAATTGTTGCTCTCCATCATTCCCGACACGTTTTTCTAACAAGTCAAGTAATTTGGAAGCATAATGTGTCATCCGATCCAGTTTTTGTATGTGTTTATTTTTGCCCTCTAATTTAAGCTCTGTCTTCCAAAATCTAACAAGAAATTCGATTTGATCCTTCTTTGAAAATGGTTCTAAACTGTATGCAAACTCATTCAAGGTATCTTCCAACTCGCTTCTGTAGCTGGGTCTAGTCGTGATCCAAATCTTGAGTACTTTTGTCTTGAGGAGACATTTTATCAAAAATATTACAATTTCTTTGTACGTTGGACAAACCTCGTCAAATCCATCGAAAAATATTGCTATACTATTCTCCGTTCGAAACCTGGATTCGAACAATTTGTTCTCAAATTCTGTGCCCAATTTAAGAATAGATTTAGAGAGAAAATCAATACAAGTTTGTATTTCCTGGTCCGTATCAGATTTGGAATTTAAAGGCTGTTCTGTAGAATACATCATGTCTTTAAACACGTGCAATTCGTCCGTGTAATTATTGAGGTCTACCAAAATAAGCCAAATGTGAGGGTGTGACTCGCTCAAGTTGTGACAGATATTTCGTACGATTGTCGTCTTTCCCATTCCTGCATTGTCGGAAATAATGACGACTTTCTTGTTCAAGTCGTTTTGCAAGCAATGCTCCAACATTTCTGACTCGGGGATTTGATCCGATTTTGGAGAAGAGGAATCTAATCTGACCACATAATCTCGTAAAGTGGAAATTTTTCCTTTCGTCTTGACCCAATGTATCGTAGGCAAACTTAGCTCATCCTCAGCGTTCAGACTGATTTGAATCCAGTGAATGTTTTTCTCCGTGTCGTCAAGCTGGGCGAATGACTCAGTTTCTTTTCCCTTTTCTAAAAATGTGATGTTTGACCAAATAACGGTGCCAGCATCACCATGATGTTCGCTCAGCAAGCATTCCAGCGTGGTTTTTGTCACACCACTTATCGCCCAGGTGATACGATTCCTTAGTTTGTACTTGAAAATGTCAAAGTGGAGTTCTATTTTCCGGTGGAAGAAGCGAGTTATGTATCTATTTGTATCAACTTGGAAGTTATGAAGCTGACCGACGCTAACTTGTCCATCAAGTAGTGAATCTCTCATCCCCTCAATTTTTAGCAGCTCGTCCCTCTCATTAAAATAACCGTTCGTGAGAGTACTAAATTCTACATCTTTCCCAAAAAAGTTTACCATCGCTAAATCGATTTCCTTCTCAATATCTAAAACTCCAAGTAAACATTGTTCCCTTAATTCGTCGATATTCCATGAATTTACCGTTCGAATGCATTCTTTTCCCGATATGCGAGCGGCTGGATTGCGAGAAGACATTTTTCTCAAGAGAGTATACGGTTTCGGATACATTTTGATAAACTGAGGAGGAAATTTACATTTTTGGAGTTTAATCTGCCTAAAAATTTCCTCCCTTTTACATCGGGAATCAATCACAAACAACAGCTCGAGCAGGATAAGAGCACTCGTGTAAATGTCTGACTTGTGTGAAATTTTACCCACTGTTGTATCCGACATTTCCGGACTTTGATACTCGTACTGACCAACCTCATTCGTGTAGGCATAGCTGGGGTCATCTGTCAGGTTTCGAGCGAGGCCAAAGTCCCCAATTTTAATCTGGATGTCTGTGTTCTCCTCGTTTACGAAGATGTTGTCGGGTTTTAGGTCTCGATGGATAATTTTCTTGGAGTGAATGTAGTCCAGTCCGGTGAGAAATTGAGTCGCAATGTTGCAGATTTTTGCAATGTCGAGGTTTCTATCGTGTTGGGTGGAACGTTGTCCGATCCATTTCCTCAAATCGCCGTGACACAGCTCCATTTTAATGCAGATGAACGTCTTCTGTTCCTCCTGTGAGATGGTCAGGGAGGATGAGTCTTCCCGGTGAGATGTTGTTGAATCAGGTGCCAAATTTGGGTTGATAAGGAAAGGTTGATAAGTGTCTTTCGAGGGGCCGGAGATCCACGATTCGTGGTAGCGGACCACGTTGGGGTGCTTGAGTACCCCCAAGACTTGTATTTCTCGAAATATTTTTTGAATTGAATTAATGTTTCTTGTAATCTTTATGAATTTCCCGATAGAAATTCGTTTCAAGGCGTAGAGGAGCCCATCGGACGTTCCCTTGGCTTCATAGACCACCCCGAATGATCCACTGCTTATCTCAGTAAGGTATTTTATGTCCTTCTCAGCCTCGGGTAGTGGTGTCATTATTTCGATGGATTGATCAACTGCGTATACAGTGCATGGAAATATTTAAGTAAAGGAAATATATTTAATAACAAAACCACCTAATAATTTGTTTACCAGGTTGAAAATGACCAGAGTGCAGAAATACTTGTGTAGGACACGGCACGTAAGATTTCAAGTGCTGTCAAATTTTGCACCGATGCAATGACTGAGCTTATAAATAAATGCATACTATATTGATGAATTTTTTGGGAAAGAACTTTAGTCTGAAAATGACAAACAATGCATAGACACAGATTCTGATATACTTATGCATGTATACTTGACAAAGATAATGTGCCTTATCTTAAGTGCATATAGTACTAAATTAGTGAGTATTTTGTAATTATATACATACTTGAAGAATGACAGATTAATTTCATAATGGAAGAAAGGTCATACATAAAATGCACCCACCCAGCGTATGTATTACATATTAAATACGTATGCATAAAAATATTTATATACAATTATTTCATGCCTAATACAACATAAAAGCAAACATAAGTACACAATAGACAAATATAATATACGAGCATGTATGTATTCATTGAACCTGGAGTACATACATACATACATTCATCGACATTCACCATTATGAGGCAAATTTTAACTTATTCATTTCATTATTTTTTTCTTTCTCTCTCATTACGTAATTCATACATTACGTATGTGTAACAATTACTACAAAATAACTCAGCTCACGTATTTTTCAAGCCAACGTGCATATTTTTACATACAATTTAAATGAAAGAATAAATAACTCAACCTTAAACTTGAGTTGAATTTTATTTTCTTACGCACACTCACGGAATAGTTTTCTGTCTACACATACACTTAATAATTAAAATTGCCGTAGCATGTGTGGACGGCGGTCGTTACGTATTATGCATGTAGAATAAAAAATTCTGAATTAAAGATGCTCACTAACCTTCATAACTTACGCAATTTAACTATGTACATACATATTGACATGAAGCGTAATTGTGTGCCATCCAACAGTGATTATGTCCAATTGGACTAAACCATGGTTATGGCTACGTATCCATCCTTATGCATTTACATATGTATGCAACAGTAGTTAGATTTGTACCTCAAGATTATACAATGCATATATACACACATGATTACCCAAGCATTGTCACGTATTGGATAAAATGTAGGAAATTCAATCCAATGTTATAAAAGACTTAATGTAAGAAAGGCCACTGAGATTACGCAACCTGTCAATGAATTTATTTGGCAATAGTCTGGGTTTGTTCTGAAAATTCCTCCAGCGTGTTGGCCTTTCTTGTATTTTGCAACTCGGCAGAAATAAAATTGTCTTTTTTACGGTACAGAACTGTCTTGAAATCAGAAATGCACATACTTACACTGCCGTGTAGTAAACTTTAGAGGGTCATTATTCCCTCAATAAATACATACAGCGACGTCATTAGGATTTTACTCTGCCAATGTGCGTTTCATTCCTCGTGGGAAATTTTGGCAATCATCTTTCGTTACATTCGTTTTTACGGGTTCACGTTATAGGTTTTGGGGTTGCTAACTCAATCCAAACTTCACTTGTATGTATATATAACTCCAATTTCAAAATGTACCCAAACCACCGCACTCCGTACCGAGAAAAAGGAGGCATTAAGTTTTTTGATCACTACAAATTTAATTGGTTATTGGACATAACAACAACATTTGCACAAATTCAATGATACAATGATTCCCCCCCCAATTTCAACATTAACCAAAAATCCTTTGCTCAAACCCATCAGACTAATTTGTGTCTGCATTTCCTTCCTTTCCGTAAATTTCAGTCCTGGGATTACCGCAACTCTTACCTCAATGCATACTTCACATTTTCTCAAATTGTCTGTGAAACTTTGGAATCTTCCATAAAAGCAGATATATATAAGCCAACGACTCGTTCCTCATGCCATTCACTAGCACAGCCACTGCTAAAAATCTACCATAATTTTTTCGGCTCCTGAATTTAATACAAGCTCTAAAGTAAATCTGCATAACTGATTTGTTACCATGTCCCCCCAAAAAGAAAGCTCCCCACTCCTCCAAGATTTCGATAAAACAGTCGAAACCCCAGATACCAAGGCTGAAGACGATATCCGCAAAGAATACTCAATCGATCCCAAATACACGGAAATTATCCTCCAACCATTCGAATACTATCAGAAACTCCCGTCAAAAAATATCCGCAGAAAAATCGCCGACATTTTCAATTATTGGTACAGATGTTCCAAAGAGGACATAGATCGTGCGAGTACCGCAATGCACGGACTTCATAACGCGAGTTTAATGTAAGTCATTAAAATTTTAGGGATTACAAATATTTTTAAAAAATCGGCAACTCATATTTTTTTTACTTCCTACCCAGAATTGACGACATTGAAGATGGCAGCGATATGCGTCGTGGTCAACCCGCCGCCCACATTCAGTTCGGCGTTCCTCTCGCTCTCAATGCAGCCAACTATGTTTACTTTGACTCTGTGAAGCGCATAATTGAAGAGAAGAATGACGAAGCGACGCCCGAAGACAGGTTGAAGGCGACCTTAGAATTCGTGAATGCCATGATGGTCATGCATGTCGCTCAAGGGATGGAGATATTCTGGCGAGATGAGAATCTCAAAGGGACGAATAGCAAGGATTCTAAAACATTCCAGCACATCCCAACGGAACAAGAGTACTTTGATATCATAGTAAAAAGTGAGGTGTTTTTAAATTTTAATTAAAAAGGGACACATTTTTTAATTGTCCACTTAAATTTTGCAACAGAGACTGCCGGACAGTTCGTTATGCTCTCGGAAAGTCTGAAGGAAAGAAGTAAAACTTTGTACAAGGATCAACCCGCACTTTCCGCACACGTGTTGGCGAGCAGTATGGGATATCACTTTCAAATCAGGGATGACCTTCTGAATCTCATCTCAAACACGGTAATTCCCAAAACGAGATAACTTAGTTAAGATCAAAATACATAGTTTAAAATAATTGTAATTCCACAGTACGAAGCTGGAAAAGGGTTTTGCGAGGATATCACAGAGGGAAAGTACAGCTTTCCCATAATTTACACGCTGAATCGGTACCACGAAAAGGACGGTATTGGGATTGACAAAGCGGCACGACTCCTTGAAATCTTGAGGATGAGGACGACTGACAGAGCCTTGAAGAAGGAGGCGTACGACATCATCGAGGAGTCGGGAGCATTCGAATATACAAAGAACGTGCTCAGAGAGTATCATGGAAAAATTGGCAGGGAAGTGTTGCGATTGGGCGGAAATCCGGTATTTGTGGAGCATATGGATATTTTCGCAGAGGTTTTCTAACTGCGAAGTCATAGTTATATAAGTATCTCGTAATTTTTTCATGTTCCTATAAAAAATAAATTGTTGTCACTCTAACCAGAGCCAGTAATAAATATTAACATACTTAAAAATACACGTTACAATGAATCTCTCTAATTTACGTAACATCATAGCTTACATATATGTACATGAAATTGTACATAAAATTGATGTATGTACATGAAATTAAATAGTACAAAAAAATCTTATTCGTCATGCTTATGTATGTACATAGGTACACATAACCAAGTAGGTGAGTACATGTTTTTTACAAATAAACTCATACACGTAAAAATACGAGAAAGTTAAATTGAGTATGAAAATTGTGCCACGGGTGATAGCAGAAAAATGAGGATGCAAAATGAGTATGTAAAATGTGTTTAAATCGGACTATGTATGTTCCTGTATCATAAATATCTTGCTTGTGGAACAATTTTATTTTGCCTTTTTCCTTAAACCTAAAGCTTCAAAGGTTCAAGTACAAATAACGCTCTCCAATTGATCCCATTCCTCTATAACCCGCTCATTAAACTTTATCGGGTGTTGATTATTTGGGAAAAAATTACGTAATCCGATAACTCCCAGATCAACGTTTCCATCATATGTCAAGAGGGAGACGCCATATGCATATCCTGTCAAATGGACACACAAACTGTGATAAAAGTTTTTAAAAAGGACACCGAGTGAAGTTAAATAAAATGTTACCCAATTTCCCCACACCTTATCGAAATTCAACATGTCAACTAATTATACGTATCATTACCTTTGGGTTTGTTAAAGGGTATATTGACGACAATTTTGACATCGGAAATCTGACTCTCCTCCCAGTACAATGCTTCTGGTGGTCCCACCCAGTTGCAAACCATGATGGGCGATGGTCTAGACCTCTTGCGACAAAACCGGACTAACGGAAGTGGCATTGAACCGATCACACGAAGTTGGAAGTGATTTGAAAGTACAATTCTTGATCGATAAAGTTTTTGCATTCTGGAAGCGATTTCCTCCAGTCGTTCTTCACTATCCGGCTCGCCAATGGGTAGCAAAATGAAGCCAACGGAACTGTCAAAGAAACGTGGCAATAAGTAACAATTTGCAGATTTTATAGACATCCAAGCTTTTGAAAAGTTACCTACTGTACAATACATATTTGTAGGTTGCCAAAATATTGCTTTGAAAAATTATTAGCGTATTCACGACACCATTTTATTTAGCATCGGAACGCATTTAGAAAATTTGCTAGGCTCAAAAAATTTGGAGATTCATAAAACAAGATTTTGCAGTTTGATTTTGCAGATTTTGCAGATTTTACAAGTCATTTTAAACTCCTTGTGAGATATGTATGTTGTATGTGCATAATTAATTATGAATATTTTACGCTTCGTACACATGATTTCTTAGCTTGTTAGGATGTCCAGGCATCGGAAGTGGGAAGACCGTGACCACATTATCCGGAATTGGTTGACACGCCCTGACATACGAATCTCTCACCCCGGCGGCTACCCCAGCCAAAAGGACGGACTGAAAATCTACCCCAAGTTTCGTCTTAAGCTGTTTCATGCCATCCAGCCTGCCAACTTTTTCCGTCGCAAAAACTAATCCTGGCTCATCCAAGCTGTCTTTGGATTCTAAAAGTGATTATATTTATGTATCTATGTACGTTGTATGCAAATTCGTGTCACAAAAGATATTATTTATACCCACCCAATGGGTAGGTTGGGACGGCTACACGATTCATGATCAGCGTGACCAGTAAATCCACCGCTTCGAACGGAAGTTTAGCCGTTGTCAAAGCCTGGGACATTCTTGTTCTCCAAGACGAACTATTTCTGACTACGGATGACTTGTTCATAGTTGGTATTTTTTCGAGTAAGCTTTCTGCTTTAAATAGTCGAGTGAACAGCTTGAATAATGCCCACCCGTCAGCCAAGGAGTGATGACAGCGCCCTATGATTAAACTTTTCGACTTGTTGCAATCTGATGTGGGGTTGACCATTATAAATTCCCAGAGTGGCCTCCCTTTCTTCCACAAGCGTTCGCGGACAAGATGCTTCCATAATTCTTGCTGTGTCGCTTCGTTTTCCAGATCTCTGAGCGACACCGGAACATCGATATCTAAAAAATAAATGTCAACCTAGTATTTCATATTTGGCAATAGTTGAGTTCAGCTGAAATAAATTAACCTGCTAGAGACATTATGTGATCCTTGATCTCAAAATCTGGGCACGGTGCCCAAAATAAGTATCCCATCCACTGCGCCAGCCCCGACGTCAGTTCCGGATATTGAAGTTCGTCTGAATTTGGAAGCTTCGCTGACAGAATAAGTTTCTCAAATTTGTCCCGCATCGTATTCACGTCTGCTAAACCATGCTCAATTTCCATGACGGTAAGGATGTTCAATGCTTTGATGTTATACACGTTGCAACTTGCTAAAGTATTAACCAAATAAAAAAATTATGCCGAATGTCATGTAATTACGTACGTAAAGTTAAAAAAATAATGCTCAACCTAGAAATGTGCCACTGGCATTTACTAGCTTTCCTAGTTTATTTTTCTTAAATAGCATTGCACAGCGTGAAATGAAACATCGCCAAAGGCACGCGACACCTAAAACTGGAATTAGAGGCAGAATAACGAAGCACAGTAGAACAAGTGTTAACAGGGTAATTAATATAGTCCGAAATAGTTGATTAATTTGCCCCATTTTTCACTAACGTTAAGTTTGATTATTAAAGTCTAGCTTTTACTATCGGATTGTGCTTCACAAACTTAACCTATTAGAATATATATTCAAATGTATAATATTATATGTATATACATGCATATAATATTTCCATGATAGTGCGTGATTAGCCTGATGCGTGGCCTCATATGTGGGGTCGGGTCGGATCTCATTAATGTGTGGTTTGAGGTACCTGTGAAGAATGTATACATTATACTTATTAGATATTTGTTTATTATTTATGCCTTACACTTCCTCATATTACTTTGTAAATGAAATGATACCAGCATGGCACAAATTTACAACTAACCCTCTTTTGATATGAATGCAAATAATAATAAATCTTCAAAAATCGTAATCATAGAAGCCATTAGAATTTAGGATCAAAGGTTAGTCGATTTTCTGTATGTAATTTTTTTTTACATTACAATGTACTTTCTAAAGCATACAACTTCTCAAATTATTTTGAAGAAACTAATTTCAGACAAGATCGGAGATTTGGATTGTGTGTGGAAAATGATAAATGAATAACATCGCATGTTGAATTTGTAAGTAAATTATAATTTCCCATAAGCGTGTATGGAACACGAATTATGTACAACTTAACCTTCATATGTGCGAACCAAATTATAGAAGTTGAAAACTATAAATCTGGTGCAAGAAATCAGTTTTCTTATGACTGAATCATCAAACTGACGTATCTTAAATTCTACGACTTCTTACGCGATTGCTAAGAAGATAATTTAAATTGAATAGAGTAAATTTAAGATATTTATTACACAATAATTTTTACATAAGCGTGTTTACTCTTTGTTCATGTGCAAAAAACTGCAAAATGAGATGAACTCGTTTTGTTCAGTACTTTATCCTTGTTTTGAGTATCCTCGTAAAGCTACAGAGTGCGAGTTGCCGCAACCAAAAACTTTTTCTACTACTCACCGTCAACCATCAACCATGGGTATGGATGTGCAACCAGAATACAGATACTCTGCATTTTGCGCTAATATTGTACAATGATATTATTGTGACTTATCCTTAGTTTTCGTTAGACTGCAACTGCATCTCCACGAGTAAAGCGAAAAAGGTTGAACTTAAAGTATGCTTATTTGGACAAGAGCTGGATATTATAGGTTATACATATGCACACATATTTATTTATATGTACGGATGTATGCATGCATGCATAGGTTTCCTGAGCTTGTGCATAAATACCCATGCAGCGAATTAATTATGTGGGTAGTTTTGATTTTTATGGTGGCATTAAATACATGGAAAATTTAAAATTAAAGCCATAAAGTACGCAATAAAAATAATTGATGGGAAATTTCTGTATAATTCAAATACGCAGTAAATGAATAATGGGAAATGGACTCTTGGCAGTTATGGTATATCACTATCAACTGCTTGATATATCAATGACGTTCAATTTTGCGAAAACCGACGATGCAATTGGTCGCAAACCTATGTAACATTGGACTAGCGGACGATTGGCGATGAGTAGCATGAATTAAACCAGAACTATGCGCGTTGCCGAGATTTGATAAATTTTCATACTGCAATATCACGTCAAAAACATGATAATAATTTTGTTCGTTCACTTCTGGGGTAAAGAAAATTATAAATCAGGCTGTATTCTTCATACAATAAAAATTACATGTAAATACAATTTTCTTAAATAATCTTTATTAGTATATCAATATTACAATAAATATTAATGACCCAATTATTCGCCGGAGTCTCTTCTTAACTATCTACATGTCTACGAAAACTTGTCACATAACTATTTTTCTTATAAAATCACTAAATCTCAAAAGTACGTTTCAGCTTGACCCTTCTAAAATTACTTAGATTAAATTAAATTTTAAAATTTGAATTTCCATGACCAAAGACATTCTTTGTGGCACGATCAACCTCCTCCGAATTTACATTGCTACTCCTCCTCCTCTTTTCCCATTCCGTTTTCCCAGATGCGAAATAAACGTAGCCGTACGCCACCGTTTTTATGAGGAGGCAGAAGAACACGAGGGACGTCAAGTTGAATAAAATCAAGCTGAAATTTATGCGACTTCCGCCACGTCGCAAACCTCGTTCAGTTGCTTCCACGGCGTGTGACAAAAATTCTTCCATTGCTTCGCCTGGAAGAATTTGAGCAAAAATTTAAAAAAAAGTAATTTAAATTTTGAACAAATTTAAATTTAGTTCAAATTATTTAAAAAATGAGAAAACTTACCGAAATATTGTGCTTATGAGACTTGGACCATACGCTGACCCCTTGTTAGCGTCCACCACACATGCAGAGGAACTAGATCTTGTCAAGAGTTTGGCTAAAATGACTTTGAAAGCGAAAGCGAATGAAACTACGACGACAGCGAAAAATAATTAGAAAAATGAATGACATTAAACAATGCGATTAGCTCAAACCGGATTTTTTTCTTTTGCTCTCTTGAATGAAGCGACTAGACGGAATTATCTTTCAGATCAAGCAATTTACTTAATATGGATGAGGTAAGGCATTGCATGCGCAAGGTTATTGTCATTGTCGTAGTAAAATAGGAAACCGGAATGTACATATGTAAGTAAATAATGGTAATCGTTATGCAGAAGCCGTAAAAATTGTCGACTTAATTTAAGAGTCGACTACATAAGTATTGAAAGTTGAATGAAATAACGATTTTCTTGTTACGGGCATATAAGATCAAACATTGATAAACTATGTAATATTCGTTTTTGTATTACACACATTTCCTGCACTGCACGTGGCGAGTTATATATTTGTGATACGATATCGACACGTCAATATCAAGATTTCTCTTTCAAAATATTGAATATGAATCAATATTTTGAATTGGTTGACTTACTAGAACAACCAGATTTGCTTAACGCGTAAATTTATTGCAAAAGCATGCTAAATATACAGGTATCATACATATTATGTATTTACATTACAAAGTAAACCAGTTTAGTGCAATGGTCGACAATTCTAAAAATATCAAAATATGAGATAAGTGATGACCAATTCGAGATACATATATCTTCATACGTAACGTAATACACTATATATTACTAATATTTCTTCTGAAGAGAGTAACGACCGAAAGACGTCAATAGGTAATCTCAGACATATCTAGGATAGGTAATTCTTGCTAATGCTACTGGAGACATAAATAAATATGCGTACCTAAGCGTCTCTTAACAATTACCACTAGCTATAACCATCATATTTATAGCTATCCAATTAAGTATGGACATATTCATATAGCATATTTATCATACAATCCATATATTGGAATGATTATTTATGTTGATACGTTTCAGCTATACACATATTGGCACTGCATGCATGAACGTTCTCTATTACATCATACCGCCGTTTGTTTTGTATTTTGTTTGTAAAAGCAATTTGCACCTTAACGATAATTATTCCGTAGCATGACTTCACTGTTAGTCATGGACCATGCGTTTTATGCTTCATTCTTCCTTCTCAGCTCTGCATTTGACTTGTGGAAAGTTTCCTATGTGTAATTTTCGACATGATTTAGTAAATATTTTTGTAATACTTATTAAGATTTTAATTGAGTTAGTGTAGCCGATCTAATGTCTGGGGACATTGAACTCGAAATTAAACCGTCCCCACTACCCTTAAAATATCCCTTGCATCTCGCTGCTCAATCTGGGCAGATTAGTGATCTCGTACAATTGCTGCCAAATATCTCACCATTCCAGCAAGACCTGAATCACCGCACGGCGTTGCATTATGCATCGAATTACGGTAGTGTAATTTTCTACACTTTTATCGCAAGTATTGACTTCAAATATTACCCGTTTCTCTTCAGGTAACAAGCACATTGGGCTCGAGATGGCCACCCTTATCCTCAATTCCCCTGCAGTTTCCACCATAGAGATGAAAACAGAGCTAATAAACGTTCAAGATGAAAATGGCGAGACATCCCTTCATCTTGCGGCAAGAATTGGGCACCGGAGAATAGTTGAGCTATTTCTTTTCGCTGGAGCGGATGTGAATATTAAGTTAGTTGTATTTTCAAATGGATTTTTTTACTACTTAACTTGTCATTTCTTAAATATCCATAATGATAATGTTGCAAGGTCAGATCAAGGTATCGAACCAATCCAACTGATTTATGAAAAGGTCCCATACGCCATGTGTGCTGTGTTCGATACAGCCATTCAATACAGGAGTGGGGACGTTGGGGATGAAAATTATGAAATCGTGATGGACTTTGGGTAAATAAAGGAAACAAAGGAGCCATCTTATTTATTTATCTCAATATTTACATATGTTTCTCCTTTGTCACAGCCCGATAGTTGGTTATCCAGCTGAAGACGAAAAAGATGAGCCCCTCCTCATCGAATCTGGAATGTTGGCTTATCCCCTAAAAAATGGGGAGCGCCAATGCAAGGAAATCCTCCTGCATCCACTCGTCCAACTATTTCTCGAGCAGAAATGGAAGAAAATTCGTCCCTTGTTCTGGACAGGGATCATCCTCCACATTCTCTGGCTTGGTGTATTTTCCGCATTTTTAAGCATACTGTACCACAAAAACTGCCCCTACGTACCAGAAGTGGCTAACCAAACTGGTACAATTTTGTACTTATCTAAATGACCTTAAACTTAAGAAATTTCCTATATATTACAGATATTATTTGTCCATGGTCGTTCTACCCGAATTCCGTCCCATGGGCGCTTGCCACCATTGTGATCTCTAGCTTAATGCTGGTCAAAGACATTTTGAGCATCATATCGCTCCCACGAGGAATTTATTTTTTCACAAAGATCGAAAACTTGGGCCATCTCGTCATCCTCGGACTCGTTATCATCACCACGTATCCGGAATGGACAGTTTCACAAGATAACCAAATTACTCTGCACGTCTGGCAATATCAAGCCGCCGCTGTGGGCGTGTTTCTGGCCTGGACTCTGATTTTAGGACAAATTGGAAAAACGCCCAGACTTGGGATTTATGTCGAAATACTGTCCCGAGTTTTGAAAAGTTTTGGACTATTTGTTCTCACTTTCATCTCAGTGTTGATAGCGTTCGCATTATCCTTCGCAATATTAATGCCGCAAGTGAGTGGACAAAAAAGTTTCAAATTTTTATCAAGTTGCATCTAAAATAATTTCCAAAAATTTGCAGCAACCAGCATTCTCCACTCTGCCGCTAGCACTGTCAAAAGTGCTCATAATGATGACGGGAGAACTCTCGCACGAAATATTTTACGAGCTTGACCCCACCAACTCGATGACTGTGGGGGTCATGGGTCACCTATTTTTCGTCATGTTTGTAATCACAGTGACCATAATCCTTTTCAACCTGCTCATCGGTTTAACTGTGAGTGATATTCAAGGACTTCGAGCTGGTGCACAAGTTTCACTTTTGTGGTGCAGATTGGAACAAATTTATTTCATGGAGTGTTTCATCTTTGGAAAATACGTGGTTCACTTGGCAAGTTTGGCGCAAATTGGGACAGATTTTTTTAAGAAATTTCAAATCGCGAAGGATTCTGGAGGAGAAATGTGAGCTAATTAATTATTATGACGTGTGTATTAATTTTATGCAATATGCATGTGTATGATACTTAATTAAGCAGTTTGATAGAATTATATGTATGATTTACATACTATTTTTGCACAGGTATGTCCATGTGTTTCAAAAGTCCAAGATACCGAAAGATTTGCAATCTCAAGTTAAAGATTTATCTACTAAAAATATGGCTGGAAAAAATAACTGAATAACTTGCAACTACCGTAAATGAAAATTCGTGGAAGGAAAGATTAAACACGGGGCCGTAATTTATGTATGCACTTCTCACAGCTATTATGTGCATATACTTCGTCTATGTCTATGTACATACGTATGCATTTTAAGTTTGCACTTAAACTTTACTGCGTCGTTTGCAAGTAATGTGAAAACGAATTTTTAATATGTCACGTTTTTATCATCCACATTTTAATTTTAGCAACAACGCCTTCTAAATAGTTTACCACACGTTTATTTGTCACGTCCTGAAGCTATATCATGAATAAAGAAATGCAAATGATTCGATGGTGATGTCAATTTTTGGGAAAGTATGACGCATTATTTTGAACCAAACTAGCCAAATTTACCTTGTAACACGGTGACAATGAATTAATTTGCACCTTCATTAGATGCTGTTTCTCTCTTCAGATAGATTTATACCCAGTTGAGCATGAGCTGTGTCTTGCACTTGTACAAGATTAGCAGCAATTGACTGGAAGAGGTGTAACATCAGATAAAGTGCATACATCAGTGAAAATAAATTATTTTCTTAAAAATAATGGGGTTCGTCAACAAGTTATCTGTTTACATCGTGCTGTTCCTAGTGTTAACTTGTGTCATGATGTCAACCGTGCAAGGCAGATCGGTTTTCCAACCAGGCAAGTATATTTTTCGGGGTAAATCCGTCACATTTTTTGTGTATGTATGAATTTTAAGACCAAAATTATTAATTGACATTCCAGGCACAACTACAAATCCCAACGCAGGAAGACAACAATCCAGTGGGACCATGCAAAACGGAATGTGCGTCTGCTCCGTAAAATGATTCGCAGCTTTTAAGAAGTAAACTGTTAGTAAACTGAGATTTATGTGTAAATGTGTTCATAGAACAATAGATGATACGGTAGAGGCGCATTTATCAGAGTAGACACTATCTATTTATTGTCTTCAAATTTTTCCATTAATCACTAACGAAAGAATAAATATGTACATACGTAAGTAAATAGAAATGCAGCGCGTGTAATTTATCACGTATTATTTCCTGTATTGATCAACAATACGTACGCCACGATTATTTATAAATAAGATTTTAAACAACAATCCGTAGTAAGTAAGTAAGTTTATAAAGTGAAAGTGAATCAGACGCGATAAGGTCCACATCACGTCATATTAAGCAATCATCTCAATAATGCTCACTGCACAGAATATTGATATTGCATACACAGTAACAATAAGTATCGATGATAGGTAAATGCGGATCACTCGTGGATTGAGATTACATAATGTGCAATCCTAATTCCACATTGTGGGTTGGCAATTTATGCATTATTATGAACGTCCTGTATGCAGTACTAATCCAATCTAAACTTGCTACACAGTTTACCTTAATTCGTCACAGCACAGGACCGGATTAGTATATAAAGACGATTTTCTGTGCCAATATTGTGATTCTTGACCGACATGAGAAACGATTTATACACATATTTAAAAACTCTCGGATATAAAATTTAATATGAAGTTTTCCTTAATTTTGGTGAGTATTAAGTAAAAAGTCATAAATTTTTGAGGAAATTATATTATTCTCTCATTTTTGATAACAGCTTGTCATGGGTATCCTACTCGTGGAAGCCATGCCACAGTACGACGACGGAGGGGATGACGGAGACGATGGGGGTCACTTCGACGCTGGAGGAGATGATGGTGGTCATGACGACGGTGACGATGGCGGCCATGACGATGGTGGAGGGGATCATGACGGTGATAGCAATCGTAATCCACACCCGCCCGGTCATCCAGGTCATCGGGGAGACGGAGGTAATATCGAAAGAATTTATGACCGGATTTTTTATTTATTTTCATGCACACATTTTGTAGGTGGAGAGGACGGACCGTCACGATCTCAAGGATACCAACGGCGACCTTTACTCTTTTAAGGAAATAATGCCATCGATGGACAGGACGCGACTTTGTCGACTTTTCACGCATAATTTGGCTGACATTGATCATAGAAAAATTCAATGGCTTTTGTGATAATTATTGTGACATTGTCTTGTTTCTTTACGCTGAGTCGGCTGTGTTCTTATTGATACCGAGACAAGTACAAAAATAATAATCCTTGTGAAAAAAGGATGTTAAATTGAATAGTATGTGTTTCCTGCCATTATGTCATAACCTTGCATATTATAACTTTACTGCATAAAGACATATGTATACATATATGCACGTAATATGTTTCCAGTTCATTTGCTAATTATGTGCGTCTTAATTCTCCATCAATAAAATCTCTCATGCTCGCTACGTTGGCGAATACCGTCGGAAACAAAAATTGACCACAAGGCTGCACTCCGAAAGACGTAATTCCTGCAATATATGGTCCATCATCTTCCTTAGTTGGCAAATCATAGCAGACCAGAGGCCCACCAGAATCACCCTAAATTATAAACATTTACATACATCAGGCACAATATATACCTTAAATTAATTCCTTTATATATGTACGCACATTACATGACCCCCTCAAAATCCCGGCACCCCCGCACAGCATATTTGACGAGACCCAACTGCGAGTAAACAGCAGATACGGGATGCGACACCAACCTCTCGATACAATCGTCATGTTAACTTTTTGCAGTTGTTTCGGGATGTAGACTGGCCGAATGCCTAAGCGATTCGCATTTCCCCAACCGGAAGTCACACACTTGCCCGTCGGTTCGTGACCCTTCGGAGGCAGACGAATTGGTTTGACTCTTTGATTAAATGTTAGATTTTGGGCCAGCGTGATTATCGCAGAGTCATAATTTATCGTCCATGAACTATATTTTGGATTTGCGACGATACGAAGTACAGGAACGTTCTGTTGGCTGTTGAGGTCGGACATATTGTGCGCCCCAGCGACGACACGCAGCTTGGAGGGATCTTGACCATCACAGCAGTGAGCAGCGCAAAGGACACGTGTCTCGTCGAGGATGCTCCCACCGCAGAAATGTCCACCATTTTTCTGGAGAGAAATTTGCCATGGAAATTCCCCATCTTGAGCGTCCTTCCCCCCGACGATGAGCGGATCGTGGACATGAAATTCCGTGCTTATCTGACTGGAAAATGCTTCCGTCAATTGTAGCGAAGTTAGTTGGCATTCGCCTAAATATAACAGAAATGATTAAATGTACAGTAAGAATTTCTGAAATTGTTGTGTACTATTGGTCAGCATATGTATTACCTTGCGAGATTAAATACAAATGAATAAGCGTAAGAATAATGAATTTGGATGACATTTTCACTCAGATATTGATTTGCACTAAATGAAGTGACATGCTCGTAAAAAATATATCCATTTGATGATATATTTATAATTGGATCATGTCAATTTCATCATTATTATAATTATGCAGTTGTAATGCATGCATTACATTTATGTCAATGCTGGTATTGCTTATTTTGACGAGGATGGTTTACTTGGGATTAATTATACTTTGATATTAATACCTTATTTTTACGCATTAATACTATATATAAAAATGTAGGTAGTCGTTCTCAAATATTTATCAATCGGTAAAATTCTATATATCTGCATAGATGGCAAATCACGATTTATGTCGCCAAAATGTACATATTTATATTGCGTGGAATAATATTGCCTACGTGCATATCAAGTAAATATGTACGTGTGTGTTCATGCAATATGGTTTATCAGCCTGATTACTAAAGTTAGCTTTATTTTGAAACAAACAAGGTTTCCTCTAAATTTTGGCATGGACTCCTTTATGGATTCGCCTATAAAATATTTAAATGTCCATGTATTAAGTACTTTAAAACCATAACAAGAAACCTATGTAGGTCTAAATTGTTCACCCAATTGACAGTTTAAACTATATCTTTGAGGCCAAGGAAGGATTTCCGAGAAAGAAAATTGCTAGTTTAATTGAAGTCTAATGATATCACTGGCCTTCATGTCAATCACGTACATAATTACTCCCCATTCTACAATCAAATGCCTATGTTCAATTCGCCATTTTCAGCAATCATAAATTATTAATGGCGACATTTTCCATTTCTATAGCGTTTTAATATGCATATATTTGTGCTGAAATATTGATTGGATCAGTCCCTGAAATTAATCCGTTAGTACATATAACAAATATTACATATTTATGCATCCCCAGTCTACATTAGACTGCTTACTAATTTTAGTACAAGAATTTTAGCACGTCGCTAAATAAATCAATAAAAATGATTTTCCTGTGCTTAAGTCTTATAAAGTGTGAAATTGAATTTATCTCGCTATTTATCTGTTGCCCAATTTATCTAAAATTTGAAAATGGGGAGCCCATTTTTAAACTGACCCAATCACCAAGAAAGTCTAACCACGTCATGATAAATACTGCAAAATTGGCATTGTTATCAATTTATGCAACGTTTCTCCTCTGCAATGCATTCTATCACGTGGCACACACCTCCGTGGGGATCGAGCCGAAGGCATCTCTCTCTTTTCTGCAACTCTCTTTTCAGTCCTTATATCCACCGGCGTCGTAATTACGGTGGGAGCTTGGACTTTGTGTCCCTGCTAAATCTGATGTTGTGCTATGATGGAAAACTTTGGAAAAGTGGTGTGCCTAAAAGTCAAGATCGGCTGTATTATGGGAACTTATTTAAGGGTGTGATGTGGATTTTAGTATATGGATTTTCAATTATAGCTCCACTGACAATAACCGTGTTGAACGTGGTGGATCCGGATAGACTGCCTTTTCTAGGATCAATCCTTCCACACTTTACAGGTTTATGCATGAAAGGATGTTTTTTATTCACTAATAACAAATTTTCATATATTTATTTAAATTTCTAGATTGTGCTAATGGAGATCGTAAACTAATTATCCTTGTATTACACATGACTTCAGTTATATTTCAAACTTATTTGTATTCCATGCTGGCATCTTCGGTTCTAATGGTTCTGGGAAACGTATTTTTCCTCTCTGTACTTAGCTTGTACAATAATCTCAACAAGATTGTAAGGTTGGTTGCCATGAATTAAGTGTACATACATACATTAAAATCATAAAATTTTTACTTTTCATATTTGGACAACACATAATGCAGATGTAATTTTCACAGGATGCACAAGGTCCTCTCACTATTGAAACTGGGCACAACTTACAAGAAAATATTGGACAGACTGACGCATCTAAAAATATTGGAGGCACAAATTAATACCTGTTTCAGAAACTTATTTCTACCCGGAATATTTTTAATTTGCACATTTGGCAATACAATCGGCGCATTTTTCTGCATAACACAGGGATCAGCCAGTTTTGGACATTTCATATTCCTCGTTCTCACCGTGGAGAGCACAGTGGTCATCTTGTTGTTTGGAACATTGTGCGGAGTGCTAAATAAGAGGTCCAAAATGCTGCTGGAAACTTTGAGCAGGTGTCACATGGATGGAAAGTTGACGACAAAACTGTTCGTGAAAATGGTGAAAGGTACACCGCCAATGAAGATCAGGTTTGGCAATTGTTTTATCGATATCTTGACCCCTTTTGTAATGGTGAGTTTTTGCATTAAGAATACGGTGAGATTATTATTGTTACAACAATAAGTGCAGGAATGTCATAATTGAAGAACTCTAATTTTTCTACGTGTTATCCTGGTTGTGCATATAACGATCTGAAAAGTTTAATTCAATTTAATGTTTCGATTTGGTCACCGAGGAGTAGAAATCAATGGGAATGTAAAACATGTACCATTTCACAATTAGATAATTGAAAAATAAAAGTTTTTAATTGTTTCAAAAATTGCATAATCAACTCATCCGTTGTAATTAATTAAAGGTCCATTTCTTCATTCAAATTTCATTTTACATATGTTCAAAAACAATTGGAAATTTTAATACTTTGTGTCTCAATACGTCGAGCAACCTTGATTTCAAACTTCCGTAGATAAGTTCAATTTAGAAATTAAAAATGTCCTTCAACACAAGCATTAAGTAACAATGAGGGCCATATAAAATAGGTGAATTTACCAGCATAAAATCACTCACAACTTGACAAAGCTTGAAGAATCAATATGGTTTCCAAAACTGTCTCGGTTTGCCTGCTTTTCGGCACCCTGCTGGGAATTTGCTTCCTGGCAATGCCCGTGTCGGCCCATCCTGAACCAATCCCATACCCGTATGGAGATGAGGGTAAGCTTACAAAACTACAGCTAATTTCTTATTACCAATCCGCGATAGTACAAAAGCACATCAAACGCATGTCACGTTCTTCCCGAACGAAAGATTTTATCTTGTCCATCAGAAAATTGAATTAAAGATTTCTTAAAAATTTCCAGAGCTCGAGCAGCCAGCCGAAAGTGCTCCAAGTCGCAACCGGAGGAAGAGGCATTATTATTACGACTACGGATTTGGTCACTGCGGTTACAGACGTTACTGTGGAATCGGCTAAACAAACATCGAGATGGACCACCCTGACGAAGAGATCGAGAGCTGACTTGTGCATGAAATGATATTATTTAGTCACAATTTCAACTTTGTCAACATTCATCCTTTGCTGACGACAAATAAATACTGGTGCAAATGTGCATACTGATGAAAATGTGTTCTGATAAATATGCATGGATGCACAGTATATAGCACCCACCATGGTTCGCTTAACAATGGAACGGTCAAAATTGTCTTCAGGTCTTATTGGTCATCATAATTTGGTTATACAAATATTTGAATACTCCTTCTTATTTTTTATAAACAACGGAGAAACAAACTAACATAATATTAAATTAACCAGCTTCCTGATGTATAAATGTACATATCTTGTCCGTAGCCAGATGAACAAAATAGTACTTTAATTTAAATCACGTAACTGTATAAATCAATTTATTAAATATTATTTTTTCCAATAAACGTTTATGTAACTAAAATAGCAATATAAAAAATATATGATTTTCTTTAGAAATCAAATACGTAAATCCCGAATAATGCCAAAAATTGTTACCCAGCCGGGAATCGAACCACGGCTCCCTTGAATTCATGTCAAGTGCTCTGACCTCTGAGCTACTAGGGCAATTAGTAACATTATAGGGACTTTTACTGATATTTGTCTGTGGCCTTTTTCTGTGAATTTCTACTTTCTTTTACGGTGGCAACGAACTGTTGCCTACCAAAGATGATTGTCTATTCAGTAGGCCACGGCTCTACGGAATCTTTTCCAAGACATTTGTTCACCGAGGCCCAGGTGACGCTAGCACCACCCCACGAGGGAGGAGGAATGTAATCTGCATAGTGAAGGAGTCCACAGAGACGACAGAAAAAGTCGGCGTGGGCTCCAGTCGATATCTCTCCGTTTTCCTTACGCCAGGCGAAATATTCTGCATACTTGTCGTCGTTCTTATCCAAGTGGAGGAGATAATCAGCGAGGTCACGAGGACTACGGTAGTTGTCCACTGCGATAAAGGAGGAAGGTGGGCCTGCCTCTGCGTAATCGCTGGGTCTCGCACCAAAGACGACTGGCACCATATCGTAACTAAATAAGAAGAATGGACAAACATTCATTTATGTAACTTATCCCCTCAATATGAAGATGTCTTACTTGAGTGCATTTTCAAAAAATTTCTCCGTGATGTAATCCTCACACTTATTATTCTCAAAGGACAAGAAGAACTTGTACTGCTGTCCGATCGCTGCGAGACATCCAGAGTAGTTGGACTTGGCGCAAGAGAAGGAGCCACACGAGCCGTACACATCGACAGGGATGAACTGCTGGAGGTATTTTATATACTTGAGACGACCTTTCGACCAGCAATTGGATATCATGGCGGCAACCAGGCGACGTTTATTTATAGGACGCTGTTCTTGTCGTGAGTCTTTTCCCGGAATCCATTGCCTGCAAGATGAATGTTCAAATTCAAACTTATTGAAATCCTGACCCCACATTAATTCATATTTCACTAACCTGTACGGAATGGGAATGTCCGAGCCCCGCCAATAGCTCGCTAATAAGGCGTCGTTATAGCCTAACGGTGCCCTCCCCGGGCCCCACTTTTGGGGCGGCTCTAAAATGTAAAACACTTGTCGCATCCCCGTCGGAACCTTGAACGTGGGGCGAAAATCTTCGTTATGAATCGTGACCACGGCATCCGCCTCCAGCCCAAAAAAGTAGCGCCAAGGTCCAAGGCCGAACCACCAGCGGGTTGAGGTCATCTCCTCCACGGAGCAGCGAGACTCGAATTTGGGAGCGTACGGACAACGAAGACCACCTCCAGTGAAATAAAAGTAGCCGGATGGCATCTCAATCACAATTTTCTTGGGCTGTATAGTAACAAAATAATGAACTTGTGAGTTTCATAATTTTGACACATGTACTTAACACATTATCAAATAACTGACCTGAATATCCGCTATCTTAGACAACCCAACCACCCAGTCTTGTTGTGCCTGAATTCTCTCCTTTACCGTGTAGTTGACCTGTCTCCAGAGATATGGCGTCTGCTCTACAAGATTCGACACCTCTTGTCTTGCTTTGCTGTTCAGATAAGCGATGGATGATGACGAGAAGGGCAACGCCATTGTCCAGGAGGCGGTGAAAGCAAGGGCGAAGATGTAAAGGAAACCATAGGTGAAAATAGTGGCGAATATGAGAATAAAAAAACATTGTTTCCAAGAACGATGAATTTTCTTGTTAATTATACAGTTAGTGGTCCGCCAACAACTTGGAGGCGAGGTAAGGGAAATGAACAAATTCCTGATGCATCCTCGAAAAAAGTGGACGAATCTCATTGTTCAGCACGAGATATGTAAAAAAAAAACTGGAAAACAAATTAGTTAAGCTTTAGTGAAGCCTATCTTTTGGTAATTGTACATAAATACATGCAGAAATTCAAATATCTGTACACACTTTGCGTTTCAAATTCACCTGGCTTTGCGGGACCGGTAAGTTTTTTCGCCTCCTTTTTTGTGAAAATAATCACAAATGTGGTTTATATTGCCCTGAGAATTTTACAAAATAAAAATATCGACAAATCAGACCATGAAGTTGCTACAGATGACCAGGAACTGGCGTTGTGGTGGTATTTTTTTAATAACCATGCTTACACGGTCGGGCACAACGACAAATTTTCCGTCATCACTCTACTTCTTCATTTCTTACGATTACCTCACTTTCCATATTTTATGAATGTATGTTATAATAAGTATGCCACAACATTAAACGGAAGAAGTTTTCCATTATGTTTGCCAATTTTCTGCAAATTTGAATGCAGTGACAACGTACAAAGTTATTTTTTACTATCTAACTGCGTATTTTGGATTTAAAATATTGGCGTTGTTCAGAATATTGGATTGGCAACGATGAGTGACGACTTGACGAGGTGTGCATGTATTTATGTGCATATTTTCTTATCTCGGTGACTGATAAAAAAGCAGATGTGGGTATCGATCGTTCAATTTGGCAAACATGGCATGCATAACCTTATTTTCACATTTGTTTATTATTTTAGACATCTCTGTGGCAGTCGGAGATAATATTTGATTTTACTGAACTGTCATCTTCATCAGGCGAATTACGTGCATTATTAGAAAGGTACACTTATACATATGCATGTATAAGTATTATGCATTATATTACCTTATACTACCTATTTAATTCGGATCCGAAGTTGCGACGGCTTCATAAACTTGCATAAGAAAATATTTGCATACATAGATATTTAGAGGTTTACAATTTATACTACTACATATTATATTATATTATACTCATAAATAATTATAATAGAACTATGATCAATACAAATTTATGAGGAAATTTAGACTTGTAGAATATGCTGATATCGAAATTAAAAATCTATCTTTTTTTCTACCAAAATCCAGCCTGATTTTATTTTTGCTGATCTCAATTTGAGACAGTGCAAGACATGGAAATTGCTCTGCCTAACGAGCTTGGAGAGTTAAAAAAAGTTTCATTGGAGGTTGATCGGTCATGGCTAACAGCCCCCGCAGTTGGATTCATGGTGATTGAGAAATTGTTATTCCTGAATATTCGTGTTTTAATCACTGTAAATTTATCAATTTGTTCAATTTTGTCTTATAAGAGCCAACAGACTATAAAATGATACTGAAGGAAATAAAATGTTCATGTCGCTTCAATTGAATAATTGTTTGGCATTAAACAACTTATTTTACAATATTTTATGTAAAGTAGATAATATTTACGTATTTAAATGCATGTACAAATCTGGTTATTTCCGCCAATACTAAATTCTAATCATATTTTTTTACATGCCCATCACTTACTGCATCCCATAAATTTTATCACAACGCATTTCCTTCCCAATATCGAGACCACAGAATTCTTCCTCTTCGCAAAGTTATACTCACATCTGCTATAAAATGTGTAATAACGCTCTACCCCAAGCACTGCAATACTGACCAGCGTGAAAGACATCCAATACAATATTGAAATACCAAAGGGAGAAAATATGCTCATCTTTTGAAAGTTGTCTCCGGTAGCAATCGTCGTGGTGGTACCGTTTCCTACGGAATTGTCTCCACAATTATTTTTATACTGCTGTTTGGCCAATCGTCTCGTCTTGTGGTGCCACATCCGGTCATTCCAATAATTATAGAGGGACGCCTCCATCTCCCACAGCTTGAATTTTCGAAATGCCTCCCCCAACAATGAGTAGGAGTAGTAATGGACGGTGAACGTGGAAAAGGGCTCCTCAATTACATAGCAGGAAACGGACTGACATTTCAACTTCAATCCAGCCATTTTAAAGTGACGCACTTCTGTCTCGTATATTCCAACGCATCCAAGTTGCCTGGATAGGATGGAGTACCAACCAGGGTTGAAAATTCCTCCTGTAAGAGGGTTGATTTCTGGAGTAACGACAACATCGTGGGGGGTAAATGGGAGGGTCATGATCCGTGTATAGCTGTCCCCTGGCGTTGCAAAGTGGGGATTATTATACATAATTTCATTGCACAATATATGAAAAAGCCTTACCAAAAATGTTCTCTATCAAAGGAAAGTAAATCATGTCTGGAATGACGAGTCGGATTCCAGCATTTCTCGCGTCTCTAACCCTCCTGTGAATGTACGGCAAAAGGGGAGCGGTAAAATCGGTCGTTACATACCCTTCATACCCGTAGCTCACAAATGATAAGATGCTTAGCGAAACGAATGCTACTTTACTCCAGGACTCGACACGGATCGGTTTGTAGACGATGAACATGAATGTTTCAAGGAAGAAGGATGCGCTTTTACCAAGAAATGCAAAAACTAAGGCTGCCAAGGAAATTGATAACCACGTCCAAATGTCCATTGGAGAAAACAGGAAGAGCCAGGAGGGTAGTTGGTATTTTGGCTGGTTGACGCAATAGACAAGAGACATTGTGGGCTGGGCCAGACCGCTGAATGCGTCGGAGGATGTGAAGTTAACATTTCTATCAAGACTTTTTTCGCAAATTAGTAGAGGAGCATGCGGTGGCGAGAGACAAGAATTTATCTCTGTTAAACAAAATTAATTACCACTTGTTTTGTCTGATAACTGCATTCTAAATAAATATACTGCATGCCGTGTTGTTCACCTGTCAAAGTAATGTTCATCCTGTCCTGAAAAATCTTTCCAAAAACCATCATCGGTCTGCACATCGGTTCAAAGTCGATAAATTTTTCGCAATTTGCAACCCTCGGATTCATCTCTACTTGTTGACGTGGCGGTATCCAGAAACCAGTGACGGAATTAAGATATCCAACATTTCCTCTGCCGTTGAGAATGTTTAGGTTGCGATGCAATCTTGTGAGATAACCGCTGTTTTTTACGGGGGGCAAAATTGGGAGAAGTCTGTCATGATAAAGGCACAAATAGCAGACAATTTGAATGGTCTCGTTGTAATAAAGGAGGAGTAATGGGGACGCATTGGCGAATAAAGTACTGGAATGTTGTCTCAGGTTTAAGACTATATTATTATACATTGCTAATTTGTGTAGTCTTATGAAAATTAAAATTATTTCTCTGCCTTTGACTGAAACGGTTAAATCCACCACATCTTTGAATTCTGATGGGATAAGAGCTATTGCAGAGTCTGAAGGATTTTGGTATTTATCTCGACAGCTTATTGTCCTTAAATTATTAAGAGGTGGATTAATTGAATGAGTTTTCCGGTGCTCGTCGGTTAAGATTCGAATTGCTGAAGTTTGATAATTCTGTGATCGATTTGCAGCCAGCAATGTTAGTTCGGTTTTTGAATACTTGTCGCTTACTATAAAATCTAAGCAGGAAAATTGTATACATAACTTTCCAAAATTCCTAATCGATGCCAAGTCTGTATTTTGAGATTCAGCTGATATGATTAATGCAATCTGAAATACAACAGATTTAGTGTACACCATGACGAAATATGAAAGTTTAACTTATTTTTATGTAAACGGTTTAGATTTTAATAAGTAGGTTTCAGTTGTTGAAGCACATTGGAATTGGATGGTACATGATTTACTTATTGTCTCATATTGCATATTGATTTTGTTGTTTTCGAACCATTGTCACGGACTCATGAAACCTTACACTTTTTATTCTTAGGTGAGGCATAGTAACCATGAACACATGAAAAAATGCATGGTTACGGCGAAGCCTAAGTATGTAAACAGACCCCCCCTCTCAAAATTCCACTCAAGATTGTGGCAAAACGGCTAATCGTATCAAAATGGTGTAAAAGGCAATCGTGCAGACCTTGCTGGGTAGATGATGCCCGTCAGGTCTAGAGACTTGACAATCTTATTTTAACCCATTTTAAATCGATTTTAAACTTTCAAACGACTGGCAAATTCACTTTTCCCATGCAAAGGTTGTGACTCGTCTATGTTTTAATGTGCGGAAATCTATAACGCGTCATTTAAGACAAACCTGAGCGAAATCGGATAAGAAATGAAAAAGTTTTCTTGGTAGCATCTGCAGCCAGTTACGTTACTTGTAAAGTTTCTTCATTACTTATAACAAATACTCGTTTCTATTAGCAACCAGCACAATAGAAACATGTAAGCTCTGCACTTACATATGCAAATATCTAAACATATAAATATGTATGTACATATATGCACTTTTAGAAATCCAGTATTAAAAGCGGTATTCAGAAATGACTACAAAAATGGTATTCATAACTAATGCTCTGACGTAATCATGTTTCGTTTTCTCCCATGTGAGAAAAATTTCACTATGAAAATGCAAATTTTATTTCACGTTTTCCATCATAACTTTGTTTAAACTGAGCATTACGAAAAATCCTGAAACACGTGTTTAATCATTTATCTAAGGATACATAATTATCGTGTTTTCGTCAAAATCGGAGCTAGACCGCTGGAGTCATCGTATTGCAAGCAATAGGTACCACTTAGAATTCAATTATACCAGATTTCTAAGTGTGTGCATACACAAAATTCATATATTCATATATGTATGATGTTGATGCATTTCTTGGCTATTAGTCCACGGGTGACAGGGGAATTTAATTTGGTGTTCCACGCATCCACACCCACTGGAGAATTAATTGCATATGCAACGAACTAATGAAGATTTAAGTTGGCATCTATTCTTAAAGAGACTTAAAAACAAAAAAATAAACTAATTCTTTAAAAAAAACTTAGGTGAGGCTTGCTTAAAAGGAGGAAACAAGAGGTTATCATCGTGTAGTAAAATAATATGCTACATCAATGTTCATCTCATGATTTATAATTTTAGGTGAATACAACAACAAATTATATGCGTTTCGGACCATTTGCCTCGCCGTGGGATATTTTATGATTCAAATAATTAAAATAACTTGAAAATTTATTAACGCTCAGTGCATTTGATACACATATACAGTAATAATTCATATGAAACGATACAGAATTTAGTTAGATAATTTCGTTATCCATAATCTATTGGTGATGCAATGCACGAAGCTTGAGTTAGTTTATAATATGAAATATTATATTTCAGAACACTAAATTTTAAAAACTTCGACCTATCTTTGAAATATATTCATGTAGGCCATCAGTATAAGCAGAATCGAATAGTAACGAAGATTGCAACTTATGTATATTTAGGTACAACCATCAATATGGCGCACATACTATATATATACATATATGTATTTGTATGGAACAATTAATCAGGCCCACGGCGAGGCAAATGGTCCGAAACGCATATAATTTGTTGTTGTATTCACCTAAAATTATAAATCATGAGATGAACATTGATGTAGCATATTATTTTACTACACGATGAGAACCTCTTGTTTCCTCCTTTTAAGCAAGCCTCACCTAAGTTTTTTTTAAAGAATTAGTTTATTAGAATTGCGTGACAGTCCGATATAAGTAATTTTCAGTTTCATTGTGGTACCTAGGGTTCCTAACACGTTATGCTTGTAAATGTATTTCAAACACCGTGTTTTTCGGGTGTTAATGTGAAACTTTATATATTAATGGATGATGCATATTTCTTAATCTACAAGGAATAAGTATTCATTGTGAAATAAATATGTAATGACCAAAGATTTGCTGTCAGAATATTTAGTTCGACAATTCTGTCATCAATACGTTTTCGAGCAGTGCATGAAGAACTATTTTTCATGCTTTTAATAAATGACAATGATTTCGATTTGTGTTATCGAAAACTTTTTCTATGTCGTGGGTTGCGTATTTTTTCCAATATGTATTTGAATTGTGACTTGATTTCAAATTAATTCGAAAGAAGTAATCTCATAATTTTGTAGTAAAAGCATTTCTTGTATTGCTCCTTATTTTTTGAGCGAGAAAAGTACCGAATCGTCGTGCTCGTGGTGAGCTGACTGAGCTTTGACAGATCACAGATACATTTGGTTTTTTTGCAATTTAAATATAAGTTATTCTCATCCATAAAGTTATTTGTTGCAATTACGAATTTATTAAATAGATTCTATTTACCTGTTTAGTCTGTATCTAATAGAGGGTTTTGAGAGTTTTGATGGATCCAGCATGGTCATCAGCGTCGACAAAAACGCTACTTCGTTACGTTTGTTTCTTCTGCGACAAAGAGTATCACACCCTTCGCCATAACATTGAACGACACTTGTGCAAACATCTAAAGGAGCGGTGGCACCAGTGTTACGTTTGCAAGAAGAGATTTTTAGGGTGAGTAATTTGGAATTTTAGCAATATTTTAAATGCATTTTTAGCAGTAGAACTAACAATGACGAATGAAATGATACAACCAAAACTTAATATTGTCATCCTTTATACCACCAGCCAAGAAGAATTAAACACTCATAAGAATCAATTTGGACATAAACTTCAGGACAAAAATTACGTCTGCGGTGAACCCTATTGCGACGCCGCCTTCGACTACTTGGCGGCAGTCTACGCCCACAAAGAGAAAAAGCATTGGCATGCCACCCAAGATTTTTACAACTGTCCCATACCCGGTTGCCACAAGTCGTTCGAAAAACTGGTCAATTTGCGAAGCCATGAACAGACCCACGTCAAACGCCACTGCTGCACTTGGCCAGGTTGCGACAAGAAATTCGTGACACCGTCCCAACTACGGAAGCATGCTGGCAGTCACGAATAAGAAAAAAAATTGATTAAACATCGCGTTAACATGACCCTATGCACTATGTTATTTTTTTAATTTTAAATACAACATGTGTCCGGATTTTGATCCTTGCAGTGAAATCCAATATGTATGCATGTCTTTCACTACTTACTTATCTTCCTACAAAATTTCATGAATCCTTGAAACAACTTGACAAAACAATTTGAAATTCTTACATGTAATATGATTAACAAGGCCTTGATCTGTACAGAAAAAAAGTTTGATGAACATTGAAATTAAATATTTAAGTATTTATTTACTCTGAAGTCATAATTCTTTTAAGCATACATTAATGCATTCATTTTTGGGAATGAATTAATCAACATGCATATAAGAGTTTCTTATCCATAGTGATAGAGATACATACATATCCTCAAAAGTTGGATATGCCAAGTTAGCTTTAATTATGCAATACTCAATACTAATGAAATGTATACCTTATTTTAAAGTATTCTGGCTAATAAGGTACAAAAAATTCAAATGTTCTAAACAAGCGATCACTTTCCATCAATCAATGTGGAATAGTTCTCGCAATATGTTGGTTGTTATTGGAGCAGTTGTTGTCCATCGGGCCCAACGTCGCGCATTACTTTTTCGGAATTGTTGCATTTCTTGTTTCACCTGTAAAAACTATAGTGCAAAAAATTATCACAATCGTACTGTACATAGTTTAAACGTCGTGGACTAATTAGCTAACCTGGATATTAGAAAAATTCTTATACGCCTTTCTGCAAACGATCGACTTGAGATCTTCGTACGGAATCCCGAGTTCTAGTAAGTCTTCCATCTGTGAGTCCTGACTGGCGCGCGTGATATCGCTTCGGGCGTCACCATCATCGTCATCGTGAGAGTTTTGTTGACACTAGTATTTAAATAACAATAAATAAACCACCCACTTCCAATTACGGACAGCATACATTTGTATTTAACCAAGATTTACGAACTTACACTAATTGCTGATGTGGCCTTAGTTTTTGAAGTCTTTGACATCGCTTTGGACCTTGAGACTTGACGATATACCTCATTCACTGGCGGTCGGCGAATCTTTATTATTGTCGGTGGCACCCGAAGTGGTGGGTTGCCCACGTGGCTCATGGATGAAGGCGAAGGTTGTTCCACGGACAAATTGTGCTGGACCAGGGTCGAGATGCGATGATCATTGTACGTGGATACCTCTGTCCCATGTATGTTGGCGATTTCGGAACTGTAAAACTGGTTCTAGAAATGAATTTGTGAGGAACAATGTTAATGCAGAAAAATGTCACAATATTAACTGTGTAAGCAATTACGCGCATCTCAACCTCCGCTGTGAATGGGTTTGGTGTCATCGTCGATCCGTTTGGAGTGGCCGTTTTCTGTGAATATTTTGAACAATCCTTGATTCTGTTGGCTTGCAAGGTCTTATTATTCTCGACGATGTTAATCACAAAGGAGGATTGAACTTTGACAAAATCTTTCATCATAACTTTTATCTGCAAATATTTGAAATAACGAAGGGTTGAGCATAGAAATCATTCTAAAATTATAATAAAGTTGCAATTATTTGCCCAACCAGTTCCCGCGGGTCATGTTTCAGCCGACCGCTGTCCCTCCAAAGTCGCATCACCGAGTACTTTATCGGATCAAGTGATACGCCAAAATGCGACTTGAAAGCTTCTTGCCAAGTCTTGTTCACGTCAAAAATTGCCGTCTGACCCAATAAGCCTTCCAGACCGTGGAACCTGGCATTACCATGCCACCCAAGTCTAATACCAAAAGCGACCTTTGTTCCAGAGGCGGGGTTGTACATGGTCTTTAGCTAAGACATATATTAATAGTTTAATTATGTAGTTTGAGTTAAAATTTAGATGGAACTAGAGTTACTTACCACTTTCATGATCAACAATTACCAAGTGAGACTTGCTGGTGGTCAATTGCAACTGCGAAAACCGATCCTTCTCTCTGTTGACGATTGTCAAAAAAGTTTTATATTCGGTTTTTCTATTTTTAAACAATTACAATAGGACAGATATTTTACTTTCAATTCCCAAAGCCTAGCTTTTCACTGATGGACGTTACCAAATAGACGGTTGAATTTGTACTGTGTGTTTGAAATTTATCTTTAGGTTGATTTACATATCTTGGCATTATTATATAATTAACCTCAAGTTCACTGACTGAGATAGAATGTACAGGGCATGAAAATGATTGAAGAAAACGAATTTTCTGCTTTCTCTGCATCATTCTACATACCGAACGCGGATGTCAATTGTTCTAATTTGCATAGGTATTTAGTTGTCCTTCAATGTAACGTGAGCTCAATTTACGATGTGTCGGGGGTATTACATAAGCAAGCAGAATTCCAAATTCCTGCATAAATATATATCACCAGCCTCATACGTATTATACAGATATATGTTGAGAGATCTTCTCTTCAAATAAGTATAAAGCAAAATTACTGCATATAACATGTACGCTGTTGTGAAAATTCGTGAGATGAATGTATTTTTATAATTTTTGATTTACAATGGCCAAGATTCATACGAGAACATGAAAATTTACGTTGAGGTAGAAGTACAAACAAATTTTCCTACAAATAAATAAATTTATACAAATTGACCAACTAAAAATATCATAAATTTACGTCAGTTTTTAGACAAAATGCTTTGTAATTCGTGGTAAAATTCACTTGATAAAATTAACTCAAACACAGACTGTTTTTGAGCTGAGTTTTAACTGTGTTACACAGCTAAAAGACATAACGCTATACACATCCATCCTAAATAAATACACATAAATACACATTACACACACCCTTTCAGTCAATACTAAAAAGTTCTCGGAAAATGTGCGTTGTTATCGGAGCGGTCATCGTCCATCTCACCCAACGCCGACTATTCTTCTTTTTGAACTGTTCCATTTCATGCTTCAACTTTAATAACTAAATTTATCATAAATAATCATCATTAGAAGTTACACATCTCATCATTTATACATTTGAATTATATCGCATAATAACAAACCTGGACATTTGAATAGTTGTTGCGTGCCTTTCTGCAAATAGTCGATTTGATATCCTCGTCTATAATTCCCATTTCTCTCAAATCCTCGACTTGTGAGTCTTGGCTGGCATTGGAATGATTACTCTGAGCATCATCGTCGACCCTGTTGATGTTATACTGATCCTGTAAGCATACATGTACCAGATCATCAAGTATTGCTTATGAATTGAGTAACATGTTTTGGAATCGACACGCTTTAATCACCTCCCGATTTAATCCCGGAGGACCATTTATTGGCACGCTTCTAGGCTGCTGTCGTGGTGGCTGTGGAGCCAGTGGAGCTAGACTTCGTACCGAGTTAATAACCGGAAGTGGATACGTGTCTCGAATAAATGTATGTCTCTCTTCAATCTGGACTGACCCTCGATTTGGGGATCTTTGTTGCGAATACCGATTTAATGGGATGAGACTATCGACTCTCTTTTCGGGAAAGCTATGGGAAAATCCGGTCGCTGTAGAACTATTTCTTGAGGTCGCATTTTGTGGTGTAAGTTTATTCCCGGTATCTTTGACTTTCGGTACAACCCTTTTATGTATCTTGTTCTAGAACAAAATTAAATGTAAGAACAATTGCAGAAATTAAGAAATATGTAAATACATAGGTCAACAACGCAGTGCGTTGAACGCACCGGTATTATAGGATTAGTAGAATTCGTCGTCGTCCAAGTCTGTGGTGGCACTGGTGGAGTTCTGACCACTTCGCCCTCCTCGTCGTTGCGAAGTCGCTTATTCTGGATGACAAAGACGTTGAAATGGGTTCGATTCTGTTTAAACTCCTTCAGCAGGACTTTTATCTATAGAGCAAAATACAAATTAATTAACTACAACGAACAACATCTCACAGACTTTGTATAATATGTAACGACCTGCTCCCTTGGGTCGTGTTTGACAATAGTAGTTCTCGCCTCCCTCTGCACCGAGTACCGCGCCGAGTCGATTGTCACGCCAAAGTGGGTTTGAAATATATCCGCCCACGTGGAGTTCACATTGAAGGTTCCACTCGCTCCCGACAAGGCCTCCAGACCAGGAAACTTGCTCTTCCCCCCAAATCCCGTCTTTATGTGGATTGGCACCAGCGTCGCCGTCGCCGCATTTACGGCAGCATGCTTTCCCCCAGCTGCCTATGAAATTGTATATAAGATAAAAATACACTTTAATACTTAAATATGTCCATTATTTTTAAAGGAACTTATTAAAGTGCTTACCATATTGTTAGTACTTTAAATTCTGAATACAACAAACCCTCTGGTCCAACTTTTCAGAGATAATGAATAATTAAACGATAAAATTGAAATTGTGAACGATTTAATTAAATATTTACTTTGGGATAGATAAACAGGAATGGATAAAAATGTGATTTTCAGACAGATAATAATTTATGTTTCGCAATTTTCAGTTCAGTGTTTTTAAAATTTTAAATGGAATTGTGAATTAAAATTAGACACTGCACAGATGATATATGTACATTTTGATCACAACACTTCCCATATGGTGACAACCAACAAGTACATACATAATTAACATAAACTATTTATTCCACTCGACTGCATCACTCATGCACTCCATGATTTTCATACACGATTTGTAAGTATTCAGATGACCTATGTTATTCACGAAATTGTTAATTCAGATAGTTTTAGTTATAGTATTCGGAGTCCAGAGAAGCAATATGAGCAGCACTGGACCCTGAAACTGACGGAATTCACCTCACGTGCTAAGGTTCAAATAAGGCTGCTTTGCATGCTATGCATTTTCCTCTGTGATTGGCTTGGAATGGAAAACCTGTCACTTTTGGTGCCACCGCACTGTGAATTCCCTGAATTTCAGTCCCTGAAATAATTTTCATGTGCAGCATATATGCTTTGAGTAGAATATATGAATGTACTTGTAGTAAGTAAGTATGTCTATATGTCATCTACTAAAAGTATAGGAAAACTTGAGAACCGAAAAAATGAAAAATTATGTTGGTATTTAAATATACACCGACATAGATTTTTATGTGTGGCTGGGTAAATATGTCGGTGATCTTTCGAATTCGTATTCTATAGTTTAGATAAGATGCATATCGTTTATATACCATACTTTATTATGGCACTGCTTTACAACAACTCGGTCAACTTGTCAACCAATTTGAGCAAATTGGGAAGCAAAATATGTGTAACTTCTTAAGGAATTTACGATATAAATTGTTCATGTACATTTATTTTATCCTTTGTATGCCCATTCATTTGCACACAAATAAAAATATTAAGATAATTTTTTAAATTAGTATAAAATGTATAAATAAAATCTAAATGTCAAGCAATTCTCGGATAATGTTCGCTGTGATGGGAGCCGAAAGAATCCATTTGTTCCATTTACGGCTATTCTCTTTAAGTGTCCTCATCTCGTGTCTCAATCTCAGCAACTGCGTACAATTTGTCAAAACAAGTAATTAATAATCTTAATAAAGTCTCAGGCGTCATAAATAAATCAAAAGCCATGTATGTACATACTTGAGTATTTGAATAGTGTTTGTTCGCCTTGTTGTAGAACGTCGTTTTGACATCGTCGTGCTGGACGTTCTGTTTGAATAACTCATCCAATTGGGAGTCCTGGCTACCAGTGGAGGAATTACTCCCCGCGTCGTCGTCATTGAAGTCATAATCCTGTTAAATGGAGTAAATCGTAATTAGTTTGCACATCACAAATCATGTAAGAACAAAGATAAATTATCACTATAAATTACTTTCAAGCGTGGACCTCGTGATCCACTAGCTTCACGAAACTCTGGAAGTTTATTGTCAGTACGACCACGGTACAGATTTCGATTACTGATATTACCAGATGACCCTGGCTGCGTTTGAACTGTTTCATTATTGCTCTTTCCTTGAGACCTCTTCCAGTTCTGCACACTTTTCGAACTGGTGGTGTCCAATATCTTTTGTACATAATTTGAACTAGTTCTCTCCAGTTGGTTGGAAGATTCCTTGTCCTGAACTTGATCCAGTTGTGACCTCTCTCCCGAAATCGGTGGAACAAATGAAGATGATGAATTATTCCTCTTCTTCTTATTTTTAATGGTCTTGCGCTTAAAGTATTATTTTTTTAAGTTAACGCCACATTTTGTCGTTCCGTTGCATAAATTTAAAATTACTCACTTTCTTCACCCCGACTCTTTTCCCTTGCACCTGGACCTCTGGGGAAAGTTTAGGCATTAATGAACTGATTGAAACCCCAGGCCTTATCCATTTAATCAAATAGATGGAAAACACACTCTTTGGATGTGCATATTCCTGCATCAACAGTTTTACCTGGGAGGAGACGAAAGATGACACAAAACTAAGTACATACTCTGCATGATATCCTTCTCTACACGTGTACCTTCTCCTTCAGATTATGTTTTGTTGCTTTGTATCCGTCCGGATATTTGTTGGGTTGTCGCTGTACGCGGTACTCGTTCGCGTCAACATGTACGCCAAACTTGGTGCGAAAAACTTCATCCCAAGTCATAAAAGCATCCACCACTGCTCTTTGTCCTGTAAGACATTCCAACCCTTTGAAGAGGACTTTTCCCGTAGTCCCTGTTCGTATTATGATGGGGAATACTGGCGACGTTGCAGGATGGATGGTACGGAGCTACATATTATAAATTTATGGAGAAAATTGAGTATTATTGTTTAAATGACAACAATTTAACTAACTTACTATTCTATCTTATTGATGAGTTCTGCGCGGTAAAAAACTTAGATTTCACTAATACGATTAGAAAATATATGTTTAACAGAGTAAAGCTGGCCAATAATTGGAGCGTTTTATGCAGATGACAAGGGCATGACTTGAGGACTTTCTTGCGCTACAGATGTCATACACACGTATGTATGCAAAACATAAGGACTCGACTGGCTATGGGCTTTTTCTTAGAAAATTTGATCATGTACTGCTTATGCATCTATATGTACATATATACACTTACATATTTACGAAATCAGAGTTAATGAAAATGTACCCTCGCCGTATTTTCAGCCTCTCTCTCTCTCTTTCTCCACTAGTTTTATTACATACATCTGTATGTACTTCATAGTAAGTACTTGGGTAACTTGGGTTCGGCTTTATTTTAACCAATATAAAAGAAAACCTAATCGAATACTATTAGAACTAATATAACCACCGTTACTATTCTGATAATTGGACTATATATGTTAGGAGTTTGAATTTTGTATAAATACATATTAAATATGGATGGATAATTTAGATTTATTTTAAACAGTCCTTTATTTTTATTAGATTATTTCGGTATAAAAACGTATATTATAATAACGGAACAAGGTTTATGTAGTCATGTAGAATTTGTACACTTTTGATCGGAAGGAAAGTAATCGCCAAAAAATAATAATACTCTATGAAAATTGTGGCGTTACATAAGGAATACAGCCAGTTACGGGTATATAATTAATTCATTGTTAAATTAGTAGTCTCTTCTACATAGCACAAATAAGAGCAGTCATTTTCTTCTTTCTGAGATTAGACATCTAGTAGCTCGCGAAAGATGGTTGATGTAATGGGAGCCCTGGTCAACCATTTGGTCCATCGGGCTGTATTCTTCTTAAATTGTTGCAACTCATTTCTCATTTTCAAAAACTAGCCCAATCAGCAACATAGTTTATTGATTAAAATTGTTTCCAATGCATAAAGTATAGGAAATTAGTACCTGAATATTTGTATAGTTTGACATCGCCCTATTACAAACCTCCGACTTGATGTATTCCTGACCAATCCCTAGTGTGTACAGATCTGCAATTTGCGAGTCTTGACTGGCACTAGTGATATCGCTGCCAGCGTCGTCATCGCTTTCTTCGTCACGCTGTAATCACCACAATTTAGTCAACTAATTATAATAAATAAATGTCACTTTCAGTAAGCTAATCTTGAATTTTAATTGATACCTCATTATGATAATGAAAATTCGTCATCATCTGTGGTCGGCTATGACCTTCGTTGGTCTGAGAAAAGATTTGATTAGTAGCTGGTCCATGCTTCCGCCCTGATTTGACAAATCGAACATTCTTCTCGAATTGTGACATCGGCCGAGTAGCTGCAAACGACCTTCCCGAATTGCCAGCAGCAGTTCTCTATAAGAATTAAAATAATACAAGTCAAATTAACTAAACCAAATTTCAATTTCATAATTAAAAATTTCCCCACCAGAAAGGATGGGTTAAAAATTCTGGGTATATTTTTTGGGAATACAAGCTTCATGGAACAAAATTTTACCTTATTGTTTGAAAAATTTTGTAGGAAGTTATCTTTTTATAACAGTAAAACTTGCGCAGTTAGTTTTTTTTCAAGGGCTAAAATTTTGAATACGTACCTTCTCCCAATACTGTGGTATGTACTCAAGGTTCTTGACCCCCCGGAAACTTTTATAACAGAAATTACTATCTTAATTGAAAACTTTCTCTGGAGAGGATCAAAACGTTGGCTGGGACGCCATCTACTCTATTTGCCTCTGGCAAATGGGGGGATTGGTGTGCGTCATCCGTTTATCCAGATGACAACTTTTCGTGTAGTATTTGCATGCAAAGTCCTAAATTCGAGCGACTCGTATTTTTGTAACTTTGCACGTAAAAATGTTTTCAACATTCTCCTAAAGAATGAACCAGATTATTGTACTTCTTTTTATGACAATTTTTGCAAATATGTACAAATACTTGGTCTCAGTTTTGAACTAATCCCTCACAATATTTTTCACCTTATCCCGCTTAGTAATTCAATTTTTTTGAAAAATAATAGTTTTCCATGTTTAATTCAATTGGGGTGTGAAACCATTGGGGATTTTATTAGATTCGATTTTTCCCAAAACATGCCTCGCTTTCCATCTCAAAGGTTAATTTCTTGTGAGAGTAGTATTTTGCGTAATATTATTGACACTTATGTACTATCTCAAGAGTGTATCACATTTCGATGCCTAAAATACGGCAACGGGGGTGAGTTTGAATCTTTTGTGAAAACCAAGCAGTATTTACTATGTACTCGTATTGTGCGAAAAATAAAATGGTCTGAGGTATCACTCGACACCTTAAATAATTCCGCCTGGCTTACCCTTCAAAAAAGCGAGGTGAGTAATCCAGAGAAAGACGTAATTTATAAACTTTTGCACAATACTGGTCTAACGCCAAAAATGGCTGAGTCAATGGGCATACATGAGGGTAGGGATTGCCCCTTTTGTCCATTTAAAGATATAAAATCTAGTCATTATTTTAAATGTATCCATTTTCAGCCCCTCTGGCTTTTTATTTCAAAAATTCTCAGCAGAGACCTGACTAATGTCTCTCGATCAGGGATTAATGGGTCTCGAAATATGAAGTACGATAATATATTTATTTATTATGGTCTTTGCACGATATATAAGTCCTATGTTCACTTTCTAAATCACTTTGGGGACAATTTTGATTATTTGTCCCACTTTAGGCACATGGTTTTCGGACGAATATTGTCTGAATTCCATGTTTGCATGCGAGGTGGGAAAGTTTTGATGGACAATTTCCATCGAAAATGGAAAAAATATAAACTATACACTATGATCAACAATAGAATAAACATTAATCTCAATTTAAAATAATATTTTGATAAAATTTCCCACCTTCAGGTAGTTAAAATATTCTTACATAAGCATGTATTATTCTACAAATCTCTTCCTAAGAATTATTTATTGACTTGTCATTGTACTAAATAACGTGGTCATGAAGCAGAGTGAGTCAGAGGCAGTGTTTAATTCCTACCCCTGATGACACAAGTAAAGTCCTCCTCCCAAGAAGATCCACCGCCGTGGGAGACTAAACTGTAATTAGCATGTAATTTTACTTCTTGTATTAAGTTGCATTTGGCACATCTTTCCTAAATTCTTTTAAAGAACCTATAGAAATTTCAAAAAATGCGAGCGTACCCGGGTTGGGAAGGTTCTTTATTTTCAGTCATTTCCTAGCACTTGGCATCGGTAAGGTTAGGGACGCGTTGACATACCCACAGCCCCAGGGAGGATCCCAACCCATTACCTGGCGTCGTGGGTATGTCAACAACTTAGGTGTCAGGTTAGGCTGAATCTTCTTATTTCCTTATCATATAAAGCCATTTCTTTCAGTTTTTCGTGAATGAATGAAATACGAAATTATATCTCTAAGTTTTCGGCATATTTTAAATCATGGCCTAATTATAGCTGCATTTGTATGATGATTATTCCGTTTTTTTTTAGAATAGTTGTGTTTGGAATTCTCATTGTACGAACTAATCTTAAATATATGTAATAAAGGGTTGAAATTCCCTAAATTTATTTGAGTCGAAAAAAAAAATCATAATTAAAAACTACCTTCCGGTTCGAATCAGTCTTTTTCTTTTCAATTTCTTCTCTGTAAACAGTCGTTGCGGGGGATAGTTGTGGCGCCTCAATATAAGGCGACGCCGGTCTACTCATATCATCCTGGCGAGGACGCGGAGGCTTTCTGCTTCGGACGAGATAGATGATAAAAAATGGCTTTGGCACTTGAAACTCTGTAATAAGCTGCTTGACCTGCAATTAATAAATCATGATTATTAATAATGATTCATTTCGACATGATCAATATTCCACTACGTACCTGCTCCCTGAGATCGTGTTTTACGGTTGCAAACCCTGGCTTTGCCTGCCTCTGAACTGTATAAATGTCTGGGTTCACCCGCACCCCAAAATGAATCTCGAACGCGTCCCACCACGTAACACCGACGTTGACCATCACCTTCTGGCCTGAGAGGCAGGTCAACCCTTGAAACTGACAATTTCCCTTCAATCCCGTCTTGATTAAAATCGGCACCTCGGAGGAAGTCCTCGGGTTTATATTCCTCGTAAAAGGCACAGATGACTGAAAACGAGGAAACAATAAACAAACCTGTATATAAATTTGAGCTAGTAAATTAGTAATAACAATACTACTAATGGTTCGTTCGAAATTAATACGAGCCGTGTCTCCCTAACTTTTGGAAAAGGTTAAAAAGCGTATTATTTCAGTGGGGGTGGTTGTTGTGGCGATGCCAGATAATCTCTGAGTTTATTATGCGTATGTTCTTGAACGAATAGTAGTGATTGAATTCAACTAATTTTCTTACCATTTTGTCACTTTTCGTCTGTCACTTCTGTATATTTAATACCAAACACTTGTGTATGTAGAAAGTACAAACTGATGGGGAAGAACATAAGATGTATACACACCTACATACTAATTAAATAAGTAAAATAAAGTATGAAAATATGTACATAAGCAGGGAGGATTATTCCCGAGTTCGGGAATCCCGACTTATGTATGTACTTAATACTTAATTAATTTGGTAATTAAATTTTAAATGACGAATCCGTGTTTACCACATGTTCGCTCATACGTTTTGTTTATTTGCATAGCCATTGACTGAAGTCTGGCAAGATACGAGTGTAAGATGAGACAAACCCTATAAGTCTCATTTCGATCCTTTATCCAATCCAATGTGAGATGTGTTCTTTCTTGATCCTAGCATAAATATATTAGCTTCGTCTATCTGCTTTTCCACACTTTGCGTATGCGTATATTCATTTTCCATATCTTCTCATACTTTTCATATCATTTTTCATAGAAAAACAGAGCTGTCCCACAAAATATTGGTTACGACATGCTTCTTTAATTGTACAGAACGGCAATTATTTTTCTAATTCCCGTTGAATATCCTAACGCAACCCTATAAATATCAGCTATAGACATATGTACATACTCCTAAGTCCTACCTATTTACGGCAGAACAATCGCTTTATGAAATGGAAGGATCAAATGAATGCATATTTAAACTACTTTTCTTGACATATTTCTAGTTCCTATTGATATCACACTAGAAAAAATATATGGACGAAGAAGTCAATATTGTATGAATATATGTATATGTATATGTATGATATAGATAGATACATAAGCATATTTTAAGGTGTACATAAGTCTAATTTCTATAATGTACTTGCGCAATATTTTTGGAACAAACAAACAGTTTATCAATTTTCTTCAAGACAGGTTGCCTTCCGGGTGAGAATAAGAATACTTTTCTAACATATTTCATTCTATGCAACCATCTGCATAATCACTTTCCAATTGGCAAAACAAATCCATGTTGCACGCAACTGTCAATTCGTCCATTCTTGAACTTGACATATAATTTGAAGGGGCAGGCCAATCAGACCTATGCACATACATATGTAATTGTCCTCACTAATCCGGAAGCAGGATTGTCGATGAAGTCTAAAATTAAACTTATTGATACATCTCTAGTATTACTTTACATGAGTTTTAGTAAATACACATATTCCGACAAGAAGTATAAATACTGAAGGTAAATGTAGAAACTGGGTCATAAATTCATTTGGACCTGCTTTCGAGAACATCTCACTCTAACAATTTTTCCTGGACTTGATTTTCTCCTGGCATCATGGGTATCAAACTCGCAATCAACGTTCTCCTTCTTGTTGCAGTTTTTCAGGTGAGAGATCGTCATGATTCGTTTACAAAGTATTATGCACATATAAAACAACTTTTATACGTAATACCTTGTCGACAGATGACCTGCCAAGCTGCACCACCAAAAGGTCAAGGGAAGGGAAAGGCAGCAGCAATCATAACAAAAAAGCTGAAATCGGCAACACCCGCACAACTCAAGCAGTATCGAATGATGGCAGCAAAGCGCATGGTGACCGATCTAGCGAAGGCAAGTATTAAAAAAAAATATGTATTTAATTCGAAAAGTTCTATGCATGCATAAATCGAAAAAGCTTACTTTAAAAAAAAAATATGTCATATTTTTATTTTATTTCCCGTATGTCATAAATAGTCATAAATACTTAAATATTACTCCATCGCGTCATTAGGCAATGCAACCACTATCCACCAACAAGGATGTCCCGCTCGAGGTCCAAACCTCGGCGAAATTGGCACTCGAAGGCATCAATAGTGGAAAATTGACTGGTATTTTGGCCAAAGCGATACCTGACATCCTTCAAAAAGCCTCAGCGCAAGTGGTTAGTTGTGGTTATAAATGTTATAATCGTAAATTTTCATGAATTTTCATACATGTACAGAAGCTGAACCGCATTTAAAAATCATACAAATTTCATTCACAGGGCAAACCTGCCGAACAGATGCAAACTATTTTTAAATCCATACTCCCAAACTCTCCCAGAGATATGGTAAATCCTCTCCAAGGGACGTTGACCTTCTTGTCAGCCAACCTGGGTGGCGTTACCAATATTTTGGGCAGTGTGGCTGGCGGTGCACCCGATCTTTTGGAGGTAATGACTTAAGATTATTAATATAATAATTACTTGACCAAGAAAACTGGTCGTTATTAAATTTTATTGATATCTTGCCGTCGAAAATCAACAGGGAACGGTCAGGTCACTTTCAGGAACGTTAGGAGCGGTTACAGATTCATTAAATGGGTCGGTCGGATCACTTGGTAATCTGATGGGAGGTTTGTTAGATGGTTGAATGCCTTTCAACCCATGGCAAAAATTTATGTAGCGCTTTACTGTAACTCATCAAAATTTACTAACTGTAATAAAGAACATCGCACCAATTGAGCTTGTCAAAAGTCATACTCGCGATTTTTGAAATACGAACTGGTTTCGTGTAGTCATATTAGCATGGCCACAAAGAACTTCATTAAAAATAATGATCCTCTCAACCCTGACGCCCATATTTTTAATCGTCTCGTTTTGCCTGGCAATTCACCCTCTCCGGCGATCCAATGCGTCTTGGCCGTTCTGAAAGAGCATAAGTTACATATTTTAACTTTCTAATATTGAATAATTGCTAGCTGGAGGTAAGTTGTCACATATTGCTTAGGTATACTTATTTGCAAGTGATATGCATATGTCTATGTAATCAGATTCTTAATAAATAACGGTAATGCACCAATTTTAGGCTCTAAGCAATACCCAACCAATGTACATAAGTTGAGTTCAATCGTCATGATGATAGATGTTGTATGTATACGCAACGATAATGAATTGAGTGACAATTGCAAGCTTCAATGGTCTATGAGGTTGCGTCTTGCGTCTGATGCATTCGCATTCAAGCTCAATCGCTCGTGCCTGAGCTCTTTGGGCGAAACTTTGATGCGGTGTTTGTACGTGGCGAAAGGATTCTGCAACTTGACAAATGAGACAAACTGCACTCCTATAACAGATTTTTGATTTATTTGTATGCGTATTTAAGTTGTGATTTAATACTGAAAATTGTATCATCTCATTAATTACTACATGCACATACCTAGCATAATATCGTCATCATGTCAATATCGTTCACTTTTATTCCCAAATAAGTGTTTAATTGCGTTTGTCGTGACGAACGACTATTTGTAGATCGTCATATTTATTTATTGTACGTGCTTGAAGTGCTTTCAATCGACAGGTGCTATCAATTAATTATTCCAAGATACTAATTACAATTAATTTTTTATAATAAATTGGAATGCAATTATGTAAAACATTGCGAAATCTTGTATCATTCACTCATACATATATAAATATATAGCACTGACATTCGACACTTTGTCCAATTATCTCCCGAGATTCAACACTACTTATTCCACAATTTAATTATTAACTTTTTAAACAATGAGGGCAGACATTTTATCTGGATTTATTTTGCTGACCATTGTTAGCACAGTGGTCACCGATTGTCGTTACGATCCTGGCGCCACATTTCCAAAATTGACATCTTGTACCGTTTCCCGAGGTCGGTTTGAGTTCCAACTTGATGGCAACGCTGTAATTTACGATGCCACGAACAGGGTCAAGTGGGCCTCAAATACGACCGGAGTTGGCAACCATGCTATATTTCAAAAGGATGGAAACTTTGTCATATACGATGTTGCTGGAAATCCGAAATTTTCGAGTCGAACGGCTGGACGTGGAGACCACATGATTTTCCAAGAGGACGGGAATTTAGTCATTTATGGCTCGTTCCTTCATTGGTTTGGTCCAATTTGGGCGACTGGGTCGGATCGTCAAGACTGATTTGGTTAGTTCAATAGATTTCAAGCACTTGGTTAATAGCAAAAACATGTGAAATCACTGATAAACATGTTGTCTATTGTAGATCCGAACGGTACGGTAGTTTCAACTTGTTTGGAGAAAGAATGCTGAAACCAAATAAGGATTATCTTTGGTGATTATGATACACATCTTTGGCGAAATTTACAGTCTCGAACAATTTTTATTAATAAATTTTAAATCATCTTCTTGTTAAATTAGATACAATAAGCAAAGTATTATAAAATTAACATGTTGCATACTCCATAAAAATCCGTAAAATTAACTTGTAACATAATAAATATTTATTTCTGCAAATGACTATTTCCATGCAACTTGTCTCATGTTGACGATCGTCTCACTTTGCGCAGTACAAACTCCTAGTCTCAATTTCGCTCAAAAACCTTACTTGGATCCCGGAGCTCAGCTCACTTCTTTGCTGAGCACAAAGTTGGAGAACGACGAATCCTATGGTATTACATGGTCACTCGAACGCAAGGCGATAATATGGAAGAAATCGCATTATTATACTTTTTAGCAAGCTCGCTGTTTACCAGTTTTATAAATCTGCAAAGTTTGATTTTTCTACAAAACTCAAGGTATTTATTACTGTGTGTGCATGAAACCTAAAATACATTTAACGTTCTGCCGCTGTATTATGCTTATTTCGAAAATGATCTGTTTTATATACAGGATCTATCGTTCTATATGCACGAGATAACTTGCGAAATGCAGTTTTTTTTATTATTTCGCTAGATTAATACATCCTAGTATCCAATCATAATAGATTGTATAGCGAGATGAAAAACGAGAATATTTCCACGATATACAATTACGAGGATATTACAAAGAAACATTCGCAATAATATCTCAAAGAATGACAAAAAAATGGCCCCAAAGAATGTTATAGAGTACACATCAAAATATCTAACTTGCACAGCGCAGTCTACAACCACAGGAATACTTGGCAACATAATTAAAATGATCTAAATGCCAATGACATCATGTATCCCAGTATTTGCCAATTGGTTCAAAGCTTGAACTTTTAATTGTATCCATGCTACACGTGCTGACTTGCATGTGTGCAAATGACCTTGAAATTTGTACGATATCTGGGCACGAAAGGCGCTACTCTTTTGTCAAGGGCCATACCACGTTGAATGCACCAGTTCTCGTCCGATCACTGAAGTTAAGCAACGTCGGGCCCGGTTAGTACTTGGATGGGTGACCGCTTGGGAATCCCGGGTGCCCTTGGCGTCTATTTTTTTTGCAGATTTTTGATTCTATGTATCCGCATCCGCAACTAAATTAATGAAACCGTTCGCAATGTTCATCTTGTTCCGTTTGCAGGGTTATTGTCATGTAAATAGATCGTTACATTTCGGCAAGTCGTATTTTAATTTGGTGTGATAGAAATACACTTGTACTTTATACCCATACAAAAGTTCTCTCTCACTTCGACCTCGGAATTCCGAGGCTCAGAGAACCAGCTGCAACTGAGAATGGCAAATAACTCAGCGTAGAATACAGAACACGTGGGTAAATAAGTACTTTGTGAAGTTTTATTTTATAATTGTTGCATGTATCCATGTAAATAATTGTGGAAATATTGTAAAAATTTTACAAACATTTGAAACTGTAGCAGGTTTAGCTAAGTTGTGAATTTTACAAAATTACAAAATCTACAATTTAAGGAAGTACATTTATAAAGTTGAGGTGACTTGAGATATTTTATTAATTTTTCCAAGCCAATTTTATGTATCTGTGTGGTAATACATATTTTCGACAACAGGAAATGAAGAAAATGTTTGGGAACGTGCTCCAGCAATGGACTGAATTTACAGGACAAGGCCAAGCAAATTTGTACGACAGACATCGTGCAATTGTCCCCCCAATTTTGATTGAAAGAATGATAACATTTCTCAAAGAAAAAGTGATCAATATATTTTTGTCACTAAAGAAATTCTCCATCTTATTGTAAAATTTAAATCCATACAGTATTCCCAGCCACTGGAGCTAGCTTATGACGTTGGGTGTGGAAGTGGCGAAAGTTCTCGCGTACTGACGCCATATTTTAAGCACGTCGTCGGGACGGATGTAAATTCGGAAGCAATAATGGAAGCCGAGGGCAAAAGAGGTGACCAAACGTGCTCACAAATCGAACAAGCTGAAGGAGGATGGGCTCATCAGAATTTAACTTATCAGTCAGTCTGCGGTTACCTTTTTCAAAAACCGTAAAAATGTGAATCGTACTTTCTTATTAATGCCCTCTTTTTATTTTTAGGATTTGTCCCGCAGATTTAATCCCGGAGAAGGACAATTCCGTACAAATGGTAATTAATTAAGCAATTTAAAGCTTTGTTGAATGCAATAATAGGATTTATGTCTAAACGCTTTATTGTCCAACTTCTTCGCTTAAGATTTCTGCATCACAAGCTGCTCATTGGTCTGACGCGTTTGCTGCGATAACATTTCTGTGATTACTAATTATTTTTTCGTAATAGGTTTGACCTGCCTAAATTCTACAATGAAGGACAACGCGTCTTGTCACCGGGTGGTGTAATGTGCCTATATGGTCACAAGTGCCCCACGTGGAGGTGGAGTGAGGACCCTTCGCTAAATGGAGAACTGGACCAGGCATTGACTCAGGTATGTGGGCGGTTAATGTACAGATTTTTATGTGCACTAATAATTACGTATATATTTAATTAACTCATGGAATTATGATATTTTTAAACAGTTATATGCGACAGACTTGAAGGGGTACTGGGCAGCCGAAAGAGATATTGTGGATAACAGTTACAAAAATGTCACCATACCTTACACTGATTTTACTAGGTAAATGTGCATTTAAATGTAAAAATCCGTCCATGCAAGAAGCAAGATAATCAAATTAGTTAAGTTTGAAATTCATTTGATTTCATCAATCTTCCCAGAGACGATTCTTGCTATCACGAAATGGAGACAAACGTATCTGACCTGGCTAAATATTGTTGGATTTGGACTGGACATCAAAATTACGTCAAACAACATGGTGTACGGAAAGGAAAAAAATTAATCCGTAAATTGCAAGAAAGGTGGTTAATCTTTTTGGCTGCATAATACAAATATTATTCTCGAATTATAATTACATTTCTGTTTTTCATGTGCAGAGTAATGTCAGTCCTTAATGTTACGACTTCTCCGGAGGAAACTATTTTGACAAAACGAACAAGTTTCTTTCTACTAATGGGGAGGAAATTATAGGAAAAAATTATTGTACAAACCTGTTGAGCAGTAAAAAATAGTATTTATATTGATCGGCGACATGATTAATGACTTACTTTTAAGTGAGATTATTACGTCCTAATTCACACTTCATTCTCTTGCGATAGATTTGATTTTTGTCAAAATTTAGCTCATAAAAGTAATAACTATATTATTGCATCTTATTTAACAACCTAGTTACAGTAGCCGGAATAGTTTCATTAAAATAAAATCAAATTTTCGATTACTGAATTTTACACTAAAATGTACAAATGTCATGTTAAAATGAAATAATTTTTCTGACATGCATGATTTTTTTATGAGCACCTAAATGTTCAGAAAATAATAAATATTGGACAGTTTAATATTTATTATTATGACTTTGGAAGATTATCTTCCAGTCATCGCTGCCGCACCCACACTACAAACTAAGCAATTTCATAGATTAATGAAAACACTCCTTCATGTAAATATGTACATACATTTATGTATGTTCAATTATGTAAGGAACATTTATTGTACACTTAGTTTTATTTCCTTTACATACTTAAACACAATGCGGAATTAAAACATTTGTACTCAATATTACGGACCAAATCCAACTTACACAAGAAATAAATATTTTTGAATTGTTTTACAATACTAATTTTTTCCTGGAAGAAATCAGAATAATCATTCTGATGGGACTATGTCGAACTCTCTAGCGATCATTCAGGTTAAGTCAAAAGACGCTTTTGATCTCAATTTCAAATCCGAAAGCTACACTAACAAAGCACATTCGGATGTCGAAACTGAACTAATCAAGTTTGGCCGAAATGCAATATTGGCAACACAAGTCATCGGTTATCTTCCATTAACTGTAATAACTGAGCAGAATTTAAGCCGTCGACTTACCATTCGCTACTTGAAAATTCCCTACTTATGGACCATTTTCATCGTAATTGCCCAAATATTCAGCTGTTACTCATTCCTTAGCTCAATGTCTGCCAACGTTTTTCGAAAGCTAAAGGTTACCCTCATCACTGAACATTTCCACTAAAGGTGGTTCAGGGCCTGTTGCTGTATTTGAAGGATGAAATTAACTTCAACACTGCCACCAGTCCAGAAAAATTGGTCCATATCGATAAATGGATTAAAGACTATGGCACAGTTTCTAGTTTGATGAAAGTTTATTGTAATCATTTTGGAAACTACTTGATAATTGAAATTGGCAATAGCTCAGTGCAAATATTGTGTCAGACATTCACTATACTAATCTAAGGACATTCACCACTCTGTCGTGGCTTATGGTTGGCCTCTATGGACCCGGTTTTTCCAGAATACCGTCAATTTTGATCTCATTAATAATCATTTACGAACTTGCAACCGAAGCTGAAGCCGTGACGGACTTACAAGACGATGTCTTTGAATGTTTCTCAAGATTAGAGCAATACATTCAAGATAAACTAATGATGATTAAGGTAACGATGTTCTATTCAAATGCGACATGATTTGCGTTTTTGTAATTAAAAGTGAATACCAGGTTTCTCATTTTTATAGGTAAACTCACTGTTAAGGACAATGATGATGAATCGTTTTACAATAAAGCCGGGTAGATAAGCGATTGTTTTTCGTGGACCGTGATTTTATTTGTGTACTTATCGCTATCATTGTTACAGGAAAATTCTTTACCTTGAACCGCAACTTGATTACTTCGGTACGTCAATACAAATTCATTTGCATGCAATAATTTTGAAGCTACTGTCCTCTCTCCACCTAAATAACTCTTTATTATGTTAATCATATTTGCAGATTCTCTCGACAATAATTACATTTATTGTTGTACTGATCCAATTTCGGGATGGGGAATCTGCCAATAGCGGAAAGTCATAGTTTCATCACAAATTGCATCTCAAAAATACGAATTCCTTGAAATTATCTATGTACATATGCACGGTATAATATTATTTTTATTCATTTTAGTATTACATATATCGCAGAGTAAGCAACGTTATAATTTTACACACATCATTATTTGGAAAAAGCTTGACGACCAGCGCTGTACAAAATTCAATGAATTACTTACTTATGTACATACATGTATCCTCGTATGTATGTATGTTTATACAGAAGTATTTATGTGTAGCTTTCCTGAGATGAAATATTAATAACTAAAGTTTTGATTGCTGCCTTTCACATCACTTACAAATTGTCAAGTACGTCATGTAAAATACAATTCCTTCAGGTAGTCTGAGCTAAAAGCTGTTCTACGATAAAAATTAATTACTCACTAATTTCCATTATTTGCACACTAATTAAATAATAATAGGAAATATGAGTGGAGTGATTCCGATTAGACTTTAGAATTAATAAATTAAACATGTATGACGATATATTGTACATGCATACAAATAATAAGCATGTAAAGTAGAATTCCACAACACATTCATTATTAAATTAATTTTTTGTGAGTATTTCATTCAATAAATTTGCAGAACATTCATACAATTAAACGTGGTAAGCAATAAGGTCAAAAATGTGAATTCGATTATAGTTAGAAAATAAAATAATTAAGTAATTTTGGTAAGAAGCTAAGTATTATTGATATTTCCGGTTCTAACATTGTTTTATTTCCAATCGATTCGAATGAAACTTATTTGGGAAAATACTTATCATGATAAGATCTATTTATGGAGGAGAGAAGAGTTCCTTGCAAACATGGTATTTCGTGATACTAATAAATTAAGTAAATAACAAGGAAAACTGTCCGAGATAATAAAGGTATTGCAACATTCTCCTTCTTAGGATTTGCTGTTTGGAAGTTTGGATTGCTAGCAAATCAGCTACGAAAATATAACAAATTTCATATGCAAACTATTTTAGTTTGATGAATTAAAGAAACTACACGCTATGTCCGTCTTCTGCATACATACATATGTACATGCATAGCAAGAAACAAAACTTCCCATCACATATATGTATGTACATACACAATTAATTTACGTATTTCCCAAAGCGTCCTCAAGTTCGATGCCTATACATCCAATTAGCACAGTAACTTTATTACGATGGGACTGGAAAGTTTGCTTCATGCCAATTAACGTATGTACATATGTATAACCAAAGTGTGTCCAGGACTAAAATACGACAGCAATGATTCAAAAATTCATACACGTAACATTATTTTTTTTTCGTAAACGCCTACATAACTACTGGGAAAAATATTTCTTGTTTTTTTAAGAACAGTGAACTCATCACGGACCAGGCAGACTGGCTCGTGTCCAGTTTCATAGCAAACTTTGTTTCATAATGTAATAGCTTCCATATCGGTCAGTTTAAATACTTTAGAAACTGAAATGGGGAGTAGTTTAACCCATATGCAAAATTTGGGGTCACTCCCACCGCTGTAAGTTATTCGCCAATTAACAATTCAATTTAATAGGTAGTACCTCATTGTATTAAAATCTTTGTAAATTATAGAGACCAAGGATTTATCTTAGCATGGCTTTTTGTATCAATTCTACTAATTATTTATCAACTCTTCTACAAATTACCACCAAAAAATTCTTACTTTTCTCAAAAAATTCGCCAACCACCTAGCTTACCCTATTCCCTCCCATTTTTCGGGCATGCTTTGTCCATAGGGCGTCACGGGATTGACTTTTTATCAAAATCTTACACCAAATATGGACCAATCTTTCGACTAAAACTATTCCGTTTTTCACTCCTCGTCATCTGTGACACGAGTTTGGCCTCAGAATATTACAAAACCGAAGAAAGCGTCTTTTCCATGTTTGAGTTCATCCAAAGAATCTCCGTTCTGGACACACTTCTCCCAAACACTGACTTGACCTGCTTTCCAAACCAGATTAAGGCAACCTTAGCTTTTAAAAAGGACTACTTTCCTAGAATTGAGGCGGAAGCGAAACTCCTTGTGGAACGGGTAAAAGAAGTAATAAAATCGGGACATGAACCCGATCTAGTTTTAGAAGCGAATCGCTACGTCACACGACTTTCTGCCTTATCAATTGGTTCATTGGAATTGGGAGAGGAAGGTGTCGAAGCATTTTCGAAATTTGGCAAATTAGTTGGGAACATTGTTCTGGCAAGCTTTGTCTTTCCGAGGTGGATATTAAGACCATTTTACACAAGGCGATTGAATTCGCATAGAAGAATTCTGGAAAACATCGTTATTCCGGAGATTCTAAAGTATCGGGCAGACGAGAGTAAAAATCAGTCCGCATTTTTCCGGTGAGACCACAATTTTTAAGACCAAAAACGTCTGTAAAAGTATAATTATACATATATATTTATAAATTCAGCGTGGCCGTCGACTATCGCCGCGAAGAGTCCGGCCTGCCCTTATCAAATCACGAAATTTCAAATATCTTTATTGGATTTTTATTCGCCGCATTTGGCAACACATCGCTTGCCTTAAACAATTCCATAATTGATCTCGCAATGAATTCGAAATACTGTGAAGAGCTTAAAAACGAATTAAATGAGTTGCCCAAATCTACCGGAACTGAGGACCTTTACACGATCATAAGGAACAGTAAGTATTTGAAAGCCTGCATCCTAGAAACCGTGAGAACCTCGCCGCAGGCATTTTCCACAGGGAGATCACCATACAAAAAGGGGTACGATAGATTTTTGAATTACCCATCCTCAATTCCAATACATATTTTATAATGATATACAGAGCCACTTTGGGCGGTTATGATGTTTCCGGTGTGGACGCAATTGTCCTTTGTCCCCCACTTTTACAGTGTCAAGGGCCCGTTGCGGAGAAAGTCTTTGAAGCTCCAGGTTCTTATAATCCGACCCGTTTCCTGGACAAAAAAGATCCACAAACGCCACCATATATTAATTCATGGGGAGGAGGGCATCATCCTTGTGCAGGTCGTGTCATGTCATTGATGGCGTTACAAACAGCACTTGCATTATTTGTCAAACATATTCAAGTTAAAGTCAGTGAAACAACCAAGGTTGTGGAAGATGCACTTTCACCCATGGCATTTGTGGAGAAGAGATTAATTGGCGTAGAGTACAGTATATTGGAAGACGATAGTTGAACTTAATTCATTTTACACTCTTCATTTGTACATATGTATACAATGAATATTTAGCTCGTACATGTGCATGCAAATGAAATTCCGGCAGGATGAGAGAAAATGAATTTACAAAAATGCGAATGTATGTTTATATTTATTTACTAATACATACATACATAGATACGCATAGCTAAAGTGCTAACCGGCAGAGTGATTTTAGTGGTAATACTGTAAACTGAGGATGAGAGAGAAAGTATTACATAAATAAGTACGTGAGCCTACTCTTATTTTATTTGCTGTAAAATCTCGCGGTAAAAAGGTTTCCACCTGGCCCATACAGTTCGCACCCAATTCCATTCAAAGCTTATGGTAACTTAAAACTTTAGACATAGGGTTTTGAATGGAATTGGGTGCGAACTGTGTGGGCCAGGTGGAAACTTTTTTACCGCGAGATTTTATAGCCAAAAAAACAGGAGTACATGTGTAGCTGAAGTTTCTTGTAATTTGGCATGGCAGGTATTAGGTTGCTCTTGTGTAGTCAACCATTATATACTTATCAATATATGTATGTTAGCTCAATTTAATGTATTCAATGACTATTTAGGTTTTACTATGTTAATAAATTTACATGAATTTAACCCGTGTAAAACTAATCCTAAGAATATGGATGATTTATGCATGTATGCTGTTGTAAAATGGATCATCATTTTCTACATCTCATTTTTAGTGATGATCCAGTTTGGACTTTTATGAGTACATAGGCCAAAACAATATGTTGTTTTATTATTTAAAAAAATACAGTTTTGTTTGAATTCAGTTGATGAATCTATGTATTGATTGGCATTTATGATGCAAACAGCTTTACCTTTAGGAATTGAGTATGAATAATGTCTAAATGAAATTGAACCTAAAAAATTATTGGGGAATAAAATTCAATGCAAAATTAGAAATGTATTTAACAATGTGAATTGTATAATTTTTCTTGATGGTTATCAATATTATTACAAATCATAAACAACAGTCCTTGCACCAGTGAAGCAGTAAAAAATCGTACTGCATCTAAACACAACTAACTCCTTCAAAATCGTGACCTGGGTCCAAATTCTGGACTTGGCACCCCACTAGATCAATCGTGGGACAATTTCCGAGCCAGCACCGGCAACTGTAAATAGGTGGTGGATTACTTATGTAATATGTAATTAGTTACATATTTACAGAATTAATATCAAATATTAATTATCTGGACAATCAAGGAGAAAATGCTGAATTTTAGCTAATCATTAACTCACCTATCACTTGTATGCAGTCTACAAGTCGAGTTACACCCATTCATCAAACTGTTCTCAATCTTGACCGACCGAGCAGTTAGAAACCACCTACGTAAGTAATATTTATACGTCAAAGATGATGAGCGTAAAACCGATAATTACATTTTTGCATTGCACATACATAAGCTCAAAGAAAAATTTCTATAAATTGATAATAAAAAATGTTACCTAAAGCGAAATGGAAAGTCTTCGCATTTTGTTGTGAATCTGCCTATCTCGACATTTTTGGTGGCACAACTCCCAGTTTGGTCAATTCCTGAACAAAAAGTGACTCTTGCTCCGTCCAGGTGACCAACAAGGTAGACAGTTAGCAGCACCACTAATAAGTTGAATGACTTGTACATCCTAAAATAATTTGACAAGTTAGTTTGGTGATTAATAAATTTCTGAAAAAAGTTATAATGTTGACTTTCTTCATGCTTATTTATGACGGGTTCAGGGTCCAATTTAAGATGAGAGCAGATAATTTCGATGGAACAGCTTCGCTTGACAACTACTTAACTACGCTTCTTGTATCCAGTGATCGTGTAAGAATATTGAGCAATTGATTTGCCCTTCAGAAAATCATTGGTATTTAGTTGATGAAATTGGGCATTTTACATGATTTGGAACATCCTGTGATTAACTCACTGATGTCAAATAAATATCTATACATAGTTAAATAAAAATGTTGTTGGAAGGATTATACAGCATGACGCAGCTTTGTACTACACAACTCAAAGTTGAGTCATTTTCTGTACATAAATATGCATTATATCGAATATATGTTCATACATATGTATGCACACTATTTTGTGTGGATGGGATTAACTAATTAATTGAAGTTAGTCGCGCATGCATGCACTATAATTAATTATATTTCTTGTAAGAAATCTTTGATGTAGATATGACTCAAGCCTGTTTTTATGCCAAATATTGCACGCAACCAAGAAAATTATTTATTGTTGACTTAGTTTTGAAATGAGAAATTGTCAAAGTTCAGTTTTTGTGAAAATAATGGTGTAACTTATTTGCACCAGTATAATGTACAAATACAAATACATATAGAATATGTCAGTGGAATGTATCAGAGATGCATTACCCACCGAGACCACGTCTCACATACATATTTACATATGTACATTGTACCTTGTACCAGAATATTCGGAATGGTCGTAGAAGGCTGTTAGGTATTTGGGAAATTGGGACGTGTTTACATCTTTTTATTTTGTTTCATTTACAAGTTTGTGAAAATAAGTACAACGTCATAACGACCAAATTATTATTTAAATAGAAGGACCTAGTAGGGTGACCCCCAGGGTGCATAAACTTTTTTGTTGTCCGTGGTTTCTCCTAAGGGGGTGATGCAAGGATGATTTTTTTTTCAGAAAAATTAAAAGTTCGGGAATTGCATGCGATTTTGCCATGGAAACCACCCAAATTCAAAGCAAAATAGCATGCAATTCCCGAACTTTTAATTTTTCTGAAAAAAAAATCATCCTTGCATCACCCCCTTAGGAGAAACCACGGACAACAAAAAAGTTTATGCACCCTGGGTGACCCCCAATGATGCTCATAAATGGAACCAGAATCCTGAAATTTAACATGAAGCAGGGGTAGATCAGAATTAGATCAACAAATATCAAGTCAATTTTAAGATTTTCTGTGCTAGGGGTGAGGGGATAGAATGGGGTGACCCGCATTGATTTTCAAATTTGTAGAAGAAAGCTGAAATTCTGTATCAAGGTGCAAGGGCGCATCAGACGAAAGAATATGAGGTCAAATTTAGGAATACGTTGTCGAGATGGCGACCCAGCAGGGTGATTCATACTGGTTTTTGGTAAAAAAACTGAAATTTTGCCTGCTAACTAGGGAACATTTTAGACGATCGCGAATAGCAGTTAGTAATTGGTCAAAAAAATAGAAGCTGGCTTTGATCCTGACACGAGCTAAAACCGCACTGCACACTGTAGATTTTTTCACATTCGAACTGCTAAACCTTTGAAGCAACGAGTTTCATTCGTAATTCTAGAAGCGATACCCTTTAAGAATTTACATTTAAAACTAAAATGCATCTTACAAAACCTTGCTTAAAGCCTGTACACATTTGTATAATATTTTCATCCAACCTCTCAATATATGTAAATCCATGCATATAAACTATCTACACTCCCAGCGACTTTTCCAGAGCAAAGTGAAAGCAGTCAAGCTTTCTCTTTCCTCCCTACTCGACTGGGGAAATAGAGCCACTTCTTCTCCCAAGACGGAGAAAGTCAGCGCAAAATTCTCGCCATTCTCACGCCTCAGTTTCATACATATATGTACATACATACATATTTCTATTAGTCTGTCTTCTCTCTCCTCCAAAATATCCGTATTTGGTTCGGAGTCGGAGCTCAACGCACGAATTTTTGCATTGCCTCCCCCGTACGTAATCCCGACTGCCTCCTTCGTCATATTCATTCCCACAGTCCACTGCAATTCTATATAAACAAACGAATTCCCCCGAGTTTTCCACAACCTGCGTTGGCTTCGCTTCGCTATAACCTTGACTTTCGCAACTATTGCGAATTGAAAAACAATAACAAAGCCATCATTTTTCCTCCCGTATAAAGCTAGGAAATTTGCCTTATCTTCAAAATGATGACCGTTTGGGGCGGTGCCCCCACCAAAGTTATTACCCTGCCTGACATCGTTATTCCCCACCCAGCCAAGGAACTCGGTCTCGCCACCGTGTCCACGCATAAGGATAAATTTGTTGCAAAATTTGACCTCATTAAGTTCACTCCGGACGAGGTCGTGGTGAAAGTGGAGGACGGGTTTTTAATTGTTAGTGGCGAACATCGGGAGAAATGTGAAGGTGGCATAGAGTCTGTTCTCACGATGAGATCATTCTGCAGGAGGATCCCTCTCCCCTTAAACTCGAATGAGGAAGCATTGCAAAGCGAGATAAGTTACATATTTACATAATTACATTTAATTTTTGTAAATTTTACGAAAATTACTAACAGCATTTTGACTCCTTCAAGCACATGGGGACGTTTTACGGCAATTTAAAAGTGACCATTCCGCAAAAGATTATCCCAGGCTCGGGCAAATTCAATATTGTCGCCTTAACGAGGAGGAACAGCATTTTGGGCGATATGGTCACTGCTGGAGCAAAGAAGAGTGGACCACCCCCACTCCAACGACGCGCTTCCTCCATGGACGTGATCGGCAGCAAGAACAGTAGCGCAAATAATAACAAATATTCAAAAGGACCGGACGATACAGGAATGGAATGCACCAAGGAGAGTTTTGTGGTATGGAAATATTTATTTATGTACACGCGAAATTTCCTGATTAATCCTCTCCTAAAAAAATTGCATTAATTAACTTCAGGTACGCATCAAAGTACCCGAATTTTCCCCCGAGGAGATAAAAGTGAAGACAATGGACGAATTTCTTTCCGTTGAGTGCTCCCACAAGGAGAAGAAGGAAGGGAATGAATTCATCACACGCACATTCAAACGGCGCTATGCACTTCCAGTAAATGCCAAAAAGGACGAACTCTTGTGTCGGATGAGTTTTGACGGCCTGCTCAAAGTGAAAATCCCCAGATCACTTTCATCCGGAGGAAATGAGAGGATTCATCAAGTCGTCGTGGAAAAGAAGAAGCAAACTGAGGACATTGCGGTTTAAAATGGCGTATAGTTTGTGGAAAGTCGAAAAAAATTCTGGGATAGAGTGACACATAATTAATTATTTATGTAAGACATGAGATTTAATTACCCTTATGAGATTAACTTCAGCCTAAAATATGCAGTGCAATATGTACACATAATTTTTAGTATGAATGTATCCCACTGATAAATACATACGGACAATGTGCAAGCAATAATAGCTCAAATATGCATGTAACGCCAGACAGATATGTGTACATATTTTTATTTCTATTAATTTATGACGATATAGAATTGGGAAGTAGCAATAAATAAATAAATATCTATGCAATCAGAAATAATGGATGTGCGAATTTTTGTGAGTTATTTTTTAGTATAAATTTACAATTTAAATTATAGCAAAGTGTCATTGACAGTGTCATCGACTATCTCCTGTTATACATGCATTCACAAAAACTTGTTGTTAGCCTTCATTCGAATTTCTTTCCCTAAACCGACGTGTACATATTTCTATCGATCTCATGGCACTTAACCGCTTCCTGCATATTTCATCTTCCCAGCTACCTTTCCCATATCACCAATCCAAAATCTTTATCATTCTATCACGCAATTTAGAACATTTGACTGAAAGCTCAACAAAGTGTTTAATATTGTCTTGAGCAACACAACTACAAATGGAAATTCTGATATTGGGTATAAATTGATTTGAAAATACGTACATAAATATATCCTCATCCTTATGGTCGCCACGTTGCAGAAAGTTATGATAAACCTGCAATCAATGAACTTGAGTAATGGAATGACTGCGAGGTATGGATATCTTGAAATATGTATAACTTGAAATAACGATTCCGAGATGAGATAAAAATGTCGAATTTTGGATTGCTTGCTCTAATCTCACTAGTAGTTAGCATTACTTCATGTGGTTTCACCGCATAAACTTCTACATATTTAGGTAATAATGTCCTCTAAACGAGGTAAAAGCTTCATCTTTCATGAATTGGCGAGCTGTTTGGCAAGAAAAGTAGTTTGAAAAGGCTAATTATAACAAATTAGTAAAATATGAAATTATGCCTTGCCAGTATTTTCTAACAAACATTTTCAAACATTTTTTTCCCACTAATGGTACATTTGTATGGATGTACATATGTAAGTTCCTGATGTAGATACATGAACACGAACCTAAATATAATAAAGCTATCTGTTCTCCTTACGTTCTTAAAACGTTGGGCAAATACATATGCACAAAGAATTCTAAAAATTGTAATGCATATTTTACATATGCTTATTCTACAATGTGCTCCAACTAATTATGCTTGACGCATAAGGTAAAACGACTTTACAAAAATTAAAATAAGTTCAACTCCGCCTTAAGTATGCTCTCAATAAAGCCAAAAACAATGAAGTATATTTTGCAGATTAGTTGCATTATTTTAAGAATAGATTAATCATGCTATTCGTGATACATATTCGTGATATACACAAATATTTCGCAAAATCAGTCCCTTTTTGCACACATATCTGCCAAATCTGGAATCGATCCAATAGTTTGTTTAAACTTTGAAACTTGCCATTTTTTCACAAACAAGTAATATCATTAACGCATAAATCTTCCTGAGTCATGAATGTAATTACTTATTATGCACACATTCCATTGTCATCCTACCGTGCAAGACTACACACTCTTACATATGTACATATGCAGGAAGCAGTTTAAGACACCCATTCCATCACATCAAGCCTCTCCATCATCCCTTATAATTGATCTTAAAAGCCAATATTTAGATTTTTACAAAAACATATTTACACACCACCAAACACCGAAGAACTACTCCCACCCCATGACGGCAATACTTCGACTTGAGCAAATTCCTACTTAATAACAATGACCTCCCTCACGCCAAATAATGGAATCATTCAATCTCCACAAACTAAACCATTCCACTGATTGATTGATTGATCCCAATTCACTCGCAAATTCTGAGCATGAAATTGTACTGTGAGTTTGACAGAGCTTAATTGAAATAGAGAATGCCTGTTCCTTATCAACAAACATCAAACAGCTACCACATTCCCCTCGCTACAAAGTCAATATTAAATCCGTTTCACTTCTTGTCAGGTGATTCAATTATTATTAATATTCTGCAACCTCGAAGCATCAATCTTTCCCCTCTCACTTCTGACTAGACTAATCCGGTGTGGAAACTGAGAGTGGATTCGACACCACAAATAAAAGTAACTACAAGTATCATTGCATCACAGTCAAAGGATTACGGCTTACTTACTTAGCAAAATAGGAAGGATGCATCGCGACGACTGCTTAAAATAATATTGCATTTTTCTTTGAAGCCATAATTAACTTTTCGTCTCATTATTACAGACTACAAGCAAATTCAGGGCAGTATCGTCGTAATGAATTATGCGGTATTGTGTTGGAATGTGTGTAACAGAGATCGCCGTCAAGATGAAGGTTGATTGGGTGAGGCTCAACGGAATGATATTTTATTTTTAATTGTAATTGTAACAACATCAGGTAGTAAATGTTTAATCATTGAAATAAATAGGGATACGTGTGCAATATGACGAGGCAAGATAGCATTTACGTATTTACTGATTGACATGTGGACGGATGCAATAAAGACAATTTATACAAGTCAAATGACCACAAAATTATGGCATAAGTAATATTTGGATTATTATTTATTGCATTTTCTGCACCCTAATAAGAGCAACAGTGAGATTATAAGGTACATGTACACTTATTCCCTTTTCCTTTTAAAGGAATAAGTAAGTGCAGTAAGCACTTGACTAAATAGCTGCAATTGTCTCTGCCAAAATCGCACACCTCATTAGATAATGTAAGACGAATTAAATTACGTGGTTTGGTTTAGTTGCGATTTCATCGCCTTGCAGCAAGGGCGTGTAGCACTGCGTTGTTCCTCAAAAGATATCAAAATGATGCCACAAATATTTGTTATATTTTTCGGGATCATTTCCGGGATAAATTCTCAACAGTCGTACTTTTCTCTCCCGAGTAGATTGAGATTTACCCGTGGAGAATTTCCCGTCCCGTTGTTTTACCAGGCTAGTAGTCCGACCAGTGCACCTGCCTCCCGGACCGATTTGCAACAACAGTTTACCGATATTTTTAACTGGAGTAAAGATCTAGTTAACGATTCACGCTTTAAGGGATGTCCAGTCCCAAATATTAGCGATATTTCCAACGCGAGTCCAAAATCTTCGTTGTTTTTTGGGTTAAATCCTCAGCACAGGATGGCAGCCATGAGATTGCGTAGTATTCTTAATGGTACGTATGTAATTATTGTGATAAAAAGTTTATTAAATTGAGATACATGGTAAACTATCAATATCAACTGAAAAATAGATGAGAAGAACTTAGAAAAGAAAATCTGCCTGGCCGGAGCTCTGCGTGACTTGCCTGGAATTAATCCAAACGCTTGGATTCGTGGCGTTTTTGGAGCATATTTCTCAACTTCAGAGCTCTTTTCGTTTAATGCTCCACCACTTGTGGAAGTCATGCCGAACATTTTTCTGAGCAGAGAAGCTCTCCAAACGGCGAGAGAACAGGGAAATAATCCTGATCAAAGTGCAAGGGTGAGAAACTTGAGACTAATTTTTTATGTACAAATGTATGAGTTATAAGAAAAGTAAATTATTCCGTCAGGGTTGCACTGTAGTTGATGGACGCGTCGGGAGTGATAATGGCATCGAGAATGTTTTGTGGTACTTTCGAGAGGTGAGTGGATATCCGATATCATTTAATAAATCAGTTGACTATATTTAACTTTCGACAATTTTTTAGGATTTGCAAGTCAACTCATTTCATCTAAATTGGCATCTTATTTACCCAATTAACGGTCCAACAAAGGCTGATCGACAAGGAGAGCTTTTTTACTTTTCTCATCACAGTCACTTGGCTCGGTGAGTTTGACTCCTCAAATTCTTGTTGAAATTCTTGTTAATAAAAGTGAATTATTTCAGCTATCACGCGGAACGCTTGTCTCTAGGGCTCTCCCAAATCGCACCACTTTTCATCGATCACAACACAGTTGTCGGGGAACAGTATAATTCCCACTTGGATGGTATGTTCCGAAACTATGGATTAGTATGATAAATAAATAGGTTTAGATGGCCTATAATGTCTGATAGTTTGGCTGTGTATTTTTATTCCATGAATAAATTAGATACCAACTCGGGACAGACGTGGACACCGAGACGTGCAAATATCTTGGTACAAGATACACTGTTTGAAAATATGGTGGGAGCGCCACCCTTTATCACAGTTGCTAATCAGAGTGAGCTTATCGCCAGGGTTGTCGATTCTATCCGCAGGGGAGAATTATTATTGGTAATTATAATTAAAGATTATGATTTGTCGCAAGAAAAATACGAAAACATTGTGACTCTGTAAAGCCCAACCGACAAGGAGCCGTCTTGTTAGACTCCAGAACAGGAGTTGACCTATTAGGAGATTTAATCGAGGCCACAACTTACACCATTAACGGAGATTATTATGGCAGTTTCGGCTTCCACAATGAAGGTGCATTTATCGTGTCATATGGTACATTACCTAATTCTTAATAATTACGCTACATGTTTAATAGGTCACGTCCTCCTCGGTTTTATCGAGGACCCTCAAAACGTGACAGGCTTACCGCCCGGAGTTATGGCAGAGGTATGATTTTTTCTGTTTTTTATCGTATAAAGAAAAGCGGACTTCTTTTATCCACAATTTTATAGGTAGCGACAGCGATGCGTGACCCAATATTTTACAGATATCACACCGCAGTGGATCAAGTGTTTGACGTGTATAAGGAACTCTTGGTTCCATATCAGCGTGACGGGGTGCGAATTATTTACATAGCAGTTTAAATATAGAACTTTCTAAATCAATTTGCAGCTTTTACATCAATTTTTTTTCAGGGAGAATTACCCTTGAGATGGGAAGGAATTGACATCACACAATTTCACGTAACTCAAGACGACGCAACTCTACCTGCCAACAGATTGACAACATTCTTTACTCAAAACACTTTCGAGTTATCAAGAGGCCTAGACTTTCAAGGGTCTGGAGTTCAAGGAAATGTAGGCGCCTGTGTGACACAGTTAAATCATAACTTGTTTACTTACACGATTGACATGGTATTATGCAAACACATGAACAATTTTGTTAGACTTTTAGTAATGCTAAAATTATTAATATCCCATCTTCAGAATCGTGCCCCCACCCTTGGCTCTGGCACTGCTACCGTGCGAATCTTCATGGCACCCAGATTTAACGAAAGAGGGGAAAGATACTCGATTCTTGACCAGAGAAAATTATTTTTTATGATGGATCTTTTCAGAGTTGAACGTACTTTCTTTGCACATTTTTAAAGTTGTCAAAAACAATTAACTTCATATCTTTATCTATTTCAGTTCAACCTGGATTAAATCGCATCACTCGGCGTTCCACAGAATCGTCTTTAACGATCACTCCTCCCAGTGATACTTCGTCTGAAACCAGATACTGCGGATGTGGTTGGCCTAACCACATGCTCCTCCCACGTGGAACTGAGGCTGGCATGCCGTTCGACCTTTTCGTTATGCTAACAAATGGAAACGAGGACACCGTGCGGTCAACAGGACAGCCACCACAGGCTGGTCAATGCGCTCCAGCTCCGATCTATTGTGGCAGGATGAACGACACTTATCCCGACGCGAGACCCATGGGTTATCCGTTTGATAGATTACCATACGCAGTGGCCTCGGCTGATGCATATGGATTGTCGGACGTGCCAAGATATGTGGCTACGTTGGAAGAGTACGTTGCTGGGATTGGGAACATTGCGATTGCAGAGGTTGGCAAGATGATTTCTATAAAAAATACTATTTTTCACTAATTTATCCACTTATTTCTAGGTTACGATAACCCACGTCGGCTCAACGGCTGCGGTACTGCAATCACAAAATATACTCTCAACCAACCTAAATCCTAGTCAGGCCGACGGGATTACTGGTCAGGACAATACCATTAGGCGACGGCGCGCAAGAAAGCGTGCACGCGTTGCGTCGCCACTGCCAAGACCTCAAGGAAATTCGGAGACGTCGAGTTCTTTCGCTTATTATTTCCGATCGCGATAATTGTGATTATCACTATGTAAATAGTATGACATTGGTGAATATATATTTATATTTGTCTACAAAGATTTATACGTTTTGTAACATGGTTTTTGAAAGTAAAAAGCGTAAACTAATAGAAGAAATTTATTTTATTTTATCTTATTCATGCTGAATGCAATTGTGCATCACATGGCATTTTATCAGTCCCATGGTTAATAGACAAACAATAAATCGATGAATCGATCTACATTTAAAAAATAATTTTTATGTATTGCCGACCTAACTTTAAGGTTCTGGTTTGCGTAACCATTTTCATGCTGTTTAAGTAGCCGTCCCAGCAACAGAGTCTAATATGATTGTCGACCCATCATTGCCAGACTTTGCAATTCCCAAGGTAAGAAGTGCACGAAACGTACCAGTAATTATGGCTCGAAGGAATTTTATCGCCGTTAACCTTTGAAACGCCATCGTCCCCTCTTTCCCAATTGCTAATGGCTTAATATACTTTCTACACTTGGTGAATAGCTTTGTCTCAAATTTGCTCCGGCAAGACACAGCATCCCAAGATTTCAACGTCTTGATCGTATAAGAATTAAACATTCCAGAAATTTCAAGCGTTAAGGCCCAACCAGTCTGAAGCCCCAGTGACCACATGCCAATGATGACCTGCATAAGTACGTATTTACAGACCTTACTTTAAATATGCAATTATGTAGTTCACTAACCATGGAGGACATGTCCATCACGTTCCAATTTGTCAAAATGGTAAAATTGCAGAACAGACAAAAATGCGAAAATACTCCATGAAAGAATACGAACAATATGCCAATATTTTGCATTATGAAGTTATGAAGGAGTTGCACACTGATGTATTCTCTCACCAGATATCGAGGCGTTCTCAAAGCTCCGTAAGTAAGGTGGACGCTCGCATTTATTTTCAAGTCTCGGATCAGGATCCATACCGGAACTTAAGAATTATTCGAGCATCAGTTTTTAACCAAAACTTATCAAAATCGTTAGTTCTTTATACCTATGTAAATCGTTCCTATGACAATAATAAGGATAAGAGTGTACCAAGACAGGCATGCCATCCATGTCGAAAACAGCAAGAATATCATCCAAAAAATAAGGTTTTCGTTTATACAAACGGGTAGCACGTGCCGAGGATGAAGTGGATAGTCTGGGGAAGAGATTAAGAATATCGGTGTAGTGATGGGTAGTACGAGAAGGAAGGATATTTCTGTAAGGATGAGCCAATCCAAGAACTTCGTGTAGGAATTTAGCGTCTTCAACTTGGACGGAACTATCCAGTTTCCTAAAGGTAGACCCAAATTAAACCCCCTGAATATGCAAATGGTAATTAAATCTCACTCATGAATCGTGGAAAGAAGCACAAGATGTGATTCCCAATAGTGATGAGGTTATCATGTTCAACATAGTAAGTTATTTGCATTTGTAAAGTGACGACGGAGACGCAACTGAAGGCATACATGGTGTTAAAATGTGTATTATTCTCCCCAAGCACCCACAGTTTGATTGTCAGGATCAAAATTAATCCTAGCCATGCAGCAAAGGCTAATATTGACAGGAAAAATTTGTGTCTCGATTTTTCAGTCGAGTAAAATAGCCTGGATTTTTTGTTCAAATATGCACTAAATGCTCCCACCGTTGCCAAGGCGTAGCTCGCGACGTATAATAATTTGTATGTATATGTAGAATACATTTCCAGCAAAAAAAATGTTTAAATATGCTCAGTTTTAATCCGAATATGAGGGCCAACTGAAATGTTATGCATGTAGATCTGAAGGCATGGGATGACATAACTTGGTGAGTTTGAAGCATAATTAGAGCCACCGTCTGAAAAATTGTTGCTAATTTGCATGTTATACGTACAAATAATGGGCAGTGTCTACATAAAGAAATTATGCATTTAAGTAGCTGTAGTTCGATCACTGTAAGTTCAAACTTGATTCAAGTGCATAATTTTGCTTTATTATATGACCTGAAAAACATTAATACTGTTTGGAAAAATAAATTGTATGAAAAAAATAAGTATAAATTGAGTACGTATGACGTATATAATGCAAATTAACGACTATAATATTGCTCTCTCCCGTTCTGGTACATAAAAAATTAAAGTAGCTTTCCCTTTTATTTGGACAAGAATACCTGATGCATGGCTTTTTAAATGTTCACATTACATACATACATACATACTACACTTGACTAATTATCAGAAGTTTTATGTTTTGACTGTTGACTGTGAGCACAGCTTATTGAAATTGGACATGCATATAGATACGTACATTCGTACTTTTTTAGCCCCAAATTTTTTAATATGCAGTGTTATTTGGTAATAACCAAAGAGTAGTATTTACATATGTGTGTGTACATACTTATGTACATGTGTGTGATAGTTTTAATTTGATTTAAAAAATCTAAACATGATTTAAAATATAAATGAATATGTATGACGCTACATGTTTCTGAAAAACAGTCATATAGATACGTATGCATTTACATTGGATCAAACCAATTTATTAAATGCTCACGACCTGCTGACAGCTTTCGTATGCAAGGAAAACGTAATTGAGCTAGAGTCATGATTTAGTCAATTGAGTTTACTAACAAAAATAATTCAAATACTCCGATTTCGATAGACACATTTCAAAACTTTCAAAAGCTGAAACGTTTATTATTAATCAACGAAAAAGAGAAATACAATAAATATTTGTGTCATAGCAGTAAAACAGTTTTTAGAGATTTTTTAGAAGGTGTAGTTCATCAGAGGAGAATTAAAGCATCCATTAAAACATACTTTTAGAATTATGTAATTTATGAAACTAAAACTAAAGTATAATAGCAAATAAAATGGCAAATTCTATCAACTATGTATGGGAATGTAGTTCATTAATCTTCATCATCGGTATCGGCGCAGCAGTCCCATGACCATTTTACTGAGGGCTTGTGCTCCAAGCATATTTTCCAAATCGGCACTTGATGAAATATTGTCAAGCAGTGTGGATCGATTATCGACGATAAATTTGAAGGCCTGATCTTCTAGTTCCTATTACCAGAAAACATAAAGAGGAATTCTACACGAACAGGAATACAGATAATATTATGACGTTGCAATACTTACATCAGCGCTAGCTTGGGAAGCATTTTGGAAAAGAAAGAAGGCGTTCTCAGCGTTAATGTTCTGGATCAGAATTGCTTCACATTCTTGACGAAGGGAAAGCTCACAGTAACAGTCGGCCAACTTCATCAGATCTGTCATCAAAATTATAATTTTTGTTACTCAAAAGTTTGATACATAATTATCTACATGATTCCGCATACCAAAAATATTCTCGTACTGATCAGAAGGAAGGTTGAGTTTCGCGTGGTAAATAAAGTACAACAACGCCTCAAACACGCAGTATTTTGTATCCGGGATGACAATGCGCCTGGTTCATGGATATTAAAAAAATAACAATACATAAATTGAATGAAAACATGTAATACTTGTGACTCACGATTCTTTTTTTTCTTTCCATTCGTTTTCAAGCATCTTTGCAAAATGGGTACTCCGACACTTGAGAATGACACGATGGGCACCAATATCTTTACATTCCACGGAAAATATAACGTCCGCGTCATTCTGGATACAAATAGAATAATTACAAAAGATTATTAATTGAACAATTTCATGTCAAATGTCTTACCGCATCCCACAGACGAGCAATATCCTCGCACAAGGAGTGACCAGACTCACGAGGACCCACCATTTCTATTCTAGGCTTAATGGAACGGTGCGATTTCTGAAAAGTTTTTGCAAAGATTTCGTCGACGCCAGTACTCGAAGGAAACGAGCACATCCATCCATTGGTCCCGAACATTTTTCCAAGTCGAATCTTATCTGCTACTTCAAATAAGCAAAATTCCTCCGTAAAATGCGAAGCGATATCGCCAACACCAAAAATGAGCACGGGTGACCAAACCGGAGTATCTGCCGAAATATCCAGTAAATGAGCCGTCTTTTGAACCGTCAAGCCAATAATCACACTTTTGCTCGTCGTTATCTGTAGGTACAGGCATAAACAATTTAGATCAAGATACAGGTAGACATTGTACATGTTCTGGTAAACTATTATGACCTTTTTAAAGGGTGTAAGGTCAGACTCCATTTTTTCCGGTTTTCCAAGGGGATTCTCTATTTTCCAGTAATATATCTGTAACGATATAAGTCTTAAAAATATGTATGTACACTAAATAAACAAACTAATTAATTTAATTTACCCACCTCGCCAGTTTTCGTTAACGCTAAGCATATCAAATCAATGCACGCCAATGAGGTGATTCTTTCTCGCTGGGGGTCCTTTTCGATTAAAAACGGGTCTTTTTTCCCGCATCCCCACTGATGAACCTGGCCGTCATCAGTGAGAGCCAGTCCAATTTTAGCCCCTGGCGACACCACGGCCATGGAGACACGGCGTCGATGCAGACTGCCCAATTTGAGTCGCGGACGATCCTTTGGACCGCCACCGATTCTGTACCGGGACCAAGAATACAGGTCTCCAGCCTTCGTCACGATACACATGTATTTAGTCTCCATAATGAATTCTGTATGGCATATAAAAAATAAATATTAAAACCTAGCTTCCAGTGAAAACTTTGCTGATTTGGAGATTCTAACGTTGACCTTACCTTTGACCCTTACCCCACAAAGTTCAGGAACCTTAATCACGTTGAGGGATGAACCCTCGCTGTCGCTGGTGTCCCGAGACAGTAAAAACACATCGTCATCAATTGTGACGATAATGCCAACGTTTTCATGAACATGAGCCAATCTTGCTTTCCTCAAAATAGGTTCGGCAGTACTGTCGCAGAAAATATTCCAGATTTTTAACTGAGTTTCCATGGCCAAGGATGAAGCACTGGGCGACGCAGCTGGAGACGACGGGGGAGGAAGGCTTATCATGTTACTTCGTGTTGTGACGATGCCGACGTCAAGTGGTTCGTCATGTGTTCGATAGATTTGGCGGAAAAGCTGAGAAAAAGTCACGCAAATTAGTCTCACTTTTCCCATTTCACATATTATGAGATTGTAAAATATTTTTTATAATTATTTTTTTGGGTCCTCATCGCAGCCTAAGGACGTATTTATTAAAATAAATAAATCTAAAACATGCTTTCAATTTTTTAGTAGTAATAAACAATCAAGGTTCTGAATCCAAAATTATGCATAAAATAGCCAGCAATAATTCTTGCACAACAACACTTTTAAAATCTTGCTTGTGTAATTTATTTTTATTTTATTACAAATCATATTAGAAATCGTCCCCTAAGCATTTCCTAGTCATCCCTGGTTTGTGGCATCATGGAGAATTTCGAGAGTTCTCCCAAAGGGTCCATTCCTGGCATCTGAGGCTGTTTGAACTGATTAGTGATCTCGTTGTACATTTTGTTCATGAAGAGGGGCATGTACCCCTCGTCTTTGGGGAGGTTTGGCATCATCAGATTCTCGCGACCTCCCAGAAACATTGACTGCATGGATTCTCTATTCCTGGGGGCGGCGTCCGTGCAAGGCTAAAAGTTAAGCAGGAAACAATAAGATGAAATAATGAATGTAAAAATGATTTTATCCGTCTTACCATGAAAACTAATAACGAGGCGAGGACTCCAGCTAAGATAAAGCTGCTCAATTTGATTAAGGAATTCATTTTAATCTGATTTTTTAAATTGCAACGTTTTTTTAGAATATTTGCCAAGTAGGTACTTAGTGGAAGGTTAAGATTCAGCGAGTGTGCTAATTTCATATGCATATTTTGCATAAAATTGGCATTTCTTTATGACCGGACGAAAATTACACATCCTACCATTGTGTAGTTTACTCTTTCCATTGGTGACTAACTGATTCGGTTTAATGGTCTTGTCGTGACTTTGTGCATTTAGTCCGCGATGTAAAAGTAGACCAATTAAAAATCATTAATAAATACATTGAAGTAGTTTCATAAGTGAGTAATTTGAGTACTTCTGATTGTTATTGTAATGCTAAAATTCTCAACTATATACATTTGGAGACTTTCGGATGGCATGAAAACGTTGAATGGAATAGATTTTAGTTTTTTAAAAACCATAAAAATTTTATTTTTATTTTTACTATAAAAATAATTTTTAAAAAGAGTAAAAAAGCAGCATTATGTTCGTAAGTCATGATTCGTGACATTTTTTGTAAAATGTTTTTTCATGAGTATTTTTCATGAGTCTCATGAAAATACGGATTTTGATATATTTCCATTCTGCCCCGTTCAAGTCGATGATTGCCGGTTTGTAAACCTGCAAGCAGTCAGTAAGAAATACTCCACAGTCACTTTAGCACAACACAACAAATGGTTGATTTGATTGTCGAATTGACAAGATTTTGGATACTTTTTCTTTTTTAACTTGTTTCTCCCTCTGATCACAATGACAAGTTTTTACCCTGCTTAGATCCAACTAAATTGGCAGTGCTGATCATTCCGACGACATGGAAACTGATCCCATCATTATAAAGGTGGAGCAGATCTCCCAAAGTGGAGATCGAGAGGTCAACCAATCTGACCCCGAACCAGTCCTCTCCCAAAGTGACAACGAGCCAGGCGTCCACGAATGTGTAGACGCCGAGGAACTGACCGCTGATGACGAAACGTTGCGAAAACGTCCACATTGGCAAGAACCTGTTGACGATGAGGAAGAGGGGCCGGTTAGGATCAAAATCAGAAAGGCAGCTGACTTGTTTGAGCCCCCGGAGGGCGACGATTCCTCCACCAACACCTCCACTTCGTCATCCTCTGAACAAGTAATTCCTACTCCGGTCACCAAGGTGGGTGAAATAACAACCCCACCTCCTTCCCCAACGTCGTCATCAGTATCATCAAATTTGGATGACGATTGGCTGGGTGTATCTCGACCATCAGCCAGCATTGCCAACGCTTTCGAATTCTCCTCCACCGCCATCTTATCAAACCACGACGTAGACCATTACGACCTCAAAGATGAAACAAAGTATCACAAAAACTGTTCTGGTCCAAAACTAAGAATTCCTCCTGTTGCCCATTACAATGCCCACGACCCTGACGACGAAGTTAAATACATTGCAGAAAACAAAGCCAAAACGAAACAATTTATTTGTGATCACGACAAAATTGTAAGACGGTGTAAGATTTAATTTCCCATATTAATTAATTACAAATTAAGACTTGGTCTGTTTTTTTAATGTTAGCGAGCAGCAGAGGCGGAACTTGATCCAGAAAGCGAAGAATGTGACAAAGGCGAAATTAGTTTAGATTGTGGTATTCAAAGGAGGAAAGTTTATGAAAAATATGATTTTACTTCTCGTCCCATCTCAACTGCTCAACTCGCCATAAATTCTGCCAAAGAGAAGGTTATTTTTTGCAATTTAATTCTTATTTATTAAGAAGATGGATTATTCATTCATTCAAATTGGTTGATTAACTGATTTAGGTGTTGACAGCGATTGAAAACCATCGCGTTGTTATCATTGATGGTTTTACGGGATGTGGAAAAACTACTCAGGTACTATTAGAGTCGTTATGATAATTTTTTGGAGGGTAAATTAACCGAATAATTAATTCATAGATCCCACAATTCATCCTGGACCAACATTACGAACTCAACAAGGACTGCAACATTGTCGTGACTCAACCAAGAAAAATTGCTGCTATTTCTGTCGCCCAGCGAGTTTGCGAGGAACGAAATTGGAAAATAGGCCAAGTCGTTGGATATCAGGTGCGTACGACTAATGGAAACAATAAGTTAATTAATCGACATTCACATTAATTATCTCCACTTTTATTAAAAGGTTGCAAAGGACGTTAAACGGGATAACATGGATACAAAGTTGACCTATATGACGACAGGAACCCTCCTCGAAAAGCTAATTACCACAAAAAGTTTTCATAACTTGACGCACATCATCGTGGACGAGGTACACGAACGCGACCTACCGTCTGACCTTCTACTTCTGGTCATGAAGAAAATTTTGCTTGACGATGTCGAGGGGAACAATAAGAATGTGAAGCTCATCCTGATGTCTGCCACGATTGACTCAGCAAAGTTTTCAACTTATTTTCCGATTCTGGTCGGTCGGTCGGATATAGAGGAGGCACCAATTATAAAAATTCCACACACTTTCCGACACTGTATCGAGGAATACTTCTTGGATGATATGCCTTCTTATCGGGTACGTAAAAATAGATATGGTCAAGAAGTTGTGGATGTGGAAAATTTGTGTAATCTCTTTTTCGTAGAATGACGTGCTTAACACGATGGGGGAAGTGTGCCAAGAGAAACCTTCGATTCCTAAAGAATTATACGATGTAGCGGTGGAATGCATTGTCAATTTGGATCAACATGACCCAGCCATTCCGAAAAAGGAGGAGACCATGGAAGATGTTGAAAACCGCCATGTTAGTTAACTAAATTGTTTGTAATATATTAACCAAATATTTAACCTTAACCCTAATCTCCTGTAGAAGAAGATGAGAGGATCAGTATTGGTGTTTCTTCCCGGAATGGAAAATATTGATAGACTCAGTCGTCTCTTGACTGAGAGGAACAAATCCGATCTCGAAAAGTAACCTAAATAAATCATAAATTATTTGTTTGTTGAATTATTAAGCTAAATGCATTTTTACCCATAGTGATCCAGATACTAAGGACAATCACGACTTTCATCTCTGGGACATTATTCCCCTACACTCGAAGATTACGGCAGACGAACGGAAGAGAGTATTCGAACGACCTAGGCCTTTCTTTCGTAAAATCATTTTGTCGACCAATATTGCCGAGAGCTCTATAACTGTCCCGGACGTGGCTTATGGTAACTAATATAATTTAAACCAAAATTGCGTGACTTTATTTTTATGTTTATTATTCGCTGTCTATTCAGTGATCGACTTTTGTCTCACAAAATCCGTGTGTATTGAACCCGATACAAGTTTTACTACCCTGAGAGTTATGTGGGCGTCGGTTAACCAATGTATTCAACGAAAGGGTCGTACCGGACGAGTCTGTGATGGAAAAGTATTCCGTTTGGTGACTAGAGAGTTTTTCTCGGTAACACGACACATTGTTTTAAGCTAATATTCTACCAATTTATAGTATTTTCTGTATGCTTAGAAACTGCCCAGAAATGCAGAACCAGAAATGAAGCGTTCAAATTTAGAAACAGTCGTCCTCAGCCTTAAGAAACTCAGTCTAGGAACACCGAAGGAGTTACTGTCAATGGCCCTGGACCCACCCGATTTGTCCGGGATTGAACGAGCTGTCGCAACCTTAAAGGAGGTCAGTAATCTTAACCTTTCGTAACTATAATAAATATATATTTTTGTTTACTGAAGCTAATTATTTACAAATTGTATATTTTTCACTTGTGTAGCTTGGTGCCCTTACCATAATGTCTTCTACGCGTTCAGACGGAAGACCTTATTACGACACGTGTGACGGTGACCTCACTTACTTGGGATCAATCATGTGTGACTTACCAATTCATCAGCAGTGTACAAGACTAATCATGCTGGGTTATTGCTTCGGGGTCATGAAGGAGGCAATTATTATTGGTGAAATATAACAATTCATTATCTTTAAAGTGACTTATTTATTCCGCTAAAAATATATAGGTACTGCTACTTACTATATAAATATTTTATATTTGTTTAGCTGCCACGCTCAGCGTCAAAAATCCATTCTGTACCCCATTCATCCGATCCCTCAAACCCTACCTATCCCGACTAAATTATTCAAAAGAGACTTGTTCCGACTTGTTTACAGTTTATCATGTCTACATGGTGTGGTTTATTTAAATTACAACTACTCAACCTTGCAGTAATTAATTGCCATATTATAATTCTATAGCATTGGTGTAAGCAATTTGCGGACAATACGACCTATAACGCCACCGACGGTATCGGCATCGATTTAAGGAAGAATCGGGCAACATCAAATGAAAGACTGTGGGAACGTGGCGCTTCCGTACAACTGTCGGCGTTAAGGTGCGTTTTTTATTTAAAAATTTAATCAGTTTTATCAGTTCTTTTTAAAGATATTTAATATTCGATTATGGAACAGAGAGATTAAGGCTACGGTTGACCTAATCACCGAGCGTCTGGAAATGCGTGGGTTATTGTGTACTGATAATTCGCTAGCCGACGAGGATAAAACAGCATCATCCGACGGGCTGGGAAAAGATGCTGGAATTATGTTGAAGGTTCACAATTTAAAAAAATACATGTGGCACTGCAATAAATATTTTTTTACGTAGTTGGCTATTGCTGGGGCATTTTATCCCAACTATTTTCAATCAAAATGTTCAAATGCAAAATCTTACGAGCGAAACAAGTCGAGAGAAGTTGGCGGACACGATCTTTGCAATACTGTGTTATTTACAGGATTTCCGACCGGCCATGACGGCAGAGTGTAATTTGAAACCATTCTTTATTTAATAATTAATAATGTGCAATAATATTCGTAATTTTCTTTACAAATTTCCAGTTACGCTAAATTCATCTCGGACTATCTATCGTTTGGAATGAACGTGCCTGCGATCAGGTTCGACGGAAAGAAAGTCTTTGCAACGTTTGATCCGCATCAAGTTCGTGCAACACTAGAAAACCTTTCAGAAATTTATAATTGTTCCGGCAACAGAATTTAATAAATCTATTGTAGGAGAAAATGGGACACATGAGCAAGGGGATCTATCTTGGAGTTAAACGGAGACAAAATCGGGACTATTTGCAGATTCCATTGACGTCGTAAGCTATTCAAATCACAAGAGCGTAAAAAGTTTAATGTCATTAACATTACCTTCTTGCTAACAAAAGAGCAACCCTTGAAGAAAAAATTCTGAAAGACTGGGAGCAGAAGTTAAAAATGCGAATATTCCGACCCTGTCCAGCTCAGATTGAATTACCAAGAGTCAATTGTAGTCGCCTTCAAATTCGCGTCGTACATGTGAGTTGTCTCATAATAATAGTATTTTATGGTCATCCAATCAATTATGATTTTTACAGGTCGAAAATCCTGGTCAATTTTGGATAAATTACTTCCATAATGTTGCAGCTATGGAAGAGATGGGAGACAGAATCAACCAGGAGTTGGTGCATATGCCTGTCCATATCAGCAGGGTCGTTCCTAAAGCTTTCTACCTCGCTCCGTTCCAAGGACGATATTATCGGGCTAAGATTATTCTTGCCTTTCCGAACGCGATGGACGATTCCCTGGTTAGTCTCCCTTTTAGCAATTTGTGATTATTTTCAAAGTTTAATGTGTTTTTTGTTAACAAATATTCTGCAACTAGGTTTTCTTTGTGGATTATGGGAATATGGCTTGGGTAAGAACCTCGACTTTGCTGGACTTTAGCCCCTCCATGGTGGCCAAGGGATATGACAAGGTGCCATGTTTGGTAAGACTTAAATTAATGTGTAGGTGCTTGCATTTTTGTTACAAATTTGTTTTGACGCTTGGTTTTTTTTTATTTTAGGCTGTGGAATGCCGACTCGCAAAAATGAAACCAGCCTCAATCTATGGAGCTGTATGGCATGGCAGGGCTATAACGGAGCTGAAAATATTTTCGGAAAATGCTCCCTTCCTTTTTATAGAGGTGAGCAAGCTTAATAATGGAGATGTTGGTTCAGCATTCAGCAGTAGGATCAGACTTATTTTATTTTCAGGTATACTCAGTTTCCAATAGCACAGTAGCTGGGGCATTAATTGGACATGATCATAGTGGAGTTGAGCAGAACTTCAACAGGCGACTTGTCGATTTTCTTGGCTTAGCACAGACTTGCGAAGAAAACGCTCTTTCAGAGGTAATTAAGTAATTAAGTACTTTGTACAGTTATTTATTTGATTTAATTAATATTGTACAACTTTATTCTTTTTGTCAGTTTAATCGGAAAGTCCGAAATCATATCAATCATCTAGATAGCGAAGAAATAGATGCACATAATAAGCAACAAATTGGAGATGACCTAGATTTTGACTTTGTACAATCCTCCATGAACAAAACTCAATATGTACGCGCCCAATCATATCACATGAAAGAATTTATTTACTTAGTTCATGCAAATTATTTACAGACCCCCACCATCCTTAGTGGTCCATTCAGCCCTCTCGAGCTCAGTTTCAGACAATTATGTCAAAGTAGCAATACGAAAAAAGTAAAGATTGACGGCAACAGTGTCAACTCTATAGTTTTGGAAAGTGAGCCTAACGCCCCAATTTCACGCTTTATGGTTGCCTCGACGATAGACGTGCAAGACTCCACTGGTGACATTATGGCGAGAGATACGACAATTATGCCCCCTCTTCCAGGGATGTTGCCCTTAATGGCAATGCTGTTTTCCCCCAAGATGGAGTTACGAGTGGACATTCGTCAGACGACGTATACAGGCGTGCTTTGTGGTCTTGGGCCAACCCCGGGTCAGGACGACATTCCTATTTATATGGACCATGATTTGGAACTAATTTTCGACACCGAAATCCGTGATGATGACATTGACACGGTAATTATCTCTTCCTACATTTTGTGGAGAACATCTGATAATATATATTTTAAATAATTAACAGATCAACAATATTCGCTACTTGATGAACCTCATCCTCCGAGATAAAAATAGCCGCAGTAGCGTCAGCTCTTCGACTCTGTCTAATTACCAAAAATCCGTCAGAGCCGAACTTTTAAAACTCTTACAAACTCAGAGGCGGCCAGTGGAAGAAGTCTCTACATTGGAGGAATACGCATGGAACCAGATCGATGAACGGTTATTAATGCATTCATCAAAGTCGTTCAAGTACCAGGCTGGCGACATATTTGCACCCCATGATAAAGTCAAGTTGAAAGATGACACAGTCCGAAATTGGAGGTGGGAATTTGCCGTGTAGGATTTGCTGGTACAATTTGTCAAGCTATAATATAGACTTGTATCGGCACATTTTTTTGTGTTCTTTTTATCATTCTCGTTAACTTGTTAGTTATTCTCGTTATAAATCTGTCCTTAAATTCATGCGTACGTATTGTTTTAATACTTACCAAAAACATAGATCTATGTTGTTAGTACAGAAATACTTGTTTTTTGCGATATCGGTTAATTGCTTTAATGAATTAGACAAAATAGTAATAAATTACTTTAACCTGTAATACAATTAATGATTGAATTGCGCATCTTCATTGGACATTAAAGTTAACAGACCATATAATTATGCTAAATACCATTAAATTTATGCATAAATCGTATAGCAAGTGATGCGAGTTGGTATATAATCTTAAACTCTGATGCTTAATTGACAGTTAACTTTATTTCGACAACATGAAATTATTTATATTTATTTACAACAATTAGCGAACTCATTTTTAGGAAATTTATTGTTAAAAAATGACAAGTGAATTAGAAATTTTTTTCAAGGGGATAGTTTTATAGTACTAAAAATTGAGTTTACATTAAAGTAAAAAAACTGAATTTACATACATTTTTCTAAATACGTTACCCTAAATACATATGTAAGGTGCATAATGTCCACATATATGAAATTACCAATAGACTTAACACCCCTAAAAGTAATCTCAATCGTGAAAATCATTACTTCCACAACAACAAGCATTCCCATCAAGACTGCCAATCCTTCATAATTCCTATATGAAATCATGTCGTTATCTTGAGAATTCTCAGTAATTACTAAATTGGCTTGTAAGCGATGCTTTCTTTTATGTAATTCCACCCGTGTTTTATATAAACCATCCCAAAATGATGCAATCCCAGTTTCCTTCATAGTCTTTCTTACCAAACCTAATTCAATCTCGCCTTGCACAAAATATCGATCAAATATGGGCAATTTTTGAACGTAATCCACCGTAAGACACTCACGATTTGGTAGAGCCGTTTGAAATATTGATTTGTACCCGTTGCTAAGAGATTCGTCGATAATTGCAAATCTTCTGTCTTTATATTTTACTGCATAATCCTTATTTAAACTCTGCAAGGTAGAATTTGACATGGAATAAAACATTATTTTGTTCCTATACTCGGTTGACTTAGTGATGCCTTTTTGTCTCAGGTCGAATTCATAAGTTTGAAAGGCCCAGTTCAGCATTGCATCTCTCGTCGTATTCCTGATAAATCCATCCTTTTGTGATTTTTCTTCATAATATAAATATTGTAGCTTGAATCCATTCCTAACTAAATGGGACAGATTTCTATATTGTGGGCGCTTCAGTGGAGCTAGTAATTGGCTCGTGATTTGATTCTCGTACGACAGCTGTAAAAATATAGAACTGCCTGATGCAATAAGAATAATTAGATATTGTTTAGGGGATGAATATTGGCGAAAAAGAAGTCTTATTAGTTCCCATAAATTTGAGTAAAGAATTGATAGCTTAATTCTATAGCTTTGTTGTAATCCAAGTAGCAGCGCCAAAATTGATAATGTTGCAATGATCCAAAACCATACATGTGATTCAAATGGTGACGCCCACACAGCCAATCTAGCTAATTCGTTTTGCCGAATATATTCATCTAAACAGTAAAAAATTCCCATTTTCATCATATCTGTGAAATAGTCTCCAGAAATTGGGTGCCCTGTTTTCTTATTGAAGCGAACATACCCATGGATTCTTGTAATGGGATTTGACTTTTTATTACGCCCATACGCCGAGGCATACCTTAAACTTGCACTAAAATTGAAATAATCTGAAATAACTTGAACTAGGATTATTTCTGTGACACAATAATGCGTCATATAGTACGTGGCGTATTCATCTTTAATATCTTTCGTTAGTAACCACGGGCTTTGTAAACAGTATAATCCTTGATGTTCGTGTCGATTCTGATTAGCGGCTATATCAGTGTCGTAAATCAGCAAATTTCGCTTTTCGACATCTTCCCAGTACAGTTGTAAAAGGTTAATTGATTCTAATTCAAAATTAGAAGCATGTTTTAAATTGTTTTTGCAAAAACTGCAGTAGCTGAACAGACGACTTGAATTTAGATGAATAATCCAGAATGGAGTGTAATTATAATGGAGGTCAATAATCCAAAAGAAGTATTGTGCCTGAGATTCATAAAACGGTAGCGGAATCTTTGTCAGCCATGTTTGGGGAGTTCTATAGGTTAGTATGAAAGATGTTTTGGGACGGTAATACAGATCAAAGAATCCAAGATAGTTACGAATAAGTTTGATAGGACTGATTCCATCCAAACCAAGGATAAATATGGCACTGCAAACACCCTCCAAGTGAAAAGTCTGAAAATTAATATATTCCAAATTTCCGTACCAATCGGTACCGTGAAATATTGTGTATCGTGGTTCTCCAAATTTGTTTGTGTGCATATCCGACAAATCCTTTTGAATTACATTTTCAACAAAGTCCATTAAAACAGATTTTGTTTTCTCATTATTTATGTTTTTCTTGGAATATAGAATTACGAAATGCTTAACACATGCTTCAAAACCCTGGAGGCTGTTGTGAGATTTGACCTTTATTATTGTTAAAAGAAGGAAATGAAAAGTCATGAAGGTATTCTGCTGATAAATCATATTAATTTTTGGTAGAATTTTATTTAATATTTTTATTGATTGATTGAATAGTTCACTAGAATAAGTAAGGAAAAACGCGTACGAATGAACTAAGGAAAGGAATGTATGCAGAATTGTTCATCAGCACGTGCATAAACAGACATAAATTATTTCAAGTCTTTCAAAGCCTTGGCATTTAAACTTAGGATTAGCCATGACATCGCCCAAACTGAACATGCAAAGGAATGGTAGTCGCATTAGCGAAATTGATTCTTGGTTCGAAAGTACATCTAAAAATATGTACGTTGTGCTAAGAATGAACAGTTGACGTATATACAGTTGTATACATTATTCATGTATGTATATATATGTGGTTCCTGAATATAGCCCAGAAACATGAGTTAAGATTTTGGTTTGAATCTGTCCAATAGGATTTTCCTGAATAACTCAAGGAAAGTTAAAGATTTTCAAACTATTATTTGGTATTTATTACGAGTTCGCATGCTCCCATATTTTTGTTAAATTTATTTTGCTCACAATACAAACTTTGCATTCATTATAAGTTTCCGTGTAGACGCGCAAACTCAATTTTCTGGACAATTTTAAGAAAATTTGTGCGCACTTTATTTTGTTACTTATGTATGTACGTTAATAATGATGCGAACTCGTCACGAATACCTCTACGGATATTAAGTAAGCGTAATTTGGCTCATTATTCTGAATAAAATTGGAACAATAAAACGAAACTATGGAATACTATTATATGCATTTAAATACACTTCTAACATGTGTCAATTCAAATGAGTGTGCTATTAACGGTGGTGAAGTTTGAACTAATGACTTTCACCTCGTTTACGGTAAAGGTTCCGCCCTGATTTTAAATGCGGTCGATAATTTCCTGTTTTTTATATGGGCAAATTTCATATACATTTACAGATACATCACTTGTCGTTTTTCATTCTAGAATGAAAGCTATGGATAGTTCAAGTTCGCTTTCCGTAAAATTCTAAAATGTACTCTGACATCTTATTCAAGTTGTTGCACATAATGACGACCGCACAAATAGCTGTGGGACCATTTAGGGTACATCTTAACCTGAGCACGAGATTGTTTTGCAACCCTGTAAAATTTCAAAGAAAGTTTTTTAGTACAACTCTAATCTACGTATCTTGGGCGATTTTCGTTTGGGGTAAAACAATTCAACTTTGGTTGTACCACGGAGGTGAAAGCAATCCACACTTTCACGCGTCCTACGGACTAAGTTGCATAACGTTTTTCATACTTTGGATGCTTGCAACGTATTACGTACATAATGACGACCTAATCCTTGGCCTGAATCGAATTCTGCATTATTTTCCACACTTCATAAGTATGTACAATACACGTATCACTTTCAAAATGTTTGTGTTAATCTGAATTATTGTTTAGATAAGTGGATGCGCTCATGGATTAAACCAAAATTAAAGATATACTCTAGAATTATGGACACCATAGTGTTTTTCGAAGTAGTCCCACTTCTGTTACTCCCACTGACCAAGGTGATATTTTACATTTCGTCGCAAAACAGTCCACTCCACCCGAAACAATTGCTCCCACGTGTGTTCGGATTGAATGAAAATGTTATTCTCAGCTTTGCATTCATCGCATTCTTGACGTGGACAGCATCCGTGGCGTGGTACACGATCATGGTGTTTGCAGTCATGGGAACTATTTATATAAGTACATAAGTTTAAAATTTGTAATTTCTACTGTCACTTTTTGAATTTTATTGTGTTTTTCAGTTTCAATGGGCCTAGTAATGCGAGAATTAAAATTAAGCACGAACACAGTCCACTTCTCGCATCCATCTTTGCGAAGGCCGATTCATGTTTTAAGAGAGTACATCAATTTACAACTTCTTAACAAACTGCAGATGCACACTTTAGGATTAACATTTGTATTCTTGCACGGACTACTTTCACATGTTTGCTTATTCTGTAATTTTACCGTGTTAGTAAATTGGTATACATTGGACAGGTCAAATTTGGTAAGGGAAGGATGGAGGTTAATGAAGTTATAAATTTGCTTGGCTTACGCATAACGGAAATATTTTTTTACTCTTCAGATTATGCTCTCTATGTGGTCTGTCATTGTGCAATTAGCGTGGGCCGCAAATCTCCAAGTTACCGGAATGTTTAATTCGTACTCGGAGAAAATTTTGAAATCGTGGAAAAAGATCAAATTCAGGAATAGAATGGAAGAAAAATTCTTTACAAAATTTATCAAATCGATGAAACCATTAGCGATTGGGGTTGAGGGAATGATGACGTTTAAATCCACGTCGGCTCTAATATTCCTTCGGGCAGTGATAACTGGAACGCTAAGAGCTCTGCTTACTTTAGGGTTGGCCAAATCCGGAAATAGCGGTGATATTGTATTAAATGCATTTTCTGGAACAGCTTCATAGTTTTACAGGAATATTTTTTGCGTTATGTCATATTTACATGCGAGATTTAGAAATTTTTAAAATTTTAGAAAAACTAATTACGCCGATTTCATAGGAAAAAATTGGCTTATTTAGAGTTAAATGGGGAAAGCCCCCAATTAAATTAATTTTTTAAGATATAACATGTACATAAGACTCTAATTTTTATTATTTATTGTGCCAAATACAATTATCTGTATCAATTACAATTCCTCAAGAAAACATACTAACATGAAAAATTTCTATATCCTTGGCTGGAGATATGTATAATGTATATAATGACTACCGTCATCCAACTAAACAGGTTTTAAATTTTACAAAATCCTGGAAACAATTCTATCTGATTTACATACATTTTAATTTTAATACCTTGAAGATCTAGCAAGTAGGTACAATTACAGTCAATAGTTACAGTATGCGTTACTATTCAGAAATCATCGGGCGTCCTCGAAAATTTATCGGAACAAGTTTGTTATGCTAGCAAGCAGATCAACACCAGGCAAGTATATTAGCATTCATGTAAATAAACTAACTATATGCATGCATATATGTATGTCTCTCAGAGAGATTTGTCGACTGCGTCATCATTATGTAATGGCAATTGTAAATAAATGTTCATTCATGCAGATCTGCTCAATCCAGTCATGTATGCAGTTAACAAAAAAATATCAGCTGTATACAGTTCCATTTGAGCATTTGAACAAAGTCTCATCCAAAATTTGCATGGAAGTTTTTTGTTAAGAAACTTCACTTAAAAATGGATTTACGAAGTTTAAAAGATAAGTACAAAATTAACCGAAACGAGAATAATCCCTGGATTCGAAAAGATTTAGCCGTTCTGCGTCCTCAACTTGGATCTGGATATTTTGGAAACGTTTGGATAGCCAGACATACACGAGATTGGCAATATTATGCAGTTAAGCAAGTTCACATGGACAGAACTCTGGACACTTTTTTGAAACGGAATCCCAAACAAAGTTATGCATCCGCTCTGGCAAAACTGGAAAGAGAAGTGCACAATCAACAAAGTGTCAAGAGCTGTTTTGTTACGAGGTACTGACATGAAATTGCGTGTCTTAATCTCTTCTTAATTATGAAATTAATTTGTTAACGCATAATGAAAAATCAGCAAATTTGAAAATGCTGACTTCAATATGGTAAATTATAACAAACATCTAACCTATTTTCTTAGATATCACACATTTTGGTATGAAGATTGTGACGATAGTGACCACCAATCGACAGAGCCTACTCCTCCCCTCGGAGTTTCAAAACCTAAGACTGATCTCCCCACATTTCCCACCGAAATCAACCCAGCGTCAATTCCATCCATCGCTTCCAGCACATTTTCTACCTGCGCAGAACTCACCAACAATTACATGTTCATCTTAATGGAATTTTGCAATGGGGGAACCCTCGCCAATTTCTTAGCGACACAATCACGGCCACGAATTATTTCCGAAATTCCTAAAATCTTCACCCATCTTTCCAAAGGACTTGCCGAAATTCATCGTTTGTCCATTATTCACCGGGATTTAAAACCAAATAATATCTTTTGCAGTAAAGAGTACGACTGGAGTGATTCCTTCATTTGGAAAATTGGCGATTTTGGACTTTCCACGAGAAAAGGGTTGGACGAGGAGGTTTTAGAAGAGCACGAATTTTCACAAGGTGGTCAACACATTTATCAAAGCCCAGAAATGGAACGGGGTGAACCATACGATGAAAAAAGTGACGTGTATTCGTTAGGGTTAATTTTCATGGAATTAATTTTGTACTCAATTTCTAAAGATGGGACGACTAAGGGTGTGATTCAATCCAAATTGAAGGAAGCAAATCAGCTTAGTCTTACGCAGATTTGTGACCCCACAATTTCTAGATTCGAATCTATTGTGAAAGAAATGATTGACCCAATTCCATCCAAAAGACCGTCTGCTAATCAAGTTTTTCACAATTTGGTTCACCCATTAAAATTTCATACTCCTAAAACCAAGTTGTTCGAGGGTGTGGCGTTTAGTGGAAGGGAGATTGAAATGGAAATACTACAAGAGAATTTTACCCAAGAAAGTAAAGATGTCTCCTTGATCTTTTTAGACGCAACGGCAGGTTCGGGCAGAACCGAATTTTTGCTACAATTTCTTAAAAGTAACGAGCCAAATATTAACACTATTTGGTTACAAGGTGGACATAATGGCAACTATATCACAGAAGACGTATTATCCCTAGCTTCAGAACTCGATGTAGTTATCAAGAAACATGGCAGGTTTTTTGACGTAGACGATAAAGACAAGAATGAGAGAACAATTTGGGTCAGGATTTTCATGGCACTGACAGAAATAAATAATTACCCGATCGTCATTATAATTGATGATGTACACGAGTTGTGCAAAGTAAAATATAATATTGAATTAATTCTTAAAGCGAAAGAAGCTTATAATGAATTAGGATTGAAGCAATTTAGAATTTTTTTCATTATCGTTACAGATTTGAGTACAAGTATTTTCTTAAATTGTAAGCGTTGCAAACGTTTCTACCAACGTTTGAAAAATGATGAGAAAGAATTCGTTGAAAGAGTTGAGCTCCAAAGTTTGTGGGTGGATGATGAAAATGGACTCGAATTTTGGAAAAATATCATGCCAAGTGATCAAGATCTGCTTGAAGAAATCGGAAAATTGCTGAGATATCATCCAGTAACGATGAAATTAGCGTCTATTATAATTCCAAATTTTTATCGGGAAAAATATTCCGATTTTATAAAGGATATTGACGAAGGTTTGGCGAAGTTAGAAAAAATATCTTACGCATATTGGACTGGATTTATTCAAGATAAGCCTCCATTTTTTATTTGCCCTGCTTGGACACAAAATGAACGCATTTTGGTCGTTGTTTATGCAATATTGTATGATAAATGGTTAGAGGAAAATGTCAAGTATTTCATACAAGTTTTGTCATTTTTAGATTTGCATGGAGTTGATAAAGATGTTCTTTTTTTGATTGTGAAACGAAGTGGAGAAAAATTAAACGTTTTTGAGGAATTTCATAATGATGAGTTTAAACATCTATTGGCAACGGCTGAGTCGTGCGATTTGGTAAGGCATGTGCAAAATGGGAACATTATTTTACGCGATTTAGTCATGAAATTTGTTCAGCTGGATTTGATTGAGAGTGGAAAACAAAAAGTGATTTATAACGTTCTGCTGGGATGCTTTGATTTGTCAGAGTGCGGAATGCTTAAAAGTTTTAATTACATTTTGAGAGAAACTGGGGCAACTTCTTCATTTGTTTTTGGACCACCTATCCCTCGATTTTCTGATTTCCGATATGACGGGGTTGGCGAGTAACTTAACTTTAATTATTTTGTAATATTTGTAAAACACTGTATGCTGCACATGTAACAATAAAAATATAGTAAACTAATGGTAGCATTCGGTGATTTATTTTCTAACCTTCATTGTAATTTTCACTTTATCTCTAATCTAAAAATTGAACGGTTATGCATATTCCTCTATTCAAAATATTTTAAATTTACTCATTCAAATAAGGATAATTTCAATCTTCCCCATAAATATCTAAGTAATTTTCGGAAAGCTAATTGTATTTCCGGCCCCCGCTAGTATTGCCGAAACCACTCTTTCCAGATTCATGAACATAAACTAATTTGTATATAAGTTTATGTAATTTATGCAACAAAAATAAATTGGTCCGCAGCACATTGGTTTTACTTTTTGGCAAATGCATATTGCGTATATTTATGTGCATAAATATAGATATGTACGTGTATTCATATGCAAATGCATACTATATTTGTTTGTACATTTATATTTTTAGCAATTTATCAGTTCATATTGAAATGGAAAGTATTTAGCTGTATACAAAAAGTAATAAGTATGTGCATTTAATTTACAATCATTTCCCATGTATTTTCCCATGTATCTATCTACATGCTAAATACATATTTACATATTATATTTCTCCCTTATAATTGCATATTGATTACGACGATAGCAGCAATTATCCTTGTTTTATACACATTTGATTATACATATGTAGATCGATTCATTATCCGATATTTTTAGCCAGATTGTCAACGTCCCAAGGCTCACATCAATATATTTCCGTAATTTTTAACGTAGATTTTTCTCCAATCCATCCTAACTTGACCATGTGGGACGTCTCAAATTTGTTTCAAAGTTACAACTTGTTTTTATCCACCATTTCGAATTATAACATTTCATTTCGGGAAGATTTTCCCCAGTATGCTCAACAAATTGGTCACTGCAACCATTATTCCCCTCGAATCGTAGACGTTATCCACGAAAACGACACACTTATCAGTTATACAAATCAATTAGTTATTTCACACCATAAATCTGCCCTTCAATTCATCGCCATAGTAAATTTAGCAAATACACAATTTTCTGAGGACAATGTACCTCATTGGAATTTACGAAGGACACAAAAACTTGTAAATCCAAGATACACATTCGCCCATCTGGCCGAAACTCAACCAAAGTACATTAAAAAATTAGCATCACTTTATAGCTCATCAATCGTTCTCCTTTTTTCGACTAGCAGTCCTAACATTATTCTAATTCCTCGAATATTGGGTTACCCTCCTCGAACTAAAACTGTTACCATTATCGACAAATTCTTGATTACAGACATCGATCCAATATGGAATGCTTTAAATGCTGATATGCACTTCGCATACTTGGTTGATTTAGGCACAATCCCGGATCGAAGTTATGCACAGGGTGACGCCTGTTGTCATAATCTTTTTATGTGCAAAACTTTAAATTCTGCATAAAGATTTTGCAAAATTGCAATCCTCTCATCGAAATTCAACTTCACTTCCATTCACAGGGAAAAATTCCTGAAAGAAAAATCAAAACTTGAAGTAGCATTGCAAATAATCTTTCGGAACACTAATAATGATGTGGACGAGGACGTTATGTTGGAATACGTCACGTATAAAGTTGAACGCAAAAAATTTTCATTTTACGTCGTAACAACAGTTCTATCAATCGGAAGTAATTTGGGCACGTTTTTCTCCCCGTTTGATTACGTGACATGGATTTGCATCTCGGCGTCTTGTCTTTTGGTGACCGTGGTGCTAATATTTTCCAAGACGCGAAATGTTAAAATAATGAAGAAGAAAGAAGAACTTAAAATTCTACACTTTTTACACGAATTTCTAAATTTCATCTGTTCTCTGTTAGGCCAAAGTGGACAAGGAATTAATCATAGTAAGAAAATGCTACTCTTGGTAGCCTGGTATTTCTTTGCTTGTTACATTCTCATGGAAAATATGTACCAAGGTTTTATTTTCGCAAATTTATCTACAACGACGTCACCCGTAGTTCCAAAAACATTTGCAAATTTGTTGCAATCAAGTTTGCGAATTTTGACTTTAAGTGCGGTCACCAAACAAAATAGCAATTTAACTGGATGGAGTAAAATGTCGATATTAAAGGATAATCTACTTCCCACAGTTTTTGCTAGTGCAAGTGCACTAAATAATACAGCATTTTCCCAAGTCTTGAAAAAATTCGACTCAAAATTGATTGATCTGAAAATCTTCGAGACATATTTTTTAAATGAAACATTCAGTACAACGACATTGGATGATATCTCCATTCCACATTTAACAAAAAAGTTGACACCTCATCCAACTTTTGCAGTTATTGATATGCGACATTATCTAAATATGTATTCGCAATTGATAGAATTTCTTGGCGAACGTTTAATAATTGAAAATCATGCAGATACTCCATTTCAATTGTACGTGTTTGACATAGGAATTAGAAATTTTATGTATCCCAGAGTTAACAATGTGTTGCAAAAAATTTGCGAATCGGGGATTGAGGAGAGATGGAGTATTCAGGAAGCATTTAATGAGCAGATTAAAATAATGTATAAATTCGGAGACCTTGTTTATAGCAGAGCCTTTGCTAAAAGAATGGCTGGGAGAAAACCTGGTCAAATTGTACCAGAAAAAAAATCAGTGTCCTTGACAGCACTAAAATATTTGTTTGCATTTTCTAGTTTAATAATTTCTTGTTCAACTCTTGTGGTTATTGCTGAATATTTATTTCATGGTGGGAACTTTGTAATAAAATTATAAATGTTTCAGAATTTCTAAACTTACAAGGTTATTTATTTTAGTGAATAAATTAGTCCCCAGTTTTATTATGTTGTATTTTTGCTCATATGCTGCATATTATTTTCTATTTAGGTATTAGATTATTATAAATCGCAGAGTTTGTATGGCTAAAGTATAAAAGTATAAAGTATAAAAGAAGGATGTGTTTACTTAGAAAAACTGACTACACAAGAGTCGTTCATAAATTCACATTTTGTATGTAAATATTATGTACATTGGTAGTTATGAATAATCTAATTATTTAAGATCCTTATCGTGCATAATGGTATCAAGACGATTTTTAATTCTCACTTTGAAACTTAGTGCGGAAGTAAGTAAAATTGAGTCACTGAATAAATAAAGTAGCGGAAATGAAAACGATCGAAATTAATGGACACACGCCGTCATAAACACATGCCTATTTGGTAATACGCTGGTGAGGTAATGAATCAAAAAATCATATAACGTATGATTTTCAATGGAATTGATAAGGTAATGAAAACAGCATGATTCACAACCGGACGCTGTCGTACAAACGACAAATGTATGTTTAATACATATGCACATACAATGTTCATTCTGTTTATTTGCACATTATGAAAACCTTCACACCAATAAAGCATTACTCTTTCCAGTAACGCATTTACGTACGTAACCATGTTCTGCTCACACTTATTAATTACTACGTACCCTTCATTATTTGCATGTGTAGCTTATCTAAATCGCTTTATCGTCATATTTATGAATGTGCATCATCTTTGTGTCCCATACTGCTTCGCATTGTATACCATTATCTGTTCCATTTTTTGGCTTGGTTATGACTGATCTAGATGAATGAAGTGATAACATTTAGTGAAAGTCAATCATACAAACTTTGCCACCCAGTGATCATCAACTAGTGTGACCAACACAGAGACATTTAATTTCAAATTCAATTAATTACGATAAGATCTTAATGTACACGTTGAAAAAACAAGATCACCTCTGTCTGCCCACATAATTAAGCCAATTTATGACTCGACTTGTCCCTGCGAGTCTGACCTTGTTGGCTGCAGGATGTTTTATTATCGGATCTGTAGCTGTCGCAGTTCCGTACTGGGGACATTTTCGCAACCGTGTGGGTAAGTTGTGCATACATAAACATGTTGCAAATATCAACAAATGCAAAGATTTTGTAAATTTGTCATTTTATTTTAAGTACTCGAATCCGGACACTTGGGCCCTTGGGAAATTTGTAAACATGTTGACTACGGGAGGAAGATGTGTGGCCGGAAATTCGTCATGTACAAGCCAACATGTAATGATGCGCGTTTCTAAATATGTATGTGCATACTTCATCGATATTTATGGGTTCTTGCATATTTTTAGTTGTTGTACTCGCGACCGGAATATGTGCTGCGGTTGGTGCCTTTTGTATTGGAATATTTGGCCTGTTGTCTGCATTTTATGTCAGTTTGACCTTTCGTCCAACCTCTCTAAACACATTAAAGTCTAGAACCTATACTCTTATTGCAATGATTATTCTGTCCTGTGGCGCAGGTATTACATAACAAAACACTTGAACACATTACACGGATTTGTTAAAAATTTGTTTATTATTCTCTCGCAGCTCTTACCTCGGTGACTTCCGTGGGACTTTTTACCACTGAGCAAGGCGACCACCCAGACCGCGGATATGTAGTGGAAGTTGGCGTCTGTTTCTATCTCGAGGTACGACTACGAGTCACATCTAGAGTTATGTATGATCCAAGGAAAGTAATTAATTGTATTCCCCTTTATCAGGTTATTGCTGCCTTATTCTGCGTAATATTAATGCTCTTAACAATCGGTGAATTCACATTCACAAAGCGAGAACAAGAACGATTTGGGAGGTTGGAGCAGTCCAGAAATGGGAAAGGGGGCGAATTAGATTTAAACGAGGACGGTATGACCGACTCCAATTCCAAATACGGACGACATAAAACACGAGGTTTGTCAAAATTTACTTTAAGTATTTGAAAAAACCTTGCTCAACATAATTTAATTGCTCCTACATAATTGTGTATTTAGATGGAGAGCATGACACTCTAATATCCAATTCAAAACCAAGTCCAAATTCCACGACTGGAAAAGACAAAGATAATTTAATTCTACACCCAACTTGGAAAGATAAACGTAATGGAAAAGCCTCAGACGCTTCTGATCCACTTAATCCGAACTCAAAATTGAAGAAACTTCCCAAGGATTCGCCCAGATCCCGCAGAAAATCCGGAGGGTTAGGCATGGTTCCTTCTGTTTTCGCAAGAAGATCTCCGTCACCATCCCCCGCCTCGTCCAGAAGGGGCAGCAAATGCAACAGATATCCGGAACCACTGCACTTTGCTTGTGTTGGCGACGATGATGATGATCACGACGACGACAATGACGATTTACAAAGAGGAAGACCACGTCACTGGCGGAGGTCTCCGTCACCTTCACCGTCGTCGTCGAGGCGAGGGAGCAAATGCAACAAGGCCCCAGAACCCTTACACTTTGCTTGTTACGGATTGGAACAGGAAATTGAAACCTTTGATAAGCCAGGATACTAAAATGGTCACGCAGATAAGGTTTTTTCTATGCAAATAAAAATCAGATAGGGACATAGTATTGTTAGACAAGTATGGCCAATTAATTTTTGGCTGCTGAATGTTGACCTACTGGTTGGATTATGCAAATGTTGCCAATTATTTTGTCGTAAAAAATTTCATTCAAACGGGTTTAATGAGAAAAGTCCTCTTAGATACTTGGGACTGGATTCAGGATCGACAGTGTGTGACAAGGCTTATTATTATTATTGTTATTTTTTATAAACCATAGACATAAATATGTAAATTACACACAGTATTAAGAACTAGAGACAACTACATATGTAGGGTCGTCGTAAATGCATTGTTATATATGTATATTCCTGTTTTTACGTTTACTACGAGGATTAATTATTGGTAGATACCTGAGTACATAAGTACATGTAAAATAGATCATTCTTGCATTTTGTGCCATCAAGCCAGCTCTCTATGTATTAAAGAGGCTTTTGGGTTTCACATTAAAATCATCGTTACACAATCTATGATTCTATTTTGAATATTAATTGACCGAATGCATTACGTGCAAACCGGTATTTACATAAAGGCCCCACAGGAATATGTTCTTATTCTTAAAAATTCGTACGTGACTGTCCTTGTCAATCTAATTTTTAATCCAGCCAAACTAGATTTTTTCGTTTCCACAAATTATTTACAATCTGCACAAGTCTCTTCTTCATAGTCCTAAGTCTGGCCTAATAAGTCTCTACCTGCCCCATTCGTCAGCGTTCCATAGTAATAAACTACCATATCTGAAAATGGGGTCCCCAAAGGATAAATGCAGTTCTTGAAGAACCTCTCACGCACGCCTTGATCTTGAATGGATATCAAATCCTTTGCAACGCGTCCCGCCATGCGTTCCCTTTCTGCTGGCGAAACTTCTGTCTGTAAATATCTGATCACCTGGCTGAAATTATCCACCACGCGATCTTGCCTCGAGATGGGACCGTTCGCAAAACCGGGGACATCCAAACGAGCTGCGAATTCATCAATGCCCGGACCATTGAAGGAATTCGGGTAGTAAATGGGGTCACCGAGTCCGTTGGAGGCAGCGGAAGTGCGAATTGGTCCATCCCGCTCGTATTTTGCAACTGGTGAGATGGGTCGGTTGACCTGAATTTCTTCAAAATTAGGTCCTAATCTATATAATAAAGCTTAAAAAAATTAATCACAGGCTCCAAATGATATTTCAATTTGTCAATTGCCAAATAAAATAATAAGAAAATACTACTTAATGCTGACCTGTAGCGTTGACTGTCCTTGTATGAAAACAATCTCGCAGCCAACATGATGTCCGGCGTATTGGGAGATATGCCAGGAACTAAGTTGGCCGGGTCGAAGGCGGCTTGTTCAATCTCGGCGTAAAAGTTGGCCTGATTTCGGTTTAAGATAAATTCTCCGATCGGTATGAATGGGAATTCGTCCTCTCGCCACGATTTAGTGATATCGAAGGGATTGAAGGAAAGCGTGTTCACTCGATCAAAGGTCAAAATCTGGGGATTATGAGTATTATGCATAAATTATTATCTTTTCCATGGTATTCTAGATATATGCAAAAATCTCAAAATGCTCCCCCAACCTGCATGCCAAACGACCAGCGGGGATAGTTTCCGGAATCGATGGCGTTGTAGAGATCCTTTGTATAGTATCCAGGTTCAGTTCCAGCGAGTGAGATCGCGGCCTCATCCGTCAACGGGGCAATTTTTTGCAACGCTTTCCAATTAAATTTGCAGTACACACTGACCCCGGCGCTGTTCGTGCAGAGAAAAATGTTTACTGAAAATCCGTCCATGCTTCTCATCGAACCTGGAGCGAAAAAATTGTCGGAAAGAAGCTTAATGTAGCGCTGGGTAGTTTCAGGGCGCAGACTGCAATAGATATTTTCTAAATATTAAACATTACAGCACTGTGTGTGGTCAATTAACTACAAAATGTTATGCACCTTTGAAAGTCAAACGCCATATTGGGATCTTTCTGATTAGTCACAGGATTTAAAAGCGATACGCGATTAACGTCCGGAAATAACATGGGATCACTAATGTGAAAGACATCCGTAATAACCCCTGCAAAGTCCAGGTTGCCATCTTCCTTGGTATAGAATCGGAGAGCGAAGCCTCTCTGATCGTGCGCAGTTTCAGCCACGCCTGCTTTTCCATTCACATTGGAGAACCTTTCGGGTGCAAAATTAGCATACATAACGGCTTATTGCAGTGTTGGCTTGCTTTAAAAGAGCATGTAAATATTTTCATACCTCACGAAAACCGGCGTCTCCTTCCCAACCTGATTGAAAACCCGCGCAGCTGTGAAACCAGTGACATCATTCGTGACAACAAACGTGCCAAATGCCCCCTGACCGACCGTATGCACTACCCTTTCCGGCGTCCGTTCTCTGTTGAAGCTAGCCAACTTGTTTATTAGGACAGGATCCATGAGAAGGGGGCCGGCTGGTTGGACTGCGAGGGACGATGTTCCACTGGGGAGGGGATTTCCTGCCCCATTTGTCGCCCTGCGAAGATTGCCGCCCGGGTGGGTCGCTCCCCACGTGGGGAGTTGGGCGGATGAAGGGTCCTGCTGTTTATAAGCGAGAAATGCGATGCCTGCCGCAGCCGTGAGCAAATGGGGGAACATCTTCACCACGACGACGGAGATCTGATACTGGCTCGAGAAAATATGTATGTATTCAACATATTGAAAGGGGAGCAGTAAAGGTGAGAATGCTTTTTTTGCTAACAAATGGACCATCGCAGCTTGTTAATCGTGGCAAGCAACCAAGTATATCTTTAATAAATTGTATGGGTAACTCTAGATTTTTCTTTCTAGTTTGTTTTCTGGTTTTGAAAACGTGTTCAACAACTACCCAGCCCGAGAGTGTTCCAGACAGGGGTAAAAAAATTCATCCTAAGGATGAGTCTCGTGCATACTATGTTTGTTATGTTATTAAATAGGTATATCCTACAATTCCTACAGATAAGTTCATAAACCTACGAAGTACAACTTACACTAGACATCTTTATTTTTCATTTCCCTAAAACGGCGACCTGTACAACACTCATATAAAAATTCACAACATAGTTTGAACGCTTTGGGTAGCTCAGAAATTTCTAGTGCAGGGTTATATCTAGTAGATAAACTAGTAGGAATTTAGTCAGTTAATTTCATTCCTACAGTAATCTCAATTATCAGGATATTTTGTAATTTAAATTTAAATCATGTTTTGATCCGGTTTTAAGTTGGGAAAGGTTATGGCAAGTTTAACAGGTAGTCTTCTGCACTGACTCATGCTGACAGTGATTAATAATCACCTAGCGATATGTTTGAGATTGTCAACTCTTCTTAAAACTACTACAATATGTATCAACTATGTACAACAAACATGTATCGGATAAAAATTCGTAGAATATTTCCTTACACAGAAGTACAAAGTATTAGATACATTGGCAGTATCGACAAGTACTCGTAGTACAACAATGTAAAAAATGCATAAATAAAACAAGTGTTCAAATTTTTTTCTGAGTATTTTGTACAACTTATTTGTGATTATCTATTATCCGAAACCAACAATCAAAACTTTTTCCTTTGCAGGAAATAACTCATGTTTGTCTCATCAAATTAGACTCAATAAAAATCCTTTTCCACAAATGTCACACATTCATGATTCTATCTACATACTCCAAAATGCCATAATCGATGTCGTCTTGAGACAATGAGACAGAATAACAAATACATGTAATGGATAATTATGTCAGACTTATGCATTTCCAGTCAGAGATGAAATAACAAGAGCTATACTTTGGTTTTGGGGTTTAGTTATTTTAATATGCACTGCATAAATAAGTACATACGTATCGTACATAGAATTCAACTTGTTAGAATTACAAGAGTATTTAAAAACGTTTAATTAAGTAGTATTACATGCGGAAGACGAGGTCGTAGTCTCAGAATCGTCCCTGTCAAGGCCAAAAACTCTTCCATCACATGCCTAGCAAAAATAAAAAGTTATGCTTAGTACAGTTACAAAGAAAGAACCAATTATCATCAAGCTCAAGGACAAGCAGGCCAAAAAAGTGGCATGAATCCCGCAATAAAAAGTAAGTATTTGGCACTTGCATTGACAATTGTTGCAGCCTTCTCATAGTCATCTCCAGATTTCTCGTAACCTTTCTTCAAGCAGGCGATATACTATTTTTTCCCAAAAGAAGGAAGTTCCAATGAGCAAATAAGAAATGGAGATAGCTAAAGATTTTTAGAAAATCTTTACCAGCGAAAGGGTATCTGCCTTAGCATTCTTACAAGCCTGGTCCAAATTACCCTTGGAGCTAAGTAAGACCCCAAATATCTCAGTTTGACACGTTTCAAAAGTTTCCTGCCCGACCTGAAATAAAAAAACGTGCATTAACATAAAGCAGAATTACCAATAATTATAAATATATTTTAAAATTTGTATCGTATATATTACTTTGTCCAGAAAACTGTAGCAATGGTGAAATTGCTTGGCCATCATTTCATCCTTGATTCCAGGCGAGCCGCATGCAAAATTAAAAATTTTCTCCCAACTTTCCATGCCAGAGTCGAGATCGTTAAATTTTACAGCATTCGCCATAAATATGGTTATCGTAACCAATACAAGTAGGAAGACAAATTTGGTATGCAGAGCCATTTTCACTGACCATCAAGGTTATAACCGAACTGAGAGTGAAATTTTACCGACAGCGTTTTAAATGTAATTTTCATCTTTAAATGCCAATGTACCTCAACTTCATGGTAGCATTGATAGCCTAGTCAGAAAATGACATGACCAGTAGGAGTAAAAAATATTGATTAATGCGTTTAATCATTACTATATGCTATTTTCTGGAGTCTAAAAAATAGTTACGTAACTATGTAGCATATTATATGTACATATGTATACTGATAAGTTTAATATTATAGCACCTGTCGCACAGCTATGTATTATAGTATTAAAAGTTATTAGTAACTTTCGTTAAAAACAACTAGTTAATATTTTTTTTTCTGACAGACAACTGCTTGCCCAATTTCAAGGACATTATCTCGAACAAAGTTTATCATTTTAGATTTTAGTCAAGTCATATGTAATACAACGCCAAAATATGGTCGGAGCAATTTCTATTAATAAAAAAAGTTAATTTATGTCTATTTGTGTTTTCTTGGGGGGAGTACCACGCAAGTATTATACATTGATTGATTGATGATTCAAGGTATAAGCACATAAACAGAGTAACTTATCTACAATAGCAAAAAACTGAGGAGCAAATTAAGCGTACTCATCTGCACCCATTTCTAAATTTGAATATCAAGCTTCCAAATTATTTTACGATAGTTACATATGTATGAGGTGTGCTAGAGAAACAGGGAGACTAAAGTTGGCTTACGGAGAAATTAAAATACGCCCAACCAAAGCCATCTGCAAAAAAAATAGACGCCAAGGGCACCCGGGATTCCCAAGCGGTCACCCATCCAAGTACTAACCGGGCCCAACGTTGCTTAACTTCAGTGATCGGACGAGAATTGGTGCATTCAACGTGGTACGGCCCTTGACGAACTTATAACACCTTTCCTCCCAAGATGTCGTACAAATATCAAGGTCATTTGCACTGCATGCAAAGTCAGCACGTGTAGAATGGATACAATTCAAAGCTTTGAACCAATTGGCAAACACTGGGATACATGATGTCGTCATTAGCATGATAAATGGTACAGTTTGAAGATCATAAGTTTAATCGTATTGCCAAATATTCCTGTGATTGTAGATTTGCGCTGTACAAGTTAGATATTTTGATGTACATACATATACTCTAACATTCAATTGGGAGTCAATTTTTTTTCTGTAATTCTTTGAGGTATTATTGCGAATGTTGTCATGCAATATTCTAGTAATCATATCTCATGGAATTCCCATGATGGAAATGTTCTCCTATATTTGGTTTTTCATCTCGCTATATAATCTGTTTAATTGGATAATGATTATCAATGTGGTGAAAAACTTCAGAAAAACTCCATTTCGCGAAGACAAATAAAAACAATGCTGAAATTTAGTCATCTCTAGACATCATTTTCGAAATAAGCATAATACAACGGCAGAACGTTAACTGTATTTTAGGTTTCATGCACACACAGTAATAAATACCTCGAATTTTGTAGAAAAATCAAACTTTACAGATTTATAAAACTGGTAAATAGGGAGAATGCTAAAAATGCATAATAATTATGCGATTTCGTTATCGCGTTGCGTTCGAGTGACCATGCAGCACCATAGGATTCGCCATTCTCAATACCAACTTTGCTTCGTCCTCAGAAGTGAGCTCCGGGATCCAAAGGTTTTTGAGCGAAATTGAGACTAGGAGTTTGTACTGCGCAAAGTGAGACGATCGTCAACATGAGACAAGTTGCATGGAAATAGTCATTTGCAGAAGTAAATATCTATTATATAACAAAGAAATTTAACAAGATTATGATTTTAGGAATATTCGACTATGCAAATTTACAGCCGTTCGACTCGAAAATTTCGGATTTCCAGCAACATCGTATATGACAAAGTTTCCATCCTTTTGAAATATAGCATGGCTGTCAACTCTGGTCGTATTTGACCCTGTTCGTGGCATCGTAAATTACGGCGTTGCCATCAAGTTGGAACTCAAGCCAAGACAAGATGTTAATTTTAGAAATGTCAATGATGGCGCCAGGATCGTAACGACAATCGGTAACCACTGCTAACAGAGTAAAATAAATCCAGATATGATGATGATATGAAATGATGGCTGCCTTCATGCTTTAGAAATGTAATAATTCAATTGTGAAATAAAGTAATAAGGTAATAAGTAAATAAGTAATACGTAAGTTGATCTGAACCTCGGGAGACAATTGTCCAGTGTCGAACGTCAATGCCACATATACATATTTTTGAGTAGGTGATACCAGATTTCGCACTATTTTCATAATTATGTGCATGTCCATTTATTTTCAAAAATTAAATGTAATTAGTATCTTGGAATAATCAAGTTAATTGTTCCAATAAATAAATATGACGATCTACAAATAGTCGTTCATTATGGCAACCGAAATTTATTAGGAATTAAAATGAACGATATTGACATTGATATTGACGAGTATGATAAGTACTTGACATGCGCATGTAATAATTAATTAGATAATACTATTTTCAGTATTAATTCCTAACTTAATTACGCATACAAATAAATTAAAAATCTGTTATAGGAGTGCAATTTGTCTCACTTCGCCGAGGTGAAGAATCCTTTCGCCACTTACAAACACCGTATCAAAGTTTCGCCCAAAGAGCACAGGATTCATCACCTGATTATGAAGTTCAATGGAGTTTATCTTCAAATCTCTTCTTATCATTCAATTCATTGTCATCGATCGTTGCATATCAGAATTTATCATCATTACTAAAAATGATGTATGCATCGAACTCAACTTATAATTTACTTTGTTTGGGTATGTATCTATTATCTAAAGTTAAAATTGAAATATTATTTCTCATCGAAACCATAATCTAACATTTATGATTAGGCTACACAATTGACTTAAATTGAAATATAAATACCACAAATCTGTGTATGTTTTTTCATGATTTATAAATGTCAATAGCGGTTGTGTGAGTAGTGTGAGTCATATTCGAGGACTTCGCTTGGAATGACTTGTTATCACTTTAATGTGACCCATAAAAAATAAATACTACTAAAATCTGTCACATTCCCGGAAGGACTAATCCTTAGCTAGCTGCGAGTGACTTACACTCATATTTTTGTCACCCCTACAAAACTAAGGAAAATCCTTATGCTATGAAATACTTACATATATGTATGTAAATGCTTACCGACATTCATGTTGCTTTTAAGGACTCTTCTATGCAATGAACCAATTTAGTCTATCTGTATCGTCTTGTCAAATCGTTTTGATTTTGTTGCTGCCTCCAGTTAAAATTTGTTCATCTTAACAAATCAAAACATATAAGCTCATCATTTGATCACAAATCACGTCGTTTTTTATAACAATTTAAAATTGATAATAACTTCATGGACATGAGGTAAGTATAATTTTACCCAAATTTAAAATTTACCAGCAACTTTGGAGGAAATTTTTTAAGCGTCACTTGATTCCCCTCATGTAGTCGAGAAGCCCTAATTGCCGAGATTCTTGCTAATGTTCTAGACGTCGTAAAAGTGTTCAAGGCTGTAAACAATGGGATAATTCAACCATGCAACTGGGCCATGTTATTAACGGACATGTCGCAAAGATTAACGTTCCAGTTAACAAAGAGACATTTGCAGTACAATTTCGTCATTCATAATTTGAATGAAGAATTCACCATTCATGACATGAGAGGACAGGTCGTTTACGAGTCGTAAGTCAGCTTGCATACATACATAAATAAGTCTTGAAATCAAACAGAACCAAGAAAAATATTCATTGTCTGTTTACTTAATTTAATTCTTCAGGCTCATTCCATCTGAACCCACACGATCGTCGTCGCACCCATATTTGATATCTTGTCCACAATATTATCGTAGATGCATAATATAAAATAAAACATATCATAAAAATCAAAATTTGAAAATTAATTTTTTTCGCAAAGATACAGCAGTTCAAAGAAAATTTGCAAATACATTGAAAATGCTTTCGTCGCCAAAGTGTAGGTTCAAAGGGGTAGGTTATATTTAGGGATTTCATTCATTGATCATTTATTGATAGGAAAAATTTTCAAAAATTCAAAAATTCGAAAAAATGATAAATTTGAAATGTATTGAAAAACTCGATTATCGAGAAGACGGACAAAAATCGCTCATAGGGAGATAAGCCAATCGATGCCTTTGGGCCTGAGGAAACAAAAAAGTTTAAAACCCCACGCGATTTTTGTCCGTCTTGGAGTTTTGGCGATTTTTCGAAAAGGTAAAATTAACATGGGCTGCTTGTGTAGACAGCAGTAAATAATTCTGTGTTCCTACGTGGCCGGGAACATTGACAAAGTGTGAGTTGTGTAGTGTTCTCTTGCAAAAGAGAGAAAAATACATGGCCAGGCAGCCACCACCAGCGAGCAAGGTTTAGCACCTCTATTTTCTGGGACTCGATCAAACGTGTTGCTTACAAATGGAATGAGCCTACACAGGTTTTTCATGGGTGCAGTGCTGTACGGGATTTGGGTATTTGAAACTGCACAATTTTCCACCAAATGGGCCTCTCATGTCGGAAAATTTGCTGCCGGAGGTTGCAATCGACACAAATATTCAACCCATCCTGGGAACGTGTTGTTCTTTACATTGCACAAATCCAAGAAGGGTAGTGAGTGAAAAGATTCTAACTTTGTCGGGCTGTATGTAATACACAAAAATTGTCATACATTGTAAGCACTTTTAGATACGAGATTTTTTTAAGATTTGAACCCTTATTCCAGTGTTAATGGAAATAAGCTTGCAAAAGTGGTTTAAACTCTAGGATAATAAATATATACATACATACATAGACATACATAGTATGAAAATCAATTATGAATCAGCAATTTTCTGGTTAGATTTCTCACTTAATTAAAATTGACTTTGAAACCACTCCATTTAATCATAATTATCCGATTTAAAACTCCGTGTTTAATAAATACAATTGGTACTTATATTTATAGGGAATATGTACATACATATATTTCACTTCGTGTTATGCATGTCCTAAAATAATAAGTTAATAAGTAACAATAACCTTGAAGTAATTATTTCTGTCATCAAATTCTTTGGGCTTAACTACGATAATGTTAACCCCTTCACAATTATTACCCAAATTCACCTCTTACTAACACTTTAACACACATACATTTCAGCAATAAATTATATAATGGAAGCAATTATAAGTCTTTGACTTAATCGCACTATTCCTTAACACATCGCACATTCATTAATTCCTTAACTTTAATAAAAGTAAATTCATTGTTTGCAAACTACAAAATTCCTGTATCACAAGGGGCGTAATGCCATCGATAAAACTCTCGCCAAACCACACCCTCAATGGAATCATTGATACCAACATTTTCTTGTTCATCTTGCTCATCTTTTCCCCCTTCACCTTTGCCAACCACCTACGGCTTCTCTTGAAAACGGTCGCACAACCCGAAAATATAGTTACATTAAGCATCAGTACGTCCAAGAACACTGTCGAAAATAGGATTAACTGTGACCAGTTGACATGACCATGTAGCTCAACAAGCAAGTAGCTTGACAATATTTGCACGACTGGACAGAAGAACGCAATCATGGGAAAGATGCGATGCCTGATGCAGGAATTTAGCAATTTTTCCAAAACATGAAGTTTCCTGTACTCCACAAACGCTGCGGTACTCCTGCCAAAGACATGGGTACATTCCTCCCAGAGGAAAATTATCCCTCCTAAGAGAACGTAAATGACGTAGAAAATAGCAATGACCGTTATGTAGAGCAGGATGACGAATTCAAATGTGGCCAAGCCTAATCGGACCAAGGTTACTGTGGCTGTTTTACGACCCAGGTCAGGCAGACAGAATGCGCTCCGTGGTGGTAATATTATCGAACCCAGAAGTGGTGGTTGACATGGTTCGAGAAAGACTAAAAATCCCATGGCTGATGGCAGCAGAATAGTCACGGCGTCGCATAATGTGTATATTACGGAAAAAATTTGAGCATGAATTGCAAGTATTTTTTCACCTATTCGTAATAACATAATCATTAGCTTAGATTTCTACATCAATTCTAAATATTTTGCACTTTTACCCCTTCTCCGACTCCTTTCTGAACTTTGACACATCTCATTCAATAATTGTAAGCAAGCCGGATCTGCACTCAATTCCATTCTCACAACCAGCGACGCAATGTAAGGGATGAAGAGTAAAATTGGTTGTATTCTTTCCACCCAGGAAATTTTATCCGATGGGGACGATGATAAGCCAACAACTCCAAAAAGTAAGAGGACCAAGACATGTACAAAGTGAAGGAGGGTTGTAAATCGCACGAATTTGCAGACATTTTCGGACGTGGGAGTAACTTTTGTGGAATTTGTTTCCTTCCAAGCGTAAAAATGACAGCGTAGTTTCCCTGCCGTGGCAATATTTCGCTTCAAGTGAGAGACGAGAATATCGACGAGCATAGTTATAAGATATCTTGATAAAGAGAGACAAAGCGTGAATTAAACTTTGTGAGAAAATGTAACCAATGAACAGGGAAAGGAACCGTTTAAAAGTAGGGATTTGTATGTATAGACTAATTGCATACAAGTAGTGTGCGTAATGGCAAGGTGAATTTGATAATTGCCCAATACTTAGCAGCAGATAGTGGAAAATACTTAAGTGCAGTAATTTATATGCAAAAGTGTGGATCAACATTGATACGATATTTACAATAGATGATACGTCAGCAGAGGTGACTATAATTATGTTATTTCGTGCTTCTAAATTTAAATTTAGCTGAAGTGTTGCATTCTAGATTGAATAGCGTATTTAGAAGTATTGAAGATTCGTTTTGTTAGTCCACAATTCGTCGCAAGCGAAATATTTATTAATACACTGCTCCTTTCAGATAAGTATATTTCACATCATAAAGGTTTATCGGGTTAAGAGAAGCCTAGTGTTATGCGGCACATGAATTCATTTCTGTGTACATGTTGATGCTATTTATAAGTTTAACAACAATCGTGTTAGTAGTCAGCTTGCAATAATAATTTGATAATTGATACAATTAGTAAGAACCAAGGGCTCCATGCATATTTCAATACATATTCCATGCGTATAATACACATACATGTACACATACATACTTCACCCGTTACTAAATATCTACATATGAGTACATACCCTGTCATTACGAATAATTAATATCTGCTAAATTGAGTATTATAATGTTAATGAGTTCCAAATAAGTATCGTGAACGCAATTAAGATGTATTGCATATAAAAGATTTGAAAAACTTACTACACTAAACTAAAAATACCTACCCATTTGCCTATGCATACATCTTACATATATACATATTAATGTAAAGACCTAAATCTCAATTGCTCCGACGCTCTGAAATTTATTTTTGGTCCTTTTTACATTGATAAAATTCAAACTTCGCAAGAGTGTTTGACAGAATTAAGGGTATTCCCAGTGAAAAATATTTGTTATGCACAATTTGTATAACGCTCGTTCGATAATCAATTTGATCTGACAAGGTTATGTTTACCGTGTTGGACGGGTAGAAGGACGTTTGGACGAATATATATATATAATTTGTTCAACCAGGAATCAGGAAATGCACAAATCGATTAACTCCCGAGTGAAAATAATTATAGAGGTATCTATATAAAGATTTATGTATGCATGTACATAGTTATGCACATAAATATATCATGCTTATACACACATAGGTACATGATAAGGTTTAATTCACTTTCGCGACATAACTTACTCTCTTTTCTGCAAATCCTTGTATGCACATATGTACTTGGGGACCTTTTAATTAATAAATCATTAGTTCGGCCAATTTACACTTCTTCATACCGTCTCTCCACATTAAATATAAATCGTACCCATCAGCCTATGATTTCTGAACTTTAACGGCCCTTTTGTACATTCTGATTTTCCGAACCGTTCTTAACATTACCGAATGTATGTAAATCATAGACACATGTATATCCATCAATGGAAACTAAACAACATTGCCATTTTTGGTTCATCCTAAGATGCAGAGCAAATATTTATCGGTTTTAGTTTTGCAGTCGTTATGCTATACAGTAAAAGCAGATGTACGTACATCTGCAGATAGCCAAGCTGATGCAAAAACGGAAAAAGTATGGTTTTTGGCAGTCAGTCCTACATACACATGTACAATAAGTACATGTGTATGACTACAGTTAAATATCCTGATGGACAAGGTCGTCTGATAAAAAAACAACACAGTCAACAGTGTGCAATACTTTCCACCAAACGTTAAACATCGCCTTAACATATTGTATAAATATGCCATCATGTGCCCGTATTCCAAATATATGACAATGACTCCGCAAAATGGAAATCGTTTTCATCTCTAACGTGATGAAACTCATCTTCTCTCCTCCACTCCGGCTCATTATTTATCACGCTAAGCTTCATTCTTCTGCTCGTTGCATTACCAAAAAAAATATATTTTCGCAAGTATTTCATATTTGCTAAAATGTCTTGTTGTATCACGTCGTTTCTGTACTCGATCCTTCTCTATTTCGCCATAATTCCTGCCCTCACCCTTCTTGCAATACGACTTACAATTAGGAAGTTACGTGGGAAAGTTGACATCACGAATGAAGTTGACATCAGCGGAAAGACCGTGATTGTTACCGGAGCCTCGGATGGGATTGGAAAAGTGACCGCGGAGGAATTTGCCGTTCGCGGAGCCAGAGTTATTTTGGCGTGCAGAAATTTACAGAAGGCAGAACGAGCAGTGGCGGATATCCGCATGCGGACAACAAATGGAGAAATGGTAGAATTAAAAAATATTTATTAGTCAATTTATGCTCATGTGTAAATGTATTCCAGATAATAATGCACCTCAATCTGTCATCACTCTCTTCCGTGAGACAGTTCGCGTCGGAATTTATCCAAAAATATGGGGGCGGCCTATCCATCCTTGTCAACAATGCCGGACTTGTTAACCCTGTCGGGATGAGGAAGCTGACTGAGGACGGATTTGAAGAGGCATTCGGCGTCAACCATCTCGGCCACTTTCTTCTCACCAATCTCCTCCTTCCCGAACTAGTAAAAGCTGGAGAAAAAAATCCTTCCGACCCAAGTCGCGTGGTTATCGTCTCATCCGGCGCCCATAGTTGGGGTTCACTCAGCTTGGATGATTTAATGTATGAAAAAACTCCACTAGAAGACTGGAAATGGATTTCCAAACTTTATTGCAATTCAAAACTTGCCAACAATCTATTCAACTTAGAACTCGCCAAGAAATTCAGGTCTGACAAGGTCAACGTCAACTGTTACGCCCTTTGTCCTGGATTTGTCGACACGAATATTGGCAAGGAAAATATGGCAGACAATCCGCCACCCTTTTGGGTTACACATGTCTTGTTTCCGCTTCTTAAATTGGTGATGGTGAAGGACGCCAAAGAGGTTCGTTTCTTTATATATGTAGCTGTTGGGTTAGAAATATTATTTTCGATTCAAATACATAAGTATGATTTATTAAATAGGGTGCTGAAACAACAGTGTACTGCTCCCTCAGCAAGTATTTGACGCATCACAGTGGAGAAATGTACAGGAATTGTGAATTTTGGGACTACAGCAAGAGACCCAAACTCAGCGAGAAGGACGCCACAAAGTTGTGGGAGAAGAGTGAAAAATTGGTCAAGTTGAACTAACACAAACTGTAACCTCTCAGATTCATGTCTTAAGGCATACGTGGATATGATTATCTACTTAACAGAGACTTAAGATGAATGCATTTATGTCTTTTAACTCCATTAACCAAATAAAAAATATGCCTTGAGAACATTTAAGCATTCCGTGGGATTAAGTAGAAAAGTCACTTTTCATTAGGATTTAAAAAGTGGATCACGTCGTTTTAGTTTTGTTGCACTGGGAATATGTCAAAACTAAAATGGAAACATAGTTATTGAATTTATTACAACAATTTGGTACAAAGTGATTGGCTTTGTGATGTTACAGAAACTGTCATTCTACGTATTCATTCGAGAAATTGTAACGTGTATTTATAGTTGATAAATACTCTACTTTCACCATCGCATTGCACAAAGGTATGAAGTGAAATACATAAAGCTATGCATTTTAGGCATGCACGAGTATACAATTGTACAGTATGCTGGCAGATTTTCTCACAGAAAATTAATCGAAAATCCCTCTCAAATATAAATTTGCAACAGATTTATTACAGTTTTTTATCATCACTCAAATATAAATACATATTCATCATCATATTTGAACACTTCGAAAGACACATCGAATCAACTAATTAGCCTGGAAGAGGAGGACAAATTTCAAGTTTTAGATAAATTTAGAGCTTGGAAAAGTATCACATTTTTTCTTCTCTCCCTACTTTTAAAGAAAGTATTTAAAAGTGGTATTTGGCAATGGGGGCGGCGGCGTAACCGTAAGCTGGGGCAGCGTGGTAGGCAGCAACTGGGGCAGCAGCGAAGGTCTTGACGACTGGGGCAGCGTGGTAGACGGCTGGGGCAGCAACGACGGCCTTGGTCACGGTTGGGGCAGATCGCTCGACGACGGCGTTGAATCCGTTGACGGCATCAGCGGTGTAGGTGACGGTTCGGATGGCACCGTCGGGCTCGACGAGGGAGTATTGTCCCTTGACGAGGTCTCCGTCTCGGGATTCGGAGGCGGTCTTGGAGTCACCGGTCAAAGCATCGGACACGGAGTATCCTAAATATCATGAAAAAAGAGGTTATTACGAGGCAACTTGATTCTGCGGACATTTCTGACTGGGTGAGGTAACACTTACCGTAGTTGTATTGTGGGTGGGGATCGTATGGTTCGGGTTGGACGGCGACGGCTACAAGTTACAAGAAAAATAAGACATTTGCTCCTTTTGTCTTCAAAAAAGTTGTGCTAAATTTCAGCAAACCCACCCTTGACGACTGGAGCAGCGTGGTAGACAGCTGGGGCAGCGTGGTAGGCGGCAACTGGGGCGGCGGCGAAGGTCTTGACGACTGGGGCGGAGTGGTAGACGGCTGGGGCAGCAGCATAAGCTGGGGCAGCGTAGGACGCTCCGCTGTAGAAAGCGGGGGCGACAACGCCGGCAGAAGCGGCCGCGGCGAGGGAGAGGAGGGCGACGATCTATGTAATGGCAAAATTTTTCACAAATTAGCACCGCAAATATTCACCGCACTGAAATAATGGAAACCCACCTTGAACATTTTGCTGCTTGTCTTTGTCTAAGAACTTGTAGTTGGATGAGAAACTTGGAACTGATACAATTTGACCAATTCCATTCTTCTTTTATACAATTTACAATTTCCGTCCGCCTTGGTAACGTTTTTTCTTCTCTGTAACAAAAGAAGAGATAGTCTACACAGACAGACACACACACGCGTATCTGAAAAGCATTACCATTATATAACATCATCATCGTCTACAAATGTGCACGTACATACGTAGTGTGCGTATGTACGTACATCGTCCAATGCCCAAGGTGCCCAAGGAATAAAGAAGGGAGTCAGTCAATCGACCACACCACAAGCAAGGGCCACACGGTACCTGATCTCAGGGAGCATTTTTGTCTTGTCTCTGCTCGTATGGATTCTTCACTTTGTGAACGTATCGATGGATTGGATTATTGGCAACAGAGATCAATACGAGATACACGATTTCATACATGGCACTTGTTCGAGCCCACTCCACTCCAAAGTTGACCAATTGATTAGTATTACTACATCACAACACACGCAAATAATAAATAATCTCCGTAATCTAAACATATTAACATTTCAGAATATAAATTACAAATTAAATGGATCACTTATGCAGCGTCAGAGTTGATTTAGAGGTTGTTTAAAAAAACTTGGGAGTTAAGGAGCAAGGACTTTGGAGAGATTTAATGCGACGAGATGTTAATGACATTGGTTGTTGGTGGATGGATGGGTGCGTAATTGGTGTTATTATATTATTAACAAGTGAGGAGATGGTATTGAGATTGGGTGTGCATCATGCCACGACTAATATGTATTTATTACCGTGAATAAATAAATGGGATATATACAAAATATTCCAAGAATTTACAAGATCCCAATTGTTCGACAGGAAATTTCAGAATTATCGGAAGCCGCTGTATACATGATTCACCCCAAAACTATCTATGTGTACCTTAATTACTATGTTTAACATGACAATTAACACTAATTATCTATCTCTACACCTCCGCTTGTCTGTCACGTCCATGATGAGCATCACTTTTTTTGGACTGGGTAACCTCTAACAAAACAGAAACAAGTTTATTGATTAAATATTATCTCATTGACTTAATTAATGACACTTCATTATTTTATTTGGAGCGACGCTTCTGTCTCGTCGTGGCGTTACATGCATATTTTTGGGTACATTTGACTGACAAAAGTGAATCTGCTCTAGTTTGAGGACCACTTCATTTTTTGCCCCCATTATTAAATTACCCTTGAGCAAGGTTTTATTAATGGTATGTACAGTGATCTCCTCGTCTGAGGAGTGAATCCATTAAGTTTTTTATCCAATACATTCCATTCCATGAAGTCAAACATGATCAACAATCAAGGGCGGGCGTAGTCTCTGCATCGTAATGATCTCTCACAGGCAGTGATTCACCCACATGTATTTACATACATTAAATAACGCGTTGTTATTAATTGGGTGATGGATGTTACTACTTCCGCACTTCCTGGGATGGGAAGTTGCCGAGTTTAAGGTTAAGATGATAAGATAAGGTTTGTCATGGTTAGCAAAAAAAATGTAAATTGCTATTAACATATCATTACACCTTGATCCCACTGGACCTTTAAACAAATGATTCACGAGTTATGTATCTGTATGACGCGATCATTTATTAAGTGTTTATTTATGCAGGTGATGAAATTCATGGTTTATTTGCAAATTTATTTATTTTTCAATCAATCAATGAAATTTTGAAAGGCTTGTACTGCGTGTTGTCATGCACTACACAATTGTATTAAATTGGGTTGGGTGGCAGGGCTGAAGTTGAGGAAGGTTGACATTTCTTCTATATATGACCATACATCTGTGCCTTTGTGTCTCATACATACATTAGACAGAGGCCTGTAGCAGCACCCTTATTTATAATTAATTACAATAATTTAGTAAGTTGCCCTTCCCTCAGGACTCGTACGTGGCAAGCGTTCCATGAAAAGAGGAGACATGATGAAGCTCACGAGTAAAAGTTGCGACTAAATTCTTCCTTATCTGAGGTTGGCTCAGCAGAAACGTTTCTTAGTTTGGAGTCCTCACTCTCTGCGCTAGCGAACCCTTCTCTTTAATTCCTTCTTCCCATTGATAAATACCAATGAGTCCAATTCGCAAAGTATTCGCAAGTCCATTATAAATGTACGTACGTAGACAAAGGCAGAAAGATCCAAGTCACGGCCAACCACAAAAACCACAAGCACATCTCTGCCGAGTCCACCACCATGACCACGACTAACCAGTACTGCCAAATAACCCAGCCCTGATATGCATTCGCTGTTGACATGTCGTCAAACACTGCTCTAATTACGAGGATATTTATGTGATGCGTCCATCAATTTATGACTCGTTTTACAAATTGATCAATTGATAAGGGACCTCTCTCAGGGTGGATAAAGTACGTCGTGTGTATAAATTAAGATTATTTTGATTGCCAGCCGGGTCGTAAAAAATTGTTACGTCTGCTGTACTATCCGTCTGCTGACAAGATCTGAATGAATGTCTGTGAGTAATAAAATCCCGATAAAACTTTTACGTCTTGACTTTATTCGTATAAATTTGCTTTTGTTAAATTTGAGGAGTTTGTGAAACTTGTGTGCACATAACAAATCAATTATCTAGTTAATTAATGGTATCAATAGATCTTAAAGTTTTCAGTAAAATCAGTCGGTACATATATGGAGGTAAGGTCACCGAAAAACATTTCTTTCGTTCTAAAGTTTTTGTGCAGGTAAATATAGGTACATGTGTGAAATATCATATGAAAACTAAATACATATTTCATCATTTATTCCCATTGATGTTTTTATGGTTTGCGTATATGTGTGTATCAATTAATTTACAAGCATGGTGTTATAAAATAAAACGAAAAATGATACTTGTATCATCGTTTACAGTTATATGTAAGCCGTCATTTATAAATTATATAATGCAAAAATCGGGATTTTTTAGATTCTTACGTCGTTTACAAAATTTGAGGATAACAACGCCTAGTACATAAGTGTACATAATCGGTAACGCAGTTAATCAATTTCGTTGTTTTCATATGCACAGCACATCCCATGCATGTATGTATTTATGCACATACTGAAAATCATGAAAACCATTTTTCCAGCAAGAATTTTCTGAATAGTAAAAGTGAATTTAAGAACAAGTATATATGTGTAGTGAGGACGAAGGGATTTTTTTAGTATCAAGTATTTATGAATTAAGCAGTTTTAAAACTGCATTTCTCAACTAATGCTCTACTATGATAGGTACATATGTACATAATTTATTCAATGGAGTATAGAAATGTACATATTCGCATTGCGAATTTCGCAATAGTTATTAATAGTTATTTATGTATTGCATACAACTATAAGTGCATACATACATACTTCTAGTACGGAGAGTATGCACTTGTATGTATGTAGGGTTCATAAGCAATGGATCATTCACAATCACAAATAACTAGGTAATATTGACGAATTTTATATTTTAAAATGAAGTTATATTTATTTAAATTTGCTTGCTGTGCATATGTAATTTACATAGTGTTCATAGTATACATTTCTACATAAATATAATTATTGGCATCCCTCCCCCAAAGTACCCAACATCAATGGAAACATCATCATTTAAATGAAATCCCAGTTGACTCGGAATCTTCCAACTCCCAAGTCTCTCAACTGACGGAAGGCAGCAGGCGAAAGGTCAATGTCGCCAGACCTGCAACCACCACATTTGTCCTTGATTCTAACCACCACTTGACGCCCGGAAGTGGGATCTGTCACACGTGCTCGTCGTTGACACATGGGGTCCAGGTTTGGGTTTGGGTGTGTCCAGTAATTGAAAGCCGTTGCGGCCACCAAATCTTGATCCGTAAAACGTTCCCCACATGCAGTAATGCCCCCGTTCAAGTGGTACCAAGTGGCGTCCCCAGTCACTAAAACATCCAGGCACAGAATTTCATACAAATATTCGGTTTGAAAATCAGTATACATTTTTTTACAATTGACTTACTAGCTTGTGCTGAATGCAGGGTTGCAAACCCAAAGATTGTTGCGACAGCGATTATTGCGAACTTCATTTTGAATTGGTTTTGGATTGGAAAAATCTTTCAGATTTTCAGAAAGTCTTTTGAATACGGAGCTATGTTATTTGATACCTTAAAATCAAAATGATCTCGCTTTTATATCCATCATTTTGTGTACGCTTGTCCAACATCGTATATTTTTCTGGAAACAAATGTTTCCTCATTGGTGTAAACACGGATTTGGATTTCATCCGAATTATTTTGACATGTGAATTGTATTTGTACTCCTGAATGATTTAGTTGGATGTGTTTTCTAAAAAAAAGTACAATACAAGATTTGATTGTGCTTTGGCTATCATATTTATCATAAGTATTTGCGTCAGGTGTAAACAGTTGCCATTTTCATCCGACAAGCAACAAGTACGTATATAAGTACAATTATAATGACAATTTTATACGACTGGAAGGTGAGTAACCAAGCATGAATAAACTGCACTCGTATTTCTGAGGTTTATCATTTGTTGATTTGATTAAGTTTTAATTTATTACTTCCATGTAAAAAGTTTATGGCGATAACAATTCCTTGCAATGTGTGTGTAGCATATGCAATCTTCTGTTTGTGGTTGAACTATCATTTTATATATTGTATTTATATATACAAATTGTAAAAAATGATTGCATTCTGAAAATTGAAATACATAATAATTGACTGTATGATTACTGGAGTTTATTTTATTTATAACTTTTGGGAAAATGAAACGTCGTAATCATTTAATGTTTATGTATATTTCTGGTGGAATATTTAATTATCCGCACATTATTTACACTGCACTTGCACTTTATTCTGACTGTACGTAAATTCACATTTATTATTGGTGATTTATTATGCGTTTCTACATATTTTTTATCCAGAACAAGAATTTCGCCTAAAAACGGGTGGGGTTTGTCCCGTATGTAGCTTTTAGGGTTTTGTGCCACTTGAACAATTCTGCTCGAAACGAAAAGCTAGAGCAAAATTACACTAATGATCTTTGAAAATTAATTTTGCCCTAATCAGAGCATTGGTAGTTGGTAGTCTTGTAGTTCCTGCGACTTTATTGTGCAGTTACACAGGAAAAATTAGCAGGTCGATAATCACACATTCTACGACGACGACCTTGGTCGTAAAATATGCCGAGATAAATTAAGCAGATCTCGTTACAATTTCGCTTTTAAACATTTGTCAAGCCTATCAGTGAGAACTAAAAATAATAATATGCATACAGGAAGAAGAAAAATTAATGGAAAATGAATGCCCTAAAAATAATTTCTGCTACTCTAAAATCAGAACCATCAGTAGTACATTAAAAATGGATGCATAATTAAATAACAAAGTAATCGGTAATGAATCATTCTTTAATATTAGTATTAATAGTTATCACACTAAAACTGCATACAAAGTTTCAATCGTCATATATGTATTTGCAAGATTACAAAAATTTTAATAATTTAAAATTGACTCCGTATAAGTACACATTTATACCCCGATAAATAAGAGAAATACTTATTGCTTATTCCTTATTAACTTTATCATGCTGACCACTTCCCACGCTTCAAAAGGACACGCCTTATATACCCTGCCACATTGTTGCGGACTCTTTAATTTATCCCATTGTTTCATCGCACTTGTCATGGGGTCCTGGATTAATAAGTAAAATACATTATAAAAATATGTACTACTGGCACAACTCTATACTAAATTAATTCATAACTCACCTCGTTTTTCCCAAGCTTGACCGCTTTGCCAACCCTGTCGTCATTTTGTATTTCAAAATAAGCGTCCATATTTATGTCGCGTCTCCGCCTGGCGCCGTCGTCGCCGACAAAATAAGGCACCACTACATCTCTAAGGATGGTGGACCCCAGCTTGAACGGAAGTGACATTGCCGTGCTCGCCCAACTTGGCGGCTTCCTTAGCGCCTCTGCTCGATCTTCCGCCATCAAATCGGCCATCAATTTCTTCATTTCCAATTTTTCTTTATGATGCAGGAGTGGATCGCTTAGGAGGAGTTCTTCACTCTCATTTTCGTCATCATCTCGACCCTTGCTGGGGCTCTTTTCACGTTCGACGTCATCATTACTATACGTTGAATGCATAAGGTCGTCAAATTCATTCTTGAAACTGGCAGTGGTTTCAACCAAGTCTCTGCAAGCACAATTATTAGTTTAACCCAGCCTTGTCTCACAGATAAGCGAAGTACTTATCGACTCACGGAGATGGTGGCCCACCAGGAAAAGCGGATAAGAGGCGAAGATAACCATCTGCTAAGTCATTTAAGCTCACAATCCCCATTTTCTTGAAAGCTCCGGATTTAGTCAGCGTGCACAAAACTTTAGGGAAGCACTTCATCCTGTCGAATAATCTGATTTGGTGGAGACGCTCTTTGCTGACAACGGGAAGAAATGCGGTGATGTCCGTCACATTTTTTGAATTGCTTCGTCGAGAAATTTCTCTGCCGTGCAGATCTAATGGATTTTGAAAAATGTTAAAATAATATGTAAATAGGCACATATATTTAGTATTTCGCTATACATAAATATAAATATGCATATGGTCAACATTAATGTACGAATTTTTATGTAAATAATACAGATTTACTAAAAATCTAAAAATTGTTGGTTGTAAATTAAAATTAGCTCTGTCTTACCATTGACCAGAAATAAAACCACAGGCAGAATGAAACTTAACGATGGGAAGATAATTTTTCCCATGGTTGGACAGAGTTATCCGCAACTTATTTTTAAAAAATTCTGACTGTTTTATTTATCCAGTGATATTTATCGTTGTCTTCTTGCTAATGTAAATCCAGTACAGTTCAGCGTATTGTATAAAATTTCGTCAAAATCCAAGTTACATGAGGCGTAATTACTACATAACTGTGAACACAATCAATGAGAAGGATGACAACAACGAAAGGTGACTAACTGAGAGCCTGCATGCATGCAGTTTTGTAGTGAATAAATGCAACTTTCCCTTTGAAAACTCGTTCCGAGGAGAGATTTTTTCATTAATTCAATCTTTAGAAATGAAACATGCTTCACAAATATAGAAATGGAGTAGTTGACATTGAATAAAGTACATAAATATAATTTTTTTACTCTGACTTCGGTAGACGCGTAAAAAAAGCATGCAAAAAGTTAACAATCGTTAACCAAAAAAATAAGGTCAAGCCGATAAAACATTAAGCTATTGCTATGCATATGTATAAGAAATGCTTTCTTTCATTAATGTGCATATGTGCAAATAATCTGTATACAAAACTCACAGCAACGATCTTAATGGTAACCGGTCCCTGTATTTGGATTGAGTTTTTTAAATTTTAAATATTTCTCTTTAGCTTAGAAGTCAGCATTTAGATGTATCAGATTTCAGCTTCGAAATTTGGTAGGAGGCGCCATGGGTTTATGTAAATGAGTGAATTTCATGGTTAGTCCATGAAAGTGAAAGTAAAATAAATACCACTCATTTCACAGTCAAAATTAAGTTATAGCAAAATATGAGTATGAACGGCAGTATAGATTTTTATGACAACATTTTAATGGAGTAAATAAAATGAATTTATGATCGGATGCAATTATTCAAAAATTAAAAGTGGAGATCGATAGCAAAAGATAAGAATATAAAATTGGTATTTATTAATATAAATCTACATAAATCTAATGGAATCCGCTTCATTATAAGAACAGTAAGTCTCAAAATATATTCTTAAAACATTCTGACATACATACACTACTGTCCAACACTGACATATGTATTATGCATCACATCGATTTATAATATATCTTTTACAAGATAGCAAACTAATATTACGGTCTAAAAGACTTCCATCATGATAAATACAAAATATCACTTAAATTTGTACTAAATACAATCACATAATAATTGCACAGGAACTGAAACAATCGAGCAATATGACATCAATTTTCTGAAACACTAAAATGTTCTAAATAAAATAAATTTCTCCTTTCAAAGTGAGCGTGGCGACGTGTCCATCTCTCGTGATGCAGGCGTCGACAGGAACGCCGAGTCGATTTTTTCCCACGTGGCGCAGAGTATGGAGCAGAGTTCCGTCCTCCGAGCTGACGCGAAGGCAATCGTGACGAGAGTCGCAGGTCAGAATATTTCCCATTTCGTCCACGGTCACGCCTTGCAAACGACACTTCGATCCCTGCCTTCCCATCGTTTTAAGCTCCCCTGAAGCCACCTCGATTCGCATAATGCTACTCGTGTTAAAGTCCGTGGCAAAGATGTAGCGACCTGCAGACATAAAATTTGGGGAGGGTCATTTTAGGGTGGAAAATTGTACACAAATTATGCCATGCAAATTCTAATTTTCACATAAATCCAACTCACCATCTTTGCTGAAGGCAACTCCACGCGGATATTCAAACAACTTTTTGTACCCGTAGGGATTTTTTTCGAAAACGGAAAACTTCGCTAAATAATTTCCAAAACGATCAAATACTTGGACCCTGTGATTTTGCGAATCCGAAACTGCAATCATCTTCCCGTCAGAAGAAGCATCGACATCCCACGGGTAGGTGAATTCTCCAGGACCGTAACCTGTTTTCAGAATCATACGATGTCATCATGTGTCAAGTAATTAAAACAGGAGCGGAAATAAGCAATTCAAAACCTCGATTTACTTACCTTTCGTGCCAAATGAGGATACGAATAGTCCGTCCATCGAGTAGATGCAGATGTGGTGGTGATCCTTGTCGCAGACGAGAAGTCGTTTGTTGACATGATCAACCGAAATCCCGCTTGGTCGGTATAATTGACCGTCGTGAAATCCAAGGCTGGACTGACGCCCACCGAAACGTTTGATTATTTTGCTTGTGGTCGAATCGATGACGATTACGTCGCTTTGATCGCGATCCGTTACGTACAACTGCATAAAAGTGAAAAAATTCACAATTTTAGGATAATTCTATGATGAATGCTGCTTGAAACCTTTGGAAATAAATTAGGACTCACCCGATCTGCATAGTGGTCAACGGAGATGCCCCAATACTTGTCGCCATTGTTGCCCAGCCGAATCATCGGGATGGACGGGGTACGAGCATCCGAAGAATAATTCCTTGATACGTCCAACTGGATGGCAGGGCAGAGTTGTTTGCTGTCAACATCTTCAACAATGCCGTTCGGGCAGTGGAAAAGGTTGGCAGAGTATTTTCCAGGAAAAGGTGGGACGAAGGAGCAAAGAAATCCGGGGCTGTGGTCCAACTTTTGCATCTCGACGGAACTGCTTTGTCCAGAGGCGTGAGTGATTTTTCCGCATACTTTCAGCATCGTGTTCTTGGCTGCGGTCTGCGGGAGGAAAAAGTAAACTCATTGAAATTATCAAGAATTTATGGGTTCGAAATACAGAGGAGATTTTCAGCGATTTACTTTGCGTTTAATGAGATTGGGGTTTAGTTAAATAATTGTAATCTTACCGATTCATCTGCGCTCACTGATTGAGATTTGTCCGGGAGTAAATAGAAATAAACCTCTTCCTTGTCAATGTTTGGGCGACCATCTGCCTTTTGGAGGACGTAATTGGTCTGGGGGACGATTTTCTCAAAAGTCCGCTCTCCCACGACGGCCGGGTGAGTGTAGATCGGGACCGGTCTGTCCACGCGTCCAACATAATTGCTCAGCAAATTGGATTTTTCCGTTTCCCATAAATTGCTCGTGTCCGGCAGAATGTTTATTGGCAGTGGGCGGAACCCAGATGAGCTCGGAGCTGGCGATGGCGAAAATTTGACCGACGTGCCGACGATGGGGTTGAATTTCTGAGGAGAAGAAGGAGCTACTGCCGGAAATGGGGTTGAACCAGTGAAAAAAATAGGTTGGAACGATGACGAGGATTCTGCTGCGGGTGGAGATGGCGATCCATTTGAAGAATCCTCCGACGAGTTCTTCACGGGTGACAAGTCGAGTGGGATGACCTACAAATAACAAAATGTAATTATTTAGCAAAAATCAACAATTTTTATGTCCGTTTGTTTCATGCGGAATTATAATGCGACAAACTTAATAATGTCCCTGATAAATATCGAATAGAAAATAATTACCTCTTTGGCTGAGATTTCCGTCACATTTCTATTCTCCAACATTTTCCAAATCCATGAAAGTTCGCGTTGAAATTCCTCAGAATATTCGTTCCCCAACTTTCTACTAGACATTGCCATGCTTTCTGCAAATTTTCTTGGTTGGTTTGACTCTTGAAACGAGATTGCTTTTTGGAAATATTATTTCGGAAACTTTGAAAAAGGTTTTAAGAAAAGTTGAGCGGAAGATGAGAAGCTGCCTTAAGGAAGATTTGACGAGAAGTGAAGGGATCGGGTCAGCCTCATCTGCTTTTATACCCACCTTCAGCCCAAGTGACGCTCACTTGACCTTTTGGCGTGGCTGGAGCATCAGTGTATTTTTGGAGCAAAATTAAGACTGGAATGAGCTAAAGAGTCGACAGGTGCAGGTTCGACCCGAGCGTTATCTTCGTTTTGACTTGAGTTCACGAGGTGCTCATTTCTTTGTGTCTGCAAAAATGCAAAATGTTGGAATTTGCACCTGTCCAACCGACGGTTCGTTACAAATTCCCGACTTCTTATATTAATAGACTTTACACCTTTGAAATTAGATGATCAATTAAACTTACAAGTATCATGTATCTATGTAATAAATATTTACAAAATTTATACTTCCACCCACTGCAATCAAACTCCAAAGCCATGAACTGCATGTCGGTTTAGATTTTTATTAAATTTAATCTAACCCAGACCCTGACAAATAAAATACATACATTTTGTAATAAAAGCCAGTTCATATTTACATTTGTGTGCCATGTTACAATTGCACTTTCCATTACAGAAATTAAATCAGAAGTGAATAGGCAATCGAAATAAACATGTTTCCATTTCAAATGTATTCGAATAAATGGTACCATGTTCTCTAATCGTACATATGTAAATACATACAAATTTACAACTCACGCACACGGAAGTTTCTCGGTGACCACTGATTGTCTTGAATCTTGTGTGGATTTGCAGCATCAATGACAATATCTATGTGAGTGTATACTTAGGTAAATACATACATACTTAATTACATTAATCGGGTCATTGTATGGTCATTGCCATTTTACATATGCATATATGGTACCACCAGTGAATTTGTAAACTTATCGTCGATCGAACTAACAATAATACTGTCAAGTGGTAATATTTGTTTTACTCAATTAATTTAAGACTTGGAAATCAATAACCCTAACTATTTGGCAATTTGTTTAATTACAGTAAGGTCAAATCCGTCATTTAGATCATGGGACCATTGCGTGTATGGCTTTTATTGTCAATCGTGACTTTTTTTACATTGGAATTAACGGTACGCGCAGCAATTTTAGTCACATTCGATTTGTAATAAGTGCGAAATATTAATTTTCCAGACGGCCCCTGACCCAGATTGCAAACCGAACGGAGAAATTTGTGAATCTCCCAGGGAATGCTGCTCTCCGGTCTGCGCCAGGAGGAGAACCAGTTCTTTTGGAGAAGGGGTTTGCGCTCACTGGATGACACACGCTGTCGACGACTAACGATAGAAATATTGTTAAATTAATAAATTGTAAGATATGATTTCTACCAAATCATTGTCTCACGGACAAATCTCTAAATTGTAAACGGATCGTTTGGGTGGATATTAAATGCGCATAGTGTTATATTCTTAATTTATTATGCAAATATATTTTTCCTGTTGTGAATTGAAGCTTTGTAATAATTATTTACATTAAATTGAATAATTTGAATTGTTGGGAAATAAATAATTGTTCGTGGAATAAATTATGAAGTTGTCGAAGATATGGAATTGAACACATTTGCTGTATCTTCAGCATTCGGCACGCCTAAAGTGAGCAGTGTCCTTATCGTCCCAGTAATAATTGACCTGAGGAACAATATTGCCGTCAATCTATTAAATGTCATCGTCCCCTCGACCCCAATCGCTATGGGTTTCAATGTTTTTCCAAATTTCGTAAAATATTTCTTCTCCAAATTGTCCCTAAAGTGAATTCCCTTCCACGACTTGAGCGTCTTTGCCGAATATGAATGAAACATTCCAGTCACTTGGAGATTTGTGGCCCACCCAATTTGCACTATGATGGACCACATGGCCAGGAAGGTCTAATTTTAAAATATTAGCAAAATTCTTAGCTGTATTCTACTTGATATTATTCAATGTCCTTTAACACGTTTTGTTTTCTTACCGCTGACGATTTATCCAACGTTTCCCAATTTATCAAGAGTGAGAAATTGCAGAACAAGCAGATATGTGACAGCAGTCCATGCATGAAGACGAATGTCCACCCCAAACTTTGCATCATCAATGAGTGCACGAGATGCACATTTATGTATTCTCTCAGCAGATTTACCGGGGTCCTTAACGCTGCCGACGCCATGTGATTGGTAGCATTTATCTTGAACTCTATCATTACCAGGGTCACCGAAACTACAGTCCGGATTAAAATTTGATTGGTATATTTACATACAAATTATGAATCTCTTGTCGTCTCACCCATGTAGATTGTTCCCATAACTGCGAACAACATTATCGTGTACCACGACATGCACCCCGTCCACACCAGAAAGATGAGGAAGATCAAGTTCAAAAATCCATTCTGATTCAGGTCATACGCCGTGGGGAGTATTTGCCTCGGATGAAGAGGATTGTGCGGCGAGGAGATGAAAAATATCGCCTTCGTGATGGGAAGCAGGAGGAAGAGGGCGACTTCTAAGAAAACGAGAACATCCATGATGGTCAAGTACAAGACCAGCTTCTTGTTCTTCTTGGCGTTAGGGATCCATTTCTCTGAGTTAATGCTTAAACTCAACATAAATCTGCTAAAGGAAAGGAAAATTAATCTTATTACCCACGAATCCTGGAAAGTATAGAAGGATCCGGTTAAGTCCGAGGACAAGTTCATCCTGGTGAATGTAGAAATTTGCATCCATCCAAAAAATGAGGAGTGATACACAACTGAAGCCATACGTGGCGTGGTATTGCGGATTCTGTTCGCCGCCATGATAAAGCCAAAGTTTGATTGTTGTAATCCACACGAATACTACCCAGCATGTAAAAATTGATACGGCCAGCGTATTCCTTTTTCGGTAGTTTCTTGTCTTGTAAAACAATCTGGTCTTTGGGTTAAGGGGAGCAATGAAGACGCCAATTGTTACGACGGCTTTGGTCGAGATGTACAACAATTTGTATAGTAAATTGGAATACATATTTTTTGGATGAGGAACAATGTGTGCGGAAGTAAGGTTCGACTATGACAATTCAAACTCTGATCACATTATAAGAATTGTTATAAGCATGTAAAGCGGTTTTATAAAAATCATTCCTGAACTTACCTAAAAATATGAAGCATTATGTTCATAAAGTTATTAGAACGACATTATGAACCCTATTTTTTACTCTTTGCTAAAATGCGTCATTGTAAATTAATTGAGATATTATTAGTATAAACAACTGTAGCTACTTATAAAGATGTAATTTGTATATATTTATTTATACTTCATACGTCAGTCGGTCGGATTTTATAATATACGAATTTGACGTTTAAACTAATTTTAAAGTTTAAATTATGAAAAAAAGATTGGTTAGGATAATTAAGGCTCTGGAAGTATAAATAAATGCGAAACGTTTACATATATACAAATAACTCAAGCTCATTGTAATTTCTGTTATGGTCTCCACAAATGTGGCAACAATTTAAGTGGATTTCTACTCGGCCGTAGTTGGAACATATGTACGCATATAAATAGCATTTAACCCTTTAAACTGTAACGACGACAATAGTCGTTTTATAAGAAATGGGAGTACGACAAAAGTCGTCCTGAAAAATCGTGGTCATGGCGCGGAAGGAAGACAATTGTCGTTTCTAGGAGGCCATTGATTTTCACCATTTTCTCTCTGTGACCTAAAATTTACTGAAATTTTGAGGGATTTCTCCTATGCCAACACAATGCTAAATTTGAAGATTTTCTTCCCGAAAATTTGGATATTTCCCTATACAACACAATGTTAAATTTTTGATTTTTCAGTTTTTCGAGTTTTATTAAAAACTTCAGAATTTCTCCTCCTGCGCCATGACCACAAAATACTTATAGTGTTCCCGATTTAATGCATTTTCTTGTCGTTAATCATGCACGTTAAAGGGTTAAGTGCAATTTGACATCAATTTTGTTCCTAAATTTTTAGAGTTTTTCTCCAATTTTAGAATTGTACATAGGTTTTTCATACGTAATTGTTGAATATTTTGTCCCAGACTTGAGATTTTAATTATGCAAACATTCAATATTATCGTACATCAAATTACCCATCAGGTTAGAACATAATCACATTTTAATTTCCAATGATACAATAGCATCAAACAAAATTCTCGCATGCATCCGTTCTAATCCTAAGAACTGCATTGATAATTTGCATTAATTAATTCACTCTCTTCCATAGGTCTCCCTCCAGTGTAGTGTGTGATTTGGCGTCAATATGAAAAAGACAATTGACAGTTGAAGAAAAAAGTGTACATATTTATGTATATAATCGAGATATTCAACTTGAAACTAAACACAGATATGTAATCACTTATTTACATTAAAATGCAAAATCATTTTAAAAATCTGCAAAAAAATTGAACGCCAAGGGCACCCGGGATTCCCAAGCGGTCACCCATCCAAGTACTAACCGGGCCCGACGTTGCTTAACTTCAGTGATCGGACGAGAACTGGTGCATTCAACGTGGTATGGCCCTTGACAAAAGAGTAGCGCCTTTCGTGCCCAGATATCGTACAAATTTCAAGGTCATTTGCACACATGCAAGTCAGCACGTGTAGCATGGATACAATGAAAAGTTCAGGCTTTGAACCAATTGGCAAACACCGGGATGGATGATGTCATGTGTAAAAAGTAATGATAAATATTTATGTATGTATGTATGACCCAACTTCACTTAACTGCTTAGATTTTTATTATGCATGCATACATCTTTTTAGGTAAATGCATGCATACAAAGTGTCAAATGGTACAGTAATTTGAAAGAAAATTTTAATTGGCAAGTGTTCCTGTGATTGTATGTATTTAGACTGCGCTGTGCAAGTTAGACATCTTGATGCATACTCTAAAATTCTTTGGGAATATTTTTAGTGACATTCGTCCATAATGACAGTCTGGCTAAAAAATGATCTTGCTATTTGATAAATATGCCTTTGTGAATTTGGCTATGTAATATTCTCGTAATCGTATCTCATGAAAATGTTCTTCTCGTATATTTTGTATTTGATCTCGCAATATAATCTGTTTAATTTGATAATGATTATCAATGTGGTGAAAAACTTTAGAAAAACTACATTTCGCCAAGACAGATAAAAATAATGCTGAAATTTAGTCATTTCTAGACAGATCATTTTCGAAATAAGCAGACAATATCTGTACAAGGGCAGAACGTCAACTGCAGTTTCAGAAATCATGCACACACAGTAAAAACCACCTGGAATTTTGTAGAAAAATCAAACTTTACAGATTTATAAAACTGGTAAATAGGGAGCATGCTAAAAACCCATAATATATACTTTTGCGATTTCGTTATCGCGTTGCGTTCGAGTGACCATGCAATAATTATACCATAGGATTCGCCATTCTCAAATTGCGAATCTCAATACCAACTTTGTCCTTCAGCATGCAGAAGCAGTGAGTGAGTGAGCGAGCTCCGGGATCCAAGTAAGGTTTTTGAGCGAAATTGAGACTAGGAGTTTGTACTGCGCAAAGTGAGACGATTATCACATTCGTCAACATGAGACAAGTTGCATGGAAATAGTCATTTGCAGAAGTAAATATTTATTATGTAACAAACAAATAATACTCATTTACTTATTCTATTCAGCTTAACAAGAAAAGCGTGTCAAATTTATTGGTAAATAAAATTTCATCTTCTGTGTTTTCTGTAGACTGATAAGTCTCAATATCTACAAGAAAATATGCATTTCTTGGCGATTTCCCAGGCTCGTGATCATTTACTTGAAGTGCACTGAACTAACCTTATCAATCTGGTCGATACGTCCATGAAAGAACGAATTCCATCCGGCATAACACAAATCAGAATATCATAAAGTGACCAATTGTGCTTTCTAATCGACATTAATATGTATTCAGTAAGATTGGATAAGTAATTATTGCTGCCATTTTAAATTCGATTTTGTGATGCTTCCCCTAATTTGCATAATGCCTTTGAGTTTAAACCGGTTTCAAAGTTACATAAAAAATTGATTTTCGGACATGTTTTTTAAGGACCATTGCACACTGTGAAGAAAAGTTGTAACTCTAGTTATGTATATTTATGGTATAAACCGTAAACAAGTAAAAGGGCAAGATGTGGTCAATTTAGTTGAATCAGGTGTCATGTCCTTTACTCTTTTACTAAGCTCCTTATTTTATCGAACCAGTGATACATCTTATTCAAGCTAGTCAACATCATGTTCCCATATTTTCTCACACTTGCTGCGACAACCATAGCATTTCTTCCCTATAAACAACAAGACCCTTCATCCGCCCAACTCCCCACGTGGGGAGCGACCCACCCCGGAGGAAATCTTCGCAAGGCGACAAATGGGGCAGGAAATCCCCTTCCTAGTGGAATATCCTCCCTCGCAGTCCAACCAGCCGGCCCCCTTCTCATGGATCCCGTCCTCATCAACAAGTTGGCCAGCTTCGTCAGAGAACGAATACCTCCAAGAGTAGTCCATCCCTTGGGTTTCGGTGCCTTTGGTACTTTCGTTGTGACCAATGACGTCACTGCTTTTACGGCTGCTCGCGTTTTCAATCAGGTTGGCAAAGAGACGCCCGTTTTAGTGAGGTAAATATTATGTTTCAGATGTGTAAAATGTAATCAGAAGCGATAAAATAAAACTATATACATTTCTAATTTTTAAAGGTTTTCAAAAGTGAACGCAAAAGCTGGTACTCCTGAAACTACTCGAGATCAGAAAGGTTTCGCCGTCCGCCTCTACACCAGCGAAGATGGAAACCTGGACTTTGCAGGGGTTGTTACGAACGTCTTTCACATTAGTGATCCCATGCTGTTTCCAGAAGTTAATCGTGCCTCATTCGTGAATCCTGTCACCAATCAGCCGGATCATAATATGATATTTGATTTTCAAAGGTTAAAATTGTAATGGTTAATTGACTAGAGAAGAGACACTGTTGTAATGCTCGAAATATCTGTTTAGCCTGCGCCCAGAAACTACACAGCGTTACATTAAACTTCTTTCAGACAATTTATTCGCTCCCGGCTCCATGAGAAGCTTGAACGGACATGCAGTAAACATTTTCCTCTGCACGAACAACGCCGGGGTCAGTGTGTACTGCAAATTTGGCTGGAAAGCGCTCCAAAAAATTGCCCCTTTGACGGATAAGGCTGCGATCTCACTCGCTGGAACTGAACCTGGGTACTACACAAAGGATCTCTACAACGCCATCGATTCAGGAAACTATCCCCGCTGGGCGTTTGGTATGAAGGTTGGGGAACACGTCGAGATTTTTACTTGTGAAATTTTCTCGAAAAGGCAGTGATTTTTTATATCCGTTTCCTCAGATTCTGACCTTTGATCGAGTGAATACGCTATCCTTCAATCCCTTCGATATTACTAAGGCGTGGCTAGAGGATGAATTTCCATTCATACCGATCGGAGAGTTTGTTTTAAACCGAAATGTAGCCAATTATTTCGCCGAGATTGAACAAGCCGGCTTCGACCCGGCCAACCTAGTTCCTGGCATATCCCCCAACACGCCCGACATCATGTTGGCCGCTAGATTATTTTCGTACAAGGACAGTCAGCGCTATAGGTCAGAATTAAATTATATAGTGCATACTTAGATTTTAATTTTGTAATTAGCATACCGTGTGGTGCGTGAGCTCAATTTCGTTTTAGTTTTTTCCTATAGGTTGGGACCTAATTTTGAAGAAATTCAAGTGAACCGACCCATCTCACCGGTTTCCAAATACGAGCGGGACGGACCAATTCGTACTTCCGCTGCCTCCAACGGACTCGGTGACCCCGTCTACTACCCGAATTCCTTCAATGGTCCTGGCATTGATGAATTCGCAGCCCGTTTGGATGTCCCCGGTTTTGCGAACGGCCCAATCTCGAGGCAAGATCGTGTGGTGGATAATTTCAGCCAGGTGATCAGATATTTACAGACAGAAGTTTCACCAGCAGAAATGGAACGCATAGCACGACGCGTTGCAACGGATTTGATATCCATTCAAGATCAAGGGGTGCGTGGGAGGTTCTTCAAGAACTGCATTTATCCGTTGGGGGCCCCATTTTCAGATATGGTACTTTATTACTATGGGACGCTGACGGATGGAGTGGGCAGAGATTTAGAGTCGCTATAGTCTGTAATTGTTGTGCTTTTAAGCAATTTTAATTTTATATTTATTCATAAGTATGCAAATAAAATCATGTATCAGTACATTTAGTTTTCTGAGCAGAAATTTATATGCACGTAGATATACCAATGCAGCAACAAATCATATTACGAAAGTATTGCATAAGTGTCATTGAGATTAATTTATTATTTTCTGGTGGTGGTTCAATTGTAAATACGTAAGTGTGGTATATGGTACAATGACATAATGCATACAGAATAATTTACTTAAATAACAAAGTTTTTGTGGTCTCACCGAAATAAATTACTTAAACTATTACTTAGACTATTTAGTCTGTTTAAATAGTCTAAACATGTATGTATGCACATATTCAATATTCATACATTTCTGCGGTATTCGGGTATAATGTACCTAATTTTATTTTAAAATTGCTCAGTCACCTTCATCAAATACAAAAGGCGTTAGGACATGGTTTTGACGAATTCATATTTTAATTGCGGGATGGTTTTTAGTTGTAGAGATTTCTAACATTTTTTATGTGAAAGCCCGTGTCTCAAACTATAGGTAAACATGTCTGGCTTCCGGTTTTGTGTACTCTGCGAAATGAGGGAAGGTCAAATATAGAGAGGTGTCCTTTTTTAGTTTTCCAAACCAGTGTTCTTATAAAATGGCGTTGAACAAAAGATTTTTTTCTTAGGTCCTGATGCAAAAATCGTCTTTGCGAGTATTATCAAGAGACTTAGCATACTTTTCACTATATAAAACCATTTTTGTCTCATGCTTATCTTTTAAGTCACTTTTGTAGTCTAGCTTCATACTTGTCCTAATGGAATGCTCTCGTTAACGCAACTCCTCGACTTTTAAGGCCCCCACATTTTAGGACTTTGATTCTAAAAATCCCTAACGTTGTTTTTATCCAAGGTACATATAGTATATTGCACTGTAAATATTTTTGATTAAATTTTGATAAGTGGTTACACCCCACGAAATGAGTTTTCATCAAACCCAATAAAATTTTTGGAAAAGTTTCCGTCGTCATCAAGGTTGAACTTCAAAAATAATTTAACTAACCAAAACTTGGTAATTTTATTATTTTGTCACTTGTACCTTGTAGGCAAAATAGTTCTGTAGCAGGGGACACAAAAACGTTATTAAAATTTATTTTCAACAAAATTTGACCATTAATTTTCCAAATTAGTTTACGAGTTTTTTATGATTCCCCGTCAGCTGATTAGCTTGGGTCCTTCTCCAAGACTGTTTACTCAAAATCTTAACTATTTTGTTTAATATTACTCAGGACACTTCCAGCTTTACCCTCAATCTTCATTTGACCCAGTGGGTCTGCATTCAAGGTCAGCAGGTCAATTTTCCCGTGCACGGTCCGATTTATCACTTTTCATGGACAAATTTCATTGACAATGGAAGGCCAACGTTATGTAATTCATTGTGGATTCTTTTATTATTACATGCAATGATTATCTAGGGTTATAATATTAAGAATAATTCACCTCTGACCTCTTAGGTTATTATGCTATACGAGTACTTAAGTTTGGAAAGTGTTTTTACGGCACCCTCCAACTCTGAGGACACTGGAGGTGTCATTTTTGAAGCTATCACCTTAAAATTTTGGAAATACCTTTTTGAGAGTATTATCTTGCAGTCTACCAAAAATCACTTCAAAATTCTACTCCCTGCCAGAGATATTCACCCGCGAATTCGTCAAAACCATCACCTAACGCCTTTTGTATGCATAAATATGAAGATTTTTGGTAATCACGATATAAACAAATCATTTATTTTATACATCATTATTTAAAAATGGATTGCATATGTAGTACCTTGCATACTTACAATTAGTTATATGTAAAAGCACAAAAGTGAAAATTATAAATAATTATTTGTAATTAAATATAATGGTAATAAACCGTCACAACGAATGTAACCAAGGGGTGAAAGAAGTGTGTTATCCGTATTTCAATTCAAATTGATGCATGTATGCAATTTGACCTTTAAATGACATTTCATGACCTTTTGACCTTGATGGGTGTGACCTACAGTGCCCATCTTCGAACTCGTCCTCCCTATTGACGTTAGGAGTTTACGTTCAAAATTTCAAGTGTCTATGTCTTTTCGTTCAAAAGTTATCGGAGCTACGGACAGACAGACGGACGGACGGACGGACGGACGGACAGACAGACGGACATAACGATCTTATAAAGGGCTTTCACCCCTTAATAACAGAAGGTCAATTGGGACTATGTACTTTATTTTTACAAAAATAGAATTTCCATCCAGATTATTTTTCTTTAGAATTTCTTCTCAAGAATATAAATAATTGATACGCCAAAAATTTATTTATAAAATTAATTTTAGATTTCAGTTTTCAGTTTTTAGCCCCAGTCAGGGCTTATATTGCTTGTACTGTGCTTACTGTTTTATTAGATAAGTTGTTCCGTAGAATGAATCTCGACTATCAAGTTGCTTAACACCGCTGCCCCGAATTACGCCGGCCATATCGATATCCGTACAAGGGTCCATCGGGTGTGAAGATGACATCGCCATGGTAGTAGTGATGACGTCGGACCCTCTGCGGCACTCCCCCGAAATAGTTGTCCTCTTCGTCGGCTGCAAAGTTAGGTTAAAAATTACTTTCACGTTTGCAATTAATTTTTCTACAATTTATTCATATTTCATGTTTTCTTACCAAAGTACGCCTCTGCGAGTAAGACCATCACGCCCATAAATAACATCACCAACGCTATAGTTCTCATTGTGGGAGATAATCCCAGTTTAAATAGCTTTGTACTTTTTGTTCCAAAGTTGACAAGCTTCAGGATATTTGTGACTGACAGGAAAATACCTTTGTAACCCGTTTTATAAACTTTATTTTCAAACAATGGTCGGTTTTATAGGATCATGTGTAAGATATGTAAGCATGTAGAGTGTCAAGCTTTCAGTTAAAATTTATTGTAAGCAAATGCATACGTGCCAGAACTACATAAGTCGTAAGCATTACATTTAATTACTTGAGGAAAGGATGTATGACAGGACGGATGTTTTTCTGAACATTGTTTTTTGAACTAATTGTTTTTTTTCGATAGTCCTACAATGAGTAATACTGTTTTATGGGTTCTTTGTGTACCAGATGCGTGGGTTCGATTTCTGGTTCAACAGCAACTGTGCAACCGCGGGTGTCGGGAAAGTGGGGGGGGGAGGGGACCGGGAAAAGAGGAACCGTTGGCGTTAAGTTTCCGGGATGGTTGTTTCCGCCGGTTCCCGTGATACAGACAGAAATTTAATCCTCGTAATGCTTATTATTTTATTATTTTTTAAATCAGATAGACCGGATGTGGATGCTGGAGGGTTAGTATTTCCAAATCTTGGTATTGCTGTAGAACCGACGGATCATAAATATGAACATACATACCGACAGATTTGCTAATTATGAAATAAGTCCAATGTAAATTAGCGAGGAATATTTCATAAGGACAAAATCTCATGGATTATGTCGTCTTTCGAGTAGGAAATGGTACGACCAAACGGACCTCAAAACCTATATATATATAGCCGACCATGCCATTTGAAACTCACATAACTATAGTCTGTTCTAATGAAGATTTATGCCAAAATAACGTCTACATTAAATATTACACTGTAATATTATGCACTATTTGTACCATTTAACTCATAACCATAAGGATCATGCAATTCATAAGCAGCTCTAAACATTGTTTCCGAGAGTCTCATTTTCTTCTCCACTTTGCTCAGGTAAATTCGAACCAAGTATTTCTTGTCATGTGTTGTTTTGCTCTTGAAAATAAAACTTTGTATTACACACTGCGTGTGGATAATAATAATACAAAAATTGGTTCACTAGTCACCAAATATAAGAAATATAACTTTGAATCAACGTGTTATCAAAGATGGCCATGGGTGCTGCAAAAGACGCCGAATTACGAATTTCTGGTGGTGGTTTATGTCGCAGTCAGAGAATTGCAATCTTACCGTATATTGAAGGGCAAAAGGTAGAGTACTGAAAACTAATTTACAGAATAAAAAGTTAAATATTGATCTAATATAGTTTTTCTATTTGTTACTTTCAGTATACTTTTGGAGATACGTTTACAAGTCGGGAAGAACAAGGAGAATTCATATTCTGGTTTGGAGGAAAACAAGGTGGAAATAATCCTGGATTGGAGGAAGGCGTCAAATTCGACAAGAAGAGTACTAAGAATGGCACCGTGTGTGAAATCGTATGCAAAGACAAGAAATTCTGGCTGATACCTTTGGGGGATTGGATGGAGGGCGATGTTAGGAATTATGTAAATCTAAAATTTTATTTACTTTCTACAAACATAAATATACGTACATGTTGAACTTTAATTGCAAATTTACTTTATCGTGAACTACATATCTGTTATTTTCCAGGTTGATGTACTTTTCCTTAACGACGTGGCAGTAAATACGAAAGAAAAACAGAAACTTAAATTTGGGGACGAATTGTCAGTAATAAGAACTATCGAGGAAGTTGGCCCATCGACCTTAGCAGCAAATCAGACCAGAATACACAACTCCAGGATCGTTCTTGAATTTAAAGTTAGTAAAATTTTATCATACATCAATTTGGAGGAAGTGTACATTTTTGATGATATGACTTTATTAACGAAAGTTCCTCATATATTTACTTTAGGAAAGAGAATTGTTGTCCGAATTAGATGTTCTTATAGAAAAGCATTATCGAAAACGGACAAAGCGTAAAACGGATAATAAAGTAGACTTGTTCTACCCAGGAAAAAATTCATTGGTTAGTCATGATACTTTTAATGTTTACTATGTTATCTGAAATATGTAGCATTTAAACTTAATTCCTGTACATGTATTTTTAATTGTCTTCCTTGTTTATAGATTTTATCAAAAATTCTTTCCTTTTTGGACACGAACCAATTGAAAAACGTTAGATTCATATCCAACATATGGAATCAAGAAGCTGTCAAGATCCTTAGGAAGCGAACTATTGCTATGTTCCGCATCTTTCCTCGCTTCCAGACAAATTATTCGGGTCAAACGCACGCATGTAGTGGGTTTTATTCGACGCCCTTTCTGCAATACAATCATGAAATGAAACACAATCCGATAATGAACTGGGACATATTATTGCCTCATTTTGCAACCTCGGACACGGATAAGTATAAGGAACTCAACTGCACTGAAGGAAAACCTGGAGCGAAATTGATAGTCGACTTGAATTGGTTTCTCACTTCAAGGCTTCACAGCGTCAAAAATTTGACGTTGGGAGGGCCAATTAAGAGCACATTTGACATGACGATACGATTTCAAATTTTGGATAAGCTGAAAGAAACTCTTCAAGATTTGAATTTTGCTGGCGAATGGGAAGACCCGACGATTCAAGAAGATGATGATTTTACAACTCAAGCAAGTATCTCACTTCCTCATTTAAAAGTTCTTACCCTCTCAACTAATTCAAGAAAAACTCTCACTGCCACAAGCTTTCACTTTTTTCGGTCTTTGATTGCATCACTTCCACGAGTTCAATCTCTTCACCTTATTTCCCATCATTTTCCCACATTATCCATCTACTTTTTAGAAGAATTAGATAGCAAATTCCGAAATTTGGATGAAGTTACGCTAAACCACGTCTCACGAACAGAACTTGAACTTCTCTGCAAATTTGACAAACCTCTGAGAAAACTGGCACTGAAAAACCCCTACGAGCCTGATTTTAATTCCGAAACTATTCAACTTTGGGAAAGGTTGATTTGGAAACATTCCAATACTTTGGTATCTCTGGATTTTACTATGCCAATATGTGCAGCCCCTCATAACGGAAGAGTTCTTCATCTCCCAACCTTTCCCCTTTTGAAAACTTTAGCTGTCGATTATAATATCGACTTTGACTATCTAGCAGTTACGGATGATTCTAGGACCAAGCTTCCCGTCCAATTCCATTCTGAAAATCCAGGCACCAGTTGGCTCATTTATGCTCGACATTTTCCATCCTTGCAGTCCCTCAAATTAACGCCCTTGGATATTTTGGAACAGTATGAAACCTGTAGCAAAACATTCTTCCCACACGGTGCTACAATTCCGGACCAGATTTGTAAAACCTTGATTAATCTCGACATTCCAAGAGAAATGGCAAGTCGACGCCTTGCAGTTATGTTTCCCAATGTGTATAATGATTGGATTAATAAAGCCAGACAACCTGCAGAGGTGACAAATGTAGTGAACGACAAGGTTGACTTTTTGAAGTATTTTCATCCCCTCACCGATGGACAACCCACATGGGAACTCCTTCCTTCTCTACTTCCTACAAGATACGATTTAAATGTGATGTCTTTACTGCAGATGTGTGATAATAACAGTAGCATAGCAACAACGAGAGAATCTAATAGTGACAGTTAAGCACCTAAATATATATAAATGAATCTGATGATGACAGCGTTGAAGCTGACTAAATATGTTTTACATACATTATTTGATTAATGTAACACACGCATAAGTATAAAGTTAAATGAGTTAATAAATTTAATTTTACGTCGTAACTTTAATTCCTAAGATTTACACACATTTTTTTCTACGCATACGTAAATGCATACGTAAATACAATATGAAATATTTGATAGATAGATCTTGAATGAGGTCATATTGGTTTCGATTTCCTTAATACATACATTTTTAGAAGTGGTTCAGGTTAATTTGTTTCATAAGACTTCACGTGAATTAACCTGAACCCCAGATTAAAGTTAAATTTACATTACCCGTTCATTGTAGTGGCTCATTAATTATCTGCAGTGTAATATGTACCATACACACGTAAATTCACTAGCCTTATTATTTCCACTTTATAGACGACACAAAGTTGATATTATTAATATAAATTTACGAATCCAATCAAATGTAGTTACTTAAAGTGCTTCTTTAGAAATAGCACCGTTTCATCTTTCAACTTTTGCTTATCCTCCTCACTCCAATCGTAGAAATGCCCCCCGTCAAACATGACAATTTTATATGGAATCTCCTCCTTCCTCAACTTTTCTCTCAACCTATGTGACTGCGATAATGGAATCAGAGGTCTTTATTCCCATAGAACGCAATCGTTGCAGGACACTCACTCGTTATATACTTTACCGGACTGGATGCAAAATATGGTTTCGGATTAAGAATAAAAAGTCGTGGTCCAACGAGTGGGAATGCAATATAATTATAAACCGGATTTAACGTGTAGGCTGGATCTGTAAAATCTACGGGACCAACCACGTCAACTACGACTTTTACATGCCCTGCGGTGTTGTACTTGTACGAGTACAGCAATGCCAAATGGGCCCCTGCAGATCCCCCCAGAAGAGTGAATTTCAATTCGGTGGCGTTGTTAGAAGCAGGACGACTTCCGACTATTCGATTCCTTATAAAAGTTATGAGATTTTGAACGTCCTTGATCTGTTTTGGGTAACCGGGCGATGACCAAGTCCCTAAGCGGTAGTCCATGTTGACGATCAGGAAGGAGGGGAACGCTTCTCGGAGGAATGGGACGCAGATTTCCATATCGCTCTTCTGTCCACCACTCCAGGCCCCACCGTGAATTAGGATGATCACGTGGGTCGTTTTATCAACCTCGATGGTGGTTGGATAGTAGTAGTCGGCAATTTGCTGGGAGGAGTCGTTGCCATAGCTGGCGTTGTACACGGTGGGTTCCACGGTACGTTCCTTCTTGGTTTCGGCTGAGTAAATAAGGGAGCCAATATTTATTTTTAAGGCATGATTTTGTACAATTTTTACAGGTTTGACTCACGTTCGTTGTCTTCGTCATCAGATTCGGGTATGTTTCCACAGGTGTAAGATATTAAGCAGGTTGCAATGATAAGGGATTTACTGAGATGTGAATTTGGTGAGAGGAGAACCATTTTCCAGCCGATTCCAGTGATTAATTTGATTACATTAGGTTAATGAATTTTGATCAGAGACGACGTATTTATACATTGTCGCATTGTTTACATACGTTATGCACAAGGAAATGATTTCGGTTAACGAGTGAACAAAATGGGAAGTTGTTAAATTTATTACCATTTGTGGCAGGTTTTTTTATAATTGACGTCAACATATCCTGTTTTGCGGAATTTATTTTTCAGGATTTTTATTTACTTATTTTAATGTCATTAATCTTGATTAATGATGAGCAAAATTTTAATTGCGTGGGTGTTTCGCAAGCTAAACGTCATAAAAAATATGTTAGTATTGTACATATGTACATATGTACATGGATGGATTCGTTATTACATTCTTTAAATTCCTCGAGAATTTGGTGTTCGATTGTTTTCCTCTCATTTCGATTCATTTCATTGTCGTTATATCAGTGAATAAATATACATATTTAATGATTTCCATACAAAGACAGGGGAACGTATGCACGAATAAAGCGAACCAAGAGCCAAATTTTTACAAATGCTACTGTATTTCCGAAAAATTGATGCCTTCTAAATATATGTGCACATACATATTTTTTCGTAATGTACATATGTACATGTATATGTGCATATCCATATCCATACACATAAGTGTATCTTGTAGTGAATATTTTGAAAACTAATGTCCTAGTGTTTCTAAATTATCGCTAAGTTTACTTATATATACAGATAAACGGACAACATATTTATATGCACGTACGCAGATATATAAATACGTGTATATTAATATCCAAACATACATATACGTGTGTAAATTAACGTTGCAAAAAATATCTCCATATTGTTTATTTTAAGAGCGTTATCTTTGTTATGTAGTTTTCCTTTAATTAAGTTTCTATTCAGTCTTCGTTCAACCTCGAATTGATAATCACTATCACGAGGTAAACTAATTTAATTACGTCTATAAGTATGTAATAATTGCTAAAATTTTTGGAATAGTAATATATGTGCATATACATAAATACATACATAAATACCTAGGTACATACATACATACATATATACATACATGGATCTAATTTCTCTCCAGCCCAACTTTTTTGATAACAAACTCAATGTAGCACTACAGTTTATAGACTTCGAATACATGTCTCAGGTCATGTACACCTTTTAATTCTTATTCTAGCAATTATTATTTACTTGATGTACTGGATTGAATTTAGAAACATGCGTTATCAAATTAAGAAATTTTGTATTCGAAAGAAAGTCGTCATTTTATAAATACATCACCACAAGCACAATTATGGATTATGGATTTCCATAGTGTGGAAATAAACTATCAAATTGCTAAGTAGACTGATGGTTATCTTCTTGTCTGCTCACGTCGAGGGTTTCAATTACCAGAACCTGACATCAGCAAGTCATGGGATATGCCATAAGAAATAGTAACCTTTTAAGTATCACCAGGTCATTTCATTTCTAGCGTCGAAATGATCATGACAGAATTTCTCCCGTCGCTCATATCTTACCTTCGCCTCTGTAAACGTTTGAAATGTACTCCGATCGAGTACCACAATAAAACCGGACGATTCGTCATATGTCGAAACGTTCGACAACTCAACATTTTCAAACTCCAATGTGTCCTTTCACTCGTGTATCTTGCAGGAATGTTTTTCAATCTCTGCTTCGGATCGCACACGTTGCCGGCAAGGTTACAAGGGGTCAGCTTTTTTGTAATATACTTGACGACGTTCATAATTCGATGGAACTACGACTTGGACATTGAAGCCATTCAAGTTATCAACTCATTCCTGGATTTCGAACGGACAATTATTCAGAATGGTATGCACACGAATTAAGAATGCCTTATTTATCCCAAAAACCCAATTTATGTAAACTATTAAAATAATTAACGCAGATATCCGGCTACCTCTGTCGTCCCCTGAGACCAAGTCTATGAAAAGCTTTATTCGCATTGCCCAGTCGTCTGTCTTAGTATTTCCGATGCTCCAACTTGTACTTTTGACCTACTCCCCATGCACGCCACCATTTCTGCTGTCCATGGCCCCAACGTGTAATGAAGCTTCATCTGTTTTGCAATACTTTCTACAATTTGGAACAAATATTTTCGAAACTTGGATGAGTTTTCATAATTTGTTCTCGTGCACGATCATCCTTTTCTACACGTTCTGCATGGGAATTGTTAGCATCTTGAATTACATCAACGTACTCAAAAAGTATGAACAATTTTTAAATCATTGTGTTGCACATGCTTGCATGTAAGCACACACAAATGACACCTTGTTTGATGGTTTGCTGTCTTTCAAAAAGTTGTGAAAATCTTGGTTATCATAATAACATTAATTATTTAATTCTTTCTGATCAATTCCATTTTAGAGAAATTTCAACGATTGTTACTGAACAAGACACAGCGAAATGCATCAAGTTCTACCATTCAATTCAAGTGCTTGAGAAGTCGTTCAACTCTTACGTCAAAGACAAGATCGCATCGCCATTAATGATTGCCGTACCTGCACTCGAAATTTTGGGAATGTACGTCTGGATAAACTTGTACAATGACATCACTCTGCCGGGATTCTTGGTATTCCCAATAATGGGAATTAATTCCGCCATTTGCAATGTGCTCGTCTTCACATTGGCGTCGCATGTCAACAGCCTTTCTGAAAGGGTGTTGATCTCTTTGGAAAAGAAGATGGCTGAACTAACCTGGAAAAAGTTCGTTAAACGAGAAATTAGTGCCTGGTCAACGATGCAAATTAGATTTGGCTTGAGTTATATTGACCGTGGAACGCCTCTGTCAATGCAAAACTTTTGCATTAATCAAACCCTGTCGCTCACGTTGGTCAAGTCTGGACAAGCCATTGGTTAAGATTATAACGACAAGATTATGGCAATCTTGCGTGGCTATATATACTGTAAGAACTAAAGTATAATACAACAACTCTAACTGTATGCTAGGCTTTACTTTGTACTAGGTCAATAATCTAGCAGAACTCTTTATCTGGAGTTATTAGATTTAATAAGTCGAGTCTCATTGCATATGTATCTGTATTAATGGTACTGGATAAGCTTATGTACGTATACTCCACTAGGTGAAAAGTTGACAGAATGGGTTCAATTGTTTATTCACATATTTCATATTAATTACTTTCTTAATAAAATTGCTCTCAATATACTTACGAACATGAGCTCATGTTTAGAACACGTATTTGTATTTTGAATTGGTACTTTGTGTGTGTGAATATAGAAAGTTCTGGAAATAAAATTCTTATCTGTTTGGAGGCAATTAATATTAATTGCCTGTGCAATATACAATTTACTAGGATATTAGCAAATAGATATTACTCTCGAGTATTTATTATATTGGCAATTACAGAAATACATAATGCAAGTCAATTTTCATTTCTAATTTGCCACGACTGCGTGGCAATAACACTTACGTGGTACAATCTTAGAAAATGCTATCCATTCCAAGGTCACGGACAGTAGTTTGGCGTAATCGGACCTTTCCCCATTGACCACCCATTACTTTTTTTAATTGAAAAACTAACCAAATAAAGCTCATGACCAACAAAAATCGTTTTAATTCCCAATACAATTCTTACTGTCCTTTACCAGATTAAAGAAGAAAGGCAGCATTATCAAGCGTCCATCATGACCCAAGTTATCCCAACAATTCCTACAAGTCCGTCTCGGACCCTTACAAATCCAAAGCCTTCTCTCCTTCACTGTGCCATTCTGCCTTTTAGAATCCTACAAATCTGTGGATTCTTTCCCCTCTGTGTGAAAAGTAGGGGAGACTCCACAACGCCTCCAGTCATCACAACCCCACCCTGGTTCCAGTCCCCCTCCACCATCTGGCTATTTACTCTTCTCTTCTCCACCATATTTTCCATATTCATCACCCCTTTCGTCCAAGTCGGGGTTTACACAAAGTCCGTAACAGAATTCATCCCTACTGGCCGAACCACCTTCTTCGCGATTAACGTTTGCTGGCTGGCCTGCTCAATCTGTGGGCCCTTCATCTCTCGCATTGTCATCCTCTGCGGGAGGAAGAGTTTCGTCCCGTTCTGGGACAATTATTGCCATCTCATTTACAAAATCAAAAACTGCGGAAATATAGAACCACAAATATCTCAACATGTCAAATGGGTCAGGCGAAGGTTCATCACTCACGCCACTCTCCAGGTCGCCTTGTCCATCGCGCATTATTTAGTTTCCTTAATGTACGCCACATCGAGTGACAAATTCACTCTGGTCTTTAGTTTCTTGGCGGCATCGTATCAAACTCTGAGTTTAGCGATGGCGGGATTCCTCACGTTCTTCTCGCTTCATGCTCTAATCTATTTCGTGACGACGTACGAGTTTTGTGTGACGCAATTATTGTCCAAACTCCAGGAAGAGAGACGACTTGGGCCCCATCTTTGGTCGCAGTACAACATTTGGAACACAGTCCAGCTCTACATGCAGCTCGAGGAACACGTCCGCGATTTTAGCAACTTGTTTAAAACGCTGCTAAACATATTTGTCATTTACAGTCTGGGATATCTGCTTTATTTCATGTACTTTATCTTCCTCCTTGTGGCGATGAATGATTACATGTTCAATTCTCTGAATGTAATTCAGCTCATAGTTTTCAATTGGTACATTTGCTGGTTGGCCAGCAGTGCTAGTGGTTTGGAGGAGAAAAGTAGGATTTTCTGCGTTACGGTCAAGTATGTTCAGCTAGAGGGACTTGGGGCAAATTGGCAAAGGCAGAAAGTGGAAGGGCAGGTTGATAATTTGGTCAGTTTTTAGTTTTAAAATTTTAATTTCGTCGATAAATTTTCAAAATTATTTATCGTCGTTGTGATACTTTCAGAGTGCTGCCACACTGCCTGGATTTATTGGGTTGGACTCTATCACAATTAGAACGTCGGTACTGGATCTTAACTTGCGACTGGTCATGTCGGTATATATATGCAACCATCAATAAGATTATAAGATTCTTAAATAGTGGTTATAATACATTTTTATTTTGTTTCACAGATGATTGCAGCAATTGGGACTTATTTGGTTATAATAGTTCAATTCCAAGCGATCGAGGGCTTACCTGAAGTGCTGATAAACCAGCCTGGAAATATTTCCCATTATCATAATTAACTTTTTAATCCATCTCCGCGTGTCTCATTTCCTTCCATCAGCATAACCATACACTATGTACTTCGACAATTATTTACTTCAATTACGTGACGCGTTATTAGCAAATTATTCGAATAAAATGTCATTCATTCATTCAACTAATCTTAAAAATGAATTACGAGTGTGTCTCAGATATACCACAGGATTTATTAATTCATCAAGTATTAAATATGAGGCCATACTTTTGACTTTATGAGACAAAACTTTGATGGAAAACATGATTGATTTACAACAACGAAGTCAAACGTGGGTCGACCGACATGATATGTGCAGATGAAGTGCATTTGCTAAGCAAGGTACGATTTATAATTATAATTGTATAATTGTAGAATGATATTGTCTATGATAAGTAAAAGTATAAGTAAAAAATTATGTCCCTTAATTCTATCCTATTCTCAACTTCTAAATTTCTGTTCATCAGATAACACAAAATTCTCGCGTACGATATCTGGCGCCTCATTAAAAATAAATGCCATCCCACCAAAGCTATGCCAATCAATATGGCAATGAAATAACCACACTCCAGGATTATCCGCTATAAACACGATGATAAGCACATGATCCACCGGAACAAGGACAGTATCTCTTTTGCAACTATTCTCATAATTTGCTTTGTGTCCATCCTCCTTCTCATCATATCCAATCGGTTCACCACTGGCGTCCCTTCGCATCGGAAATTTTCCCACGATCCAAAAGCTATGTCCGTGTAAGTGGAAGGGGTGTGGATCATGATAATTATTAATTACCAGCTTAATGACTGAATTATACTGAATCTTCACGAATGGGAGGGATTCATTTAAAAATCCTCCTTTCACAACTGTGTAAAGTGGTGGTTCAGACAAGGATTCCACCAAGAACGACGTGTCATTAAAAGTGAAACCAACTCTGCCATGCACATTGTAATCCAACCTCGCATTAAGAATAATTACTTGATCGGCCTCGTTCGCTGGGGGAACGCGGTCGAACGGGAGTAACGATGACTCATTCAGATACCGCTGTCCTTCCATTGGAACTGGCAATATCTCCGAATAATTGAATACTTCTACCGACGATGCAACAAATTTGTTAATCTTATTAATCGTATTTTTTCCATACTGCAAAACTGCCGTCACAGTCGGGAATGTGCAGTTCTGACATCTTAACTGAACCGATCCGAGGCCAGGACTCGGATAAAGAATAGCATCCGCACGAATAAGAAATGATTCCAGGGTAATATCCGACCTCGAAATTAAGAACGAATATCTTTGTCCCGGCCCAATTTGGGCGAGATCTACTTCCACCGGGCTAACATCAATCCCGTCAGCTTCCACGGTGGTCAGGGTGTGATGATCTATCGAAAAGTTAAACGTCGTCCGACTACTTGCATTAATTAAGCGGAGAAGAATCGTTCCTTGCGAGACGTGGAAAACGTCACGTGTTTGGCGTTCCGCTAAGCAGGTGAGGTTTTGTTGGGCGGCAAAGTCGCAGGGATAGCGACCTTTCCCATTTAGAAGGACAGCGTCTGGATAAGGCGTTTCTCCCCCGACGTTTTCCTTTGAAAAATACCACGCCACGTTTTGGTGCGCCCTCGAGTGGTAGTAGTCGCTTAGTGTGATAAATATTTCAGGATAGGTGGCGGTACGATTTCGAATGATTAAAGGGCCAAAAAGACCTTCCGTGTATTGTGAACCGGAATGGCTGTGGTACCTGAAAATTATTTGGATACATATTTTCATACACTTCGCTCCAAGTGGCTGATTAACTAACTTAATCTTAAACTCTTACCAAAATGTTCCCCACTGTTCCAATTTGAGCTCGTACAGTCGAGACTCCCCAGACCTGATGGGCCATTGGGTAATCATGTCTGTTCCATCTTGAAATGGGGTGCCCCGTTGTTCAATCCCATGCCAATGAATGCTCGTATTTTGTCCGTCACTTATCCTATTTTTTACCAGAATTTGTAAAACGTCTCCAACTTCGCCTTCAATCGTGGGTCCTGGGAACATTCCGTTTACTGATAAAATCCCTTTATTTTCAACGCCGTCTGGGGATCCGGTCATGTAATCGACTTCAAACGTGTATTTTAAAATCCTTCCTTGCAGTTTGCTCTGAGTGGGTCTAAAAACGTGGCAAGTATAAAATTGGCTACTCTAATACGAACCTTATGCATAATCCGAATTATCTCACCGTTTATGGGAGTAAATACCAAAATATACCAACACAATGGTTGAAAATATGATGGATAAACTGAGCCGGCAAACCATTCCCGAATTTTGAGATCATACAGTAATAAGTTTGCATGTATGTAAGGTCACCTCTCGTGGAACAAAAATGTTTACATACCTAACTAAAAGTTTACGAAGCATATTTATTAGCTTTTTTTGGAACGTTGGACATCAATCGCATCATGATCTCCATTATGAAATAAATAATTGATATATTTAGTAGTCGTTTTAACTCTCAATACTTTGGATAATGTCGCCATGCGTTGACGTGATGAGTACGAGTACAATAGGCCACATTTACTTAGGAAGTCAAAGCAATTTATGCAAATTACAGTTTGGGTAGTCATTGAACTACTTCATTCATCTGATATTTTCACTCGAGTCATAGATTTCACAATGGGTTGCTTTCACGTCAATATTGAAACCCCCGACTTATATAGTACTGTAGCTATTGGCCATTTAATATATGGGTGTCATAAGACCAATTAGTCTATTCCGACGAGGTTATTTATCGACGTGTGGTATAAATCAGGGTAAGGAATCATGAACGTTATATGCATGAATTATTTTATGAACACATTTTTAACTGAAATTTATCCTTAATAGAACATAACGTTGCCACCCGTCATTGTTACAATTCCAAGTATTTCATCAATGAAATACATGAATATAAGCGAATTTAAATTTCTAACTAACCTTTAGTTAATGCCGTTCATGAAAACGAATAATTCCCTACGAAATAAATGCATAACTATCAACGAGCACATGTGTGTATATACATACACTTACCGACATATCTATATACATATGTATGCACGTATGTATATGTATTTACATACATGTACGTACCAGCGTACCTAATTAATATTCGTTCAATCAATCATGCTAAATGATTCGATTAAATAATTTTAGTTCTCAAATCACTGCTCATTAGGACGTTGACGTTACATTATTTTTGGCCCGAGCCAGGATTTACACTTACGTTACGTACTGTTCCGGAGAGTCAATACGGCTGAACCCACTGATTTACCACACGTTTATAAAGCAAATCGAAACGTTTATTGCCGACGAAAACTCTGAATCAAATAGGTCGGGTTGGATCGTTGGTGTAAAATCAATTGGATCAGGTTAGTTGCCTGGAATTACATATGTAATTATCTATTAATGTTCGAATAGCTACCTATTTTGATTTATTATAAATTTGTACCCGTGCAAGATATTGCACAATAAAATTTAGGCTAATTTGTTGGAAAGGTGAGGGAATAGATTGAAAAGAGACGCTACAATAGACCATATTTAGTCATATGTAGTGTCATGCAAATAAGAATTTTGGGTAGTCATTGGACTACTGATATCGAACCTCATTGATCTCTAGTATAAGTACATATACTGTACTCGGTATCATAGTCCTTCTTTTACATTGCTCGATTGTAATTTGCACGTACGCACGTTGGCTTACGAAATGCATAATGGTTACTTTGACGTTGGAACTATGCACTTATTCCAAGGAATCATATGATTTATTTTGTCGTTACAGTTTTAACTGAAATTTGTCTAGAATAGAGAAAAAAGTTGGGACATATAATTGTCATCCTAATTGAAGTATTTTGCTAGAGATTAACCAGAGAAATGCATGGATTTAAGTAAATTTAAATTCATAACAAACCTTTGAATCTCATCTATGAAAAGTAATCCATAAATCGTTCCACTTACGTTCGACCTAATCGTTCCACTTAAACTCAGACGCGTCAGGCAGTACACTTTCAGTTGATCAATCATACTAAACCCAAGCCCCCTCAGTTAATTTCCACTATAAAATGTTTTCAACAACTGTAATTTACACAGTATTTTTAGTATTTTCGGAAACATTTTTTACAACTGCATCATCAGAGCTAACAGTATCTCGAGAACTACGTATTCAGGAGAATTTCTTGGTTTCTTGGATTGTTAATAATGACACCATCATTTTCAACGTTTCCACAGAGGCAAAGCCAGGCGAGTATGTCGGCATAGGCGTATCTTACAATGGAGCCATGAAGGGGGCGGATATCGGCATTGCTAAAATATTTCCAGGTGGAATCATATCGTTTGAGGTTAGTGGTCACACTCATTCCGACATTTTGGCATTTTCAAAATCTAAACAGCACACAAAAATCCTTAGGATCGTTACGGTATCGACAAGGTGTCACCCATCCTCGACAAATCCCAAGATTGGCACCTGCTCTCATCAAACTTTAGGAAGGAAAGCACAGTCTCATTTCAAGTTTCTCGTCTCCTCAACACGGGTGACTCTGCTCAAGATGTAGAAATCACGGAGGACACGCTGCGTCTCATCTGGGCTACAGGAAAGTTCGAGACTGACACTGGAAAATTGCATTATCACGAAAATGGCACAAGGGGCGTAATTCCCATTAATTTCCTCGACCCCGATATGGACACACCGTCGCATGAAGAACTAAGCAACATGTACGTTCGGATAATGTGATTAATTAACCTGTTGTTTAACGACATACATATTTATGTACTTCTGTTACGTAATTCTAACAAAATAATTAACATGCACATACATAATCATTGCAGGTTCGACTTGTGGAACCCAAAGAGAAAAACGCACCTCTCGAGGAATGAGACGACCTATATATGCTCGTTTTTCAAGAGCCCCGACATCCCGAAGAGACACGTCATTGGGGTGTGAAACTTTTACAAAGTTTAAGTTTTTCACTTATGCAATTACAACATGATTGCTTCCACTATAAATAGTTCGGCCTTGAGGTCAATCCGATTGAAAATCTGCGGCATGTCCATCATCTAGATTTGTACCGATGTTCTGCACCCAGTGGGACTTCACCCACCGAATTTTTTGCCCCCTTCGTCGGCAATGATTACGACTGTAGCTACTCACCGGTTCAGTTTCCGTTCGAAAACTGTCTGCAATTTGAGTTTACTTGGTCGGAGGGTGGTGGTGTAAGTCTTTAGTTATAGTAAAAAATGCAATACCTTGGTAGTTTTGACTTCTAAACAATTTTTCTAAAGTTTTTTTTAAAGAAGAAACCAATTGTAGAAATATGACAATTTTTTATCCTATTGCATCAATAGATCACCCTATTTCCTGAAAATATGGGACTTCCACTCCAACCAAATGAGTATTACATGACCCAAACGCACTACGATAATCCCCACGAACGTGACGATATCGTTCTCGAAACCGGATTCAACATCTACTTGACCTCTAACCTGAGACCAATAGAGGTTGGCCAGCTCTACGTTGGATTTATGACTAGTAAATCATATGCTTTGACCGTGCCCCCAAATTCGACTAATTTCACCGTCAGTTCCCACTGTTCTTCTCCATGCACGAGCAATTTACCCCCCGAAGGAATTAACACCTTCTCCGTTATGCTTCACTCACACAACTCAGGTATTCTTACATTTTTCGAAATTTGCTATCCCTAAACTGACTTCAAAAGTGCTCCTATTTAGGGCGACGAATGCAGCTTCGCCAATTTCGAAGCGGTACCGAACTCCCTCCTCTAGCGAAAGATGACTATTACGATTTCAACTATCAGAACAATCGGCGGCTTCGAGAAACGCGAAAAATCATGCCGGGGGATCATTTAACTGTGGAATGTGTATACGACACGGTGTGGAAGGGTGGAAAAAGTGTGCTGGGTGGGAGATCAGCACGGGACGAGATGTGCATCGCCTTTCTACTCTACTGGCCAAGAATTGAGAACGTAAACCTGTGCGGGAGTTATCACGATCAGGAACAAGTGCTAAATTTCATGGGGGTGGAAAAGGTTTATCAGGTTAGATAAACGTGTGTTCTTCAACAAATTAAGTTCTAGATACGTAGCAGTATAGGCGGAATCTCGGGGTGACGCCGGAGGAGGTCAGTAAATTGACGCATTCTAAAGTTTATCCATTTCTCCGCAGTATCAAGGAGAGGTCGACGCCACCATAATTGAGCCGTCTCATTTGGCTGGGTTGAAGTATAGCCATGTCGTCGAAAATTTGATGAACTGGTCTCTTCCTGTTCGAGAACGATATCAAAAATTTGCTCAATATGGCGAACAACATGCCTTTTGCCACCCAACTGTTGGACTTAATGAAAGCATGGCTAAAACAGCGTACCCCAAGATTATCCTGACACGTGAGAGTCGGGCTGGTTGGAATATTGGTGCTACTGGGATAATTGTTATGTCCATAATTTTGCAAATGTGTTTATAACGATAAATAAATCGGTAGGGACTCAGCATTACCTTCCTTCATAATTCCACACCTTATTCTCAGTTTAAAAAATATCCCGGAACATTTTCATCAATGTGGTGGTGTCGTGATGTCGAAAAGCGCATTTTAATCTCAACTACAGTTTGCAATTCCATCTAATAATCGTGCTCACAGTCACGTATTTCTACCCCAACCTACTCAATCCAATTGAAAGGAAGTTATAATTAGTCCAAACGAATTTAGTGACTGTCATGTAGTCCTCGTATATATGTGGTTCTATTTAATTCAAATTCAAACTAAAAGGCCTTGGTCTAATGAATTTGTGTCTGTAAGATTGGGAGTTTTAATGTTCCTGTATTTATGATTTTTAAATTGTTAATTGCAAAAGTAAAGCGGATGCATTTCTTTAACCTCTAATGCCACTACCCATAAAGGGGATATTTTTAGCAATAATAAATAATTGAAATATTATTGTATCGTAAAACTATAATGAAACAATTCACATCATAGAAGTCGTTACGTAATTTACATATGCTTCTGATATGCGTCGATAAACTCGTAAAGCAAAATTCCATACGAAACGTTTGTATGTAGGTTTAGTCTGCATACGTGATCACTGCACGTCTTAATTTAATCACTGCAATATGTTCATATTTAGTAGATGGACGAATGCATATGCCATTTCATGGAAAGTTTCCTGGTTAAACCCGTCCTTGCTCAACCCATACGATTAATTACTTTAACACGTTGGACTTCCGGAATGTATTTATTTGTCCACTTTAGAATAATCAACCCCTTAATTCGACGGGGTCAACAAGAACCAAATAATACCAGAAAATACCGGTATAAACGAGATCCTCAGTAGTCGACGAATACCGAAAATAGAACAACACTGCTGTAAATCACCATTAATTGGGGGTTGGTCAGCTACATATGTATGCACGTAGTCACCAATCTAGCTAAAACAACACATCGCAAATGACAAATGCTCTTCTTCGCAAAGTTACTTATGAGTCAAACAATTTGCTTACTTCGTCTCAAATCCCGTTTTTGTACCGAAGCGTGTGGTCGGATCGTTACTGATTGCAAAAATTCCACACCAAAAATCATCCCTACTATTAAGAAATGTACTCAAATAATATCCTAGCTGCGATATTTTTATTGGGATTCCTGTCCATCCCTTGGTAAATAAATACATTTTGATTTTTTTGAAATATTTTGAAAAATTAAATTTTGATAAATTACTGGATAATACTGGATAATAAGTTCAACTTTTCGATTTCACAGTGATGCTGCCACGCCACTCACTCACTTGCAAGCCAAGCAACAACTTGACGTGTCAGGTATAATGGAAAATAAATACTAGATAATTTGGTACCAATTTGATTAATTCTTTACCACAAATATATATTAATTAACGACGCAGGCATCGATGTCCACAGTACGGCAAGCTGCAGCAATAAAGGCAATAAACTGTGCACCTCGTTAGATGGAATTCGCCAGGAGACGATCAATTGGCTAATCCATATAAAAAATATTGCCCCGAGATGCAAATTTATTGTCTCCGGCGGTACGGAGGTACATTAGTATTAAACCATTAATATTTTATTTGTTCGTCACAATTTTATTCTCAGAATTTGTAGATTTCAGATAATTTAGTAATTTTAATTTCCTTGCTTAATAGGTGGGTCACGGTGGAGGGGGAATAAATACTCACGCCGGAGGATATAAAATTGACCTCCGATTGAATTGGTGCCTAAATAATTTTATAGAACATGGAGCCAAAACCAATCAAAACCCAACTTTCGATATGTCGGGAATATGGAGCAGCGTTACCCAAGGGGGAAGAGAAAATACTCTGTCACAATGTATCGTTCGGTTTCGGGGGCATATTTGTGGAAAAAATATAATCATTGGGATATCCTTTACCCGCATAATCCCGTCCAAAATTTCCAGTGAATATCTATTTACCTTATCTTCAGATCTATTTAAATAACTTTGTTAGATGGAATTTTATTACTTTTTAGTTAGATTATTTCTTCAAGATTCCGAGAGAAATAAACAGTTGTGCATGCATGACTGGACAATTTTAGGTAGCAATTATTACTTAGAAATATAGCAAATATTTACAAATACATATATGTAGTTTATGTTACAGAGAACTTGGCGAGTGGAAATGAAATAAAATTGTATGTGTAGTTTAAAAAAAATCTAGTCCTGAAATCCGGTTGAAAATCATTTTTAACTTCAATATGAAAGGATGGTAAGATGTTAATACAGAAGTACGTATTTACAAAATTAAAATAATAAATAAGGTTAATTTCAATTTAACACTTGCTGTGTAATTTATCAAAAATAAACCGTCGCAAACGCGCATACGGAAGTAGCTTCAGACGTACTTCACCCCAAACGGTCCCACCACAACTCGGGAACACTTAATGTCACTCTATTTCACCTATAGATTAATTTTTTGTAAAAATCTCATTTTGCCCCGACCACACCCCCTGGCGACGAGGGGGTGTGGCACAACTCCGGAACACATCATTTTACTCTATTTCACCTATAGATTAAATTGCACTAAAAATCTCATTTTGCCCCAACCACACCCGCTGGCGCCGAAGGGGTGCGGCAAAATCGGGGAAACACTCAATTTCACTTAATTTCACTTAATTTCATTTAATTTCACTCAATTTCACTTAATTTTACCCATAGAATAAATTGCACTAAAAATCTCATTTTGCCCCAACCACACCCCCTGGGGCCGAGGGGGTGTGGCACAATCGGGGAAGCACTTAATTTCACTTAATTTCACTTAATTTCATTTAATTTCACTCAATTTCACCTAATTTTACCCATAGATTAAATTGCACTAAAAATCTCATTTTGCCCCAACCACACCCCCTGGCGCCGAGGGGGTGTGGCACAACTCCGGAACACATAATTTTACTCTATTTCACCTATAGATTAAATTGCACTAAAAATCTCATTTTGCCCCGACCACACCCCCAGTCGCCAAAGGGGGTGTGGTCCGGTTGCCCCCAAAAGTTGATAGGATCCTCCCCCTGGGGTCCTATGTATGATGGCGAAAACCGATTTCGATTATCTCGATCCGTTCTCCTGATATCCTGCTGACAGACAGACGGACAGACAGACAGACAGACAGACAGACAGACAGACAGACAAAGTCTTCACATAAAGTAGCTGAAGCTACTTAATAAAAATGAGACCTATACTGACCGTGCATCATAGAATGCATCAAATTACTTTAGTAACGCCGTTTCATGGAATTTTTTAAATTCAATGATGACTTTCTGTATCAAACCAACTTTAAAAACTCTTTAAAACCCTGATAGATTTGGGTTAATGCTGTTAATTAAAATTTGATTATTAACTCTATATCTGTGTATTTATTTATAGACAAGCTCTTCAAGTTTTATGAGAATTTTATGAAAATCATAAAATTATGCACTCCTGTAACTTTTCAATGTGCTAAAACACGTTGTAGCAAATGTAAATCTCTGTTACTGTATGTAATAAAACCATGTAATAATTTTGCTAATTTATTTATGTAAATAAATATACATACATAATTCCGACAAAGTTATACTTTTCGTTTCCCAGCTTTTTGCTTGCAGGGAAGCTCCTTGTCTCTCACGAGCCAGATATCTCTGTCATTCTTATCCCCAACATTCTCAACATCGTCGCCCAAGTCATCTTAAACGAACAATTATTCTTAGGATGACAAATACCAACAACTTTATAAGTCAAATTTTCATACCCGTATCAAATTCGAAATACCATTCCGTCCTTGCCTTTTTATGCGCCGGGATGGTTACTCCATCGTAATTATTCCCGAGAATCTCGGCTGTCGTGGAAGTCGGTGGGATAGAGGTCAAATACACGCCATCGCCATACATGGCATCGTCTCGTCTCGAGTCCCTTTTAGACTGCAGAATTTTCTCTGTTTTCTCAATTGCAGTTTTCCCTTTGGTATCGGTATAATGGTAAAGCTTCATGATGACGAACGAGAAATAGTTGACACCGTTAAACAGTTGACAATTTTTAAAAAAATGAGGATTGAATCATTCGAGTGCAACGATTTTGTTCTTATGCAAAAAACTATCCTATATGCTCAACATGAATAAAACTGCAGAATTTAACGTATTTGCAAAAACCTGCTTACTTATCAGAAAGGAAATATGTTGACTCCGTAGCTGTTATATGCATATGTTATGTAATCATCCATTAATACCGAGAATAGATTAGAATTAGATTGTTAAAACACAGTAAAACCCATGTCCATACTCATAAGCAGGCTTGTTTACTCGTGAGATTACTACATATGTATGTACAAACTTCTCTCATGAAAAAATATTCATCTCTGACGTTCTGAACAAACGTTTCATTGTATTTGCATAACTGGTCCATCACCCATCGTTAGAAAATGCTTGCCTCAGCTGTGTTGGAAACTATTAAGAAAGTCAAAGGTAAATTATACATATTTTGTATTTTCACTGCGAAACTTTTTAGAAAAATATGTTTACAATTATATTTAATATATTCATTTTTTACATGACAGATAAGTTTCTCTCCATGGATCTTTCCTCCAAAAGAAAATTATACGCGTGTAAAGAAGATTTTCTTACCTTGAGCAGAATTCCAAGCTGGGCTGACTATGTCGCAGAGAAAGGACTTGTTTCCGAAGTTTGTGCGTACATAATGAAAAATCATACAAATTTCATACTACATACAAATGCAAATACAAATATCATTTAATAATATGTAAATCATATTAAAGTTTAGTCAACTTGTTTTTATCACAGCGGAAGAACAGGACGAAAAAGCATTTTCACATGATTCGGAAATAAACTCTAAAGTTTCCCTTTGGCAAGGCGATATCACCAGGTTGGAAATTGACTGCATTGTAAATGCAGCTAATCAAAGTTTACTGGGGGGAGGTGGAGGTAAATATGATAAATATAATTGTAAATACAATTATTATGAGTAGATTTTATAAATAAATATTTTTTACTCGCATATTTAGTTGACGGTTGCATTCATGCAGCCGCTGGGGAAGACCTTTTATTGGAATGCGAATCCTTAAATGGGTGCGAAACTGGCCAGGCAAAAATTACAGGAGGATACAAACTTCCAGCAAAATGTGAGCCTTTATTTATGTGCTTACCACATTTAAGACTATTGCTAGATACGATAATTATACTGGTTCATCAATTTTTATCTGAAGTATCATATTTTTTGTAGATGTGATACATACAGTTGGTCCACAATGCCAGGACTGGAAATTGCTCAAATCTGCGTATTCCTCCACTTTAAAACTAATGAAGGAGAATAATATTAAAACAATTGTAAAAACGATGGTTAAATTTTATTACATATTTGACCACAGTTTAACGTAAATTTTTGCATACTTATGTTTTGTAGGCATTCCCATCAATTTCTACTGGAATTTATGGTAACACTTTTCAATTAGGAATAATTGTCAACCTAGGATTAAACGTACATATGCTAAAAGTATTTATTTGCAGGTTATCCAATTGAGCATGCGTCCCACGTAGCGTTAAAGACAGTGCGAGATTTTGTAAAACAAAACAAGGAACATGTAAGTATTTCATCTAAATTGATGTTTACTTTTACGCATAAGCTATTTACAATTTTTATTAGGTGGACCGAGTTATCTTCACAGTATTTTCAGACGCCGACAGAGAAGTGTATGAGAAGAATATGTTTGCATATTTTCCAACAGAGCAAGAAAAGTGACAATTATTGAATAACTTTACTTCTAAACTTTAATATAAAAGTAAAACTAAACTATACAACTTTAATATAACGATATATAAAACTTTTATTTTAGTTTTACAACTTTTAGTTTTATATTTATAAAACTTTGCCTTTTAAATTTACATGTATTGAGATAAATTGGCGTGCTAATAAACTGTAAAACTTAAGAGGTCAAGCTTTAGGTCAAAAAGGTTACGTAGCAGCTCCTTATTGAATTTCGTTTTAGACAATCACATTTGGATAAAAAATATCCAAACCCCATGTTGATACCACTTTTGGTTGGCTCACAATGAAGGGACATGTGTAAAAGATATAATGGGTCCCTCAGAGGTACCATTGACATGCGAATTATTTTAACACGCATTTTTTGCATTGTTTGGACGTACTTCACTAGATAATATGAAAATTATCAAAATTTAAGTACAAATGTTTCAGGGGGTCCATAACAGAAAAAAGTCCTCATTTGTATGTACCGTGATATATGTATAGCGTTTTTTTACATGATATATGCATGATATAAACGGAGCATGGAGCAATTCGAGTGGGAAAGGAAAACCAGTAACACGAGTGACGAGCCACGTGCAGGACTGATTTTTTTTACTGCTTACTTTTTTTATTCAAATACAAAAAATATATAAAATAGAATTATAAAATTACGGTATGACAGCCCATTTAACAAATAACTGATCCATGTCGTCCACCTACTACACCGAAAGGTCTCGTAAACGAGCTCGTGAGGATGAAGTCGATTCACACGACAGAAGGGGTCACTTTTCCGGTGACGGTGAACGTTATCGTGGGGGAGGAGGAAGCCATGGTCCTGCCCGAGGGGGGTATGACACTTGTGACAGCGGTGGTCGTGTGGAGGGAGGCCGTGGTGGGGTCGTTGGTGTCCGGGCGGGGAGGGGCAGACCTCGACAAACGTTAGAGGATCGTCGCCGTGAACGCCTAGATAGGCATGACCTCGTCGTCTCCCGTGAGGTGGACAAGTACGGGGAGAAAATGACCAAAATTGGCAGAACGGGAAAATCTACTAACTTTTTGGCCAATTACTTCGTCCTCGAGAAGCGGACGGATTGGGCAATTTACCACTATCGCGTCGACTTCCTCCCAGCAGAGAAGGAGACTCGGATTAAGAAAAAACTCTTTCGTGAACATGAGGGGTTTTTTGGGGCGTATATATTTGACGGGAGCTCACTGTACTTGTCGTACAGGCTTTCTCCAGACGTAAGTTTGGTTTCATTCATTCATTAACTTTGCAGCCTTGTAAATCATGCAAAGTTTGCTCAATTAGTAATCTCAAAATTGTTAACAATCCTCCCAATGTTGTTTATTTCCAGCCTATGATACTCTGCTCAATACGTGACGATAAGGAGAAGGTCGAGTTCTCTGTTCGCCTCGTAGCTGAGTTGGCCCCCACTGACGTGATGTACCTCCAAATCTATAACATCTTGGTTCGAAAATGTCTTGAATTCATGGATTTGGAGGAACTCGGTCGCCACTTTTACGATCGCCATCAGGCCATCAAGATTGAGGCGCACAGACTCGAACTTTGGCCCGGTTACAAAACATCGATGCGAAACCACGAGCATAATATTCTTCTTGGGGTCGAAATTACTCACAAAGTTCTCAGGACTGATAATTGTCTTCATGTCATGGAGAGGCTGAGGGGAGGGCAGAATTATCAGGTGAGTGGTGTGACCTTATCCTCCTAGCTCACCTTAGCTTACCTTAGCTTCTTGATCATTGTACTTATTGTATGTTTTGAATTTGCAGCATGCCATTAAGGAGGAGCTGGTGGGATCAATCGTTATGACCCATTACAATCGAAAAACATACCGGGTGGACGACATCGATTGGGATAACTCTCCCGGATCTACCTTTGACATGAAGGGCCATGGCACAGTCACGTTTGCAGACTACTTTGCAAAAAAGTATGGGCTTCGCTGCACCGACATGCTCCAGCCCATGTTGGTGTCTCGGCCCAAGAAGCGGGATTTCCACAGGGGGCAGACTGGACCTGTTTTATTGGTGCCAGAGTTTTGTCAGATGACAGGTCTCACCGACGAGATGAGATCAAACTTTCAATTGATGAAGTCATTGACTGGATATTTACATGTCAGCCCGGATCGAAGAGTGGAAGCGGTAAAGAAGTTTATGGCGAGGTTGAAGCAGGCACCAGGGGTGAGATTTTTTAAATATAGCTCAGCTATATTTCGAAGGGGTTGATAAGCAGCTATAATAGCTGCTTATCAACCCCTTCGAAATGTGTCGTTATTCTCCAGAAGATTTGCCAAAAGTACAGAGTAGTTTGAATAATGTACAATGCACCGAATTTTTTGCGGCGTTATGAACACAATGCGCCAAAATTTAGTATGCATGATAGTAACATTTGTATATATTTCTCGATTGTCCAGGTGAAGGAAGAGCTGAGTCGTTGGGGATTGAAATTCAACGATAATCTCGTCCAAGTTAAGGGTCGCGTTGTGGACAGAGAGATGATAATGTTTGGGCAGAATCAACATGAAGCAGCCTCCGGCAGAGCCGACTGGAACGCTGCATTTAGAAGTGATTTACATTTATAAATATAAAATTTGTTTAAAATTCCTATATTATAATTATTTGTTATCTTGTATTTTCACTCAGATCACGAAATGGCATCCTCCGTGCCGCTCGAGAACTGGGCAGTGATCGTACCCCAACGAGATGCGCAAGCGATTGACGAGTTCATATCAGCGATGCAACGGGTCGGAGAACCCATCCGGTTCAGGGTGTCTCGTCCCAGAGAAGTGTAAGAGCTTATCTTAATTCACGACTTATTGTATTTTTTTAGCTATTTGTGTATGTACACTTAGCAGTACCAATTCTAATTACAGCATTCGAATTCCCGATATTCGAATTCCCACCTACTTGACTGCCATCGATAAGGCTATGTCCAATCAGAAGGGCAAATTACAAATGATCTTTATTGTCCTCCCGAGACAAGTTACCGATATCTACGCCGCTGTGAAGAAGCGGTGCGCCGTCGACTTTAGCAGTGAGTAGTTTAACGAATGTCTTGATAATTTGCGCAAATATTGGGTAACTTAACTTATTACCTTCTAATTTTAGTCCCATCGCAATGCTTTATCTCCAAGAATGCCCATAATCCTCGCGGTTTGATGAGTATCGCTACCAAGGTTGTGGTCCAGGTCAATGCCAAGTTGGGCGGAGAGCCATGGTTCGTCCAAATCCCATTGAAGGTGAGCATATCTTTGGTTAATAAATAATGCTGATATATGCAACCTCGATAACTGATTGACTAATTTCCTTTCCACAGAAACTGATGATTGTCGGGTTTGATGTGTACCATTGCGGGAAGAGGAAGGGGGCCAGTGTGGGCGCTATGGTGGCGACGACCCACGAAACACAAGCAAAGTACTACAGCACCGTCAGTTTTCACAACAGCAAGGAGGAGTTGTCCTCCAACCTGTGTGCCGATATGATGAGTAAGTCACCTACTATAGCAAATATCATCATTTTTAGGTTCGGAATTTGATAATTTTTCTCCCACAGAATGCATGTACGCTTTCCAAAAGGTAAACAAAGACTTGCCCGATCGCATCATCATGTACCGCGACGGGGTGGGCGAAGGCCAGTTGAATTTCGTCTTTGAGACTGAAATAAGACAGATTAAGGTACGTTTTTTTTAGTTTGTTCCTTATTTCGATACTAAAATACACATTATGAATTTGTGCCTAATTTTTGCGTTTTATTTGCAGCAAGCGATGAATCAAGTGTACACCGCTTCTGGAAAAGCTCTACCTAAGTTTTCATTCATCGTCGTAACAAAAAAGATTAATACACGAATCTTTGCACAACTGGGTAACGGCAGGATTGGGAATCCCGAAGCTGGAACAATAGTTGATGACGTTATCACACTTCCGGAGAGGTAACAAATTGAAATTAATTGATAAGACGGGCATATTTTTATTCACTTATGCGTATTTATGTCCATATTTTCACCAGATTTGACTTTTACTTGATCTCTCAATTCTCTCGGCAAGGGACCGTCTCACCGGCATCGTACAACGTGCTCTGTGATTCGCAGGGCTTGGACGCGGATAAGATTCAGCGCTTAACGTACAAGTTGTGCCACATGTACTTCAACTGGTCGGGGACAGTCACCGTCCCTGCGCCGTGTCAGTATGCCCATAAGCTGGCCTATCTCACCGGGGTGGCCCTGCAGGGGAACTCCGCCAGCGAGGGGTTGTCCCATCTTCTCCATTTTTTGTAATGCCACAGTGAAAACTAAAGGGAATAATGGATAGCATTACTGCTACTAAAAGTTATAATACCCGTGACATTTACATAAGAATTTTATGTATGCAATAGACAAATACCATAGCTTACAATTCTCTTTGTACAATATTATTTTATATCATTTATTTGACAAATCTTTTGTGATCACTATATAGTCGGCATTTAGTCAGCATTATTAGTCACTTAGAAATGTAAAACATGAATAGAAAATAATTTATGAGAAAATACTGACTTATTTATATAAATACATTCACCTTATTTTGAATACATTTTTATGTAAAGTGCTGAGTGAACATATTGTACATTCATATAGACATGTTATATACACAGTTATTGGATATTATGTGTGTGTACATACATAATAATTACATTTTATTATTAATTTATTAATGCATACTCACCAAAAAGCATATATGCTCCGACAATAGAAAAACCCTACCTGGGGTAATTACCCACACATTAGTGTGGACTTTGTACAGGGTCGTACTTTGTACATTATCTTGTCAGCCTCCATTTCGTTTCGTCCATGAGGTCGTTTCATCAGCTCGTAACTTATCCGGACTAAACCTCAAACGAATTGTTACACTAGTATTAAAAGCCATATATGTGTCTTATCTCATCCTGCCCGTTTGTTACTCAGGTACAAATGTGTGCAAATACCCATGTGTCACAGGTGCCATATAAAAAGTAATTACGAGCTGCATGTATATACGTACTAACTCATTCACCTTCAGGCCAACCTCATCTACTCCAAATTTCTAAAAATGTTCTCATATTTCAAAATCGCTACTTTATCCTTAGTTTTGATACTCGTACACAGTACAATTGGCCAACAATCACAATTGATTCAGTTTTGGAACAGTGCAAATTGTGTTGGAAATCCGTTCGCGAGTTGGACAGCTTCTGCAAATTACACCACACCTCCGCCAGGACTAACACAGCCATTGTATTATAAAGTGAATGGATTGTAAGTATAACACATAGCATACTCATTTTTTCTATAAAGGACAATTTACTAACGATCTCTTTTGTCCAGATGGGAGATCATACCGTGTTTATCACCCACAAACTGTACCGTGCCCTGGATACGTTCCGGTTTTCCTGGTCCCTGTACTCAACTTCTCTTCCCTTATAACTTGACCGACCTTCGGGTCCGGCGGATTGGAGATGCTAACCAAAACGAAAGGAAAATCACGTTCTTTGAGCTGCCAAATTTTCAAGGTCAGTCAATAAGCGTGGTTCCACCGGAAACAAATTTCTCCTCCAGAACGGCACAATCCTATTACTTTACCGGTTTGAATTCGTGGGTTTATAAGAGCAGTCCGGATAATTTTATTTCTGTCTGTTACAACTATTCATTGGATGTGAAGAACGCCGGGTACGGTTTTACGTACTCGGAGGCAACTATCGCCAACATAGGCTATGTAAAATATGGGTGCGATGTACAACAATCGACGACGACGCGTAAACCTGGAAGCAGTGGTGGTGGGATCGTTGGGCCTAACAACGCCGTTTATTATGCTTTCATTTTAGTGTTTGCCTTAATTTGTTTGAAATACTGAGGGTATTCACGCACCCTTGGTAACTACGTAAACAGCATAAAATCCGTAAACTTACAAACGTTTACAAACAGCTTCCCGTGAATTCACTTTCGCAATTATTTTCGTAAAAATTTATCTGATAATTGAAACAAAATGCCGATCATTTCCAGAAAACGGAAATTAATGGAAGAAATTTGTGGAGCTGCATTTATTGATATAATAAATACCACGAACAGTGAAGGCTGTTCCTATAAAAATTTCGAAATTCAACCCTCCTAAATTCTAATCCTAAATCACACTAAATCTTAGCTGAATATATAACTTCTTAGAAATCGGTATGGGTACCCCTTCCTTATTGCCCATCTGGTTATTTTTTGTTCATCTTTGACTTCATATTCGTTCATGAGAAGCTATCACCGTTCCGAATTTCAGCTTTTTGAGACAAGTTATGAAAATCGGTATGGGTCACCCCAACGGGTCCCGGATGTGATTTTTTACCAATTCCACTTCATATTCTTCCATTAGGAGCCTTTAGCAGCCTCTATACCAAATTTCAGCTCGATTGGATGATTTTGAAAAATCGGTATGGGTCACCCCTTCGGGTACCTCCAGATGAAAAATTTTCCAATTTCACTTCATATTCTTTCATTAGGAGCCATTAGCAACCTCTAAGCCAAATTTCTGTATCGAACAAATTAAAAGACGCCTGTGAGCTGCGTAAGTTTACAAAAGTTTGTAAACTGATTTTCCTTGACAATTTTTGTAAAAGTTTGTAAACGTTTGTAAGTTTACGGATTTTACGCTGTTTACGTAGTTACGAAGGAGGGCGTGAATTGCCTCACTAATTTTGTTTTAAAAATGACTTGTCAAAGATGTGTGATCAATTAAATTATTATTTGTATGTACTTACTTAAAAAAATATTTTTATGCGTATGCATATTACATGTAAAAAACAAATAATGCACTGAAATAATGCAATAGTGCTTTTTATTAGAGTTACACATTACAAATGTTAGAAGTAATTAATGTGCATCATTTCCAACTTGATGATCAGAAATCATATAAATATTACGTACGCAAATTCATTTGATTCTGGAATAAATATCATATGTACATATGTACATGAGCATGCGAATGTAATTCATTTAAATCTCTGTATCTACATTATAAGCTGGAAATGTTTGTTGGCAACGGAAGTGAAAGTGATTTTCCGAAACGGAAGTGAAAGTGGAGAAAGTTAAGTTTCGAATGGCGCGATAATTCAAAATAAATTAAATTCAAAAAATTGAATACCAGAAGGTGTGGTACTCTTTGTATGGGCTTATGGGGGTGGTGGTTATATGGTGGTTATCTGAGGGATGGTGGTTATCTGGGGGTGGTGGTTATCTGGTGGGTGGTGGTTATCTGGTGGTGGTGGTTATCTTGGGGTGGTGGTTATCTGGGGGTGGTGGTTATTTTAGGGTGGTGGTTATCTGAGATGGTGGTTATCTAGAGATGATGGTTATGTGGGGAGGTGGTTGTCTGAGGGTTAGTGGTTATCTGAGGCTTAGTGGTTATCTGAGGGATGGTGGTTATCTTGGGGTGGTGGTTATCTGGGTGTGGTGGTTATCTGGGTGTGGTGGTTATCTTGGGGTGGTGGTTATCTGAGGGATGGTGGTTATCTGAGGGATGGTGGTTATCTGAGGGATGGTGGTTATCTGGGGGTGGTGGTTATCTTGGGGTGGTGGTTATCTTGGGGTGGTGGCTATCTGGGTGTGGTGGTTATCTGGGGGTGGTGGTTATCTGGGTGTGGTGGTTATCTTGGGGTGGTGGTTATCTTGGGGTGGTGGTTATCTAAGGGATGATGGTTATCTGAGGGGTGGTGGTTATTTAGGTAAGATAAGTGGGCAGCGAGTAGTACTGTGCCCAAGCCCAGCCCTAGCCCAATCACTCCTTAGAGTGAAGTAGCGAGTAGTACTGTGCCCAAGCCCAGCCCAAGCCCAGCCCTAGCCCAATCACTCCTTAGAGTTATATTGAAAATCACAGAAACTACCCCCGTACAGGAGACGGACTTATACCCTAGGAGACCCTAGGAGTAAGTGGTCACTCCGCTGCGGATTGGAGTAGGAGTAGATTGAGTCGCGAGCACACCGAAATGTCACTCGACTGGATAAAGTGGGAGTAAGGTCCCGTTACATTAATTGAGTACGACACCGCATCGTGGTTCATAGTTTTAAGACGGAGGTTTGGGGTTTTACTTAATACAATTGTACCTCCAATTTAATTTAACAAACACCGTGAATATAGAAAAACAGGGAAATATTCTGACGAAGGCACTAGACAGTCAGAATATTATTTATTTTACTTCGACGTGCTATTGTACTCAGTGAGTCTACATTAACCTCCCACATCGCAGCGAAATAGTCAAGATAACCACCCAAAATAACCACCATTTTACGACCATCCCAACATAACTACCATCAGACATTGAATTTTTTAAATTTAATTTGTTTTTACTTTTTGCGCCATTCGAAACTTGACTTTCTTTACTCTCCCTTGCGTTGCAGATAATTTTCTTTCACTTCCGTTACCGACAGATATTTCCAGCTTATAATTTTCACTCGCCCGGCGGGAGACGGGCTTATACGCTAGTGCTGAATAACTATATTTTAAATTTTAATCTGTATCTTGGCTCTCTAACATACATATTTACATATGTAGGTACTATATGCATTTACATACTTCTTATATGTATATGTATATGTACGTACTTGTATAAGTTGTATATACGTATGTGTTTGAGAGCTGAATTTGGAAATCAAAACATTGAGATGAGATAACGCATATATACATAACTTGTTTGAAAATTGTTTCCAGGGACCCAGGTGGTGTAATCGTATCATACGTAGATCTATATAAATATACTGGTATAACAGTCCCAAAGAATTGTAGAATCATGTCTTGTTACATGCATATTTCACTTTCTCATTCTTTTCTCGTTTGTCGGCTAAAAAATAGTCTGAATCATACGAAAGAAAACCTCGTTTGTCTTTTGTTTTGTCCTAAATCTTGTAATTTTTGTTGTTGGGGAAAGAATGTATGTAGGAAACGGAAACTGGACATGACACAAAATGCTTGCTACATACTTCCTCAAAGCAATAATCGTTCCTTTCAAGTTAACAAGATTTCTCCTCTGGACATACGAAGTTAGTGGAGTTTCTGATTTTTTTAAAGACATTTAACGGTACCAGAGTACCATTTGCAGTTGACTTTTTCAAGGAAAAATGAATTATGGTGGGCTATACCTGTTTACAGATATTTCAAACTTTATTGTTAAACCGAAAATCATATCACAAAGAACCAAGGACCAAGTCTAATGATTAAGCTTGGAGCTTGCTTGGTTGATATTAACGATTAGAGTTTAATCTTATAAAATGCCTCACATTTTCTCTTACTTTGGTATTCTGGTGGAAATACATACATGCGAATTATATACTTGAGAATGCGAATTGGTGGGTGACACCGAATCGACCATAATAGCTCACCAATTTCGCTTTCTCTTCCCTTATACTTAAATATACCGGATCTAACTAAACTGAAGAAATTGACCGATTTATAGGATCCACTTTGTCAAGTTGTTAAACCTGGTGTCTGAAACTATTTACGTTAAAGCCTCGAGTCCAACTTCATAAGTTCAATCGGCTTTTCCTCACGCGCTGCAACGATTTCAAAGGAAACTACGCCCCGATTATGAAACAAATCCAAGTTTTTCCAACTCAACTGACTGATCCATACTCAAGAATTTGGTATCATTCCCTTACACCTTACTGCACGATGGTACAAGTTGTGCAAGCTGATAGATATTGTCACTTTCAGATCAATTCTGGTTCACTCAATTTCAAGGGTTTTTGCATTAAAGTTTATTCAACACTTTTTTAATAGACAACGAATCTCATGAATAGAATTACTAGACAAACTTTTGCCTTTTCTTTCAAGCTGAGACTTTCGGACGATAACATTTTTACGTTGCAAATAAATTTTATTATTTTACCACCCTTCCTTGCATATAATAAATAGCACAGCGTCATGGAATGTCGCATTTGGCTGTCGCTGTGTACGTCTCATGACCATTTTATGTTTGACAAAAGTTTTCATACAGAAAAAAGCTATGATATATATATCTCACAGTTTTCTGGAGTTGATGGCGACTTTCCCAGCCAGACCAACCACTTCTTATTTGTTATTTATGTACATGCATTTTTATGTGAAAGTTGTAAATCTCACGGATCCTCAATTTCTCGGCACAAATGTTTCAAGCAATGCAGATGTCAGTCATCACTAGTTAGAGTGGTTTTCATGGAACACAGGCGTCAAATTATCCACTTACCAATCAGCTACTGTTTTAATTTATAAATACAAATACATGTTATGCACCATAATGTAATGTGCCATCTGTGATGAATCCGTCTTGATCTTGAACCTCTCGTCAAAACCTTGAACTGTGGCCTTGTGCTTATCAAAACTTCCTGTCAAATTCCACATTTCCTGGTAGTTTAATAATTTGTTGGGTTATTCCAAAATAAATAGTGAAATATGCCGAGAGCCAAGTAGCACGGAAATGGGAAAGCAGAACAAGACTTTTTTCATCATTGACTGCTTTGCGTTTCTCTTATGTTGGAAAAGTTGAGGAAATGTTGAATGTGTAAAAAAATTGCAAATGTCCACATCGCTTCACACAATCTTCATCTCATCTCAACGCAATATTCTCAAGTTATCCATCTGTAATGTCATACACGCCATGTTGTATCATGCATATGTATCTAGACGCCAAAGAAAATAGATTGGACGTCAAGATCTGTGAGTGATACAGGCTCATTTATTTCCACTTCCTTTGGATTTGTAAACATTGCTACTTGACTTCAATCAATATGAAGCATGTCAAAATTAATATGAGAGTTGGTTTAATATTTAAATAGGTTAATATTTGGGCTTGGTTGATGATATAATACTTATTTAGCTATGTATCAGTACTAGCACGGCGTCGACTAAAAATCACCTTCAGGAGAAACTAAAAGTTAAAGTAACCAAGTCAATGTCACAATTTTGACATATCGATGACATGCATGGTAATTTTCAAGAAATGCATTATATACTTTTCTCGATTGCATAGGCAAATATTTGCTGTTTAAAAATCGAGGATCGGAATACTAAAGGTGATTTACGTTAAATGGGGCGACTTTGAAGTTCAACAACTCCGAAACTGGTTAGACTTTTGACCCCAAATTTTGAGCATAATAACATGTGACCTAAGGCTATGTGTCTGTACCAAAAATTAACTCCCAAGACAGAAATGACCCCCCCAAAAGACCCCAGAGCAAGAGGGTGTGGAGAACACTTTTTCCAACTCCCAATTGCTGCCTACAAAACTAAAATGTGGCATATATTATGCCCCAGTGTGCAGGGAACTCAAAACAATTAATTTTTTCCCCCAAATACAACTGGCTGTATTTTTGGAGAAAACCTAAAAATAGCCCCCACGCGATTTAAGCGTCATCGGTCTACTTCAAATCCATACCAAACATCGAATTTAAAACTTAGAAAACCAACCAGGTGCCATTATATTAAGAAAGGCCTCCTCTAACTGACAAAATAATAATCATAGAAAAATTTCAAATATGGTGAGTTATATAGTTCCATTTTATCAAAAAGAAAAGTTTCTGAGTTGTTTTGGGCCTGGTATTCAAAGAGGTGAAACTTTTTTTACCCGATTTGAAGTTATTTATGAAAGCTAGATAAATGCCAAAAATTTTGATACCATCGACATCAAATTCTATGAACAATTAACAATTTTAGAGAATTTTAAAATATTCTAAACCTCAAAATTTTGGGTGTTTTGAAAAACATTTTTTCGTGACTTTTTTTTCGGATGTTTGTATCTCAGGCCCTTTTTACACTAGCGACTTGAAATTTTAAACCAACAATGATGAGAATAGGATCTACAAAGGCCTAAAATTTCAAAGCGATATTACATATAGCGCCTAAGTTATTAAGCTTCAAAATCGCCCCATTTAACGTAAATCACCTTTGGTAGACTTTCGTTAATTTAACAGGTTTATAAACCAAATCGATAAGTATGTATATTTGCATATATATGTACATTAGTACACCTAAACATAGAGAGAGCCATGAAAAACTTATGTACATATGTACTTATGTAGATAACATCGGGAGAAGTTTGTTAGTTCATATTTTATGTAACCGAGATCACCTACAAAAAACTCCTCCTCAACACAGACAGCATAAAATTATTGTTGCTTAAAACGTTGCCAACAAGGCACGACAAGACAAATAATAAATCCCGACTGGGGAGAATTATGTACATTTAATTGAAAGTCTGGGGACAAAATGTAATCAACCTGATTTCATGGTTGACAGGAATTTACAAACCCGTATTTATTTTTTGTGAGAAACCAAGCCGATTCCAATGCATTCCTCGGTGACTTTTTCTCTAAATTCTCCATGTGAAAACTCCTAAAACTCCTACAAAATCTCATTATGTTCTCCGAAAATTCGGGGTTATCCTGTAATACAAGCACACGTAGACCAACATTAGGCACTGGATATTTATGCAATATCCAAGATTAATAGTAAATCCACAGAGTTTTATCATAATTGAAGTGGTTGGCATTTTCGAACAAATTTAAATTATGGAAAAGTATACTTTTCTCTTCGTTTGATGAACTGGCTCATCCCTTTGTATGTCGCCAATAGTTTTTCAATCCTGCTTTTTCCTTCTTCGAATCCCTTTGTCAATCCGACATGTTTCACAATGTCAGCACCATTAGAGAAAGTATTTCCTCATGTCCACTGTCAGTCGGGGAAAGTTTTTCTATACTTAAAAATCCCGCAGCGTGGGCAATATAAGTATAAGTACGTCTCCCTGAGAATATTATTTGGACCAATTCACCAGAGATGTTTTTCCTGAGGTACGAGGTGTCACAAAATTCTGGCTGAAATTGGGTGACATGACGTCTAACATGCAAGCCAGGAGAAAACTTTCTCCCGAAAGGAAAGCCAAACAAGTTTTGCAATACGTATAAAAGGATGCCGCTGGAGAATTCCGTGGTTTACGCAACTTTGACTGATTTTGGTCGTGTTACAGTCCTGAAAAGCGCAATTTGACCGACATTGTGTGTACAGTAATACCTTTCTTTTCTCGAACTACTTAAATCCACTTTTCCCCTCGCTACACAACAACATATAAAAATTTAACCTCTTAAAATCCTGACAGCGTATCCATTCTCATAAATCAAATTCCAAACACCGCACTCGAATTGAAATGCATCCACACATGTATGCGCACACGTGGCCAGACTACTTTTCAAATCTCTCAATCCCATCTCTCCAAGAGAGATTATCGAAGCGGAACGCAATTTGGTTGGGTGTTAAAGAGTACGAGGCGACGTGTGTGTAATGTCACATTTATCATGTTCACCTGACATTTGTCGCCATGAAGGAAACAGGCGAATAGTCGCACGAGTGCATGGAAATGTGAAATCAAGAACGGAGGTTTCACCCACGTTAGAATCCATTCGGTATAAAGTTACTCAAAGTGAATTAAGTTATATAAGAATGTAATTGAGATTCTGCATAGTTAAACTTTGTTTTGAACCAGCAAACGGTGTAATGTTGCACATAATAATTTTGGGGTTTGGTGAAGGAATGCCTAATTAATATGAAACCATCGTCTCAGTGCGTATAAACTTTATTAATGGTTATGTATATGTAGATACCCAGATAAATTGACGTCTTCCTGCCTATAATTTAAATTTAGTCCACTGGGAATAAATTAATTGGAGCAAGTGTTTCCTTTGCCATGCAACTCATAACATTCTTTACTTTTAAATTTTCACTCAATTGTCAAACATTATCGTGATAATGCATTTCGCTTGTGTGCAGTCCGTCACGTGCATTAAACCAACAAAGAAAAATTTCCTGTGAATTTTCCTCATAATCAAATATGACTTGAAATGGTTGGGTAAGTTATTAATGAGCGTCAGTCAACCACCATCAATTCAATACCACACGACATCACCACCTCTGTGAACTGACACATGGCCCAACTCCAAAATTTGTGGTTCGAGAAAAACATATTTAATGTAGTGGTCTATTTTAATGATCTTAAAGACTATAATTTAAAAATATGCATGTAAACTGCGTCGAAAGAAATGTAACGTCTCGCTATGTAAATTAAATTATCAACGTACATACAAAATTTAACATGAGTATTCTTTATTCAATTAAAAATCATGTCAGTTAACAGTTTCACGAGTAAAATGTTGTCTCGAGGTCAATCCCAATAAGAGTCAAATTTTAATCACAATACAAAATTATAAAAACAAACTGTTTAAACGTTAGATTAGTTTAATACTTGAAATCAGAAATGTGAATTCGTAATGATGTAATAAAATATGTTTTATTGGATTCACACAAGTATTTTTTTAGTACATAAATTCGTACATTTCGTGAATTCTTTCAAACCATTTGAGATATGGCAGAGTTAGATCGTTTGTGTTTCTTATGAGACGATACTAACATTGTAAATAAGTTGTCCCAATCGTTTAGAAGCTCCAAATTCTTGATGATCCTAATAATTCGTATCTTTTAAACCTGAACCTCTTCTGCTTCCCCAGTCTCCGGATTGGAGTAGTTGGTCTTTTTCAGCGACAACGGCCTGACAACTTCGTTCACCATCTCGTTGGGATGTCTAATGACCACCATTGTCTGCAGTGGAATGACAATCCAACTTTCTCTTTAGTTTCAAGCCATGGCAAATTTTTGAGCAATCGAATCAAGTGGCATGATCAGCAGCACAGCACAGACAGGGATCATCCGCGACGAGGACGGCACACAGAACATGGACAAAAATAATCATAATGGGAGAATTCAATTTTTTGCAAAACATATCGGATGTCATTGTTACCGTTGCTAGGAAATTAATCACAAACAAAAACTAATGAATTTGAGAGAGAGATGTGGAGGGTTAGACAAAGCTTAAAAGCAGTTGTACATAAGGCGAAGCGAGAAAATTAACAAGCGGATTATGTACGAGCTCTGTTGGCGATTATTTATCCGAGAGGCTTAAGTACTATGCTATTCAGTGGCCGCGGAAGCCGTGGGGACATTGGGACATTAATACTGTAGGATAGGGGAGCGCGGGGTTTATATAACATGGGCAGATCATCCGATAACCGTCGGGACATTGTCCCTCTGCCCCCACCCTTCCGCGTCCATTGGTCTACCCTATCGAGTAATATGATGAGAAGAGATCAAGTCAGTGTAATGATGATGATGCATGGAAATAATCCATTACTGTACATTTTTAAGGGATTATGTAGTCAAGCGACGAAATGCGATCTTGTCCCCATGCTTTATTTTACCATTCTTCTTCCCAGAAGGGAGGACCACTCCCTCATTACCCACTTCGCCAGTGGCTATAAGGAATTAATTTCCCTATCGTGATTACAATACCAAGAATAAATTAAGTTTCCCGTGACGGAAAGGGAAACAGAGTCAGAAACAAGTTTTGTTTTATCTTTCTCCAAGTAATCGCATTGCATCGCATCCGAGAATGAAAAGCAGCGTAGGACGACTTTCTCCCTTCAAATTAGTCTCATTCGCCCTCAGCTTGTGTCCATGTTCACTTACAACTCAACTTCTCGCCTCTCTTTGTGGCTGGTTGGGTAAGTAAGCTCATCCTCAGTCGGTCGGTCGGTGTACATAAGCGGAAAGTATGAGCCATGTGTTATCTTCTTCACTTCTTAGTTCGTGGAAACTTTCACCACTAAGTATTTCCTGACAGGGGAGACTAAATGGGGAAGAAATACGGCTGAACTGAGGTAACCTTTTCCACCAGGGCGAACTATCTACTTATGACACATGGACTTCAGTCCGGTTAGGTTAATGTGTGCGTGGGATGGGTCGAAATTGGCAATTATGTTCGAATTGATGAATTTTATTTATCCAGCCAATGATACTTTATCATTAAAGGAGACTTGTTATTGACACTTTTAAGTGTTTTACCAGCACAGAGACATATTTTCTCCCAGAATGCTTCAGATAGAAGCCGTTTCTTTCATCTTCTCAGAATACGATGGACTTCCTGCTTTGCCTCTGCCATTAGTTGAGTAAATACTCGGACTTTGTTTGTGGTCCATACTTTCAGTTCAGTTTGTTTAATGTTGACCAACATAAGAGAAAATTGCAAACGTACACATACCAAGCAAAGCTCGACACACAATTTTAGCCATGTTATGATGGGAAATTGCAAGCCATAACGAATTAAAATAATAATGTAACATCAAAATAAGCATATGTACCGTTGTGGTCCTGCCATACGAGTAATCACCGGCTCGACTGACTTTGTCGGGATGAGCAAATTTCCTCCTCAAGGCTGCAATTACTTCACTGTTGCAGAAACAAAATAGCAGCGACACTGCTAACCCCTAAATATAATAATGACACATATTAGCGGGATGGATTTGGGAGAGAAAATAATGTCTGCTATTAATGTTCAAGGTCTGTGGCAGAGAAAGCATCAAATTTGGGTAATTTGTCATGCAGTCATAATCGGATAATCACGGGAAAACTGCTCCACACACCAAATTATTGCCATAATGGAACTGACGTTGAGTTAGGTAATGATACCCAATTAAATTAGCAAGTTTTCTCGATGGATAAAGTTGGATCATGAAATTGAATACGTTACACAATCAAAAGTATTAGCAAACCTGTAGAGACGATGAGATTGCAGCAATGTACTCGTAGTAAATGGCCCAATCCGACTCTGGATCTCTATTTGAGTACAATTAATCATAATTTTGCTCAATCAATTTATTAACTCGTCATGATTAACTCACGGTTTGAACGGAGTCAGGAAGTAGTTAATTCCAAGCAGCGGGATCAAGATGAGCGACGCCTTGGCTGCCTGTTTAATTGTTAACCATACAGTTCGACGGAATTTGTGGTTGGAATCCGCTCCACAACTCAGGCAACAAGGTCCCAGGAGAGAACAACCCTTCGTCGTGACTACAATAAAGTCTCCATCCTCATCTTCGCAAAGATCACCTTCCTTTTCAACACGGGTAGGCATTAAATATCGTTATTGGATTCTACGATGGAGAGGAGATGAGAATAATGACTAGCAAAGCGACTTTCACCAAAAGATGAGTAGATTTGATATCCGAAAACTCGAATAGATTGGAAGGATCAAGATTTTATAGATTTTGTCACCATATTTCGAGCTCCTGAGAAACCTTGTTGCATAAGTTGTAAGCAGTGACAGATCCCAAAACCACTTAACCTCCACCGCGCACACCACAAAAGCCCTCAAAACTGTCGCAATGTATTAATTACCTTGCGTAACGAAGCCGTATTTTCGGCCACGGAGGATTCTCTTCGATTATTGGTCGACAAGGTCCTTCGATTGGCGTTAAGCTTGATGAGGAGGACGCGGAGAATGTTGATGAGGAAGGCGAGGCTCACGATGAGACAGATGCAAACGGGGACGGAGAGGAACAGCGTCCACTTGGACTCGTTGATCCAGCAGCTGCAAACGAACAAGCAGACAAAGAATGCCTTGTTAAGCTTTGTGGGAAAGTTGGATGTGAAATTTGAGGTGGCAGCTCGATGGCTTAATTGGATTAATTAGATGTGAAATTATATAAAAAGTTTGCTAGTGTGGGTGATGAGATAATAAATGAGGTTGAATTTTAGTTTCGCTGTGTTGCATCCGTTGGGATTTCACATGAAAGGTTTAGTAGCATCCGCAAGAATACTTTTGAGCTTAAATCGACCAAAAACCTCGACATGCTTTAGCACTTTGCTTTGCATAAGTCGACCGATCTAAAAATATTATTGCTTTTCACGTTGAAAATCGGCTCAATAAATAATGCACCTACATAAAAAAGTGAAATCCATAAACTAAACACTTCCCCCCATTTCACTGACTTGAGTATTAAACATTTCTCAGACCAAGAAACTTAATCTCTCGGTTTAGCCTTCCATTTGTCTTACGCTGCTCGTGCTTATCCGCAAATGCTATGCAAAAACTGCAGATGTGCGTTGAAATTTAGAAATCCTCCGACTGACTTAAACCATCCCAACAACATTGACATTGATTAACGACGAATCGATCCGCATAGAAATACGAGTGCAGTCTTTCTCATCGTATCATTGCCCTTTTCAATGAAATTTGTCTTATCTCGCACTTATTTTACTTTCAATCTGCTCACACTTCCTACTTATTCACATTTTTTTTAAATTCTAAGCTGAAATTTATCCAAATTATCAAAAGTTTTTAGGTAAAACTGAGCAATAAACTTTGTGAAAGAAATGAAAGTTTTTTCTTTGAAAGTGTGAATGTTTTTTTCATGAAAAACTATCTCCTGCATAAGAACATAGATGGTAAAAGCTATTCGCTGCTGATTCTAATGACTGTAGTGTAAACTGCACGAATTTTGAGAAAGCGGAGCACAAAATACATACGATTCGTCCAAAGAAGGAATGAATGTTACAGCTCTTCCACGGTACTTAACTTTCTCTCAAGTTTCCAAATAAATCATGAAATGTGTTTCATTCTTCGCCAAATGTGGGAGGGCCACCGGTTTTGTTTATGTGCTGGCTTTTAATTATTGCCACACGCTCCCACATTCGAAGTGCAATCACCACGCACGAATTCATGGGATAAATCATTGTAGAATTTCTGCTGAAATGTTGAAGCACTTAAATTCATATGTACATATTTAAATACGTACTCTTTTTGTTCGTTGTGGTCCTCGTCCCTGGAGCGAAAGACGGCGTAGAGCGTGAGTGGAATGGACGGTCCGACCCATCCGAACGCGTAAAAGCCTTTCATCATGGTGGACTCTGCCCTGGTGAAAGCATACACGAGCAGAGTGTGCAGGAAAAAGCCCTCCACGAACATCCAGAAGTAGTTGGCCACGAGAAAGTAGTGGACAAAGAGGTGGAGAAAGGCGCACCCCATCTGAAATTGTAGTTTCATAACAGTAGTTGCAGTTGCATAACTCAATTAAGCGGATATATTAAAAGATAAGTTTGTGGAATCGTATATTAATTTCAAACCTGATTTAGTTCGTTTACGGGTTTTGACTCGTTTACGACGAACCTGTACCAAATGAGCCAGAGAGAGTTGTTCATGATGAAGGAGAAGAAGAGATGCTTGTGAATACGGACTCGAGTGCATTGCAGTGAGCTAAAAATATGACAATAATATAGTTCGCATATTGCTTGTTGAAGAGTTTAATGAATAAGTTACCGAAATGAGAAGAAAATGATGAGAGATATGACGAGAGCACACAGAGAGACGAGATAACCAACCTCGTATATTGTCACCACGTTTTTGTAACGCTGTAAAGAGTAGAAAGTTATGTACAAATATGCATGGCAAGCAAAATTGTAGGTTATACATTTACTATTCAATATTAGAAATATGTAAATATGTTAAAAATCGCGTCATGTGCACCTGAGTTGTAATTATGTCACAAATTCCCGCAATATGAACAATTAAAAGCCAAGATATGCATATGTATGTAGGCACATATGTATGTATGTACCATCTTTCATTGTCACTCAGTAATTGACAATAATAAATGATCCGGAAAATATATGCTTTTCTTCGAGTCCCTGAACAACTACTTACTCGGAATCAGGATTCGTAGCCAGCCAATTCTGACAGTTGGCAAATCAATCAAGTCAAACTTTTTTTTTGTAAATGCATGTTGAAGATACATATTTTGTGGGAGTTGGGCTTGATTTCATAGCATACAAATCATGTTATTGTTGGCGTGTACATATGCACATAGAGCTTTAGGTATATTTCTTCACATTACATAAATTCAAATAGAATTGAAAAACTGATCAAGTGATCATTCATACGTTGCATTCATCTTCAAGATGAAAAGACCCGCAGGATTTTTATATTTATTTCAGAGTCGGAAAGTATTCACAGAGCTTTTAGTTCTATACTTTATAAAACTATGGGAAGCCATTACGTAAGTTGTGATTGAAATCATATGGGTTCTCCTGAAGATCTGTTTAATTTAATCAATGAACCTTCTTGTTAGCAATAATTGAAGAAAACCACGTTGTGCTTTTAGCTTGTTCCAAGAAAACCTAATTTTAGATACTGAACAACCAGCAACCCTTGCATCTTACCGAATAATTCGCTAAACAACTTGCCGCATTTATTCTGTCCAATTACGCGTTTCTATCTCAGGAGACATCTTATGAAATGCGTGGTTTCATTTGAGTGGGTGGAAAGTTGGCAAGCTGAGACATATGCACATAATTATGTTAGGTAAACCTATGGATTTTCCAATTTTCTCAAATAACGAATGTATGTATCTTTTGGTAATAAATAATTGTCAACCTGACCACAAGAGTTGGAAAAGACCATTTCAAAATTGTCGTTCGACCCATTTCAACTCTCTACGCACTCTGTAAATATGTATTTTAAGACAGCAAAAAGCGTATCCGAGATATTGGGAAATACAATCTTCCATAAAATTATGTCAAAGCTTTCTCGAATAAAATATTCAGAAGGAATACTTTCCCTTAAAGTGGGTGGAAATAAATAATTTACGGAATGAAGCAGGAACGTATTAAAAAATATTTACATTTCAGCGTATGTAGATATATGTACATAGACCAAGCCAGTCATTTTTCATCTCGTGTACTTGCATAAATACTTTCAAAGACTAGTGAGGGTTTCCTAACCTATCTAAATACGAGTATATGTATTTTACAAACATCATTATATTGCGTCACGCTAACAAACAACTTATGATTTATTTTAAATATTTTGTGACTTGTATATTTGACCTCCAATTTGCGCCAAATGTCAATTTTCCTGACAATTTTTCAAAATTTGTTGCGTTAGGATCGCCTTATTTCACCCCTCAAAACAAGAATTTCATCCGTATGGATCCTATATAATTCCAGTTTGATGTGTAAATATGGTGAATGTACGGAATATCAAGGTCTTACGACAATTGCGAATATTTTCATAGCGACCCCACCCGAAACCACTTGACCTTCTGTCTTCTCCAAAGCTTAGGAACTTAATCTTTACATACAAATTGTGTCCCAAATTTACAGTCAATCGGTTCAACCGTTTATCCGGGCGCAGACAGATTGACGGACACGACTGGCTCAGATTATGTACATAAGAATTAAACGTGTCGTGACCTGCTCCTAACGCTTGACGGCTTGACAGACAAAATATTAACAAATTTAACAGACTCACTCTATGCCAAGGACTCAAATCTCAAAACAAAAGAAGGAAACATTAAACCATTAAAAATTGACACAAAACAGACATCTTTCCTTCCAAATAAATATATTATGCTTATGTTTTGTAGCGAATTAAGTACATTCTATTCGTCCACATAATCTCTTTTTCAAGCCAAATCTACTCTATTCAACCAAAGCGGAAAAACGCTCATAAAATATTACTCTATTTCTCTTCTACAATTCATCATTGTTAAAGCGGTAATAGATACATGGGGCAGCCATGGACGCAAAACTTATAACTTAAAATTATGACGTATAACTTAACTTATAATTATAAATATACGTCTCCTTATGGCGTTTCTATGACTTATAACTTATAAAATACGTCATACGTCATAATTTTAGGTTATAAGTTATATGTCCATGGCTGCCACATGTATCTAATATGTACAATGCTAAAAAATTTACGAGATTTTTAGACGCGAGATCACACGAAAATCTTTTAGGTATCCTTCACAAAACGAATTTCAAATCTCAAGAGCTTGCAGCAGCAGCACTCTAATTTTACGGCCACAGAGGTTTGGTTACATTATTTGATTAGAGTAAGTGAAATACAAAATCAGTCGGGCAAAGAATGAGAAGAATGCAATGTTCAAAATTCCGAGAAAATTTGTGTCAGAAAATACTTTACTTTGTCACTGAGGATGAAATAGAAGAAGGGAAAGTTATTATGGAGAGAAATTCTTCCCTTTCACAAGATTTATGTACAGTTAAGCTTTTCTCGAGTCAAATGTTTATAAGTAGCTGCATGTGAACAAAAAACGTGTACAAACAATGATGTCTCTATCGTTTCGTAAGCTGCTTATTGTCAATAACTTCATTGAACTCGAAGCAGGAAAGCATGTACTTTCCCGGACTGTGAGCGTGGTCTTACAGATAGATAAATATAAATATTTAGTATTTCCTAATTTTTAGTACATACCTGATATTCTGCATAGTTGACGCAGCTAGAGGAAGATATAGCAAAACCATATAGCTTGTACCTAAAATGTTAATAATAATCTCACAATTTCTTACTTTGTGTAATTGGACCATGTAACATTGGACTCTGGATGGCGAAACCAAGATCCGTCCTCCAGGCACTCTTTGTGGGCTTGTACTGCAAAAATACAACAGAAATGTTGGGTTTCATTCTCGTTTCGATTTCGACATTGAATTTACATTTTCCTTAATTCACTCTTGATTCTCTCCTATAGTTTCTATTTGGAATCTATTGCATACTTAAACGAGTTGATTAACTTTTCTACGAATTCTACAAAAAAAGTAATTTGAAATCTTAATCCTACAATTTCTGAATCGATTCTAGAATTGAGAGTCGTTTAGTAAGTTACACAGCGTATAGATATTTAACAGCAGTGTTCTTATGCAAATCACTCGATCCAACTCAACCTCAGCAGTTCATTCCATCTTCTAATCCAGTTCTTGAGTCCCAATAGAATTGAATTAAGTATACAAGTTGTATGGCTCGAAGACAAGAATAAATCACAGGAACATACATAAACATTCCCAAATAGTAAGCCCTCGAAACGACAGACTAGCAGATTTCTCGCAGAAATAAGAAATATGTATATCTTAGGATTCAATATTGCGATTTTATGCAATGATGACGTTCAGAATCCATTTTGGGGAAACATGAGATTTTAAATGACATCAAGAAGATTTCACGGTATCGCTTCCTCAAACAGAACAATATACTTAATTCCACAATGTGGAATCCAATAGACTACGTGTTACTAGTCTCCGTTCAACCCACTACTGCAACAACTATCTAGACAAAACATAAGTAAGTACAAGTTTCCAAATCTAATAATTCCATAGAGCACTTTCCATTAAGCCAGATTCACTTTAGCAGAATGCATAGTCGATCCATGAAATTCTTCCTGGGCCAAATGGCAAATTAATTCAGTGGTTAATTAACCAAAGTGATATGACATTCTGTTACTGCTGCTGCACATTCATTTCCATATCATATTCACTTGTGAATGACGACCTATAGGTATTCCGTAATTGTTCCACGCCACTGACCGATTCAGTGCTTACCTTTCGGGTGAATTTCTGTACCTCATTATTTCCAAAAAAGTTTGGTTACGAGACGCACATTGCGTGCATTCCTCCCGATCGTTAATAAAAAACTGGAAGAATTTTAATTGTCAAACTTTTCCCATTTGTAATACACAACTTTTTTGCTTGAAGTATATTACATTTCTGGATTCTTAAATTCACGTTGGAATGAGCATACAAGTGTGAAGGTGCTTGGCTGCATTCTTAGATACATGCACATATGTATATATTCAGATGCAACAAACAAAGTACTTACTGATTTGCACGTAGATCAATGAAATCAAGGCTACAAAGGGTACAATTTGTCCTAATAGACACTCAATTAAATAACGGCTAATTAAAGTGTAATTAAACAACTTTTCGCTTTTAATTACGAAGCATCAATCATCCTTCATCTTCGCCTCATGAATAATACTCGTGCGTTGTACACAATATGTGATCAATCTGCTAGACACTCCTTCTCTTTGACTTGCTTTGTGCATGACATAAACTCAAAAGTCAACACGTGCAAATTCTCATGAAATATTTAATAATCTCGTCAATGCAGTGCAAGTTCCTTTTATGTGAGCAACGCACAAAGGTGTAAAGAAGTTTAAAGAACTCTGCTCATCCGAATTGGGCCCTTAAACAGACTCCTTAATTAAAATGGATCACACCCTTTCCGCACGCAGACACCTCTTTCACTCATTTAGCTTAATGTTCCCCACAGGCTTTTCTCTGACTTTTACTTCTACTCTAAAGTCCGCATTGTGCCAGTTTCGGGTTGCTTTTGGCTGTTTTTATTTAGTTTCCGAATCGCAAATTTTGCAATACACAAGAAGGTGCAGTTCAAACGAGATTGGAATAATAATTCGTACATAGTTTTAATTAAGTTAAAAGCTGGACCATATCCCAAAAATCATCCAAAAATCGGGGGTCAACATTCAAGTTGCACAACATAGCAATTTATTATCTGGAACGACCCATCATCGACCCATCATTTGAAATTGTACCATTTGCTTATATTCATTCGAATCTTATATGTAAAACAAGCACGTTATTTTCTACAGTACAATAAAGTTAAATAATGCATTGTTGACTGTCCTAGAGTATGCACGACTTCTTTGTTTTTACATCAAAAGCCATCTTCACCTTGTAAAATTTTCAAATTGAATTGCTATTACTTTGTGTTTTACTCTTTGATGTGCATTTCTGAATTCTTCCATCGCCACCAAAGAACAGAACAGGAAGATAAACGTCTCCATTTACACTAGCCGAATTTTATGTGGGACATTTATCCTGAAAAGAAGACAAGAAAATGTGCTCACAGTTCGGATCAAACCCTGAGATAAACCAGGGACAAGGGGCGAATGCAGTTACACCTGTCGGGGTCTCATTCCAACATGACCAGCCATCAAACGTTCTGGGGCAGTAGGTCCCTGTTACAACCACAAAGTTCGCAAATTATAATTTGCACAAAATAGAAGGCATTTCCACAGGCATGCAAAAATCGGCATCTTGTCTATTGTATCAAACTATAAATAGATTGATTGATATCAAATGCCGGAAGAAATCCGACACGCTCCATCACATCATTAAATTCAATTTCCGGCATTTCTCGGATGTTTATGCATCACCTGAAGCGTTGTTGTAAGATGTCAACTCATTCGTGACATTGCACGCGTATTCCGCAGCAGCGATGTGAAGTTGGGCTGCACCTGTTTAGTCAATGTCAATGTAAGTATTTTCGTGGTGAAAACCAATGTCAGGTTGAAAAATTATTTACGTTCGAAATCATCCGCAGCAGCTTCAGCAGCAGCCGTGTCCAGAAGTTCGGTAAAGTTGAGATTGTGCCCGATTTCTAGTGAGGAACGGGTGGAAAGATCCATCATTTCTTATTCAGAGAAGTTGCTCATTCCTTTTCTTTTGGTTTCAAACCTGCAAATAAATATGACTTGTTTATTCTTTTTGTGCTGCAGATTTCTCGAGGTGTATTGCTTTGCCGTTTTGTATTTGCACAACTTCATGTTCATTTAATTAAAATCGTATTTCTAAGTAACTAATTAACACAATATACAAAGACCTTTACATATGTGTTAAATTACAAATTAAAACCATTTTCATTCGTCATTTCATCACCAACAGGAAACTTTAAGAGATTTGATCTGAATATTATCAACTTGACCTTTTAAATGAATATGTAGCATGTGGTCTAGTTTTTGCATATTACTCATCATACATATTTGCATATTACGCTTGAATAAGAAGAGATTGACTTTAAAAAGTAAACTAACAAAGTTTAAATTACCGGCCCTACGTAGACACATGATAACTACATATGAATGTGTTTATCTACTTGTTCGTAGTTGGTAACAAATTAAAGTATCTATGTTGTGGCTTTACATTATGGTGGTTTCGTTGGTTGGCAGCCAAATATTTAGAATGTGTGCAAAGCACGTACTTCAAAGACAATTAGCACTGTTGTGTCTATGCGTCATTAACGTCTTGCCGGGTTATTGCGCTTATTTGCTGAAATTTGTTTACAAAACAAAATCCAAGAAGAATGCAGAGTTATTCGAATGGAATATTTGGAAAAGTAAATTTATATTTCCTATTTCCATTTTTGAAGTAATTCCGCATACAGTGTGTTACACACTGTGTGTAGCCCTTAATGCATGCTACATATTTTCACTACTTTCATGTGTATATAATCTCAAATATTTATGCGTCTGTGTATTTTGATAATCCCCTCCTCGTATTATGACAGAATTTCCACCCACTCCTGATACATATTCGGCATCTCAATTTTCATATCTAAATTTGTTGTTTTCAACAAAACGTGAGCATATTTATTTATGCAAAGGTTAAATAAACAGGCTGATGAAATAGAATAGCTTTGATTAACCTTTTACCACCCAGTAATCCATAATATACAGAAATACACCCACGAGTAATTTCCATTTCCACCCAAAATCCATAATACCAAAGCATGTTGACTTGAAATCATTGTTTCATACTGCTTTCAATACTTCACTTATTAAGTAGGCAAAGACCCCGACCGAACACTGATAATATTTTATTCATGTCCTGCCCTTTTTCTGTTTACTCTGATATTGTTATCGTATCGTCATCAGTATTAAAGTAATCATGAAACTTTAACATCCGAAGTTTGTGATAGGCGAAGGCAGTAATTAACTTTAAATGTGCTTGGTTGGCTTTCAGACCAGTGCACCCTTCAAACTCCGCGTCAGAGGTAGTCAACAACAAAATAATTTAGCTACATATTTCTAATAACACGGAATTAAACCGTATCTTTCTACACGGACAAAACACAGTCCATAAATAGACACCTTATTGTTCGTCAATAAAAGATGAGCTAAGTGGGCCAATAACGTCATTATTTTGGAGAGATATTTACGACACAATAAATATGAGCAGGATTCGATATACTTACCCGAATTGAAAGCAATAAGGTGGTGACGATCAAAATCCGACCAATGTGCACTGAAGAAATATCATGAAATATGCACTTGCTTTCACCCAGGAAATTCACAAAATTGTGTGAAAATGTAAACTTTGCAAAAGTACATAAATTATCGAAATGTACATGTATTTAACTTAACACACTTTGGTAAAATTTTGTGCGTAAGTAAATCCGGTTTTTATCCAGTCTCAATTTTATCCGTTGAGTATTCGAGGAGTTAAGTAGTGAGACGAGAGAGAGAGAGAGGAAAGTGAGACGACTTGTTGACTCGGGTTTGACTTGGACACGACTGGAATAGTTGAGCCAAGTTTTTGCACATTTTATGCGTCCTTCGTACTTTGTTGACGAGACGATACTTGGGCTTGTTTGAGGAAAGAAAAAGTGGTTTTAATGCTGTTTATCTAGATTTCGTAGAATATTTTTTTATATATATATCAAATCTCTCTACATTCTCCTAAACTTGTGTCCATTTTGCATGTATATATGTATTTACTTTATGTAAGTATCCTGTCATATGTACAGTGTTCACCCAGTACAATGATTTATTCCTCTCGGTCTGCCTCATTTTAGTGACATTTTTTTATGAATGCTGAAGTTATCGGCATTATTTCGAGCAATGGCACACACACTGTGCAAATATGTGTATAAAAATCGTCTGGATGTCCACTTTTTGCTTGGATTCAGTACTATTTTTCAATGGTGTAGTCAATGAGACAGAAATTGATGATTGTTGGTGTTGTCAGTTCATTTACTTACTTGTCCAATGTCCGCCCCTCTTCACACCTCTTCATTGTTTGCAGAGACGTGTGTGTAGTTTTGATGACCGTGTGATTTTTTCAGAGGACAATTCCATGTACTCACCAACTAACGAATCATGGGAAACTCACTCCAATTCGATCGGTTTCGGGCAGTCCTCCCACACTTCATTCCTCACATTTCGTGCCCCCGATTAATGCTGAGAAATGAGAAATAAGTAAGTGGATAAAAGCAGGCAGCAGTTCTATCTTGCCTCTCAACATTGGTAAACAAATATTCAATAATTGAAATTGAAATTACTAAAAATAAGAAATATGGACATGAATAATAATTATTATTATATTTAAAAATTGTCAAAGATAGAGGTATTACAGTCAGTCTATGTAATATGGTCCTCAAACCAGATGTGAATAAAATGGTCGTATATCCTTCCCAAAGTAATTAGCATGCCAAGTTTAATTTTAACAACTTAATTTGATTGCCTCATCAGTATAATTTATTAAAGTATTTTAGAAAATACAAATAAATGAGATAACCTAACAATATAAAAGGATATAAAACTACTTAACACCAACAAAGAGATTCAGGTTGTAAAACAAGATTTTAAATGCCAAACTTCGCATTCAGAAGCATATATTGGCATCGCAAATTAGATATATAATTATTCTCTATTTCCATTGAAGAATAAAAAAAACTGATAGAAAAATTATCACGACCTGAACACATACGTAATACTACTACATATGTACATATCTTAAATTAGGTAAATTTTAGTGACGCAAGTCATTGTTATCTGTAAGATTAGGTACATTTCCCGTTACATACAGCAAGAACATATGTATAGGAAAAGTATTATTCTAAATATGATCACATAAATAATCTACTTCGTTTGGTAAATTTTAAATATTTGTGTTTTCGGTAACAACTTTGAGCAAATAATTTAACACTTTTTATCCCCAGTCCTCGTCATCGTTGGTATTGGTGGTATTATAATTTACAGGATTTACACTCGCGAAATTATTCTGCTTATTCTTCGGAGTGGAAGTGTAAGCAGGGGCTACCTTGTTATTTGCATTTTTGGCCGAGCTGGTTGATGACTTGGTGTTGGTTTTATCGTTTGCTTTATTTTTGGAATTTGATTCCTTATCCGTTGAGCTGCTTCGTCTCTCCACGTTCACAGGGTCTTTAATCTTTATTGACCAACCTGGTGTTGGTGGTGGCGCAGGGTCGGAAAAGTCAGAGTCCTCCCCTCGTACATCAGTTATGATTTCGGTTGACTGGTCAGAATAAGCTTGTGTGGTGCTGGATGCGGTTGGAATTTGAATACAAGATGTGTCTTCCTCAATCGAGTTTGGCATGATAAACCCCATCTTCAGAGGTTCTTCTTCTTGCTTATTTCGTCCGAGGGAAGGAGGTTTCATGAGTGGCTTAGAAACGACAGGTCTCAGTTGCAGGACATGATTTTTAGTGATTACCAAGGTTCTAATCAGTTCACGAAATTCCCATTCTTGCAAATTTCTCTTGATGAATGAAAGAACCTAGGAGAAAGAAGAAAGTTTTCTATATACATTTCAAATATACACGTGTGCAATGTACGTATTGACATTTATGACAAGAAAAACTGAGTAAGAAATTTCGTAAAATAATTTTCCAAATCAATTACCAAAACATCTCCAAAGCTTAACTTCACCATGATAATGTCCGACTTGCTAAACTTTTTCAATTTCCCTTTTCCTTGCCCTCTGTAACTTCGTCCCTTCTCCACATCGTCTCTGCATGCTAGCGCGACAAATCTTCTGTAACTGTATCTCCGATAAAGGCCGCACATGAATAAACTGAGCCTCAAAAGTGATAGTATGTTGACCACAACGGTGAAAGCCATCCACCACCAGAATACAAAGAATGACCATTGGGTAAGATTGTTCATTGGGAGCTGACAAATGGCCGACTTAACTTCAGAATCTCCTCCGAAGCTTTCAAATTTCACTTTAATTAGAAAAATATCGAAATGCATATTTTTAAATCTTAACCAAACCTACCCATAAACTATCCAGTTGCACTTTGCCATCTTGGGGAACAGAACATCCATCGGATTTGGCCAGGGAGCGGTCTCGTCCAAAAAGTGAGTAAAAACTTGGACCCCATAGTATTTGTAGCGTGGGCCAATAATTCCGCAAAGGTAAAAGTATTCCCCAACTGGTGTCAGGGTGGCGAGTAGCTTGCAGAAGGCGTAATAAATTCCAAAGGTCTCATTAAAACCAACAGTGTCTAAAAAGTATTTGACTCGAATATCGTGCTCCGTGATATCGTCAGAGACGGATGATATATCCAAAAGTGGTTTGATCTTCGTATCTCCTCGCACCTACACATTTTGACAAATACTTTAGCTGCATTTGTATGGTTAATTTATTCGAGGAACTCAGCTAGCTACTAAATGAGAAAGGAGATTGCTAACCTACGCCATAGTTAACAATAACATTTGCATATAAGTATTACTATAAAAAAATTAACAATTAAAAAAACTCACCCTCCAAAAGAAATACGGCAGAAACGAAAACACAGCCATTTTCACGAGAATCATCCAAACAAATTTATAGTATCGTTGTTGAATTACTCTGTCGCGATCTTTTCGATAACCAGAGACACCTGGGTAGCTAATTTCTCCTTGCATTTCCGGTTCCAACGCCTTAACCACAAGAAACGTGTCGTGGTTCCAGCAGTAGTCGTTGAGGTCGGAATTAACACTGCCGCCGGGACGGAGAACCCCATTGCTCCCGCCGGTCCTCTCCGTCACGCAATCAATTTCCAAATTCCTAACAAACTGGTTGGCAAAGGAGAGGCAGACTCCCACGATGAGAAGGGCAGGAGTGTACTTTGTCGAAATTTTGAAGGCCAGGTCAAACGTCACTACGCCATCCTTTGTGAGGAACTTCTTTAATGGGGACCAGATTGTGTTGGGGATGAAGCCCAGCACCGAGGCAACAGTTAGAGGCATCTCGTCTACAAAATAATAATTAAAATCCACATTAAATTAACAAATTAAATTGGTTCGTATTTATATTTAGTAAGTAGAGTAGAGTGCATTACTATTTATATTTCTTGCAACGTCAGAAAATCATGGCTCAAATGTCTATTTCTACGATTAAATTTAATGGGACTTATCCACTTATCCGCAACAATTCCTCACCACGGACGGGATAAAAGACAAATGTTGTCTTTGCTTTTCCGCTCGAGAAAGCAAACAGTAGTGAAACTTAAATACAACGCGCCGACTGATTTGTACTTGCCACGAAGTGTCTCATAATCTAATTAACTGCTAATTATTAACTGCAAACTACTTTACATAGTTTCTTGTTGATACCCTTGTTTCGTTTTGTAGTAGGTTTTTAAAGCGAAATTATTTAGCTAAATTTTTATAGATTTTAGAAACATACGTGAATTCACTCATGGACTAACAATAAGACTGACTACTTATTTAGACGCTGGTCATGTGTAAATAGATTGATGTATGGAAGTAAACTAAAATCTTATCTGCATATCTGATAATAATCTACAAAAATTTGAATAGAGTTTCATCGGACGGACGGGATATTTTATCTCAACTTTTGCTTGCAATTTCGTTGGCTGCCAACTTGTCTACTCTAGTCGAGCTACATATGAAAAATCAAAAGAATCCCGGAAATCCACAAATTCTCAAATGTATGAAAATCTAAATATCTATAGAGCAGATTTTCTATTCATCCAAGTAACTATCTGAAGTACATATAAATCTAAAATATTTCTGCTTACGTTAACTTCATGTCCATTTTGTCTCCAGGTCCAACATTTTGCATGCACAATTTTGACTTCTTGACGCTTACTCTTATTTCCGATCACTTGTGAAATTACTTTGCACTGCAATTTCTATCAATTCCATAAATATGGTTTAATGTGGTCACAAACTGGTAAATCCTCAATTAACTAATTATTTCCGCCAACAAAACCATGTGTGGTTTTGTCCCCCCTCGGTCTGTCATCATATGCGGTTGTATATATGTACATACATATGTATTTTTGGCTTTAATGCAGTGCATTGGTTATTAGTTTTTACTTTACCCAATTTGTCAACTTGTACATATTATTGGATATATTTTAATAATCGTATATAAGTAAATTGGTTTTGAGGGAGTTGCAACGTGATTAACTTTGTAACTGTAAAACCAAGAAAGATAGGCTTCAGTGTCCATCCTCATTTTCATACATAAGAACATTTTAAATACCTATATGTATCTGTTAACGACACTCATTACTATACAATTAATCCTAAGTGAGATCCAGTCGTGTACTGTATAACTGTGTCATGTAAAGTAAATATTTCATTTTAGTCCATTAACATATAGGGACGACGCTGGACATGCAGCACATGCAGATTAATGAATGTCCGAGATATATGTATGTATGAAAATAATTCTATCGCTATTTCCGCATTGTAATATTTGCGTAAGAACGTATCTACCGTGCAATCTTAGATACGAACAAAAATTATAATGTAAAAGTAATAAATTGCAATTTTAAATAGTTAGAAAATTTTTGACCTTGGCCTAATCGTTGCAAGGAAATATAGTTTATAAAATCATTTCGAAATACTATGTGTTGCAGCTTGCTTTGCAATAATATTTTCCATTTTCCTGAACAATAATATGTATTTGCATAAATTTTTGCAGTCCCAACTGCGCCTGTTTTTTTCGGCGGCGTCGGCAGCGCGGCGCTTCGTCCCAATGTTGAAGGAATAGGAAATTAGATTTATCCGGCTGCGTACGATCCGCGGCGTCGATCTCTGATCACAAGAAGATACTACCCTACGCCAACACGTTTATTCCGTTCTAAATAAATTACAGTTGCAGCTAATTCGCGAAATATTTTCTTCCCTAATTTCATAATTTAATTTTTTGTGCTTATCTGAATGACGTTCTTCATGAAATGAAACTTGTGATAAATTTTCAATAAAAAATAAGTTCGCTATTAAATCGTACATACAACATGTGTACGCAACTTTGTATGCATAATTCTGAACTAAATCGCCCATATAATATTTATTTGAAGAAGTTAAATATTTTGTGATAAGTATATATTTATTATCGAATGCAGGCATTTACAAAGATATATAAGTTGTTTTCTTATTTACTTTTGAATAACGAAGAAATATATCAAATGCAAAGTTCTGAAATATTTGGCTTATTTATTTATTTATTATTATTGCCTACACTTGGATCTTAACTTATTCCCAGTAATTCAGACTTCCAGTAAGACCCCGCCCCCTCACCCTCTCTGGTAAATTGCCGTGCCAGAGTTGACTTATTCCTCCTAATTGAAATAGGGCACACAGATAATTAGACCAGCTGTACTAATTAAAGCAAATATTTGCATGCTACATATTATTTCCGTAAAACTATTTGAAAATCACTGATCTGATTTTTTTCAAAATTATGTACGTACTTATGTTAAAGAATTATGTTGAATACGCCCATCTCCCATTTTTCGTGCATGCAGTCTCCTAATTCTTGTCTTGATTGTTGGCCTTTTCCGGTCATAATTTAGTCCTCGCCATAACACGGTTTTGGTTGCGTATGACGGCTTCGGTAGTGTCAAATTTACAACCCGCAGCGACAACTGGGTGACATACTTATTCGCACTTCCTGGTAATAAAATTGGTCCTCTCATCAAGTGAGATGAAAGTAGAGTAGAAAGTGATCCGTGTTCTTGGCGAGAATTATCCTCCCGTCGTTCGTTAATAAGATCTGGTGTAGTTTGATTAAAGACTTTAACTAATAACACAAAAGTGATCAAGATTGTTGAAATAAAGATGAAGCGGAAACGATTTTCTCTCCCAAATATAAAATTAGTCAAGCTCCTCATTGTAGAGCTTCTATTCGACTAAGCATAAAAAAGTTTCCTAATTCTGAACTATGTACAAAACTATTGTTCCTAGAATTCAATTGTTTTAAGACTGATTGCCTAAATTATTATTTATCATTGTTAATTATCAATAGAGTATATTATTATGCAACATGGATTATAAGTTTTAAAACTGCTGGCTTGTAAGAGGTAGTCCTGTCACCTATAACTGGGCTATTCTATGTAAAAGTTAACCCATGTCCAAAACTTAAAAACCTAGGCGAAACGAGAAAAGCGACAAGCAAAACTTAATACCCATCGTCACCAGTAATTCATATAGAATTTTTATAAGTATTTCGATCATCTACGCTGTATAAATAACAACGTTGATGGTTGCCGGTTTTAACACTGCAGTAATATTTATAGGAATACTTTTAAAACTGTAATTTGCCTATGTGCACATGTGTGCTATTTAAAAAACCATTCCAAGTCTAAGGCCAGGAATTATTGCGCTCATAAAATTAAATGGGAATTAATTTTACAATCGTCATACATGTTTACATGAAGTTTACTTAAATAAATCAAATAGTATGAATTTATGGATGCATGTATTTGCATGCATGCATATATATTTCTGTACAGACTCCCAAAAGTATGCCGGTTATTGTCCGTTTTGCATGCATTTAAAAAAATTCAAATATTCAAATCCATGCACCTGCCTCCAAAATGTGTGCATATTGCTTTACACGTTGACCCATTATATGACTACAGATAATATAACGGTGAACTTCTCAAGTGCATCAAGTATGTATGTATGCATATGGTTAACTTCAATAGGTAGAAAATTTTGGTGGTTGCCTAGGACTACTGCATACGCGACATCTTAGCGTTGGTTGATATGGGGGATGTGATGATCAATAACCTGTATGAAGCCTCTTAAATACATAATGCATGAGTTGCACTTGCATGCACTATTTTGTTATGCATATTAATTGAATCGATTGATCCGAGGTTGAAATTTGAGAGCCCAGAAGGTCCAGAATTGTTGAGCCGCTATGTACACAAATACACTAACAATTTTCAGCGTTTTTTCCTGGAAATGGGACTTGGTTTCTATTTCAGCGTAAAAGAAGAACGTTTCATTGTCAACAGGTAAGCGATTAAAAAATTGGAGCAATTCACGACAGCAAGCTTTTGAGCAGCATTTCATGCATATGCGGGTTTTGAGTTTGAATTGTGTGTCTCAACTTCCCTAGCTCCATATATTCAATTTTAATCATACATACAAAGTGATTTTCGGCAATTAAAACCGTATCAATAACTTGAGGCTACATACAAACCTTTCCACTGCACTTTGGAACCCAGGATCACGACTAAGAAATTTCTTATTTTCTATTCATTAAGAAATTTATGTAATTTATTTATCCTTGCTCCTTTGATGTCTGGACAGCTAAAAGAGCTGTCGCAATTTTTATTACAAGTTTATTAGCCTGGACATATTGAATGGGTTGATTGAGTAAACGGAGCTTGCATACGTGACTACCTCAATATTATTTGGCCTTGCACTGATTACAAGTTGAATAAAATAAGTAGGCAGATTTATTTATGTGTAAGACAGATTAAGTAAAGTACCATGGCAACCGTCATGATTCTGAACCATGCCAGTTATGACACAGATTGCTTTCTCTTATCAGTAATCCGTGAAATGCTCAAGACATAGCAATCCAAAGTTTTTCGCTCGTAACCACATCAAATATTAAATAACTTCAGAAATTAGTCATATATCTACTTCAACCAGGTATTCAATTTCATTATTAATATTATACTGAGACTCAGAGTTTGGCGACATAATTATCAGTTTTTCGTTTTATGCTACATTTCTTGCACTATAAAGCAAGAAACGCAAAAAAGTATAGTGCAAAAAAACTGCAAGAATTATGCGCCATCTAGCGACGCGCTGTATGAACTACAGCGCCGGCAGAGGTGCACCGCTCGTCAGCACCCCTTACCACCGTATGGTACCGTAAATCCCTGTTTTTCAAAGTGAATGACCTAGGGTCGACCTATACATCAAATTGAAGGCTTAATGTACAGAACATAAAAAATTCCCAACTTTCCTCCTCAAACTTTTGCAGGAAAAATCAGAACATGCTCAAACAATGAGATAAAATGCCCTTCTTTGCGCATGCTTCGATCTATCCTACTCCATATCTATGGTTTGGCCCGCATCTGCGAGCGTTGGTCAATCTCACCCTGCCCCCAGTGCTGGGAGAAAATCTCAAAAAGCACATCAAGTGGCTATTCTTGTTTAACGAGTAGTTTAGCTCGCATTTGCGAACCACTTTTAAGCCCGTCGGCCAATCTCAATCGGCCCCCAGTGGTGCGGGAGTCAAAAAAGCACATTACACGCACATCATTTCGTGTTTCATTTTTTGATAATTATTTACCAATTTTTTACATTTTGAAATACTCTACAATGTGGCATTCCAGCTAAATAATTGTTCACGTTTTTTTAAGGAAAATATTGCGGACAGACTTTTAATTACCTTAAAAACCCACTTGGAGCGCCACTGCTGAGGTTGTTTGGAAACCACACCTTGAATCATGAGACAGCATATTATTTTCCACTCAGGCGTGGTTTAAAAAAATAGGATTGTTTATTTCTATTTGTGTATTTCACAAATAATTTTAATAATTAAATTAATTATAACCGTAACTGTTGTTCCCTTTGAATAGGCGGTCACAATGTCTGCGGCAAATGCGGAGCTCCTTTTCCGGATGACAACCAACGACGAGTATTGGGTCGAGATTGTGCAGCGAACGAGTGGCAAATTGCCATACACTTCGATCGGCGACTCAGTGTCTAGGGTTATCGGGAACGAGCCATGGCTTCGGTTTGGGGTGTTGCATAACTTCAATGGACAAAAAGTAAGATCTCGTGAGAATTACTTTTTAACATATCTTCTGCTCAATTTTAATAATTTCAATAATATGTTCAATAATTTATTTCAATAATTTCGATAATATGTTCAATAATTTATTTCAATAATTTCGATAATATGTTCAATAATTTATTTCAATAATTTCGATAATATGTTCAATAACTTATTTCAATAATTTCAATAATATGTTCAATAATTTATTTTAACAATTTCAATAATATGTTCAATAATTTATTTCAATAATTACAGTACACAATTGGTCAGGCATTTGAGAGTCGCGAGACGCAAGGGGAGTACTTATTTTGTTTCGGCCCGGGCGTTTCTAAAGGATCCCATTGTGAAATTGTATGCTTTAATGGCTCATATTACATTCAGAACGTGAAGGTTTGTCATTTTTGTAAACTTAATTTTTATATAATATGAACACTATTAAAATTAATTCTGAAATTGATATAGCCCCTTCAAAATGAAACATGCGAAACTTTCATCAATGGCACGAAGCTTGTGAGACGACAAGAGCTTCAATTTGGAGATCTCATTTCACTCGGAGTCCAATTCCCTGATGAATGCAGAAACATCACAGAATTAAAAGAATACCAAAATAATGCAAGAGCTGTATTTTGGTTCATGGTATGTATTTAATATTAATCTGTCAATACTTTTTAGCCAAGATAAACACTGATTGGTATATTATATTCCTGTCCAAAAAGGAAGTACAACCTCACTCTGAATATAGCCGATTACCCATTCAAGGTTGGTTTTGGGATTGGAAAAGATACACGCCATATGAAAAGGCTCGTGCTAATTGGTTGGCAGGGCAGAAAGTAAACCAATTTTTGCCAACATTTACTAGAAAATCTATTACCCCGCCCAACGCAATGGAAATATTTCAAGAAAATGAGGGACATTATGGTCAGGCTGGATGGAACACGTTGGATTCACTGGTAATTTTAAAAATATACTTGATTAAACTCAAACCTATGGCACTACATAGTATTTTAAATGTATATGCATTTATGTGTAATCAACTTTTATATTAATACTATTTAAGGCATTATCCATGATCTTTGACTACCTTCAGTCTCCACGTGATGTTGGAAATTGCCGTCTAGTTTGTTCCAGCTGGAAAGAAGAATCTACCAAACGTTTCAACAAAGTTGCGCAGATAAACTTTAGTCTTTCCGACAACTTTCCATCTTTGCGAAATCGCCTGTCCCACTATATGCTGGAAAAGCAAACAGATGAATCTTGTACATCCCCGGAAACAATACTTATCTCATGTTCCCTCTGCCTATGTTCTGAAGAATGTCCAGTGCACACTAAGCACATATCTGAAACTTGGCAACGCAGTCCGGGGGGAAAATTTTTCTCCGACATTGAAACCTATCTTAAGCAGGGATTCGTAAAGCCAGGCACAAAAATTAGGCTTAGAATCGAAAACGAAATAATATGTGAGGCGGGATGGGAAAGACTCAAAAACGTAATGAAATTAGGATCTCAATTCATAGAACAATTAGATATTTGCGTAGACGAAGACTTGATAGTTATAAAAAGAGTCGAAGTTCCACAAACTATTAAAAAATTCTCTACCTTAAAAAGTTTAGATCTTAAATTTCTTCATAGTACCACATTTATTCAAAGGCGCCCTAATTTCAACCCGATTGAAGAAACTGCAATGAAAGACTGGATAAATTCTTTCATAGTTAGGGCACCTTTTTTGGAATCATTAAGTATAGACATTCAACGAGCAGTTGGTTATTTCTGACTGAAATTGTACTTGGAGGATTGTCATTTCTGAATTCCCTCAAACTATATCGATATTCTCATTTAGAGTTGAGAATTTTGAAAAGGTTTGATCGAAAATTAGAAATTTTGACATTACTTAACTATATTGAAGAGGATGATCTCGTTTTCAATATACCACCGACCGAATCGGTTTCATTGCTGTCGGACATAATCGAAAAGTTTTCCCCAAGTTTAAAATTATTGGAATTAGGATTACCAAGCGGTGTCCACGGGTATATTGAACTGGCAATATTTCCCAAATTAAAAGTTTTTAAAATTAATGACGATTCCTTCCCTAATATAAAATTTCCCGGTGTAGGAATAAATTATAATAGATATTTTCCTAAATTAGAAGAGTTGGAAGTATTTCTGGGGTTCTTGGAATCCAGCGACGCCGGATTTCTATCATATCTTGAAATATTCATTCCTCAAAATGACTTTGAAGTTTGTGGAACTCTGCTTAAGTTGAAGTTCCCACTTTTAGAAATTATAAACAAAAGGGCTTCTTCAAGAGATCGAGCAAGAAAATGGTGGTATGAGCTGGATATATACTCCCCAACGGAAATGGAAGATCGAAACATCTTGGCTCGAATTTCAAAACTCTTCCCAAACGTTAGAAACAGCTATTTGGAAAAGGTGAGGAGTCATGAAAAGGAAGAACAATTATTATCGACAATACAAAATCATGGTTCAACCATTCCAATCGTTCCCGCTGTAAGAAACCGGTGTACATAGCTTTACAATCTTGAATTACATTTAAGTATTAATGTGCCAATCATATAATGAACGATACAGAAAATTACTGATATTTTAATAAATGAGCTAAATATGAAATTAAAATGCATTCGTATTGTTTACCGTTTTCATCACTGAAAATCCTTAATTTAAAGAGAATTTGCCGGAAGACATGGTGTTTTAATAAAGCAATCTATTCAAGCTTTCTATGCTAAGCTTGTATCATTGTAGAATGAACTGAACTCTACCCGAGAACAACTTCTACGAATGTGTCCAGGGTCGTAGTTGATCGGACGATGAGAACTAATTGTGAAATGTACTACTTTAAAATGGCTTTGGAGAAAATAATACACTGACAAGTCGTACTGTGTTCACTATTACTGAAAATTATTTATTCAACATCAATTGAATATTAACTCTACAATCAATCTTTTCTTTCACACAAAAAATTCACTTCTTATTCAGCCTCTTACTCGCAACTCCACTTGACTATTACTAAAAAAAACCGGCGTGCTCTCAATAATCCGACGTCACGACTCACACCGCTCCTTTCAAAAAAGAGAAAATTGAGACAAAAATCTCACTAAAATTATTACATTCATACAACATCGCAGTTTCAACAATCATCATCAGAAATTGTAATAATTCTTTGGAAAAACATAAAGTAAAAGTTCCTTGACATTGTTCTAGTATTTGTATTTTATACAGAGGTGGGCAAGATCAAAGTTTTCGAAGATCAAGATAAAAGATCAAGATCAATTTTTGCGCCCCACAAGATAAAGATAAAGATAAAGATAAATCTGCCGAATACTAAAGATAAAAGATCAAGATCAAGATCAAATCCCAGATCAAGATCAAATCCCAGATCAAAATCAAGATCACAAGATCAAATAAATTCCAGATATGTTGCAAATATTTTTTTATACATAAACCGATAAATACAACTAGGTGTAATGTACGTAGTGTGCACTGTGCACATTACAAATACTAGATAAGTAACGAAAATTGGTTGTCTGACCAATTTTAGTTATTCAAAGCTGACAGCATCAAGGTTGTTATAATTTCGTATAGTTATATAATACATAACCAAAGATTTGCTCTGATGTTTTAAGTTGCCCTTATACTTCATTTCTTGGTAAATTAAGTTAAATTAATAGTTGAAGTATCCGGTCGACGGGCTAACAATATTCGCATTTAGGAAATAGATCGTAGTTGAATAACTGGGTCCATTAATCAGTAAAAAAAATTAAATCCCGTACGAGTGTTTTTCGTTTCCTTGAATGCACTTTGAGTAATGGACCAAGGTGCTATTTTTAAAAAATATCAATGTTTCAAAATGCTACTTTTCATATTTGGGATTTGATCTTGAACTTGAAGATCAAGATAGAAGATCTTACCGAGCTAGATCAAGATCAAAAACTGAAAACTTTTGAAAACTCTTGCGGGGAACTCGAACGTGAGAACACGTAGTGATTTGTGCTCAGTGCTCAAATATTTGGAAAATTCGGGAAACCTGGGAATTTAAAGGTAAGACACACCCCCCACAGTCACCACATATGTGGGAGGCTGTGGGGAGAGTGGGAGTAGCAGTGGTGGGGGGTGGGAGGCTGTGTGGAAGGAACTTTTGTGTGGTTTTTATGGGAGTGTTGCTGGTGACGTGGATGGGGGCGTTTCTCGCAACCCTTCACGTTGCCACCACTCCCACCTCCAGGGGGGTCACCACCACCACCACTCCCACCTCCAGGGGGGTCACCACCACCACCACTGTTGCTCCTACTTACATAAATACATATGTAAAAATATATGAAATTTCTGCTGGGGATATACTCCTGCAGAAAAATGAATGTGAAACCACAAAACATCATCAACCAGAACCACGACAGTGGGTAACTGGTTGGTGGTGTAATGTGGTCGTAATTATTTCTGAAGAGAGAGAGGGGGATGCGTTAGTGCATCACCTCTCAATCCTGACGACTTTCTCTCATCGTGATTTTCTCTTTCAGATGGAGAAGGATCAACTAGTGAGAGAGAGAGAGGAGGAGGAAAAACTCTTGAGAGAGGACGAGGAGGAGATGGAACTTGGTGACAACAGGGACACTGGACCTGGGAACACCGAGGAACCACCAATCCCTGCAAAAAAACCCTCCGGCGCGACGAAAACGAGGCGGGCGAGGGAGAGGAAGGCTGCCAGGGCGGCGGGCGAAGGCGGACAGTGGGAGGGGGCTGTAATGGCACCACCACCACCGCCAGGACGACCAACACCATCATCGTCGTCGACGCCAACCACAAGGTCAGCCCATTCCTTTCCAAATCCTCAAGGTGGGAAGATTAAACCCAGGGTGCTGGCTAAAACCACATCCAGGGTCGAAGCCTTGTCTCTTGAGACACCCAGGGGCCCAAAAAGGCAACGGGGGACTCCTGAGTCGGGCAATACACGGCCCCGGAAGCGGGTGGGTGGAGACATCCGACCACTCCCTGAAGAGGCGAACCTGGTATTCTGCGCATACCAGGACGAAACGAAGGGAAGATTCTCCAACACGGACTTCACTCGTGTGATGAATGCCTTCCGATCGGCAATAGATGAGCTAAAGGGTTCACTACTTGTCCGAATCGGAGGCATTAAGATGAAGAACGGAGTCGTGGAGGTGGAATGCCATGATGAGGCAACGAAACTGTGGGTGGAGGGTATTGTGGGGAACATCTTGGATGGAACCCTCAGGACCATCACTCACGAACAGGCCCGATCTCGTGCACCACAGAGAACTGTGGGGGTGTGGGTGAGGGAGAGGGCGGACCCGCAACCGGGAAAATTCTTCACATCTTTGTCGACGCAGAATGGGGGGCTGGATACCTCTAGGTGGTGCATTCGTTATGCAAATCCTAGTAGGGGGGATCACTTTCTGCTTATCGGGATGGATGAAGAGAGCCATAGTTGGATTCAAGATCCGGTGAAAATATACTACTACCATGACCTACTTACTTTCACCTTCGAACCTCCCCCTCCTAAGGGGGTGGTCCCGGAGGGAGCAGGTAAGTAGGGCGTGGTAGGTGGTGTAGTAGTACTTTTTCTTGTAAATAGCGTTTAAAAAGGTCTAAATAAATATTTTTGTTTACTCCTCAGTTCTGTTGTTGGATATTACTTATTTTATCCAGTCTCATAAATATATATATATTGTTCATTAAGGACTATGAATCGAAGTAAAACTCATTCGTTAGTTCAGATCAACTTGCACCATTCCAAAGCGGCCTCGGCTAATTTATGCCGAGTGCTTTTTGGTAAGGGGCACACAGGCATATGCCTCATTCAAGAACCTTATGCATACAAGGGAAAAGTGAGGGGTCTACGCTGAGCAAGTGAAACCGAAATTGAGCACTATGGCCGGCATGGAGATTTCCTCTACGGAGGAAATAGACATGCAGGTCGATAGGATAGTTCGGGTTTTGAAAGAGGGGTTTGAGGTAGCCTGCCCTCTAAAACTGGTTAAACCACGGAAACGCGTAATTCCTTGGTGGTCTCGGGATTTGGACCTTCTACGGAAGGCATCGCGTGTACAATGGAAGGTGTACATGGGGGATAAGAATAGGAACTCGTGGGGGGCTTACTGCGCCGTGAGGAACAGGTCTGCACTCCGAACGGCAAAGAGGGACTCTTGGAGAACCTTTTGTGGGGAAATTGAATCAACACATGAAACATCTCGGCTACATCGTGTACTGAAAAATGACCAAGTCAATCGACTCGGGCGAATTCAGGACGCGAATGGTGGTTATACCGTGGATGTGAAACAATCACTGCAACTACTGCTTGAGAAACATTACCCACCGGACCCGAAAGGGGATCAACGGGGAATGTCTCAAGCAGTAGAAACCACTGCGGGGATCGACAATTATGTCAACCCGGAGTTGGTGGAAAAGGCCATCAAGTCATTTGGTCCTTATAAGGCTGCGGGAGTGGATGAGGTGTTTCCCCGAATGCTCCAAGTGGTCAGCGGAAGTGTGAGTGGACCTCTGGCTACGGTCATGAGGGCCTGCTTGCACCATGGCTACACTCCGAGGGCGTGGAGGGAGACTAAGGTCATCTTTCTACCAAAGCCAGGAAAGGATAGTTACGAAAGGGCTAACAGTTGGAGACCCATCTCGTTAACTTCCTTCTTTCTCAAAACATTTGAACGTCTGATTGACTGGCACATCAGGACTCCCGAACTTATAGGGGGACTGATGGACAACAACCAGTACGCGTATATGAAAGGTGGAATCCGCAATGCACCAAATCGTTGCAAGAGCTGAAGGGACCCTGAGGACACGTGAGCACGCAATTGTTGTGTTCATGGACATTCGGGGGGAGTTCAGTGATGCAACGGTTCGGTCCATTGAGGATGGTATGTACAGGAATAAAGTCGATCCGGTGTGTGCAAGGCTAATTTCGCACATGCTTAGAAACCGGGTGGTGCGTACGGTATCTCACGGGTTAAGCAGAGTGGCGGAAAGGGGCTGCCCACAAGGTGGCGTACTTTCTCCCCTGCTCTGGAACCTAGTGGTGGATGAGGTACTCAAGAAATTGAGGAACTCTTTACCACAGGTGTACTCAAACGGCTATACCGATGATATAAGTACTTTGAGTCGTGGACTGGATCTGGGGACAGTGGTACAGGATGCTCAGCGGAGTACCAATATAGTGAATAGGTGGAGTCAGCAAGTAGACCTCGGCGTGGAGGGCGACAAGGTGGCTGCCATTCTACTCACGAGCAAGCGGGTAGGGGGCGAAGCTTTACTTAGTATTGCTGGGAAACCTTTTCCGTTTACTAAATCTGCAAAATATCTTGGGGTCACAATTGACAACAAGCTATCTTGGAAACCACATTGTACGGACAGGGCTACGAAGGGTATGATGGCCCTGGCTGTCTGTAAAAGGGCGATTGGACCCACTTGGGGACTTAGACCTTCTACAGTGATGTGGATGTACAAAACCATTGTCCGACCGACAATGGAGTATGGAGCAGTGGTGTGGTGTAGTGCTTCGAAAGTCAAATGCCATATGAAACTCCTGGATAGGGTACAGAGGGTGGCAATGCTGTCGACCTCTGGAACCATGAGGAGTACTCCCTCTGCGAGTTTGGAGTGTCTATTCGGGCTTGAACCGATGGACATTCGGATTCAAAGAGACGCACTTTCAACAATGTATCGTCTGCAAGTGAACAACCAATGGTTGGGGTGGTATGGGAGGGGATTCAAAGGGCCTATGTCACACATGGACCTTTGCAATAACCTCTCTAGTAAAGTAACCGTTTGCGGGCCTGGGAAATCGGACCGTAAAAAGGCCTGTAGAGCGTGGGCTGAACAAGCACACAAATCTAGGTGGCAGGACACTCATCTGTGTAAGCAGACCAAACTCTTTCTTAAGGAGCCATACCAGGCAAACTTAGGGAACATTGTAAAATTAAACCGAAATTCACTGCGCCAACTGGTTCAGGTAATAACGGGGCATAATACTTTGAACTCACATCTGTATAATTTGAACCTGGTGTCGTCCCCTGGCTGCTTATGTGGACAGGGGAAGGAAACAGGGTATCACTTTATCACAGAGTGTGATTGTTTTGCGATGACCAGACTGGTAGTACTCGAAGGGATTTATCTGACCTCCGAGGAATTACTTGAAATGCCGTTTGCCAGGTTAGCAAGGTTTATTGCTAAGTCTGGAAGATTTTTAAACGATCGCGGATGGCAGAATTCGCAATATTAAACGCAAGTGTTCTTAGGGGAGTCGGCAATTAGCCTTAAATGCGCTACCGCCGCTGGCCTGGCTGTCTCTATTAATGAGTAGTCTGGTCACCCCACATAGTACATACATACATACAAGATCAAAAGCTCCAGCCGAAGATCAAAGATCAAGATATTATCTTGATCTTGATCTGCTATCTGAGATAATGATCTTGCCCACCTCTGATTTTATATAAATTTCGTACGGTATTACGATGTCTGCTGATAAATTACCAGCAGGTATTTTACGTGTAAATCTCAGACATCCATGGGACTAATTTTATTTTGTTCAGCACAAAAAATAAGCATACCCAGATTTTTGAATTTTTCATAAGGCGCTAATTTGAGCGCGAGACGCGAGTTTTAAACGATTTATCCAAAGCTTCGGGTTTTCAAAATTCTGGAAACTTTCGAAATTTAGCGCGAAGGACACCAGGGTGATTTAAAGGGCGATTTTGGGGTGGCCACGGGTTTTTATTCTTTAATTTCGAAGATTATTATAGGGTAATAATAAATAAACAACGTACTTGAAAAAATATTTCCAAAACGGTTATAAATCTCTGAATACAGCTAATTTTGGAAATGAAGGTACTTACATAAGGTTAATAAAAAATCCAATCCTAATCCATCATCTCATAGGGGAAACAAAATATTTAAATATAGATAGGCCAAATTTATTTGATTATTTAAATTTGTTTATTTATTTATTTACTTTCGAGATTTTTAGTTAAAAAACTGGAACATCCGAAATTTTCCAAATAACAGTAATAACCTTTCTAATTTAAATTTTCCAACGAATTAAAAAATTCGACAGTATAAATATATTTTCAGACTTGACTTAATACAAAATTTTCTAATATACCAATAAAGAATTTTTCATTTATGATAATGATACAATTTACTCGAAAATTTTAAATTTGCAGGAGTTTTATATGCTAATAAATTCATTCAAAAATATCACTTTTTATTTTTTCCTGAAAGGTTTTCGAAGCACGAAAAGTTACAATGAAGTATAAATCCTGACATTGCTAAACTAAAATGTTTCCCCATTAACGTCAAACTGGTATTAGGAAATCCGGCGTGCAAATCAGGCGCAGACTTGCATGACTAACTAATTGTCCTCTACGAGTTGCATTGCATCGACTCATTTTTATCTTTCATTTACGATAAGACCTCACATGACGTATTTTACGCCTGACAACTGAATTATGCCGTTGTCACTACCCATTCCGCGTGATGATTTGATAAAACTTACCAATTTGCATTCGTGTCTTACAACAATAAATGACGGATAACCCCAACTTTGTTGGGGTTGTCCCCAACCAAAGTTGCTTTACCGTTGCTCCTTATTATTGCTGATCACGTGCAATTTATAATTATTACCTTACGTCAAATCCAGACCAAGTCAACTAAATGATTCTCTCTACACCCGTGACATGGTTATCTCATGCTGGCCTTAGAAATATTTATGTGGATATGTATGCATAAAAAACGAACTGATTCCCGTCGTCGTCAGATCCCATGACTATGTTGTAAACGAATTTATACTTGTACGTTCAGGTTCAATGTCAATCTTTCAGGCTTATCATGTTACGGGATTAGTTTACTTTGGAAAAGTTTCATATATATAGTGAGGAGAACTAGTCACAAATTATACAAATTCTACTAATCATAGTAATTATAATACATTACTTAAGGATTTCCGAAAATTATTAACAATTTTCTAATCGCTCATAATCTCATCTTTCAATTCGAAATGGCATCCCAAACTAAACACCTGGTTGAAATTACTCCCGAACAAATCCAAGAATTTAAAAACCTTGCCAAGGAGCAAGAAAAAACTTTCCTCTCGGAGGACGCCATAGTCGATACCGTCGAGCATGTCGACGTTTCCCACTTGTACCAGAGAATAGAAGTTAAAGGGGTCAGCATCAACTACGTGAAAGTTGGAACTGGGGAAAAACCAGTTTTGCTAATGTGCGGAAGTGTTGGTAAGTCCTTCACCAATTTAAATTTTAAAAAACTTGTTCATCAATATCATAATTGTTCACAGGATCTCTTGCTTCGGATTTTGGACCCATCTTACAAAAGTTCAACTTGGACAAGTTCACCGTTGTTGCGTGGGATTATCCAGGCATGGAAACTATACATGATTTCCGAGCTTAGCTTAACAATTTTTAATTGATTCATAATTTCGTTAAGGTGCTGGTAAGAGCATTCCACCTGAAAGAGATTTCTCTTCGAAAGAGTCCTTCCTCCATGGTGACATTGAATTTGCAAAAATTCTTATGCAGGTAAATATTTAGCTAAAACCACAATACTGATTATATAAGAATCCAATCATAATTTTAAATCCCACTCATTAATTAAGAAACTTGGGTACCCAAAATTTTCCATTCTTGGCTGGTGTGGTGGTGGTACGGAAGCTTTAATGATGGCAGGAAAGTACCCGGAAGTAATCGAATCTTTAATTTCCATCAATTCGAAGGCATTCTTTGGACACGAAGACATGGCCTTTTATAATCGTAAGGATGCATTATTTTAACGATTTGAAATCAGTTTTCTCAAAATCCTATCTTGCCCCTCTAGTCATGTCGGATATTAGCAACTGGTCCGAACTGGCACGCAGTTCCATGGTCAAAGTTTACGGGGAGGAATATTTCTTCAAATGCTGGATGTCACTGATAACTCTGTACAAACGGATTTATGACGAGGAGGAAGGCAACTTGTGCACGGAGTTCTTGTCTAAAATCAAGTGTCCGACCTTACTCGTGCATGGACAACTTGACCCCGTCGCCCCAGTGCGACACGTCCACTTTATTAAGGAGAGGATTCCGCATGCAAAGTAAGTTGGACTTGGATAAATTCGAGTTTCATTGTTAATAAATGGGACCTATTTTTTTAGGGTGCACATCATGGAGAAAGGGAAACACAATTTGCACCTTCGCTATCCCGAAGAGTTTTTGGCTATCGTGGAGCAATTTTTATTGGAGTTATCATAACTGTAATCTTACGTTCACTTGATGTGTCTGACATGACGAATAAAATTGATTTTCCTGCTTGTATTATTTGGTCACAATTTACATGGTATTATTTTATAAGTGGATTTGCTAAATTGTCATTCTATGTATTTACTATTTGTTTATCTTCTACCCGGTACCCTGTACATATGTAAATCAAATAAATTCAATAGATTAAATAAATGGCAAAATGTAACTTTTGCAATTATACATTACTCAATATATACATATACATAAATAATTGCATGCATATACATATGTACATACATCTTCATCACCGGGCTACCGAAGGGCTGTACTAGGGAATCTTCCAGTTATCTGGTTTTTATAACATTTTTGAATTTCTCCTAATTCTTGCAGGACAATAAGCAAAAATAGCGTCATGGTGTTTACTGAGTCGACGATTAAGCACTTCAACTTAAAGAAATTTAAAAGCTGCTAGTATTTTAAATAAATAAATATTCATAAAAATTGATATTGTTTATGTGCTTATTTAATTGACCATTTCGTCCAAAAATTTTAAAATTCAAATACACTTTGTACATATAGACTTAGCCCACGAATTGAGGAAGCGTTGGTTGGCCAGGTGCAAATTCCACGGATGTTTTGCACTTTTGCAAGCACAAAGGAATGAGCACCTCGTGAACTCAAGTTAAGACGAAGATAACGCTCGGGTTGAACCTGCACCTGTCGACTCTTTAGCTCATTCCAGTCTTAATTTTGCTCCAAAAATACACTGATGCTCAAGCCACGCCAAAAGGTCAAGTGAGCGTTACTTGGGCTGAAGGTGGGTATAAAAGCAGATGAGGCTGACCCGATCCCTTCACTTCTCGTCAAATCTTCCTTAAGGCAGCTTCTCATCTTCCGCTCAACTTTTCTTAAAACCTTTTTCAAAGTTTCCGAAATAATATTTCCAAAAAGCAATCTCGTTTCAAGAGTCAAACCAACCAAGAAAATTTGCAGAAAGCATGGCAATGTCTAGTAGAAAGTTGGGGAACGAATATTCTGAGGAATTTCAACGCGAACTTTCATGGATTTGGAAAATGTTGGAGAATAGAAATGTGACGGAAATCTCAGCCAAAGAGGTAATTATTTTCTATTCGATATTTATCAGGGACATTATTAAGTTTGTCGCATTATAATTCCGCATGAAACAAACGGACATAAAAATTGTTGATTTTTGCTAAATAATTACATTTTGTTATTTGTAGGACATCCCACTCGACTTGTCACCCGTGAAGAACTCATCGGAGAATTCTTCAAATGGATCGCCATCTCCACCCGCAGCAGAATCCTCGTCATCGTTCCAACCTATTTTTTTCACTGGTTCAACCCCATTTCCGGCAGTAGCTCCTTCTTCTCCTCAGAAATTCAACCCCATCGTCGGCACAGCGGTCAAATTTTCGCCATCGCCAGCTCCGCGGTCATCTGGGTTCCGCCCACTGCCAATAAACATTCTGCCAGACACGAGCAATTTATGGGAAACGGAAAAATCCAATTTGCTGAGCAATTATGTTGGACGCGTGGACAGACCGGTCCCCATTTACACTCACCCGGCCGTCGTTGGAGAGCGGACGTTTGAGAAAATCGTCCCCCAGACCAATTACGTCCTCCAAAAGGCAGATGGTCGCCCAAACATTGCCAAGGAAGAGGTTTATTTCTATTTACTCCCGGACAAATCTCAATCAGTGAGCGCAGATGAATCGGTAAGATTACAATTATTTAACTAAACCCCAATCTCATTAAACGCAAAGTAAATCGCTGAAAATCTCCTCTGTATTTCGAACCCATAAATTCTTGATAATTTCGATGGGTTTGCTTTTTTCTCCCACAGACCACATCTACAGTGTCGGACAGATGTCTACGTCCACATAGTCGCGTCAATTTCATTTTCAAATTGTCACTGAACTACTGAACCAATTTTCATCATTGATATATCAAATTCTCACAAATTTAACGTAATTTCATAAAACATATGAGTTATTTCTGAAAATTCTGGGAAAACTGAGAATCATAGTGCAGAGCGAGAGAGGATGAAATTTGAGCGGACAAAAGTCTACGTCCACTTCACTTTAATTGTCAACAACAAAAATCTCTCCAATTTATAAAATCAGGTAACTTAATAAATCTATCAATAACATATGCCGCATTAATTTTTAAATAATTTTCTTCCAGAAAAATATGATGGCGTCGACACGCAAGGAAATTCCTATCGCTATTCGAGATCTTGTCATTCAGGACTGGAAGGGTGGACAAAAAGGGGGGCTGTCGCAGAGACAAATAGGGACCAAGTATAAATTAGCAAGGACAACCATCCAGACAATCATTAAGAACTTTAGAGCTAATGGTTCAGTCCAAAACAAGGTCAGAAGTGGTCGAAAACCGATTTTGGCTCACCGAGAAGTACGCCACGTGCTCAACAAAGTCAACGTTACACCCTCACTTAGTGCTCCAAAGCTATCTACCGAGATCAAGGAGATGTTCGGCAAACAGGTTAGTCCTATGACCATCCAAAGAACACTGAATAAGGGAAATTTGAAATCCCACAGAGCAGTCCGGAAGCCTCTTATTGTACCGAGGAATGCAACCAAACGAGTGAAGTTTGCCAGAGACCACATTTCCTAGCCACAAACATTCTGGGACATATTTTATGGACTGACGAGTCAAAGTTCAATGTCTTTGGGTCAGATGGGCGTCGTAGAGTGTGGAGATATCCAAAAGAAGCTTTGAATCCAAAAAATCTCAACCCCACAGTTAAGCACGGCGGCGGGTCGGTAATGGTGTGGGGATGCATGGCTTCAAGTGGGGCAGGAAAAATGGAATTTGTTGACGGAATTATGGACCAATACAAGTACCAGGGAATACTTGACCGTAATATCCAGGAATCTGTTCGAAAACTTGGACTTGGACGACGATTTGCCTTCCAACAAGACAACGATCCGAAACACTCTGCCACGTCCACCATGGAATACTTCAAGAAAAAAAAATTCCGAAGCTAGAATGGCCTCCCCAATCTCCAGACTTGAATCCCATTGAGCATCTGTGGGACCACATTGAAAGAGAAATAAGAAAAAAATCTTTTTCAGGAATTCCGGGCCTAAAATCCAGAATTCGTGAAGTTTGGGAAACCATTTCTGAAGATGTGACCAAGAATTTGGTAAACTCTATGACTCGACGCCTTGAAGCCGTCCTTAAAGCGAACGGAGGCCCAACCAAATATTAAAAATTAATTGTTATAACATTCCTTATAAATTACAGTTTTTTTTGTATGTTTTCTCTGACTGGACGTTGATTTTTGTCCATCCAATTGTTTTCATTTTGAATTAAAATACATCTCTGGCCTAAAATAAATTTTTTAGCGGAAAACTAAGAATGTGCTATGAAATTACGTTAAATTTGTGAGAATTTGATATATCAATGATGAAAATTGGTTCAGTAGTTCAGTGACAATTTGAAAATGAAATTGACGCGACTATGTGGACGTAGACATCTGTCCGACACTGCAAGGAAACGATGCTCAAAGTATGTGGCAAAATCACTCACGCCTCTGGACAAAGCAGTTCCGTCGAGATGCAAAAGTTGGACCACAGCCCCGGATTTCGTTGCTCCTTCGTCCCACCTTTTCCTGGAAAATACTCTGCCAAACTTTTCCACTGTCCGAACGGCATTGTTGAAGATGTTGACGTCGGAATTGACAGCAAACAACTCTGCCCTGCCATCCAGTTGGACGTGTCAAGGAATTATTCCTCGGATGCTCGGAACCCGTCCCAACCGATGATCAGGCTGGGCGACAATGGCTTCAAGTATTGGGGCATCACCGTTAATCACTATGCAGATCGGGTAATTCCTCATTTATTTCCCATGTATCCAATTTTCATGAAATTTCATCATTAGAATTATCCTGAAATTGTGTACTTTTTCACTTTTATGCAGTTTTACGTTACGGATCGTGAAGAAAGCGACGTCATCGTCATCGATTCGACCACAAGCAAAATAATCAAACGTTTCGGTGGGCGTCAGTCCAGCCATGGATTTCACGACGGTCAATTATACCGACCAAGCGGGATTTCGGTTGACCATGTCAACAATCGACTTCTCGTCTGCGACAAGGATCACCACCGCATCTGCATGTACTCGATGGACGGACTATTCGTATCCTCATTTGGCACGAAAGGTATATAAATCGCAGTTTGAAATTGCTTATTCTCACTCCTGTTTTTATAAATCATTTGACACATTACGACATCGTATGATTCTGAAAACAGGTTACGGTCCTGGAGAATTCACCTACCCGTGGGATGTCGATGCTTCTTCTGACGGGAAGATGATTGCAGTTTCGGATTCGTAAAATCACAGGGTCCAAGTATTTGATCGTTTTGGAAATTATTTGGCGAAATTTTCCGTTTTTGAGAAAAATCCCTACGGGTACAAAAAGTTGTTTGAGTATCCGCGCGGAGTTAAGATGGTGAGTTGATATTATATAATTTGTGGGAATTAGAATTTACATGGCAGAATTTGTGTATAATTTGCCTTCCTACATAAAACGACCCTCGTCAAATTTTATGGCTGCAGGTCGCTACATCTTTGCCACGGACTTTAACACGAGTAGCATTATGCGAATCGAGGTGGCTTCAGGGGAGCTTAAAACGATGGGAAGGCAGGGATCGAAGTGTCGTTTGCAAGGCGTGACCGTGGACGAAATGGAAAATATTCTGACCTGCGACTCTCGTCACGATTGTCTTCGCGTCAGCTCGGAGGACGGAACTCTGCTCCATACTCTGCGCCACGTGGGAAAAAATCGACTCGGCGTTCCTGTCGACGCCTGCATCACGAGAGATGGACACGTCGCCACGCTCACTTTGAAAGGAGAAATTTATTTTATTTAGAACATTTTAGTATTTCGGAAAAATGATGTGTCGTATTGCTCGATTGTTTCAGTTCCTGTACAATTATTATGTGATTGTATTTAGTACAAATTTAAGTTATATTTTGTATTTATCAGAGCGGAAGTTTTTATGACGGTAATATTAGTATGTTATCTTGTAAAACACATAGTATAAATATGTGATGCATAATATGTCAGGGTGGGTTGAAAAATATTGTAAAATTATGAGTATATTTTGCAACTTGTTGTTCTTATAATGAAGCGGATTTCATTAAATGTATGTAGATATATATTAATAAATACCAATTTTACATTCTAATCGTTTACTATTGATCTCCACTTTTAATTTTGCACTAGTTGCATCCAATCGCAAATTCATTTTGTTTTATCATAAAAATCGATACTGCCGGTCATAGTGTTCATACTCATATTTTGTTGTATAATTTCATCGTGATTAGGACTTCGGCGTAAATACTTAAAGGATTATTCCACAATTTCTGCTCTGAGTATTTTTCACTAAATTGCCCCTACGAATTTTATATGACCTATAAATGGTTTACTAATGATGAATCGTAAGAAGCAATGCGAAAGGAGGGATAGGATGAAAAATATAGATAAATTTGTAGAATGGTGTTGATAGCTGATCAAAGTAAATGAACTAGTCGTACGTAGTAATCTTCAAAAATTACTGCGAAGAATTTATTATTGCTTTCACTTCATGGACTAGAGCAAATAGGATTTGTTAAAATGTCAATTTGTTAATAAGGTAATAAGCAGACATCAATTTCAAATCATGTATACGCATACATACGATATCGATTCAATTCCGCAAATTGAAACTCACTACCCCATCGATCCTTGCAACAGGGCTACGTCAATGTTAGGAAATAGTTTGGCCAGCCTCCCCAGCAAACAAGCTCGTTGACCTTCCGTTCCCCAGTTTAAAAGTTCCATAGAAAACTCCTTGATCTGCGGAATGACGACGTCCTTCCCGAAGTTAGCAAAAAATATATCGTTGTATCGAGTATATCCGCCACAAAGTTTGAGCTCGAGACGAAACATGCTTGGAAATGTTTTAGAAAATAATGCTTCCCCGCCCTGGTTAAGAATTGTGTTATGTTGTTATTCTCAAATCCATAGAAAAAAGTGCTCCTTCACAGAAAAAAATGTCACCTTCAGAATTTTTGTCACGTTCATATAATCCAGAAATGATAAATCCTCCAATGTCGCTAACGAACCGTAATGCTTCAACATTCCGGGACTGTATTTTCGCGATCCAATCATCAAGTGAACGGGCACTGTGATCAAAAATTATTATGTATAATTATCGAAAGTTTAATTTGCATACAAATTTCTACAGAGTCTCACATTTCCCAACTACGTATGCAAACCACTCTAATGCCGGCATACACGGAAATTCAAACGTACTTGGCGCCCGGGAAGCTTTCGTAGTTCCAGTGCTAACTTCCACTTTTAATACTTTCAAAGTTTTTGCATATTTCGCTAGCACTTCTTTCAAAAGAGGTAAATCGTCCCACCCGACCACTCCCACTTTCAGCACGTTCAAAAATGCCCCCTGCAACACTAACTGTTTCAAAATTTTACTCCCGCCATACATCAACTGTACGTCGCGTAATCTTCTCAATTTCCAAGTCTCAATTTCCCTCAGAACTTCCGCCCCAATTTCTGATTTCTTTGATTTATCAAAAATCTCAACCTGCCTCAGATTCGGGGGATGGTCTTGCATCGATAAGAAAACTGAGAAAAGCGGTCCCAAGAAACGTTTCGCCTGCTTTTTGGAAATATTCGCAAAAACAAAAGCCACAGTTTTGAGATGGTATAAATTTCCTTTTCCTAACAAGATGCCGTCATCACTTAATATTTTTCCCGCCTTTGCTAACGGTCCTAGCACGATTTCTAACGTTTCCAGGTGGGGGAGTAGATTCAGTAGGCTTTTGATATATTGAAGATTAGTATTGCCCAGAATCACTCGGAGAAACCGGATCTTGACAAAATGGTGAGTTTGTATCGAGTAAAAGAACTTGAGGATGAGGGCGTTGTTTTTCAAGGAATTGGCGTCCGAAACGTCGTGACATATGGCGTAGCTGGAGTGGAGAAACGTGTCGTCCGCTTTTTGCAGTACGTCGCAATAGGAGAGAAGGATTCTGTGATTGACTTTGATGAAGGAGAGGCGTCGCATGGTTTGAATCGAGTTACGCTGCCAGGCATGCGACACGAGACGAATGTTCTTCACCTCATTAAGACACAGGTACGAAAAGACTTTGGACATAATCTGAGATCAAGTTAAAAACTATGAAAGTCAAATTTAAATATATTTAAATATAACTGGCACAACTTACCAAAGGATTTTCAAGGACGCTACGAGCCAAGTAGGCGTCATTATCAAGAACGAGGGTGGACAAGTCGTAGTTAAAATCCATAATTCTATAATTTGATAACTATTACAAGTAAATATTTTTTGATGAATGAATAAATAGTATCCGCTTAAAAATATATGTGAGGGCGTAAATAATTTGTGGTATAATTTATCCAAGTCAGGCCCAGGTAATGAACGCTATTGAACTTCAACTGGATTCAAGTACGGATGGAACAACTGTAAAGATAAGATAACGTCTTTCCCGACTGGGTAACTTATCCACAATATTGCATAAGTATATAGTATTTATGTATACTAAATTGTGTATATGCGTCAATAACTAACCAATTTTCCACATTATCAATCATACTCCGAGCCAATTCGGTAACACACGTCAAACTAGAGACGCTTTTAGTTGTGTGGTATTTATTAACCTGACAGTTTAATATGAATGATACATAGTCTCATAATCAGTTCGTCAAGTAATAGTACCCATGTATGTATCATTGTTGTGCGTATTTATGTATGGCACTACACTTACACCTGTCAATCTGCACAATAGCAATCGCAAATTGACCATTGAAATTATGTAAATAGAAGTGTGTCATCATACTATTTAAATCAGATAGTATGCACGTGCTAAGGATATGCCATTTGTTTAAAAACTTATCAAGTCCACTCTAAAGTTCTTGACTACATACGCAGTGTATTGTGTATATATCTGCTAATTACTTAATAAGTTTTGATAATACTTACATGCGTGGAAATAGTTAGTTCGACGAATCATGTTTTTAGTAAAGCAAAGCCAAATTTATGTGCTAAAAATAATTCATATCTCTTGCGCGAGAATAATGAATGGTAAGTTTATATTTAGATTAGAAGACAATTACTTAGCAGATTTCTTTTCAAGCTTTTGAAGCCGCCCGCATATACATGAATGCATATAAGCTGGCCAGATAATTAATATAAATCAGTGGAATATTTATTTTCGAGATATGCCAATTCCCAGCCCTAAATAATTTGTGTCATTCCCATAATTATATTTATGCTGATGAATTTATAATTTTATTAATTGATCGAATAATACATAGTTCAAATTTCCAAAAAAATCGTCTGAATTTAGCGAAACTGTCCAAGCTATTATGGAAAACTGATCGTATTTCCTGCACCGGCTCTAACCACGGCAGCAACTTGTGCCAATTCCTCCATCTCATATGAATACGGAGGATTGGTGAACGAACCTTCTTGTGTAATATTTGGCTCCGAATCCCCCCAATCGTTCTCCCTCTCGACAGCGAAACCTTCTTGACTTGAGTCCAAATCCGTGGTCAACGGGGTCTTAACGTCGATAAAGATGTTCCTCTCCACCAAGACTTGAGCCCCCATGCGACTATTAATTCCGGAAGTATCCACCCTTTCGTACAGATTGTTGTAAATATGGCCCGTGCCGAAACGAAGCGATGGAAGGCGAGAGCCAACATCGGTGAACCAATTGTTGTTGTAAGTAATGTGGAGCTGCATAAAAACGTAGTTGCGTTAGTATTAAAGTATTAATAAACTGAAGTTTGTAGTGGTTTTTAATTACCTTTCCCGTATCTTCACCCGCATTACTATCCGAATGTCCGACCAAACTTGTTTTGTACGAATCGTGGAACTTGTTCCAAGAAACAGTGACCCAATCAGCGGCGTGCTTGATATCAAGTTGTCCATCATAGTAATCTTTGCCGTGTTCTCGGTCGGCGAAGAATTCGTTGTGGTCGACCCAAACGTTGGTGGCTTCATCGATGGAGACGCCATCATCGGGGGCAATCGAATAGGAGATTTGGAGTCCGCGGACAATAACATTTTGTACGCGACGGATGTAGAATCCAGATCCGGTCACTCCAGCGCCTGGGCTGGCACCAAGAATCGTCTTGTTGGAACCAGGTCGGACCACGTCGGAAAGTGTGATTAGAGAAGTGATCTTAACAATTCGGGGGTCGTTTCCGGTAACTGCGGCGACCAGCTCGGCTTCCGTGGATACGTAAACCGTTTCTCCGCCTTGACCGCCTGCCGAATAGATAAATGAAGTTAAAAATCTAGAAATTTCTAATATTTTTGACATGTAAAATCTACCTGTGGTTCCGCCATTGAGCGTGGCGTACCCACTGATCGCGTTCCATTGAGCGTTGGAAAAGGACCCACACGCCAACAGGAGACCCAAACTCAGAAAAAGCTTCATTTTGCTTGCTTAATTATGGTTTCAATTCAATTACTCTTTGTCGAATGATTTAAGACTCGCAGAACTCGAGCTATTTGTACCCAGCGGACTCGACTGAAAAGTGTGATTGGGAGCATTTTTTATGTCATGGAATGTTTTGCACACGGTCATGATATCATGCTTAAAATGTAATAATTTGAGGGTAGAAGGTGTGCAAAACATTGTTGGTTAAAAATAAATGGGGTGATCTACTTATCAACAACTTGAGGGGGAATCAATCACTGTCCAGAATAATGAACCAGTTACACACCATAAAAGAGACTGTCATAGGAAGGGTGCGTGACAAGTAGGTTGGGCAAGTCAGGGTTACGTTCTTCTTACCTTTTCGTTACTGAGTTTTCTTCAGGGTAGTTTTTCTTCGTCACTGAGGAAGAAAAGGAGGTCCTGGTCCTGAGATTCACGCACATAATAAAAAAAAATCTCAGTGAAAACTGAATAATTTAAAGTGAAACCACCGAGATTTTGTACACCAGAACTATGATTTACATTTAGCTAAAAAAATAAATTTAAGACAAAAATGTGCAAGATGATGTCATTTTTAATCATTTTTTAGTTTGCATTTAAGTAAGTAAAATAAAATGTCTTATATACCGACGGTCGGTGACATGGTCGACAACCGACCAAATTATTATTTTGAAGGACCCAGTATGTAGGGTGACGTGACCCTCGCCGATTTTTGAAAATGGCCGTAGAAATTGGCATGCTGATGCAGGGTTAGATCAGTTTAACAAATATGAAATAAATCTTTATTTGTCAGGAGTTTTTTGTCAGGGGGATCAAGTAGGGTCGCCCCCTCTGGTTTTTGAAATCGGTCGAAGAAGTACCAATTTTTGCCTGATTGATTATGATAGCATTTTCGACAATTACGAACAGTAGTTGGTACATATGACAAAACTTATCCTTAGAAGTTGGCAGTAACCCTGACTAAATATAGGTAAACACTGCACACTTTAGGCTTAATATTTGAAATGTTTTGCGCACGACGATGGAGATACACCACGCTTAATATGTTCGCACTACCTCATATTTCGTGTTCAGTTTCATTGGTCAAACAAACATCATAAATAAATGAAATTATTACTTATCAACAAATTAGTACGAATCGATCATTGTCGAGAATAGTACAAGCCTGTCGAGTATAAACATAGTCATGGGATTGGGGTATGACAAGGGGTATGATTGGGGGGTCATGGCTTAAAATTCATTTGTATATTAATTATATTTTGATGCAGGTTAATTGAAAGTTTTGGGCTCAGCTTGCTGAATTTTTTTCGCAATTGGTACTTATCAGCAGAATTAGTGTTTTAGATTGGTTTATTGAGTGCATTTTTTCATGTTTTGGAATGTTTTGCACACGGTAACTGGTGCTATGATTCGAATATGTGCATACATACTTATGCACGTTGTAAATGAAAAATGAGTCACAAAGTCAGTAAACCTAAAGCTAGTACTTATCCATGCAACACAGAGTGAAATGAGATCAAGTGCTCTTATTTGCACCAACCCATTCAATTGTTCAATAAACAAGGTCCCAAAAAATGGGAAATCTTAGTGAGGCAGTGCAATCTCAACTAAGAAATAAAATTAGATTGCAGAATTTTTGAATCACCGCTCTCGGAAGTATATCCCATTAATAATGGTCCATTATATTAGATCTCAGTTAATTTAGCACATTTCTCTTTCACTAGTAAAAACGCAAGATTCTCAAATTAAGATTGGAGAATCCATGCTTATGCAAAGTAAAATTTACAGTGCATCCAATAAAAATGATATTGAGAGCGGTGATGCAAAAATTCTGCAATCTAATTTTATTTCTTAGTTGAGATTGCACTGCCTCACTAAGATTTCCCATTTTTTGGGACCTTGTTTATTTAAAACTTGTAATTGGTTGTCAACGACATTATTTCACTGCAGCACCGCCATTATATTTGCATCAAGAGTAATTTGACCAAATTTTTGGTTTTCAAAATTGAATAACATCGTAATTTCTTAACCGATTTCGGTTAACTTGGTCTTAAAATGATCAGAAGGAATCAGCGTAACTTTTTCCAATAATTTAGAATACTGTGATGCTCCAAAATGGAACTGTGGATAGAAATGTGACTCGGAGTGCAAATTTTTGCCCCTTGTCGCCCATAACTAGACCAAAAATCAAGATATCTCTTAGTCGGATCAGAAATCGTTTTCATATTCCGTAACAATGATCTGTGCAAAATTTCATCAAAATCGGTTGAGAAATGGCCGAGAAATAGAATTATTTCACTTTTTTGGGGTGGGGTAAATGCATACTTAGTAAATTTTTTTCGTTGTTAGGTATTTGCCTCACTAAGAAAAAGGAAGTCGTGTCAAATTAATCCATCATTTCATATCATAATATGTAAGGTTCACGCGGCTTTGTGATTACAAATTAACACTCGTCGTAGTCGCCCATGTTTGCTTGTACCCGTTAGTCGTTCATCAATATGGCGAAATCCAGACTTTTCCGAAAACGATCCACTGACGATTTCTAAATATTTCGGCCGAGCTTGTCAAGTCGTAAATACTGGAGGCGTTGGGGCGACCGGTATTCTGACCCCACGCTTAGAGAGCGAACGAGCACGAGGACATATGAAGCAGGATGGGTACGTATTTAGCAGTAAATTAAGCAAAAATTATCTTAAACAATTATCTTAAACAACTGTTCAATAAATTAGCCCATCCTATAGTTGATAAATATTGGTCTCGATTTCACCGTGGCGTAATGGAGCTATTTTCCAGAGACGGAGGAATGCATGCTCAGAAACCGTCTAACCGGTGTAACGTTTCAAGACAGTTCTACCAAATACGCAATTGGAAGTAATGGAGGAAACCCTACGAATCAAGCTGTTGCTCACCTTCCACACCCAATTCGACGTATTATGCGTCTTAAGTACAGGGCTAGGAATACATAACTGGGGTGGTAAATTGATTTATCTTCATAAAAATTGTGCATGACATTTACCTATGTACATATCTATCTACCTATGTATGCACATATTCACAATTACACGTAACTACAAATTGTCACAATGGGACTGACGGGATGGGATGTGGACTTGTGCCGATATTATCATTCAATAAAAATGTATAATTTGCAAGACTAATCCTAAGTTGTTGCAAAAATGTAATAATGAAATAAATACATACCTGACAAAATTACTTAATTTGGTTACAATGACCGAATTCATACATCCTCATCACCTTGATAGCATTACAACTTTTTCGGAAATGGTTTATTTTTCTCATTAAAAAATACTTAATAGGAGGAGAGTTTCACTACATACATATTTGCCCGGATAAGTGTTTTTTTAATGTCATGGTCACATTTGAAGCCGCCGTACCAATGTTTTAGCTGGCTACTTATGTATCGATTTCTATATTCTTTGATAAACCTGCTGCCATTAGCATGTTGCTAATGTACCCTGTACTCTCGTGCTAAAATCCAGGTCTCAATAAAAAACATCTAAATATGTAAAATTATATTATAGCCATCCAAGAGTATGTTTATTTGATAATAAATAAACGGTTGTACAAATTGATTTCTCATTACATGACTTATTCAATATATTAATTAGTAGACATACAAAATTCTTAATTACAGGTCGCTTAGCACTGGTCACAAGACATCGTCCCAACTTAAGTTACATAATACTAACAATAAAATTGTCTACCTTAGAGAATAATGACATAATATTTATAGTACGACACCTCCCTTAAATTCATTTAATAACAGTACGGGTTATTTCTTGCGTTCCAAAATCCATTGTACTTGCACCCAGGAGAGATTCCGTATCCGTAATTGCAACAATAAGCCGTCCAAGATCCTCCCCCATAACCTCCGTAATTATTGTACCCATAGCCGTAACCTCCCCCTCGTCGCACTCTAGTCAGAGGGGACGCAAGTGATGGTTCTTCTTGTACGTCGTCAAGTTTTAATTCCTCCACATTCGAAGTTTCTTGGACTTTGGGCAAAGTCTCAGGCGAAATTTTAACTGATTTTCCGTGACATTGTTCAATACTCACGATCGCAACGATCAAACACTGAAATTCAGAGGTTTAATCATTAATATTATTATCAAATAACTGGTAAATTAAAAAAGTTATTCACAACTTACCACCACGAACGAGAGATTAATGTTATGAAGATGAGGCATTTTGATTTCGAATAATTTTGAAATGGCCAACTGGTCAAGACTCAAATTCTAATGATCCAAATGATAACAATGTGAAGGTATTTATGGGTACGAAGCACCCGATATTTGCGTCATTACCACGTACATTTCTTACATAACTAAGACCGAATAAAAAGATTTTTTTGTATTCAAGCCGTCACGTTTTTTACGCATTTTATTCACAAGATTGTGAAGAATTGTATAATTTTTTTTCTTTCTCTCTTTTGCTCGGTTTGAAAATGTGTCTGGTCATGCTTCATCTTGTGACGACAGTCGTTGTCCTTTCTCTGCTAGAAATGATTATTTATTCGACAGGGGAGGCAGTGACGCATTTGTCTGATATGCATGCACATATCTACTATCCAGTGTCAGAATGTATATATGCATACATATATCAACTTATTCACTGGACACAAATGCGACAATAGTCTACAATAGTATTCCACACTTAGATTTGGAATTAATTGAAGTCTATGTACATATGTATGTAGTGTACACAATGCACTTACGAACATGAAAATTGAGCATCGTTATATCTATTTGTAGTAAATCAGTTATCGGTTTCAGTCCGGCTTAACTTATGCTTCAGTAAAATCAGATTTAGCTCAATCATTGCAAAAAGTATTTACATTTGCATACATACATTTGTACATAGATACCTCACTCGACTCGTGTGTATGAATACAGCCCCATGAAATAAATTGACGGACAAGGCCGTCTGATAAAAAAAGAAACTCCGTGCAACTTAAACTTGCATTTAGATATGTATGTACACAACCAAACTTCAAATATCACATTTACAACATATCTGCATACTTTGTCATGTTTTTATATTCCGTGCATTCGTACATATGACAATTATTTTGCAAAATGGAAGTCATCTCTAACTTTCATGCATGCTAAAGCTCATCCTCTTTTCCTTTTGGTGAATATGTACCTCCCATTTGCATTTTCCTAGTAATTACAAATATTTTGGCAAATATTTCTCACTTGTGACAATGTCGTTTCTGTACTCCATTATTCTCTATTTCATCATCATTCCTGCCTTCATCCTCCTCGTGATAAGATTCACAATTAGAAAATTACGTGGGAAAGTTGACCTCACGAATGAAGTTGACGTCAGCGGAAAGACGGTGATTGTTACCGGAGCGTCGGATGGGATTGGAAAAGTGACCGCGGAGGAATTTGCCGTCCGCGGAGCTAGAGTTATTTTGGCGTGCAGAAACTTGCAGAAGGCGGAACGAGCTGTGGCGGATATCCGCACGCGGACAACAAATGGAGAAATGGTAGAGTAAAGGAAATACTTATTATTCAATTTACTCTCATGTCTAAATATGCTCCAGATAATAATGCACCTCGATCTCTCATCACTCTCTTCCGTGAGAAAATTTTCATCGGAATTTATCGAAAAATATGGAGGTGGCCTATCCATCCTTGTCAACAATGCCGGAGTTCTTAATGCGGCCGGGAAGAGGAAGCTAACTGAGGACGGATTTGAAGAGGCATTCGGCGTCAACCATCTTGGTCACTTTCTCCTCACAAATCTACTCCTTCCCGAACTAGCAAAAGCTGGAGAAAAAAATCTTTCCGAACCCAGCCGCGTGGTTATCGTCTCATCCCTCGCACACACTTGGGGTTCACTCAACTTTAACGATTTAATGTATGAAAAAACTCCACTCGAGGATTGGCGAATGATGTCCAAACTTTATTCAAATTCAAAACTCGCCAATAATCTGTTCAATTTGGAACTCGCAAAGAGACTCAGATCCGGCAAGGTCAACGTTAATTGTTATGCTCTCTGCCCTGGAATTGTCGACACGAATATTGGCAAAGAAGATATGATGAACAATCCGCCACCAGTTTATGTAACAAAGATCTTGTTTCCTATATTTAAATGGGTCATTATGAAGGATTCAAAAGAGGTTTGTCTATTGATGGAGTTTTTGAGTTAGAGATTTATTTATTTTCAATTTGCACAAGTAATTACTTCATATTATATGATACGATTTATGACACAGGGTGCTGAAACAACAATGTACTGCTCCCTCAGCAAGTATTTGACGCATCAGAGCGGGGAAATGTACAGGAATTGTGAATTTTGGGACTACAGCAAGAGGCCCAAGCTTAGCGAGAAGGACGCCACAAAGTTGTGGGAAATGAGCGAAAAATTGGTCAAGTTGAACTAATATAAACTGTGACCTCAAACAGAGAAATTGTTATTACACACTTGCATGATTACAAAATATACTACATACATACAATCCATAAAGGTCACGATTGTTGATAAACAGAAACTTACAGTATTAAATATGCATATGTATGCAAAAATGCGAACCATAATATAAAGTAAATTCGCTCATACGAAGATAAAATTGTTCCATATTTGCAATGCGTCACCGAAGTACTTAGATATTTCTAATCTCGGTAAGTATTTACCGAGACTTGGACCAAGACCGTTAACTTGGCACTACAGAACTTCTGTTACACTGGCATGTGTAAATACATGCACGTATGTATGTACATATTTACTTACGTATTAATAACATGTATGTATGTACATTGTGCATACATGCACGCACACTTTCCGCATATGTATATGTTTAGATATGTATTTAAGTACATATGTACATATTAAAATGTTAATCAGGTTTCTTCATGAGAAAATGGTTCAAATGCTATAAATATCCTAGTTCAGGTTAAGTAAGGGTCCTCTCCAAATAATTCCGTTTTCTTATTACACTTTCTTCCCTTCAGTCTCTCTCGAATTCTTGTAAGGTCCATCTCAACGTGTCCTTACTAAATAAAATGTTCCCTTTCCACCAAAACGGATTGTTTCTTTTGACTATAACATTCACAGTAACGAGCATAATTTTTGCAACGGTAACACTCCCAGATTTTGCAGGTAAGAAACCTCGATTGAAACTCGGTTTAGCATAATTAATTCAAACACAATTAAAATATTTTAATAACTCTGATACCTTTTTGTAGACGTATATGTATTTTACTCAAATGGGGAACCTCGTGAATCAGCAAATGTAAAACAAAAACGTGAAGAAGATGATTCAGCTTTGGATTTACGAAATAAACTACTGGAACAAGAACACACTCTGCGTCAATTACGCATCAAAATAGAGCAACATACAGTTTCCAAGTCTGTTATGCATATGCTTTCAACACTTACAAGCAAAATGGATGAAAAGCATGACAAAAATTCATCACCTAAAATAACTTGGGTAGCAAGTTATGGATTCAATTATGTGTATATTAATGAGGGTTTTGTAAATGCTGGAATTCATTATAATGAAGAAGTTCACGTAATTCGAGCTTTGACTGCAAATGGGGCATTAATTCCGGGGAAAGCGATCAGAGGTCATTCGAAGGCATACGTTCCAACCGAAAATTTCCAAGAGTATGCCACTGATTATTTTGAGGTACATATTTAGTTAATTGTTTAACCCACAATTATCTCATGCACAGATTATTGTTTCAGATTCTAATAATTAAACCGCCCCAAGAAGTAAAATGGGTGCATAGCTGTGGCTTTATTCCGGAAAATGCGGTCATCGGGGGCTACACGTCGCAAAATGAAAAAATATACATTGGACGAGTTTCACACGAAGGAGAGATGTGTGGGTGCATTATTCCCAAGACTTGAACAACTCTGGGTAACTTGGGGAGGCAATGTCCACATTCATTTATGTTTCCATGTGTTAGTCTTTAAATGAGTGCGGATACATTTTTGGTGTTAACTCAGAAATTTAATAAATTGCATTTAATCCAAGTAATAAATGTGTTTTTAATTTAATTTTAAAAACATAAAGTCAAATTGACACATCACGTTAGCTTCAATTTCCTCTAACTGCAACTTCCAACGCCTTCTCCCTGCTTACACGAGGATAACCCTCAACATACGTGAGAATGGGTTCACCTGGGCTTCCCCACAAGGTTGCGACAACCCTGCACGTCGTGGAATTCGATGCATTTGCAGACCAGACATGAACGTCACCATCCTTTTCGTGGAAGGCTTCACCTGCCTTAATTACTCGACAGGGTTCCTCATTCACCTAATTAAAATTTGTCATTTTAGCAGAACCAAATTTCATCAGTTTAACTACTTTGCTTACAATCAAGTAGTTTGTGACCTCACCTGAAATAGGAATTCTCCTTCGAGCACGTATCCTACAACTGGACCGGGGTGCGTGTGGGGATCTGAGCCGACGTCGCCTGGTGGAAAGGTCAAGTGCACCACGGTGGCGACAATGTTTGGACCAGGTGTTATCAAAGCTTGTTCCATAACGATGGCCAAATTTGACTTGCTCGACGTGCAGCAGCCCCCATCTCGTAAATCTTTGCTGGGCGGATTGGACATCTTTTAATCCTCAAAAATCATAGGTTTTCAGTATTCCTCCGGTATGTTCCCATAAATATGTTAATATGTATATATGACAATAAACACTATTTTGCAAAAAAAATACTTACCTCAAAATCGTGAAGTTAAATCGGTTTTATTTTACATATGCTAGTCGTCCAGTCGTTTCCAGTCACAGAATGAGCACCGAACACGATGAAAGTGACCTTAACGAATGAATTTCATCATTTGTGGAAGATTGATATGTTCCAGAACATGATTTACATACGTATGTACATACATGTGATATACGAACATGTGAACGACCATGCCATCACTGTTAGCATGCAAAATTCTCCCTTGATTGATACTGATTAGCTAGGAACAGCATCATCATCTTCATGCAAAACACTTGTAACAAGTAATTCAAATAACACTGCCATTTGTCCACATTCTGTTGGTGCCCTAATCATGTACAGTCCAAACTCATGGACCGATAAACATGCATCTATCGTAGTACAATGTACATGCATGTTTTCCAATCATTAATTTATGAAGAATGCATTTTTAAGCTTCTTAATACCAAAAAAAGCGAAAAAAATTTAATTTGACTTGTCTCACTGCTTGACGTTAGGTCAAGAAGGTCACGTAGCGTAGCGGCTCACTACAGAATTTCGCCTCTTAGCTTAGACGATCATATTTGGATAAAAAATATCCAAAGGGGCTGTCCATAAATTACTTAGAGGGGGAGAGGGGGTCCAAGGCTCCAATCAGAATGTGTGATAGACCGTCTGATTCCTTTCATCAATGAGTATCAAAAAATATAAAATGTAATTTTTTGGACCGACCCTGGGCCAGTTCACAATCCAACAACTATAAAGGTTTAAATCGAAAAAAATCGGTTTGACGTCGAGAAATGAAAACCTCACATTCAACCCTTATCTTCGCGCAATAAATAAAATTTGGGCTATTTGTAAGAAGAAATACTCCTAGCTTTGTGAAACAGTCGAAACTTTAAGAAAATATCGAATCAGGTAGGAGATAATTACCCATTAAGTTGCAAAGTCTTCCGAAAAATCAGTAATGGCGGACGGGATGAAAAAGGTTGAATACGAGATGGACAATGGACTTCAGGCTTCTTTGTTCGCGAATGTCTATGATTAGATATATTTACGATATCACACCAGAATTTGAGATTTCTAGAATCATATTTTGACCATTTTTAGGTCAAAGTTCTCCATCGCCACTATAGTACGGGCTCTTTATGTCAAAAACTGTACAAATTGACGCGAGTTCTTTATGCTGATTGATGTCTCTTCCGTCAGGATGCACGAGACTCTCGTGTATCCTCAATATTTTTTGTATAAAAGCAGATGAAAACCAGACCAAGTGTACTACAAAACTCTTTTCCATATTTAGCGTGAGGCAGAGTGAGATTCGAGTTCTGGTGGGTATCCACAACCATCGCGCGTCAGTGCCGTATCCGTCTCACTTTGTCGCACTCACTCAATCATGCGTCTTATTTAATTAACCATACTGGGTTACTTAAATGTTGTCTTATTAAAATACAAAAAACTTAAATGTTGGTATATCATTAGCCCTCGTTTGTTACGGCACTTGCCGTATAAGTCACTCCCTCAGAAACTTTGACCCCAAAAATCTCACGGTCCCAAGCATTTCTAGTCGGGCAACAAAAGCTGAAAATGTAGCCCTTCATACGGAGAAAATTCTGGCATCAGGTTGTCAGCCTAGAAATGGCTGGGACCATGACTTTTTTAACGATTTATGTGTATGCAAAAAAAACCGCCAATTTTCGAATTTTGAAACTCTTGATGCATCAAAATGTTCGTATTCCAGGGGGAAGTCAAATTGCAAATGCAAGTTAGGGTCTTATTCTTTTAGTGCCGAGTGTACATTGACTTTCTCATTTTTCAAAATTTCCTTTAACAATTTTTGAAGGGGGCGTGGTTGCATATAATTCGAAAATACCTATGGTATATTGATGTTTCTACCCAAAAATAAATTTTGGATTTTTTATGTGAAATTCTGTGAAATCGACGCGAAAAGAACTTGTACTTTTGGCTCATTTTGTACCAGCAACTGCATGGGAAAAATTACTCTTACTGCGGTCAAAAAGGTCACGTAGGGGTTCATTACTGAACTTCGCCTTAGAAAAAAATCATATTTGGATAAAAAAAATATCCAAACCACATGTTGATACGACTTTTGGTTGGCCAACAATGAAGGAATATGTGTAAAAGATGTTAAATGGGTCCCTTAGAGGTACCCTCGACATGTGAATTTTTTTGTACGCATTTTTTGCATTGTTTTGACTAACTACACTAGCTAAATAAAATTAAAAATTATCAAATTTTAAATACAATTGTTTCAGGGGGGCCGTACCAGAAAAAAGTACTGCAAGCCTTATTTTTCAAAATTGCAACAAATTGGTGTAAAAATTGAGTGTATGCATAAATTCAGCAAAAACAAAATATAATGGGAAAACTATTGGTAACGCGGCAACCATTCTAACAATTTCTTCTTCACCAGATAAAAAATATATACGGTTTGTGTATTTGTTACAGCATAATTAATTTTTCCAGTGTGTGAATTAATGCTACTAACATGATATTATTAACCAACAGGAAAAAATTAAAAATTCTCGTCTTGTGCGCTCTTATCGGGACAATGTGTTATACTTCTTCATACTTTGGTCAAGACGGAACGACGGGATTGCAATCCCAGAAACTTCGATACAATCGACTGTGTCGAAGTTTCTGGGTTGAAAACGCCACACCCCATACGATTCGCAAGTGGAGTGATAAATGCAATATTTCTGAAGAAACGTTGAGGTAAACTTATTTACTTGATAAGTTTTATATTCTAAACTGAATTTATTCACAGGCTGCAAGCGTTCCTACAAAGATCGCAAGTTAGAGCGGAATCTAGGCTTGATACGAGCTTTATGCATGATCCAGAGAAGGAGGCTGACTTGGAAAACAGGCTATCGACACTTTTAGCTGATCAAATCGAATCGATTCAGCGGAAGGGATGTGAAGAGCCCAATTTTACGTGCGGACATCAAAACGGTTCGAAACGTACTGTAAAGCGTGCACACATGAATAAGTTATTAATTTGACCTACCTCTACATATTTAGGTTGTGGATTAGGTTGCCAACTGCATCACAGAATTGCATGCCTTTTAATTTCATACGTAACCAAAATGCCATTAATTCACACCGTGGACGTGGACAGTGACTCTTGGTCCTATTCCTATAACAATAAATGGAGTGAAGTATTTCTCCCTCTGGGGTCAAATTGTACCCCCAGCACAAATACGTACACTTGGAGATGGGATCTAGATAAGAAACATGAAGGTGGTAACTCTATTTGACAAACTAAACCGATTCGTCAAATCTCATGTTAATAATATTACCATAGCCAGCTAACCTAGGACATGGCAGGGAATAAATTTACGGTAGATGGTTTTTGTTGAGGTGAGGCCGGCCTCAAAGCACTCAGCATGTCTCATCTTACGAGAAATAAAAACCACCGACCGTAAATTTGTTACCTGGCTAGCTGGCTATGGTAAATGGTAATAATGACACATAATTTAGTTCCTTCAACTTGTGAAATAACTTAATATAATAATTTAATATATTTTTGGATAATTTTCTTTCAGTGTCCAAATGCCACAATGTTCTGTTTGACCATTCTCACACAGAAATTCCATATCCTCTCTCATTTGGGATCCCTGTGGATCCATCGCTTTACGACTTATTTCAAAACATCACAAATCGTATTCCAGACCCATTTTTATGGATGATTGGCCAGTTTGCAAAAAATACTATGAAATTGAATCAAACTTTTGAGAATCAAATTAAACAGTGGAAAACGGAAATTGGGTTCGACGCCGGCACTGAAACAATTGTTGGGTATGGCTCAATTTTGTGTACTTCATTATTATCTCTACCAGGGGGTTGCGGAACATGATGTTATTGTTGAGACATTTGTATTGGAGTATCAATGGCATTATATAACGTCATGGCCTGTAGCTTGCAGTTCCTGATTCATCAAGTGAAGACGAGAAAGTTATGAAATTTGCATGTGTATCATACACAGTGTATGTGAATGTGGATTTTTAGATTACATATTCGACGAACTGACAAGTACCTCGAAGCACCGAAATCTGTCCACGAGGTCTCCGAATACATGGCCCAAGCTGAGAAATATTTTCAAAAAATTGAAGTTCTGGGGAAAAAACCAATCCCACGAGTAGTTTACATTTCATCCGATAATACATCTGTGATTAATGAAGCAAGATCTTTGTAAGTTTAAATTAATGATGATAGAAACTTTAGAGGTTTATAAGGCTTGCTTCTTCAGATATCCCACCTGGAAAGTGCTTGGATTTCACTCCTCCCTCTCAGAGTCATTTACCAAAAGGAAGTTTGGCCTTTTCGAAATTGCCAGAGACATTTTACTCCTTACTGAATGTGAATACGTTGTATGCCCGTATAAAAATTTTAACGGATTTTATGCAGAAATTTGGCTGGATTTTATGCAGCAATTTGGCTGAATTTTATGCACACAAATTTATGCAGGGTGATTTGTGCATAAACTGTGCAGGATTATGCATAATTATGCTAAGGTGTTTCTATAGAAATGAGATAATTCTAGCCACAAGCTTTGTATGAAGAAAAGTCTCTTCATAAAAATATCAGTTTATAAACTTTTATGCAGAATATACTCTCCAGGAATTTATGCAGAATTATTCACAATTTTTTATGCATAAATCATTATGCCGACTAAGTGTGCCGTATTATGCAGAAGTCGCCACATGATTTTTATACGGGTGTGGCTTATCTTCAAATGTAAATGACTCATGCAAAATTTGGTAGCATATTAATTTTCAAAAAATAAAAAAAATTAACTTCGTGTCTTTTTATGTATACAGATTTGCCAACTAATATCCGAGATGCAAACGTACAAAAAATTCAATCAGGATCCACCCCACCTCAAGTCGTTGGACGGACAATATGAATACCCATTAATTAGCCATGGCTTATTTCAAGAGTTTAAGACCGTTTGGAAAATTGACGACCATGAAACAGCCTTATTTTGTGATTTCCAGTAATACATACATACCGATAGAATTATGAATTATGTATGTATGTATGGTACTATTGTAAATTTAAGTTAAGGAATACAAATTCAACAAAACATATAACGGATTAATGATTGATTAACAGAGCTGGGTGATTATTGGTTTTTTAGGGTGGATTAAGGATTATGGATTAACCACAAAATAATGTGGATTGTGATTAAATTATTTTCGTGAGATTAATTCATGTCAGGATTAATCCGGATTAATCCATAAATTCTGGAAATTTCAGGATTATGGATTATGGATTAATAATCCGGATTAATTTGGTGATTAATGATTTTTACACTATATCTAGCGCAAAAACTTCAACTATGTGGTTTCACATAAAATATTTAAAAGGCCAGTTTCAATTGATATATGTAGCACAAGGCAGCGAGAACATGTTGATTCTTCAAATGGTAGCTGACAGAACAAAGTTGTGAGAACTTGAGACTTCAAGCTACACAGTGGGATGAAATGGAACTGGGAATTGAACTGAGTAATCCAGATTGAGAATTAATCATGAATAGGTATTAATATTAATCATGATTGGGATTAATCAGGATTAGTAATCCGTAATCACGATTATGGATTAATGAAATCAAATGGGATTATTCCCGGATTAATTCTAATTCCTGAAAAATCGGGATTATAGATTGGGATTAATCTACAAAAAACTCTCATTGCCGGATTAGGGATTATGGATTAATAATCCATAATCCGGGATTAAAATCCATAATCCTTAATCAGGATTATCCCAGCTCTGTTGATTAATAATAGTGTACAAATCTACTAAAAATACTTAGGTTACTCTAAATAGCGGGAAGTATTGTGCATTGCAAGACCACATATCAAAAAGTTCATCGACTATTTCATTAATGAAATAAGATAATATCTTTGAAGATAAAACACAGTTCGCAATTTTGAAACATTTTTTAGCTTTTTAATGGGACCATGGTCTGTACATATATAAATATACATTGCATGCAATCACAGAGTTAAATAACATAAGTGGAGTCTTCTGTGTTCGGTGTGAGCAGGATATGTACTTACCTTCAACAAAATTACCATTGCAAGATTGCAGTGTTGTAGTAATTAATTACAAGAAAAATCGAAAAGTAATTAAGTAATTGATTTTAATTACTTTGTGGCAATGTAATTGTAATTAGTAATTAATTACTTGACTTCAATTGGGTAACAAAGTAATTAATTACTTTGGGTAATTAATTACTCGGTTGCTTCGAATTAGGCAGTGTATTGTGTAAAATCTTGATTTCCGAGCTCGTTTTTGGAAGATGGTGAAGATTAATTTTGCGTTAATTACGCTCCCCCAATCAATTATTAATTTCCTTTCAATTTGAGAAGTTGGAATATACTTAGATTAATTAAGTCCTTGGATTAATTAACTGCTTAATCTTGAAATGTTAATTATAGTTCTTTGAATTTACATTACATTCGTACATTTACGCTCTTAACTTTTACCGCTTGGTATTAAAATAATACCAACCGGTATTCATATGTGACTCTACCAAAGTGGTAGTGGTAAGTGGTGCAATGTAGTAATAGCTCGGTATTAAAGTTTTACCATATCGGTAACAAATTCTTACGGAGCGGTAAAAATTTACCAGCCGACCGGTATAACTTTGAGATCAAGAGATAGTAACTTTGATACCGGGAAATTAGTACTTGCGTAACTGTACCATACTTCATGATTATATAAAAAATGTAATTAGTTTGTAATTAAGTAATTAATTACTTTTGACGGAAGTAATTGTAATTATAATTAATTACTCGACTGATGTAATTAGTAATTGAGTAATTAATTACTTTCTCTCGTCCGATGTAATTAAGTAATTAGTAATTAATTACAAACTCAAGTAATTAAGCAACACTGCAAGATTGTCATGAGGTTGCAAAAATATGGTATTTGCATGGTAAACTCATGTAATACGACTTCGTGTATATTTGTAAACATTCGGACATGAAATCGCATTCCGATCCACTCGAGTTATACGCCCCTCATGCTCTAAATTGTCGCAATTTATTATACGGCACAATTTAAATTGTAAATTATAATTTTTAATTCAAATATAAAATTATTTTTTTGAAAAAATTGTGTTGACGAATATCGCTTCACCCAGGACAGAAAATTTCCGGCAAGTTCAAACTGTTATAAGCTCGCTGTTGTACCTGGCGATAAAATATTCGCATTACATTTCTTCAAATTTTTAATTGGAACTTTTTTGTACCCCAATTTTTAGACGGAATATATTTAAAACTAGGGATTTATTTACCTGGTAAATATTTTCAAAAGATATGGCTTCCTCTTGTCCCGGACTCTCTGACGATATCAAGGAAATTGTTATCGAACATCGCAAAAATGTGGTAAAGTATAATCCAAAGTTGGCCGAAACGGTTGGACTCCTCCGAGTTAGGAAAGAGCTGTGCGGAAAACCTCCAGATTATTGGCGAGAAAACGAACCGGTTGTTCGCGACGACATTTCTGGCCTAGAACCGATCACTTTCAAGGAGATGAAACCCGACATTGTCTACAAAGGACGGGTATAGTAAGCAATGAAATAAATGGCCGTCCTAGTTTAATAAATTGATTATGCTTATTTTTAAGATTATGCATCTGACAAATGTTGATATCCCGATGCATTTTGAATTTGAGTCGGCTGACACTTTTACTACCCAACATGTTAGCGCTGTTCTTCTTCTCCAGGACGGGAATGGGGACGTCAATCGGGGATTTGTTTACAACTATGTGCTACCAACACTGATTTGGTAAGTGATATATGTAAGATGCCAATGTGCGTATTTGTGCATACAATAGGTATTTTTAACAATTCACAACACCAGGGAGTATGAAGACTTTGACGAAATCGCAAAAATGGGAGACGTGGACGCTAACAATGTCCAAGATCTTTTCGGAATTTCGTTCAAGATTAGCGTGGCCGATCCCGAGCTTAAAACTGGCGAGGATGGAAAAGTCGCTCTTGTTGTCATCCATCCTGAAAATTTAATTGTGAATAAAATTCCACCGAATCAAAAGAGCTGCCGTTACTGCATGAAACGTAGGAAAATTTTCTTATATGATAACAGTGCTACAAATTAACTGTGTTTTCTAGAATTTCAAGCCACTGCAAATTCATGCTGTGCCAGATGTCATGAAGCATATTACTGCAGCAAAGACTGTCAATCCGATGACTGGTACAAGATGAAGCACAAAATTGTCTGCATTACAAAGTAAATTAGTCTAAATATTAATATTAGGTTTTTGACATTTATGCTAATTTTTGTGTCTCAAAAATAGGGAAACTGCGGGTAAACGTGCTGTCAAAACGAAATACAAGTTATACCCCCAGTGGACGGTGTACCAGTTGGAGCAATCTATCAGAGTTGATTTATGCCCTTCGCTGGGGCCAAGTCATGCCAATCTACGCCATGACTATGGATTTGCCAAGTGTGCTTCAATCAATGATGTAAACAATTTAGCTTAAGCGCAGCATTTTTTAAAAATATTGACTAACTGTAAAAAATAATCACAGGAGGGCAAATTGCTCGGACTCTATAAGGGAATGGTCGACATTATGAAGGTGGACATGGTCATGTTGCACAAAGCGATGCTGGCCAACAATTTGGAGGACTTTATCAAGCAATGCTTTGAAAGCTATCCAAGCCAGAACAGAGTATGTTTTATATATATTGTGATTAGTGTCGTACTGGATTTTGCAAATATTAATAGAAATCATATTCATGACAGGGCGAGTATTATAAAATATTCCTGAAAAATCCATCCGTCGTTCGCTGGGACTAGGAAAGCCTGGTCCAGAACACATGCAAAAAACGATCCATCCATGCAAAATGATTCTCTTGTGGTGTTTACTTGTTCTTCTATGTATATTTAAACAAATTATTATTCTCCGTGTTCTCAAGTATTTAATTATTTACATAAATTTGTAACAAGTATTGCAAAAAACTAATTGAAATTAAATAATTTACGAATCCTGAGTCTATCTATCACATCTTATCTTGATTACAACAAGCAAACGCATAAGTAGATGCATTAACTCGAAATTTATTTCCATACGATTTTTTGGAACTTGTTTTTATTTGAAATTAAAGTGAACCATATGTTGAACAATTATTATCATGGAATAATCGTATGTACATATGCATATACATAATCGTACTTCCAAATGTACAAATATGTGCAATATTAATATTGATCCCCAGAAGTAAATAAATTACAATTAAGCTGGTTAGCTCTATAAACACAATAGAAATAAGCATGGAAATTAAGCCGCATAGGTAATTTTTCTGTTGTTGTTCATATGTAACAGCGATATTCGGGAAGTTATGAATTACTTATTTTATATTGCATGAATAAAATGCTGAGCGATTGCTTAAATGTATTCAGGCATTAATTGTTCAGTCTTTACTGAGTCTAATAAATAATTATCGTCATAATTGTTTAGTTTTTATCGTTAATTTCCTTCCCTAGGAATGTCTTGGGAAGTATGTATGACAATGCCATAGCAAATGAAATCCAATTAGCCATATACAATCAATTTGTGTCTTAATTTCAGTTCCGAACAAGCAAGTTATTGATTACCTTTAACTAAATATCTTATTTTAATATGATGGAGCCAATTACTTTTACACAACTATAGCGTCAAAGCGTTTCGCATACAATCGACACATTTGAAATACTTATCAAATAGATATAGGTCTGCATAGATAGAAAATCAACTCAGGATTCAACCCATCGTCACCGTAAAAAAATACATTTCCTTGTCTGCATACATACTCTTCACGTTTTGAAACTATCCACAATCATGTGGTTAACATCTTTTAAACCACCTTTGATTCATCACTTGTGGGCGTGTAATCTAATCCGATGCACACTCTTTCAATGGGATCCTTCCACAGAGCAACTAGCCATCCCAAAAAATTGTAGTAGTTTCCGTCGATACTTTTTCAAGTTTCAACTATTTTCTCATCTGGCGTACGCACTTCTTGTGGCAGCCAAAATTGGGCTTGGAAAAGACCCTTTGGCCGCAAAGTGTCAAGGTGTCGTCTTTCTTGGGATATCGTTTGTCCTCCTAATGCCCAGATGGCACTTAAAGGCGATAAATGAACCGTGCCAAAGTTTAAACGCGTTCTTGACGTTTGAAAAAACATTACAGAAAAATGGTAAAACTTTTCGTAAAATGGGGTTTAATTTCGAAAAATATAATTTAACCTAATTATTTTGAAACTTATATAGGTCCTCTACCCCCACCGTCTCTGGAGGACAAAATTTTAGTCGTATTTCTAAAACTTTTGGAAACTTCAGTCGTCGTTGTGCCCCTGATGGTTATCGCAATTCAGCTGCATAACCCATGTGCCGTTCCGTTCTTCGGATCAATGTCGCCGTTTTGTCAAGATGGCGTGTGGACAGCGCCACCTCTGCACATTTGGGTGTCCATGCTATGTGTCGAGTACTGGTTATGGTTACACATCGTTTATGACGGAACTTTCTTTGTGTTTTACACTTTCTTTGTGGCTGTCGTTTGCATGCTGGATTATCTCAAGCATGTCGGGCGGTAAGCATTGTTTGGCGTGATTTGTGTCGTAAATCAAGGGTTAAATTTACGTTTAATATGTTAATATGTAATTATGTTTAACATATAGATTAATAGAAGCGTTAAGGATACAGAAAAATGATGACCATGCTGATTTTGAGGATCAAGATGACAGAACAACTCGAATAAGACATGTTTTCCATACCTATAGATGTGTCCAATTATTGGACAGGATTCTGAATTCCGCACTGAAGGGAGAACTTGTCCCTGCAATTATCGGTTTAGTGCCACAAATTCAAGTATTTTCATTATTCGTGTGCATCAGGCTCTCGTCGAAAATACCATTTCCTGGCGTCCTCCTATTTCCACTGATTTTGACGGATGCTTCCGTCGTCAACTTTGTCGTCAATACATTAGCGGCTGCAGTGAATACTAATTCCTCAAACTTACTAGTCGATCTGAACCAAGAACTTCGTGGGTTTTCGGTCCGCTCAAGCTTTAGGAAGGAGCTGAAAGCATCCCGACCAACAAAGATTCAATTCGGCCAAAACTTTGTGGACAAAGGAACGCCGCTGGTGATCGAAAACTTTTGCTTTAATCAAACCGTATCTTTATTACTTTTGCATAGTAGAACACTGAAGAAAGTTGGTTAAATTTGGCATGTTTTGATAAGTATTTATCAACATATAAGTTACATATACTATAATTAACAATCAATAAATAACAAATAATTCTCGTACATTTTAATCTTATACTAGCAAAGCATTCGCCGTGTGCTCCACAACGCTGGTCAGAAAGTCACTCTTTGTCTCCTTATCCACCTGCATGAATCGAAGCTCATGAAATCCCATGGTCAAATTGATATCTCGTAAAGATCTTAATTTACACAGGAAAAGTTTCCTGTTAGACACGGAAATCACCAAACACTTGAAACGATGTCGAAGCAGGTCACACTTTTCTGCAACCGTGTCCGCGAAATCGAGGGCAAACAAAGTTCCCAAAATTCCGACAAATGTGCAGAGGACAATCGTACCAATCAGCCACCACGGGAGGACTTCATTTCTAGAGATTAATATATAATTTGCATACGCACACAAGCCAATTGATCCCATGAAGTAGACGTAGCCAACAAAACAAATGCAGTTGTTGCAGATTCGTACAATTATTTCGTATTTCCGGTAAACCATGAGATGAGATTGGGTTAAAATGTTTCTCTGGTCAAGTAATTGTTCCATCTGGCAGACCAGTTTTCTCAAAACTTGTAAACAAACTATGGAGTATGTCGAAAGGAACATGTGTAGCCGCAACGCTTCCCCGAGAAAAAACCAGGCAGTTATAAAACTCACAGTAAATTCAGAAATTGTTAGGATTCCGCGAAAAAGAGAGAATGTCATGTCCGAATGTTTTCCAGAATTGGAGGGGAGAATCATATCTTCGAGATATTGCTTCGAAATGTGGGTCAAAAAATCGTGCTCGGCGTAAACGTAGAAGAATATTACGATTGGGAAGCCATAATAACGAAATTGTAATTGTCGCTTTACCCGTTCTGTCAACCATTTTTCGATGGGTGCTGAATTGCCTGGTTTCTTGAAGGTAGCTGCATAAAGTAAGATATACTTTGATTAGTGTACTTTAAATTTGTGGGATATAATTTACTTCAATGTCTGAGGGCTGTGTAAATCATTGCAGTTCTGAATAACACTAAAAAACTCTGCTCATTTTGTTAATGTGAAAAGTGTAGAGTGAAGAACAAAACTTTTCATGCAACTATTTTAATTACATAATATTTAATCAGAATATCTTCAAGCACAATTCATAATTTTACTAAAAACACATTACACTTGTACATAAGTAATATATTAGGGCATTTCACGTCAGCCTTCGTAAGCCGGTAACCACGTAAATTTAAGAAAATTACTAACTTTTGAGGAAACTTCGGAACGTCTTACGAACTTACAAAAAAATTAAAGCCATGTTTTTGGTTCGTAAGCTGATCTTCGTAAACTGACGTGACGGACTTACTAAGCCATGCCATGCGTAAAATGCCTCCGTATTGCTCAACCCAACCATTATTGTTAGACACAAAAAAACAGTTTTCGTGGCAATTTTACAATAGATAATTAGCCTTTTAAAAAAGTAGTAATAATGACTGAGCACTATATATAGGAACCCTGATTTGAATTTGGCCTACCAGTATTCAACAATTCTGAAAGGCTGGACGCTTGATTCAGTCCATACGCAAAATCGCCTCCATGTCGACCAATAACAATGGATTGATACGACAGAATTTGAATGACTATGAGCGCAGCAAGTATGCAACTTATCCCGAAAGAAATCGAAAAGGAAGGGTAAGAAATATTGGTTTGGAAACGGTGGCTCGAAATGAGGTAAATATTCGTTAAACATCCTCCAAGGAGAAGGAATGCACTTAATAATGGCCACACTTCAAAGAATGCCTGAAATTTTCGATTTTTATAGGAATGAAGGTAAATCTTAGCTTCAGGGAAATTCCATCGGAACAAAAATGGATAGCGGAATGGGTATTTTTTGTTGTAGTAGATTTCAAAATATTGACACGATAGTAAAATTTTTTGCACCATAGTTTCCAATTTTGGATGTAATTTCGAGTAGTTAATTTCAGTCTGCTAAATACCTTCTTCAGTTGTTAGTGTGGGCTCCAATTTATCGCAATTCCTGAATGTAAATGTAGGAGTTTGGATATTACAAACCCTCGAGTCTCGAACTATATGACGTTAAAATAGAAATCGATATTTGATATATGAGATCTTATTAAATTAAAGAAAATTGTGTCCAGTTTGTATTCGCTTGAAACAGTATATTAATAATAAGTAAACAATTATATACGGTAACATAGGCAAGCAAAAAAAAACATTTTATTAAAGTTTGCGAAATAATAACCTTTACCTAATAATAATAAATAATAACCCAACTTATGTATAGTCTACAAAGCCAACAAAACTATTGACCTGCATAATTAATTTGCTTATGTAAATTGGTCCGCCTAAGTAGGTAAATACTTATACAATACTTATACGTCTGGTGTGTATTTCTTAGCGGATTGACGTTACAATAACTTTATCATTTCTTAGTAAATAACACACTAACACATTACGAACACATTACGAAAAATCGACTTGAACTGATTATGTAGCTAGTTTAACTTTAAAAGTAAATCTATTTCAAAATTTCTAAAAGTTTTGCAGTGAAATTTAAATGATACATTTGTCGATTATTCTAGATATGTTTTCGCATACCAGCTAAATTAGTTATATCTGTAAGATGAGCATGCTTTTCATCAAATTATAGCGTCCATACACCTCTAGACTCCAAAAAATAAATAAATTCATAAAGAAGCTAAAAAAATAAAATTCTAAGGTAATTTGGTTAACTCCTAAAAAGGATGTTTATGAATATATGCATAAATTAATTCGTTCAAGGATATAATTTACATATGCATATAAACATTTTGACACAATGTTGTCGTCAAGCAGGTCTATAAATAAGTTATGACGCATAGAAGGTAATAACTTATATACCTACATATATTACTATTTATAAATTTGGATATCGCTGCTCATACTTGACTCTAACCTTAATTAACATTGAAATCCACAAAAAGTAATTTCCTTAGATAGAGATAAGTAAAATTGAACAATAAATTCATGCAAACCCTAGCAATTTACTTGTTCTTCAATATTCTAAACTATTTGTTTACCTACTAAAATTCATATCAATCTTTACACAAACGTGATTTATATACATACATATGTATTAGAACATATGTAGTAGATACTTATATTTAAGCACATATGTATGTATGATTTCGTCTAAAAAACTAAGCAAATTAAATACACCTACATACCAAAAATATGAGCAAATTTACGCAGAAAATTTTGGTACAAATATAAATATTTGTACTTATCAGATCTTATCAGAGGGGATATTATTCAGCCAATATCCGTAATTTTTCATGATATAAATTTATATATGCTTCATGCACATGGGGAAATTCAAAGTCTAACTCTTCAACTGATTTGTTATCTTCATCCTAATTTTAACATACTGTAAATACAAAACTGCCGAAATGATATCAACCAAAGGAAACATTCCACCTCTAACCATCTCATACCACACTTCCCCCAAAAGTATACCCACACAAATCCCACTAATTGTTAAACAAAGCAGAAAAAATCGAACCAGGTGTGAAAAAGCTACAAATCTTGACTCTGACGTAACGTCGCTTAGAAGTATAGGTATTTTACTTTTCACATTTACTACATTTTTGGACTCTTGGCTTAGCAAAAGTTGCATTCGCTCGATCCAATTTTCCTCCCACAATTTCAAAAAGCCGAACTCATTTACAACCGATTCTACTTGCGCCAATTGTTTAAAATACGGTACTTTGAAATAACTATAATAATACGAAATTGAGCCGACATTCAACAAATGACACTTGACGATAGCATCTGAATCGAAGTTTGCTTCTAAAAAATGATTAACAATCAAATTGTAGATGATCACCTCTACATTTTGTTTAACTCTGGTCGCATCCATAAGAACGCCTAATTGGGTGTCATGCAAGCTTGCATTTGCCATAGCATAAGCTAATTCTTTATGATGCTCTAGCCAAATATTTTTCGACTCTGGATGGACGATAAGGACCTTGTCCAAGTTCTGAAGAACGCCGTGCCTAGCAAAGTTGGAGGCGATATCAGCGCTCACATTCATCAAGTAATTACATCTAATATCCCACGTGCAAATAATCCTGTTTTTATCCGAGTTATTGATAAACTGACCAATATTTTTATAACCTGGTAACTCCACAGGTACAATTAGTTTGCTCGCAAATAAGGTTTCGTACGATGTGTATAACAATATGCACATTAAGACAAAAGATACATGTTGTATCTTCCTTGATTGATAACTCTGTCGAAATAGGGCTGAGGCCAAGTAAGCCATCTCGTGCGCTACATTTTCCTCTTGATTTTGGAAAAGTGACAAAACCATCATCATTACGCCACTGGCGGTAATCATGGCCCACACGAGAGGATTAAATGGACTCATCCAAACTGACCATCCTTGCGGTAACCGAGTCTCTATTCGGCAATAAATGATGGAAGGATTCCACTCGGACGATCTGACTTGGAAAGGTTTGAACCATTCGTTCCGATATTCGAAGGTAATATAGGGATAGGCATTTTGACCAAGTAGAACGGTAAGGTTGAGTGCGCTTTTAATAAAGGCGAGCCTAGCAGCGCTAACGGGGCATACGCCAACGGGAAGGTCCCAGGATATCCACGACCATATGTCCTCAGTGAATTTGTAACAGTCCAACTGATGTTTATCTAAAATTGTTTGAAATTCGTTATCGAAAGATGTACGCTTCTTACATAATATGGAAAAACACATTTGATTAAAACTACACTACAAAAATAAATACACATATTTACGTACGTATATCGGAAACGTCAAACATCGTGGGAACAACTCCTGGCAGAAATGGGTTCGAAATTTCAAGTCTGGGAAATTTATACAAAATTGAGACGATTTCGACATCCTTTGGCACTTCTACCAGCAGCATTGTCTTTCGTTCCAAGTAATTGTAGTAGTGATGTTCAAGCGATCTGTCCAAATAAAATTCGACAAAGACAAGACACGGTGCAGAATATAGTTCCACATTTAAATTATGACCAAAACTGTAACGAATTAAGATGAAAGCTGATTCTTGTCGATATATCTGGTGACGAAAACTTGCAAAAAACAGGTAACTTAAGGTTTCCTCCCGAGGCGACTCGAAGAAGAAAATGACATTGCACCACGGTTGATGTCTTCTCTGCATTGTGGATGCCTCCTACAGTCCAGTCGAATCTTCCTCTTCTGAAACACCAAACGACCATTTTGTGTAGATAAGCCAGGAAACGCGGGATGATTCAAGTCGATTGTGGATATCGCCAATGTAATGCAAACCACCCTCAAACTTGCCAACATGATGATAATGGAATGTACATTCAAAAGTAGGTAACGGTTCGGGAAGACGAGTTAATTGGTGAGAAAAAAGTGACAACAATGCATTACTATTTGCAACAATAAGTAGTAAAACTTTTAAATTATGCTGCATTTTGAAATATTTTTGAGATACGCAGGCACCGTAGAGCAAGCTATCTATGTTGACCTTGTATACATACAGGGTTTGGCACTTTGGTGGATACAAATTTGACCTTGAATAACCCCGGAACGGTTTGTCGTAACGGTTCAAAATTTTGAACAGACGAGCATGTTATCCTCAAATAGTTGTGTGCAAAAATTCAACTCTCTACTTTCAAAAATGCCTCCCCCACAGCCCCCAGAAGCTGAGACAGTCATTTCAACTTGTTCCAGAAAAAATCTCGCCCGTGTTTGCAAAAAATGTTATTTAAATTTTCTGTTCAGGAATAAGAGTGCGTTATTGGTGACAATTGACGAAGAACTATTTTCCCTACAAGTTACTAATTGGGTTCGAAGAGCTTAGTACACGACAAATGCCGAAAAAAAATTCAAGAAATTTGGTGGTTTTCAGTGAGGAGAACTTTTTCAAACATTTTATGGTTGTGGGTGCAATGTCCGGTCGTGGTATCCTCCCACTTATCAAAGTCTCCCAAAAAGTGAACGTATCTGCAAAGTATGATGTGGACCGTGTTTTGAAACCACTTTTAGAATAACATTTTCCTAAATTACACGGTGAAAAAATAAATAAGGTGATTTTTCATAATGACTCAGCGACTTCGAAAACGACAACGTTGACTCAAGATAATGCAAACGACCTTGAACCTAGAATGGGGATAAAAATCATTTCGAATAGTTAAATACCTGTAAAATGCCCTGACATAAGTCAAATAGACTTTTTTGGGTTCGAAGACTTGAAAATAAATTTTTTTCTATGGAGACCAAATTTTTGAGACGGAGTTTGGAAAAAGTTAAAATGACTCTCTCAACTTCTGGGGGCTGTGGGGGAGGCATTTTTGAAAGTAGAGAGTTGAATTTTTGCACACAACTATTTGAGGATAACGTGCTCGTCTGTTCAAAATGTTGACCCGCTACGACAAACTGTTCCGGGGTTATTCAAGGTCAAATTCGTATCCACCAAAATGCCAAACCCTTCTGTACAGTGACGCTCGTAAATGACGTGTTTTCGCTTGTAATCAAGAACTGAACTGAATTATATATTTATAGAATGTGTATGTATGTAATTTCGAGTATCATTAGAATCTGAATCGTGTTTTTATGTTTCTACGTATATCTGTTGGTTTTTGGCAATATTTGTTGTGTATGTATTTATTTTTTGTAATAACTAGACTAAAATTGTGGCCTTATACTTGGTAGTAACACTCAGAAACTAATGAATAATGGTGTCAATTTACATATGTATTAATGGAGAAAAAACTTCCACTAATTATCTTCCACAGAATGAAGAGCTAAGTTGCAGACATAGGGTTAAACAAATTTCTGGATATGAAGCTGAATCAGCTTATTGAACTCATAAATATTTATGCACACAAAACCAAGGTTAAGGCTCATACGGAAACCAATCTATCAGTTTTAGATAACCTTGACTGTGCAAGTAGCCGGTGAACTATGAAAAGTTTTCATTGAAAACTATTTAATGTCATGGGTGTAATTATGCACATGGTATGGTATATTCGTTCAGATGCCCTATAGCTAAATAGATATGCAGACGTGGTTGCGCCAGTGTGATTTGTGTATTGTTACAATGATTTCGTGTAAGGAGCTATTTAATAAAGTTGGTTTGTTTTAATTGATTGACAAAAAATGTATATTACAGATAAAAAATTATAGAGAAGGGTTGGACTGTAAGTACAGTGAACTGAAGGTACAGGAATAGGGAACTGACTATGAGATAACAATTTAATCGACACATTTGTCGAGTTTGATCAGAGTAAGTACTTAAGGATTAATTTTTGCAATTAGATAAAACATTTTTAATGAAGGAAAAGCAACGTATTGTAAAGATTTTCATGAAATTGTCTTTTTAATCAAAATTCGGAAATACAATCCCCGGAACCCCCCAGTACGTCGTGGTTCTAGGAATTTGGCGAAAATTGTTGTTAACTTGCGGAAATTCTTGTCTTCCCCTCTCTTCCCCAATTTCATTTCTTCTCAGCGTATTCGTTACCCAACGTCGCTCCCGATTGTTTCTTCTCATCTGACAATAATCATCTCGATATTGTCGATACTCCCCGCAACTTTCCACCGCATTGTTTAATACTGGATTTCTAAACTGACCCGGGCCATAATTTCCGCTCGGGAAACACATCCTCTGCAAATTCGGAGCTCTAAACGTAGATTCCACCATTTCCGGATTATTGCCTTGAATCATGGCATTTTGCAAGTTTGGAAAAATTCGGTCCATCTGGTTTGCCATGTTTCTGTTGGGTTGACGTAAGTCCATCCGTGCATTTTTGCACCTAGGGTAATTTACATTTGGCGAGTAGTTCAGCCCCGTATTTTGCATGGAGAGAGATTGCAAGTTTTGACTTGGAATGTCCGCCATGGAAAATTGTGTCGGAATATTTGCACATTTTAATCTTTGTAACCTTTCACAATTTCGGATGGATTGACTCATTTGCGACGCCGTAGGGGGATCCATCTTCACATTTTGCATTTCCAAACTTTCCAGCGATGGGGGGAGCGGAGTCGCTTGTGTGCATCGGCCACCATTAATTTCCAGCTTCTTTAGCTCACAAGAAGACGGCATTCCGGAAAATATTTCGTTTTTATAGTCAACATTGTTGAGATTGAGGTTCATCCGGGTGGGAGGGCTATTGGTGGGAGGTAGATATTGGTTTTGCTGAGGGGGAGTGGTGCTCTGGGGTGCTGGTGTAGTTTGTGATTCCAATTGGATACCAGATTTGGCTAGGACATCTTTCAAGATACAGGCAAACTTTCTCCCGTTCAGAAAAACGGAAGGCGACACTTGGTTCTGGGAATCAGGATTTGGAATGTTTCCGAATTGGATCATGAATCCTGTAAGCATTCCTCCATTCGTGTACTAAAAGGAAATTAAGTATTTGGATTTGAGTAAAAAATCGCCTAAGTTTAAAAATATTAGGAACATTACATAATTAAAAATAACTCACTTTGGTCAGCGTATAGGGGACAGTTATTGGTTCATTTTCAATTTGACAGGAGTCGGATTGTGTCGTATTTGCGTCCGTGTTAAGGATTGGGGATGGATTGTAATTTTTGGGACTAGCTTTTCCTTGGTTGCTGTCATCGCTTTGAGAATTATTTTCAGGAGGAGTGTCAGGGGCATCGACTGGAATTGGGGATGTACCAGAATTAGTGGGGTCAGCAAGAAATGAAGGACTTGTGTTTGGATTTGTTGCAGCCGGGGAAGTTGGGGGCACATTTTGGTCTGCGGAAGCTGGTGATGAACTAGCCTCTGACGAAGTTGGCGTCAAATTTGGGTCTGCAGAAGTTGGCGCCAAGTTTGAGTCTGCGGAAGCAGGTGATGAACTAGCCTCTGACGAAGTTGGTGGCAAATTTGGGCCTGCAGAAGTTGGCGATACACTCGGTTCAGAACTTGTCGTTGCCTGCAAATTTGGCTCCAAGCTGGGGTTCACCGTACCTGCAGACAAATCTGATTCTTGTCCATATGCAGGTGAAGTAGCCGCCACATTGTCATCTTTCCTAGGAGAAATTTCGTCTTCAGTTGGCTTGGGTGGATTCTTCGAGTTTTCTTCCCCTTCCGGGTCTACTGGTGAAGTTGTCGTTATTTGTGGAGACGAGGTCGTAACAGTAGAAATTGTTGTTGCTTTCGAAGTTGAATCATCATTTGTTTTCTGTTCGAGCGGAACACTTGAATCGGAAGCAGAAATATTTATCGGCTGTGTACTTGCTTCGGCAGCTGGATTAATATTTGTCGTCGTTTCAATGGGGGTCGGCAATGAGCTAGCCTCCAACTGAAAAGTTAATGTATGCAGATTTTTTTAAAGTTATGTTTCCATTTCCATGTTTGTTGAATTTTAACTGGAAAATTTCAGAATAATGACCAGCATTTGAAATTCTTCCCGTATTTCCTTTTTTCTCATATTACTAATACTATGTGGTCCTGAACCTAGATTTTCACAAATTAAATACCAACCAACCTGTAATTTAAGAGCAGTAACTTGAGCCAATTTTTCAGTCAGTTCCCTGATTGCGTCATCCAGCGATTTTAGGCTTTCACTAATCTCCCGTTGTAGAGAAGCCACCCTTCAATCATTAAGAACAAATAAATATTTACATACAACTTATATGCCGTTTTCACTTGAATTGACTGATCTGGCAATCAATGAACTGTGCATCAAGCATTTGACCCGATTTTTGGCTTTATATACATACATTCCTCTACCCATCTGAAAATAAATACGCACACACTGACCTCTCTAAAATTGGCTACAAGCTTTATGCACGACACTCAAATAATCAACATAATTGCACAAGTAGATACACTTTCAACTAAAATTATTATATTTACCCTAATTCTTAGTAACTTATTTAAAAATTGATTACCTATCAGTATCAGGTGTTGGAATGGACGCCTGAGAGTGGACATTATTTTGTGAGATAGAATTTAGCAATATTATCTGTATCACAACCACACTTAAAGTTGAAGGCGAAATTTTTTTGGACACCTTCATGGTTATGTTTGTCTGAAATCGTGCTGGAGCAACTTGTAAGCTGCTACTGAAACTAAAATCAAATTATTTCGAGATGTGTATCCGTACATATGCCATCATATTTCAATCTCACTTCGACTTTCAAAAATTACGTATCATCTTCTCATTGCGAATGTCCATCCTAGATACGAACAAAGACCTTGTCCAGTGTGAATTGTCTGTAGATTGGAGAAGAATGTACCTAATTTTGCGAACATTGAGAATATGCATTTCATTCAAATCCATATACTTCAACATGCGAATTTATTGATGCCAAACCATTATTATTCAATTGCGCTTGTCATCATTTTTTATCTGTTTCTTGATCCATTCTACAGAATATAAGCAGTATGTATGTACTTACTAGGATGTACAAACTAACCATGATTCATCTGGAAATTCTACGTAAAAAGTGAAGAAGTAATTCCAAGATGTACATATGCATACTACTCTAAACCGGATTTGATAGAAAATTAATAAACGTGGATGAACTAATATTGCAAATTTTATTCCCAGAAGAGTGAAACGACCAGATTGTAAGATAAAAAAAGATTATTTATATAATAAGCAAATCTGCCTTGGGTAAATAAATGTGCATATCAATTTTTATAATTTTTCTGATGATCAATATTGCAAACCAAAATTAAAAATACTTTATCCTTACATATATATATTTATATACATATAATATCCAAAATCCATTCCATACATACACATACAGCTTCTGTTCAGGATATTCTCAAATGTATATATTTGGGTATTATTTCTTGCATCTAGAATTCCGTCTTAGGTTGCCTTACGAATTTTTATTTAAGTTTTATATTGGGAAAACATATTATCAATAAAAATATTATAAATGAAAAAATATATTTCTTAATTTTTGATCAAATTGTCTTGAAACTTGGATTATGATACATATCGTAATCCATTATTTATTAAAAGATTTTTTACATAAGAACAAATAGATTTATTAGTAATTCATATATTTCAATGATTTTACCAATTGTTATTTGCCATTAATCAATAATGCATTGCTCTCATGCTGCTGCCAAAAACACATATTTATTTACATAAATATATATGTACGCTAATGTTATTAATAATGGTATTGTATAATGTACATAATATGCAGCGGCATTCATCAAATTACATGAACATCTTTGTATTTATTGTAAATACTCAAAAATACGCATAGTGTACATATTTACATGCACTCGTAAAGTTTATGTGCATAATTTATGAACAGCATGTTCATTTATTTGATAAGTTTTTATACATATATCTGAATATACGTCATCCTTGTCCATTTTATCCTGCAGTTGTAGTTGATATATTCCCGATGTCACTGTGCCAAAGCTGTCCTCCCCAACTCCACCCGAGGCAGTCGTACAGGACAAGCCGAGCGCCATTAAATGTCCCCAGCGCTGTGAGACACCTCTGACCTTCGGCTCCAATCAGTTGAAAGTAGGCAGGGACCGACTATGAACAAAATAAAAATTTTATGTCCATGCATATTTACATTTGATTTTAATACATACTAAATAAATATTTAGTATACAGAGTAATACTCACCGCATTTAGACGAGGATACCAAAGTTGATTCACGGCAAGGGAAGAACAATCGTTCTGAGTCACGGTTGCCAGGTTACCCCCACCACTCCCAGCAGTAAGACATTTTCTGCTAGATGTCGAGATCAATTGGTATTGGTTGATGTCTTGATATTTCTACAAATTTTATGACTTAACAAGTATTTAACTTGTATTGATTAGAAATTATTGCAGGGTAACTCACGATAAATTTATAATGCCAGATTTCGTTGTAAGCCCCCCTGACGCAATCCCACATATCAGTAACTCCGCCATTGTCCAAGTTGTAGCCATGTACGCCGACACATTTATTGCTCGCTTGACCCCGAAGATACAAATCTGGCAACTTGACAAAAATGGGTGGAAAATGTTACATTAGTTTTCATAAATTCAGTAAATTTCACTAAATTTCGCATACCACTACTTCTTCCAAGCAGGTGGATAGCACACAGTGAATAATAGCCGCAGACAAAGTCAGAGCTAAGAAAAATTTATACATTTTTACTAAAAATGGTATGTATCTTGCTAGAGATAAATGACAACTAAACAATTTCAAGGAAGACGGTGATGTATTTATGTATTAAATAAAACTGAGGCCATTAGAAAATTAATATATTGATCTTCTTATTTATATAGCAAATGCACTTAATTAAGTGTATTTAATTGTCACCCGAAGTGTTTTGACATAAAAAAATTATAAATTCTTGACCTGTCGTTACTTAAGCTATTGCAATTTAGGAAAGATAATTACTTCATAATCACTGGAATTTCCATAATCAGTAATCAATGATTAGTAATCCATTAATGCGGATGGGACGAATTGTATACAAATATTTATCCAATTACTAATTACTGGGATTTCCTTTAATTATTGACTACAATTTAATAAACTTTAGATAATTAAACAATTACAACTTTGCAATTATTTATTCCAAAAATATCCCACAAAAAATAAGTATTTAACGGAGTGTAGAGCCTCTGAAACATTTACATAGAATCCAGACTTGCTGAACGTGGTTGAAGCAATTGTTTCAAAATAATTTTCACATTTTTTATATTTTTCCAAATTTTCAAAAAAGGGCATCATGGTCCCCATTATTTTAACCTTCCTATCTCTCATTGTCCCTTCCCTCCACGCGCTCACCATCTCCTACACCGACGCCAAACCAAACCGCCAACTCTGCATGACCGATTGTCGACCCAACCAAGCCCAAACGGCTCACTATTGCTACTGGGGGTGGGGCCAGGATAAGTGGGACTACTGCACCCCGGGCATCATTCCCGCCTTGGAGTACAAAACTGCCAAATACCACCAAACCCAAGTGAGCACGTGCTCCTCCCTCTGCGGAACTTTCGGGGAAACCGACGGGAAAAATTGGTGTTATCTTAACGGTGACGAGGGCGGCGGAGCGTGGGACTATTGTTCCACCCAGACCGACGTTTCCATCACCGGAAATGTCTGCACTAGCCCCTGCGGCGATGATCTCGATACACCGACACCCGAAACGGTCTGCATCGTCAACGGTGTTATCGAAACCTGCTCCCCTCCCCCAGACGCTACCGCTATGAATAAAGCCTTAACCGATATCCTGGTCTCCAAGCGGGGTGGGTATTTCCCCTTTTTACACTTTGTAAAAACAACGGACGGAGTATGCCAAGTTGATCCGCATCCTCGCTCCTGGCTGAAGCTGGCCCGCGTTGACGATGAAGAAGTCCTTCGTGAGTATGGAGTCGAAAATTTCGCCACAGTATTAGAACTCACGTATGCCAACAGGATTCATCCGGGAGATCCGGACAATCCCATCACGGAAGTCACCTGGGAGTGGGCACCTCATCGAACGGGTATGAACAACGTTCAGTTGGCGTACGTCATCAGAGCGACGATTCGACCGGAACATTTGCAAAATAGGACTGACATCCCGAGCTGGGTGACAACACGGATGCGGGACATGGACTATTTGCCCGGTCGAGATGAGAGAGGCCATTTAGTCGCAGCTAGTTTGGGCGGACCCACGACATGGTATAACTTTGCCCCACAGACACAAACGGTTAATAGGAATGTGGGATATGGTGGACAAAGGGCAGGGGGTTCTTGGTGGTTTCGAATTGAGGAGGAACTTAGAACGTTCTTAAGACGGCCGGACGTAGGATACATTGATTGGGTGTTAGTTCTAACATATGGCGACTTAAATCTGTCCAGGAGACCGACCGGGTTTGGTTTGATACTTTATATGTATGATAATAATGGCAATTTTGTGACCAACTCGGGAGATATGTTTTTCGATAATGATCCCGATTCTCCAAATAGTGTTTGTTAGTTGATATAACCTTAAATGAATTAGTAATTCATGTTAATATTTTATTGTAATTTCTGCCAATCTAAATTGATTATGTAGAATAAATTGTGTAAATTATATAAACAGTAAAAGATAAAATTAAAGAAGTACAATTAAAGATAGATACACGGGAATGTCCATTATATTTTCTTAAGTTTCTTATGTGTAGAACGTCGTCGTAGTCCAAGGTAAGTAAGGCTTGAGGCTAACTCAAGAGATTCCAGCTTCGAGTGTGGACAATGACATTCAATTTTTTGCAAAAATTTGCCATAAGTATGTAATACTAACTAGTCAGAAAGTCAGAAACATAGCAAACTATATTATTTATTACATAGATACACTTCACATACATATTTAATTTCACTTAATCCTTCTCACAGACTTTCTCTATGCGCTTAAATCCTAGCGTAACCTTGACGCTGGCATATTTGTCCTCACTCCAATTGTGAAACCGTTCTTCGCAGACAGCAGCATTTTTGACAACTTTATATTTTTGCGAGTGAAAATGATAAGTGTCTATCGTTGTGATCTAGCAAATAAATTTTAATTCAAAAATGTAATTTTGCACAATATCACCTTCAATGACTTACATTGTCATACAACTCGAGCCCCATTGTTTCTGAGTTGTAGGTCAAACTCCCAAAGTGCAGTGCGCACTCTTGTTCTTCGTAGGGCCCATTAGTGTCAAGAGTTAAATGGCAAAACGACTCTAATCGACAACTCAACAGCCAGTCAACCTCTCCATTTGGGAATATTATCACATTGTTCCTCGACCGGGGACAACAATCCATAGCCACGCTGACCCTACAGCAGTGACACAAAGTCCATATATATACTATACATATTAATTCCATAAATTTGCGAATTCGTTAACTTCAAGAATATTGGGGGTCTTCATTACGAGGTCGCATCGTTGGCAAAAAACAAGTATTTACATAGTTCACAAATTTTTTTTCCAAAATTATGCGGCGATGTAAACATTATTATTCAAATCACCTTATTAAATTGAATGTTAATATCAGTGCAAATGTTTTACTGTTATATTTATGGCTAACCCGTTATACAAAGAAATATCCGGGGTCCAAACTAAGTCTGACGGAACTCTCAATGATTTAGGGTTAGGATTATCCCAAACGAATCGGTCATCAGTCCAGATCTGATATTAAATTGCTTTACTAATATAAAATACGTTGACTTGTGTACGTATTGACGTATGTATGAATTTATTGTCCACATATTCTCATACTTACCATGCGTAGCCACACATTTGTAATCATAATGTGATGAGAGGTATCCTGCAAGGATCGAAAGAGCGTTCAAAGTTACATATGAGACTTATTTGTAAATATGAATTTAATTACAAACTGGACGCCTCGTAAAACCAAGCCGAAAGTGATGGTTACGTTGTCGGGGTAATTGTCTTTGCTATATGTCGCGAAAAGGTCAGAGTATAGTTTCTCTTTTGAATCCCCTTCTCTCATGCTTTCGAGTTCATCCTGTCCATCTAAAACATGAGTTAAAAATTATTTCAGTGAAAAGTTGATAACTAAATCCAAATGTAAATATTAAACGAATTTACAAATTAGCTGGGAGAAAATTAAGACAAACAAGTATTTCATGGTCACGTCTTCAAGGAGGAAGTATGGATTTTGTGGATTGGAGAAATGATCACACTGCAGCTTTTGGAGTTGAGATTAACAAACTCACCAAACTTATTTAATTGAGAATAAAGGTTCCTGCATGTATATGTGTCGTGGTGGGTAATAAAGCTAAGTGGGTTTAATTAAAAGATTGTCGCCTATCATACGTTCGTAATCTTTTTACGTAAACGTTCACCGACATACACATATACGTAAATGCATATATTGAAAAATTTTATAAAATAGCAACAAGTTAGTTGGCACTATAATAAAAGCATACATAGCGTCTTAAATTCGTGCAGAAGTGTAAGAATGACATGTAATCAAATTAACAACCCTTTCCAGTTTGATACTATGCGCTTTCATTAATCCTACGTGGTAATATTCACTTAAACGTATGTATACATATACAAAGTTCTAAATGTATGACTCTTTATGTATGATTCTGATGTAAGTTTGTCTATTTATCTGAATTGCCATTAAATTGATAATAAAATCAATGGGTTAAATAGCTGGGATAATGTGTGTCCTATGATGTAAGCAATTTTGAAATCTATCGATGACTCAAAACTTGGAAAAATATTTAATAGACTAAGGCTAGGCACGATATACGTACTAAAAAGTATTCGTGTGTGGTATATATTAAAAAGTACATATGTACATACATATATATGTAAATAATGCAAAATATACAAATAATTCTACAAGTTTGTGTAATGATAGATATGTATATGTATGTATGTTGCATATCCATGCAGTGCAAGAACAATTACAGAGTAATCGTATACACTCTATACTTATATACTATTATACTTTACTATTATGTAATAAACTTAGCTTATTTTCAATAACTGTATAAATTATTGCATGCACTTAAGTACATATTTTGGTATACGCATTTTGAATAAACTATGCATTGCAGGTGACAGGTTATGCGCTCAATATTGATTTAATTTTCTAAAAATCATCATATTTATTGAGAGAAATACAAAATTGAGTTGCTTAACATGACACTAGGTAACTTATTCAAGACACATTTATAATATAATACACTTATCGTTAGATATATATACTATTCAACTATTAAGGTAATCAATACATTAAAAAAGCAATTCTTAAGGTAAAGTAGTAAATTATTACAAATTTCAACAATCAAAATTTCCATTCCAAGTGTTACAACACAAACAACAATACAAACACCGTAGCTATAAAACGCTGTTACAATCTTTGATTTAAAGTCCAGCTTGGCCACGGCTGCATGTTTCGAATACGTCCAGTTTGCAAAGTGATGGAACATTTTTCTCGGTTTTATCAAGTTGAACCAGTTTTCCCAATGTAAATAAATTCCAGAGGACATCAATCTGCTGAGACGTTTCATGGCATAATTACCTCTGACTTGTTCCATCTTCCAGCCTGTAATACTCTTAAAGAACGTATCCTCCCCACTCAAATATGTCTTTTGGTCAATATTATCATTTAAAAAAGGAATTAGGGATGCAATATTCTTTTTCTTATCAAAATACGCTACTTTCCCACAACTCGATAATTTACGAATGAGACGTCCCGTCTCATTATACCAGATTGGACGGATTGGTATCTTTCTCAAGTCGAATCCGGGGGAATTATTTCCCAAATCGGAGATAAAATCGTCTATCATATCGTACAGCGCGGCAGCTAGTTTTCCATACCCCGATATCATCTCCCTTTGTCCCTCATTCTCATAGTATGGAAGTCTCATCTGCAGTTCGGCATAAAATTGTAATAATCGATAGTACCCATCTTCTCCTTTTTCAACCAAATGCTCTGTTCCAACAAAGAGTTGGAAGGGCATTATTACTTCCAATTTATCAATATTCATGACACTCGTCCAAGGTGGAGGGTACCTCACGGGCAGAATCATTTCCATGGTGAACACAGTTTTATACCAGTTGGTCAACAACGTCCCACAAAGCATGGTCCATCCCCCGATGAGTATGGCTAAACCGAAAAATCTGTTCCATCTACACACCAACAATTTCTTTTGGTAAACGCCTAGCACTGAATTTTCTAGTGATATCCCCATCAACACGAATGCACCGATAAGATTCAAACGTCCTGAGGGGAACCATGATAATATTGCCGCCACAGCGGCGAAACAAACGCTCAGACTAATCCATGACGACTTATCAAAGGGCGAAGACAAAACGCTAACCCATGATGAGTAAGGTTTCACTTGATAACAGGAAACAAAACTGAGGGACTCAACCTCCTCCAGAGTGAATTGGGTGATGGCACGCGTCGAACGTGGTGCTATTAGAAGTTCGCCTTTGCCATAAAATGAGTGTGAAAAGCTAATATATTTGTCGTCGTGGGAAAGCATTTCTTCGAATACTAGGAAAGTCATAAAGTCTCTAAACGTCGTCTGATTCGCGATTCGGTGCAAGTTACCCTTTTCTTTGGACGAGTTCTTCAGTAGTGTCCGTGTTCTTTCTTCAATTAAGAGATTTAGCGTCCAAAAGTATTTATTCCTATCGGCCACCACATTTGCTACGTGGACGATGTTTTTGTAGCATTTTTCTTGATCGCCTGGAGAACATGTAACGATATGCCACCAAGCATTGGAAGCATACTGTTTGTGGTCATCTTCTTCAAGTCGGTACACATTTTGGTAGTAGATATTAAACAAGCAATCTGCATCAAAACTCTGGGATATGGATTCGGGGGCGACATTAATAATTAAAATTTCCCGCAAACCAAAGACGTAGCGCCCTTTAAGAAGAATATTGTTGAGGAAGGTCTGAATTTTAAGACGTTGTTCTGTAAGAAAAATTATGTATTGGTGCGACACAAACTCACTCATCATGAATGGTTTGGCGTTGAAATATTTTTCGATTGTTCTAGTTTCGTCTAAACTTTGGTCGGACAATTTCCCTGTCATCGTCGTGTCTGCAAATGATGGATCACGTTCTGGGAAGAGAGTTAAATAAGCCCAACAATGGTGGGAAGGGATAAGTCTTCTTGCTACAGAAAATCTATTGGAAATGTTCCAATTCAAACTTACGTTAGGGGTCCTAGCATTCTGAATTAGAAGAAGGACAGGTGTCAAGTTTGCGGAAAATATGTCTTGTTTAAGCGTATCTTTCTGGGCGACAATTATTGTTGTACAATTTGTGAATGGTTGCAAAACTGGATCAATTTTAACTTTTTGCACGGATGTATGTGAATTTGAAGTGGAGGGTGAAGATAGTAGGATTAGGAAGAGTAGCATTTCAAGATTATGATAAACGTTAGGCCACCAATGAGTTATGAATTCTTATGCCAGTTTAAACTTTTCACAAGTTTTTTGTCTCCGGAAGGCACATCGACATCACATGTCACAATTTTTATCAACCAAATTGAAGTGAGATTAAAATGGCAAGATTTTAGACAATTTTAAACTAATGCAAACTATGAGTTAAATTTGCCAAACACACTCCCCTTTTTGGTCATCAATCACACTCCCTTTATTGGTCATGTATGTAAAGATTTCAGGAATTATAGGTACAATGTTTTTCCTGAACAATACAAGCACAAAACTACCTAGCTGGGCAAGAAGTCGTAAAACAATTGAGGAGGATATGGATTTAAAAAGGTCAGTGCGATGTGGTGACAGTACGAGTATTCAAGTGTTCACGTACGCGATACATTGATCAAGAGAAATGGAACCTGACATGAATTAAAAATGGTATGTATTGGATAAGTGTCAACTTCAGCAACTCATTTAAGTGAAAACTGTCATTTACATATGGAGTTTTCCAAGTTTAGCATACTTAAAATGTTGCGCCGTTCTCAAGTTATCACGTACTTATTTTTATAGATAAGGAATTGGAAGGATACTCACTACTGTTCTACGCATGGTAATTTAATTTTTAAAGGCAAAAGGGTCAACATTTCCAACTTTCGTGTTCACGACCGGAGGGAAATTTTGTGGTGACGACAGATGCCAAGTTCGAATGTAAGTGTGAGGATATGGTACAGGAAGGATAAGAAGGAGACTATCACATAATTGTCCGACGAACTTACTGCGGTGACCTTGAAATTCGAAATTTTAGGTGGCGTTAAATTCTAATTTGAAACATCTTTAAAATTATGTCAAAAGTTGGCGTCATTTTTTAAATATCATCATTTATAACATTTGGCAGCCCACTGTTGATACTTTGGGGAGTACTTTTAACGGAGGTGGGCGTAACTTCACTTTTTGATACGCTCAGAATAATTGTAAGAACATACAAAATTTGTATTACAAAGTAAATTAAGAATGTTTCCATTTTTTGATTTTTGTATCATCTTGCCCCGTGAAAGGTAGCAGCTAAAGTTTAGCCGGTTTTGCATTCAGCTCGAGTGTGAACATCTGCTGAGCTTGCTGCTGACCAATTGCTTACTGAATTTTATTGCTGTTGCATTAACAATTAAATTAATTAATCGACCTCGAGGGCAATGGAGAGTTTCAAATCTTGTTGTGGCGTTCAGTACGCTTTCCACCATAGAACCTTGTGTTGTTATGGGAAGCAGTTATGCATCATTCCAAGAGGTGGAAAGTACTTTTCGTACCAGAACAGGTGAGAACGAGTAGTTTAATTGTGTGTCTGGACAAGCAAAATACTTTATATTATTAAACTAAAGCTATTTATAATTTAAATGTTGAAATATTTTTCTCACTTGAACCTTTGTTTAATTTTTCAAGGACAAGAAACTATTGACATAAATTGTTATTTGTATTCTAGCTATACATATTGCTACAAATGTTTTAATCAGATTCCTGGTGACACAATTAATCTTGGTGGTGATCCGACAAATACTCAAATGTAAGTATAACTGTAGTTTACAAAATAAAATGCATTCAAAAGAGAATTACTTGTATAGTTTGATCTGATTTGAATTATTTTAATCAGTGTACTCAAGAAGGAAGAATTTGTCGAGATGAAGAATGATTTACTCGAGTTGGAACCGTTTGTTACCTGTCAGTCATGCGGTTGGAAATTACATGAAATATGTGCCATGTACTCGGATTCTATTTGGCCGCAAGGGTGAGTCGTTGTTTTCGAACAATTAGTATTTTGAAAAGACAAAAATGTTCTTGTGAACTGCATTGTAATTGATTTGTGTTATGTGATTGCAGATTTACCTGCGATAATTGTCTGAGAGCGAAAAATATGAAACGTAGAGATAACAAGTTTACGGCCAAACGATTACCAACTACCAAATTAGGAACCTTTATCGAAACAAGAGTGAACAATTTCTTGAAGAAAAAGGAAGCTGAAGCTGGCGAAGTTTGCATAAGAGTGGTTTCCTCGTCGGAAAAGATCGTCGAAGTGAAAGCTGGAATGAAGGGTCGTTTCGTAGAAACTGGAGAACTATGCGGAACGTTTCCATACAAGTCTGTCCAATCTTTCATTTATAATTTTCAAAAGCATCGTTGCACATGACTTTCTCCTACGGATAATGCACCTGTTTTTTTTTAATTACAGAGCCAAGGCATTGTTCGCTTTTGAAGAGATTGATGGAACGGACGTATGCTTCTTTGGAATGCATGTACAAGAATATGGCTCCGAATGTCCAACGCCCAACACGCGCCGAGTGTACATTTCGTATCTCGACTCGATTCACTTTTTTAGGCCTCGCCAATTCCGAACTGCAGTGTATCATCAAATATTACTAGGATATTTAGAATATGTCAAGGAATTGGGCTACACGATGGCTCATATTTGGGCATGTCCTCCATCCGAAGGGGATGACTACATATTTCATTGCCACCCTCCAGAACAGAAGGTACCAAAGGCCAAGCGGTTACAAGAATGGTATAAAAGGATGTTGGACAAGGGAATTATTGAGAGGATTGTGTTTGACTACAAAGTAAGTTGTTCTCTTCAACATCCGGTTTTTGCTGTTATTTTTATTACACATCTGATAAATATTATTTAAATTTACTCAATCAGGACATTTTGAAACAAGCGATAGAGGATAACTTGGCCTCAGCTGCTGAATTACCATACTTTGATGGAGACTTTTGGCCCAACGTTTTAGAAGATTCAATCAAAGAGTTGGACCAAGAGGAAGAAGAAAAACGAAGACAGGCTGAAGCAGCCGAAGCAGCGGCCTCAACGAGTGTGAGCGTAAGTATCGCAACTTGGTTTTACTTATAATAATAATAATAATAATAACATTAATCATCACTAATCGTTTATTGTTTTTATTTTAGGAGGAAGTTGAAGTTACTGTGGATGGCACGAAGAAGGGACAGAAAAAGGGAACAAAGAAGGGAAAAAAGAGGGCTAAAAAGTCAAACAAATCGAAAGCCAATCAGCGTAAGAACAATAAAAAGTCGAATATACCTCTTACTGGGAATGATTTGTCCACCAAAATCTTTACAACGATGGAAAAGCACAAGGATGTATTCTTTGTTATACGACTCCATTCAGCTCAGTCTGCGGCTTCTCTTGGGGTAAGTCATCCATGTTTTAAAGATTTAAAGTTTAAATAGTAGTATAGTATGATAAACGTCTTAACGTTGACGTTTTGGTGCACCGCGTGATGCAATGCACGCAAACTTCGTAAACAACGCGCTTAACTAATAATCTTACTTTTCGTTTCATTATTTTAGCCAATTCAAGATCCGGATCCATTTATCCAGTGTGAATTGATGGATGGTCGCGATGACTTTTTAACCATGGCTCGTGATAAGCACTATGAGTTCTCGTCTCTACGAAGAGCCAAGTATTCAAGCATGTTGATGTTGTACGAGATTCACAACCAAGGACAAGACCGATTCGTGTATTCTTGCGACAACTGCAAGAATAACGTGGAAACGAGGTACGTCAAATGTCTGTTGACCTAATTAAAAAGTTACATATATAATAAACCGTCGCAAACGCGCATACGGAAGTAGCTTCAGACGTACTTCATCCCAAACGGTCCCACCACAACTCGGGAACACTTAATTTCACTCTATTTCATCTATAGATTAATTTTTTATAAAAATCTCATTTTGCCCCAACCACACCCCTGGCGCCTAGGGGGTGTGGCACAACTCCGGAACACATAATTTTACTCTATTTCACCTATAGATTAAATTGCACTAAAAATCTCATTTTGCCCCCACCACACCCGCTGGCGCCGAAGGGGTGCGGCAAAATCGGGGAAACACTCAATTTCACTTAATTTCATTTAATTTCACTCAATTTCACTTAATTTTACCCATAGAATAAATTGCACTAAAAATCTCATTTTGCCCCAACCACACCCCCTGGGGCCGAGGGGGTGTGGCACAATCGGGGAAGCACTTAATTTCACTTAATTTCATTTAATTTCACTCAATTTCACTTAATTTTACCCATAGAATAAATTGCACTAAAAATCTCATTTTGCCCCAACCACACCCCCTGGCGCCGAGGGGGTGTGGCACAACTCCGGAACACATAATTTTACTCTATTTCACCTATAGATTAAATTGCACTAAAAATCTCATTTTGCCCCGACCACACCCCCTGTCGCCAAAGGGGTGTGGTCCGGTTGCCCCCAAAAGTTGATAGGATCCTCCCCCTGGGGTCCTATGTATGATGGCGAAAACCGATTTCGATTATCTCGATCCGTTCTCCTGATATCCTGCTGACAGACAGACGGACAGACAGACAGACAGACAGACAAAGTCTTCACATAAAGTAGCTGAAGCTACTTAATAATTTCTCCTGCATTAGCTTACTCGGATTTTCAATTTTTTTAGATATCACTGTACCGTCTGTGACGATTTTGATCTATGTGTTGGTTGTTACCAGAAGACTGGCCATCCGCACAAGATGGACAAACTTGGTTTGGACCTGGATGAGGGTTCCAGTTCTTCTCCTGGAAACAAAGCTAATCTACACGGATTGGACATTCAACGGTGTGTAGAGAGTCTTGTCCATTCTTGTCAATGTCAAGATGCAGACTGTCGACTGCCATCGTGCCACAAAATGAAGCTAGGTTTTGCTCATACCCAGGTAATTAAATTTTACACAATTTACACTACATATTCAAATATGTACATGTGTGCATGAATTCGAGCAACAAAAATAATAAGCTGTCTCTTTTAGGTCTGTAAGCGTAAGGTTAATGGGGGTTGTACAATCTGCAAACAGCTCATCACACTCTGCTGCCTACATGCTAAGCACTGTGTTGAAACCAAGTGCTTCGTCCACTACTGCGACAATATTAGATATCAGCTGAAACAACAACTACTTCTTCAGCGACTCCAGCAAAATCGACTTTTGCATCGCAGGATGCAAATGATGCAAATGATGGGAGGAGGAGGGTCAGCAGCACCTTCCACACCAACCCGTGGTTTAACCGCACCTCCTCGGCCAGATCCAACTGTACCTCAGGTACATCCTATTTCCATTCATGTTAAAGTTTAACACGAATAGCACAACAAGTTTAACATAAGCACGTTTAACAGTTAAACATGTTTACTAATTATTCTGAATAAAAAATGGTAGATGATGGGTAGCCCTATGACTCCTGGAATGCAATCAATGGGAGGAAGAAAGCCTACAAGCGGAGTGCCTTTGCCTGCTCTACACGTTAGTTAACAAGAAAAATTAACTGCATGTTCGTAATAATCTGTTAGCTAAAATAAAATCCGGCTTTATGCCACATATGTAGTTATTAACTACCTAAGCTTATGACTTGGTAATAAGCTATGAAATTATGCATATTGCATATACGTTGTTTATTTTTTTTAGCTTGTCAGACAAGTCCAAGAGAAAGCAGCTCAACAGCATGCACAAGCCATTGCCCTCACCGGAATTCCAGTCGTGCATCCTACTCAACCCAACCATCCAACGCCTTCTCATCAACAGCTTATAAGGCCTTCAGGCCACCATGTGACAAACGTTGGATTCGGAGGCCCTCAAAGACCGGCCAACGCACCAGCTGGTCTATCGGGAATAGACCAAATGCAAAACCGATATCCTGGAATATCTCCTGCCCGACCCATGAATAATTATACGCACCAACAACATGCCAGCATGTTGATGCACCGACAGCAGAACTTGCCTCAACCTCAACGAGGTAAATCCAATCAAATCTACATATTAGCAAATGGATGCTAATTTATGAACGAATGCAATTAATTTACTCATCGTCATTTTTTAGGTATGAGCATGGCCAATCAGCAAGTCAGACCAGTTAGACCACAGCAAGGAGGTCAAGTTAATCAAGGCGGTTATGGCCAACTGCTGTTAGATAAACTTATCCAAACTTTCCGTTCTGCTTCCACGCCAGAGGAACAACAACACGTTTTACACATAATTAACTCAAACACTCAACTAATGACTGCATTTACACTGTATCGTCAACACCGGCTACAACTACAACAACAACAACTAAAGCAGCAGCAACAACAACAACAGCAAAATGTACGCCAAGGCCAAGCAGGTCAAACAATGAATTCCCCGGTGATGAATCAGCAACAGCAAAATGTACGCCAAGGCCAAGCAGGTCAAACAATGAATTCCCCGGTGATGAATCAGCAACAGCAAAATGTACGCCAAGGCCAAGCAGATCAAACAATGAATTCCCCGGTGATGAATCAGCAACAGCAAAATGTACGCCAAGGCCAAGCAGGTCAAACAATGAATTCCCCGGTGATGAATCAACAACAGCAAAATCTACGGCAAGGCCAAGCAGGTCAATCAATGAATTCCCCGGTGATGAATCAGCAACAGCAAAATGTACGCCAAGGCCAAGCAGGTCAATCAATGAATTCCCCGGTGATGAATCAACAACAGCAAAATCTACGGCAAGGCCAAGCAGGTCAATCAATGAATTCCCCGGTGATGAATCAACAACAGCAAAATGTACGCCAAGGCCAAGCAGGTCAAACAATGAATTCCCTGGTGATGAATCAACAACAGCAACAGTCTCGAGATAATTTAATTCAACACCCGGGTAAGTATGGTCTTCCATGATAAATTTCAGAGCCGGTTGGCTGACTTTACGTTGTATTATTTTGCCTACCATTTTCAAAAAGTAAATGTTCCTTCTCTCTATATAAAGGTAATATGGGGACAAAGAAGGTTGCGATTGGTCATCAACATGGAATGCCACTTCCTCAAATGCAACAACGTCCACAAATGATGGGTAAACCACAACAGCAGCAGCAACAACAAATGTTGATGGGACAACAAAAAGAGCAGCAACGTCCACCTCCGCCACTGCTACCGTTAGGAAACAATAGAGCTCAGTCCCAAGCTACTCAGCAGTTCCTCTACCCACAACCAAACCAACTTGGAACTAATCAGATAGTTGGCAACCCGAATATGGCTCGGATGGCTGGCAGTATGAATCCGAAGATGTCGAATCAAATGAGACCTCAACAGACTACTCTTCGGTCACAATTTCAGATGTCACCAATGGCACAGATTAGGAACTCGAGCGTTCAAATAAGAAATGCATCTCTGCAATCGGAAAGATTTGGTGGAAAACCGAACCCAATTTTCTCTCGAATGGGTCCCCCCACTCTGGTTTCTAGACCGAACACAACTCCTCCAGCAATGTACCCGCTGCCACCCAAAGCCCACCACCAACCTACGTCCCCACTCGCTGTAGGTGGTGGTTCGGGCACTCCCCAATTAGACGTTTTAAATCCACCACATTTGGTACCAAACGATCCTTCTTGCGTAGCTGTGACACCAGAGTGATTCCATGGAGTGTTACTAAATAATCGAATTGGAGGCTGCAGACTTCCCTGCAGATTAAAATTAGTGTAGTAGTTTATAGAGACACATGATAGTCTAGGTATTAGGTATAGACTCTAAACCCTTGTTAATTGTTCATTGTTATTTGTCTTCTAAAATTAGAGTAGTTGTTATTATTCTAACCATGTAATTGATTGGATCAATCTCTCCTAGAAAACCTTCCAAATGTACTACTCGCAAAACCTGTATGTTGGTATATGTATTTTCTTCAGCCGTTTTAAGACCGTTTTGACAATTGTTTATATGCATACCTTTACATCCACTGACTTAATTACATCTATGTGCAGAAAGTAATTAACATTGATTTACTCGATTTCTTCATTGTTTACATTTTTTGCGAGGAACCAAAAATATTTTGATTTGAACTTTGTATGGATAAGTTATTACTGGTAACAGACGTTATTTAATATTAATATTAATAATAAATATAATTTTTTTAAATTTAAACCCTCGACACAACTTTTTCAACTTTATTTCTCGTGTCGAAATTTTAAGATTTGATTTTTAAGATATCTAAAAATATCTATTGTGCCAACCATGTAAAAATGACACCCCCATCTTCGAACTCGTCGTCCCTATAAAAATTTGAAACACGTTGCAAAAAACTGCGCATCTCCAAATTTGCATCCGTTCCTGTCCATGATTTATCTGACCAACGGGGAAGGACGTGCGAAAAATGTGCTATTGAGATTTATGCAAATGAGGTGCAAAGCCTAAGTACGGGGATAGAATGTACATACATTGCAATTTCTTATACTTATTTTTTGAAGAATACTGACGATAATCACAATACTAAATCTATGATCCCTCATAATGTGCAGTGTGCACTTCGTCGTTAGCGTCTAATTTTGTACATAGTCTCAACTTAAAAAGTGATAGTAGAGTAGACGACTATATTAGGTTAGTTTTAAGGAATTTCAAATTTATTCTTATTCCATTGAAAAGCCAGTTAAATTTCGAGTAGAAAACATGTATCAAACTTGAAAATACATTCCTTCTGTGACCATGAAAAATTGGTCACGAAAAAGAAAGCTCCATCAAAAATACGCACGAAATTAATTGACAAACTGTGTCATTCCCGGGTCAGAAATTTTTTTGTGACCCTGACGCATATATGGGGCTCAGAACAGACCTTTTCCTCAATTTTAATCAGTATTTGGTGGTGAAGTTGTCTGCGGTTCGAAAATTCCAACGTTAAACCTAAAGTGCAAATGAAGTCAGAAATGTGGATTTTAATCCAGTTTTTCACGAATTTCGCTGTAAATGCTACTGTGGACGCCTTCACAAAGGTCGGTGGCTTTTCACCCGATATGGAATAGTTGAGGGGTTGTTCCAGTTTCATCAGGACGTTTATCAAATATTTTTTTAAACTATTTTCTCACCTTAATCAAGGAAATTGGGCTGTTTTTGCTCAATTCCGCCGATTCCCGCCAAAACCATGAATGGAGCCTGATAAGATAACATTTTGACCTTTATTTTATAATCAGCTAACCCTTAGATTATTTGACATAAAACGTGTTAGTTTTTTTGTCGAAATATGTTCCTGTCGTAAAGAAATTATCATCGGTAAACGGGTTAGTTTTTCTGGTTTTTTCACCGTACCGTTTGGGTAGAGAGGTCGATTTTTTTACCATTGCTTAGGCTTGGGAAATTGTTTCCTGCCAACTTATTATGAAATTTGGAAAAATAATTATTTGGTGAATTTTGGAAAAAAACAATTCTGGTGTCCTATATTTCTGAAACATTAATAATATTATAGCATTATTATCCCACAGCGGTTCTCACCCAGTGCCGAATTTCATTCAAATCAGCATTATAACGGGGACATCAAAACTTGATGTCATGTTAAACATAGAATGCATAAAATACATAAAAATGTAAATATCTAATAGCTAAATATTAAAATTTATTTATGCAATTCCAGCAAATTGTAAATTAGAAGCTTGATTTGAAGGATTGATGGTCAAAAGTTGAACACATTTATCAATGAAAGAAATCCTGGTTAATTACTAAACTGATTATGATATTCTTGTTTGAGCTTCTCTGGAAATTATTTTCTTTATTATTGAGCAAATTTGTGTAATAAATATATTACAAAGTTGGAGGGCGGCCCCCCGACTTTGTAAAATACGTATACGGCCCCGACCCTCCAAGGGCCGGGGGCCGATACGTGGAAGGTACCCTGCGTACCCCTATTTCCGCCAGTGTTTATGGGCTTACACCACGTTCATATGAAGACGTATGTATATTACAATTAGATCGATCCAAGGAAATTATGTAGCATGCCAACCAGAATCATGAAATTTCCTATATATTCCGCTGTAACGATTATTTATTCATAATTATCTGTTAATGAGTTGCCATAAATCCCATTATTATTTGTATGTACATAGCATCATAACATAATGCCGCATTCCATAATGTGTAAAATATTACATAGTTTTTCACGAATCCGCAGTTAGATACATATATGTATATGTAGAATATACATACATATGTGCACACTGTATAAGTTTTTTGAAATTGTATTACTTTAGAATAATCCGCATTATATATTCTATATACTGATATTCACGGAACCCCCGTTGATGAGACCTAATATATCATTAGCATTATGGCTTTTCTAACTTATCGGAAGTTGACGACAATAAATTAAATGCAGCCTTGAAATTTAAACTATCTAGCTGCAATAAAACTTCTTCAAGTTTCTCAAAAATATTTACAGTCCTCCATATCAAATCACTAATCACAAAAACAAACATAATTATGAATACATTTCTACCATATTTGTCAATTATATTTTTCACACCAAAGCTCTCCACATCTTTTGCATCTTGTGGTCCACACTTATCCAATTTCAGTCTGTTTGGCTTTACAAAGTGCACAATCCACTTTGACATTTTTCAATCGAAGAAAGATCCTGCCAATCACTGGCTATCTTTTGTAGAAATTTTAATCCATGCCAATTTTGTTTGCAAGACTTCTAACGATTATCCGTCACGTTGGACCATTTCAACTGGACAGATTAGTAAACTTTATAATAAAATCGAGAAAGTTAATTTCGACGGCCAATGTACAGCCGTGTTTCTGCTCAGTTATGCCGATTTGGATCCCACATTCGCTGATGAATTCTACTTAAATTTTCGACAAAGTAACATCAACTCTTTTAAATCTAATTCTGCTTATGTAGTCGTAGGCGAAACAACGAGACGGATGGACTGGTCCAGTTTATCGTTTTACTTCCAATCTCGTCTATTCTTTTGGAACGTCGGTTTAGCCTCGTCACAAAAACAAGGGTCGCTTCAGTTAACAAAAAATCGAAAGTATCTCAAGTGCGAATTTTGCCAACATGATTGGATTTCCACGACTGATTATCGCATGCGACCCAAAGACTTGGAGCAATTTCACGACCTGCAGAATAAAATTGTTTGGGTACAAGACGCCAGCCTCCTTGCAGTTGGGACGGATACGCTGTCATGTCCCCGGAGCCTTTGGATGTTGACCAGTCCAAACCCAAATAGTGGATCAGTTACAAAATTTATGGAGAATACCTGCATTCCAGAAGTCATCATATTTCAAGAAGTTGCCCTACATCGCAATATCTCGTCTACTCTGAGGTATCAAACCCTGACTCATCCAAGATTAGGAAAACGTGATCTTGCTCAGTTAGCTGGTGTTGTGGGTTTCAAAGGAGGTGCTGGCAGCATTCCACCCGACCCAAAAATGTACAATGGAATGCAAGCGATTACACTATTTTATTGTAAAGATGGACACGCTTTTAAAATCGGTGGTAACTTTATTTCCAATATTTTGGTATGGCTGGAGTCATTCGACTTTTGGACATGGATTGGATTTCTGTTCGTAATGGTGACCTGCGGACTTTCAACAGTATTCAAAATGTCCGGACTCAAATTCAAAATTTGTGCATTTATTAAAAGTCAAGTACGATTTTTGAGAGAGTGTGTTCGACAACCGGACCCATATTTGGATGCGACAATGATTTCCTTTTGGCTCGTTTTTATTCTAATATTTTACGAAAATGCCATCACGTGTAAACTCTTGGCGCCAAATGAGCCAAGCAAATTTGAAAGTGAACTTTCCATGTTTCAAGAAGGATACACAGTTCTACATTTGAATCGTGTTCCTCACATCTCGTTAGCGGATAAAGAAATTACTTACGACATTCCGTTATTATTTCTCAAAATAATGCTGAATCTGAGACGGATTCGAGATTCGGAGTTCACTGCGGAATCTCTGCTCAATGGTAGCGTCGTTGTGGGCGAAGACGGCATTTATGACAAGTTGAAAGATTTGGTAGATTTAAAGCAAAGTGTGATGGAAGATGGGACGGATTACTATTTTACGATTGTAAGCATGCTTTCCCCGCATAGGAGATGTCATTCCTTTGAGAGTTTTGGAGAAAATGCCATGTTCAGCAGTTATTTTCTCCAAGATCAAGAATCTTTTGGTCGACTTAAAAGAGGATTGTAAGAGAGTGGCGTTAAGAGATTTTGGGATGGTATGCTAAAATATAAGAGAGATATCTTTGTGCATGATTATTCCATAAATTATGTGAAACACGAGGAAAACGAATATGTCAAGATGGTCCACCTCGTCGGGTTATTAGTATTGTGTGGATTCTTGTATGGCATAGGGATTGTAATATCTCTTTATGAAAGGAAAAAATCAGGAAAAGTTGCACTCTATAAATTCCTAGATTTGATAGTAAATTGTACAAAATCATAGCTTCGTTGAGCCGGCTTATGCGCATGGTAACTTAACTTTGTAATAAATGCCTCCATAACTGAAGTAGAAAATTTCCTATGTCCATCAGTAAGATCATAACGCATTGTGAATTAAATAAAAATTCAACTTAAACCAGTGACGTTTTAACCTCATGAGTAAGTAATTATCACGGTATCAGTTTCACCATCAAATTAATAATTACTGTAATCAGTCTTTAATGTAAGGTATACATTGCTGTACGTACGAGTGCACACCTTAATTTCACCTGTCCAATGGAATACATGATAAGAAAATTATCAGTACAAATGGCACAATTGTTAACTATCGCTATGTAGATAACTGACACATCATTAAACCTGATTCTGATTCAGCTGAAGTTTGTTGCTGTTCTGTCATAAATTTTTACACCATAATTCGTGTAATGGGTTGTCGTAGAAATTGTTGCACATGTTGCATTATATTTTTATTGCCACCGATTTCCGTTCTTCTGTTCACCGACGCTGAGAAAGTCATACCGCCCAGTGAATATCTCAATGGGGAAGAGTTAAAGAAGAAGCGGAGTTCGGCGATATGCTTATTAACCTCAGTAAATCTACTTCTCACGTTATTGTTCTATCTTCCCGGACTTATCCATGCAATTTGCATCTATCGCAAATACGGAAAGAATGATGACGCAGATGATACATCTTCAACTGTACATAACTTTCTGTTTTTTCACTTGCCACTTTAATTATTGCATTTATTTATTGCAAATTTTACGTGTTAATTTCAGGGAAGTTGCGGAAGTTGTGGGAGCTGTGGGAGCTGTGGAAGTTGTGGGAGTTGCGGAAGCTGCGGAAGTTGTGGGAGCTGTGGGTGTTGACAATTGCATTCATTGCATTATTTTTTCATAAGCAAATAAGAATGTACATACATATTGATTTTTATTTTCCTAATGTTCATTATTATTATTATTTATTAAACAAGCTTGCTTCTTTACGAAGCTCGTTATGCCTGACAAAAATGGATTAATTCACAGAACATAAGTTTGTTGTATAAAGGTAAAATAATCAAATAAAGTGGATAATATAATGAGTTTGAATAATATTTACCGAAGTCCGGCAGCAGTTAAATACAATAAATTATGTATTCACCAAACTTATGTATTTACTTACTTAACAAGTAGATACATACATATATCTACGCAGCATTCAGCGTTTCAATAAATGCATGTAAATACATACATTTCTTCAAGTGGGGGCCTGTCACAGGACGCCAGTTGCACATATAGTTTTATTTACTAAATTAATTATGAGACACAACAATTTTATTAAAAATAGTACGTGTACTCATGACATTAAAAATTGTCACTAATTTATCTCTTTCACATAATATTTTTTCGATATTTACAACAAAAGCAGCAAACTGACCATCTCCGTTATACAAAATTGCTGTATTACAAGAGGTGTAAGTCGATCGACAAAATTAGAGGCACACCAAACCCTTAAAGGTGCCATTGCGTGCAGCATTTTCCTCTCAATCTTGCCACTCCTCCCATTTCTCACCGTTGTTTTTACCTCACTTAACCAACCCACACTTTTCGAATAGAGTAAACCCGATCCGCTAAAAGAGACCAAAATTTATTGTCGTAATAATTATGTAAATATGCACATATTTATTTGAAAAATCCATAAAACTTACGTAAACCAAATTAAGTTGAACAACGTGGCATCGAGTAAGATAAAAGTCACAAACGCCAAGAAATACACGTTCATTTCTGCATGATGCTTAATGTCTAGAAACCCCGCTATAATTTGGACCAGAACACTGGCCAATGCAAAAATGGGAAATAGCTTATTTCTCACACAATCATTCAATAGAGATCCCATCACCTGCAAATCCCTGTACTCTGAAGTAAACATTTTTCTCTTAAAAATTTCCGAAGCTTCCTCCAAAACCCAAATGATTCCCGAGATTAAGATGAACATGGCGTAGAATAAAGAAAACACGACCATATTCAGCATGACGAAAGCTTCCCAGGTGGCGAGGACTATTCGCGTGCCAAATGTGACTACCGCTTGCCAAATTGTGACGAAACTCTTTTCTTCTTGATGGCACATATTACTTGGCAAGACGACCGAACCAAGAAATGGTACTTGGCAGGGACGAATTATTACTAGGATTCCAATAATGCTCGGCATAAGAATTTGCATTGAATCGATAAGCCTATAAATTAAGCTCAGTATTCGATAGATAATTTGCGGCCAACTAGATCGTCCCTCTGTAAAATATTTAGTACCCAAGTTTATTGGGTTAATCTATCCATTTATTTATGTAGTAATTAGTAATTACTAATTACCATCTTGACCCTGATGACAGATTCTCCTCAAGAGTTGGACCAACTCTGGACTTGCTCTCCACTCGAGTCGACAAACGAACAGGGTGATGTATGGAAACAGGAGCATAGATGATTGAAAAATTGTTCTAACATTGGTCGCAAATTTGAATAAAGACCAAAACTGGAGGACAATAATTCCGAAATGAATTCCTGTATTAAACCAGACCAGCTTCTGCTTTTTAGAATTTTTCCATGACGCCGTCTCCTTTTTGAAGATGGACTCCCACGTGTAGTTCAGACAGCAAAGGAATTCACCAGTGCGTAAGCAACGTTTCAAATTTGGGATGACTATTTGGCGTAGCATTTTTTATAAAGCAAATGAACTGATGATACGGAATTCAGTGCAGCTATACACTTCTACCAAACAAAGTGGTTCGAAACGAGCAATTCATTAAAGTGACAAACTGTATGCTTATCGTTAAATTCAGCAAAACTTGAAATCAATATGCAAATATATTGATTGACCCATTCTGTTTTTCTCGCGTGTGTGCGATCGACCAATGGAATTCTTTAAAATCAACAGAAACTAACTGACAGACAAACAATAGTCTTATTAAGTTTGTTTAATTTGTTTCATAAACTTGAGGCTTACCAACAACAACTTGGCAGAATTATATGGAAATTCAGAATTAATTGTTGTATAACAATATTCAGCTTATGTAGCAATATAGAAAATATTATCTGCTTGTAAAGTTGACAATAATAATATTAGATAATTATTTACATTAATTTTAGTCCAGTAAAGATATCCAAATTGGATAAATAATTCGCCCCAGTGACCGAGCCGTACTTTAAGTGTTTGACCCACGAATTTGATAAACTGTTGTATTTATAGATGATCCACATGAAGTCCCTCAAATAAAACTTTGTTCAACTGTTGAAATGCTGAAATGTTTGGGACAGTTTATAAGTATTTAATCATGGACAACGTGCCTATACATGAGAATATGTGGCACGCCAGACTAAATGCATGCAATAAATGTTAATCTTAAATTTAAATGTTTCATAATGATCGAAAGTAGACGGAGTTGGGGACAAGATTTGGTTACACATCTTAAATTCTTGATCAGTCCAGTCCCAAAAATCATCTTCCTTGTACAAATACATAACCTAAAGGCCTACATCGTGATAACAATTTTTTGGGCATTGCTAAATTATTAATACGTTCAAAACATGCTCAACGACTTGCCAAACACTTGGTGTTCACAATGTACACACTTTATTTATGAAACCCAATAACTTGATACACATTGATACATATTTATTGTAAGCATAGTTTCCTTATTTTACACAATTCAGTAATTTTGCCCGCATTTACATATGTATGAAAGCCATGCATTCTTACATGAATATATACATATTTACCTTGAAATATTTAGCCCCCATGCGTGATGCTGTTTAATTGAACCTATGATTCTGGTTAAATTAGTTGAATTGAACGAGTTAACGACATGCATATGCATACACATGTGCTGATATGATACAATGTATGATATATGTAAATATGTATATATGTGCATATATTAAACTAGAAGAGTTGGTCAACTACAAACATACATATGCATATTATTTACTACAAGGTTAATAGCGTGCTTTAGTCTTATCAACAAATTAACTACATTAATTGTTTGCAATACATAAATCTCGTTAGTGCTACATCTCTGTAAAAATCATAAAATTAGCGCTCGTCAAAAACCGGTTCTCTCGTCACTGATATCATAAATATTTCAACAGTGACCACGACTTTGCTCATCTTCGCTCCGCAACAGGCAATCGGTTTGCATAATATCTGCATGTTTGTTTTTACAATCCATACTCCAAATATTACGTAATGATGAGTCCAGATCCAAAATTAGAGTTTAGTTCGACCCTGGCCAGCCTCCAAAGCTAAACAAAAATGAAACTTTGCATCTCATTTTCGGTGATATTACTTATTTCTGTGTGCAATCCAGCAAATGCAGGTAAATGCTGCCCCCAAAAATAAATAATTAAATACACATTCAGTGAGACAACTCACGCCTACCTTCGTAATATCGTTTCATAAAATAAAATCTGTAAAACTGAAATTGTTACAAGCTTTTACAAAGATTATCTGCGAAGGTTAATTAGCCTTAAAAATCATTTCTATGCATAATAATCTGCAAATCAAAAATGTCGTTATTTTGCGAAAATTTTCGCAATAATTTTGCAAGACTTCCTGTTTACTTTGTCCTTTAGCAAATAGCCTCAATACATATTTTGTAAAATAAGATTCAATTACACAGGATCTCGCCCAGTTTCAAGGAAGGATTCGCCAGCAGGTTTTATTCTTCACTCCGAAACCGAACCTGAATTCATATGGGGTTTAATTCCCAATCCGAATTACAAGGCACCCTCTGGAAGAACTGGAAGATTTCTGGATACTTCGTCCTCAGTTGGCAAGCAGGATCTCGTCAAGCAAAATAACAATTCTGACGATGACCTGGTAAAAGAGAATGACGACGGAAAAGGAAGTCTACACAAGGCAACCAAATACAATGCACGCTATCCACTCACACCACCTTCGCTAAGATTCAAATTCGGCGTGATAGCTGATCTGGATAAGAAATCACTGTCCGGAGGTGGTCAGGAATTCAAAGCTTATTTGAAAGAGGGGTTCATCAAGGTGGCACAGAATCTGGAAAAACCTGAAGAATCTGAAGTAAGAAAAAGTTAAAGTTTAAAATAAATTTATCTTTAAATGATTTCGAATTTTGTAGAGAACGATTTTTTGAAACGCCAGGAAGTCATTCAGCACAATCATTTTGTCGAATTTTAAATATTTGAATATTTTAAAGCCTTTAAATTTGACTCCCAATTTTTTTATTGGTTAGACGGCGTGATTTATATTTCTAACATGTCTATGAGTCTTCCTATTTCTGGCGTAAGTAAATTATAATTCTTACTATCATTTCTAATTTCTAGATTGACGTCGAATGGAAACCCGAATCCGAAATACAAATTATAAAAACCGGTTTCAACTATGGAGGCCGAGGTCTCGAACTGTCCACTTTGAACGTTTTCAATGGAAAGATATACTCTTGCGGAGATAAGACAGGAATCGTCTTCGAACTTTTGGTCAACGACACATCCATTGATGTCACTCCTGTACCCTGGGCAATTCTCGCCGATGGTAACTCCTCTTCCGGGAAAGGATTCAAATGCGAGTGGGCCACCGTGAAGGACGAATCTCTTTGGATTGGTGGACACGGGACCAGTGGAGGTCACAAGTATCTCAAAATCGTGTCCCCGTCCGGCCAAGTGGAACATGTCGACTGGACTCAAAATTATGCAAAGTTGGCCGCAGCGGTTAAAATTAGTTCGCCAGGATACCTCACCAATGAGGCGGCTGCATGGAGTGAGACGCTGAAAAAATGGGTTTTCGCGCCAAGAAAGATTAGCAAGGAGGCTTTCAAGGAGGAGACGGATGAGAGATCTGGGTCAAACACGGTGCTAATTGCGGATGAGGATTTTAATGAGATTCAAATGATTAAAGTGGGCGAATTGATACCGACGCATGGATTCTCCAGTATTAAATTCATTCCTGGAACGGAGGACAAGATCATGGTGGGAATAAAATCTGTGGAGGCGGAAAATGAAACGGAGAGCTATATTATGGCGTTTGATCTGAAGGGGAACGTGTTGCTTAATGAGACCTTGTTCGCAAGTGATAAATACGAAGGGGTGGAGTTCTTTTAATTTGATCTTGTTTTATTTGAAAATCGTTGATTCTGGTTTTGAATTGATTCAATTATGTCAATGATATGCTGCATATACTAAGCTAGTAAGTAAATCATTATGAAATCTCTTTGATTAAGTTTAAAATTGATGTACAAGCCAGAAAATGTGTTTAAGTTTGCATTCCAAAATTTTATGAAAATTATACGACTGCAAGTAATAACAATAAATATATTGAATCATGGCTTATAATTGTGTTATGTTTATCAAGATAATTCCAAAAGATCAACATAATATTAAATCAACCATTATTTACATGCATAATTTTTTTCCAAGCCAAAAATTTGAAAGTCACAATTCGCAATTCAGTAATTTGAATTACTTGCACATAGACTAGTGGAAGGTGAGGGTGGGCCACAAGAACAGTTTCGTGTTGTTTCACCCCTTTGATAAGTTTCGTCTGTAATACATATTTTTATACAGGAATGATATTTATTTATCTATGTATGTACATGTAAATACATAAGTATATACGTTCACTTTCTATTCCACAAATTCACTACACCGGAAATGATATTTTTCATGAGACAATATTTTTAGGATCTCGCACTGAGGATTAGTACAGTACATTTACTTATCGTATTTATCTATCATCTTTTAGCTATACTTAAGGGAGCGTCCATAAATCACGTGATCGATTAGAGGGGGGGAGGGGGTCTGAAATTTGTCACCAATTATCACGGGGGGGGGGGGGGGGGGTAGATGGTCAGATGTCACGTGACATGAGTAAAGTTTTTTTTTAAATCTTGAATATGCCAATAAATATCATGAGAGTTATATATAAACTCTCTTGGCATACCACGCGCACGTTATATAAATTTGATTTTCATTTTGCATATTTAGAAACTTGCCTCGACTTAAATTCTTATGTCTGACTGGCGTATTAAATAGTTATTTACACATGTGTGTAATGTAGCTGTAATTTGATTCATGATTTAAAAAATATTGTTATTCCGGACAACATGATTTAATTTGAGCATCATCTCCTGTCACGTGACCGGTGGGGGGGGGGGTAGCGAAATTATCACCACCGGTCACCAAGGGGGGGGAGGGGCTCAAAATTGTCCAAAAATCGATCACGTGATTTATGGACGCTCCCTAATAATGCCTATATTTACATACATACAACTCTACACTTGTTGATATTTTGGTACATATTTACTTTCATACGTATGTATATTGTAAAACCACGTATGTATCTATTTACACTCCAATTATTGCAGAGAATATGTATGCACTATGCATAAAGCTATTGAGATCCGATTTTCAAGTAAAAATAGCCGTTTACTTACTAAATGGCAAGAATGAATGGTCAATCGACAAACAATTGTCGTTAGAATATAGATCGTACTTAAAACCGTGTTTAAATATTTATCGGATGTTATTCCTCTTCCGTATTTGTAATTACTTACTCACGTATACAATAATGCACATACATACATGTTTATTTATATTGATGTACGGAAACTCCACGGAGGATTGAATTGAATGAACAAGATAACAGGCGATGGGCTGTGCAAATGTGCTACTAGATATGTAGGTTTGACAATACAGTTTCCGCAGTGATAAGGCCTACATAAAACTGTTCTCCTCCACGATTAATAATTACATAAGGCCCAATCCGACTAAATGAACTACTTTTTACAAAATTAATACTTTTGAACTAGAATAGTAGTAATTCATACATATTTTCCAACTAAATATGGAAGATCTTAAAATATCTATTAAACTACTTCTCATTTCACTCATTGTGTATTCTTCTATACTCCTCATTCAGGAATTGAGGATCAAAGGTTAGCACAATTTCTTGCTAGTCACACGAGCTTAATAATAAAAATTTATGAAAAGAAATTTTTATTATTAATATTTTTATTAATATTGTTCAAATTAGTCTCTGCAATCTCGTGTGGCACGACAAATTGTTCCGATGACGGAGCTGTTGGACTCAAAACAGAACTGGTCACTCTCTCACATTTCGAGCCATGGGGGCTGACACGTTTCCAGAGTATGAAACCTACACTTCCTGTAATTTCGCAACAAAATCCCTCAACAAAGCTTACACTTTCTGGCGCCTGCATATTTGTGAATCAGACGACGTGCTCGACTGAAATTCGCCTGGGTCGCTCGCCACATTTGACGTATGACAGAATCCTGGAGCATTTAAGAAACTGGGGCCACATTCCGGTTTCCGAAAATGCCACTGGAGACAGTACGATTTCTGGTAATAATTATAATTCTGGGTGGGGAAAACTTGACGCTTATGTAACGCTACTGGACATGATTGAAAGTAGTATATCAACAAATTATTAGCCAATAAGCTTTTACATACTCGAAAACTCATTTTTACTACCAAAATTGTTTTAATAAATATGTGAATACTTATGAATCTGTTTATATCTATGTATGCATAAAATGGAAAGCTAAAGAAGTTCAATATTTTAAGTATCACTACATATTTCTAATATTTTGTTGTATCCTCCCATTTCAACATAATGACATTATTTTAGGATTTTCTTATTTACTGTCTGTAAAACACTGGGTCTATAACTTTCGTCATCGCATGATATCTCGCAATGGGTTTATGTGAATTTTAGAAATCAATTGTCATCGACTCGTTTATCTTGAACACATTTGCAAGTAGGTAATTTCCTATTTATTTCTGTGTATTGAATTCTGCTCTATGTCCAATTTAGTTTACACTGTACTTTTTACATATTTATATCCAGTCAACAGTCCCGTCGAAAATATGCAAATATTTTTACGCAAATACATATTACCCTCGGCATATATTTATTTTATTACCTACAGTTGACAGTCTCAGTTTTCAACGAAATCGGTTTACTTTATATTATATTTCCCACAATACATTTATAAATATATTAGCGTATTGAAATCGGATTAATAAAATAATTTCTTGGATCCCACTCCCTTTTTGCGCAACGCAACCTTTCCAAATTCCTCCCATAAAATCTTTGCAAGTAATCGGTAACCTCTAAATCTGGATAATTCTGATAGCTTTCTCCGCTATCGAAGCATTTCATTGCGTTGTAAAATTCCCTGAGCCAATCCACGGCTTCGACCATGTCACCTTCGGTTTCGGGGGCTTCTGCGTGTACGATAAAATCGAGCCTGAAGTCAAAAATTAAATTACGACAATTAATAACTCCGATCGATCCTGGTTGTAAATTGAAATCAAGCGGTAATATTTTTCAATTTGTGAAATTCAAATGTTTTCACGGTCTGTCGGAGACAAATATTTAAAGTACATAGATTACCAAATTATAAGTAATTGGAAAGTTTTCACCAATTTTTTACCGGAAAATACGAAAATAAACCAAATCAAACCTGGAATCTCGATGCACGTAGGCCATCTCAGTCGGCGAAATTGAGTGAATGGCCCCCATCTCTGAGTTGATCAATACCCAGTTTTTATTCAGCGGGATTTTGACCACGATTCGGCCCAATCTTGCAATCTCGTTCTGAGTAAGCCTTCTCTTGACAAAGTGTGATTTCGCATAAAAGTACCGGGGCATTGCCTGCTCCTTCTTGAGGGAAGCCAACCTTTGAATTATTCTCGTTTCCCGATCCGAAACCTGCCCAGGTTTGATGCCAAATTCGTCCGTATCATCCAAGACGGGGTGATCCAGATTTCCAATTTTCACTTCTTCAGTCTCACTTCGACCACGTCGTGTGACATTCACTCGAATTGGTGCGTACCCAGTCTGCACGACTAATTCCAGATAAGACACACTGCTCACATTTTTTGACCCTCCGCTTGGGAAGAAACTGTTCACACGGGTGCGAAACCGGGCACTTCTGTCTTCCGAAGACGTAGCCGGGTCGTAAATGTAAACGGAATGGATTACGACGCCAGTTTCAGGAATAGGAGGGTATTGCGAGGTGTAGTTATCTAATTACGAAAAATGAAATTTTTCAGACAATAACTAAAAAAATGAAATTTTCTTAAATTTTATGTACCATGCGAAATATAAATCCCTGACATCACCAATGGCTCGTTCCTCTCCGTCCAGTCCATCCATTTCTGAAATGCTGTGTACACTTTGACAAACTCTTGTCCCGTATAGTTGGCCTTAAACCAGGAAATTTTTAAATTTTCTGCATTAAACGTTTTCAATTTGAAACCCGTCGCAATTCCGATGTAGCCCGGCCCTGAGCCACGCATGGCCCAAAATAAGTCTCGATTTTGCTCGTTCGAAGCGACAAAGACGGATCCATTGGCCGCAACTATTTCAACTTCCAGCAAACTATCGATCGTTAGTCCGTACGGGGCGGAAAAGTAGCCCGCTCCGCCACCAATAGCATGCCCACCTATGCCAACCGTTTGGCAGTTTCCCATGGGAACAGCAACCTTGCCCAGAGTCCATAATTTCGCATTAATCGGACCCACGAGAGCGCCTGGTTGCACTTTGGCGACAGATTTTCCAATCAGCTCGACTTTCTGCATGTTTCTGAAGTCCACAATCACGGTATGATTAGTGCCCCAAGAGATGGCCTCGTACGAGTGGCCACCACTGTTCGGGATGAGATGGAGGCTGGCTCTAACGCCACATTTTACGGCTATTTGAACGTCGCGGGTACAATTAGGGAGGAAATACGCGACCGGGTAAACCTTCTCTTTTCGGGTGTTCCATTGAAGATTGTAAAAATTGTAGAGATCACTGTCTGAGTTGGAAGTGACCAGCTGGGCGGTTTGTTTGCGACATTTTACACAGTTTTGAAAAGCTTTTAATTTTTCCTGGATGTCAGCGTCATCAGGGATAGGAACTGAAATGAAGTAAAGTTTACAATTTTACTTTTATTCAATTTTTTTAATGGGAGAAACTCACCAACATTTCCGTTTGCAATAGCAAAAATGGCGACCAATACGAGGTGAAATTTTTGCATTTTGAGTATATTTTAAAATGAATAATTCTAATGCTGGGCATCTTCTTTTTATATGGGTTTATTTATCGAGGGCAACCTTCATTTATTGGGGTGAACGGCCAAAATTAGGCAATTAAGTAATACATACATACGTAGAAGTGATTGGGTTTAAAGAATAAATCTATGTAACCATTTGTTCAGCAGTTTTAAACTAATAAATAGTTTCTGGCTTCTTGTGGATTTTTCCTAGAATTGGTCCAGCTGCAGTTAATTTTAAGCGTGCAATAATTAGCAAAGTATGATTAATTGTTGCATGATATGTAAGAGTAAGCTACGGTGACATAAATTAATGTGCACATTAATTATTTATGTGTGTATGTTACGTTATGGAAAAGTTATGCTTAAAAATCTCTAAAAATTTATGTAATGTGAAGCATGTTTAAATACTTGTGTACATAACTCCTTGTGGTCAGAATTAAGTATGCATTTAATATGAATTATGTATGTACTTTGTGGTATACATATACTTAATTCCAAAATGATTTGTACATATAAATTGACAAGTACTTAGAAAGAGTTTCGTACACAACTCATTCTCTTAATTAATTCCCAGTAAGCTGATACATACATATGTGCACAATTGCTTATCATATAATATATATATTCTCACACGTGTATGTACATATGTACATACGTGTTATGTACAAGTAGACAGGCATAGATCTACCTATGAAAATACTTTATTCTCGCATGTAAATTGTATAGGCATACACAAATTGGGCAGGATCCAACTCAAATTCAAAATTTTATTGCTTAATTTGTTAGAAATTGATTGCATAAATATTTCCTTTAACTCGCACCGTCTTCGCTAACCCCTCTTATCAACATTCTTAAAATTATCATGTTTAAAATTATCGTCGCCTCTATCGATGCTAACGTCCAGGCGACAGGGCTGCGCCATTTAGCGTTTTCTATTCTTGTATCTAGAACAGCAGCGGCAATTGTTATGCCTAAATTTCCACCATAAATTAATATTGCGAGCATTCCACAACACGAGAAAAGTTTGAACTTTCGTGGCTGAGTGGAAAAGAATTTGCAATTAGAAATTACAAGGTTAAGTTGAATAAAAATATTTTTGAAATTATAAGTGATTACTGTTTTAGATGCAGTTTCCAATCTGTGCATGTACAAGGAGAAAGAACCGTGTATCAACTTCAGGATGGCAAAAATAATTATGAACGACCCCGAAAGAAAGTAAAGCGTATGCTCTGTGAAAATAGAGAAAAATGCAATTAAGAACTTGGTGAAATTTGTGGCATAATAATTACCATGGTATACTTACCAAGCCCGGCGATATCACTCCGTTCATCAGCAGGTATTTTATCATCGATGTTCTTTTCCTTGAATCCCATCCCCACGTAATATGCGCCGCATATTAGTTTAAAAACGCTGGCAACCTGTAATGCATAAATTAATGTTTTCATTATATTACAAAAATATGTAGATATATAATACACTTACAATGTCCGCAATAAAGATGATTTTCAGTCCTAAAAATATTGCTCTGTGATGAGCGACCATTGCCAAAAATTATGACACACTTTAATTTTTTACCGTAAACTAGGAAATAAATATAGGATATTGAATGAAACTTTGATGAAAGTAACGAATTTCGGGTAATTAAGTAGAGTGTTAGACATGATCTGTTTGTCTGCTGTACATGCATAGCCACACGTATCTAATACTTGTCAAGCATGTATCAACTTTTATTCAGATGCATACACACCTTTTCGCGATTAGTGTAATCAGCGAGATGCATACATACATATCTAGGTTTGTATATTGCAAACATGTTACATGCCAAATGCATTTGACACGTGTCTGCTTTCTAGATTAGTCTGAATGAATCAGAGTCCAACAATCCCCGATTTCGCAGTTGAGGGCGTACATATGTACGTAATTCCTGGGTGTGTGTCATAACACGACCCAGAGTTTCAAAGGTTAATCAAATTTATCACAGTAAATGACATAAATATACAGTCAAATTTATCAAGATTTCCTGTTAGTCATACGTGACACATATAGTTCTGACGTTGTTTACGCTGACGATGATTACTTGACTACAATAATTTCCAAGACATAGCATAATATGCTGTCGAGTATTTCACTATGCCCTTTATTACCAACATGTTTAAATATATTTGTGCAATACATTCCGAGCAAAATTTGATAAATTTGTAAATGAATTATTTAAACCAGAAATATGATGGGTAATATTTAGGTAAATATTCTCAGGACTTGATAACCAAATTGATTTATTTTTGATCTAATCAGGATCCAATTAATCTTTTAATTTATGAAATTATGTAAACCAGGGAAATATGTTGACATTATGGATAATATAAATGTTAACAAAAAATCTATGTATGAAAAAATAAAGCTTCAAGATTTTGCAATTATGTAATTGGAGTCTTTTGAACTTGTACATATTGTGAGTCACAATACGTACAAGTTCAAAGTTTTTCAAATGAAATCGTTGTCACAATTTGTGACAACGATTTCATAAAGTTGAGCACATACATACGAATGTAGGTAAATATGAATTAACAAGTTTTGTTATCACGGGACATAAAACTTGCGTGTGTACGTACATGTCTCTCGGCAAACAAAAGGTACATACCTAAATGAGAAAGCGAGTTTAGTGTTTGTACATAGTATTTCTCCCTGAATCTCAAATTACAACTTATCTTCTTTGGTTACTAGATACTCATGTATTTCCAAATCTATAAACATGATGATTCACCATACAAGAATACATTGATTACACGTGGTTGCACCCGTCTTAAAAAAAATGTGCATCCAAATATTGACTGTAACGCTGGCAACATTTTCAAAATATCTATATTGCTAAATTCTCATCTTATCTTCCATGTTTTCATTTAGAACATAATTATCTCATATCGTTAATAAAGCCGTAAAGGTGAAATCCGCAATAATCTTGTACATTATCAAACCCGTATCTCTTCGCACCTTGGTGAATACGCCAATACTAACTTCCAGCGGTCGCATGGACCTCAACACTTTGACAACGTACTTCGAAGGTTTTCTAGCTTTTAGTTCATCCAGAAACACTGTCGACAAACGGTAGGGATTTCTCATAACGTCCAATGCCACAAAAATTTCGACCCCCAACAAAATAAATAACACCACAGCCGGGCCGTACAGTAAGAAGGGAAGTTCTCCATAAAATCGAACAATAAAATAATTTCCAATGATTTCACAAATCCCGCCAAACAATAACCCATGTGCACCAAGTAGCTCGTTAAAATTTTCGTCCACATAATACCAATAAATTTGATAAATTCGGTAAAACTTTATCTTTAAGCTACGCGCGCGTGCGACTGACGTATTCGGCCATAACTTAGCTATCAATAATTCTTCAGGATCTGATGGATCTCGAATGCAAGAGCTGTTAACTCTGCCCAGAATTAGTATGAATTTCTCCATAGTTTTGAACACAGTGGTTCCAAATTGAAGAAGGAAGTTGGCTGCGGCCAAGAATTGAAATTCGAGCCAGGCCAAAACGATCATTCGCCAAACGAGAGGGATAAGAATTCGGATTCCTTTCTTGGCGTGGAATGCTGTGGGGAGTAGAAACTCGGAAAACTCTTTTGACGCGTCAATCTCCAGAATGACGGCGAATATGGAGGCAAACGGTGAAACAATTGTGGGCACGATGAGGAACACTTTGCCAAGAAGGGTCAACATTTGGGAGGAATTGTGTTCTCGCTTTACAACGCCGGGATGACACGAATCTATAAATAGTAAATTGTAATTTTAATTTTACGACGGATAAATTACCTCTTGCTTAAAGTAGTAGGTTAGAAACGCATACGTTCAATTTGTACTAAATACTTAATATGAAAGTCTGTGGTTGTGTGGTTACTAATAAAAATCCGAACAATATTTTCGTTCGTATATGAAAAAAGATTTCGATTTTTGAATTTGAATTTGAATTTCTATTTTGTGGGGCCTGGTTTATTTTGTTTGACGATAAAAATAACCAAATAAGTATTTTTTCTCAAAATATTTGGATTATTGAATACGAAAATGTCCTGCTTTTCAGGCATAAGCTACTCAAGTTAAGAAATCATTCATTACATTTTCCAACTTTGATTAATCTCTAAATTAAATTAAAATTCATACCTTTCAGCCCTGTAAATATTTCTTCAAGTGGATTCATAATATTCACCACGATTTCAGGAGCCCACGCCAACATCCACACAGTCGGAAGCAGCGTGGACGTCACCAGTGTGGTAAACAAGAGTGCAGAACTTTTTAAAATCTGGAAAATGTCATTATGCGAAACCGTCATATTTCCGGAAATCAAACGCCACACTTGAGCGTAAAACGAGGCAACTGCTGTCGAGCAGAGAAGAATGGTAAATATTAGATTAACTCGTTTCATGTAAGTTGTTGTGTTTTCTGCTTTGTAAATCTTATGACGTTTCGGGTCAACTTGGAATCTAATGAGAAATGACAATTTGCTAAAAACTCGACACACTACGTCGAGGAGGGACCAGTGTTCTTTAGAAGCCATTTTAAAAAAGCATCGCAAAAGTACTTATTACTCAGGCTACTACTGAGGATACGACTCGTTGAAGAGCGACTTGCCATTGATTTTACTGAAAATAATTACTTTAGGAAATACTAATTCGATGTAAATCCAATTATCCGAACGTTTGATTCGTCCAAATCAAACGCTTCCTTATATTGATTAAAAAATTAATAGTTTTCTTAATAACAATCCACATTATAAATGTCGTTTAAACAACTTGACTATATCCATGAAAACGCAAACCGATGACTTTTTAATATCCGATTTATTAGAAATAAAATCCGATCGAAATAGAGATTGGAAGTTATTGGCAGGACACGCAGTGCACGAAACGACCATGTGTGTATGTATGTATTGGCAATAATTTAAATTACATTTTTGTATGGAAATCTACAAATTTAGAGAACAATAACCATTGACATTTGGGTACATAAACATGTAATAACTGGTGTTTACAAGAAGCATAAGTCCTTATATGTACATACAAACATGTGCACACAAAATCTAACAAATACCTAAATATTATTTATAAAAAATTGCTTCCTGTGGGTGTGTCCGAGAGACGTTTTACCCTATAACCATTTTATCGACCACGGAAACGCGTGCTTCATATCAACCAAACTTTCTTCCCTGTACAAAGCTTCACTGTAATAATGATGTAGAATTACAACAATCACAGGTACGCATTTCATCATTGCCACTCCAGTCACCAGGAATCCGCTTGTTTCCACCATTTAATTCATCAGAGTCTCGAAATTGGGCCATGACGATTAGCACGGTCATTAATACGGATAAAATCTACATCGCAAAAAAATTCTCTAGTAAATAAGTACGTACAAAAGTCCAGCCTCAATATTTCCTAAGTGAACACTTTGCCATACCGAGAGAACAAAGCTGCGATTTAGCGTGAAAAAATTTCCCGGACTAATCAGCAACTTACAATTGATCACCTTCTGCGTTAGGCAGACCACCTTAAATAAAGAATTTATTGACTTTTCCTCGTCATGAAAAACAAAATCGTCTGATTCGATTACCTTTTTACTCTCCACATCATTCAAACCATGGATCTTAATCTGGCTCAGCTTCGTCACCAATTTCATCCTACTCTGCTCCAAGTTTTCGGCCTCATTCCCATAAATGTACAAGGTATGAATGGCCAAATAAGCTGCCAATAAGTTGGTCACGGTGCCTCCATATTCGCCAATTTTCCAATACACCCAACCAAAATAAGTGCAGCCCAACGTCCAACAAATGTTCACCGTAACTTCGACCAACACTCGGAACCCCATCGACTCGTTGAAAAATGTCACCAACTCGATCAACACGTCATACGCGTCGGAAACTTCGTCCACCTGGAGCCCATTAACATTTCCAATCTTGTCCAAAATACCGTTAACCACGACGTTATACATCTTTACAAAGAAGGTGATCCACCCATTCAGAAAGACGTTAGCATAAGAAAAATATAGCCAAAACAGGGCGCCGAACACAAAAACGACATCTTTTCGACTAACCATCTCCGCGATGGCATTTTCTTTCGAAGTTGATACCAAATTTAGAAAAATGTGGTCGCTTATTTAATTATTTATTTATTTTCATACAATGAAACACCCCAAAAGATTGGGTCATTACGTTTCAAGGACAGACAAGTCTTATATATATAATATAAACAGTTACATTTCTTCGTCATTATCAATTAGATTAAAAATATCAATAAACCCTCCAAACGAATGTAAATAAGTAGCGTCAGACCGATTCAAGTTTCCTTTAAAGTTTCCGTATATGACCTCGTCCCAACAGTCATGAGGTCAAAAATATTAGGGTCCTTGAAATCGCAGTCTAATTTCCTTTAAAATGACTCCCCATATGACAATTATGAATCTTTTGACCTTTGACCTCGTCCTCAAGGTCATAAGGTCAAAAATATTAACAACCTTGAAATCGCAGTCAAATTTCCTTCAAAATGATACCCCATATGACAGTTATGTATCTTTTGACCTTTGACCTCGTCCTTAAGGTCACGAGGTCAAAAATTTTAATTCCATTGAATTTGTGGTGAAATGTCCTTTAAAATGACACCCCATATGAAAATTAAAGTTAAATTTAATCTTGACCACACCCCCAGGCGCTGTGGGATGTGGTCAGATTGACCCCATTTTCGAACTCGACCGAGAACTAAAAATTAGAAGCACAATGGCGAAAACGGGGTTTGATTATGTTGACTCGTTCTGGAGATATCCTGCTTACAGACGGACAGACGGACGGACAAAACGATCACAATAAGTAGCTGACGCTACTTAATAATTCGTTCTTCGCGTTGCTTATCAATAAAATACTTCTTGGATAATTTTTTAAAAACACTTTTACTGGTATTACCACTAAGTAAATTACTCGGTAAATTGATCATGACCTTGGACGCTCTATACCTAAAACTTCTCAGCATGATTTTTGAGTTACACGGTATATTTGGCTCAACATGCGTTACGGATCGTGTTTGCCTAGTTTGTATTACCTCATAATTAACATAATTATTAAATAGAGAAGGACATAGACAATTTACCATATTAAAAGATAGTTTCGATATTTCAAACTTTGCTATGTTGTCCGCATCCAGCCATTCGAGATCCATATACATATCATCAGTAATATTATCATATTTACGCTTGTTTAATACATATCTAGCACACGATCTTATAAGTTTCTGGATACATTTGATATTCTGATTACCAACTAAGTAGACTGGAGAGGCATAATTAATAATAGACATGATGAGGGAGTTAACAACAATATTTCTATGGTACGTACTGAGTAACATTCGAAGTGGTCTAAGCGTCCATAAACTACTGTAACATTTTTTGACAACTGCAGTACAATGATCCTTAAATTCAAGACAATCATCAATAATAACTCCCAACAGCTTTACTTTTCTTAATCGGTTTATCGCCTAATCGAACAACAATATCACTGAGTAGTGACCTATGCTTTTTTAGAGCAAATACCATCATCTCACACTTATCAGGGTGCAATTGTTGTCTACTTTGATCCATCCATGCACATAATGATTTTAAATCAGATTCTAAGTTAGATATTACAGTTTCGATCTTATCAATGTCACCCGCCATGATAAGACCAGTATCATCTGCAAACATTACAGCAGAGCAGTACTTCAGAATGGTTGGGAGGTCATTCATCATGACCAAGAAAAAGAGACAAGATACGCATAGACCTTGAGGGACCCCAAGATTAGTTTCTAAAGTGGATGACTTTGCATGACAATTACATTTTGGGATATACATAGACATACTGTTTTCTATTTGTAAGTAGGGCTTCGATTACTTTTTCATCTATACCATACCATTTTAACTTATGCATTAATACATCTTTGCAAAGTTTGTCGTAGGCCTTCTTTACGTCGACCTGGATATAAATACAGAATTTTTTATCATCTAGGTTTTTTACAAAATCAAAATTTTTACAAAATCAGTTACCGATATAATCGCATGAGTGGTTGAATGTAGTTTACGAAAGCCAAATTGATACGGAGAATACATACGATTTGTTTCAAGGTATTTTTGTAATTGCTCAAATATACATTTCCCGAATAGTTTAGTAATAACAGGTTGTATCGCTATTGGTCGTAACTTATCCGGTGTGGTAGGGCTACATGATTTGGGCAACGGTACAATTTTAGCCACTTTAAGGATGCTTGGGAACGTAGGATACCGCTCTTCACTGCTCTCTTGAGGTCATCAAGTTTTGTTTTTGATTGCAATGATGGGTAAAGCTGGAAACATTTGTAGGCCTGGTCACGTTCCCTCATAAATCGTTTGGTAGATTCCGACACGTATTTTTTATTTGTGGATTCGTAGACTGTCACCTTATTTACGGGGGCGAGAAGGTCAAAAATACCCAGTATGGCGTTGCTTAGTAGTAATGTGGCACTTTCAGGTGAGTCAGATTGCTCATTAATCACAATGTTTGTCATTCTCTGTATTATGGCTTCGGTAGATACATATTTATAGTTGCGAAACTGTATGCTCTTTTTAACTGGCCTAGAACGAGCAATATTTATTGTACACTCTGTTGCTGCATGATCAGAAATATGTGGGTCCTAAACTTCAGAATGTGTCACAGTATTAATTTTATTTACAATTATTAGATCCAGAATGTTTTCACCACGGGTGGGAGTATTGATTATTTGGTCAAGATTTAATTGTGTTATGGTTGTATTTAATGGCTCTATTGATTTTTGGCTATTTAGATTAAAATCTCCAAGTACATATATAGACTTATTCATATCACATATTTCAGTTAACAGAGTACGCAAGAACAGATGATCAGCTTGTAGCGTAGTAGTACTGTAGACTGGGTGCCGATATACGCAGCAAATTATTATTGATTTGTATTTTTCGATTTGCACTGATATACATACATACTCAATATTTGCACAGTTCTCGGTTCGGAGATTTAATATTTTGGCGTTAAAACTTGATTTGATAACAATTGCAACCCCACGTTCATTTGCGCTTTTGACATCACATCGAAATAATTTGTACCCCAAGATTTCTCTCATGCAGTGGTGCTCTTTGAGTAGGGTTTCAGTTACACATAAAATGTCGATGTCTTCAGCGGAGAGGTAAGTAGATATTTCGTTGAACTTTTTATATACAGAATTAACATTTAATTGGGAGAGGGTTATTAGTTGCCGAGGCTTCGGCTGGACTGGCCTAAAAAATGGAGGGGACGAGTAGATGAGGTTGTCGATGGGTTGGACAGCAATGACGATGATTTGGGCGGAAGTGGCGAAGGATTTGTGAGCTGGTTCCGGTAGATTATTTGATTCGAGCCGCGTCTAGTTCCATATCCTCTCCCCCTTCCTCTCGATCTATTGATATTGAAATTTGTGTTAGTTTGATTTTTCGGAGTTGAGTCCGATCCACCATAATAGGGGTTTGTCCCGTTCAGGTGTCCAAAACTCACTCTGTTTTGTTTATTTTGATGCGTTGTAGTTGGTTTCTGACCTTGAGGGGGGGATTTTGAGGTTGTCGTATTCTTTGTTTCGATTAAAGTAATTTGTCCATCAACGATTTTGAAGGTTTCTTCTCCAGCTCGAATTATCCGTCTGTTCCAGTCCATTTTTATTTGTTGTGGTCCATATCCATCCTTAACAAATTGCTTCTTCTTTTGTCGCATTATGGCATGATCTCTTCTCATTGCGGGGGGGAGATCCTCGTTAATGTAGGTCGGACGTTCAGCATTGTATCTGTTGTCATACACCTCGTCCCGGTCATTTATTGAGAGAAAGCGAACTTTGATTAGCCTTGTAGAATTTTTTAGGAATTTTCCAACTCTTGTAATAGTGTCGAACTTTCTACTTTCACCAACTATCTTTACCACGATGGCGTCAATTTTGACTCCTAGTTCCTCACGAGACTCGTATTCAGAGTCCGGCACTCCTGAGATAACTAAATTGAGTTTGTTAACTTCACGCCAAAGCTGTTCGTTTTCATTAATAACACGAACTACAGTATTATTCAAATTTAGCACTTCAGACTCTAGAACTTTAATTTTTTATCTTGTGCGCTAAGGATATCATTTAGTGCATCAAACTTTGAATCAATTTTCTTACTAATTGTGTTTGTCAAGTCAGTATTATTTTCTTTAAGCACTGTTTTCAAATTTGCTAACGATAATTCACTGGTCATCTTGTCAGCTTTTTGTAGAATGGGTGGCTTTGCAGAACTTTTCACTATTTTCCTTGACTTAATTAATAAACTTCTTAAGGGTCGTTGTGGGGTCAGTTCAGGAATGTTATTTGGCTTTGTCATTGTAATTTTGTATTTTTAAATTATTTTTAGGTGAGTATTTGCTGTCGAATGACAATCCATAAAATAATCCCATTTCTAACATGCCCTGGATATGTAACACTTAATAGAAAAAATATATACGGTTAACAGGCCGGTGACAGTGTTTACTTCATAGTATTTGAAATTCTATTTCTTGAGTGAATTGATAACTGTAAGACTATCTACTTCTTTTATATTTGTATTATGCCACTACTCAGTTATATACTGTCCTTGTTACCATTCTGGAGATTTATTATTTGTGATATTAATTAATTATTTATTTGTCAGCTGAGAGTCTATGATGCAGCCTGAGAGTCTGAGTCTGAGTAATGTAATTGTTATCCCGGGAAGGATGAGGAGCAAGCTTGAACGTATGAACAGGTTTCGAGTGGATGTTTTCAAGGTCATCAAGTGACCTGGGTCATTCCAAAATTGGCGAACTTTTTGCAACAAATTGCAATGCGTGTGCCAAATGGTGAGGGTCTTTCGGACAGTAACTAAACCGGTAGAGGCGATTTGCTACAGCGTTTCCGGTGCAATACAGCGAGCCGCCCGTGATGATTATATAGTCGGATGATAAGCGGTTGTATCTTTCCATCGAGTACTCGTTGTAGCTCGAGTCGACCGACATCCTGGAGGCGGCAGTGAGCACGGAAATGAAAATAAATTGGGAAAGGAATGGAATCCCGAACCAGCGGAATTTAAGGGTTTTCAGCGTTTCGGTGGATATTATTGATCTTGACTTGTTTGGGGGAGAAATGATTGAAACTTTTGTAACAGAGAGGGGAAAATAGCAGATAAGTTGGACACCAAAAATTGGAAATTTTGCCAGTGTTAGAAGCTGGTTTTCGATAGAGTCTGGGATTTTATGGGATATATGATATATCCTATGGATATATCATATATCCATTTTTTATAATTTTGTATTGGTAGTATTTATCATGGAGAATTTTTGATTAGTTATTAAAAAGACACCTAAAGTACTCGCAATTTCATAAAGAAAGGGATGAAGCTTGTAATTTAATTTAATGCTTAGAATTTCCGTCCGTATGGATATTTGAATGAAAATATATAGTAAATCGATCTCCTTGCCGTATTTGAAGCTGCTTAATACAAATTCGCCGATTAGTATGTGTTGGACAAATACATAAGCGAAAACAGCAATATTTATCAAACTAATTAGCAGTTAATTAAATAAATACGTACAACTGAATGTTTGTCCAACGAAAACTAATTTCAGTTACTAGCGACAAATCCCGAGGTTATCGATTTGCTCATTCCATTATCTGCACGGAAATGTTAAAGATTATTGAGAACGACAGTAACCTTACATACCCTTAAGTTGCGTAATATCTAATTACTCACTACCCAAGGCAAATTAAAATGTATTACTTTATGATGTTTAGTCTACAGATAGTTATACAACAAAAAATGGGGGGGGGGATTGATGTGTCAAGTTGTGTGAAAGAAACGTATTTAATAACTTTGGAGAAGCTAATTTAAACCTTAAGCATACTAAGATCAATTGCTTACCTAAAAAATTGACCAGAAATAAAGGACACTAAATTTATGAAGGACATAGGACGAGGGGCTCTTTATTTTTCCAATACGCACGTACAGAAAGAGCAGCGCTGATATGTCAGTATGCCAATTCATGAATTCAAATCAGTATTTAATATGTTAAAAAGCCGTGAATCAATAATTTTGCATGCAATGTCTTTGTTAATTTCGTACATATGTTACGTGCTTATCATGCACAGAATACCACTAACACAATTGCACACACATGACACATATGCATATGTGAAAACAGAAGGATGCTGAAAATCATAATTCAGTTGCGAATACATATGTATAGCCCATTCAGGTAATCTCAATCGCTGTAAACTGGCCTGGTATGTAATTTATCTTGGTCATTGTGGGGAGATTACCGATACACATTCGATTATCTACAAATCATCATTTGGTTCCCTGTATTTGCTAAAGATAAGTCCGGCTTCGTCGCTCCACGAGCATTTCACATTATTCCTCATTTACCTGGTCACAACCCACAAAATAATAAGCCCAAAATGCACCTCTTATCCATCTTCCTCTCCTTGGTTGCCATAGCAACCGCAGCGACTAGGATTGATCCCGTCTTCCACGAACCCATCCCTGGAATTGTCACGTACGAAAAGACGGCCCACATTCACTTTCAACGCGTCATCCCCGACCCAATCGAATCTTTGATGGCGACTGGCGAAACTAACTGTCCCTCCGGATCCGTTAATCCCTTCTACTGTGTGCTGCTGCACTACCTCCAGAACATCGAAGACGCCTTGAGTAACATCATCACGATTGATCAATCCCTTAGAAAGCCAAGGTCCACCATGCCCACGCGAAGATCCCCCCAGTGCGACAAATTTACCCCCCTCTTCCCATCTCTCTTCATGGATTCTTCCGATCTTAAGGCAACCATCGACACCCTCAAAAACTGCCTAGAACAAGGTACTCTTGTGACGGATAGTAATGGTGATTACATGTCGAGTTTCTATGGTCACTATACTGACTCGATGCAAAATTACGATCTGTATCACAATCCAAGCAATCCAGAAACTGAACGCTCCTCAATGATAACTCGCGAACTATTAAACGTCGCCGGCTTCCTCCACCATTTCGCGGAACGGACGAGATGGGAGGACTCCATTAATCGGTGCAAGTTGCACCACTTCCTCCCTCCATTGGTCATCAAGGAGGAAACCTTACAAGGAAAACTAGACGAGCTAGAAGCCGTGGTAAATGCGAAAGGATACGAATTCGCAGTCCCCAACACTCCCGAAACTATTTCTACATATTGGACCCTGCCCACGGCCGACTGTAATATTAATAATGGCGAAATATTAAGTATCCTATTTTCTGTCCCGATTAAAAAGTCCGGCTCAAATTGGTCCCTCCACAAATTGTCCTCAATCCCGTTCCACGCGCAGTATCAGAATGACAACTACACCTGCCACGTTCCTGAATTTGAGGAGGAACAACTTATCCAGTTCAATGCGGCCACAAACGTGTCCGTCGTTCGACGAGATGGCGAAATTTCTTCCAGCTTTCTCCAATTTGTGGAGACCAAACCGACCTCATTTCTCAAGGACGGGAGTAGGACGTGTTCTTCCAGAATCATTTATGGAAATATTTCCCCTATCGATTCCTTATATTATTGTCCCGTGAGGTGTCAAATTATCCCCACTTCTGGGTCAGGCCTGCCCGACATTTTGGTGAGGATGGTGAAGAGCGATACGTATTTTATTGCTAGGACGTCTCCAAATCGGATCAGTGTCAACGTCACGTGTGGAATTGGTAGCCCAACAATTATTCCACTTCCGGTCATTGGCGCTGTGAGGTTAGAAATCGGGTGTGGCTGCAGTTTCCTCGTGGGGGAGATGAAGATCGAAGCTGGTATTCCATGCAATACTGAGGATCCCCCCGTTGTCAATGCTGAAGAAGTTATCCCGGTTGATTTGGACAACAAAGAATTTTCAAATATGATTCAATATATTAAGTCTTAAACTGTATAGATGATGAATTTAAGCCTGGTTTTATTTGCACGATACGAATTTTATTAACTATTGACAAAAATAGTGAAATAAATATTAATTCGGTGTCTAATTATTTTATTTATATCTCCAGTCTAATTTATTGATCAAAATCCATTATAACAGACCGCTTCTGCTTCCGGTTTGCATTGTCGGGTCGGATTGTCAAACTTTTGTCCGCCTGGACAAGACATTTCTGCCCCATCACCGTTCATACACATGATATATTTCGTACAGTCGGCTATAAATTAGAAAAATTTGTCATATGTACATCAGTCATTATAATGATTTTTTAAATCTTTACTTGGATGAGGAATTTTCACAAGGCCGCTGGCCGGACATTCTTCGGGTGGGCCAGCGGTGGGTCTCGTCGTGGGTTGTGTGGTGCCTGGCTGAGTCACCGTGGTGGGAGCAGAGGTGGCTGTCGTGGGTGGAGGGGTGACTGTTGTAGGTGGACGGGTAGTTGTCGTCGCCGCATTTGTCGTGGGTGCAAGTGTGGTTGGCCTTGTCGTTGGAAATGGGTCAAGGGTTGCATCAGGGGCGCAAGTGGCTTCACTGGACGGAATGCACATCAACACGAACACGTCGAACCATAAGTTTGTCTCGCACCACTTGTCCGTTCCGTCCCCGTAAACACAGAAAATATATCTTGTGCAGTCATCTTTAACAAATTAATAATTAATTAAGCTCAAATTTTGTTCCAAATTAATTTTAAAAGCTTACGTGGATGAGAAATGTTTCGAACCCCGTTCGGGGGACATATCCCTGGCCCCAAAGTTGTCGTGGTCACGGTGGGTCCTGTACTCGGAGGAGGATTTGTCGATGTCGGTCTCGTAGTCGTCGTGGTGGTGGTGGTGGTGACGGTGGTGCGAGCAGTGGTCATCGTCGTTCCCGTGGTTACATTTGTGCTGGGTGTGTAACACGTCGCTTCGCTTGGGTGCCGACATGTTCCTGTTATAATGTCAAAATGCTCGCCGTTCGGACAGGTTTGGACACTTGGGTCACCATTCACACACATCACATATTTCGTACAATCACCTAAAAAATTCAAAAATTTTTACAATTAGCTTGCGGGTTCCAATTTTTAGTGATATTTCTTTTGATCGTGTAATGTCGTTAGAAACGTTATCCTAGTGTCGTAAAATATATCTGTTTCAAATGGGGCTAATTAAATTAACTAAACTCCTCCCATGGAATGGAGCTTAATTTTACAAATTTATATTCTTGACATTACGGTCACATTCCTAATGTAAGTTTTGGTCGTGAGTGGAAGTGGCACACAGTATGCCACCTTCGTCGTCAAGATACCATTTTAATGGGACCAAGTCGACAAATTGGGTAGTGTTTGGTAGTTTTTTGTTGGGTTTTAGTATCAATCAATTACATCTCAATCAAAATGTAATTAATACGAAATTTGTAAGAGACACTATCTGCTAATGCTAAAGTTTGACAGATATTTACATACGCCGAGGAGAAAACGCATCCTAAAGACAAATTTTACACTTTCCAAGTGTATCTCTGCCGAACGGAGCATTAGAAGTTCGCGTCTTTTGCAAATTTTATATTAACTAAATTTATGATCGATTGACCCTAGTTTCGTCAAAATCTGAGAGCATACGCTGGAAAACCCCCATTGGGAGTCGCCTTTCTTTCCACGCTACGAGAAGTCAAATAAAGTAAATGGAATTTTAAAGTGGGAAAAATCGGTTTTCTTCCGGCATGAAAACATCCCATGCCAAAATAAGTCACCGCTTTTGGGGTGACATTCCACATTGGAACGCCATGGTTTTTGTGGCATAAAAAGTGACCAGTCCAGCAAAAAGGGTTCAACCAGGTACTCCATCCACGTTAAACAAACGGAAAACGAACCAGGATACGGGATATTGATCCTCCCTTCCGGTGGACATTCGATGGGAAGTGGCGCGCCCGTTGTTGTCGTGGGCGTCCTTGTAGTTGTCACTTGTGGCGAAGTAGTTGGTATGGGCGACAATGCCGTGCTGGACGGCATTGTGGGCGGAGTTGCTCCATCAAAACATTGAGCTATGGTAAAATGGAGACAATGTTTTTCTATGTGGTCGTACAAGTGGTAATAATCATAGTCCTCCCAGCACGAATATGGGTACAATCTACCAAGAAAACAGACGGAATATCTCGAGCAGTCGGCTGAAATAACAAAATCAATCAGCAACCAGTTATAAAATATAATCTACGCCTCACTTTCATTCGGGAACTTCATGTTCGGATTGGTATTATCGATCGGACATGGATCCTCCGGTATTGTGGTTGAGGAGACGATCTCAGTCACAAAATCGGGCGGAAGTACGATTCCACTGGTCACTAGGGGATTGAGAGTCTCCACAAAATTGGTATGGTTCCATAGTTGACAATCTTGACCATTTCGATTATAACTGTACGCCGTGCAAGTCGAACTCCTATTGCAGCGGGTGCAACAAGCTTCCACATTCACCACATTTGTTAGAGTGTCGAGAAGTTCTCCCTCTGGAGTTACCCAAGGCTTAAACTCGCACAATTCATTCTCTAAAGATTGTGAAATTCCGGCGAAAAGTGTTAATACGGTAAAAACTAAAATTTTAGAAGGAAACATATCAGATTTTTTGAAGGTGTGTGAATAAATTACAAAATTTTTGCTGTGTCCTAAGTTGTGTGCGACTTTGAATACATTCATTAAAATTGGGACATGTTAAGCTACCTCAATCCGATGTGATGGATGGCATATTCATGTTTGCGTAATAAATAACCTTCCTCGTTGACATTGGGATCATAAAGGTAAGCCGAGTTTGTTCAGTGATTATGACAATTGGCTTATCTGCTTGGACAAGTTTATAATTAATTCCCGTTCTGCCTGGCAACTAAAGTCCAATAATCTCAACAACAACGCGTGTTTGAGTGACAATACATAAGCCCATAAAATTTGTTATTTAATCAATTTTGCAATTTTTTGCGTATAATCACTTCAGGGTGACATTGATTGATTCACATGTTACATATAATTGTCCCTGAATGCTTAAACTTACCATATTCACCACATCTCACCAAAACCATTGACACAAAAATGAGAAGAAGATAACCATTTTCCATGAATGTACTTGTGAAGATAGGTATCATCCATCACCGTCAATGGTGACACTTTAGCCTTATTTAATTAAGCGACAAATTAACAATCAGCTCATTTATGGGCAAACACTGCACCCAGCTTAACACACTTGTCTGACCCTGGAAAAAATGCACGTTCAAAAATAAAGCACACAATTTTTTAAGTCATACATAATCTGCGTTTCTTAACGCGTAGAAATGTCGAAAGAAAGTACCACCACCCCCAAAAAAATTGGGCTTCACAAAGAAGCCAAAACCAAAATGACGTCCTCCTCCACGTCCCTAAACCGTAGTCGCCAATCGGGTGGAACGGATTCAATGGAATATTCCGGCATCGTCCTCCCCACTCTGGAAGACGGAGCTGGTCCTGTTGCCCTGGGAGATTTGTGGTCAGAAGATACGTTATTTTAGACTTTTTAGGATATTTGACATCCAATTTAAAATTGAATTTTACAGGAATTGCAGAACTAATACTGTCGAAGGGAACCTATTTGCCACCAGATTGGGTGCAAATTATTTGCAGGCTGACCCCATCCAAACGTTGGACTACTCCTTCCGCAGCGTCAAAACCACCCGTGATACCACCAATGTCATGAAGATATCGGCCGCTCTAAGCGTCGATTTTGCCGATGAAAAAACCACCGTCAAGGTGGCCGGTTCTGGAGCCTATGCCAAGTCAGAAACTCGCAACTTCAGGCAGGAAAACATTGTCGTGTCGTATGACACCTTGACCTACCAGGTCAGGGTGCGACCCTCCGCTGCCCTGGTTGTCGCTCCACAAGTCAAAGCACTCCTCCAGCCTGGACGTGAGTAACTTTTATTTCATTTTTATTGGATCGAGCTCACATTCGTCATGCATACAAGTGGGATTATTTGTGCGTGTCACCTCATTTGCATAAATCTCACCAAACGCATTTTCGGTAGAGTCCGCATTGCGGACCTTCCATGTTGAAAAAACTCCATGGGTGTGCGTATTCTCTTGCTAATGTGTCAAAATATGCAAATGAGGTGACAAATGCACAAATAATTGCACTGTACTTATTAGTATTTGTTTGGGCATTTCCACTTTTTAAGGGTAGGAATTTGATTTCTTTTATATCGAACTTTTTGATACGTTTTATTTTTTTAACCACTCGGCAAAATGCAACTATATTAGATGAAACGTTTTAAGTTTTTTTAAAAACTATTTCGAATTATTAGAGTGCCTAATTATTTCCTTAATTTGCGTATTTTCTTTAAACTCAATTATTTCAATATTGCAAATCAGCATATGCACACACATAACTCGCATGACTACAGATACATAACTTATTTTTGGCATGCTTTTTCTCCCTGTGCTTCCCAGCAAATGGCGAAGACCCCAAAATCGTCGCAACGCACTTCGTACAAGCCGTCCTCGTCGGCGGAAAGGCTACCGGATCCATCGCATACATGGAAAATGTGTCAGATTCCAACATGTCCATCAAAGGATCGTTCAGCCTGACCGTCAAACATGGGGGTATTAACGTCGAGGCTAAAGCCGAATTCGAAAAACTGGACAAAGAAGCAGCCTCCAACTACTCCACCACAGTCGACGTCCAGGCACAACCTCGGTTTACCAAAAGTCCAACGACATGTGCAGAAATGTTTAAGCAAGTTGAAGAACTCGACACTTTGGTTAATCAAGAGCGCCATTTCCCAGAATTGGACAAAAAGGATCCAGATAATCCCGACTTTGTAATGCGCGTCGTTGGCGTCCCCGTCCGCTTCAAACTAGTCCCAATTTCCCATATTCTTGCTGATCACGACGTTGACCCAATCTACAAATTATTGGACCAAGATATTCTCGACAGTTTTCAGACCATGGTTTTCAACCTTCGCGACTTCTCCAGCCTCGAACACGTAAAAATGCTATTGGCGGAAATGGAACCCAAAATAATTCCAATTTTGATGGATGATTTCAACCCGTTGACCGTCGAAATTCGTGCATACTCCACGGCAAAGGCAGACCTCGCTGTGGAGCTGAAACGAGAAGCGGCAAAGATCTATATCGAATATAAAGTTTCTAACGGCGACACAACCGACCTCACCGAGATGGTGAAACGATACGACAGCGAGTTCAGACCGTGGGAAGTAGTCAACGACATACTTCAATTTAAGGAGGATGCCAAAAAGCAACTTGCCGGTATTCGTGCCTCAGATGTAGAAGGAATCGTTGATGAGGATGGGAACCCCTCGATTCGGTTCTTCTCAAACGCAACTGACCTTGCAGATTGGTACAATACGGAGCGAACGATCAAGATCCTGCTCAAGACGGACTTCAAGGAAACATCGCCAACCGGCGTGTTTATAAAGTTGTACGACATGAGCCCCACCCTAGCAAAGTATGGGATTGAGGTGGGTGTAGCGTTCCCAAATATTTCAGAAGGTCAGTTCACTCTGACCTACAAGACGCAAAAGGAGACCACGATATACACAGCGAAGGAAATCCGCTTCGTCCTCGAAGTCCTCGCAGTATCTGTGGACGAGGGGGAAACTATTGCGAAAATTTTCTATTCCATAAATGCCGCCTTGTACGGTCTCAACTTACCCATGGTCGAATATTTGTTTGACGTTCCAAACTTGGTCAAGGTGATGAAAGGCTTTAACGGGACGGTTATCTGTGAAACGTACTGCGAACTTCTGGCCAATCTAACGGAAACATTGGACACTTGGAACCTCGTCGTCCCCATCCAAGCTCTCAACACGGGTGTCGAAATGATGCGGTTCTTCCGCCAACTTCGAGTCTACATTCCCCAGAGGTTTCCCAATTTGAAGCATCGTTTCCTAGTCTCAAGATTTAACAACGTTTCCGACAAGTTCTACTCCCCTTTGTTGCTCATCTTCCTCGATAACGTTTTCCAAGCCGTGTGCATCGACCATATCGAGATCCTCATCATGATGGAACAGTTCGCCAAGCCGGAACCAGATTGGAGTTTAATTTCCTTTGGAGAAATCAGAAAGTCACAGCTTTACCCGCCACGTGCCGATTGGGCGATCAGCGTTATACAAAACCTCATCCTGGATCATCAAACTTTCAACTCGGATCCAATCTTTGACTTGCCTGAATTCCCGAATAACGACGACGCCTTCCTATATTCAGCTATTCAAGTAGCGCGCGCATCAGCCATGCGTGAAGAACCGCAGGTGCTGACAACGGTGGCGCACTTGGCACTAGCCGACCCTGCGCTTACCGATGCACTGGAAGCCTTACTTTCTCAACACGGCTGGAAGGACAACCAATTTTCCCCCACGACTTGGAAGGACATCGAGTGGTCCAAGTTTTACCAAGACATTCGAAACTTTCTCTCTAATCAGGCCCCCGCTTTGATGAAGGTTGTCCTTGCGTTGGACGAGCTACGCAAAATACCAGAATATCCCCCACAAGCCGATCCTCCCCCAGATCCACCGGTAGAGTGGAATGAGATAGCGCTCGGTGCAAAAATAAACGCCATCATCAAATTCATCCTTGACGAACCTGCTGAACGAGGATATGCCAGAATTTACAAATGGCGTGGCGTCATCATCAACGAGGACGACCTGTACGATGCCCTTCGTGCGGAAGTCATCGCCTATAACGGAATGCCCGGCAGGGTTAGAATCATCGGAATTGGGAAACTCTTTGAAGCCTTTATCGCCGAAAAGACCAAGGAGCCCGCCGTTTTCCACGTCTTCAACATGACTTACTTGGTCGAAGGGATGCAAGATCCTCAATTCAAGAGTTTGAAACACGTCCTGCTCCCAATGTGCAAACGATACTGCGACCGCGTCACTATCAGCGACGAATATCCCCGAGGTGCACGTCGTCTTCAAGACTCTCTCACGGAGCGACAACTCTTCAAGACACTCGGCGTTCTCAGTGAAGTCAGATACGACCCCAAGTTGTACCTCATGCATCAAGAGTTCTTCAACTTTTCCACCCTTCCCGCCCCCACCAACATCAAGAGCATCATCGAGAAGATGACCGGCTACGAGTTTGACGACGATCAGCTGGAAACGGTTTGGACCAATCCCAAGTTTCTTTACGCCCTGCGCCAAGTCATCAGCAATGAAGGTGTAGTTGACGGTTTGTATGTGCACGTTTATGTCTGGAATCAAAGACAGGAGGAAAAATTAAGAGCAGAACAGGAGGAGAATGCCGACCTCCTTGGAGAAAACGCCGAAATTAATGATGATGGCGAACTCATAGAAGAGAAAGCTGTTGGTGACGATGGTGATCTTAAATTCCCAGCATGGATCCCACCAGACGTCGTGGAAGTCGTCAAGGCCCTGATAACCCTTCGAACTCGGCCCAATTACGAGTACCCAAAAGAGTGGGTGGACGTTGTCACTATGATTGAAGCCTTCCAAATCATCTTCATCCGACAAGCAATGCCCATCGACTTTGCGGAAGTGTTGCGAAATAATGTTGACAACGTTGGGGTAATCAGAGACGCATTGGAGGAAGAGAAAATTCTTTTCTACTGGAATCCAGTCGACCGTTTGTTCGACCTGCCGTGGACACTTGACACCGTTACGAGAGCTCTGAACGTCCTCAAGGTCAAATACCCAGATAAGAACGAAGAGACTTTTGATAAACAACTCGTTCCCGTTACCATAAGTCCGACCCCGGCCAAGAAAGTTGAACCCGAACCAGAAAGCATCACTGTGAACTACATGTGGAAACCCCTTGTTCGCGGAGGAAAACTAAATTTCCTTCGATCCAAGTCCTACCTCGAAGTGGAAAATCTGCACAAAACGGCTCGAACGGAGTACGACGAGCTTGAAAAGGCCGCCACCACCACGTTGCGATATCTCGTCCAGCAAATCAGAACCAACAGCAGCCCAACCTTATCTGCGGCCTTCTTCGAGCATTACATTCACTACCCACCAAGTGGACCACGACCTGGCGTTATCGATTTTGGTGACGGAGTTCCAACCCGATCGTTAGGAATGCTCCTGTCCAGAGGTGACTTGCAAACGGCTCTCTTCCAACTTACCGACCCTGTCGTGACACATCTTGCGTTAATGTCAATGTCAAAAACGCCCATCCCACTCCCTTATCTTGTCACATCTATCGCCCAACTCCCAGGTCCCAGGGAGGGAGGAATTGTCATCCCCACACCCACGAAAGCCACCCTGCTTCACCCCGCACTTCAAGACATTATTGTCCCCGAAATGGAAGCACTTGTCCCGCAACCTCGCCTCTTCCGCGATCCGTACCGATTCGTGCTTACCCTCCGCGTTGGGGACACTACTCCTGATCCGGGACGGAGTTCCCTGATTAATTCCTATCTGATGAAGGACCCGACATACTTCTCGTCAAAACTTGACCCAGGCTCGGAACATGGACGTCCTTTGAACCGAAATGGCTTTTTAGAATTCAGCTGGCTCTCCGAAACTACGTGTGATCCAGTGTTTTGGGAACATTTTGTGAAGGCAGAGTACAACGGACAGCGGAAAGAGGTCATCCTGCTCGGTCTACTTCACGGGGACGCGCTTTCGCTCTCCTCCCTCATCGAAGTTGTTCGACCACACGTCTCGTGCTTCGTCGTCTTTTGGAAAGCGTCGAATTTCAATGACCTCCGAGCAAGGAAGAAGGTTCTGTCCGGTGTTCTAGGAAAAAGCAAGGTTCTTGACGTCGTCATGTATCCGGACAGCACCATCAAGGACAGGGTGCACGAACAGAACCTAATCTTCAGACGAGATGGAGAGTCGCAAGATATCCGAAACAAGTTTAATCTGTCACACATTTTCCTGGATGGAATGTCTTACACGGTAAAAACAGACGTGGAAGATGGCGAAGGTTACGATCCTATCCCAGCGGCGGGAGGTTCTTTCCTGTCTTCGATCGCATCTGGGCTGGGAACGCCGAAAGGGTCAAAACCGCTGAGCACCACGGCACCCATCACCGTGACTCCAGTGACGCCTGTCTCTACGCCAGAATCCATCGAACTGATCACCTTCATTGAAAGGTCGAGCATTGGAAATATTCAAGACGCCTTGGCCAACCCAGGTGGAGAAAGTTTCAAACTTGTGGCCTTTTTGGTACAGAAATTTGCCGCTCTGCTCAACTTACCCCAACCACAAAGAAATATGTCCTTGACCCACCTCACGTGGGAATTGGACTTTCTCTCTCGTACTTCCAGTGCGGAATGGGTGGAGAGGATTTACAAGTTGCGGGCTCAGATTGAAGAAAAGTTTTTCACTGCGAAAGGTCACCCACCAGACGCCATCTGGGTGTTAGAAACACAACAGGAGATGAGAATGGCAATGGCGCAATTACGACGAAATTCCATGTCGATGCAGGACATCTGGCGGGCGACGTGGAACTGGACTGAGCCCGGGCGAGAATCCCTCCTTTCCGTGCAAACTGACTACGTCAACAGTGGACATCCCCTCGAATTATTTCACCCGACTTACTCTCCCGCCACCATGTGGATGCATGGTGTCGACGATGTGATCAAGTCGATCCCCGAGGCTACCAGAATCTTCGTCATTTCCGCATTTGGTCTAAAATCATCTGGAAAATCCACCCTGCTCAACTCCCTCTTTGGAGCGGGATTCACCGAACATGGGACAACTTTTGGTATTCAGTTCCGCCTCTTGTGGCTCAACGAGGAACTAAAGGCAAGCACGGATTGTGACGCTTTCCTCATTCTTGATTCTGAAGGGGTCGGCGGAGCTGAGAACAAAATCGACGTGGGGGCGGATACTCTGGAAAGAAAAATTATCACTTTCCTCCTCGGCATAAGTTCCGTCACTTTGGCAACTATTATCGGCCCCACGATGAACGAGCTTAAAGAAATTCTTGAAGTAAGCTTTACCGCCTTGGGGAAAGTGAACACATTGCCCCTGACACCCGATGTCTACATGGTCCAGCAATTCTTGCCCGGTCAACCATCCGCCGGTCCTGCACCAGCCGAATTCAATTCCGCACTGTCATCTGCGGTCCAAGTTACAACGGATCTTCAACTCCAGACCGGTCTGCGAGTCACTGAAGCCCATCGCCTAAAACAAATCAAGAGTCGCAACAAACATGCCGAAGTGGTCCATCCGATCCGATCCCGCGGTTCGGAAATCCACCAAGAAGGCGCTGCCTATCTCGACTATCACTCCGACGTTGAGCAGCTTTACAGTAAAATCATACACATTGCTGCAACCACGCGAGGAGCGCGTCTCACCCTGGGCAACTGGTTCCAATCGACGATCGCCCTCTGGGGAGAAATCTACCCAGTCGGCGTCCCCTTCGATCGTCCATCCGCGATTGGACTTCGGGAGAACGCCGCCTTCGAAGAAAGAGTCACTGACGTCAAACGAGCCATCGACGGAGCATTTTTTTACCATGAGAAAAAAGCTGAAGCCCAATTTAACGATGGACTGGACAAACTCTTCTCAGAGTATGTGACCGGTTTCGACGGTGACCTGGAGAGACGCTTATCCGCCTTGACCAAAGCCCTCCAACCCGTCATCAACACTTGTGAGGACGCCCTTGACCCACCAAGCGAGGGAGGTCGGCGAAAGAGGAAACTAAAAATGGCAATGGCAGCTGAACCTAATCCAAATTCTTGCATAGCCTGTGCAAACGCCTTCAAGGTGAGGGAAGCTCTGCTCGCCGAGGTGCTTAAACAGCCACGTGGATTCCTCGTGGATGAGGAAATTACTCGTTACACGAACCTGGTGCGAGACTCCATTTATGAACGCATTCGACAAGGAGTGATTGCCCGCCAAATTGCGGAACGTCAAAGTGACTTTTCCGGCGACTTGTTCTTGGCTCTGGAAGCGATTCGTGAAGAATTTAGTGACCTAGGAACCCAATGGACCAAGTTCCTCCAGTACGTCTCCACTCTTCAATTTGTCACCCCGGCGAGACACCGGTTCCACGCTGAGTTGCAACAAGTCTACAAAAACCTGGGGCACATTGCATCCCGACATTTACCCGATGGCAATAAAGGAAAACCTGACCACCTGCTTCCCGATTTAAGGAGGATGATCGCCTTTGATGTGCAGATTTATAATTCCGCCCTCGAATCCGCCCTAAATGCAAGAAAACCAGAGAAACTTACGTGGCAGCAGCATGACTGGTTGGTGGCTAGATTGCGGGATATTCCGAAGCAGATGAAGGCCGACTATGAGGCTGTCCTGTATCGGGTCGGGATGGTGAGGGACTTGCAGGTCCGGATTCATAAGACGATCCAACTTTTCGAGGAGTTTTGTGGGGAGGGGCTACTACCAAATTTCAAGTGGGAGGTCCACTTTTATGCCATCCAGCTTTTTAGTAAGTACTTTGATGAACAGCAGAGCAAGTGGGATTTGGACGTTAGGCGAGATGATGATGGGGCCATCACGCGGTTGGAAGGGGGCAACCCTCTCAAGGTTTTGAGATTGATGGAGGAGCACTTAACTGACGAAGGGTTCTTTAAAGACGCCAATTTACCACCGGCGAAAAGCAATGGTGAGACAAATTAATACTTGCGTAACATGCAATTTTCATAATTATTGGTTGATAATTTTAATAATTAGTTGTTCTAAATACTTTTTCTTAAATCGGATATCTTGCGCGCAGGTCAAGGAGTGTACAGCCGGACGGTGGGGCGTTGGTGAAAGCTGTGGGACTACTTGGACAATAAATACGTTCACATTCATCAATCTTTTTTCTGAAACGATCACGAAATAAAAAAAATATGTACACAAATATATTATGGAAATTTGAAATTAACATGATGTAAATAAATAAAGTTATATTGCATTCATTCCTAAAATATTTTCGACAAAACTGGGGGAAAAGTATGCTAAATCTGGAAATATATTTATTACATACAAGATGAGCTCGTTAGCCATTTTGCAAGACAGCGTCCAGTCTCAACATGTCGAAATGTGATCAATTTTTTATTTTTACCACATACATCGTCATATTTTTTTAGATGAGGCTAACCAGGACATTAGCAACTACCGGAAGCTTGACAGAGGAGTATGAGTTTACTCTTGTTAAAAAAAATCTCATTATCACTTATGCATCTTCCTTCAGCACATCTTATCAGATCGTGCTTACATTTTACAGTTAATGGTGGATAAGACAACAATACGTTTTAAACATATTTGCAATTTCAACTATAAATCCCAGAATCCAAAATTTTTTGTATTTGACATGGAGAATAATGCTCGGGGAATAATTGGATGTTAAATTCTACAGATCATGAATCTAATGACTCCATTATGCATATGCTTGCAATCAAATATTTTATATGCATATGACTTTTAGTCTAAAATTAAAAACGACTTAAGAAGCAAATAAATAAATAGTTACTTTAATCTAAAGAACTTCATTTGTATGTCACATGACTTAAACTTTATTAAACTTTTGACGTACATGGAAAGTTTGAAGAGCATATTGCATAAACATCGTCGCAATTGTAAAATTCGAATAAAATTAACTATTTGCACTTTCACCTCAAATTATTATACGCATTTGTATATGGACGGATTTGTATTTGATCTGCATTTATGTAGGTTGCATTCCATTTCTACTTGTCTGAAAGGTCATTTTCATTTACGTCATTCGATCACATTCTTCTCAATCAAAGTTATCGCTGGGAACTAAATTAACCCTGATGAATATCACGTACGTACATAAATGTGTAGGTCGCTCAATTCAGGATCAGTGCGTCAATCAAACCGACTAAGCAAATTTATTTACGGAAATTGTTAGGAAGATATATTTATACATGTCACTTTTTTACATGCCGACAGAATAATCGCCAAATTGGGATTTGATGACGCTCCAATTATTTGCAATATTCACATAAAATTTAGCGAACTGCAACTTCTGACGTCAAAAAGTTAAAATTATGCCCAACTTACGACATAACTTTACATAGACTTTGTTTAAAGTTATGCTTATAATAAAAATTAATGAATTAAAATAATTATAACCAAATAATTTATTTATTTTGAAACATTTTTATAATCTTAGACTATTTAGTGATTAGACAAGGTTATGGAAAACATATGCAGTTGAGTCTGAAATTACTGGAATCATGATCAAAATTCCTGAGAGAAATGTGTGAGCGATTTTCTAATTTCTTAGTAATTGAGGCGCTATGGATTTACATGCAAGAAAATATGCATGAAACTCAGGATTCACACCTGGACTCTGATTAAAGTAAATTATACTGAAATTTTTATTTATTTCGCAAACTCCCTGACAAAAATAAAGTTGCATAAATATGTGCATACATTCCAGATAGATACCACACGTACAAGACACATTTTTTTAGCTTTATAGCGTATGTACATCTTACATCTCTAGTTTTTAACTCTATGAGCATTTCTAAAGAAGAACTTTGTCATCTTCGCCATCGTAGATCAGGTTGACAAATTATAAAAACAGAGCTCACACAATATGTATCGCATTTCACAAAGTCCAGATATTGACATCATTCCTTATTCAAAGTACATAAGTTACACAAGTGTGGTTGAATATGTAAATACATACATACATAAAACGCAATTACTTATACTTTTAATAGTTTGCATAATTCTTGTGCCAATGGACTACAGACTCATCGATCAATGTTAATGACAACACAATGATTTCCAGAATGTCAGAGCGTATTACATATTTACCAACTTACAACTCAACCAATCACATCAAACTCGAGTGGAGTATTTCTGGACAATTGTTATTTTGTACCCATTTAGGTAATTAACTCATCAAAATTATCGCGTGGACAAGTTAATGCAAACATTAAACATGATGTTGAGCAATCATCAAGTTATATAAGTATACTTTTTGACCATTTTCTGTATATGTTAATTCATCAAAGTCGTAAATTTCATGCAAATCAATTTGAACTTTTCCACATGGAAATCCTCAAGTGTTTGTCATGTGCGTCAATTGTTCTGTTTTTAAAGTATTTTGCACACGGTACACTAGCATTTTGGGCACGAAAACAGGATGTAAATTTACCGAAGCTTGTTCGACTAATTACCAAGTCACTCAATCAATGTCGAGAACGGGATCAAAGTGCTTTGCCAATTTTTACACAAATATTGCAAAGTATGCGAGCGTCATCGAGTATCTCAATTTTGCGATATTTCTGTCGGCATGTAAAAATCTGAGAGCGACATTTTCCTAATAATTGGGTAACCCAATTTGCTTTGTCGGTCGTACTGACGCACAATGTTGGTAAATTTTTTAATGTGACCGACATATATATTTAAATTTGATCTTCGTACGTGACACTTATCAAGTTTACATTACGATTTCTGGGTGATAACTTTGATGGAGGAGAAGGTCACAAAATGACGCAAATGAAAATGAAATAACCTTATTTAGAGATCAAGTTGAAATGAATTGTGTTGAATGCACAATTAACTGCGGTGAAAGTTCAAAGAGTTAATTTTAAGCGAATTGTTCAATGACGACGATGATTTTACAATGTGCCCTTCAAAGTTGGATGCGTAAATCAATAACTTGAACTTGATTTTTAATATAAATGAAAAGACAATGGCTCGTAATTGTATTTATTAAGTTATTCAAGAAATAAATGACTTATTTTAATAATTTCATACATATTTATATTGCCATCTTATCGATTAAGGTTATATACTCACTAATTTACAGATATGACTCCACTAAATGCAGCTAAAAATTATTACGCAAAATTATGTAAACCAATAAATAAGATTAAAATTAGAGCAACCAAATATGTACATAAATAAACTGTTCAACATGAAATTAAACGGTATGAAATCACTTGCCACACTCTTTTTTAAGTAAATACGGTATAATTTTTCATGAAATGCCATTTTTTATGAGGAAAAACTAAGAATACGGGATTCTCAATAAGAATGAGTGCAATAAAACTTTACTTTTTAACTCAAAGAATTTAAATGGTTTACGACTTAATCTTCATTAATCCATCTCCACCAAACTTTCACCACTTTCACCCTACTCCTCTTTCGGGATGAACAACTCGTCCGGAAACTTATCCCTCTTCTCCACCAAAAGTGCGAGTGGGTCCCACTGCCCCACCCACCGCTCCCACTCCACCTCCCAAAACCTCAAATAACTTTTCACCCCCAAATAGTGCACATTCCTCACAAAACTGGGCACATACTCCAGCTCGCTGGGCAACTTGGATTTAAACCCGACCCCCAGCACGGCATCTATTTCCTCCCGAATCACCCTCAACATTCCCCACTTGTACCCGTTTCCGGTATAATTTGCTGTCCGAATTACCTCCTCAACTTTCACCTCCAACCAAATAAATTCCTCCCAGGTCAACATCCCGCCCAATTTGTCAACCCTTTGCGACACGTCGATCGGACATTGACCCCAAACCCCGACATGCGCCAAGTCAAAGGCGATCAGTTCCTCAAAACTGTCTTTGACCTCAGTTATCCCAACCAAATTCCCCATTTCGGGGCCATACTCTTCCAAAATTTCTGCTCTGATGGTGCCAACCCACGGCCCGAAGGTAAGCAGGGTGGACACGAATTCCTTAAACTCGATCCAGGGGTAGTCATTAGTGTATAAAAGTTCTTTCAATTTTGTGTGCAAGTGACCCCCCTCAGTGCCATTAATTAGCTCATTTGCATACATTTCTTGCCGAATACGATTCACAATGTCGCCCCGAAGTTGGGCGACGTAAGTGCCTAACTCGTCTAAAACGAGTTTCGCCGTGAGAGCGTTTCCGCCGGCGGCGAGGAGTAGGTCGCTATCCAACTGAGTCATTTGACCCAACTGCGTCGTGCACTCGCAATTGTCTGACTCTTCTGGGTTTCCAATATTTGGACAGAAATAAGGGATACCATTCATGGTGGAAAAGTCGACCGTGTTATCACCCGTGCCGGCATAGAATTCGAGGAGATCCTCATGACCGGAGAAGGTCGTGTCGAATGATCTCTTAAGACCGCTAATTGCCCGGGACAAGACCAGTTTGGATTGGAGGGCGGATGCCGAACTGTAATTGAACAGGGATGAAGTGGAAATTGAGGACAAAACTTGTCTTGCATGGGTCAACCAGTCATAATTTTCTCCTTTTTTAGCGACGACACTGCCACAGCTGGTGAATCCCTTTTTTCTCAAGTTGTAAATAGACTCGTGTAAGGAATAATTTTTTTCCTGAGATGGAATATGATGCGCTAACGAGTCGCTAAATGTTCGCGTGTAAATCTGCTTCATTCTCTGGATCATAGGATATTTCATGTCAGCCTCGATCGGATATAGCGACACGAGGTTACTCACAGAGGCCAACATTTCCTGTACTTTCGGTGTAACCCCGTCCAACATAGCTCTCCCAGTGTTCATATCATCGACAATAATCATGTCTGGAAATGAGGGTGACTCAAAGAGGGAACATTCCGCAAAGAAGGAAATCTCCAAAATTCCCCGCAATTCAGATAACCAATCCGTCTCAGAATCCCCGCCGGAAGTCAGGATACAAAAATCCGACATTGTCACCACCAGCGTGGCCACCTGTCTCTGCAAGCGGGCGGCTTCTCCGTCATAAATATTACTCGTACGGGAGAAGCCTTCCGTGTCGAGGAGCAGGATGGCATCCACGTCACCGAAAGCTTCCGGTTTATCGGTGACGTCCAACCGGAGGAGACGCATTGAGACTCCGTTCGTCCCACTGCCAAAACTCCCCTCTTTAAAGGCCGGGCCAAACAGTTTGTTTAACAAGGCCGACTTCCGGCTGCCTTGAGGTCCAATGGCGGAAATGGTCATCAGCTTGAAATCCTTCACCGCAGCAAAACAAGCCGCCACGGATTCGTCAAATGTGTCGGTGAAGCTAAGGTTTATCAGTTCTAGTGGATAACCCGACATGAAAATGGATTGGACGGCTGCGTAGTACGAGACTGCTTCTGGGGATGAAGGATCATTTGCATAGTGAAGATTTAACTCCCGGAATAAATTCGTGAGGGATAACGTGCTCAAATTTAACTCGTGTCTTGCCGCCCTTAGCGCGGCGGTTAGCTGTGAAGCAGAAATTGAATCGGAAACCTTGGTGAAAGAATCCATAGTCAAATTTGATAGTTTTAACAGGGCAGATTTTCCAGAAAGTTGAGACATATTGTCAATCTGATGAGAAACAGGCCACAAAATTAGGTCCCTTTCCAACTCATCGGGAATAAGAATAACGTCCAAAAACAAGGATAAAACTTCATCCCTAATTTCATTTGAATTCAGTACAAAATTCCGGCCGTGATTTTGTCCCTTTAAACTTTGTCTCACCGACGTGATGGTATTATTTTCGATAAAATTTACCAACCTTTCCCCAGGTTTTGGACTTTGGTCTGTGAAATAACCTTCTCTCAACGTGGCATCCATTCCGTCCAAAACGTGTGTCATCATACTCTCCACAACTGGTCCCCACTCGTCGACCCCTTTCGTCGTATCGATAATGCAGCTTTGGTCCACATTCTTTCGAATCGTGTTGTCCGGGTCGACGACAAAGTTGAATATTTTCACCTCGTTGCCAAGCAACTGATCTACGTCAGGTTTCAAGGTGGCCATCTCTCTCCACGAGCCACACCCCCAAAACAACAAAAACGCCCCAGAACTTCGCTTCAGGGTTGCAATCAAATCGGGATGAAGTTCCATCCCATCGCCATGCACATTTGCTAATAGAACCATTTCTCTCTGATATTCCTCAAAATATGCTTTTAACACGTTTTCATAGAAACTTTCCCCCGCTGTAAATTTGCACAGCCAGGACAACTCTACTAAACCGGATGTATCAATTGGGTCCCCATTTTGAAATCCTGGTTCGAATTTTGACGAAAATTTACACAGTGATAGCATTGACTCGTTTAAAATGGTGCTCTTGCCAAACGCTGACTTTGCAAAGGGCCCCACCCTCAAAGCAGTGATCAGTTTGTAAGGTGGGTTTAGGAGCCGACTTTGTCGCAGGGGGTGTGGCGGCGACTCGTAATATTCCCGCATTTCTAGTAATTTCAAAGTCTCGGAGAAATCTAGGAAGAATTCTTCCCCTTTTTCTTTCGTAATGTCGGGAATGATCCAGGGCAAGGCGTGCAAATCTGGGGATTTTTGTGCCAAAAGGTGAAAAAGTTGGAATCGGACTGCGGGATCTGACGCACTCGTAACAAGCAGAGTGAGAAGATTCGCCCTCTTCAGGACAAAGGCTTTGGTAGCGTCGCCTCTTTCACTTTCATAAAAGTCATCGTCATCCCCTTGGGGGACCCGTGAGTGGGAAACTGGACCCCCAAAGCAGCTCAAACTTGGCGAAAATATCATCCCAATGGGAAGATTCGAGTGAAAATGAGCCCAATTTATCCATCCAGATTTATAACTCTGTTCTACCGGAATTGTCAAAGACTCGGAGTTCAACTCTGGGTAAAATTGGTCTATAATTGGATAATCGACGTATTGAAAAACGTTCCACTCGTTCAAAAGAACGGACGAGTTTCCCTGTTTTACCTGATCCCAAACATAACTCAGAACTGCGTCACCAATATTTTCGATTGCAGGAGGATCCAACATTATGATTGGAGCGTAAAATTGGCGAGGTTCCCTGACTTGGTGAAAGTTGTAATGTGACATTAGGCGAAGAAGACCAGATTTTGTGAAACGTCGCCATGTCCGATTGACCCGGAGGAAAGATTCTTCCTCCTCGAGGTGGAAGCGGGGTTTCTCAAATAGCCTAGTTTTGTTTGAAAGGCTATCCCCGCGGTTAACGTTTTTAAGCGTCTCACTTTTCCCCCGCAAAGCATTAAACGCCTCTGAAATCTCGCTAATCCCCCACCCACACGTAAAAATCTTTTCTTCCCGATCCCAATAGAAGAGTACGTCACCAACCGCCAAAGCATCCTCCAGTTCTGGCCTTGACTTTAAATTACTTCCCAAAACCGCAATGAAATCTGAGGGAACAGTCCGTTTAACTAGCAACGTCCCAAAAACATTCACCATTTCCTTAACCGAGTTCCATTCCTGACTCCACTTTTGCACCGGATCCTTCAACAAGCCACCCACCGCCAAGAGATGGCGCCTATGCTCACTCGGAAAATAGAGCGGGACGCCGTCCTCCTCTGAGCAGAATAGTTTATACATTTTCGCCACAACGGTTTTCGACTGGAGGAAGAGTCCCGACCAAATTTGGAATTTTGGATTGCTCCAGACCCACTCTTTCTCCTCGAGAGAAAATCCCGCCACAATCTCAAGTACCCCTAAAACACCGGCAGGATTTTCGATATTGTTCAATATCCATAAACCATCAAGAGCAGACCACAGCTTGAAGTAGTTTTCGTTAAAACGGGCCAAATGAAGGAGGCGGATAGATTGGAGGAGTTGATTGAGATAATTTGGATTGTACTCGTCTTCAACCATGAGGTTCAGACTTTCTACGAGGGCGGTTTTGAGGGAGTCCTCACGGGCCAATCCCCCGAAAAACTGTTCCATATAAAATTCTAAGATTGTTTTCAACGTACGAATAAATCCCTGCGCCTGCTCTGCCGCATAGTTCGCAGCGTCGATAAAAGCTTGTAAATATTTCCAAGCATCTGGATCTACTTCCTCCTCCTCACCCTCTTCCGGAGCGACTTCCAGCTGGAATTTGAGCAAATCTTCCTTCAGTCCTCCCCAGTTGGGATCTTCTCCACCCACTCCGAAACCATGTTGTTCCGACCAATTATAATTACTCAAAAGAGCGACCATCTTCCCGTGGTAAAATTGTGCAGGTTTTATCCCTATAAATCCCACAAATTCCCTCATCGTAGAAAATGCTGCCAGCTTAAAGACTTTTGCCGCCTCTACAAACGTTTGGTGAAGGGCGACATTCTCTTCCAACAAGAAGGGACACTCACGAAGGGACAAGGATAACTCTCTCACGTCCAGAATAGAGTACAAATCTAACCCAGTGTCAATTTTGATGGGGGCAAGAGGAGACCGCCCCATCATTTTTGGCGACAGGCAGGATTCTCCTAATGCCCCACCTTGCCCGGTAGTTAGATAATGTGTTACTAGGAGAAAGTCCAACTGATCGTATGCCACCGCCACAACGGCCCCGTACTTATCCAAAATGTACAGCGAGGGACCCTCCCCCGCATCGCCGTGCGTGTCAAAATATGCCACAATTGTTCGGAAATTTATCGCTGTGTTTTTAGCTGATCTAACTTTACCCATCATTTCCTTGAAGTAAAACACACAATCACGCATCCCTGTAATAAATTGGGGTGTGAGAACAAACGTGAAATCTGCATCAGTTTCCCTCGTCAAAATTTCTAGTAGTTGTAAATACGTGTTTGTGCAAGTCAACCTATACTTGTCAAATTCCACTTGGAACGAAGAAATCAACTCGTACAACTCGTCCAAGTTCCATCTTTCTACCGACCCTTGAAAAAATAGGGTCGAGAGAACGGAGTAAAACTTGGACGTGTTGCCATAGCGACGCGACTTTGCTTCCACGATGACTTTCAATATCTCCAAAATCTTTCCGATCTCTTCCCCAGTGTAATATCGCACCGGAAATGAATTAATTTTTAGCCCTAAACTAAACCCTAATCCTGGCACAATATTGGGTGCCGCCACTCTGACTTTGAAACCCAGATCTTTAACTAGCGCCGCAGTTAGGGAATAAAGCTTGATGAAAGTGCCACTAACTGCATCCCCTTCTGTAGTCAGGGCTAATTTGAACCCAATATTATCCCCCAAAAACTCCTCCCATTGATTTTTTCTGAATATGAAGAGCTCAGCCTGCCCCGCCACGGTGGCGTCGGCGGGGCGAAGAGTGTTCAAAATTTCTTTACCTGCTGCAACATGATCAAACACGGCGATTTTCACCTTGGGCGGAAAAAGGTCGGACTTGTTGTACGAGTCCACAATGTTCTTGAGATCTACAATGGTCGCGTTCCGGTTCTTGTACAGCTCCAAAGTCTCCGTCGCTTGTTGCGATAGTTCTTCCGCCTTCTCAAACAGCTTTGTCTGGTGCTTATCGACATCATCCGTCCAAGGATTGAGTTCCCCTTCGCCATCATCTTTGGCCGGAAACATGGTCGCGAGCCGAGGGTCTTGGTCGCAAATGAGGGATTGGTAGTAATTATTTCCATGCGTGTGATCACGCAAGCTGAAGACCATGTCCTGGATTTCTTTAAGAAGTTCAGCCTCGAGCAGGTCGTATTTTTCGTAATCGTCATCCAGGGGAATTAGGAGGGGCAAGGGGGAAAGACGGAAAGAAATGGGGACTCCTGTTACCCTCGCACCAGGGTAGGGGTAAACTACTGCACCATCCACCTTGTCCGGGATTCTTTCGACTGTTTCAAACATTTCGGCGATTGTTTGCGGTTGTTCTCCCACATCGGGTAAGGACTCGATCTTGACCTTCTTTTCAAAGTGGCCCGAACTGTCTTGATCCATAAAGGCAAGGCTGGCCTTTAAACCCACGTTTACACCTGAGTAGGAAATATGCATACAATTTGCCAGTGTATTTTGCTTTGTATTTGCAAATATAAATCTTGTGCGTACCTGCGAACACTGGGACCATACCGCCAACGTAACCACTAAGATCGAGAAGTTTATGGTCCATTTTGCTCTTCAGGCTGAATATCCCAGTCGCCCAACCACCATATCGAATCTCAGAAACGTAATGCGTCGCCTCTTTTCCTATGGAAATAAAGGTAATGAGTTGACAAAGGTTGTCATGGTAAACGTGCGTTTATACTTCACTTTGGTAACTTGAGCCATAGTTAAATTATAACATTGGCGCAAGTTAATCATATATATATATATATATTTATTTACGCACCGTCACTATATTTGTCCTTGACCTCCTCTTTTATGATCCTTTCCTCATTTCGCGGGTCTTGCACGGATGCCCTCGTTCGGAGCACGGAAGTCTGAACATTGTACTGGCAGAAAAACTGTTCCTCTTCAAACTCCTTGGAATCCTCCTTTCGAAAAGACACGCCCCCTTCGACTGAAAAAGATGGAAGTTCAATCTTCACTTCGACCGAAATATCCAAAATTTCCGATTTCCCATTCGTGTCCCCTACTCGAGACAGCGTGTACTTCATATCGTGGACTGGAACGACTTCCAAAAACTCTTCGTTTCTTATCTGATCTTCTTTGAAGATGTTAACATCTAGAACGGGTTTTGAAGTTCGGCAATTAAATAAGTCTCCTATTTGAACGTTCCAGTCCTGCATTTTTGGTAAAGTGAGGGTCGTTCCCTCCATCGTGGAAGTGTTCAGTTTTCCAGGAGCCATGATTCACCTACTTTTCAAAATTGTAAAAATTATTTAATAACTTGTATGGTCTGAGAATTATGAAAGCTCACCTTTTCCCGTGAGGACAAGGTCACACAAGGTCAAATTCTTTCAAATATTTGCAAGAGATTTAAGGTGCTTTGCTTGCTAATTTTATGTACTGGTATTCATCCCAGGTTGAAATTTGATTTGACGACGTGGCAGTTTCGCATCCCGTTATTAACCATGTAACACTATCCAATACGAAATACATACCAGCACCAATTCCAGGATTTCAACTTCAACACGAGTTGTGAAGCGATAAGCCCACATAATCACTCACCGATCCATATACATACATATGTACATACTTTGATTGATCGCTTGTTATGCAAATTATTTGTCAGAATTGATCCGTCCATCGTATCCCCGTAATTAACTAACTAACTTACCATAGCGAAGAATCAGTTCCCATTGTGTTGCCAACCAGATTCGCACTTATGTTGCATGAGCCCTTGTCAATTCGGACAGCTTAAAAGTGTCTCATATTTTGGAAAGCGTTACTTAATTAACCACAGATTTAACCGATACAGCAACCATTCCAAATTCATGACAAAATAGTTTGCAAAGAATACGACTTTTCGGTAAGGATATTTAGTAAGTAAATAATTCGAAAAAATAACGGAGAAATTTTGACAACAGGCACCAATATTTCGACTCAATACAATTCGAGTCGATTTAACCAATTCGATTACACAATATTTGCACCAATATTTACCACATGAAAGATTTATTTACTAGTAATTTTACCTCAATTTCCAGACAAAATGTCGGAAGAGGACCTTCCCACCCTGCCCCCTTTGGAGAACGGAGTTATCACCATTGGTGATCTATGGGATGCCAGAAATTCTCGCCGCGTTGGTTTCAATCTCTTCGGGAACAACATCACCTCGAAGAAAATTGGAGATTTGGACGACCTCTTAGCAATAGAAACCTCAAACGAAGTTGGCAAATATACCTTTGAGCACATGAAAGATTCAAGCGATAATGCGAACAAGGTCGGACTTGGGGCCCAAATTACTTGCGAGTTGCTTGGAGGGCTCATCAAGGTCACGGGAGGGTTTGACTTTGAGGTAAGTCGAATTAAGTAATATGTAACATTTATTTCGATAAGATTAATTAAAATTTTAAACAAAATTTGATTTCAATTTTTGAAAGGTGGGGTGGAGCAAGGGCATGTCGACGGAGGAGTGTATTTGCATCATCACAAGGCCAAAGAATTTGATCCGATTAAAATCCAATGGCCCCGATGTCGTACAAAAATACTATGACGAACATGTGAAGATGTTGCTTGAGAATAATCCAGGTAAGAAAACTCTTTTCTCACTTTTTGGCACCATAAACGGGATCCTATCCATATCTACATATTTACATATTTCACTGTCCAAAATCAGCTTATTTTTACTGCAAAACTGCCTGAAAATGCTATTTATTCTTCAAATATTGTCTTAAAATCGAAATTTGCAACATATTGTTCAACCATTTTTCAAAATTGAATTTGCAAATTTGGCCACCCTATTTAGTCTCCTCCAGAACTCGTTGATCTTTCTATTTTATTTTCACAAATCTATATTCTTAACTTATTTCCAAATATTTCTTAATATTTTTGGAAGCATGTTTGCAAACATAAAATTTCACACACATAAAATTACGATATCTCATACTTTCATATCACATACGAAAGTCATCCCATACATACATAATTTTCAGCCAAACTACCCCTTGCGACCCACGTCGTGACCGGAATTGATATAGGAGGCAGGCTGACATCGTCCATCAAGGTCACCCAGAAAAAGACCGGAGATCAATACAAGGTAGGCTTCTTCATCAAAGGCGAAGCCAATCTGTTCGCCCTCACCGGAAAAATGGATATGAACGCCAGCGTCGGGGAAGACATTCAAATCACAAATTACGACTCTAAGATCAAACTCGTCTGTATGCCTCCAATCCCGCCTCCCACGAGCGAGAAGGACTTTTACGATGATCCCCCACCAGATCCTGAAAATCCTCCTCCTCCAAATATCACTGTCGATAAAAATTTTGCAGAGGCTCTGGACAAAGAGAAGCACTTTGTGTATTGGACAACCTTACCGTCCAACCCGATGGAACTGATCGGACTCCCAATCAAATTCACGCTCAGTCCGATTGACCGTTACTTGCCCCCAGGAAATCTATACCTGCCCCCAGAAGGCGACAACAAAAGGTCAAAACTTCTCGAAGATGACCCTTCCCTTAAGGAATTTGAGGGACTCCTCTGCATCCTTCGCGACTGGGCGGGGACTGATTGTATAAAGCGGAGAATAATGCAGAAGCTGAGGCGAATTCAGAAAATCCTTCACGAGCCGGAACATGTCTTTACAGTTGATACGGTTGAAGAGGAAGTTAAATTACGAGAACTTGCGGAAGAAAAGAGATTGGACGGTTTAAAATTATTCACGGCCTGGAAAGAAAAACTATTTCTTGAGGGAAATGAAGAAGAGAGAAATTTTAAAGAAATGGTTAGGGAACTGGCAGGTATAACAGAAGCGCAAGAAGCCGCAATTGTCGTTTTTGTTAATAACATGATCACAAGGTCAAAAGCGGAATTGGACGCCGTAAATATAACCACGCCAGCAATTCGAGAAGGGGAAGAAGAAGAGGAGGAACAAGAATTTGATGGTGAAGAGAAAAGTCCACTCATCTATTTTACGAGTCAGACAGCACTCACCGCTTGGCAGAAGACGCAACGGTTCTGCAAACTCCTCTACTCCGCTTACATCCCGGAAGATGGTGCTCCGCCGCCGGAGGGAGAATCCATCCCACAACGAATCTACAATATGAGCGAGCGTCTCGGAACGGTCTACATTCAACCCGCCATTTCATATCCCACGCTTAGTGAGAAAATCGCTCGAGAAAGGAAAAAGTTTCGGGCTGAAGATCAAGAGCTATTTTCCATCAATACGCCGAACGGAACTCTCTCGTACACTCGGAGTGACGTAGACCTGGTCAAAATTCACTTCGTCCTCGACCTCCTCACCGCCCTGACTGGGATGGGAGGGGAGGCCGACACGTTTTCCAGGATGGGTCACCTTTACATCACCTACTGCGAACTGCACGGTATCAAACTTAACATTTCCCATACGATCGATGTCATCCCGCTCATTCGCCTGTTGGAAGGGATGTTTGGCTCACTCGCTATTACGCATACTTTGACAAGCACTAAAAACGAAATCGAAAATCGGGAAGATTTTACACTCATATTTACTCAAGACGGCGTCCAATCTTCCCGTCACGTTGTTTACGCGTTACTTCAACTGGGCCAAACTGCACCCAATTTAAAAAATGGGGACGTCCTTTGCGCCACGTTTGACATAATAAACGTCCCAGACGTTCCACCGCTCCTACTTTCCTGGGACAAACAAGTGAAAGGTGTCTGCCTAGATCACTTGGACCTTCTCGTCCTCCTTGACCTGTACAAGAAGGAGGAGAAGTGGGACGTGGACCAGATTTCAAAGTACCTTGGGATCGGTCAGTTTGACCAATCGCCCCTCTGCACTACGGACAGGGTACTATTTTCACAGTATGTGCGACAAATGTCTTCCTTCCCAACTCGAACGGTTTCTAATAAAGACTTGAACCCACTTGTTGACATCTTAACAGCCGTCCTCACCGCAACGGTCCAAGGGCCAAAGGATCTCGCTAATGTTGCGACTCGCTATGCAATCAAACTACTGGGCGCGGATTACGACCCTGGAGATATTCCTTCTTGGGATCCGAACCAAGAGGAGTACATAATCGAGACAGGGAATTCAACTGCCTGGGGTGAAATTGCCACTCATCTGGGCATGATTTGGTCGTCCAAGCCAAGGTTTGCCTACTACAACGCTTTGTTTCTACTCTTTGGTGAATTCCAACTGTACGCATCGCCAATCCCAGTTCCAGAAATTATTGAGGATGAGGAAGACGAGGAAATTCCCGAAGGCCTCAGAGAAGAAGAGACAGCCACCCCAACCCCGGCAGAGCAATATGACACACTAGACAAAAGTCTGCTGAAAGAATTTCCAAGCGAAATTAGTGACACCTTCAGGAACGAAGTCGACCTAATCCACGGCCTCAGAACGCTCCACTCGAAAGGATGCGCTCGACTCTACACGACCGCCCTCTCGCGCGAAGTAGGCAGAATAGAACAGCGAATTGGGGGCGATGAACAACACCAAGAAAAGGCAACCAAGATCCAAATAGTGAAACACTTAAAAGGAATCGTATCCGAGATTCAGTCCAGTGCCACAGTCCCGGACCATTTGTGCCATGCCCTTCTAGAGTTTACGGCATCGGTCGAAATACCAGAAACATCAGGGGATGAAGATCCCCCAGAAAATCAGAAATACCCGCCAGAAATTCTCTACCGACTGCGTACCTCGCTCAAATTAAAGCGCTACTACCACATGCTCAGTGATTTGGTGGAAAACACGCCAGAAAAATTTGACATCCTACAACTCAGCCATTTTCAGCTGGAAATGTACCGTCTTGTCAGCATCACCGACTGGCTTAATTTGATCCGACTCATTCAAGAGATTTCCACTTTTGAGCAAGTCACCCTCGAACGAATCTGGAGCAATGCAAAATTCCAATATTTAATTCGTGCCAATCTAAACAACGACCTAGTACTTCGCGCCTTAGCAAAAGGGTTCGTCAAACCGGGACAAAACACTGTTCCTAAATACATCCCACGAGATATTGCTAAGGCGATTCTAAGCATCAATCTCTCTCCAGAGGGAAACCCGATCGGTTTTGAACCCATCTGGACGAGCAAAGCCGTGCTGATCAAGTCACTCCAAATCCTGTGGGTCTTAAAAGTCATTCCCGAACAGTTCCAATTATATCTGCTGAGAAATACCGTGGCGGAAGATGGAATCGTCTACGAAGCTTTGAAGGATGTTGACGCTTTGCTTTATTGGAACGAAGAGAAGAAATATTTCGACCAAATTTGGGACTTGGCGACGATATATGAAGTAATTCTTCGGTTAATGGGGCAATATGAGGCAAAACTCATAAAAAATAGGTCCAATAAACCCCACGAGATATACCAATTTCAACATAAGAAATCCACCGTTGTCAGCTCTTCCACTCGCCGACGCACCGAATTAATCACCGTCTCCCAATTTCTCACAATGACGAAATCGCCTCCCGCCCAGGATAACCCAGACTTTGAAAGCAAAATTATGAGACTTCTCTACCATTTGAAACTCATGAAAATGAGCTCCCTCCAGGGAAGCTACAACCCTTTCGTACTCACCGAAAGGGTGGACACACTGACACATCTCCTTTCCCGGGCGGAAGGGCCACTACAAACCGAATTATTGACAATAATTGGCACTAAATTTAGTTCGCAATTCGCCATCCCACTCACAATTTGCAATTCTACGTCTCCTCAGACCTTCATTTCATTTACTTACTCGCTCCTCCTGGAACCTTACAAGTCAGCCCAACTCCCAAAAATTATCACTGCAATTCGCATCGGTCCAGACACACCGGAAGGAAAGAGTCACTTCCTGAATTCGATGTGCACCTTGAATCTAGCCGCGTTTGCATCAAAATCTAATTCCACTCCGGGCGATATTCCCCAATATTTGGAAGGATTCATTGATGTCATCAAAATTAACGAGACCACAGGAAACCCTGTCTTTTTAGATGTTTTGTTCAGAAATGGAAAACCAGAAGAATTTTATGTCCTTAACGTGCACGGGGACGCTTTAAAAAATCCGCAACATTTAAAGCTCATTCAAACCGTGACCTCATCGTTCATGGTGTTTTGGAACCCGCAAAATTGGAGCAGTGTCGTCGACAAGAAACAAGAGCTTCTAAATGTAATAAAACCCTCCCACGCCACCGTTCACTTGTACATTGATCCCACGGAGGACACAATTGAGGAGATTGAACAGTCCGAAATTATCCGGAAGCCATTTGCAACACCAACCCCGGAAAATTTGAATAATTGCGGGAAAGCCGTGGCCACCGCCCTCTTGCGGAGACCCAAACAACCAAATCTTTCCAGTAATGCAGACCCCACTCCCGCCATCACATTTCCCACTAAACACCCCGTCGCTGTTGACACGGCGTCCTGGATTCATACCAGTTCCACAAAAGTAATCAAATCTTCCTTAATTCTTCAACAGGGATGGAAACATGCCAAAACTGAAGCAGAGTTAGATTCACATTGGACTTCTGATCCATTTTATGCCACGCTAATAACGAAACTGGTCCAAATCTTGGAACACAGTGAAGAAGAATATCGCACTATCTTATCCGATCTAGCCGAACTTCTGACTCCCACGAGTGAAAATGAGGACATGGCGACCACAGCATGGAAAAATTTGGGTTCCCTCACCCACCAAGAATTTGGTCACACGTCCTTCGGGGCGGTGACTCCAACGACGGTAACAAAGCAACAACATCTCCTCGGTTATTTGCAAAACGATATTGACACGGCGCGATTGAACGTTACTGATCTGCTAACAGAATTATGCAAAATTTACGAACTTTCTCCCGCAAAATTACCCTTCAATCCCGTCCCCATCATGACAACCCTGTTCCAATCGAATTCTTCCGCTCTGCCCGTCCCATCCGTCCCAAGTGCGGGATTCTTTACGGAAAAGTGGTCACAAGAGTTCATCTCCAATTTAGAAGACACATCCGTCTTTGTCATGAACTGTGTTGGAACCGATGCATTTCAAATTAGTGGAGTTGTCAACTCCATTTTTGGCATAAGTTTCACCTCTACGTCGTCCCGCTCTGGGTGGAGCGAGACACCGTGGTCCGGTCTCTTCATGCGGTTGATTATCTTGAGTGACGAAATTACAGACCAAACCGGAATCCGATCAATTCTCCTCCTCCACGCGAAACCACTCTGCGCCACGACCGCCAATGGTCACCCAACTCTGACACAGAGAGACCAACAGCTGTCCACCTTCCTCCTCGCGACGAGCAACCTCTCCCTCATTTTCGACTTTGATCTCACCTCATTCGAATATACCGCCATCCTCGAAACGTCTCTCATTGCCCTGAACAAGGTTGACATTGATGACAAGACGCCACGCCTCTTCTTCATCGGCTTGACGGTCCCGCAACTCGGAGGATCCGAGATACTGACCATGCTGGACAGGACGAAACGCATGGCGGAGAGTTGGATCGACTACGGCGACATTTCCACCCTCGGCCACCGCGTAATCCTCTCCGCCCTTCAGGATGTAAATGACAACCCAGGAAGCGTAATTTTCGACCTTACTCTATATCCGACCCTGATTCCCTTGTCCGACGCAATTATCACAGCCGTAACCAATTTGAAAGACGAGTGTCCCAAATTACCCGACTTTCTAACCGAACTAGGACCTATTTGGACCCACATTCGGGACAAGGTACCCTTTCCGCATCCCAACTTTGACGAGATGACCCGGTCAGAAAAATTCTACGCGGCCCTGCACGAACTACTCAATCTGATCGATGACGCATTCAACTTTCACGTCGAGGACTTTCCCACCTCCATATTTAGCGAGATGTCAAACATCATCAACGCCTGGGTGACCAAAGAGGAGGGCGAAGTTTCCGTCCCGACAAAGAAGGACAATCTCTGGAGCAGAGTTTCCGCCTATGTCAACAAAATGTGGGAAGATTGCGAAATGAATGAAGAAGATGAACAGTGTGTCGCCTGCAAAAATAAAGAGATCAAGCAAAAAGAGATACTGGACGAATGGCCACCTTGGGAAACAGAGGAACCTGAACCCGAACCTGACACGCGGTTCACTCAAATCAAATTTACCCAACTAGTGGAGGAATACATTTCATGGGAGAGATGGCATTACGTCAATCTTGCAAAGGAAATGATGACCGCTTTTGAGATGCGTCTACTCGCCCAAGAAGAAGAAACTTACATTGAAGAAGAAGACGACCCTGAATTCAGTCCTGTTCAGAAAGCTAGCCTGGAAGTGAAGATTATCGACTCGGAGAGAAGATTGAGACAGGAGATGGTCTCACTTTTCCCTGGAGTGGACATGGCGTGGGATGAGAATGAGGATGGCTTTGACTACCTTAAAACCACTCCTGCATTTGCAGATCCTGATAATCCTCTAATGAATGAAGAGGAGGCTCAAAAATTGAGAGATTTGTTGGTCAATCTGCCCACTATTGAGGTCAGGTTGGGCGGCCATGTTGGGATTTATCAGGGAGGAATGGTTCGTCGTACGATGAGCACAGTTGAGACGGCAGCCGTGTTAAAATTCGAACAGGAAGTTGGCAAAAAAATCATTAACAATTTCCGACTGAAGGTTGTCTCCCACACGGTGTGGAGATTGAACAAAATTCTGAATACGTCCCAAAATTGGTGGAAAAAGGATCATGATCCGCTAGTTATTTATTTGGCCAGTTTGCTGTAAGATTGGATTGAAAAATATCTTTGCATGTAAATATATAAATGCAATTAAGTAATCTACACATGAACCAATTTATTAATTTAATCGTAATACATATTTACATGCTAATAAATAATGTTATAGCTTCAGCATGTCGTAACCTTGCCGTCACATTGAATCCAAACCAAATATGCTCACCCACTCACTAGATAATAAAGTCCTATATAAGTAATCATATTATGATGATGGAATTAATTGATCCGCTAATAATAATTCACATTTCATCAGTGCAGCCGCATAAATTGTAATTAAATATATGCATACCATTTTCATGACATTTCGCGACCCTTAAAAATTATAAAAGTTCAAATCAAAAGTCAAATACCACGAAATGGTACATCGATCGCTTGTTCTGCGTACCTTATCACCATGGCAACCTGAGCATATAACATAAGCATTGATAATATCATAAATTACAGTACAATCATTCACCCATCGCTTTCCACACACTTGCATACTTAAACATACACATAGATAACTGTTCACATTTTATATTACACTTCACTCCAATTTTACCACCGTACCAAGCAACACTTATCCCACTCACCGACAACTTTCACAAATAAATACGCGTCTCCAATCATGCCCAAGGTGGAGGAAGGACCCATTGTGGTCCTAGTCGAAAAACTACCTTCAGGGGAAATCGTGGAATTGCCCCTGGGGACGGCATGCGACTGCAAAACAGGAAAACAAATCAATGGTACTCCACCGACTGGATTTCCAACCGAAGATGTCGAACTTCTTCCTATTCGTACCCTAAAATACGATTTGCATCATATTCGTGACACTACTGAAAAAGAGCAAACCCTTGAAATGGGCTTGAGCCTCGTTCTTCAAACGCTGATCGGTCTAAGCATCACGATTGGAAGTGTTTCCTATAAGTCAAAATACAACAGTAAGTTGGACGTGGAGCATTTGCAAGTTTACTACTATCGTGAAGACAGGGTCAAGAGGTTGCTGCCATCGGAGGCGGTCAGAAATAAGATCACGGAAGGTTGGTCAAAAAATTAGTTTTTGAAAACTATTTATGGAGAAAAGGGCTTTTTATATTTTTTGCTAAAAATCGTTTCAATGTTGTCCAGCTTATCCCAATATTGGGACGACTGCCACACACGTCATCACCGAAGTCTACGAAGGTATTCACCTCGTCGCCAATGTATACATTAAGACGTCCAAATCCTCCAAAATGGTTAATAAAACAGCCTCCGGACTTGGAGCTTTGATCATCGGACCGATCAGTGCCGGAATCGAGGCCGGTTTAAAAGTATGCCGGTTAACATATAAAATTTTACAAAATTGTAAATACATAAATAAAATATGATTTTAAAAAAATTTATAGGCCGTACTTGACAAGGCACCCAACTCGGTCACGATCGACATAGAAGTCGATGGAAATGTGACCTTTGAATCCGAAATTAAAACGGCACAACAGCTATTCGCCGAAATTAAGAAATTGGACAACCTTCCCTCTGGGGTTATGAAGCCGCTGAAGTACTTTGCCGTTCCGGTCACCCAATTTCTCAATCTGGAGGCTGTTCCCGAGATTGACGTCATACCCGACTTTTTTCTCCACCCGCTCAACCAGATGATGGCCAATATTAAGGATTATCGTAACCCAGAGGATGAGGCGGAAAACGAGGAGGACCGGAAATCCTCCCATTTCATTAAACGGATCGAGCAGGCCGACTTCAAGCTCAAGATAATCTTGGAAGATGTCCGGAATCCTCTAACTTCTGTTATTATACCGATACAAGAAGGCTATAATAGCCTTGCTACGACCTTATACTCAAGCGGAAAGGGTTTAGTCGAAGGTATTCAAACCGGAGTTACGAAGGAACATGAAATCACAGCCTTACTTGCAGATTATAAGAATAGGTTTGACCTAAAACGTTTAAACTCTGAGGTGGAGGACTATATTCGACAAGGAAAACGACAGCTGGCACTAATAAACGCAGACGATGTGGACCAATTTACGAAAGCTAATTTCCTCGGGAGCTTATCCAGCTTGAGATCCCTCCTGGCCGAGGAGCGTCCCTCCTTCCATGTCGAACTACAAACCATGGAGGATATCAACAATCCCCCACCGAACGGTTTGTTTCTCGCAGCATACAACCTCTCTGCAAAAATGGGGGTTTACATCGTTACGCCAAACGCATCGACAGAATTTTCTCTAAAAATAGTAGCAAACTCGGAAAACAACTACACGTGCACCGGGTATACTGAAATAATGACTGCGTTAGCCATTCTAACGGCCGCAGCTGGCGTGGTTGGGGGCCCTGCTTCTAGATTCTATCAGGCATTAGCTTCCATGCGAGACTTGGCGCTTCCACTTAAAGAGGCAGAACTTAACCTTCAATTTTTAAATTTCTTGATCGAATGTTTAGAAAAGTATGGAAACGTGAAAATGTTTGCGACATTTTTGAGCTTAAAGTCGCACGTGTTAGAGATCGGTGAAAACGAACCGAACACAATTATCATCTGTCTCCCGGTATCATCCTTTCTCTCTCTGGTCGAAGCGACAGAGGCGTTTAAACGGCTGAACGAAAAACTAAGAGCAAACGGTACATATTCCTTTGTCGTTGGAACGTTCGACCTGGAACTGGACGATGCTCCTCTCCTTCTGCTGTTTCGGGCGGGTCAATTAGTCGCGACCTGTCTCGACTGGTTGGACTTTCTCCGCCTGGAGGACATTCTCGAGAAAGAAGTCCACGATTTTGACACCCTCAACGCCAACACGAGCACGTTCTACCCCACGAAGACAAAATTCCATAAAGAAATTCGGAAACTGTTTCAATTTTCCCTCTTCCAAAAACCCACCATCGTTCATCACCCCAAAGTCTTGGATCTCGTCAGACCCGACGAAATGACCAAGATACGCACCGCAATAGAAATCTGTACTGCTTACCTTTCCATAGAGAACCGAGAAGAACGAATGGTCACCAGCTTGACGGTCAAATTACTCGAGGCAGTACCGTCCTTCACCTCCCATTTGGAGGCGATCAGCTGGTCCGCGTCGCAGAAGGGGTTTCTCAACCCGTCCATTTTTGGCGAGATTAATCGTCCGGTTATCCGGAGCATTTATCTCGATTTGCTCTTCACATCTTCCAACCTCCTCACCAAACTGGGCGCATTTGTTCATACGCTCGACTTTTCGATTCAAACTTACAATGCGGCTGGAGGTCAGGGGGCGGACCATTTTGTCGACCTGAATAAAATGGTTAATGAAGAAAATCAACTGAACGACTTCGTCTCTATTGACCCAGGGTTGGTGGCTGAATTGAAGGCTATTTTGACAACTCCGGATTTTGATAAGGTCACCGAGGCCCTCACGAAGGTGGAAGATTTAATCCTTCATCCAAAATTTGTAGATGAGGAGGGACCCAACGTGGGAGTGACCCATTTGCAAAGTATCCTCTCAATCCTGCCCCCCATCCAGCCGGAAGACGATACAGATATTCCCCCAGAAGAGGACGCGAAGAGAATGATGCGGTGGAAGGAATCCAGCGAGGACATGTTTCACAAGATTGTGACCACTTTTGTCAAAGCGGTCGAATGGGGTGGGGTTATTGGCGAAATTGAAGACTTTTTGGCAAAACGCCTCATTCTCAAGATAGTTGACGCCCTGTCCAAAATCCAGTATCCGACGTGGCATCAGACAATATCGAAACAATTCCGGGAATTGGCAAGTATCCAGGATTACGATAAGCTTGTCGAAATAGTTGAAGGGCTGAATGGCTTACAACTCGTAAAAGATGCTGAGCATCACTTCATCTGGTCGAATCCACCGTTTGGGAGGATGATTCTGGATGCGTTGGAATTTGACATTGAGAAATACTCGCTCGATTTTTTTAACGCGGTGGTACAAATTAAAGGAGATGATCCAAACGAGCCGGAATATAAGAGTCTGCCACCCTACATTCCAATCAAGATTGCGAGAATTCTGAGGGCGCACTTGTACAAGAATGAGGACGGGGCGAAATTGCCCAGGAAGGCGTGGATGTCGTTGGAGCAGAGACGAAGGTGGCGTGGACCTGTTTTCCCAACGAAAATGAAGACAATGGTCACGAAGGGTTAAAAATCTGGGTCATTTCGACAAGAAAATTTCATTAGTTTAAAAAAAGTACTAAAAAATTAACCCTTTTTTAGCATTTCATATTTAGTAAATTCTAGTATATATTTACATTCGTTCATGCATGCAAACCGTAATATATTCCAAACAAAACAAACCAACTCTGCTATTAAAATTTAACAAAAACCTTAATTTATACTTCATCTTAACAATGTCAACGCAATATACATACATATCCGAAAATGAGTCCCCCATATCACAAATACATAAATCTTACTTAATAAGAATAAACTCTTCAATTTTAGCACCCAAATCAACTTGTCAAATCAAACCAAATCCAATTTTTGCTGTTTTAGTTTATGGCATAAGCTTAAAATCCATATTCGGTAAATAATTGTGAATATTTCTTGCTCAGGGGAAATCATGTAATTTGGCGTTATATAACTACGCACATAAAGCTTGAATGAATCATTACGTTGATAAACTGATTTGACATTGATGGATCAATTTGCACCATTGTACGTACTGAGAATTGGGCCCAGGTAAAGTTAGACATTTATTGTCCAATGCAGATAGAGCGATTGACAATGACTGGAAAACAGTCAGCACTTTGGCTTGCTCCGATGATAAGCAAAGCTTATATAATTATTCCATATGTACGAATCAACCAAATTCCAATTTGAGTGTGATGACAACTCGTACAAAGTGAGCCAGGAACAAAATTAAGCCTTGTACCCAATAAATAAACATAGTTATGATGACATTTCTCCGTAATGGTAACCCAAAATTTCCACGAATCAATTGATTGATTGATTCAAATTGACAAATTTTATTTTATTCGCGTCTCACTAATCCCAGGGAGACAAGATAATAGCATTACAAAATATGGAAATAAGCTTATCATTACGATGCATCCATAAGCCTGCATTTTTACTAAATTAGACAGAAATGTAAATATATTTATTTGCATCAATCATTCCAATTCGTGGATGTGGTCACCATTTTGAAGTGCATGCCGATGAATTTAGAAGCAAGCATGCTATTAATAATCTAGAATTCCTCACAAACAAATGACGCATTTCTCAATTATTATCAAATTTATGTACTTATCTGCTCGAAAATAAGTAATTTACATTAAAAACAAAGCCATGTTTTTTCGTTTTTACAAACCCGACAGCAACAACATTTGCGTCAATCAAAAGAGTAAACTTTAATAAGGATCGATCTCAAGTTCGACTTATCAGTTTCGTACAGATTCTCATACATGGCAGTCGTGTTATACATATTTACTTATCTTGGGAACAATTTGCAATGATCGGTAACATGAGTTAATTTGTCCCTTCAACCTCGTCAAATTTATCAATTAAATAATCAATCGATTTCAGCGAACATGGAATTTATAAAATTATCAGTTTTTCATTAACTCACATATCAATCAAACCGACAGTTGATCATGCTGGTCCATTTCCATTTTTTCATTCACACAACGCAAGTTGGGAGCTTATCTTGTCTCCCTCTGTTCACCACCTCCTCATTTGATTTACAACTGACATACCATTAATATAAGGCTAATACTGCCTGCCAATTATACAAATGTACCTAGTCGGGTATGAAATTCTTTGATAAACGTTTTTTACTGCAGAAAAATAACGGGTAAGAATTTTTAATTAAAATTTTCCACACGGATGCATAATATACCTGTGTATAATATAAAAATACTACCTTTCCAAATTTCCTCTCCTGGAGTACACACGCTTGAGAAATCTGATGGACGGCCGGTCGCTTGGAGCACGCGCGGTTTTCTGTGGAAACTTATCCCAAGCCTTGCGTAAATTTAACAAGGAAAATTAAAGAATTTGCACTAAGCAAAAATCATACATACCCCTGGCAAATAGAAAACGTCGAAGATCTCATCCCCCTAAGTCTTTGATGGTTTGGATTTGAATTAATCTGCTGGAGAAAGCGAAACCCTGTTTTTCTCTAGAAAGGGTTACAGCGCAAGCCAAGAATTACATTACCAAAGTTGCAAAACTTAGTGTAAAACCTTTGAAGTCCGGCCTATTGAAAAATAGAAACTGAATTTCTTAAAAGGTCACGGCTCAGTCATATGGTGCAAAAATTGTCCAAAATTGGCTATGAGCTCATTTCATCGATTTAATTTAGTCACAAAAATGCCATCGGTAATAGCAGACCTTAATCATCTGGATTATGACTTGGGGCTTAAAATTGAGACCAAGGCCTGCTCTAAATCTTCCAATGGTGCAGAAGTTCTCAAATTTTGTTTCTCAACGCATGTGACCATTTTCCGGTAGAAACCGCGCATGCTCCAAGCGACCGGTCGTCCATCAGATTTCTCAAGCGTGTGTACTCCAGGAGAGGAAATTTGGAAAGGTAGTATTTTTATATTATACACAGGTATATTATGCATCCATATGGAAAATTTTAATTAAAAATTCTTACCCGTTATTTTTCTGCATTGAAAAACGTTTATCAAAGAATTTCGTACCCGACTATGTACATAATTCACACTAATTGTTAGTAAAAAAAAACTTAATCCTAATCTAAGTTGAAGTCAAGTTCTTATCAGAGATTAAATTACGCGAACCTAAAACATCGGTGGGCGATAAGTTGCATAAAATTCGATTTGTGTTCCTGACAACGTACTCAATCCACTCATTTCCATAGCCCCCAAGTAAAACACACAATGGAGACCAATCTTAAAAACTTGTTATTTTTTCTACTTGTTCTCCTACCTGTCTCAACATACGGCTTAGAATTTGGCGACATCTGCATACCCAGCGATAATGTGAACATTTGTGACCCTGCAAAACTTCTAAAATGTGTCCGCGTAGATGTCTCTCAACACAAGTGCATGTGTGACACTGACCTTTCCCAAGAAAACCCACTCGTTCCTACAACCTGCACAAAATATCCGGAAAATGCGGGTGAAAGTTGTGAGCATTTCGTCGACAAGGATTTTTGTCGCAAGATTGACAACTCGTACTGCAATGGGACGAAGTGTGTCTGCCTTGAGACACATTTCGACGTGAGGGGCAGATGTGAAAAGTATGCCGAGCATACAGATGAGCCTTGCTTGTACGTGCAGGCCTGCAACCGCATACCGGAACCATTATCAGCTAGTTGTTCTGTAAATGGGTTCTGTACATGCAATCCCACCCATTATTCCTACAGGACCAATGGATCTTGTCTCCCTTATCGCCAACTTCTTGATCAGCAGTGTGACGTTGTCGAGCAGTGTAGCAGGATTGGCGATGGCATAGGAGTCGTTTGTCCCCAAAATAACAAAGTATGTTCCTGTGACACCACCAACTACCTCCCACACCCCGAATCTACAAAATGTCTCTCATACGCGACCGTCCTTGGGACTGACTGCACCGTCGGGACGGAACAATGTAGCCGAATCCCTTTCGCAACGTGTAACCCGGCCACGACCACGTGCGCTTGCAACGCAAACTACGCTGCGGTTCCGAACCTCAGTGAATGTGTCCCTCTTCGAGAAAATTTGGACCTCAGCTGCATCCCTGGCAGCACACCCGAACAATGCAGTCTAATCGATGGGGCATTTTGCACTATTAGTAATAACACCTGCGTTTGCAATCCCGCCACCCACTATCGCAATTTGGCGACCTGCCAAACCCTCCCCGCCAAACCGGAAGACGCCTGTCTCCTCCAACAACATTGTACACAAGTCCCCTACACACTTTGCACCGGGGGACGATGTCAATGTGCTGATGGATATGGCACTTCCGTCGATGGGTTGAGATGCATCCTAACCGCTACCTTAGTAAATGACCCCTGCACGGGAAACGAAACCTGTCAAAACATTGGCAACACGTACTGCACAAATTCTGTCTGTACTTGTGTCCCAAACACCATCGCAGCAGGGGATCGACGCAGCTGTCTCAACATCATTTTCAAACTGAACAATCCCTGTACCGAATCATCCCAATGCGTCGCCGGTATCGGAACAAACTCAAACTGTCGAACAACTGCCCCCTTTGTTTGCTCCTGTAATACGGGATACGTGGGGGACACCCTTACTCAGGATCGGGATCGTTGTCTTATCGTAAGTGCATTAATTTCCCTAAAAAATAAATCCGAAATTTTAAATCTTTTCAATATGTATTTCCAGATTTCTTCCATCAACGGGACTTGCGAAGCCCGGGCCCAATGCGAATCAGCCCTGGGTCCACTTTCAGACTGCATTTCGTCCCGATGTTCCTGCATGAATGGGGCAGGTTACCTCAATTCGACCTGCTTCCGTCGTGTCCCACTTCGCAGCCCGTGTGAGAACCATGAACAATGCGTCGTGGGGTCGAATGCGAATGCCGCGTGCATACCATCCAGCGACGGGGGTGGGGCCAGCACGTGTCAATGCCTGCCCGGGAAGGATGAAGAGTTAGGAGCGTGTTACGGAAGTCCGGGTCTTGGTGAGCAGTGTGTCGACGATTACGAGTGTACTCGCTACATTAATGGGTCCGTCGCTTGTGTCGATGGGACGTGTTGGTGCGACTCGTCGAAACCGGGAGGCTCCTACTTTTTTTGTAGTGGGGTGAACAATGTTAATTTCGAGGGTCACGTGCTATTGGTCGCGTTGTGGGCGGCTATGACGTCCATGTATGTCGTTATGTCGTAATGGAACACGTCATCAATAATTATTTTAATCTTCGGATTAAATTATATATATCTTCGGCCAATTTCATTTATGAAAAGTTTTAATACAAATTAAATTAAACGATAAGGTTGAGCATGATGAATTGTTGTGGATTAATTTTAGGCAAGGTGTACATAGCTTTTACGTCATATCAATAAATTATTTAACAATACTTTTCCTGAAAACCCAGAATCATGATTCATTCATGAAGATGATTAAGTTGATAAATAAACAGGATACTAATTAAAAATTGATAAATGTACACGCTTGTTAGATATGAAAAGCCAGAGATAATACTCACATGATTAATTCAATGAATCAAGCACGCTCCCCTTGTAACATTCGTTGTCGAATTAACTGATGATATCATTCTCCAAAATGCGACAACGAGATTAATATTATTCGCAGTACTTGATCCCCACATTATCAGTACTACATATGTACATTACCTGCATATTAATATTAATTACGTCTCTCTTGTACACACATAAGTGACCATGCCGCATTCACAATGGCACAATTAGTGACATGATGTACTTTCCACAGTTCAGTTTTTCCTTGTTATCTTCTTGGCCGTCAAAAGTCCGACAAGATGAGAACCAGGTTAGCTATCTAGGCCAGCAACTACATACGCCATACGGGTGAATCATCATCATTGTAATTTCTTTATCTCTGGCATATCATCCATTAAATTAGCTTGTCCATTAATAAAACACCAGGTTGGTATTGATTCCTGTCCAGTTCTTCTCCTGGAAAAGGCCGACAACAACGTAACACTCGAGCAACTTATTTTATCGCTTTCAAAAATGACGCAAATATCTTCTTCCTCGATTTTAGCAATCTTCACCATTTCCCTTCTCTTTCTTTGTTCAATTCAATTTACGTCAGGTCAAAAAGCTCAATTTATAACTTATTGGAACACCACCGGCTGTACTGGGACTCCCATCGGCAATGCGTCTGCAAATACAAATATCCCAATTCCTACTGGATCACCAACTGTTTATTACAGAGTTAATGGGCTGTAAGTTATACATAATTGCAAAATTAATCAGATCATGATATAATTTAATTTCTTTTAATTTTAGATGGAAAGCCCAGCATTGCAATGCCACAATCTGCACTGACTTACCATACATTGCGCAAGGGTTTAACACAAACTGTGCGTCTAGACCTACTGGAATAAATAACACCTGGATACAGGTAACCCGCTACGCTGATGCGAACCAAGAAGTGCCAATCATCACATTCTATGAACGCCCCAGTTTCGAGGGGACGTTTTTCACTGCTTATCCAGGCGCAGCGTTAAACCAAACAGCCAGATCTGCCGGGTCGTTCTACTACGTCGGGCCCACCTCCTGGCAGCATAAGAGTTCGCAAAATGCCGTGTCAGGAACATGTCTGAACGCCTCAGCGGAAGTAGTCCAGCGTGGGTACGGGTTCTCGTATCAATTAAACGCTAACATTCAGGTCGGATGGGTTCAAAGCGGGTGTAATGTGACTCAGCCTCCAACCACGACCACGCTAAGAACGACCACGACCACGCAAAGAAGTACCACACAATCCAGTGGTTTTACCCATGGTTTGGAAATTGGTCCATTTATTTTGGCACTGTTTTGTGCAATTCGCTTATAATTATGAACAAACTTTATGACACAGCCTTAATAAAAAACATACATAAAACAATAAAGTACAATAAAGTTGTTTCTATAAACAGAATTACCCGTGTCAAATTGCAATAATATAATTAATATAATTATTAACATAATTAAACGGTTTATAATAAACCTCTTTCGTACTAATGATTTTTAAATAGAATTTCCCTTCTGGGCGATGATGATTTCATAATTAGCAAATTAAAATTTTCAGCCAGATGATATACTATTACTCCTCAAATTCTGTAGTGTGTACTTATGTACTTCGTCGTTAAGAGGGTAATCGTCTCACAATCATGGATTTATTATGCGACGCATTTGGCTTGTGTACGATTCATCCCGGTAACGTATTATCCAAGGCGTAACAAGATATGCATCAACATTAAAAGCACGTTTGCTCCTTTTTCCGAATTACTTAAATGTACATGGTACTTTATTTGCACAGCAAAATCATATGCCAATACGTATCGAAGAATGCATATTCCATCCATGCATGTACACACATATTAAATGGATGCGTACAGTGGCTTTATGGCATTAATCTCCCTTATCTCAAAGTTTTTGCAACACCCTTATACCCGTTCAGCAACGTACATATGTATATGAGTGAGGTAACTAATTGAAATGGTTGTTATCTGGGCCACCTGCATGCACTTTTTTGGGGGATAAGTATTTTTCCACAGTGGTGTCTTGTTAACTATAGTGGGTCGTATACTCCCATTTAAAAATGAAGTCTCTCAAATTCCAAAATCTACAAATAAACATAAACTTGTCCTTACTCTATGCAGCGATTGGGCTGCTACTTTCCCCCTCACACATACATTTAGTGTCAGGCCAACAATTTCTCAGGTTTTGGAATACATCCAATTGTGCTGGAGCTGCCTTCGCCAGTACGACTTCTTCCACCACAAATATCGGAATTCCTCCTGGATTACCAACCATTTACTACAAGGTTAATAGGCTGTAAGTTATAACTGCAAAGTTAATAGGATCATGATGGCATTTCAATTTATCTGTACAAGATTTATTTCTAAGATGGAAAGTCCAACATTGCCGCAATACCACAACCTGCACGGACTTACCGTACATTCTGCACGGTGCAAATGGCGGCGGCTGTGAGTCTAGATTGTCCGGAGTGAATAACACCCGGATACATGTCACCCGCTACGGAGATGCGAACCAAGTAGAGCGAAGGATCACTTTCTTTGAAGGGGTCAGTTTCGACGGGGCAAATTTCTCTGTTACTTCAGACGAACCTTTCAACGCCACGGCGAGACTCGTCAGGTCGTACTTCTTTACCGGACCAAATTCCTGGCAGCACAAGAGTTCGCAAAATACCGTGACCGGCACATGTCTCAACGCCACGGGGGACGTATTCCAGCGTGGGTACGGTTTCACGTACCAATTAACCGTTAGTAGTCAGATTGGCTGGGTACGGCATGGGTGTAACGCGACTCAACCTCTGACCACCACCACCACTCCGAGACCTACAACGACTACGCCAAGATTAACCACCACGACATTGAGGCCAATCCAAGAACAGGAACAGTTTTTGATCCTACGGACCACCCCAAATTGTGTGGGAAGCCCGTTTGCCACGACGGCGGACAGCGTCAACTACACGGTCCCACAATCCACTCCCATCCTCTACTTTTGAGTTAATGGGTTGTAAGTAATTTTTTATACATGGAAAAATACGCGAAGTATAATTCGTGCACGTGTTTATGTACGTCAATATTCATTTTTATCTAGGTGGGCCATCCAGCTCTGCAACAATAGCACAAATTGTAACTTTAGAAACGTTTATCAAGGAACCAACTTGACTTGTGAGTCTCACCCCATCGCAGTAAATAATACCCGGATACAAATTACCCGATTCGGGGATTTGAATCAAATTGAGAGGAAAATCACATTCTTTGCAGAGCCTAATCTTCAGGGGCTGTATTTCTCGATGACGCTTGGAGTTTCCTTCGGCCCTTCGAGGACCGTTCGTTCCTATTTCTTCGCCGGAAGTGACTCATGGGAGCACAGAGCTGCTTCCGATGCGGTGAGTGGATCCTGTATAAACGCCACAGCCTCCGTAATAGCCAAAGGATACGGGTTCACATACGCCCCCGTCGTAGCTCATCAAGTGGGTTGGGTGTGGCTTGGGTGCAACACGACGCAAACTACGAGTACCACGACAAGGGTAACTCATAGACCCACGGTCATCACGACCACGTTGAGAGCTACGACAAAAAGCAGTGGGATTAAGGTTGGTGCTGACCACACGTTCAGCACCGTGGCATTTTTAGTTTCAATTTTTATAAAATGGCAAACCACAACCACCTAGCGAAGTACTTGGCAATTTTGATGTTTGCTGTAATAGATAGATGCACTGATATGTATATTAAGTATGTATGCATACATATATATATACATAAATAGTTTATGCAGGAGAGGAGACAATGACAATAAAAGTATATGTAATGTGAAAAACTACATATTCACAATAAGATCAGTTTTTCATTATGATTTATCACCCAAATGTTAACCGTTTTGTATTCTTGCACTGCAAAAATACTTATGTAGGAACGAGGATAGCTTTGTGTAAGTAGATACATATGTATGTACATGCATACATATGCACAAACTCAAACTCATTATTTTGTTTAAGCGAGATGTGCAAATTTACACAAATGTATGCACTAATTTCTATCTTGTTGCGGTGAAAGTTTAACATAACCTTTGCGTGTTATAATAATTAGTACATGCCCATAGTTCTGATATGGACATTGGCTGTTTCATACGTATGCGCATAAGTATGTATATATGAACCATGTACATACGTGGATAAGTTGATGGATAACTCAACAAATATAACACAACTCTCGAAATAATTTTATCTCACTCTCTGTCGGATAATCACCAATGAAGGTTACCGAACACGTCCTCTATTCATCCCAAACAACGAGAGAGATCGCATCACAAAACAAATTGATCCCCAACACAAGAATAATTAGTAATTATTAATTACATTATTAAACATCTAAATATACTTGAATCATCATGCCCCCTTCTCCCGAATTTAAAACGAGACCCTCCGACCCACCCAAAATACCCAGTCGACGAAAAGACGACACCGTCGAGACAATGGGGAACAAGGTTATCATCATCCCCACAATTAAAGATGGACCCACGGCGCTAGGCGACATGTGGGATTGCAGGTCTGGCAGCAATAAATAATATTTTTAAAACATCAAGATGCTCACGATAACGTTTGCATAACTTGCAAATGGAAAATGGAGCACAAGCTGGGAAATCTTGCAAAATTTGCGAGATTTTGCGAAATTTGTTTCTGGGAAGTAATAAGATTTTTTGTTCGTAAATTCAAACTGCGCAAATTATTAAATGAGTTGTTAAATGAGATGTGATTATGACATAAGTCATTGAGGTGTTAATGTTAACGCTCAAAATTTTTCTGCAACAATAATTTGTAAAGCTACATCCATAGTCCGTGATTTGTTCGTGATTTGGTTATGCTTTCACGGGCTCATAATTACAGCATGTTAATCACCATAACAATTTAAAAAATCGACCAATCAGAAAATCGGAATAAAATAATTTTTGAAACGTTATGGAGTATGGATGCGATAAACCATCAAATCATGACGAAATCATGAACAAATCACGGACTATGGATACAGCTTAACCAAATTTTATATAAATTTTGAACAAATAATTCGATTTTTGCAAGAAAAATTCATTTATTGATTGCAGATCTTCCAGCGTTGTTGGAAACATATTTGCAAAACCGCTGGGGATCGAACATTTAGAAGCTCATCCAATTTCTTTGCTAAAGTACAATCTGCAACGGGTCCAGAACGCGAGAGACTTTGTGGCCGAGATGTTCGTCTCTGTCGAGTTGTCGTTGGAATGTTCTGGGGGCTCGGTGAAGGTCAAGGGCGCCGCATCGTTTGAAACGAAAGAGAGGCAGAAATTTCACCAGGAAAGGCTTCTATGCAATTATGACCTGACAACTTATGAGGTCAGGTTACTCCCCAGGGCTACCACGGTCACGGGAAATAAGGACAGAGACGTGATGAGCTACCGTGTAAAAGAATTACTGGAAGATGGTGACATATTAGATTTTGCAGCTAAAATTTGTGACTTATAATTCTGCTTATATGTTGCCAGAGATTGACTAATTTTGGTTTCCAGGATCACTGGTGGCAACCCACTACGTCCAGTCGATCACTCTCGGCGGACGTGCCCAAGCTTCGATCACCTATTACGAAAATATCGACAAATCCCACATGCACTTGACCGGTTCTTTCGACGGTACAATCAAAACCGGAGGAATGACCGCCACCGCACGAGCATCTCTGGAACTTTTAGACTCTGAATTTTCCGAATCCCACCGAACCGAAATCAGCGTCACAGCTCAACCACGAATAAAGTCAGCTCCGACCAGCGTCGAAGACATGTTTTTAGAAGTGGAGAGAATTGACAAGGTTATCGAAAATGAGAAGCATTTCCCTCAACTGACTTACACGGATCCGGACGATGCGGAAATTAAGAGAGAAATCATTGGAATCCCGCTCCGTTTCAGACTCGTCCCCATCAACAGGATTGTAACCTTGAGTGGGGAAAATGATACGTACAAACAACTCAAGGAGGAAATCTTGAACGAATTTGCCGACATGATGCTGACCTTGGATGATTACAGTTTCCAAGATTACTTGAAACAGCTGTTGCGTAAAGAAGTTCCCAGTATCATTCCAATCTTGCAAGACGACGCGCACCCTCTGACGAGAGAGATTGACGAACTAGCCATAACTGTCATGACTGACGCAATGGCCCTCAAGAAAGACGCGATTCTGCTCTTCAGCGACTTCAAATACGGTTTGGTCACGGAGGTAGAATTGTCCGACTTTCTGCTCCGATACTCTAAGGAATTTTTGATCCATCTTATTGTCGCCAAAGTATCGGACATTGGACAACGGGGTAGGATGGAACTTGCAACGATACGATCAGCTGATGTAGTCCATCTGGTGGATGCGACAGGCAAGCCATCTGTCAATTTCTTTACTAACAAGGCCTCCTTGGACGAATGGTACTTGGAAGAACGGAGTATCAAACTGCTCCTTAAATCTGGTCCGACGGCGACAGGATCACCAAACGGTCTCTTTCAATCGTTGTACCAAATGAGTGGACCCCTTAAAAAGATTGGAGTTCAAGTTGGCATCGCGTTTCCCAGCATTTCCTCTGATTTTTCCCTCACTTTAAAAATGCCTTTGACGGAGGTTATTTTAACGTCCAACGATGAGATCACCTTTGCGACTGACTTATTTAGAATGGCGACAGAAACTGGAGGTGGCGAGGTTTTTTCCAAGTTCTTTTCCATTAACTCAGAGCTCAGTTCACTTCAAATCCCGCTGCGCGGCGCCATTCTGGAAGAATTTCCTACATTCATGACAATCATGCGTACATATCTCCCGGTTGGTGGGAACACCTTAATTTGCGAGACGTACTGCCATCTACTGGCGTCCTTGTCATCCACCTTGGACACTTTTAATTTCGTCTTCCCCCTCGAGGCCATCCACAGGGGTGTCGAAATGATGGCGAAATATCGAAAATTCCGCCGTCTAGTAGAAGAAACTGGTGTCAAACATCGCTGGATTTTTTCAAAATTCAACGTTCTTGGAAAGTACTCAGCCCCGCTACTCTTCGTCTTTAAGGATGACGTGCTCACATCAATCTGCTACGACTCTTTAGACGTGGCGACACTCATTCATTGCCTGAAAGAAAAGGAAGGCTTCAACTGGGAGCCAATTTCGATCGGTGAAGGCCGAAAATCCAGCCTTTACGTCGAACAATGGAATTACTCGACGGAAATCGTGCCGAATTGCATTCTCGAACAGAGCACTCACTTTAGCGAACCCCTCAAGCATCACGAATCGTTCCCGCCGAATGATGATCCCACATTAGCTCAAGCCTTGGACGTCCTGAGACCTCTCGCCCTTCATAAGGATAGAGAAGTGATTATATGCATAGCCAGATTTGCCTTAAAGGGCTCATTCTACCTAGAATTAGAGCAAATTTTGGTCAAACACATGTCCTGGGCAGACAACGAGATAAGCAAACCCAATTTTGCCGACATCGACTGGCCGGGGTTATCAACCGATGCAATGACGCTCATGCAGACTGGGGCACCACATCTCGTCATGACCTTTTCGGTTCTCGAACGGCTGAAGAAGTTGATGGAACCTAAACCTGAAGAACCTGAAAATCCTGAAGAACCCGAAAATCCTGAAGAACCAGAAAATCCTGAGGACCCCGAAAATCCTCATAATCCCGTAATGCACGAACAAATCGACGCCCTGCTAGACTTCCTTACCAGAGATCACGAAGAAGGCGACGCACTTACCTGGCTGCGTGACGCCGCGGACAAAATTTCAAAAGACATCTATACCGAATGGTTTGACAGAAAGGAGAAGCTCGTTCTCGTGTTTAAAGAATTCCTGTTGAATGAGAGCGCCGGCGCCGAATATTTCCATCTCCTCCAACTTTCGCAAGTCGCCAATCAAATGTCAATCGAGGGATCGATATCAGCCAACCCGGTCCCACTGGCTCGCTCATATTGCGATATGGTAACCATCCTAGACGACCTATATCCCAATATCGGTGAGAAGCTTGAAAACTATTTGGATCAGGGGCAGTTATTCCATATTTTACGGGCCCTCGACTCCATCACCGTTAACGCTTCACTCCACCAGTTGCACAAAGAGTTGGCCATCGTAGAATCGCTGCCTGCTCCACTCCAGACCAAATCTGTTTTAGAAAAGATGATGCATTTCGACCAAGAACAGGTCGAGTTGATTTGGACGAACCCAAAATTTCTTCACTTGGTGAGAACATCGCTGTCAAACTCGGGAGTGGTGGACACGCTCTACGCACTGATTGCACCTCACTCTGAATCCGATGGAGATGGTGGCTTTCGTATCCCGTTTTACGTACCGAATGATGTCGCGGAGAAGATAAAACCACTTTTTGGGCGGAGTATCAGCTCGTCTCCTTCATTCCCTTGGGAAACTGAATGGAACGGTGATGTGGACAAATTTTCAGCCCAGTTGGCTATTTTCATGGCAAAATTGGCCATCCCAGATAGTTTTCAGTCGGTTTTCCAAGAGAATCTGATAACCACCAGTGGGAGCAACTTTGAAGATACACTGTTACAAAAGAAGGTATTATTCTACTGGGACAAAGATAGGAAGATTTTTACTCATAATTGGACCCTGCTCACGGTGAAGATTGCTCTTGCCAGGCTGACTGAGGTGATTCCATTGAACGTGGAATTGTCGTTGTCACCACCAAATACGGTCCGCCAAAACACCAGTTCATACTCAAAACACGTCATCGACACGGATTATTTAGAGGTGATCGACAGATGGCGCCCATTCGTTAATAATGCCCAACTGCCCTTAACGTCGGGTCAGTCCTTCACCGCCATTTCCAAAGTTGACCTGGCTCCACCCAAGATATCGTACGTCAATCTGAATCAAACATCGACCATAATCCTCCCCTACATTCTGGACCACTTGAAGAGTACCAACACCACGATGACCACACCTGCCTTCCTCTCTAATCTGATTGACTATCCAACACCTGGATTTTATCCGGGTCAGATCAATTTTGGTTCGGGAATTCCAGAAAAATCAAATGGTCTCCTGTTCACTCGAGATGATTTATTCACCGCCATTTTGCAAACTAGTGATCCCCTCGTTGTACATCAAATCTATCAAATTTTATCGGATGCGGGACACACCCTGCCACTATTAATACCGGACATTTCACGACCTGAAGAAGGACAAACTGAAGATAATCGATGGATCTGGATGCATCCCGTCTTGAAATATATCCTCGCACCAAGAAATATTACCGGAGAGTTGCCTTCCATCACGAGAAATCAATTTTTCTCGTTTCCTTATCGGTTTGTACTCACTCTTCGGGTCGAAGATAGCGCTCCGTTGCCTGGAAGAAGTTCCCTAATCAATCGCTATCTTCTCAAACAAGGGCACCATTTCAGCTCTCTTGCTGACGCAGGATCCAAATTTGGTGTACCCTTAAGTCGCGCTTCTACCCTTGAATTTATTCCGCTGACAGAGCAAACATGTGAACCCCGCTTTCTAACTCAGGTCCAAGAAAGGTCACATTTTTCTTCAGAACCCGTCCTACTTGGGGTTCTTCACGGAAACGCGATCCGTGTCCTGAACAAAGAACTGTTTGATCACTTGCATCCGCATATTTCTAGCGTTGTCGTCTTTTGGAATGTCGTCAATTGGAAAGCGCTCAAAGAGAAGAAAAAAATGTTGTCGCAAATTATTGGGTCAAACTTATCCGCTAACGTGTTGGATGTTGTGCTCTATCCAGATCAGACAATCGTGGATAACATTCGGGATGAAAATCTACTCCACAAAATTCCTTTCGCAAGTATCAACCCGGGTCTGATTGATGCCATCAATGCCGTAAAGTTGAAGAAGATTATGGGAGAAGCGATCGAATTCATGGTACCAGAAATACCGGAAACGGTAAGAAAGGACTCAAGTATTGTTGTTAAAGATGCAGAACCGCTTCGAACGGAAGAATCGGCAGCATTTCTTCAACTGATTGAGGAACATTCAATCCGAAAAGTTAAGCGCGTCATGCTCAAAAACGAACCTGATGATGATTTAAAGATCAAAATCATCGAAGCTTTCCTCGCCATTTTATATCTTCCAAGAGTCCCGAGGGAAATTGGACTTCATCACGTCATCTTCAAGTTGGACCACTTAAGCGAAACCGCAAGTTGGCAAATTCGCCAAAAAATTGAGGAATTACGACACCAAATTGTCCACGATTCTTCAGTAAACAAACCACAACTTCGAGCCCAGGTGAAAGTTCATTTGGAGAAATTGGACGAAACAATCCTCACCTTGTCGAACCTCTTCTACTCGACTGGACTTCATATCCTTGCGACAAACTCTAATCCAGACAAATTTTGTAAATCTTTATCCGATTGCATTTTATCCTCCTTTCCGATGCAAATTGAGGACATATTCGACCCCGAGTTTGCTCCCCTCTTTAAATCCGCAATGGCCCTGATACCCGAAAATATCCGTACTTTCACCATTTCCGCTCTGGGCTTAAAAAATTCAGGAAAATCTACTCTGCTAAATCGTCTCTTCGGCGGGCGCGGTTTTACTGAATGGTCTTCCACCATAGGAATTGTGCTGAAATTCATTCCCTTAAAAGATGACCAGCTTAGGACCGAGTTGGATTGCGATGCATTCATCGTTCTGGACGGGGAGGGGGTCGGTGACCCCGAAAATGAGGGAGAAATCGGTGGACAGAATTTAGAACGAAAATTGGCCACGATGCTGCTATCCTGTAGCGACCTTACGTTGATAAATGTAAAGGACGACGAGATAGGCGGACTCTCAGACATCATGGAATCCGCGTTGGTGTCAATACTAAATCGGGTCGGAAATGGACCAGCGCCAATCCAGAAACCAGACGTTCAAGTAATCCAACAGCTAAACAAACTTGTTACTCAAGATGAGAACATTGTTCCCGAGTTTATCCAATCATTGTCCTCCACGATTGGTCATTTATCGCTAAAATATCTCCTCGAGTTAGGAATACTTTCGTCCGAATCGACCAGATTGGTTCAAGTCCACTCAAAATCGTTCCAAAATAACCTGCTCACCACGATCGCGAGATTAGATGAAAGCAATGCATCTTACTACAAATCCATTACAGAATTAAGGTGTCAAATCCAGGAAAAGTGTATCCAATCGAGAAACAATAACCCAGGACGCGTTACCCTGCACGAATGGGTGACAAACTCTGGTCAAATCTGGAACAGCTATACTTTAAAGGAGATGGAAACCGTAACGTTGTCCGCGGAAGACGCCGCTTTCCAAGTGGGAACCTTCAATGGAATTATGGACGTTAATTTCGCCATTTCCAAAGCTTTCGCTGCTCACGAGACTCGCCTCATGTCCAACTTTATTAAAGGAATTGATGAAATATTTATCGACGAGGAATACGTGCCAGGATCTGACGCTAAGTTAGACATCGTCCTTTTCACCGTTGCGAAGGATTTATTACAAGCAATCAACACCTGCGAGAAGCCTGCTGACGACGCCAAGAAGAAGCGACGAAACCCACTCCGAGTCCGATCCGGTGCGATAAATCCAAACTCTTGTGACGAATGCAGAACTGCTTTCACTCTGCGGGAGGACTTATTCCGTGATATCTTGGAGGATACCAAGTCTTTCCTCATCGTCGAGGAGGTCACTCGTCACACGGACATGGCCAGATTCAAGACATACAAAAAATTTGAACAAACCATTTTCGCAAGGATGATCTTGCAGAAAAAATCGGAACGATTTGGACACGTCGTGAAGGAATTGATCAACCGATTTCCATCCGAACCAGAATTCGTGTTTGATCAATTCATCCAACACTTGTCAACCCTTCAGTTCATTCCACGAGGGAAGGAAATGTTCCACACGGAAGTGGACTTGGTCTATCGAGCCTTGAAGGACCAAATTGTCAAACATCACGTTCCAATAATTGATTTACTTGAAGAACCGGTGCTTCCTGACCTCGAGAATGTCACAGTCTTTGAAGAGTCTCGTTTCTATTCAGAGTCGACAGTCGTGCTCCCTGTCAAGGGTGGAAATATGTTAAGTTGGGATCAAGCAATTTGGCTCCAGATAAAATTAGATGAACTTCCGGCTTCGATTTCCACAGAGTTTGGAGAGCAACTTGTGCGGTACGAGTTTGGCATGGTGGCCCGTTTTTATGCCAGAATTACAGAAATTCTTGCCCTCCTGGGGGAGAAGATGGGCGGCCGAAGATCGAGCGACTTCCACATCGAATTTGTCTGGCTGGTACATAGGATTGGGATTCAGCTCTTTAGTGGTTTTCTGGATGAGATGGAAACCAAATGGAGGGGAAAGAATGACATTGTCCATTTAATGGAGGAGCAGAAAGAGGAATTTCTGCAAAATCCGGATGATTATTTTGAGCCAAATTCTGCCCCAGAGGGCAAGGATTGATAGTCAAGTTGCCAAACACTTTAATTGAATTTTGACGTATATATATTATGAAATATTACTTAACACATGTTAAAGCATATTCATGCATACAAAAATTGCATGTTAAGCTCTGCTTTGAAAAATTTAGCATTTTAATGAATACATCATGTCAGTAATTATGCACAGGTATATAAATGTTAGTACCTAACTTGCATAAAATACATAATGCAAATAGATATATTTTAAAACAAACAATCAATTAAAATCTTACAAGAACACGAGGGATTATTAGTGTTTATTATAATTAGTTTATGAAAAATAAAATAATGAAAAGGGCTAAAAGCATGAATAACTGAAACTCTATTATTCTCGTGGGTGGACCGGATAATATTCCGCCAATTATCCTAATTACTGCCTTATTTTGCATTAAATAGTTTCATATTCATGCACTTTGTCTGCAGAAGCAATTCAAAATCTCACAACGTCCGTAGCATTGAAATTTGTCGAGCGGGATGTTCAACAGTCAAACAGATTTGTTGTCGAACAGCCACAAAAACAAAAATAAAATTAGGAAAATATTTTATTGACTTGACCAGCCTATAAAATGGAGGGGAACGACGCAGTTCTTTTCGAACCAAGATTTCGAAAGTGCCGTTTATGCGGTAATTGTGTATGGGGGTCAACCTGTGGGTGTGCCACTGCTGGAAGCGGTGATGCCGGCAGTGGATGGACACAATCTGCCATCCTGCCCTACATTGAAAATCAAAAAGTGAGTGAATTTGTCGACTAATTCTTATCACTTATCGATCACATTTTGGACCACTGCACTTTTTATTATGCTGCTTTTTCTAGTACACTTTCGGGAGCAAGTACATCTCGAGGGACGACCAAGGTGAATTCATTTTTGTGAATACTGCTAAAAATCCTGGAAATCTGGCAGAAATTACGTGCTCCGGTGGAAACTATTGGCTTGCACCTGTCGGGGTAAGTGTCTCAAGGTGCAAGGGAAAGTCGAGTTGTGGCTAAGTTTATTGTTTTCCATATTTAGAAAAGAGTAATTTTTGTTAATGATGTCCAACTGGAGAAAAGTTGTCGCACACAACTTAATTTTGGGGACAAGATCGCTTTACTCGGCAAAGTTAGACCGAGACGAGAACTATATCGAGAGAAGAGGAACGAATCTCTTGACGGATATTTTTTATTTAAAGTAAGACTTTCAACTTGTTATGTACTTTGTTGCTAAATGAAGAATCACTGATGGTCAAACGATTTAATTATTAGGAACGAAGTTGTCAAGGACGATATGGGGAGGATCCGGACATGCCAGATCTCGTACCGCATGCAAATGAAAATGTAGACTTCAAGGCAGGACGGAATCAACTGGTGAGTAATACGTTAGTCATCTATCTGATGTATGTATTACAGATCTGAGTCTGTGGATTTTGCAGGTCTTGTCGAACATATTTTCTTATCTTCCCTTCCACACTTTGAAGACGGCACGCTTGGTGTGTCGCCTATGGGACACTGAAGCATCCCGGATCATCAGGAAAAAATCCAGTGTTATATTTAACTATTATTTCCCACACAACTACAAGTATCCAGTCGACTCGATGAGGTTGTTTCGATATCTTAAAGAAATGAAGAATCTACAACCAACCAGCTGGGACTTGCAACTCCCCCCTTTTACCCCAACAAATGGTCCAAACACCTGGATAAATTCAGCTAAAGGACAGCAAATAGTTTTGAAACTTGTCGACGATCTGAACTGGTTCCTTCTGCCGGATCGAGGTCATCATATCACAAGTTTGGATTTGGGAGGGAGAATCCTTTGTGAGGCCGATTACAAGATTCATCTCAGCATTATTATCAAACTCCAAGCAACCCTTATCGACCTAGAGTTATCTTGGTTCCTCAAGTTGGTAGATATGGTCGAGTGCGCACTTCCCGAGGAACTTAAGCTCAACAAGCTCGCAATCTTTACATTCTCCATAGGAACGGTTAACCTAGATGCCCTCGTCAACCAGACTATTATGTCATCCTGGGCTGCAGCAGTTCAACGAGTCAAAACCATCCGTTTTAATTGTGATGATGATGAGGAATCAGCCTTCGTTAACATTTTGCTCAAATACGAACAACCCTTTCCCAATTTGGTGGAATTTATTACCACATCCACACGAGACAACGTGCTTGATTTCCTCCTGAAGTTGACTACTCCCCTCAAGAAGTTGAAACTCTGCAATTTACAATGCTTGGAACGACGAGGGAACTATGCCAAATTCGAAAAATTGCTCCGCAAGCATGCCGCCACACTGGAAAGCTTGCAGTTCATGTATGATATCGACGACAAAAATGTGGAAGGTCGAACTATCCACCTCCCTATTTTCCCCCAACTGAAAATGCTCTTCGTAGGATGGATGGAATTTTCTAATCTGAAAATTCGTTTCCCTTCAGGCATCGATAACGGCGATGTTCTCGATTATGAAAGGCACCTCCCAAGACTCCAAGCGCTCTCGCTATCTCTGTTCCCTTCCTCTTTCCCGTCTACTCGTGACTGGGAAAATCAACGAGACAGGCTGGACATATTTTTCCCCACAGTGGACAGAAATGGGGCGCCGATTGAGACGAGATGCGTCACGCTGAGGGAGCTGTCCCAAAATATTTACGTGTCGTACATGCCCGGTTTTTGTTGCGTGAGTGACTTTCCATCCGACCTCCCACTCACTCGTATGTTTCCAAATGTTTGGAATGACTGGATGACCAAACGAAGGAGAGAGGAGTTGGCATCAGCATCATCTCAACTAGTGGAAAATATCGACAAGGTCGACTGATCTGCGACAGCGGCACACTCCTCAGTACCACCAAATTAAATGTGATGAACTCAATTTATTTACTTTTTGATAACAGTTGTTGGTTTTAATTTGTTGTCAGTAGAAACTATCTTTTGATTTTCATTGTTATCAATGTCGTTTTTTAAATTAAATATTCGAAATGTAGTTATAAACGACGAATATGTAGAATAAACGATGTTTTGTTTTTTAGCTTAATTTTTCTGAACAAAAGATTTCTACTGATTCTGTCGTGATGTGCCAATCACGTGTAATGCTTTCTTTGCAAGACACCCACTCTGTCACAAAGCATATGCATGTACATATGTATATAGATACAATGGAATTGATGTGAGTACATATTATACTGATAAGTAAGTACATGCAATTTTTTCAATTTTTTTCAATTGCAATTTTTTTTTGTTTGAAAATTTTGCATGAAACATGGTGTAAATACTTGATGCACTAATTCATCTGGTTGCCATGCAGCACCTACTTAAAATTTTCATTTATAGGAAGATTCACTCATTTGTTAACAATTCAGTTATAGTATGTACCATGTATTACATTAAAACCTAGCTTTCATTTTTTCCTGGTTTTAGATATGTATGAAAACTTGTAGCTTCAATGAAAATGGTAAAAAAAATAATTTCTACTCTCACTAAAACTTTTAATGGATGGTGAATGGCCATATCGTAAAACCCCATCAGCAGACTAGATAAGGCCGTCACCAATCGTTTTCGTGACCTCTTTTGATGTCTTAAGCTTCATCAATAGTCCGTGATGTGTTCGTCATTTGGTGACGCTTTCATGATTTCAGCATGTTAATCACCATAACAATATTAAAATCGACCAATCAGAAAATAGGAGTAAAATATTTTTTGAAAATTGTGGAGTATGAGTATAGATGCGTATACTCGCAACGTATGTAACAACAAATCACGAACTATGGTAACTTGACAGAACTAGCTTAACAACTAGAGGCTATATCAGTACAGGAAATAAATAAGTATGTATGTTTGATGGCCCACTTCATATAAATTAGCATCACAGTAATCTAATAACTATTGAATTTTTAAGTATACATAATATTTAATCTATATATACGCATTTCTTATTTCTTAAGGCGCTGTTCGTAAACTTCGTAATGCTGGCTAACCATGGGAAGATAGGGAAAATTCCCTATCTTCCTATGGTTAGCCAGCATTACAAAGTTTACGAACAGCGCCTAATGGTTGACTCAACCAATTAATTTAGTATTAGTCAATAATTTATACATGCATACAGTGTACATATTTCATATGCATGCACATATGAAGAAGTTAATGTACAATAATTTTCTACTTCAGGTGGCAAATATTTGTATGTGTATGCATATATCTATGCTGTGTACGTATAACCGAAGAACATTGCCAACCTAATTTATTTTTCAAGAAGCAGTTCTTCTGCAAAAAACTTGTTACTTTGAAAGAAAACTTGATGGATATTTTAAGAGAGCACCGATCGAGTGTCGTGATGTAATTATTCAGGTCTTACCTAACTGCTCCTCTTGAGTCCATATGACATATGAGTTTCGAAATTTCCAACTTCCAATTGTGTGGAAATTCCAGACAGCCTCGCCAAATTCAATCCATCAAAATCTACTCCATGGAATGGATCAGCATCATCCTGTATCCATTCATCAAACTTATCACCGATTATCCAACCCCTTGTCATAGGTCGGATATTTTGCATGCTGGTAAGCTCCGTACTCTTAGGAAAGCGATTTGTGTAAAACATACTCCGGCCCCTGGGAAAAGTTTGCATTTCGTTTTTAAAAAACATCTATCGCAATTTTCATTAAAAGGGAACCATTTCAATACAGATTTCATTCAAAAATTCAGCAATAACTTGTCAAAAAAGTTCTCATATCAAAACAAATGTAGTCGTGTCCTCCAGCCTCCGCGTACTCCGTCGTCCCGACTACTCCGATCTATATCCCCTTTACTATAGACAATTAACAGTGTCCATCGTGTGTTACCCTTGTTCCAATTTATTCCTAATTGACCAGTTTAAAAATAGCATGCATATTGGTTCACTCCATTGTTATGCATATGTATGTGTGTTATCAGCTTAATATTTATACCTGGCTACTGCATTTCGTTGATGCAGTAATGTACACATATGCAACCTTATGCCACCACAAATCATACCCAGCTTATCATCAATGTCCTCGTCAAGTGTATATATAACTCTTTTTCAATGTCGCATAATTCTACATATGTACATCTGACTCGTTGTTACATAATCCTGCTAAACCATAATGCATAATGCTCGGTTTTTACCCAAGCAATCAATCTCCCCTTCTCGAAGTGTTTATGTATCCGCAAACGCGCTTCGTCACGTCAATTGAGTAATTAATTTGATGTGCCAAGATAAGAATAATTGTACCCCATCGAACAATCCAATCCACAAGTCGATATTACCCATCTTACATAAATCCGGGCTTCCCATTTTGGATGAGTGGAGATAATTCTGGTATAAAATCGGACCCGAGGCAGCTTCTGGACATCACATCCTCCTCTTCTCTCCTCCAATCACCACTACAATGTTGAAGCTTGCTATTGTCGCCCTCCTCGTCGCCTCCGCTGCTGGTAGGTCACAAATTTTTGAAAATTTAAACATACCAAATTAATTTCTGAAATATTTATCTCGCAGCCCTTCCCAGGGTCAGCCGCAGAGTTCCCGGAGGTGGAAAGATCGTCGGAGGTGAGGACGCCACCGTTGGTCAGTTCCCCTACCAGCTGTCATTGCACTGGTTCGGAAGCCACATTTGTGGTGCGTCCATCATCGGACCTAACCTCGCCATCACCGCTGGTAAAATATATACATTTAGTTTCAAATAGCGTAAAAAACCAGCCAATTTTGACATATTTAATCCATTATGCAGCTCACTGCGTCGAGGGTGACGTTCCCTCTTCCCTCCGCGTCATTGCCGGCAAGCACCAGAGGACTGTGACCAGCCCGAACGAGCAAGGCCGAAACGTCGACCGCATCCACGTCCACGAGCAATACAACGGAAACACCTTCGTCAACGATATTGCCCTTTTGCACCTCGAGGCTGCCAACCCCTTCGTGTACAACGACTTTGTCGCCCAGATTGCCCTCCCAACCTCTCAACAGCAGACGACCGGGGATATCATTGTGTCCGGATGGGGAGCCACCAGACAGGGCGGAGCCCTCGCCAACATTCTCCAGTGGGTCCAACTCCCCACTATTGCTGACGCCGCGTGCCAAGGAATGTACCCGGAGGAGACCATCGAAGCCCACATGCTCTGCGCCGGCCTTCCCGAAGGAGGCAAGGACTCGTGCCAAGGAGATTCTGGTGGCCCACTTGCTGCCGTCACTGGAGGATATTTGGCTGGTTTGGTCAGCTGGGGATGTGAGTCAAATTATTTAATTGAGACGAGACAAATTATCGTATGGTGGTATAGAAAATATGTAACTTTTTTGTATACAGATGGTTGCGCCCTCCCCAACAGGCCCGGAGTTAACACTGAGGTCAGCTACTTCATCGACTGGATCGCCGCTAGCCGAGCATAATTCCAATCAACATTGTCCACTCGTTCAACAATTGAATTCTTGTTTTCCCTTATGTTTGTCTTTGATGATAAGCAGTTGGAAAAATAAATTTAAATTTATAAATCTGTAAATTCACAAGTGACTTTCTAATTGGCATACGTACTTCAGGAGGTTATCATGTTCTTAAAATGTGACTCGCATGCAAACTATTTAGCATGAAATGAATTTTGGATTGGAGCATTTTCATAGACCTTTTGGTGTAATGTACATAAGTTGGACATAGAATTTTTTATCGCCAAATGGGCAAAGTTAAAAAAAAACGATTTGCAAATGCATATGCATTTCTCAAACTTTATTGTTAACTAAAATAATTAAAAGTGTATCAGTTTTTGTTCATTTTTAATTATGCAAATTCTACCACGTAGCTCGAAATTTCAAACGGTTTCAGACCCAATAGTGATGCTGAATCGTTAATACCTTTGTACTTCAACCGTTTTATACCTGCCAAATCTGTCCTAAAAACTGAAGAAATTTCTGCTCCATTAAATCCAATTTCATACTTTTTACTTATTCCTTGGGATATTATGTTGTATTTATGGTTACAAGAATACCCTAATTTTTGTACAACGAGTAACGCCTTATTCGACCCTTTCCCTTCATCACCAGGGGTCCCCATAGTCCTCAACGTAACTGGATGCAGATCATCTGGTACATATATCAGCGGAAATGTCCTCAATGCCCACGGAAAGAATAATTCTCCCCCAAATCCAAAACTTGGTGATGAATATTGCAAGCCAAGCGAAAGTTGGATAGCATCTCGGGTGGGAAGACTATTTTGAAACTCGTTCTCCGAATTTCCCGCCGAAAAGTTTAAATCTTCAAAGAGCAGGATATAGTTAGAGGCAGTTTTCTTGTTGTCCGTAACGGCTTCATTCATCCCGCGGTGATCGTCTGTCTCAGTTCTGCGTTCAATCAGGGTCTCTAGGCAGCCAGGTGTAATACTATTTATCCCATGTGACCTATTTACGTGGTAAGTCAAAAGTTGGGTGTCAAAATAATTACAATTTGCAACATTAGTTTGAATAAATGTATTTACCGGTCAACAAAAACTGAAAATCTTTCCTCTTCCTTAAATCATGAATATATGCCATCGACGTGACTGGAAACACATTTCCCTCATAACCGTTCTCTGGTATGTAATCTCTCCTCTCAAATGTGTACCCGTTCTGATCTGTGAACATTTCTGGGCGTCCAGTCCTCTCAGAAACTGAGTCAATTTCTGTATTAATCCGCATAAACACTTCGGCTGGAATGGTTCCCAAATCGACCACATTTTCGAGATGAATTCCATAACCGGGATGAGCCAAGAGACGCGTCGTGACGGATAAGAGTTTTGAGCATGAAGTCAAATAGGATGTTACTGGGCCTGATATTGAAAGAAGGGATGCCGGATTGGTGGGACTACTTCCAATCTGGAAATTATTTATAATTGGGATAATATTTTTTTTATTTGGTATAAATTCAAATTACACCTCAATTGTTCTCGTCCTGTCAAGTTTCATGAGATAAGCTCCACTACTTTGAGAGATAGAAGCGTATCCTCCAAACGAAATGGTGACCAGCTTGGATGATCCGGTCACTTTGTCGATAACCCTTTTCAGATAACCAGTGACCCAATCAAGTTCTAAGACCTGTTCAGAATTTTCGAGGATGATGTTTTCGTCGCTACTGAAATAACCAGACCTATTTCAACTTGTTTTTGTTGAATCATAAATTTTTTCTGAATTAATTTTCTTTCATTTTGATATACCTAAATTCGAAGGCAGGATGCATTTTAAAACGTCCGTTCAGGTCCAAAATGCATCCCCGGCATTGTACCGTTGCTAAATTTGATAGAAACGGATCACCCCAAAAGGATGGTTTGATTTCATAAATGTGAACCGTTAGTGGTTCTAATTTGGCTAGAAAATTTAGCTCGTAAATTGAGGGATGTAACGATATTCCGTTTAATCTGGAATTATATTCGGCTACAGGGTTAATCTAAATAATCATCAGGTCTAATTAAGTGTAAATCAAGGGTAAACCCATTAATGGAAATTATGCATTTACCTGACTAACGATAGCTCTGCCATAATTGTCTACCACTCTGACCAACCGACTGGTAACTTGCATCGTTACAAGTTGAATTCGCCGAAATGCGATGCTATTAAAAAGTAAAACTTTCTGAGAAAGAAATACATTGGAATCGATTCGTCTCGTCAGCTTGGTCGGAAGAACACCAAAACTGGAATATTGTTCGTCACGTTCTACAACCAAGGATGAAGTTGTTGTTCCTTGACTTAAAATATGCGATAAACAGTCTTCTTGAATTTTTTGAGACACGATGTGCGAATGCAACAGTTTATGCCCAAAGTCCTCCATGACGCGGGCAGTGGATGTTCCAGTTGTTCTGAAATTTATTTACATGGTGTCACTTTTGGCTGGGGATTACATACAAAATGTTTACCCGTCGTGATGCGCGAATAACCCGAACGACCGTCTGGCTGAGACTAACGATTTATAATGAGCATCCTGAAATTTAATTTGAATTTACATATATAAATTGTCGTCCGAGTTTGCAAAAAATTTACATGTGCAAATTTACCATCAAGTGGTTCTGCCCATTTTTCTGAAAATTTCTCCCATATGCATATAGAATCTCTGCACTTCTCAAATAATTTTCTGCCTCTTTATACAACTTCTTCCAGTACGGACGTGTCCCATAAAATCCCGTCCAATGGGCTGGTTCCCCACTCGTGAAAACGTCGCTATATGGAAAAAAATCCCCAGAGAATGTAGGAAGTTTAGGATTCTTGTCCTGAATAGCATTGAAATAGGAGGAAACCGTGCCAAAACTGATTTCCATGTTGAAAATGGCAGGATTGGCATTTATGTAATTCATGAGAAGAGTATAATTCCCATATTGCTGATCCCATTCCTCTTCACGGTCAAAGACAAAGTCGTCCCCGAGCGGGACGAGGACCACATTGGAACCCGAAATGGAGGCAGATCTTTGAAATTGACCGACCAATTCGGTAGCAGAGGAGGCAATGTTTTCATCAGTTATAGGCTTTGAATTTAGGCAATAGTCGGTGTATTCTCCTAAATATGTAAATAGAAAAAATAGGGTTTGGACTAAAAAATCTTCCTTGAATTATGCATAAAGCTTTTAATTAACATACCCCGAATAGTTCGAAAGTAATATTTCACACAAATCTGGAAAAAATTAGACAAAATATATGCAAGCAAAAGGTGAGATTTTGACTTGTATGCAAATAAAGGTCACCTCAGTATCTGGACCACAGCTGGTCCTAGAATCATACATGTCGAACGGGTTGTTATGCACATTTATGGCGAATTGTTTCCCAGAATCCCATCTTTGAACCCAAGTAAAGTCGCTAAACTTGTTTTGGGCCAAATATTTCTTCCAGCTGTAATGGAGTCGCTGTGTAAATTCATTTAGTTGACATTTATTTTTCTTTGAGAATTTAAATAATGAGAAGAATGTCATAGTTAACTCACTTGAATGACGGTGTTGTCCATACCAGAAATTTTGAACAAATACGGCATAGTGGGACCATGCCCAAATGCGTCGATCACCCAAGACACGTTTGGCACGATGCCGACATGACCATGTAGCCATTGGCGTCCTTCAATAAGTTGGTTGGTTAACGAATATAGCGATCCTGTCGCTTCATCTGCCATGACCCATCCTATTTACAAGTTAAGGTTTACTTAATATTCACCTCATAAATAGTTCCGAGGAAATTAACCTCCCGTGGTGATCTCAAATCTCCCCTCTTTCACTAATCGGACGAAGCCATCTCGATAAGCGGGATGAGATTTTCCCACCAATCTGCCAAAAAGGAGATCTCATTCCAGATGAAGGTCATATTTTTATAGTGGAGTAATTGTTCCACTGCCCACGTTAAGATGTAGAACGTGCTATTTCTCGAGTATTCTTCAAACGTTTTTCTCCATCCTGGGTCAGCGTGCGAGTGCGGCACTATGAATACTTGGACACGTGGAGGCTTCTTGCCGGACGACCATTTTGATGTGAACTGTTGCTCAAAATTGAAATCGTCAGCATACCAGAAACGACGTTTCTTGATCCAATCGTCCTATTTAAATTTGGAATTAGTAAATCACATGTAATCAACTTGTGCATATTCGTTTAAGTTTGTGCAAATGTCTCACATGAAATCTACATGTCGGAAATATATCCACCGAATCAATATCCGATTTGAATTTTGATAAGTTTGGGCACACGGATTCAGAATATGAAGGGTCTGAGACGCAAGTATGAAAAGCAGTAATTAAGAAAAACGTGTACAATGTAGGAAATTTCATTTTTAGAAATTATTATTAGAAATTGCAATTTTTATAGGGGTTATCTGTTTACGATTCATTGCACGTTATTTGGGAAATCAATGAAATATAAGCTTGACTTGATTAAAGTGGGGATTTTGTTGGCTGGATGCCCTAATAATTAAAGATTACGCGAGCGATGCGAAGCATCGCGAAGCGTAATCGCAATTGTATGAGCCAACCGGAATCGGATGGCGTCAGAAGTATTACGTGTAGTAGTACGAGTATACAGGTCGGAAGGGGTCTCTAGTCGTGTAAAGTAAAAGAAAAATGTGCTCTCTCTCCTACCATGGGTCGTCCACCACCATCCCTCATTACCTTTGAAGGCCGAAATCCGTTGAGATAAAAGATTGGGATTGGGTGGGAGGGTCTGACGCCATCCGATTCCGGATGGCTCATACAATTGCGATTACGCTTCGCGATGCTTCGCATCGCTCGCGTAATCCTTAATTGCATTTCGCAATCCTCCATCTTCTGGCGTCAGAAGTATTACGTGTAGTGTTTGAAGCAATCGATAAACGGATGAGGCAAAGTAAACAATTAAATCAACAGCGTAGTGTAACACACATATTTAAATCGTTCATTTCTTTTTTAGTACAGCATATGCAAACTCATTTAAATCAATAAAAGGCTTATTATGATACTTCGCAAATACTTTAGATTTTGCTGTCCAACTGGCGTTGGCGTAGATTGAATTAGTATTTACACCCTTGTGGAAAGCTTTACTAGTTGAAGAATGGCGAAAAGAATGAGACTTGAAATAAATTGAGGTATCTACATCACTTAAATCAAGTAATTTAACTAACCATTTAGAAATTGTTTGAGAAGTTAGCTTCCTAAGAGGACTCACAACAGATAAAAATAAATTATTGTCTTTACGCTTTTCCTTTGTTCTTTCTATATAACTTTCAAGAGCTTTTTTAACACAAATTTTCTTATCTCTTTTTAACTCGGGAAGTACAATACATGGTTGACAAACGTTGCTACCGGAATTTTTTAGTCTATCAGAAATAAATATCCTAATCATACCATTTGAGTATTTTATATTCTCGAATTTAATAGACGCTAAGGTCTGTACTCTTTGACCCGACACAATAGTCAACAAACCAGCGACTTTCATACTTAACAGAGTCAGATCTAAAATATCATTACCCGGAAATGTTCTAATCTTATTTAAAACCTGATCCACATTCCAAGTGTGGGAATATTTGGGTGCCGGGGTTTTAATTTTAAAATACCCTTCAGCAATGTAGTAACTAGCGGATGTTGACCAATAGAGTAATTGTCAACAGTCGGTAGCAATAAACTGAGGGCTCTTCGCGCAGTATTAATGGCAGAATAACTCAATCCCGTTTCATACAGCTTTGTAAAATAACCTAGTACTATTTCGATTTGGGAACATGTGACGACACATTATTTTCGTTACAAAAAGCTCATATTTCTTAAATTGCGAATTGTAACAGGACCATGTATTTTTGGAGCATAACGCTGCTAATATATTCACTACATTTGGTTGTAAATGTTGAAATTTTTGCTGCAAACCTTGCCCGCCAGGAGGGTGAGCGTCGTTGATAACTCGTGTGGCCTAGTGTTATCATAAACAATTAGTTCTTTACATGGCTGTAATTCGACATAATAATTATTGCACAGTTTCAAGAATATTGGGAACCATGCTTGTGTTTCTCATTTTGGCACCACAAAAATTCCATTCGCATTGTCAGAGATAATTTTCTTTAGAACTCTACCAACCATGTTCAATGGTGCAAATGCATAAAAATAAGTATCCCATTTATGGTAAAAAACATCAACACCTTCACATCCAGTACAAGGATACCACGAGTAAAACGTGGACACTTATTTGTTATATCAGTTGCAAAATACTCAACCTCTGGCTGTCCAAAAAATTTTTTCATATGAGATGAAAGGCAGCTTCCGATAATGAAAAATCGGCCCTGTCAACTGCAATTCTGGACAATCTAACTGCAATAAAATTATCTGCGCTCGCGATATATGTGGCAAATAAAGTGACATCTTTTTCTTGACATCATTGCCAAATTCTCTTTGCCACTTCATGACATAGTCTTAGGCGGCAGCCACCGTACTTATTTATGTATGAAATGGCAGTGGTACTATCTGTCCTTATTATAATTTTTAAATTGTTTGAATTTGCGAAAACTTTTACAGCGTTTTCAATTGCTTTGAGTTCAAGAACATTAATGTATAAAGAAAGTTCCTTGCCAAGCCAAAACCCTAGTGTTTTGTTGGAATTAAAATGAGCACCCCAACCTGAAAGTGATGCATCCGTAAAAACAGTCATGTCGTAGACATCCTCTTTAATTGGAATTGCTTTTAAGCTATCTCTCTTACACCACCACTGTAAATCCAGTACAGCGGAGCTTGACAAGGTAACCTTTTTGGAGTAATCACCCATGCTCTTAGCTAATGCCTTGATTTTTGTAATTTCTAACTCCCTGATGTAAAGAGGTCCACAAGCAACAGCTGGAGTACAAGAATTCAAATAACCAATTAGTTCGGATAACTCTTGAATGGTCGATGAAGGACACTGCAACCACTTTTGGTAGTCTTTAATAATTTTTAATTTCTTCGCGTCTGGCAATTCAATTGTCTATGCGACAGTATCAAAGACAAAGTCTAAATACTTTATTTTTGTGCAGGAATTAGTTGAGATTTTTTCTCATTAATTACAAAACCTAATCTAGCCAGCCATGAACACAATAGACTAACATATCGGGCACATTCATCAGCATTTCGTCCCATAATTAATAAATCATCAAGGTACCCAACAATTACGACACCATGTGACCGTAAATGAGATAGTAATGGCTTTAAAATCTTAGTAAATACCCTGGGAGCCAGTGACAACCCAAAGCATAAACAATTATACTGATAAAGCTGACCATCCCAACTAAATCTAAGAAATTTTCTGTGTTGTTTGTAAATTGGTACTGAATGATAAGCATCTCTCGAGTCGACAACAGCCATGAAACTATTCCTCTGCATGAGATAACAGACTGTACGATAATCCTCTATTTTAAAATGCTCCACTGGTAAGAACTCATTAAATTTCTTTAAATTAATCATTAACCTGTGAGTACCATCCGGCTTTGGTACAACAAAAATTGGCGACATAAATTGAATACAGTACACTCTAACTGCTGAGAACTGTAGGACTACAAGTGAACGCTACAGTAGTGTATGGCTTCATCATGATTACTGTGACATCAATGGCAACAGACGCTTCAAATGTTAGCTTCTCCAGGTTGGGTTTAAAGCAAACAGTGTAATGCGTTGGTGATGCATTTTTTGGCAGCCGGGAATTGGTTTTGTCATCCTTCTTTGTTCCCAATTCTTTTTTACGTTTTGCGAATAAGTAAGACGATGAATGCCTATAAAGCAAAGTAATAAACCGCTCCCCTTCGTATTCGTATATTTCTGTGTGTGTGGAGGTCGCAAATAAATATCGTAACCGAATTGACAGGTATGAGGAGGTTGTGCTCTGGATGGACTCGGTGGACGTGGCCTTGAAGAGTATTCTAGTCGAATGCACCGACATATTCTTATTCTTTGCGAATAACTAGCGACTGTAGCGTTCACTTGTTCAATTGCACCAATGTTAATTAGCTTGTCAATACAGTTGTCAACAAATTTTTTCTCATTATCTGATAAAATTTTCTGCTCAGAGACTTGGAATTGTTGTGGTACACATAAAAGTGATAACTTATAGCCTTTGACTACGGATAAGATATTTTTATCACATGAAAGTAATTTCCATTCATTTAAACATTTTGTAATCTGTCCTGCATATTTATGTACCTTGTCAATTATTGTTGAGTTTGTTTGTATTGTCCTTGCTGCATGGACCATGACTGGCGTGAAGATTGATACCTCTGGCGAAAATAATTTGTCTGGCCTCTCATCCCCCCACGATATTATTGACGGGGCTGGCCTCTGAAGTGTAAAGAAAAAGTGTTTCCTCTAGGCGTGAAATGTGGCGAAAAAATAGATCCACGATTCAAGATATTTGTTACTGTTTTGGATGTCTTCAGTACTTCAGACAAATTGTCGCCAAACAGATAACTGTTGTTATTGGTAGTGGGCCATATTCCAGAAAATTGCGGTGTTAATAGAGGTTTAATACCTTGCATTCTTTTTAGACTCGATTCACGATGCTGCATCGCAGCTGAGGTCTCTCCATCGAGCTGATCATTTTATCTCGAACCTCCTTCGGAATCACTTTACTAAACTTTGTGATTTCATCAGCAAGTAATGCAAAAGCATTGAGGCTTCTTGACACAAATTGTTGTGTAAATTGCAATTTAGCATCATTTCTTGATTCGTGGAGGTAATTGCGACCAAAGCTCAGGGTTTACCTTTGGAACATTTCTCATCTTGCAATTCTCTGCAATCAGTAGATTCTTTTTGATCTTTTTCACGGCTTCCTTTAGTTTTTTGTTGCAAAATTACATTTATTTGCGCAGCAACAGCTTGGTTTAGCGCTGGATCAACAGATTCGTCTTTGTCCTTGCTATTAGGAATTTCTAAAATTTCCGGCTCGATATTATCCACAGACACTATAGTTTTATGAAAATTAGCCGTGCCCAGCATAGTAATATTATATATGTAGGAAAAAATTTATGTACCATCGGTCGTGTCATTGTCCAAAAATAAATCATCCAATTTAACAGAATCGCTTGACTAATCAACAGTGATATTTGCTTCACGAGAACCTTTTTCAACTTCCTTAAATCGTTCGAGTTGTGAAAACTTATCAAAGCCTGATTGGATAGTCTCAATAGATTTTTTGAATTCCTCATGATCAATCTGCATCTGAGTTTTGAATTCATTAAACTGATTCAGTTGGGCATTCCCCTTCTTAGGCTTTTTTGCAGGGGGTGATTCATCATCCTTTGAGATTTTTCTGAAATTTCTCATTATATTATTCTCATTATTTCTCAAATATCTCATGTCTCATTGTATTAAATTATTGGTTTGAAATTAATGAATCGAAAAAACATAATGCTGGACATTGCAGCATGTTGGCTGGTCAAAGCAGCATTTTTGGCTGGTCAAAGCAGCATTTTTGGCTGGTCAAGGCAGCATTTTTTGGCTGGTCAAAGCAGCGTTTTATGTTGGCTGGTCAAAACAGCACAATTTTTTGTTCATTTGTCACCTTTTTACAAAAGGGACAGTGGGCTAATAAAAACTGAAGTAAATTACTTGCGCGCAAGTAATTGCCCACACTGCTCTTAAATTCCGTTTCAAATACTTCAAAATAAATAAAAAAGGCTTACCCGATACCTTAGGTGGTAGGCTTGTGGATAATGGCGAAAGTATTCCAAATATTTTTCGAAATTCGAAAAATTCAACAAAAAACTGATTGAAGAGAAAGAGAGAGAGTCGACCGCCTTCCTCGCTATATTTTTCGTAATGAGGGATGGTGGTGGACGACCCATGGTAGGAGAGAGAGCACATTTTTCTTTTACTTTACACGACTAGAGACCCCTTCCGACCTGTATACTCGTACTACTACACGTAATACTTCTGACGCCAGAAGATGGAGGATTGCGAAATGCAATCCAAATCAGACTTGTTCCATGTTGAGATTATGTATTCCCGTCTGTATCATTTGTGCATGTAATTCAAGGTGAAGCAGGGTTCCGAGCATTATTTTTTTATGAATGCATACATATGTACTTCCCAAGTAATTATTGCATACATATTCTAACCACAAATACAACGTTTTCCATGACCTAAATATGTATTTTTCAGCTCTAGTAGGTTTTTGTAAAAAAAAAAATTGGCATTTCTGACAAAGACAAAGGTTTGCTCATTACATACTTCTCAATGGGATACTTTCTTCCTTTTTCTAATAGATTAGTAAATGTTGGCCGATTCTAGTGAACTCCGAATTTAACACAAAAATAGCATGCCCCCGATGAAAAATAAAATATCCCAAAACCATGACTTTTTAGAACCCTTGGGTCGGACTCCACAGTTGAATGCATTATTTGTGAAAATGCATTGTCTGAATTCCAGATATATATTCTCCAATTAATATTCAACCAGCTATGCATTAAACCAAAGTGACAGAATATGTATATACGAAACATAGTTACAATTACGTGATTTTTTTAATCAACATATGTATGTACATAAATATGTAGGCATGTGTACATACATATGAATATATGTACCTATCTATGTACGTACATATACACATACTTATACCAATATGCAGATATGTGTGTATGTATATACGTACATACATACGATAAGTACTGCATACTTATGATTATTGTTAAAATATAAAATTGCATTGAATTTTTATCCGATATCTGAATATTCTAAAAATTTTACTACCCGTAAAAAGAATTATTTAGTAAAACCAGAATTTATGCATATATACCCAATTTACGGATAAACGTCGCACATAACTACTTATTAATTTTTATCTCTCTGCTTGTTTTCATAGTAATGCGTCAATGAAGATAATCATTGATAACTTCTAGTCAATCATGTTCCATAGCTCAATAAGCATTAATATTTTACTCCGCCGTGTAATTAAATCATACCAACATTATCAGTCACTTAAGTTACCTGATAACACATTTAGCAAGCAATGAATTCAATTGTCAACTGAGCATCTCTAAGGATACACACATATACATATTTTGCAATTTTTACTATTATCAAACACAACACAAAATAATATTTCATCATGACTGTCACGCATCTGATCTTGAGACGGTTGACTATCGTTTTTACGATTGATATCGTAAGTCTAATCACCTCTTGTAATTTATTTTCTATTATTTTCTATACTAATTTTCTTCTCAGATCATCACAATAGTAAAGATGATGGTTTGGTCCACCTTCTACATCGGAATGGGCATAAACGAACGGTATCAATTAGAGGAAGGTGACATTGACGATGACTCAGGTAATAATTATTTAGTTGATTGGAACATCTATAAATACGTAGAATACCTGACATGTCACATATGAAAATAAATATTAATTCCAGTTTTCATCGAACACAACGGCTATTTCAAAATTGGTTTATGCATCCTGGTTCTTGCTTCTATGAAACTGCTGCATTGTTCTTCAAGTCGTAGAAAAAATCTTAGAAGTTATGACACAGCTGAGAGGAAAGTAAGTTCGCATATTTTTATCGGCGTGCGAAATAAAATATAATTATATATGTAAATGATTTTTTGTTTAATGGCAGAGATACAATTTTTGGTCGGGATGGATTGTCTACGGATTTTGTCTTTCGGTTGTGAATTTGTTGGCAACTCTTTTAGTCGCCGGGATCGATAGTCTCATCCTTAGTGGTCAAAATGGGGAGTGGCGAAGTCCAATTGCTTGGACGCTTGCATCGTTTGAGGCCTCCATTCTACTCAATTTCATCCTTAATCGAATCCACTTGTGTCAAGCAACAAAAAATAATACGAGTAATGAAGATCGTTAAAGGTCCGGTGATTGTGGACTTTAACTGAAGTCATTAAAAAATTTATTACCTCTTACAATCAGATTTTAAGTGAACTTTTTGTTCATATGTAATCAAATTTTATGAAAGTTTTTTTTATAAATATTTTTTTATTTTCCATGAAAATGTAAATCCCTTGGTTTTCTGGAGTATAAAATTGTCTTAAGAAAATTACAAAATTAGTTATATGGATTTTATAACTTATAGTGTATTGGTTTGGTCGAAACTTAATACCTGTTTATACGAACAACAGGATGTGAATACATTAATAATTTATTGTGCGTATAATAAACCTTCAAAGTTTAATGACATTTACCGTTTTAAATATATATTGCTAATAAATATTATATTATGTATTAATTAATATTTATTTTAGTAATTCGATGTAAAATGTATTTAAATTGGAATAAAATTAAATTGGCCCTTGTTAAAAAAATATGTACTAAAAATTTATGATAAACTTTAAATCCGAAATGTTAGCCCATTTAAAATTTTACTATTATTTGTAATATGCATACATACTTATTTAGAAGAATGGAATGAATGCATAGTTAAATTAATTTTAAAATCCGTACTTACGTTCAAATTTTCTAAATTCATTTTAATAAAAATCTAAAATTGACTCGCCCAATAATCAACTTGACAAATATCGCTTTTTGAAATTACTATAGTTTTTACACACACATACACACACATATCTGTCAATTGATCTTATCTTAGATATGGTTGATTGAAATAACTTAACCATTTTGTATGTATAGACATATGTGAATATATACATACATGCATATTTACACAAGTAAATGCATATGCAAATCTCATGCATACTATGCCTTGCATACATGTAAATATCGTTTCTTGGTTATTTAGGACAAATATATGGCTTTCTTTAGTACTCATTTCATATGTACTTACTCCTTACAATTTCAAAGTGGAGAATGATATATTTGATAATTCAAAATTGATAGAACAGACCGTATATGTACACACAAAGATAAACCTTTAATTAGCTAATGTGATTACGTAATATTGAGTTTGACCATGTCTTATTATTTGTAAAGTCAACTTGATATATTATTCAAATATGATCATTGACTTCGCCAGTGATACATCAAACGTGAAATATTTGTTGAAGGTCAAGAAATAAAAGATTTAATTATAGATCCAAAGTAAGAAAAGAAAGTAGAAGAAAGCCGTTGAATAATTTACCGACTGTAAAATTTACATTGAGCCCTATGCAAAATATTTCTAGGCATATCGATTATCCGCGAGTAAAACCCCGAAATGATGGAATATTGACTCACTCGCAAGAAAGATAAGCGCATATAAGCAGACACTAATTTATTAAATTCTCAGCTTCATCCACATAAATCAGGTTCCCTGGAAACAGCTACATATCTACTCAAATTGCGCTGCATAAACATATTTAAATATAAATATTATCGTGCCTGATTAATGGTTAACCATTCAATCAGTGTCCACTGTTTATTTCGTGTATTTCCCGTGTTTACCAAATTTCATAAAATGCTCAAGGCCCGCAGACTTAGCAGAATCGTCGAAACAAAATCCTCGAGTCTATTTCGAAGCATATTTCTCCCACATGAGTGGACAAAATCATTTAAAAATCTCATCAACGCTGGAAATTTCATTGTCGCACTCCCCTTTTCTTGGGTTCCTGGGTGGCGTATAAGCCAATACACATCTGGCCGGTTAAAATCTGTGGAAAAAACTTGGAGAATTATTTTCATAACTTTTTTCATATCGTGTTCCACCCTTGATTTGTTTTATCGAGGGCACTACTCCATTTATTGCGACTATTCTTCAATGGAAAATAAGGAAATAATGGAAACCAATTTAGACCTTATTTCTCGACTTGGATGCACCATTTTATCCTGGGACATATTTCAACGGAGGGATAAACACGTCGCTTTTGTTAATCATCTTTTAATTTCGTATGAAAGATTTGGTATGAAATGTGTAATAACTAAAATTAATGAAATTCTCCTAAAATTACATTAAAAATTTGCAGAAACAAGAAAACGAAATTTTGGAGGGTATGAAAGACAGAGAAATCCAGGCATGTATCTCTACCTGGTTATTGCTTTTCCTACGAGTGTAATATTTCCGGTCGTGGGTTCGTTGGGAGCATATTTGCAGGCGAGAAACAGCGGAAGATTTTGGGGGTCCAGGTTAATCCCACCTCGGATTTATAATTCCTACCCTGGAATTGTCTGCTATTCTTTATACGAACTTTGCATTGTTTACTCGAATGTGTACAATCTCCTGTTCTTCTCCGCAATTGCCATCATGTATGCAACCCTGACGGTGAATTATGTACGAGATTTAATTAGCAGGTGAATTTACGTTAATATATTACAGCAGTTCGTTCAGACCTTTGTAAATGGTACAAAATTTTGGAAAGTTATTTTACAAGTTGCTACAAATTAGAAATAGGTCATAGATTTCTATTCGAAGTTTCCTTTCTAATCTTCTAAACTTTTGTACTTAAATTTACATGTTTCTGGGTTACGAATACCCAGTGGTCGTGGGAACAAAGGGACAGTATTCCCACGGTTATTCAGGTTTTACTAGAGTCGGGCTGGGAGAAGTTTTGTGTGTGACTGTTGTGTAATCTTGTGTAATCGGAGCGTCTATCCGTCCAAGGTCCAGATTTAAAATGTCCCTATCATCTAACCATGTCATTTAAACCCCTCTTTCCTCTATCTTATATTTACTATTACTCAGAATAATAATTAAATCCTTCTACTTCCAGAGTGAGATTCACCCCAGGAAAATATATCCGGTCGTATCAAGGCCTACAAATCCTGAATGCATACAATCTGGAAATACTGTCAAAATACATGTGGCCCTCGGCTCAAAACATTATTCTACTTTGTCACGTGTGCATTAACGTGATCCTTGTATTAACTCACAAATCTCTGCCGTGGGGAATTTTCGGCATGATGTTGGCCGGCTTTATCATGATATCACTCTTTGAGCATAATTGTATAAAAAAGAATGCACAATTGTACGAGGAGTCGAAACGCTTGATTGAAATTGTTAGCATCACGAAAAATTGTAGGCAGATGAAGGTGGCAAAATCCTTGCAACCGCTGAAAGTGTACATGGGTTCCTTCTACTTTTTTAAAATGAGGACCTTCATGACATATCTGGCCACTGTGGTTGATTACACGATAACCGTGCTGGTCACGATTCGATTCTATCGGCCGGCAAGGAGGTAGACGCCACTTGGTTTAGATAATACTGTCAGTTGTTTATTGAAGCCTTAGACATTTATTTCCAAATTAATTGCATGAATCAATCTATTAAAAAATGGGCTACTCATCATTAATAAATGCATAATATTGTGTGTATCAAGTAGTCTGAAATATTTATACGCGAGGATAGTTATTACTACAAAATACATTTTTAACTGGTATGTAAGTGCAGAGATCATGTATTTGTAGTAATGGTGATGATGTGCCATGCAAAAATGTACGTAATAAATTCATGTTACAGTTGCCCTTAATTGCTTATTTTTATATAATACACACGCATTCTCATTATACTGTGAGCAGCCTGGCTCTGCTGTATGTTATAATACATGCTCATAAAAATCCTGACGACGCGACGGAAACAAAGTGTTACGTAAATTGTCCAGTATGCAAAATAGCCAAGTGTAGAGACCGGATGGAGAATGGCAAACCAGACAGTTTCAGGTTACAGGTTCAGTTTGGAGCTGACCTTTCAAATATCTCACGACCAAGCAAACTCGACTATTAACACTTAAAACACTGAATGATTATGCGATATTAAAATCTGCTGTAGTAGTACCAATTATGTACCATATAAGAATGGACATTGGAAGGAAAAAGATTATTAAGAGATTGGAGGGGAAAGAGAGAGGAATAAAGTAACGGGACTCAGGTTGTACACACACGAGAATATTTGCTGTTTTTCACACATTGTTCTTATTGCATTGCTTTGCAAATAACACAAATTACTACATTTCTGACAAGATTAATTATTAAAAGTCATCTCACATTTTCCAATCACACCATTCACACAAATGGCACATATCTCATTGAAGCATGTAATTAATAGCAAATACGCAAAATAATATAATTAACATAATGTGAGGTTAAAATTATGTCAATTATCAGGGAAGATGCAAAAGGACATGTGGAGTCTGAAAAATGAAAGTTCTAATCCACTAAAGAGTACAAAATATTTAGATAGAATTATAGAGGGTTTTACAGAGTTTCTACAAAGACAAATATTTCTTAAATGAATTGCCTTTGTCTCTACCGACTTCAAGTTTTCTTAACTACTTTCTCTAGTGAGACATACTTACATATGAATATTTTCATACATGTACGTACTACTGAGGATGAGCTTTCATGCCATGTTTTAGTCGTGAGATAATTATCTCGGGACATGAAAGGCGCAAATGAAGCCATAAAATCTAACCACTTCGTGACACCTTTCACTTCAGTTTTTCAGTATTCATAGGATTAGGATACTACAACATACGTAGTTACGTTTTACCGTCACCGTGTTTCTAAAAAATACACCGACTTTGCCAACATAAACTGAATAAGACACTAAAGCAATGCAATTTGAAGTTAATAGCTTTTATCAAACATCACTGAACATTTTAAATGACCATAAGCTACATATAGTTAATGTTCATAATTTAAATTGTGTAGGTATTTACATACGTACATACGTACACTTCACATCCCAAACCGGTGACTCAGGTAGCCGGTTCTATGCATTTATTAAGCAAATACTTATTAAATTCAAATTTCAAGTGCTTAATTAATTTTATGACTAATGCAAACATTTAAGCAACCAAATCGCATCAGTCATCTCAATTAATGTCGTATCTTTATTATTACCCAATTGACAATAAAACCTTTCACGATCCACGCTGTCAGTCGGTGCGATATGGAACTGGAAAATTCTGTATCAATATTTGCGTGTCATCTGAGTCACGATTTTAACAGCACTTCAAAATTATACATACACATGGGTAATCCAATTATATATGGATATGTACGTACGTACAGTTTAGTAAGCCCCCCTTGTAAAAAAATTGGCAATAAACACCTGTTTCGCACAATGTTGGCATTTGTAACGTAAATTTTTAGCTTGTTGCTCTGCTTTCAGATACAATTTAAATAAGTAAATGACTTGCCGACCGGGCGATTTACCAACAGATTTATCAACACTGCATACACAAGTTGTTATTGACAATGACACTTGCACAGACCTTGTTAATTTAATTGATTTCTGTTATCTCGGCACGTTTAAGGTACATACTTCAACTTTATTGTGTCTCCTCGTGTTTAGTGACTAAGCAGTCACGAAGCATATTGTGCATTCAATATGACGCAGTTTATCATGGATCCAGTATATAATTCCGGGAACAATCGTCACTATACGTTCAGAAAGAGCCGGAATCTTCCAAAGGCAACACAACCTCGGCACGAAATATTATTCGACTGGACATAAATAAATAATTATTTTCACAAATTTTAAGAAAATGTTGAAATTAACCGTATCTTCCGTAGTGACTTTAGTCCTACTTTTTAGCCTTTGTGTCAACGCAAATATAAAAGATTCACATACGAAATTGCAAAATAGCCGAAATGGCGAATGGTTAGACATGTCGGAGAAAATCTGGCTGAATTGGACGGTTAATGAGGTCACGAAAACGATCACTTTTGAACTTGAGGCTGAAACCTTGGGTTGGGTGGGGTTCGGAATTTCTCCACAGGGCGGGATGACCGGTGCTGATATCTTCATTGCCGGTGTCTTGCCCAACGGGGACCGTTATTCGTCGGTAATTAAACTTTACGTAAAATAAACATCTTTTATTTAACAAGAATTTGACGTAATATTTTTTTAACAGGATCGTCACGCTACGGGAACTACCGACCCGATCGTAGACGCGCATTCAGATTGGGAGCTTCACGACGCAAGAGAAACTGGGAATCGGACATATCTTAAATTTTCTCGATTAATTGACACCTGTGATGATCAGGATTATCCGATCGGGGTACGTTCAGCGAGATGGAATTATAATTAGTTCATTTTAATCATGATTAACTAATTATTTATTTATTTATTTATTAGATGGACACGACCCGACTAATTTATGCGTTTGGTATCACGGACGAAATTGCGTATCACACTAGTGCGAGACGTGGAACCAAATCGGTAAACTTACGAGGTGCTCCGATGCCAGAAGTGGATTTTACCAAGTAAATTATTCATTCTTAAATAATTTAAGAAAATGTTCTTAAACTAAACGTTATGACAGGCTAAAAGAACATAAAATGGTGCTTGACATGGTCATGCCCCCGAATGACACGTCGTACTGGTGCAGCTTCCACAAGGGTCCAGCGCTAGATAAGAAGCACCACATTGTAGCCGTGAGTTTGAATTACAATTAAATTATTTAAGAACACTATGTAAGACTACGATTAAATTATCGTATTTATCCATAAATAGTTTGACTCACACCTCCCCAATCTGGATGCCCTTGCACACACGCATCACTTTATCCTGTACAACTGCTACGGCACAGCTACCACGCCTATTGAAGACATTATGGGGAATTATACCGTGGATAAGTATCTGGGGGATAACTGTTATCTTACTTACGATGAGGTGAATCCTAAGCCAGTGATGTGGTTGAAAGACTATTGCGAGGAATACTTGTACGTGTGGGCGAAAGGGGGCAAGGTGAGATGGAGATTAAAAATATGAATATTTATATAATTATTTTTCTCATGCTACTTCGAAATGTTAGCATGCAACGTTATTAATATACTTTTTTCCCAAACTAGCCCATGGTCTTCCCCGAAAATGTCGGCTACCCGATCGGCTATGGCGACCAGGAGGGAAAAGAAGTCTTCTACATGTTGGAAATCCACTACGATAATCCCGACGAGAGAACCGGTGTCCAGTTTGAAACCGGTGTTTCATTCTTCTACACGAACGAAACTCGACCCATTGACGCGGGGCAGTTGATGGTTGGTCACGACGTCACACCGTCCATTACAATCCCACCAAACACAGATAATTTCGTTACCGTGGGTCACTGTGGGGCAGAATGCACGTCGAAACAATTTCCCGAGGGAGGAATCAAGATTTTTAACGCCCTCCTGCATTCACACCTTTCCGGGAGAAAGTTGAAGCTGAGACATTTCAGAGGCCAGCAGGAACTCGAATGGCCCGATTTTGATGACCATTATGACTTCAACTACCAACAAAACAAGCATTTGAACCGGGAAGTTGTCGTGTTGCCGGGGGATCACTTAACCTATGGTAAGTTTTACTATGTAGTTTAAAATTTAAATAGAAAACAAATAGCGGAAATATTTCGAATTTTCTATATTTTGAATTATAAATTTTACCGAATTTAGAATGCACCTATAGCAGCGTTTGGAAAAAGGGAAAAGTTGTCATAGGAGATTTATCAACGGAGGACGAAATGTGTGAGTCATTCCTTTGGTATTACCCAAAAATTGAGACGATTGAGGTTTGCGGGTCCTTCTATGATGTTGAGCTTTCCGTAGCTGATTTGGGGATCACCAATTGGACGGGGTTAGTCTCAAATGGCATAAAACAAGTAATAATTGACTAATTAACTAAATACTATGTTAATATTTTAATGCATATAGAGTTGAGACCTCGGGAAGTACTAGAAAGGTCTACATTTATGAGCCTATCGAATTGGCTGGTGATTACGAGGAGTCGTTAAGTACCAAGTTCAATTGGACACAGGAAATCAGGGAGGAGATGGAGAGGAAAAGAAGGTACGAGGATCACGTGGGGATTTGTGCGTCCAGAAAGATTCCCGGAAATCCGGATTTTAAAGTCAAATATCCAACGATAGCGACGCCTTATGAGCCTGCTGAAACATGCAGAACTGCCGGTGGCAACGGTTTACAATTAGGCGTAGCCCATATTTTTATGACAATCTTTGTAGGAACGGTGCACAGATTTCTGTAATATGTAGAGTGACAATTTAGACTAGAACATGAAGTCAAAAAGCAATGTGATGAACTATTTAGTACTTATGAATTTAAGTTTGTTTTTATTTATTATGCTTTAATTTGTGTATAATCTTTGCAACAGAGTGATATTAATGTGTAAATAAATTGGATGATAGAGTCCATATATATTTTTTAATGAAATGTTGATGGTCTGGTATTCATACTGAATTTTACACGTGTTTGTATGTGGTACAGTAAGTTAAAAAAAAATAAAATTGTGGCCTCATATGGTACTTTGTTTTAAAAGATAGACCGGCGGATGGACATCACAGGTATATTTATGTACATAAGCAGATTGTTAGCTCCCATACGTACGTACAAATTTGTATGTCACACGTGCAAACATATGTATTTAGTAGCCTAATATTTTTATGAAAAAGTCATAATTCATGATTTAGTAAGCATCATTGAACTTCCAAACAAGATAAACTTTGAACTTTACGTGGACCATTTACGCGAAGTAGTTCTCACGCGCAGTTTAGCAATGGACGTATTTAACAGTGACTCAGGGTAGTATTAACCTTTGGTTTAAATAATTTTCGATATAGTAAATACACAATTATTATATAAATAAATAAGTGAAGTATGACATCATACATATGTATGTACATCAAATTTAGAGATAATCTGTAAGTGGATGCAAATATCAATGGAATTTGTACTCCTCAGCTGTACAAAATCAATTTGTACACATTAACTGTGTGTACGGATTTCGTCAAGCTTTAATTAAAAAATAATTATCTTCGTATTAATTTACAGTAAACGTTCTAATAAATACTTTAGACTATTAATCTCTGTTCTTTAAAAATGTCTGGTATTAAATGGACAACACAAGAAAACGGTTCATACGCCGGCGTATCTTCCAGCAATCGTCATCTCAACGCCTCCGCAGGAGCCGGCACCAACTCTGTTTCAAGTTTTTTATACGAATTTGTAGAAAATTGTGATAATACGGAAGTGACCGTTGAAGTTGAAGGTCCAACGGCAGAATATCACTTGAATGCTTCCGGTGGATGGTATAATAGTGGGAAAGGGGTGGGGAAACGTGGAGGTGAGAAACAAATATTTACATAACTGCAGAGTTAATTTAGCTAGGTCAAATTTAATGATTGACGTTTTGAACGGTGGGTTTAAACAAAATGTTGATACACTCATGCTAATTCTGCAAATGTGGTTCTTAATTACTTATTTTGCAATATTGTACGATTTGAGTGATTTTTTGTGACCGTGTAACATGTAAATAATTTGTTTAAATATTTATGCATTCAATTTTTGTATCGTTTCCTGAGTGGTCATCCTACAGATTTAAACTAAATAAGTTCTAGAGTATCTTCCAATTTGGAAGTTCCAACTAATACAGTAGTTTTCAATTATGTAAATTTTAGGTGCTACCGTTGCCAAAGCGTCCACCCATGGCTATACCGGTGGTCCAACGAGATATCGTAGTCGCAACACTGGGACAGACCGCGTCGCCGGTGCGAGCATTGGGGCTCGTGCCACCACCGGAAAGGCGGAAGCGAAATGGAACGTCTTTGGGAGCGAGATTGAAGGTCCCGCAGCGTCCGTTTTAGCGCATGCGCGACATATCCCGTGGAGTCCGTTCGCCGAGGCAGGCGCTGTAGCGGAAATCAGTGCGGCGAAAGCTTCCATTACTTTTGGACCTCTATTTGTAACGGTGAATCTAAATATCAACACTGGTGTAAGGATTGGGACGACAGGGGCGGAAATTAATTTCTTAGGGTTTGGAGCTTCAATTGGGGCCAAGACGTCGATTAATACACCATTGGGATCGATTGGGTTTAAATTTTAGATGGCGTAAAACGATGTACATAAATATGTAAAATAGGTAGATAATTAACTTTTAATTGAATAGTTTGAAGAGCAAGTGCTGGAATAAAATAACTGAATGTTTCTCATATCTATTGCACCACGTAATTGTGGAATTAATTATTCACTAGTTTGAGAATTTCCTAAATTTGCATACGGACCGACAAAATAATACGTATAAATATGTAGTACCAATTACATACACTGATACATAATTTTTATGCTCCTGTGCACCCCGAAACCACGGAGGCGAAAGGGACGCTATGAATTAACCAATGGTCGGCCTCACTCCCAGACGTGTTTTCGAAGCAGGTTGCGTTTCCGGTAAAGTTATTGGTCTCCCATAAAGTCCAGTTGCTCCTTCCCGAACTAATCGCGGCGGCAGGGACGAAGGGGAAGTTGTTAGCGGATAAGGTCGTGATGATGACCTCCCGACCAGCAAATCCTGGTCCCTCGTAGACGGAGAGAGCGCTCGTGGCAGTGTCAAGAGGTCCCTGATGACGGAGAGATTGGACGTTCAAGAAAGCAAAGGTCGTGGGGGAACATCTCGGCTCGTACGATGGGCCAAACGGAGCTACGATGTTGGTAAAATTTGGTTCACGGTAGAGTTGCCAGCTGAATCAATAAGAAATTCGAAATTTAGTACTTTTTATTTGTGCTTATTATTTACAACTTTCTCAAGTTTACAACAATTTTAATATTTTAAATTACTTTAATCCTGCGACTTACTTTCCGACATACTCCGCAGATTTGGAGGCATTGATGAAAGGTTCCCAATACGTGAGGGTAGCATGTTTTGAGGTAAATCCTATGTAGTCGCCGGTGCAATTCTCGCCCTGGAAGAAGGTGAAGTACTGCTTGACCCCGGTGGCGCAGGAGAAAACGGTGATGAGAAGGGTGGCGAAAACAAGGAAGTTCATTTTGAAATTGCAAATCAAATTGATCTTTTTTTACTCGGTGTACAGAAAGAAATGGATTGTGTGAATGAATTTGGACAACCGGGACAACCGAGTTTTATACGAAGTTGATAACACAGGGACAATGGGCTTATCCATCAATTCCCTGTCTGATGGACGTATTTACGCAACTCTGTACTGTACGTTCGTTGGTAAGACTGCGTACGCAGTACAAAATTGCACGTTACCTGATATCACGAGTTCAATAAGTAGATTTGTCCGTGGTCAATCCATTAATAAATTTATTGATAAGAAATCAATTAGAGGAGGCATATGCATAATTCGCTAAGCGTTCTCCCGAACTTGCAGCTGAGTTAACAATTTAAGATTGTAGTCCGATTAATCGATGCAGTGGCAGAAGTGTTAATTGACTTTATTTTTTCTGGTCGTCATTGATGATACAAACGTCACACTACCAGTAAAAATCCAACTATTGCATATTGTTTTGACGTAAACATATAATCCATTATTAAAATATGCCGTATTACAACTCTGTGAGAACAAGAGATTTTTCATGTCTACTCAAAGCTAAGTGTCCTATGCTTTAAAGTCATATCCAGCTTTACCTTTACGTAGAAGTTTTAAACATAAACCAAGCAATTTTTTAAGTAGTAAGACCATCATATCATCGTCCACATACATAAGTACGTATGTCAAGTACAAAATACATGTGTGTAATTCATAAACTCAACAACATTTATTTCATTGGTAAAATTAGTGCGATCACATTTTTCTCTTATCTATTTACATATGTACATAGGTATTTATTTGCAAGCTACAATTTAAATCACTTGAGAGGTCAAACAAAATGTAATTAAGTAGGAATATCTATATGTATGTATGTACATAGGTCATATATGGATCGCTGAAGATAGGGCCGAATTAACGGGCAGACGTGGTGGGGGCAGGCGTGGTCGTGGTGGTATTGTTGACGAGGGAGAGGGTGCAATTCCAGGCGGTGATGTCGTATTCGATGAAGACTAAGGTGACTTGCGTCTCCTGGCAAACGCAGGTCACGTTCAGCTGACCAATGATCGTCGTGTTCACCGCGCCCACAGGGGAGCAGACAGTTGCTGAAATTCAATATAAAAATAGTTACATTTTTTTCTTAAAATTTTGAGAAAAATTGAAATTTTTCGTAATCCAATTTATCCACAACGATTCATTTAAACATTTACCTCCAATAGTTATGGGGGTTGACTCCACAGGTAGAACAAGGCTTCCGGCATAAGCCACCAAGGCGACGAGGGTAATGGATTTGGTTAAGGAAAGCATTTTAGATATTTCTGATGTTTCCGAAGTAAACTGTGACAAATTTGAAAATATTTTAAAGAAATATTTAATTTATTTATGGGAATGAAGTATTTATTAGTAAGGTATTATGTGATCTTGACTTTGACTTCTTGCGAATTGGATGTGAATGTCCAATGTGAAGGACGGCATCATTTTATTCAAAATATTACATGCGCAATTCATTTTTAGGTTCTGACGCTTATTTTCGCTTATTCAAATATTGCGGATATTCAGCTATTCATTGCCCAGTTGGATTAAAGCGGTTCGATTATTGACGTTTTGAACAAATCATTTGTTTTACATAGTTATGTACATCCATAGTTCCTCACAAAATATGAGCTTTGTTAAAGACTCTTTAATAAGTAAATTATCATGCGTACATATACATAAATTATTCCCCCAAAGTTTTATAGTGATTTTGATTTTGAGTTGCATACATATTTATGTCACGCTTAAAAATGTTCCCGACTTTGCAAGAAGTAAACTGGTAGTTAACTATATATATCGTAACATTGACTAAATTTAGCGTTAAATGGATAACTTCATTTTTAGTTATACATCATTTAGCCATAATTTTAGTGAAGTCACTGTATTACTTTAAAACAAGTTAGACGTTACACCAGTCCGGGTAAGGCTGTAATGGCGTTTACTACATTCCGGGTACCTAGTCCCGCGAGAAATAAAGCTTGGTCCACACTCCACTTTTCCCTCGTCTTTGTGAAAAGAGTGTTCAATTGTGAATTAAAACTAAAGTAGGAATTAATTAATTTGCCTAATTAATTAGTTAAAATTCATGAATTATTCCACACCACCTGTACTAGATGTGGAGGAAACTGCTCGACTACCATCGCAATTTGGGCTGGACTGCTATTTGGATACTTTTAAGGGTAAGTTTATTTACAATAGCCCATAATTTACACTTTGCTCATTTCATTTTATTTTAAATTAGGAAATGCAATAGCGGACGACCCATTGTTACTTGTCAGCAAAGAAGATTAGGCAACAATTGTACCAATATTTTGCCATCGACGAAATTTTGGAATGGAATTCAGAAGTTTCAAACGGCACGATTTATGTATGCAAAAATGTGTTCTCCAATCTTTAAAGATGTACATGGGTTATCAATACTAAGGCAATTATTTCATATTATTTTTGGTTATTTTGCAAGCTGTGATTTAAGTAATTTAAGTGGATTTAATTGAAATAAATATTACCTAATAAATGTATTTACAAATACGGCATTCATTTTGTTGAGACACTAAATACTGCGACCATTATTCATTTTACTTAATATGGGGTTAGAACAGTAACCCCAACCAGGGTTAGCACCCAGACGAGAATAGGGTAAATGGCTAATTGCAAAGGGTAACTTTCGTTACTTTGTTGCTGAGTGGTGGCTGTATACCCCAAATCGGGTAAAGTCACTTTTACGTTTATTTTTAGTTATATTTTACTTCTTTTAGGGTAATAATTTTTAAGCGTGCTCATCACATCAATTGAGGATGAGGAAGACAGCCGCAAGTTTCTGTGTTTGTGAATAAATAACTACTAATAAATACATACACATATATATGTAGAACATGTTCCCATACATACGAATGTACATATGAATACATCTTATTCCAAGATTTTATATATTTCTCGGAACAGCAAGTTGTATAATGTTTTTCATACAATTTTATATGGCGAATTTACTTGTCCTCTCGAGAACAGGTGGCGACTCGTTTTTGTACACAAGAGTAAGCTACTTAATAGTGCGGCGAACAATGCACTTACAAATACAGAATTTGTAATCTGAACAACTAAAAGTTTGATTCTAAACATTTACGAAAATTGAAATGTGTAGCATTGTTTGTATGAAGGATATGTATGAACTGGGAACGAAACGTATAGATACTTCTGTACTGTAGTACATATATGTGTGCACATCTTAGTTATTGTGAATTTCGCATTAAAACATATTCAACGGTACGGATATAAGCATGTGTAGGTGAAACACAAACCTTTAGCTGCACGTGACCTGACAAGTCAAATATCGAAGATGAACTTTATATCCGTAAATTAATAAATGTTGCGCATAAATGCTTATGTGTGCATTTGCATTTACGTAGGTACATATGTACATTTACACATCATATACATAAGTGAATGTAATTATGCATATGTACATACACTACCAATACGATTCATAGTCCAATGAATATATAAAAGTTTCATTAACGATAAGTACAAACCTCTCCCACGTTGTCTCTCGCTCAATAGGCCAAGAAATTGTTTTGAGACAAACCTCGATAAGTCTTTTGACGTATGCACCTACTCTTACATACATACATATTAAAAAAAATAAGGATAATTATTTGTGTACCACAATTTCTTATTTGACAAGGAATTGGGACAAATGAATGGACAGATATTGTCAATCTGCTAACCTAATACAGTATTTTAAGTATTGTGACAAGAAATATCGAACCGCTTTAGTCCGGCTAGGTCATGAATAGAAAATTAGATTATTTATCCGCAATATTTTAACAAACAAAAATAAGCGTCAGAACCGAAAAGCGAATTACGTATGACATATTTTGAATAAAATGATGCCGTCCTTCACATTGGACATTCACATCCAATTCGCAAGAAGTCAAAGTCAAGATCACATAATACCTTACTAATAAATACTTCATTCCCATAAATAAATTAAATATTTCTTTAAAATATTTTCAAATTTGTCACAGTTTACTTCGGAAACATCAGAAATATCTAAAATGCTTTCCTTAACCAAATCCATTACCCTCGTCGCCTTGGTGGCTTATGCCGGAAGCCTTGTTCTACCTGTGGAGTCAACCCCCATAACTATTGGAGGTAAATGTTTAAATGAATCGTTGTGGATAAATTGGATTACGAAAAATTTCAATTTTTCTCAAAATTTTAAGAAAAAAATGTAACTATTTTTATATTGAATTTCAGCAACTGTCTGCTCCCCTGTGGGCGCGGTGAACACGACGATCATTGGTCAGCTGAACGTGACCTGCGTTTGCCAGGAGACGCAAGTCACCTTAGTCTTCATCGAATACGACATCACCGCCTGGAATTGCACCCTCTCCCTCGTCAACAATGCCACCACCACGACCACGACCCCTGCCCCCACCACGCCTGCCCCTTAATCATCAGCCCTATCTCCATCTCAATATATGAGATATGTACATATATCTATGTATATTTCTACTTAATTAAATTTTGTTTAACCTCCCAGTTGATTAATTAAAGTCTGCTGGTATTTATTATATAATTTACAAAAATGCATTTTCTCTCCCACTAACAATGCCAAAACTACATATTGAGACGATGACGCACATAGCTGGCCAAAAACTTATTATTACATTCTGTTCATAAATACAGTAAATAGTTACCTGAGTAATTATATAGATTATGTTTCATCACTTGGGTGATTATAATTAAATATGTAGGATGCCTCCTCCTACCCGGTAACTCTATAGTAGAATTATCTCCAAAGGCAGGCAGGTTCGTTGTGGTGTACAATTTCTATATCTTTTATGAAATTTTAAATTTTATCTAAATTATATGATTTACTAAATTTCAGAATATTAATTTAACCTATAGAAATTATTTTGAGTTGTTCAATAAAATTTATTTTTATTTATTTTTATTTATTTTTTAAAATATATTTTTAAGTTTATTTGTCGTATGCGTTTTTGAGTACAATAATCAGTCATTTATTGTTATTTGCCCACCCTAATTTATTTACCATGGCTTCCAGCTTGTCTGCAAACCCTGTAGAATTTGGATCCTTGGCATCGACCATTGCATCGTGTAGCATTTGGAGTAATTGCAATTTTGTCGTTGTTAAAACATCAATTTCTTCTTCAGTATGGGCTCGATCATGCTCTTGCCGTATCAACTTTTCTACCATTTGTTTCGTCATATTCTCTTCTTTTTCGAGTGCATTTGTGAATTCATCCTTCTGTCGCGCCAATTCCTGAAGGATTAGCATTTCGCATTTACGAAAATTTATTTTGAAAAAATGAGTATAGTTAACGGTCACATATTTCGCATATCTCCCAAATTGAGCATAGCAACAAAACTTGCGAAGTTTTCGAAATTTACGATATTTCTCTTTCGAATACTTTCGCTGGTTTTTCGCAAATTAGCGTAGCAATTAGGCATGTTTTTACATATTTCGCAAGATTATTTCGTAATATCCTTCTCTCTCTATTAAATGTTTTAGAAATTGCAAGTAATTGGAAATTAAATTAAAATATGATAACAGAATTGTCTGTACAGATTTGCGAAATTTTCGAAATCGAATTTTGTGAAGCCCCTCACGACACAATTTTTTAGCTTCGCAATTTTGCAAAATGAGTTGCCATGCGAATTAAGATGTTGACGTGAATATGCTCAATATCTACATTCAATTATAAAATTCATACCAGCTGTAATTGTTGGATTTGTGCGCCCAATTCTAACATGGCTACTTCAGTTTTCTTAATTTTGTTTTGCATTTCCTGCTTATCTCGGACATGAGTTTGCCTCAACGTCCGTAATTCCTTGACCTCGGCTTCAGAAGGGATGTTGCGTAATTTATCCGAGATTATGTCATTTTCTTTGTGAAGTGTTTTATTTTGTTGTTGCAGAGTCTATCATTGGGAATTAATTAGTTGCATAAAATCTTCTGAGCAATTAATTAATAAATTTCGATTTGAATATATCTGAATACAGAATGCATAAAAAAATTTATATACTTGCATTCATCATTTTATTGTTAACTTTTGTCTGCTCCGACAATCCCTTAACTTTACTGGTTAAGTCGCGATTAAGACTTTCCTGACGCGTTGTTTCGATTTCGGACATTTGAAGACGCTTGGTTAATTCCGTGATTTCATCTTTTAGCAGTTTGACGTTCTTTCCCCCATGCTTTTCTTGACGTAGTAGAAACACGCTACGTTGTAAGTCTCTATTCCGCTGAAAAATTAGTAAATTTGGTCTAAATATTTACTTTTTTTTCTATGATATGTGGATTTCAATATTTAAAATTGATTTATAAAGAAATAATATTTTCTGATCAAACTTACCATTTGTAATTTTAGTATTTCGTTCCGCAATAGGTAGTTTTCTAGGAGGGGTTTGTCCATCTACAATTATTTATTCATATTTATTATTAAAGTCTTATTTTCCTTAAAAATTGTGTTGAACTTGTTAATAATAATTTCAATACCTTTGGGCCATCTACTTTAATTATGCTGGTATCAACAGCAGGGTGAAGTTCAGGCTCTGTCATTATGAATATCTTGATTCTTGCACTATTATTTTTGGGCCGATAAGTAACTTTTGTGTAAACCCTTTTTAACGTATTTATTTTTACTTGCGCTTTCCCATGTGGAATAAATGATATTGAATGTTGGAAGGACATAACCTCCCCTCTTTAGTTTAGCCATCCATCCCCCTAATCTGTTATCTGCGATGCATCCGCTCATTTGATCACAATGGAATTAAATAATTGATTTGTGTTTCATTCACATGTGTAGATAAAAGTAATTATGTGATGCATAATAAAAAATCGCGAGACGTATCGTCACTTGATTATCGGTGCACAAATGATTCATAAATGATGCGTGAGTATTATTGTTAAATATATTTATAAATATGTACATGCATATTAATTCGTTCATATTAATTTATTGTTTATTATTCATCATAGAAAACTATTTTTAAAGCAGCACTTCTGAGTAATGAATTTCATTTTTACAAAGCATTTATCGTATACACTTAAGTATGATGCATCTTTACCTGAATTTATAATAAAAACGAAGTTGAAATTGTCAGGTTGAAATTTTAAAAATGGATTTGTATTTATTTGTGTGTATAAGGTTTCACGATTTATATTTATGACGTGATTCAGTTTTATGAAAAGCAAAATTTTACGTATAACTTAACTTTATTTTAAACCCGAAATTAGTAAATATTGAGGGTATTCATCACGAGTTCACATGTTCGCATCGCAATATAATTTTATAAAATCAGATCCGCAAGTTCGCAAGTGAATCTTCAAGCCAAATTTTTTGCGAACTTGCGATTTTTTTGCGAACCTTGATAACTATGCGAACTCGTAATGAACATCCTCGTTCTTCGACATATGTACATACATATGCTTACGTCTACTTTGTAGCCGGCATTTTCCTAGCGGCGGCCAGCCATTCTTTAAACACGAAATTCGGACTTGGCTTAAGCAAGAATCCGATCAATCCTGTCAACATGTCAAATTCTTCCTCATCCGAACTATCACTCTTGCGATACTCTTCGGGGTCGCAGTTCATCTCAACCTGCGTTAAAAGCATGCCCCCATCAGTGGAACGCTTCGCATTAACCTTGTAGACGAGAATACCAGTCCAACTCCGGTGAAAGTTGAAGGTGTCTGTAAAAAAAGTGACGAAAATTGGCCCTCCTCAGACACACAAAAAAATCGTCGCTTCGAATTTCGCTTTGTTTTTCGCTTGTCGATAGCATGGCAAAAATTATGAAAATTGTAAACTTTTGTTCCGACTTCAGCTAAGCGACCTTAACCCCACTTCTGAGTTGAGTTTCTGGTCGCTTACTCCAGAGCTCGCTTATCAGAAAGTAAGCGAAAAACTAAGCGAAATTCGAAACGTCGATTTTTTCGTGTGTCTGAGGAGGCCCATTATATTTTACGGACCATGCGTTGATTAGTTGGTGCAAATGATTAGTTGGTGCAATGGTCAAAACGTATTTCTCGAATCAGTATAATCAATTAATAGTCATTCATACCATCGTCTGGATCGAAATATATGAACCATTTGTCCTCCATCTCTTTTGGGATGAATCCTCTCACAGCAACTTTCACTTCCTCCTCGGTCAAGCTCAAATTCAAAGGTGTGGAAAGTACAACACTTTTACCTGGTGCAAAACTCTTGATATTACCCCATGAAGCCTTATCTGCCACACGGGGTGATGAATTTGATTCGGCCATGAGTAATGATCACAATTTAGTATGTTTTAGAAGTATAGGATAAATTGAAATGAAATAATTGCGATAGAAATATATTTACATAATGATCAGAGTTACAAATAATATTGCGAGACTCAATTGTATTGTGCCGTGCTCATGAAAAAACAGATGACCAAATGCACACGATGAGCCATGTAGCTTTGTTAGATAATACATATACCCTGGTCGTGTGGACCAAATGTAAGCAAATATTCGGTGGTATATGCGTATATGGGAGTGAGATGATACAGGTTTAGGTTTGGGCGAACGAAATGACTCATTTTTTTTCAAATTCATTTGATGGGAAGGCAATTAATTGCCTTCCCATGTTATACATGTTATACAGGCATGTTATACACATATACATACATAGTTTACGTGTAACAGGTAAAAAGCCTCAACTCCTCTTATTTCCGTCCCCTACATATAAATATGTACATACGTACATATACGTATGTATGTACTTATATGCGCATATAGATATTTATATGTACCCCAAGCATGACATGCAACACAATGAATTGGTCGTGTTTAGTGATAGGTTACAAATGAATTTAAATTTTAGCGTACATATAATTTTTCATGAAACAATTTCATGTAACAGTTTATGTCTTCATACATATACATAAATACTGTATGTATGCAGCGCCCGATCTTGGAAATTTTCTCCCAGAGCAAGATCGCGACGGCGCCCCCATGGTGAAATTTTTCACTGAATGCATTTTTCGCCAACACATTTTAAAGCGATTTAAGTTTTCCACGCTAATGCAGAGTTAATTTTTTTAAACGATTTGTATATTGCTATAATTATAAAAACGAGTGTGCCTTTTTGGGGATCAAGCATTATTTGCTTCTTTCGGCCAAGTAAAACTATGAGAAATTAACTAGATAAATATCATCAGTAAAACGTCTGGGTACATAGAATATTACATGATCCGATAGAGCTAAAAATTAAAATGTGGTTAAAAATAAGTTCATATGTCTTGTTTTAGTCTAATGTCACTTTTCGAATTTTGACAAATATTCTTGTTTTTGTGTGTCCAGAACAGCTTTTGAGTTGAAAAATGCATGTTTTAGAGCGAATTAAATTGTTTTTATAATTTCCAAATTTCTAAATTTGGGGAAATTTCATTAACATCATTGATTTAAAACTGACAAGTTTTCAAATGATGTTCTGATAATGTCAAATAATGTTCTGATAAAATACATATTTAGATTAATATTCTGCGCTAACATATTTTTGATTTTTAAATCGCGCAAACGTTTGAAGGGTTTAGAATCCTTAATTTAATTTCGGATACTAAAGAAGTCTTCGAATTAACGACTTTTTAACGAATTTTTGAAGGATTAGTAAACACCAAAAAACCTATTAGCTAGGGATCACCTGTGGTGATATCTACTATGTATTCAGTTTCGTGTAGCTACACAAAAGATATTGAAAGGAAGATTCTAACCATGAGGCATTAACAGAAAATTTCAACCGTCTAGGGATTTCACTAAACGACAGGGGGTAGAATGCCGATCGGGGGCCAAGGGTTTTTATTTTTTAATTTTGATGATAAAAAAATAAGCTTGTATGATGGAGTTAAAAACCTACTTCAAGCAACTTTGCGGGGCCTTTTAAGACGGCATTATTACCTAAAAGCTATAGACTCTAATGAACGATTGGCAAATAATTTTTAGCCCGAACCAGGGCTTATGTAATCGACCTGTTCGTCTTTCCATAACTCTCGAAGGAGTTTGCCGATTTTTACCAAATTTGATCCAGACATGCATCTGGGCAATCCAACGACCGAGTTCGAAGATGGGTTCGATCAGAAAATAGATTTAGACCAGACTAGTGTAGGTCATATGAGTGGATGGGGTATTAAGCACCAAAATTTCAAAATTGTGATAGAAAGCTGGAAAGCTGAAATTTGGCATGTAGCGTGCTAATGCTCATAATGGAAAACCTATTAGTACAGCTTTGCTTAGCCCTAACCAGGATTAGTAAACCCATGTTTGTCCGTAGTTTTCTACAAAATTATGTGCTACTATTTTACACAATACACTAATTCTTGCATTAAGTAGCATTAATCCTTCGTATTACTAGGCTCAAACTTCTAAAAATATTTACAATCCCTTACACTTACTACTTCCCAGTGGAGGTGGCCTCTATAACCCCTCCAGTTAATTTTTGTTCATATTTCACTTCATATTATTTCATGAGAAAGCAGTAAGGATCTCTGGTCCAAATTTCAGCTCTCTATGTTAATTTCTAAAAATCGGTATGGGTTACCCCATAGGGTCGCTCTAGATAAAAATTTTACCATTTTCATGTCATATTCTTCCATTAGGACCCACAAGCAACCTCTCTACCAAATTTCAGTTCGATATGACGATTTTTAAAAATCAGTATGAGTCACCCCATAGGGTCCCTCAAGATTAAAATTTATCCAACCTAAATTCTTTTTTTTATTACAATTAACTAGCAACCTTTGTACCAAATTTCAACTTCCTACGACAAATTTTAGAAATCCGTGGGGTCACCTTATCGGGTCTCCCAGGTTGAAAATTTCTAAAACTCCACTTCAATTTAAACGCTTTGAGGTCAGTCGCAATCTTCATACTAAAATATTACTGAAAATTATTACTATTTATTACTATAGATATTTCTCAAGCTACAAATATTTTACTTGCACTTACATCCTGCTCTAAAGGTTCTTGGTAGTTAAGGGCAACACATTTGAATAGAAATGACCCCCACCGGCCAACCACTTGACCGATCATGCCCATCTTCGAACTCATCCTTACTTTTTACCCGAAGATGAAGTATGCAAAATTTCAAGTCGATAGCTTTTGTTTAAAGAGAGTTATCGTGCCTACAGACGGACGGACAGACAGACATCTTGACAAATCTATAAGGCCATCTTAAAAGGCCTACAAATTACTTATGAAAACTTTACCCCAGCTCAAAGCTACTCTTTAATCTCGTCCAATAAGCCAAATGTACAAAATAATTCCAAGTAAGATTTTAACGATGTCGAGTTTTTTTATATCTAGCTACTGGTTTGAATGATGCTGGAATTGTACACGATGTCTTAGCAATTTAATGCAAATACCATCATTTCTCAAATCGATTGTCTTCAAACATCCGGTTTGGAGATAATGACCCCTTCCCGTGTCAAAAATTAACATGACGAAATTTTCAGTTTTTGGTCTACGAAAGCTATCGAGGTATTTTTTTCAATTCTAGCATATTGAGTTATTCATACCCCATAATTATCTTAAAAATTTAAAAGTAAAAAAAGAAAATAAATAAATTGAAAATAAGTCTTGGTCGCAGATCGGCATTCTGTGCCCTGTCCATCCACTCAGCTTAAATATTTTCAACATTTCTTAAAAGATTAGTATAAAATAGGCCGAACAAATGAGACAAAGTAATTAGACAAAGTAAATAAGTGGCACGTGAGATTGGTTCCTGACGCTCAGCTATGTACAAGCGCGATTCGATGTTTGCCATATTTGAGCATCCTATGGTTTGTTTCTTGTTGTGTAACAACTGCACTGCTCGTAAATTTCGTTTTAAATTTTTCGGTATATTTAAGAATGACAAGTAGCCTATTGAAATTCTGAGGGCGCCGACAGGCGCCCTCAGAATTTGGCGCCCTGGGCTTTTGCCCCGGTTGCCCTCCCCAATTTCGGGCCCTGTATGTATGTATGCATATTTGTATACACAGTAGTATGTAATTAATACCTGCATATTTATGATGTCAAAGAGTTGAGAATTTTTTAAAATCAACGTAAAATACATACTACTTCAACACTTAGGAATAGGATTTGTTACAGAGAATTTACCTTAAATCTTAACTCAGGAATTTAGAAATTTTTTATGTACTCTTAGCAAATATGCCATTAAGAGGGACAAATGCAGACTTGGTACTCTCTACTGAATTGGGTATAAGTAAATATAAATTATTTTTAACAATTTCCCTAATTGAAATAGGCCTACAAATACATATATACATATGTACAACCATTTAATTGCCTTCATTTCACGATAAACTAATTAGTTGCACAATTAAATGTGTAGTCTATTTCGCTGATGATTTGTGTATGTATGTACACCATAAATAGATTTATATACATACATACAACATATGCATGCCATTTTATGTAGTCACAGTGTATGCTGCAACTGCTTTTAGTGATTACTACGTGTGATCAACTTTTAGTCAAAATGAACAATTTTCCTCAAACTGTTGTGAAATTACATGATACACAATACATAGCTACATACTGAATAAATAGACATGTATGTACATACATAAATATTCCATACAAACTTCAAATAATGAATCAAGTTCAAGATCTGCACACATTACATAAATACATAAATCACAATAAATTGCCTCCACGTGTCTCCATTATCAATAACACTTGCATACTTTAAAACAATAAATATGCCCTTTATTTTACCACTTTCAGTACAGATTTCTTCAAATAATAGCTACATATTCATTCCTCTAGCAAGTTATCAAGTGCCTTCTTGATGTCACCTAAATTGTAAAGCCAAAAACTATTCTTAGCAAATAAATGTTAAATTTTAAACAGGGTTTAAATTCTTGTCAAATAAATTCATATTAAATCAATTTCAGCCACCTGGGGGTCATCCTGTCCTCGTCATTCATCTTTTATCTCGTTCAACCAGCTCAATGTCAGGTAAATATGACTTAAAACTAAAATTACTATATCATATAAATATTTTCTTTTTAAATTACTTCATCTCATCTCACCCCTTCAGCTCGCATCCGCCATAATTCCGCTCTACAACTTCCCAAACTTTAAAAACGACTCGGACGAAAGTTGGCAGCCACTTTTAGATGCCAAATCCCAATACCAAAACGTTTCCGCCTGGGTCATCGGCGGCACTCCGAAGGACTACAATTGGAAAGTCTATCAAGCCGCGTATAAAAAACTGCTTGACGTCGGTTTGAACATAATCGGTTATGTGAACACTGGCCACGCCACGATACCGGTTCAAACCGTTACGGACGGAATTGACAAATGGCGCCAATTTTTCTCAACCTTTTCCACTTTCCCCACGGTCAAGAGTGCGATATTTTTCGACAATATGCACAACGGGATGAATGACGGACACCAGGCTCGAACTAATGGGACCGTGCAGGGGGATGTGGTCAAATATTACGAAACTATTGCCCGCTACGCCAAGTCACAAGGTTTGACAAAAATTGTGATGAATCCAGCCTCCTACGTGAACGAAAGCTTGGTCGGTGTCGCTGATACGTTCAACATTTTAGAATCTAGCTACGGTTTTCAGGCGGAAAAGAGATACCAACAGCCGAAGTATGGGGTCAAGTATCCCATCCAAAAGTGGGGGGCTATGATTAACAATATCGTCGAGGGTCAATTGAGTCATGAGGAGATTAACGTGATGAAGAAGTATGTCAAGCACATCTGGGTGTCGGAATGGGGAAGTAAGGGTGCCCCCTCGTGGTACCGATTACCAAAGTATGTCATCAAGCTGTTCAGATATTTGAGTTATTAAATACGTGCTGGTATATGTATGTGTTTAATATTTTTAATAAACGCAAAATATAATAAACGTGAGCATAGTTACGGGAGCACATCAATGTATGTACATACATAAGTATTGCAAATTGTATAAATGTACATAAATATATAGATGTACATAGTCGATACATAAGTGCACCTTGATCATAAAATTCTACGGTTGATGTATACATACAAATAGGTTGATATGTATGCAACTTATCATATTTGCATTAAATGCAAATGCATGCAAATATTTTCAGTCTACAGTTTTCATCGTAGTTGGGGTTTGTTGTCGATAAAATTCATACATATGTTTCCGATGAATTATGCTTTGTTTCACATCATGCAAATTTTATCCGGACACAGGGGAAACATAAATCTATATATGTAAACGGAGCATGCTTTTGATTGATTTCTTTTATTATCCTTACTCATCGTCATGGTTTGGGGTGCACTATGCAACGTGTACACTGGCTCTTTTACGCAGTTTTTTAATGACTCAACTACCACTTGTGTTTCAAAAGACTACTCTAGAACTTGATCCACTTGACCCTTCTCGCACTATTTTCTACACACTCTTTATAATAAAATTACATTTTTAGTCATCCATCTACATATTTAAAATGAGATCATTTCCTCTAACCAAATCCACTCCGAACTCCTTAATTATTCAAATCAGGAAGGACTCAGAAATGCAACCGTGCAAAAAATACTACTTGTCCCAGTTGAATAGTGTCTCCGCAATTACTTCCACCACACCCAGACAACACCCACAAAATATCGTAGATGACAGGGAAGATGAGACGTACTACTTCGTCAGTTCTAACATTATAATCTTCCTCATCTACGCGTTTGCCGGCCAGGCAGTCTCGTTCTTGTCGATAGAGGTTCTCATGAATCTGGTGGGAATCGGCGACCTCTGGAAAAGACCGAGCATCATGGAATGCGTCAGTCTGATGGGATGTTGCCTTATAAGTTATGAAATTGCTGGGATCCTTTATAACTGGTGGAGTGACCTGTGGATGAAAATAGGTGAGTGGAAAATAGAATTTTGTAAATTTTCGATTTTTTTGTAAATTGTGTCACGACCAATTTCAGATATGGTAAAGTCTGTCGCAAAGGAGAAAGTACGTCCTGAAGAAACTTTTTATATTCCTGTGGGGGCTAATTGGTTTCTCGTAATTGGACTCAGCCATTTTTATGTGTGGAAAGATAACCAAATTTCTCTAGATCATTCTCGTAATGCTGTTACTAATGGGATGAGTGATCTTGAAGATGAGTATCGAAAATTTCTGGAGTATTATGTGAATCAGTTGGAAATCATGATGGGTCGAACGGCTGATAATGTGAGACATTTTGTAAAATATCGATAAATATTTAAACTATTAATATGAAAATGTTTAATTTCCAAGAATACTCCTCTTGATGAAAATATGCAAGTTGAGTCGAGATGGACGAGTGTCTTGCAGATTTTGAAATCTCAATGTGAACATTGGTAAGAGAATGAGTCATCTAATACTTACATATGTATGTAAATATACTTCAAATTTATCTATTAACCGTGTTAACGACTTTTTTCAGGGAAATGAAGGCAGCATTGCTGAATTCTGGCTGCGCATCACTCGAGATGCAGAGTCGGGAAATGTAGACAGAAATTTGACCCTTGGTCATACAGAATTGAGTTTCGCTATTATGAATTTTTTTGCATATTTTTTTGTAAATTTGTTCTAGAAATGTCGGCATATAACAATTTTCCAGCCTATGTATATCTTTTTATCTGTATAAATATGATTAATGTTGTAGCAGTAGTAATATATGTAGTTATCAAGATTTCGCATCATAATATATAGGTAAATAATATAAATAATTATTAATTATTACTTAATTAATTGATAATAATAAATTAACTATAATACAAATTCCTGATTACTTATCAATGCAATGAATCTGTATCGTACAATTGCATTACACACGTTTGTAGATATTTACAATTAGATCCCCAGGAATATTTGTTATTATGTAAGTATAATACACACAGCACACGCAATTCTTTTATACATAGATACTCATGCCTGCATTTTTATGTATCTATATACCTATATATTCGTGCACTTTATAGAACAGTTTGAGGCTCATTTACACGTTGGGCATATAAATATTTCCATATTTTCATATTATATAATGTGAATTAAATAATTAAAACAGTTTCAAATGTAATCCCGGTTTTATACGTTCATTATAAAAATGGAATACTTTATATGGCACTCTCACGAAGATAATTTATTCATAAATCATGAACCTCATAAAGTTATCATATAGGTCTTATAAAACTTCATATTTAAATATGTAAATTCCTAATTATACGAGACAATATATTCTGTTTTTAATGGAAATGATGTCTCAGACTAAAAATTGTTTTCAAGCCTTTCTCGCCCCCTTTCATAGCATGTACATAAGTTCTCAACCTAATGTACATATAAATATTCGTATGGTGAAAGACCATACATATGTACATACGTGCACCTACGAGAATATGGACTTTCTGTGTAGACTAATCCTAAGTTCTTATGCATGCATGTGGTACGTATAGTATACGTATCTTCATAACTAAAAGCTTATGCAACTAACCACAAGGGAATATCTTACGAATAAAAAGTCACATAATAATGTCCGAAAAATAAATAAGTACGTCCAATTGGCTATTATGTAAAATTATTATATAACATCTTCATCAATGTCAATGTTGGTTACGTAGTGACTTCCGAGTTTAGGAAGCTTATTTCCCAGCTAAAGCTAAGTATTCACCTATTTTTTTTCGGGCGAAAAAATTCCGGTCGAAATTTTTACCCCGAAATTTTTTGATGGGGAAATCGAGATTGGGGCGAAAAACAAAATATTTTTCCGAATAATTTCAGCCTGAAAAAGTGGCGGTATTCACCTCTAGAAATATTTTATGTACACACGACCTCAGCTCAAAATCCACTAAGATATTTGAATTGTGAATCCACAAATTAAACATTTAATTTAAACAATGGAGTCTGACTCGGACATTGAATTAGTTACTGTGATAACTTGTACAACCCTGGCACTACAGTTGCAACGACGTAAGCGCAAGCAACGTAAAAATTATCATGTGAACCCGTACCTTCAGCTTCGGAGCACTAAAGGACGGTTTTTCAAAGACGTGAGTAATTTGATTTTTGTTATTTGTGATTTAAAATTCAATTTAAAGTTGAATTAAATTGTTTTAATAGTTTGACGACATGAGATCTACTCCACACATTTTTCAAGAGAACTATCACATGTCGCCACAAGATTTCGATCAATTGCTGAATATTATTCAACACAGGCTGGAACCTAAAGTTTCAACCCGTCCACATGATGCTATAAGTCCACAAGAGAAACTATCAGTAACACTTGAGTAAGCTTATTGAAAATGAATAGGTAACTTATCATAATTTGTATATCTTTCATCGCTTGTTATTTAGATTTTTGGCATCTGGGTCTCTACAGCGTCACGTGGCATCAACATATAGAATCAGTAAACAACGTCTTGGTCCAATCATTGAACAAACTAGTCGTGCCATATTTGAAGAGTTGAAGGCGTCATTTATGAAGGTATTTAGCTTCTACTGTAAATTAAGTGTTGTGAAAAGAAAACCAAACTAGGATTAAAGCTGTTGCTGAACATAATTTTTATATATACAGCCGCCGACCAAACAAGAATGGGTAGAAATTTCAAATGAATACAATGGATTATGGAATTTTCCTAATACAATTGGTGCTATTGATGGAAAGCACGTGGCAATCAAATGTCCAATTAGTGCGGGCAGTGTGTTTTATAATTATAAAGTACATATACTAATTCATAACTCTACAATTTTTTTTCACCTTATTAAACATATTTTCTGGATTTCGCAGGGTTATCATAGTATTGTGTTGATGGGGAAAATTGTAATGATTAATGATTGTAAGGAAAATTTAAATTTTAAAATGGAGTAATAATGTATAAATAATTACGTGCGAATAGATAGGGCGTATTTCTCCTGCAACCGGAGTCGATTTCCCGCACGGTGGGTCATCCTCATTATTAGAAGTAGACAGGTTTAAATTCTCGGTCAACTCGACTTCGTCTGATCCTGAATCTGCTTGAGGAGCTTTGTCGTCGTTATTTTCAGTAGCAGTTGATGAAAAGATCATGTTGGACAGCGTGCTAATTATATAAATATTATTACATTTATTTAGCTTCCGACTTCACTTATATGGATTGATATATTTGTTCTGCTCTGCTTACGTCCGACTTGGTTTGGAAAGCACATAGAATTTCATGGATTCCCACAAGTTCCACCCTTCTAGTAATTTTATTTCATCAAAATTAAATTCTGTCTGAGAGGGGTCCTCCTCACTGCCTTTGCCAGATGGGCCCTTTTTTCCTGTTCTTTGATATCGCAGAGCGTCCTGAAGGGAACCCCAGGCGGCTTTGCAACGTTCAGCTGTTAAAGTTATTTAAACCAGTTCAATTAAACAAATTCATTTTGAGCACATAAATAGAGATCAAAGATTCTACCTGATAGATTCATTTCTGCCGCAATCTTCGTCCAAGAAGCTTCTCGAGCATCTCGATTTTTGTAATTGACGTGGGTCAAATCCCAAACTTCTGGAAACTTTTCCACCAGAGCTGCCAATGCCCGTTTTACATCCAATGTAAGTCTTGTAGACTCCGGTCGATCAGCAGTTTTCTTACGCGTAGCTGTCTTACCTGTCATTCTTAATGATTTTATATTCTAACTTCACTAAAGTGTAAAATTTTGCGAAACTAGTAGAAGAAATAGAAATAGCAAAATGCGTAATCTGAATATCCAAGAGAGAAATGATAACAAAATTTGGAATTGGCGCTCCAAATTTCGACCGAAAAAGTTTTTCAGACGAAAACTTTTTCGGCTCACTTCAGCCGAAAAAATCAAATAAATTTCGGTCGAGCGAAAAACCGTCCCAAGTTTTCACCCGAAATATTTTCCAAGGTGAATACCGTGAGGCGAAATGGGGGCGAAATTTTTTCACTTTTCACCCGAAAAGTGTGTTTTCACGCGAAAAACATGAGGTGAATACTTAGCTTAACCTGGGAAATATGGGAGATACTGAGAGACACTCAAGACGTTTCTTTATTAAATATAAAAAAAGTTATTAAATCTTAATATTAAGAAAACTATCGATACCGAAAAATAATCAAATTAATTGTCTCCTAGCTTATGACCTACGATAATTTTTGCAACTTTACGTATACATATGCATAGGGGTGGGTGCATTTAACCAATACGTGATAATAGGTACACCCTTAGAAGCCCAGTATTGAAATATTACCAAGCGCTATTAATATATTAACTATGACTCTCCCAAAGTGGTAGTGGTATGTAATATCGTGTAGTAATGTAATAGCTCGGTATTAAAAGTTTTGTCATCTCGGTAATAAGTTTTTACGGACTGGTGTAAGTGCAAATAGGTATGTAGCAACTTTAATACCGAGAAATCAATATCTACGTGACTATACCAGATTTCCAACAGTGTATCAGGAGATTACAATTTTTTGTGACTTTGTGCACTAAACAGTTCAATATCACAATGGTCTTTAAGTTAATTTTGAGCTTATTCTTGAAAAAAAACACAATATTAATGAACATTTAATAAATAATGGCCTGCCTAAAATAACCTTGCATAGCATAATAATTAAATCACCCTAAATTATTCATGGCCGCTTTTTCCATAACTGCAACTCCACTCTCAGCTATTCTTCGCAGTATCAACTTTCCACAGCAAAATGACATCAGAAAATATATTCCAAGCTTTCACCTACGTGCAAAAACTTTCCGACCGTATCTCAATCCACCCACTTCGGTGGGAAGGTTCGAAACGTAAGTTTGTCTACTCTTTTCGCACTCAAGAGAAGGCATGGTTCGTAAAACAATTCACAAGTTTTGTCCTAATTGGACTGACTTCGTTCACATTCGACCTTGTTTTCATCCGATTTGCACCTTCTACCCACCCATTTTACATGCAAATTAGATCAAGCCCCCACTTCTACACGGCACGCGCCGTGTAGAAGTCTGTATCTGATGAGCGGTCCAATCTACCTTGGCGGCCTCTACCTATACGGACAAGGGATGGCTGAAATACTAAATACGGTCATTAGTTTGGAGAAACAGTTACTAAAGTGTACGTGCAATCTTTCCTGCTAATTGTTCCCCCTAATCAATTAGCAGTTTTTTTGTTGCAGTTACTTTCGCATGGAAATCTCCCTTCGACAAGGCAAATTTTGCCAATCGGATGATCCTTTGTGCCCGAATTGCGACCATACTTCCGCCAATCTTGTCCGTGTCAGCCATCTTGACTCGAATCGATCCATACTACACCGTGATTAATGTCCTGCTCCCGCCAAAATTCATTGCTTCCCTTTCCATCAAATTATTTCTCACGTTGCTCCGTCTTATTTTAATGTTTTGCATTATACTCGAGCTATGCCGAGCCGCTTATATACTTTTCGTGGTGGTCATATTTTTCGCTTTGGTCTTGAGTAACGTACTTCGCCTGTTGGAACAATACTACGCAGGATTACCAGCTTTCAAGATCCTGGAGGCGAAACAGTACATCCTATTCTATCAGGAGATTTGCGTGCTAATTTTTGCCACAAATTTAGCATTATCCTTAATATGCTTCGCCTCGCTGACTATTGGATTTGGCATGTTTATCGTTAGTGGCGTCATCCTAATCAAATTGTGGAGACGAGCGCCAATCCTGAATTTGGTCATTTGTCTAATTCTGATACTTGGCGGGGTCTACTTTCTGCTGGTGCAATTTCCCCGTGCGGCTGAAGTTCACAGTGCAACTGAAAGGATGAAGAAACGTTGGTGTAGATGTTTATCTATGAGAATTTGGAGAATTCCAAAATTGCAGAGAAGATATATGACCAGAAAGACACGTAGTTTGCGGAGATGTTCTCTATTTGCAGGATTTGGACAGTATTCTTGCTTCAATTTGAGCAGAAAGACGCAGGTTACGTACATTCAGAGGTTGTTGATACATACGGTTGACGTCATTCTGTTGTTTGGGTGGTAGGTATCTTAGAATTTTGTTGAATTTGCATTTTAAAAAAATACTTACTATTTAATGGTCATGGAAATAAATTGGGTGGAGGTCTCAAATAAATATATCAATCATCAAAAATTCTATTTTTTGTTTGATTAAAATAATACAGTTTCCCAAGAACCTACGCAAACCAGAGTAAACTGCGATATTGGTTCGTTGTGAATGAGTCGAATGTCTTCACCTCTATCTGTGACTATGTACTGAAGCTGGGCTCGGTTCTGCGATGTCTAAAAAGTCCTGTTTTGATGGGAATCGAGCGTGCACGCGCTCTCACCTACTTTAGCACCGATTCATGTGCAATTTTAAACTTTGACCTAGAGATGCGAAATTTGGCATGGACATGCCCCAACATATCATATGTTGTGAATTGATGTTATATTATGATGCAGCATATGTTACATATGCTGCATCATAATATAACATCAATTCCCGTTCCGTTCGCTATAAATTTTTCAGGAAAAATCAAAAACTAAATGTAATACGGATAACATTTAGTTTTTGATTTTTCCTGAAATTGATGTTATATTATGATGCAGCATATGTTGGGGCATGTCCATGCCAAATTTCGCATCTCTAGGTCAAAGTTTAAAATTGCACATGAATCGGTGCTAAAGTAGGTGAGAGCGCGTGCACGCTCGATTCCCATCAAAACAGGACTTTTTAGACATCGCAGAACCGAGCCCAGCTTCAGTAACTAGAAAAAACTAATTGCATGTAAAGTACTTAAATCGTTATAAACGTTGATAAATAATACAAAGTGGATATGTATTTTATTTGAATAGTTGAGCAGAAATCTTAATGCGCACTGCCATCAGCTAATTTTATGATTTCAGTGGTAATTGGATCGACAAACTGGCACGTGATTGTATCTGTAATTACTAAAGATTCTGCATAATATCAGTAAAATTGAGTTGAAGTTAATATGTCAATCTTACTCACTAAAATATATACACAAACACTCATCTATTGATTATGTACCTACTGTATTTGTATCCTATCGATTACCAACATATTCTTACATTTTCTGCATAACTTTTGGAATTTCCTCCTCATTAGAAATCGCTTAGGTTAATTTTATTTAAATTGTATAAAAACTGCAGCATATTCTTGTTTTGAAGTCACACAGAGAGTGAAAGTTCATTTTAGGAAAAATAATTTCAACGCATTTCAAAATGAATTCAATAACCAGTTTGGTATGCATTTTTGCAACAATTTGCATTTCATGTTCCGCTCAAACTGATAACTGTGCTACCCGTGCAGCCAAGTTATCAACAAGACAAGGACTAGTTCCTGAAAAGGTGAACAATTCTTGTAATAAACAAAGCGAAGATCTTCCTTAATTTATGCATATTTTTCTTTGTTTGCACTTTACATGTTAAGTTACTCGGCAAATGGCTCCCTTATGGCAACTACTTCCCCGACCGTGACCGTGTCCCAGCCCAACTGCGCAACGTTACGATAGAATGTGGCGGGTATACACTTTTTAGACAGGATGCTGACCAGCAGAACTTTAGCATTAAACTCGAGTAAGTTCATGCAACATTTGGGGATAAAATAAGATATTCAACATATTGATTAGGGATATAAGGTCTAAATTATAATAAACAATTAAACCATACTCGTAGGTACAACACGGTGGAGAAGAATCTTCATACCGAAAGATTCGGCGAAAACGTCGTGTACCCCTCACCCCTTGCTCATTGGAAGAGATTCATCAAGAATGGGGATCCAAGTAAGTTCAAAATTTTACAAAATTCGAATTTATTGAATACAATTACCCTAAGATTAAGAAAAATATTTAACCACAATAATAATTTACCTTCGAATTAAAAAAATCTGCTATTTTTGTCTCACATCCTTATCACTTAAAAAATACTGAATGAATATTACAGACATGTGGTGGGAAGAGTAAATTACACTGATATATTTAACCACAATAATAATTTATAGTCGAATTTTAAAATTGGTCCTAATGAAACGATCGGAATGAGGACACGAGATCGGATTGTGACTGATTGGATTGATTGGAAGGAGAAAGAAATTTTTGCCGGAATTTTGCAAGGTTTCGGATTCGATATGACTCAAGATTTTGGGAAAGGATTGTGGATCCCTGTCCACCAGCCGAGATCTTGCTGGGAAACTGCTAATCAGGACAATTCAAAGAATAAGAAGGTGCCTAATTGGTTCATCGTTCCGGAAGCGGTGGAATGAGCAGGAGAGAAATGTATGTAGATGTACATACATACTAATTTTAAAGACATGCCGATTTCTTATCAAATAAACAATATGCATTTGGTCTAGAATAAAAATTCGTTTAAAATTTGTACTATATTATTCATTTTATTTATTTATTCCTGTAGCATGCGTATATATGTATATTTAGGGACAGGATTACCCAAACTTACATTTATCTAGTGTATGTACCACATCTACCACAACACCTATGACTAATCGACTCGATAATAAACACCACAAGTGACCCACACAAAATGAAACCGTTCAATAGCAACGGCACCTGCAGGGAAACTAACCCCATCCCAGATTCTTCCTATTCTGCCAATACTTTGACATTACCAGTTGCACTATTTTTCCTTCGGATAGGCTTGCATCATATTGAGTTACATATTCCATCTGATCAATTTCTGTTCTTCGGTCCAACCAAAATTTCCAAATTCCCGATTGTTCCAATTGTCCCAATCCTCTAGAGTACACTCGAGCAAACGCGTTTCTGTACATAAACCAGGAATATGCTTCGACAACTACGGGAAACTTTACTTTTGGAACATGTGACGAAAAAAGTTGCATCAATTTAGTCAATGGGTTTAAGATCTGGTCGGAATCTACAATACCGAATACCGATAAAGCCGAAATATCCGGCAGAGATTCCCATTCCTTTGTATTCACTGTAAACTTTTGCCTTTGTGAAAATTTTTGAACCCAGGTGATAATCCCGTTCGTAAAATTAGGAATGTAAACGAGCGACGTTTTTTCTATTAAATGCGTCAATATTCTTACACGATTGGTCGGTAAGTTACGATAGTTCATCGATGCCATGATTATCTTTGCTACCGCATATTTCATTTCGGAAATAATATAATAAATACTGTTTCCATCCCGCTCACCCCTGTACGATGGATAAATAGATGTCGTTACCAGGGAAATTTGACCAGATTCTACTAACCCGTTCAAATTCGGGGGTACTTCAGGAAATACGACCGATGTCAGATGGGATGTCATATCCCCCTTGTAAAGATTTATCAAAATAATCAACCCCAACATCCAGGGGACACTTTGGCTGGGGTACCTTGTACAATAATTTGTCCGCTTGGATCCTCTTAAAGCGAGAGACTGCTCAAAGAATGACGCCACGAGCCAAAATAGCAACTCAAGTAGTCCTAATTTATCTCGAAATAGGAAAGACGAAGTCCACAAAACGATGCATATTAAGAGACCCGAGACCACCCAGAAAATCCAGATGGTTTCATCGAGCGAACCTTGAAACGCGGTAAATCCGATTTTTACTGGTTGCGCGAACATTTGAACGTAATACCCTTGTGATCCTGATGCAAATGGAGGTTTATTAATTGGTCCGGAAAGCATCATCTTTTGATATCCTGTATACCAAACGATTCCTAGCGTCTCGACTTTCCTGTAATCTGGCATCTTGGCCGCAGTGTAATTGTACTTTTTGCTAAGGGTTTGTGAAACACATAATTCTGCAGATACTGGAAACTGAGATAATTTGAATGGTCTGTAGCAGTTGTAAATTGAATCGTGCTGTACGACATACAAACTAATTTGTAGGACGAGTTTCTTGTTCCAATTTAAATGTAGAGTCTCCCACAGTTTCGTCAATTCCTTATCGTAACGACTCAATTTCGAAATCTGATGAAAAATTCTGACGCAAGTGTAACAAAGCATCGACACTGATCTAGACTTCGCCTTGACAACGAGAATGGTTGACGTGACCCAAATATTCTTAAAATTTTGGAGAAACTTTACGAAATTATGAGATTCCTGTGGCTCCTCCTGTGTCCAGAGGAGAATGTAGGACGGGTTTTCACCAAGAATTTCCATGGCAGAGAATATGTTACTAATTTCTTCATATGAGTTAGTTTGATTTAGCGTCATATCAAACGTTACGATTTTGCAGGACAATTTGATGGAGTTATTGCCGCTGTGATATGATCCCCCTTTTTGAGCGGAATTATCCTTGTTTTTCTTAATTATAGTAGAACTTGGGTCCGAAGTGAATATAATTAAGGGATGTGAGACAGCAGATGCTGCAGCCATTAATACTATTTCAGAAGTCGGTGAGTTTTCGAACGGTTGTTTCGAAGGGAGGAACGTCTGTATGATACAATTTCCAATTTGAGTTAGGAATTTTTCGAGGCTTATTGTATCCTGTAGAATTAAGGATTCGGTACAATTATGAGGTAACACATTTAATAGCAAAACAAGGTAACACAAAGGTTTTCCAGTTATATTTGAAGGCCCCATTTAAAAATGCGTGTAGCAACTTTAGGCTAGCTCGAAGCTCATGTTGCAAGGTTAATGAAATGAATATGCAGAGTGCAAACTTTTAACACGTACAAATGAAATAAATAGATTAGAAAGAGTGAATCCATGATGTTTAACAATAAATTTAGTGACGCATATAAGGTTAAAAATTTACTATTAGATAAACGGAAGTTCAAAGACAAAATTTCACGACAAGAAACCAGGAAACTCGTACCAGAAATTCTGTAAACTTTTATCATAAAGTCCTCCCCTCTGAATCTTATCATCTTCATCATTACACGAACAACATGCATGATAAACATGATTCTAATCCACTTAATAATCGGGTGTGTCCACATCTATGCAAAATAATATATATTCGATGTTTTCATTTAGGCACATAAGGTTACGTACATGTGATATGGTACATATCTACATCTGCACGTACATATCTATACAAAAGTTCGTTGTACTTGTAAAGTTGATATCTTATTGGGAATCTGACAGTGGGCTCATTAAAGCTAATTAAATTAGGCTTTCGATTTGGAGTACACAAATACGTACATGGTTGTAAAATTCAAGGAAAATGGATGAATAAAAATAATACATAGAAGTAAAAACTTGCATATCTTATTGCTGGATCATATATATTTATGTCGCAAAATATAAAAATATATTATTCATGAATTTATGTACCTATACCTACATAGGTACCTATATGTACACCTATACGAACGTATATGTAAATACATACTTCCCGAAAAATTCAACTTCCTTTTCTTGTTGAACATATTTTTATTCAAATATCTGTCAAACTCGTCATATATCACTATAAATGCATCCGGATTGTGTGGACATTTGGGGAAATGCATGGTTTCATTACACACATGTATATATAGATTCTACGGTGATTTTTGGAGCAAACAAAAAACACACAAATTATGTAATGACATCCGTTTGTTAGGCAGCATTTTGAAAAAAAACTAATCATTGGCAAAAATCGAACTTATTTACCCATAAAAATTGTTATATGAATTTCTTACAAGCCTCCTCGGGCTACGGCCCTGGAAGCAAGCATCTGTGCTCCGCCATTTAATATTTTTTAGTAAATTAATTGTTTTACTAAAATTAGTGACAAATTCCGTTGAATTTATGTCACATCTATTTAATTAAGCTGCCCCCTCACTAATTAAGCCAAAATTGTTTTGACAAACTATTTTCCTCCCATGGTTTTAATGAAATTAAAAACTACGTACAATACGTCACTATTGGAATAAAGGAAAGGAAGGATTTTTTGTCCCGTCCCGTTTGACCTCAGCCGGGCGTGAGAAAGCCGTCGACTTTGAAAAACCCGTCCCGTTTGACCTAACCCGGGCGTGAGAAACCTGTAGGATTAGAAAAAACCCGTCGCGCTGTGTGAAAAATGGAATGTCGAATCTGCAAGGAAATAATTGTACCCCGTCGCCACTTCTTGCAGTGCCGGCAATGTCTTCACCACTATCACAGGACGTTTTGCCTCCCAACAATATCCCCTGCGTTGTGGACTAATTATAAAGATAATGGTTGGGTCTGTAATTCTTGTATTAATACTAATTATAATATCCCTGCGAATTCTAATAATGTTTTATTTGAGGAATTACCATTTTTCAACGCGGATGAAGAATCTCAACACATAGCGGTAAACAAACAAAATCTCAAAAAGAAGAGACATCTCGTGGCAGCGACTTGAATCAAAAAACCCTGCACTCAACACAGACCTCTTCACTTAATAGCTCAGTTTCAAGCACGAAAACAGCTGCAAAACTTCAATCAATAGTTTTAAATAAGCGAGTTAAACAATGCAAAGGTAATAAGTTTTGCCACGTTAACTTAAATAGTGTTCGCAACAAATTTGAAGAGGTGTATAACTTTTTAACTAATCATCACATTTCAGTTTTTGCTATTACTGAATCTTACCTTGACCCAGATAGAGATTTATCATCTACATTTCAAATACCTTCTTACCAAACTTTAAGAATGGATAGAGAAAGCTGTTGTGGTAAAAAATCAGGTGGTGGTTTACTTATTTACATTCACGAATCTTTTAATTACGATGTGATTGATTTTAATTTCAAACTCCCGGGTCGTGTACAAATTTTAATAGTGAAAGTATATTGTGAATTCACTAAACCTATAATTGTCTCTGTTGTATACAATCCACCTGATACTGACAAAAGTGAGTTTTTAAATTGTTTTATAAACTTGAATACCTTTTTATCGACTTTTAAATTTGAGAAATTAATAGTAGGTGATTTGAATGTAAATTTGATTAGAAAAGGAAATGTTTTTGACATTGTCGCTCATAAACTCTTACTTCTAGCTAGAGAGTTTAACTTGTCGCAAATAATTAAAGGTCCGACACACAACGCCAGCTCTTTGTTAGATCATATGTATGTATCAGATAAAGATAAATTTCAAAACGTTTTTCATTTCCCTTTCGCTGGTTCCGACCATGATTTATGTATAGTTGCTTTTAAAAAAAAACATGTCAAGTTTCCTCCTCGAGTTATACAATGTAGAGATTTGAAAAGCATTGACTGGGATATTTTTAACAAAGATATTTCAGATTATACTTTAAACATTTCGAAAATTAATAACAATGTTCCGAGTAGTGTTGATGAGGAGTTTAGTAACTTTAACACACATGTTATGAATGTATTTGATAAGCACGCACCTTGTAGTAAGAAGCTAGTTAAAAGCAAGCACTTGCCATGGTTTAATAATGAGATATGTAAACTTATTAAAGACAGGAATCGTTTACTGCACAAAGCGAGAAAAACTAATAATCTTTCTGATTTGAAATTGTATCGTACTGCTAGAAATTTGGTAAATTACTCAATGGTGAAAGCAAAGAAAAAGTATTTTTTATGTAAATTCGAAAAGGTTACAAAGAGTACCTGCAGTATGTGGAAGTGTATTGATGAGTTGACTGGTTACACAAAGAAGGATTCTAAGCCCTTGAGTTCCTTAATGGTTAATAATGTTTATACTAATGACAAAGTAAAGATAAATGACAATTTAGCTGATAGTTTTGTGGTCAATGGTAGTTTTCAATCTATTAGCAATGATGAATGTGATAAAGCAATTAAAAATTACTGTGAAAACTATGATTATTCTGAAAGTCGCACTAACGATTACATGCCAATCGATATAAAAACTTTTGAAGTTGAAGGGAGTATATCAAAAATTAAAAACAAGCAGGCAAAAAATGTGTTAATGCCCACGATTACAGTTATCAAAAAATGTAAAAATACTTTTAGTGAGTTTCTTTCATTGTTTTTTACGTGCTTTATAAATCAGTGTATTTTACCCCAATCTTTCAAATCAGCCACTGTTACGCCTTTATATAAAGGGAAGGGTAGCAGATGTCAAGCTTGTAATTATAGACCTATTTCTATCTTAAATGTATACTGCAAAATTTTCGAAAGGTTTTTGTTTAACAGAATGATGATTAGAATAGAGAACAAGTTATGTAAATCTCAGCATGGGTATAAAAAGAACAAATCTTGTATCACTGCGATTAAGGAGTTTACGAATTTTGTGTATGAAAGTATTGATCAACCGAAAACGAAAGTGGTTGCTATAATGTGCGACTTCTCTCAGGCCTTTAATAGTATCGAAAAAAATGTTCTGTTAAGCAAACTTATGAATGATTTCAAATTGGAACCTTGGTATATATGTATTGTTAGAGAAATATTTAGGAATCGTGTTTTTAGATTCAAAAATGATAACAAATACTACGAAATGTCACGTGGTACCTGCCAGGGTAGTGTCCTTGGGGGACTTTTTTACAGTCTCTACTCCGATAACTTGTCTTCTAGGGTGTCATGTAATATCTTAAGTTATGCTGATGATGTCATCTTGTATGCAAAGGGTACTGATGCTGATGTTGTACTCAATGATCTTATTATGCAGCTTGAGAGTGTGTGCGAATGGTGTGATGAGAATGGTATCAAGCTTAATTTCGCCAAAACTAAGTTTATGATCTTCCACAAAGAACATGACAAAACAGGAATATCTGATAAATTGTGTTTTGAAATTAGAAATGAAACAATTGAGAGGGTTAATGAGTTTAAGTATTTAGGAAATAATTGACCCACATTTAAATTTTAAAAAACATTTTGACGTGGTATGTGAAAAGGTTGCAAGTAAATTAAAATATTTGAGAGGTTTTAAGAGATACATAAATGAGCATGTGCTTAAAGTTGTTATAAATGCGTATGTACATTCTGTAATTGACTATGGAATTGAGATCTGGGCAGTTCAAAGTGACGCCATGTTAATCGATTTACAGAGAAAGATCGATCGTTTTATAATTGAGTTTTTTATCGCAAAGAGTCCAAGAAAAAATACAATGTAACGAATTCACGTTGTCATAATGAGTTTGATGTTAATACTCTGAGAAAATCGTGTAATTTTATGACTGTAATGCAAAGAAGGGGTTATGTTATTTTAAAGTGTGCTTATAAAGAAATGATGAGTGGTAATGTTGTGCTCTCCGGTAGGAGTGATTTGCGTAAATGTCCACTCATGTCACTTGGTAATTTCTCGTCACAGATCTTTCGCAAATCTGTGAAATATAGAACGATTATGCTATGGAACAGAGACTGGTCAATCCCGGATTAAGGATTGGGGATTGAGATTAGGATTAAGGATTAATTAATCCCTAATCCCAATCCTCAATCCCAAGTTTTTGAAGTTTAATCCCTAATCCCAATCCAGTTTTCCATTCCTTATTTTTTAATCCCAAACTAGGATTAAAATGGGATTGAAATGGGATTAAACCTGCCTATGTCCGCAAAGTTGAGGATCTAACTGTCGCTCCACCTGTTGTAAGGTTATTCAAAGAGCGAAAACTGAACGCATTTTGAATCTCTGTCTCATTATGTTGAACCATTATTTATCTCATTATGTTGAATCTCTGTAATTTTTAATCGGGGAAGGAAAAAATAAGAATGGACATCAATAAAAATTTGCCATTAATTTTAAGAGGGGTATTTTTTGAAGTCTGTACAATTAAAGATGGTAAAGTCGACGCCAAGTGTAAAGAATGTGAAAAGAGTGGAATAGCAAAAATTGTGCAAGGCTCAATCAAACCAACATCCAATTTTACATCGCATTTAAAGGTAAATTTTCAATAAACAATGACAGCTTCTCGAATTAAACTAACGTCATATTTGCATTCTTAGGTTCATGTAGAACAGTACCATAATTGTCAGGAACTAATGAAAAATCCTCTTAACAAGGTGAAAAATCATAACAAGCAGCAAACAACGCTCCCATACTCAAGAACAGTTATTCCAGCAAAATCAACCAAAGCAGAAAATTTAGTAACTAATTATATTATTGACGCCATGTGTCCATTATCAACAGTGGAAAACTCATCATTTAAGAATTTAATCTCAGGTGTGTCGTTTAATTTTTTTTCTATTATTGTCAAGAACTAATTGGTCTGATTGTTCGTAGGATTATCTGATGGGAATAAATGCCCATCGTTAAAAAAGCTCCACCTATTGATTACAGAACGATACAATAACTACGTTTCTAGCCTTATCAGAGATCTGTCGAGGATTAAGTACTACTGCCTGACAGCAGATGTATGGTCAAGCAGACGACGTAGTTTCCTTGGAGTGACAATTCACTGGCTCGGAGAAAAATTAGAGCGTCATTCTTCTGTCTTGGCGTTGCGTCGTTTTAAAGGAACCCATGACTTCGAAAGAATAAACGACACGCTGCAACAAATCATGAGTGATTTTGAACTAGTCCGAGATAAAATTACTTGCATAGTGACTGATAATGGCTCGAATTTTGTGAAAGCTTTTAAAGAATATGGGATTGATTACCAAACGGAGGACGAAATTAGCGAATCGGAAGAAGAAATTGATTTATTGGATAGAGAAGAATTCGTTTCACAAATTTTACTTCCATCCCATCAACGCTGTGCAAGTCACACATTAAGCTTAGTGGCCACTACCGACTTGAACAATGTGGGTTTTGTCTATTACTAGGGGAGATCCATAAATTATGTCACGAAAAAATTGCGATTTTCTAGCCCCCCTTTTAACATATAATACACGATATTATTTCCTTGGACCTCCCCTCCCCCTTCTAGCGTGACGTAATTTATGGACGGTCCCTTATGCATTATATTAAAACTTCTCACTGTATCATTCCTTAATTATTTAGGCTAATATTGTAACCCCTCGTGGCCAAGTAAACTTCAAGAAGGTGTGCAGCAGTTCTCTTTCAAAATGTAACACACTTTGGAATATCAGCTCTCGATCTACCAAGGTTGCCGAACAAATAAAAGATTTATGTGGGAAGGCGCTTATTCGACCAGTGATTACACGATGGAACTCTACGTTTGATTCTATAAGGACTCTATTGGAAGTCAGACCACATTTGTCAAAGATTTTTGAAATTGCAGGCGTCACTACTCTGGAACAGAGCTGGATTTTCTTAGCGAATATGTATATGCCATGACTCCAGTCGCTTACTCTCTCGATAAACTGCAAGGTGAAAGCACATTTTATTTTGGATACATGGTTCCAGTAATTCATCAAGCAATCAAGAAACTGGACGCTATTTCAAACGAAAATAGATTATTTGCATCACCAATTTCAAATACGTTGAGTGCAGGAATAAGAACCAGATTTAGATCAATATGTGAATTAAATTTGGCCGAAGTTCGCGACGCTGTTCTGGCAACGATTTCTCTCCCGTTTTTTAAATTGAGATGGATTTAAGCTGACAAACAAGAGGATCTCAAGAATGCCTTCATCTCTGCTGCGAAGTTATTAGCGTCTGAGATGGCTGATAGTGAAATAATTACAGAAACATCAGAATCAACATCAATATTGGATAATTTTTTCGAATTTGACGATCTTCCATCAGATAATTTGCAAGAGACAACTAACAAGATTGAGCTGGAATGCATAAATTATTTGCATGACCCTTCAACCGAAATTAGCAGTTTAGAATCATATCCAACGGTTAAGAAACTATTCGTAAAGTATAACACTTCATTAGCATCTTCTGCACCAGTAGAACGAGCATTTAGTTATGGTGGAATGATTTTTTTACCTAAGCGATCTAATCTTACGGATGAAATGTTTAACATGTTGGTTGTTCTTAAGGTCAAATACTAATTGAATAAATTAATTTCAAGATTAGTTATTTGAATAATTTAATTAACGAAGGTGACGCAATTTAATGCCAGCATTTTCAGTAATGCGCCAATTAATCAGGGACTAAATTAATTCGAATTCCTAATGCGAAAAAAGATGACGAGATATTTAATCCAGGCTTAATCCTAATCCCGCATTGAATTTAATCCTTAATCCCAATCCTCAATCCCAAGATTTTTAAAATTAATCCTCAATCCCAATCCTTAATCCCAAAATTTAAGAATTAATCCTTAATTTTAATCCTCAATCCCGATATCATTAATCCGCCAGTCTCTGCTATGGAATAAGCTCCCGAGAGATTTTGATATAAAGAGTATGTCATATAATAAATTTAAAGTTGCCATACATGAGAAAATTTTTGAAGATTAATGTATTTTACTATAAATGACTCGTTGTTGGTTAGTAGCTATAGTTGTTTAGAGTATATAACTAGTTTGTTAAATTGTCTATCTTTTGTGTCACTTGTGGAAGAGCATGGTATTAACTGTGAACTTGTTAGACACCTGAATAAAGCATCAATCAATCAATCAATCTCGAGTCAAAGTTTTATCAGTCCAATTTCAGTATATAAAGAAATACAATAGGCACATTTTACCCCAACGAAACAAAGGGTTACGACTTTCTCAAGCGGTATTCGGATCTCCCCAAATCACAGATGCTTTGTTTGCTTTGTTCAGCCCGCTTGGAAACCATCAATAAATTTCAAACTGTGAATTGGTAAGCTTTGTGTTAAGTATTTTGCTAATTTTTCTTCGTCATTATCAAAAATTAAGTTCGGGTGTGAATTTTAGATAGCGATTTACATTCGAAAATTGGAGTAAGAGTTATAATAATTTTTTGCAATGATTCTTTCACAGAATGTAGAAACTGACTAAAACAGAGTCTCGAGTTGAGTAAGGAGTGTTGGATTTCGAATTACATAAATAATTAACGGAGCTGAAGAACTATTTAAGGTAAATTTGTGAAGATAAAATTACGTAAATGCAAAAATTTATCTTGATATTAAACTACTTATTTATAATTCTAAATTTATTCCTTGTACAAACTTAGGTGCGTAATATCCTTAACCTTTAGGAAATATAGCAACCCAAATTTACTTGGAAGCAAGTCAAAACAATTGTAAGCGTCTACTTTAATGCTCGAATAAGGTGAAAATCTCGTTAAATTAATCTTTAAATTACAGACTCGCAAGATGGACGTAGTAGAATCTTTTAACGACATGAACATTGATGAAGATAGCTGTTCCGGTTCCGATGATGATGTCCCCGATTTAGAACCTTCAAATTCAAGTCCATGGACAAACAAGAATTTCCTTTTCGCCTTGGTCGACCATGATATCAGCTCTAAACCTGTTGATTATTATACCACCAATTCATATATTACCCCAACGCTCTGCGGAAATAGTAACGGGGACATGAAATTTGACGAGAAAAATCGTGTCACCATTTCCACCATGTTCAGTAATCAGGAGAAAGTTATCAACGACAAGTTCTTTCTCTGTCGCACCATCACTCCATCATTCAAAATGACAAGAATGATGTCAATTGTTGAGGATCCAGAAGGTGAAGACGCTGTTCGACTCGCCATTTACAATTACTCGAAAATATCAGGTGGTGACTATTTGAAGTACGCCTTTCCCGTGGGAACAATCTTAGCTGTAAGAAACCCAAGCTTAAAGAACAGCTTGGACGGGTGTCTCGCCCTCTGCTACGACGACCCTAACGACGTTGTCATCATTTCTGAGGAAACTTTTGCCACCACGTTTCCAAATATTGTCTGGAATGGGGAGATCCCGGAGAAATATCTACCCAAGAAGAATCCGAACGCAGATAAGGTCACAAAAGCCAAAAACTCTGGAAACAAGGCATTCGTCGAGAAGAAATACTTGGATGCGATTCGCTTTTATACGGAAGGATTGGAAGATTGCAGAGACATTGGTATCCAAGTCCAAATCTTGTCCAACCGAAGTGCCGCCTTTCTCCAACTCGGTTGCTACTATGTAGCGCTTGTCGATGCTACTGATGTCCTCAAGTATGATCCCAATAATGTCAAAGGAATCTATCGACGTGTGCGGGCTCTCTGGGGAATTGGCCGGTATGGAGAAGCTTTGAACTTTGTAAACGGAAAACTCATGTCGATTCCATCTCTCCAAATGGACAAAGTTTTAATTGATTTGAGAAAAATGGGAGAAGAATTCAACACCCAAAGCAGAACGGGGATATATGACATGGAAACCATTATCATGAAGAGTGATCCAAACCCTGACCTCGCAGAATTTATGGGAGCCTTGAAAATCACTCAGATTCCGGGAAAGGGTCGCGGCCTTGTGGCAAAGAAAGCTTTCTCAGCTGGAGAGCTTCTAATGTGTTGCAAAGCATTCGCACACCACAAGCGGGTTCACCCCACGAGTGTCTTGAGTATCATGTCGGACAATAGTTTCGAATTAGTGAGCCAGATTGCGCAGAAAATTTCACTCGATGTCGAACTGCGATCCGAATTTTATGAACATTTCCCCAGAGCAGAATCAAGCAAGAAGACTGGCGCGAATGAAGATGCCGATGAGATTTCTCGTCTCCAAGAGATTGTGGGGATCAACAGCTTCTCTAACCGAGAAAACAGCGGGCTATGGGTCCTCCCCTCGTACTTTAACCACTCCTGTATCGGCAACGCAATGTGGCGGATTTACGGAGACATGATGTTCGTTCGTGCCCTCAAGTCGATCTCGCAGGGAGAGGAGGTCCTTGTTGCATATGTGAATCCGGAAACTGATTTGGAACAGAGGAAGGCTGTTTTCAAAAGGCATAAATTTACTTGCTCCTGCCTTTTGTGTGAGATTCAAGGTTGTGAAGAGGTAGATGGAACCAAGGAACGTCGAATGCGAATCATGGAGTCTATCAAACGTGCAGCAGATGGAAACTTATCTGGAAAGATGGTAAAGAAGATTTTCAAACTTATTTCAGATTTGGAATCTATTCAAGAAGCGTGTCCAAGGTTGAACGTTTTCTTCACTGACGCTATATTTTTAAAATTATCTAACAAATTCTACCAACTAAAAATGTATCGGGAGTGCATGGACATTATGGAAAAGGTAAGGTTTCATTTTATTTGGAATTGGTACGATTTGCAATATACCAAAGTTTTAATTGCGATTAATTTCTCCAGATTCACTTCGTCACGGAAAATTCTCCCATGGCGTTGTATGCTGTGGAAGCATCCATCAATATTTTGAAGGCTTGCTTGTTGCGACAACCATGCGATCGGTCGCTGATTAAGAAATGGGTTAAAATTTTGAAACAAGATTTATTTGTTGCATACGGTTGTTTGGGGCGGATGAGAGGATCAGAAATGTTGACGAGTCTGAACTTCTTAGGAATTGATTTTTTTGAAGGGTGAATTTCGTTCGGAAAGCGAAGGTATTTAAAATTTGTGCAAATTTGTAGATTAATGATTTTGTTTCATGCATACAAAGTTTAAAATATGTTTTGTACTTTCAGTTGCTGATTGACCCGATAATTACTTTCATGGATGATTTATAACCTTATGTACTTAATACAGGATGATTTTTTCCTATTATGAAATATATTTTATAACCTGCACTATTAATTTTTAGTAATACTAAATACTTCTTCATTAATTTTTTTCGTAAAACAAATTTGTAGTATGATTCATTGATTGTTCAAAATTAAGAAGTGCAGTAATGTGGTGCACAATGAAACACCAGTAATGATTGCTATTTTTAATATGTATGTATATATTTTTACCTTATTTAATTAATCAATTCTCCAGTGGAATATGTACGTACATATCTATTTCCTAAATAAAGTTTTAATCCCACACAGGTGCAGTTATATGTGTGATGCTCGCATGATTAAATAATCGTCATGAGCTTGAAATTTGCTACACAAGTTCTTCCTGACTCTGTCCAAACTGGTTGACTGACTTAGGATTAAAATTAGTAAGTCGCCACAGATGTTCGATAGTAATAATTTTTATAATTTTTCAAGAATAGGACGTATGTATGCATGCACATAAATACATGGCTATTGTAACTCGTCCGGATTCATAAAATGCAGCGTATTTGTGTCGTCACAAATAGGTATATAATATCTGTTAATTAAGCCAGGCAAATTCATGTTGATTAGTAGAACTGACTAAGAATAGTATGTTGCACATGCACTAACAAGATTAGAAAGTGACAATTTTGCTGCTGTTTGCATATCTAATCAGGGTTCCTTGACAATTTTCATGACCTGTTGATCAATAAATTCGTTCCAGAGGTCAATATCTTCCCCCCTTATTGCTCAAGTAGAAAAACGGTTCGTGAGTTCAACAGTCGCATCCATTTAATCAGCCTTGCAAATAATAATAACATTCATGCATGGCTCACGTGCAGAATTGCAGTGTCACGTAAACGAAGACAGGGGTATCATTCAAGTTTGGTGCATATTTATGTTGTCAACTTATGTATGTAGGTAGGTAGCATATCTACATACCTACTTGTCAATTTACTTCAATTTTTGCATTCAATCTGCAGATGTCTGTGTTTTCAACGAATTTTGTGCAAGCATTTTAAATAATTATCTATTTTAATAAATTATCCACTCTACGAATGCAAGTATTGCGGTCGGGCATGAGTCCAGTAAACCGATGATCTTGACAAATTTCTTGTCATTATCTTTTTCAAGGCATGCAAAATTTCACGAAAACAAGATCCCCAAACAAGGCTGGATAAGAGTCAGCTTGGAATTGCAGACTTTACAAATTTCCGACCATTAACCCGATCACTGCATTAAATTCTTATGCATCCCAGAATTTATGACCATTTCAGTTTAATTACTGGACACCACAGCATTTTCATTTTCAGAGCAAAAAAATAAACTTTTTGAGTACGAAATTAAATCGAGTTTCCAGAAATATTAAGCAGTCTTGGCTTAGGATTAGTCTCTGTAGCAGTTAAGATGTTGCAGGACCTCCTCCCCTTCGCGGTGTATCAGTGGGGCCGTCTTCACCTATACCGAAGAAATGGATATGGTGCAAAAGAGTCAGAAAATCTATTAAGAAACGGCTCAACTCCGTGAGCTAAAATACATAAATTGTTTATTTGAAATAAAATTTTGCATGCTTCATGGACGGATCAAAATTCTGAAAAGTATTATTTGTTTGAGTTTGTTTAAACGTAATTAAATATTAATCACATGAGTATAATTAAATATTTATGTACATATGTATCTAGATCCCATAATCTTATTTGCGACAGCTCATATCGATTTTGGAATTAATGTGATAAAATTTAAAATTCAAAAATTCAATTTAAATTATTTCAATTTTCAACTAAAATATATTATTAGTTCTGAAAAGTTTCATTAGTTCAAAAAAATAAACATGTTTATAATTAATTTAATTAATAATTTAATTAATTTAATTAATAATTTAATTAATTAATTAAATGAACGATAAGGTGGACTATCTACTCGTCCACTTGGGGGAAGTGGGGGACGTGCTGGTCTTTAAAAGTGAAGGAGGACAGAAGTTTGTACCGGAATTGGTAATGTTTGGTGGAGATAATGGCGGTGATTCCGAAATTTTGATGGACGCAGAAAAGGTGAGGCCAAAGGTTATATTTTAGCGAGATATTTACATAATAATAAATTGATTGGGTATGACAAATTACAGACTTTAACCTCTGCAACGAAAGGGCCACTAATCACTCAGACTGCTCTGACGCCGCCATTCTCCCTGAAGTCAACACATCCCGTCCCCTTCATTGGGAAAGGTTCTCCCCTCGCCCGTGTCCACTCAATCCCGCTTTCTGGAAATGATGGACCCGTGGTCATTCTCGGAAACTCAGAGGAAGGCGGGGTCAATTGGGTCGTCGTGCAAACTGAAACCGTGGGTCGGTCGCCCTACATTCCATCTCTGAGGGAATCACTGTCTTACATCGCCCCATCGAACCTGACCTTGCCCCACTTACCCTTCCCATCTTTCCGCCGCATTATCCAGACCAATCCAACCACTCCCTCGATTATCGCCCCCATTCCATCATCCACCTTCATCAATGCGCTCAACATCCAAAAGGGAAAAGTGGAACTGAGTCTCATGCTCATTCCGGAGATTGGATTCCGTGTGGATTATTCCGGCGGAGCGATGCGTCCCCCCAAAAAATTGATGGACGTCCCCCTGATCGGGGAAGGCGGGTGGAACTCGAGACGACCAACTTGGATAGGCATGGATCCCGGGAGTGGTGCGTCACGTTGGGATGCGTCCTACTTTCTGATTCTCAACTATAAAGTGTACCCTCTCAAGGAAACGACGGTTTGGGACGATTATTCAGAAGATACGGATCCCACCACGGTCACGCGGACGTTCGTGGTCAAACCTTCCAAGACAAAAGATCAGCCAGACCCCTACAGACTACAAGTTGATGGCCAGGCGAGGGGAATTTTCCAAATGGGCTGCTACCTCTCCGACCCGGCCAAGAATGTGATGACGTCTTCGGGACAGATATACGAATTGACCTCGGCAGGACAGCTGGTACAGGGCCAAAGTTTCCAACAGGGTTTCGAAACGCTTACGGACATTAACATATCTAAAAATGCCACATTGGACGATGGAACACCGATCACGATCCACTTTAAATATTCCCCACCAGACAAAGACCATCAACGGTATCTCATCAGCATCGAGATCGATGATCATTCTGATTTGAATATAAACGCGACCCGCCAATTTCGCGAGGATAACGATAAACACGACGACAGATCCATTTTGTTCAAACCGGGGGAGAGGCTTTTGTACCTTCTTCCACAAGGAAGACTTGCCATCGGGGGGCCGAACAAGACGGAAGAGATGCACGTATGGGTACCCGAAGAGAGGATTTTGTCGACAAGGGACGATCCAAGGACGTGGGACAAGCAGATGCTGAGTGATCAGGCAGGAAAAAAATTCGATTTAATATTGAGCAATAATTTTGAAATTAAACGAACCGATGAAAATGGACCAATTCAATTGTTCAACGGAGCAAAAACGCTATTCGATTTTGGGAAGAATGCATCCCAACTTATGAACCAATACCCGGGTAATTCTGACAGGAATTTTATTTGCGGGGACAAATTTTATTCATGTTGTTCCCTCAGGTTACCTGGTCTCCACCCAATCAGATCCCGCCGTCGTGCTGTACACCCACCGAATTGGCGGGACCGATGTCGAGGTCGTCGAGGAAGACGGAATTCGACGTTACGTTGAAGGAAAGTATCTTCACGCACAATCTTCTTCGCAGTTCCTCGTTTCAAAGTTGGCTTCTGGAGACCAGACAAAGATCGAGTGGACGGGTTGGTTGCCATGGAAACCGACCGTGGTCGTGAGCCGGATGGAAATTCAGGGTGGACCAGAACAAGATGTGCGGGTGACGAGGCTGGAGTACACCGCGGGACAGTTGACCGCTGACAGGGACGTCGTTTGGAGTAATGTCACCATGATTAAGGGCAACTCTGCCAAAGAATCGTCGGGATGGACCGTGTTCACCTTTGATCAGTACAAATTTAATGCGACGTCGGGATATGTGCGACAACTGTACGACGGGGATGGAAATTGGCTCAAGCAGATGGAACAGGTGAGTGATGGACTTCAGCTTTTAATTAAAAAATTTCAAAATTTCTTTATTTTATATGCAGAACAAAAACGATACACAAAACGGTACTAGCACGACCCAAAAATTGTGGGATAAGACGGGTTCCTTCCCAATTATGACGCTGACTCCGTTTAATTCTACCGAATGCCAAATTGGATACGTTGCATTTCAGCCGTATGAAAGTTGGGGTGGTGATTGTGGGTGAGTTCCTTAATTTAACCCCTTTGTGACTGAAATAGTTGAAACTTGCTTTCGTTTGGGGACCGGAAATTTATCAGTGAATTGTTGCTACATAACCGATTAAATTTTAACGATAGTGTAGCTACGTCACCAAAATGTTTTTTAAAGTAAGCGTAGTTACATCACCGATTTCACCATTACTAATCATGTATTTATGCATATTACCCAAAACTACCTGAAGCTCATTACAATATCAGAAGTTATTGATTCATACATTTTGACAGTTTAGGAAGGTCACCGATCAAGTATCACCGATCTTGACCAGACTAATTTTAAATTATTCATGCTCAGAAATAAGTGGACCCGTAATTTTTTAAATTCCGCCACGGGCGAAAACATGCCTATTCTGGAAAACGTGAACAATTTAAAATCATTCCTACAATGCATTACAGCGAACCTCAGTTGTAGTTTTTGCAGATAAATAGCTTTTGGTAATGTGCATAATAAATGCAATTTTGTAAAATAAAATTTTGACTTGTATACATGTGTGTATTTGGTTTCCTTGAAAATTTTTCCGCAGTACACAAATGTGTGTAGTTGGTCCCCAACGTAACGGGAAAATAGTACACAAATACAGTATATGTACTTGGTCCTTACGGAAAGCTAAAAACTACACAAATATGTGTAGTTGCTACCCAAGGGAAAGTAAAAACGTACATAAATGTGTGTACTTGGTCAAGGCCAGTAAAGTCGGTAAATCATAATTTCGGTTAGTTATGCACATTTTATATTAAATTGTGAATATTCTCGCCAGGTGGCAGTTCAACAACGCTTCCGTTATCAATTCCGACGATGCTGAAACCGATGCCAGCCTAATTTCTGGGAATCATTATCTCAGTTTGACCCATCCCGGTGAAGCGCTAACCTTTGATGTCCCGCTGGTCAAGGGACGATCTTACTTGGCGGGATGTTGGGCGAGGTCGAAGGCACTTCAAGGAGAAAACTCCTCTTTGGAAAGTCCCATTCTAACCGCCTGGGTCGATGATCAAGGTCTCGGTTTCATGTCGAAAGTCGTCTTCACCCGAAGCACGTGGAACTATCTGCAGGTCAAGGTCATCGCAGAGGAACTCCTTCCCTTGTGGGAAACCTTGCTCAACAAAAAAATCGACATCGACAAGGCCAACTTGACCCTGAAGTTCCGTATCGAACCGAGTGACCCTGACTTTGGCGTTGATGTCGATTCGTGTCTCGTCGCCCCATTGTCGTGGAACTCGGAGATTGCTGTTTTTGACGCAAAAATGACCCGAGTGTCGGAAAAGGTTTTGGGCGTGTCGGGGTTGGTGGTGAGTTACGTGTACGACGACTTTCTCCTCAGTGGAGAAGCGGTCGTAACCACAGATCCGATGGGCAGAGTGACTCGGATGCAATTTAACGTTGGTAAATATTTAGGAAACCAGAAATAATTACAAAGTTTAAATTATGTCATTACATAATTTGCTGATTTGTGGTGCAGACGGCGGTAAAACTGGCGGACCTTCTGTTTTATTGGTTGAATCGATGGATATGCCAGGCTGGATCCACTCTTATGGGACTAATACGGTCCCATCCGGTCAAACGTTTGGACGCTACGGTCTGCTGCACAGTAGCGATGACGAATCTAGTATCGATATCTTTAAAGATGGTACTCTTCCGCCGGACAGATTCATGCTGCGTTTTGCTTACCACTTGGCCGAACCGAAATGTAGTCTGACGCTTAATATGCAAGGGCGGCTAATCACTCTGGAGAGGAAAGGGGATTCATTTTCTTCGGTTATTAGATCCCCTAGCGGAGGTAAAAGACAAAACTATAAAAATTTAAAATTATGAATTATGAAACTTTCAACGATTTCAAATTATAGAAGAAAAGAAGATACCTCAAATTGGAACAATACTCATTGGCTCGCTTCCAGAAAACCGCATCTTTGTATTCTCTAGCGATTCTGGTGTTTTATTCGAAACCGACATTGGTCCTGCCACCAAAGCTACTTTATCACTTCAAATGTCCCACACCGTTGCGATCAACCATGTCATCATCCTGCCTAATCCTTCCTTCACTCTGTCGCATTTATCCCCACTCGGCGAAGAATTGCAAACTGCGGTGATTCTAGATGATGGAATTCTGCTGAAAGAAACTTTATACGACGAACAGGGCCGTGCAGTTGCTGCAACTACGTCAACCCATCTTCCATGGTCAACGGGTGACATGCTCCTCACCTACCGATCGGGTTGGGTGACCGATTTCTCCCTGCAAAGTCAAACCATGGCGGGACAAGTGGTCGACCTCAATCCATCCTCTCGCGGCGTCCCCTTCACGTCAATCATTTTCGGAAATACTCCTCCCGGGTTGAACGAGTGGGTCGGAGAGGGTCGACCCGGTGCAGACTTCTCAGCCAAAAGCGGTTACGCCATTTCATATTCGAAGGAGGGCGATCCCGGCGCAGAAGTCTTGTTTCCCCCCCAAACAGGATTTTACTACAAGACCAAAGTTGAACCGGGTGGATTCCGACAAATCTCCGTGTTTTCAGAAAGTCTTCGAAACATCGTTGAGGGAAACCGGGAAGTTGTTGTAGCCACGATTACTCGATCTCCGGGAGGGTGGACGACGCTGGTGACGAATAATTTCGACGAGAAGGGCCGCCTGATCGCTACTCTGCCACCGATGTATCACTTCCAACAAATGACGCTACTCAAGGGGAAAACCTGGGAGGAAATTGGGTACGATCGTGGGAATGCTCCATTTGGAATTTTTTATGTGAGATAAAAATTCAACCATAAATCTACAGACCAATTTTATCTAGAAAATCAATTCTGGGTCACTTCTATTAAAAACTAGTTAGGTAATTTTTGCATGTATTTATAATTAGGATTACGACGATAAGGACAAGCTCATTCGAAAAGTGACGCCCGAACTTGGCGTGAGCGACAACATCTATGACGCCAACGGAAAAGCCGCTTTCGTCATGAGGAAAACGACCGAAGATGACGACACTGCCGGAAATTTGCAACGCGTCGTCTACTTCGACTACGCTGACGGTGCCAGAGTAAGCGAATTTGGAGTACTGCAAGGCTGGAGCCCATCCGGCAAAAATTTCACGGGAGGGGTTAAAAAACCCTCGAAGCAGTTGAAGTATTTGGGTTCTGTAAATGGGGCCTTATCAACCACAGATTTCGTTTTCAACTATTCTCCCCCGGAAGTTGGAGAAGCGCCCTACGTCCAAATGGTACGCTTTTGATATAGCCACGACTTTTTGTAATTAATTTTATAATAGTACCTCAATTTTAGATTGCAACAGATTTCTCAGATTTTGCATATATGTAAATTACGATTTTTCATAAAATTACGGTTTTTAGCTCTCGATTTATATCTGTAAAATTACCACAATTTTAACAAAAAGAACTCATATTTTGCAAAATGACGATTTTGCAAAAATGCAAAAATTTGATATTCTGTTTTCTAAGGTTTACATCAATTTCAGATTGAAAATCACCTCCTCAACAAACTTCCCTCCAGCGAGACTCACCTTTCCTGGAAATCCTCCAACGATTCCATACCCCTCCTGACACCCACCGTCCGATACACTTACACACCTAAAGGGGACAAACTCCTCAAAATTCACTACGCCACTCAAGCAACGACACTCGTCTATTCGTAAAATGCTCTCGGTTTCATGGACAAAGTGTTCCTCGTGCGGGACGACACAGAACCCGCCTTGCTCGCGAATTTCGAGTACTCGGCGTCAACCGGAGGAGTTGCGATTGAACGGATTTTCCATACCGCCGAACCGCCATCCAAAAGTCTAGAGGTGCCCCCATTGACGACAAGCATTGAATATAACTCTCCCGGATATCCGACCTCTTGGGAAAATGCATTCTTTAAGGAAGAAATCAGTTATACGAATCCAGGTTATGGCGACGTGCCGATGGGACAGCCCGCTTATCCGACCGCGTTAACTTGGACGGGCACATGGGGACCCGCTAAAACGGTGGGTTGCATAGAATTTTGACTTGTATCGAGGGGAACTTTAAACTCTTTGAAAAAATTAATTTCAGGTTACCCCTGAACGTATTGCTCAAAGTACTGGATTAAAATTATCCTCCGCCACCAGGTGTCATACGGCTCTGATTGCGGCGAGATATTTGGACTTGGAAGGCTACATCCTGCGACGCTTTGTTCCGGTCCTTGACGTAGAAAATTTGCCAATCATATGCAACTTTGGAGAGTATGCTTGGGGCATTGAAAAATTAATGGGGTCCGTAACGTCACTCCGTGGTTACGGCTACTCATTTCAGTACGGAAACTACAAGGAACTATTAAAAGCGAAGTTTTATGACCCACGTGACGTTACTGAGCGTCCCTACTGCACAATTCCTCTAACGCTGACCACACTGAAAAATGCTTTAGACAAACCGCAAGATACGGTTAAGAATCTTTGGAAGCAGCTTGGCGATAAAAAGTACATTTTAGAAGATTCCGACAAAGGTCGCAGCGGTATTAGCCATGGCGAAGCTGGAGATTCTCTTTTAAATGGTGTTCAAATGACGGCTGATCTTAGCAATCTGATCCCAGGCGAAACACTTTTTGAATATGCCGAGCCGATTGGGCGTGTCCTTGGAACCCGGATTGGAAAAACGTTTGGAAAGAACGAATTTTCCGACATGTTTGTCAAATGGCAGGAAAATCTTAGCAATCAAACGGATGTGATAGTTGACACGATTTGGTCAATGTTTAGTAAACAAGGCTATCTCGATGCCAATGGCGCAGTCACGAGCAAAGTTCTTGACGCTGGGTTCAGCTCAATCGTCTCCAGTATTCAGAATCTCGACGTTTCCTCCGTATTCAAAACCCTGCTCGACTTTTTCCTTTGCGGCGTCAACACATCCGCGCAGGACATGCAAGTCTACCAAAGTGACATGCATGGAAACATGGAGCTCTTCTATAACGGTCAAGACCGCCTAAATTTTACCTACAAGGCGGGAACCAATCAAATTTTGGGCTCGGTCTTAACCCTCCCGAGCGGGGAGAATGAATCCAGAACATACACCCACGATATCAATGGCAACTTGAACTCTATTTCGCAAGATGGAGCTGTTCTCCTCAACCTGACCTATGACCCGCTGACCAATCGTCCCACCCTTGTCAAGTTATTGGACGGAACTGAACTCCGATTTGCATATGATTACAAAGGAGAACGTGTCTTCAAGAAGGTGTTCGACAAAAATGGGCAGCTCGTCAAGGAGATTCGATACCTAGGTCGTGACCTGGACAGAAAAGTGCTGACGGATCAAGTGTTGACATATTTGTCTCCAACTTTGCCGCCTAAGGTGGTTACGACATCCTACTTTTACGGGCCTCGAGGCCTGTTTGGGTTTCTGAGGGATGGAACCTACTACACCGTTCTCGTTGATCGGATTGGATCACCGCGATTAATATTGCGAAATGGGGAGGTCGTTGACGGTTTCAATTATCTGCCGTATGGGAAGGTTTCGTCCACGTGGAAACTTGGGAATGTCGGAAATCATGGAACTGATCCAATACTGCGCTACCTATTTACAGGTATGGCAAACTTATTCTAAAAATCTATATTATAAGCTGGAAATGTTTGTCTGCAACGGAAGTGAAAGCCTTTTCCGTGACGGAAGTGGAAGTGGGGAAAGTTTCACTTCCGTTTCCAACCGGCATTTCCAGCTAATAACATAGATACAATACAAAAATAATTCGGTGGAATTATGAGCAATGCCACTTAATTTTCACGAAAATCAAATAAGCCCGCGGAAGACGGGCTTATACGCTAGTAAACTATGTTCTGAACACCTTTAATAATAATCATCAGGCCAAGAACTAGACGAGGAGACGGGCCTTTACAACTTTCACTACCGCATGTACGACCCCACCTTGGGCCGCTTCTACCAAGTTGACCCCGATGAGCAGTACTTCAGCCCGTACAAATATGCCGGGAACAGTCCAATCCTCATGGTGGATCCCGATGGCCGATTTGGGTTCCTCATTTTCTTCATCGCTGTTGGCTTAGGCCTACTCTTCGGCTATCTTGGGATGGCGGCAGCCAACGGGACGTGGGACCCTACCAAGTGGCACTGGGACAAATGGCAAACCTGGGTTGCCGGAATTATTGGATTTGTGTCCGGGTTCTTGTTGCCGTACGGTTTTGTAGGGACTGCTGAAGCATTGGTAGGCTATCTTGGAATTAGTAGTGAAGCAGCGGTAGTCCTGACTATAGGGTTGGGTGTGGGGGGAGCGTATTTGTCGGCGGCAGCAAATTTTAATGACTTCAACCCGGCCCACTGGGACTGGTCGTCGTAAGTGATTCGAACTATAATTTTAATTTGAAGTATTTTTCACCAATGATTTTATGGTTTGACCTCAAACAGGCCTGGGGCTTGGAACGCCCTTTTCAACGGCTTCGCTTTTGGAAGCAACATCGTTGGAGGGGTCAAGGAGGTGTTTGTGTTCTATGATAAACTCGATTCTGTAGCCATGAAGGCTTTGCTTATCGGCGGATCCACTTTTACCGGAGCAGGACTGGGATATATTTCTGGAGTTATGGCTAATCAACTCGAGGATGGCAGTTTTCAATGGAATCCTGCCAAGTGGAATGTGAACGGGGCTACTTTTTTCGCAGTTGTTACGGTAAATTAATTCGTCTGAATTATTTTAGTCTTCCTCATTATTTTAGTATTATATTATTATTTTATTATTTTATGTAATGCAGAGCGTGATTCAGCCTTTTGAACTCACTTTAATTTATTTTCTTATAGCTTTATTTTTCGTTTGTGAATTTAGTCAATTGCTTCAATGTATAGCCCATTAGTTTGCCTAACGAGGTGCAATCGATTTTCTACTCGATTATCACGTCTGACACTTTTTTGGAGTTATTTTGTGCCGTCCGCCCGTGAAAAGTTGTCCAAAACCCATTTAGCGCCGCCTTGAAAATCTCTGCTTCAAGTGCTCAAATCCCAAATTATCTATTTGAATAATGTCAGGCGACTCGTCAATAGTAATTTTAATTTAAGTAAGATTTATTTTTGGATGTGAATATTTCGTGCAGTTTTCGCGAAGTTACTTTGAAATTCTTGATGTAAGACGGCTTGGGGGCGTGTACCGGGTCCTCCTCCGCGTTAATCTCATTAGGTCTGAGGGAATGACCCTAAAAAGTGTTTCCTCACTCATCCCCAACATTTCGTTATGCTTATCTGTAGTGACGGATTTTTCTTGCTGACGAAATGTGCAATCTTCTGCAACGCGTCCTCAGTCCTGGCTGATCTTGGTTGCCGTTTAGGTGGGGATAGAACTTCACCCGATGCTGCCACCCTCTTTATGTGTATGTCATTTACTATACTGAAAACGTAGATTTCAAATCTGACATTGAATCCATATATCGCCAGCTTTTAACAATTTGGAAAACGCTTGGGGTATCTTGGTGCACAGGACGGGGTATTTTGTAAACTGTTCCTTGAATATCTGGGTTCAATACGTGCAAATTTCGATAATCCAGAGTGTTTATAACACTTGTTATCTCAAGAAATGAAAGTGAGTTCAGAAGGCTGAATCACCCTCTGTACTGCTTTCTCGCTTATCCAACAGGGCGGCCTTGGTGGTGCCACCCTACCGGTTGGACTCATAGGGTTGAAAGATGCGCTTTTTGGGTCGCCTAAGGAGGCAGTCCCTTTCGCGGACGAAGGACAAGAACTAATGGAAATGTCTTCCGTTCGACATGGAAGTATAAGCAGCATGGACACCGTTACTATGGTCTTCGACGATTCCGCGAGTCTCTTTTCAGAGGGAATCGAGGCTCTTCAAGACACCGTGAGAAATGACGACGCCTTCATCGACAACTCGTTCAATCTGCCATACAACACGAATAACGATGGTAAATATGCTTCTTAGAAAATTATTTGAATGAGTTATAAATGCAGGGTCCTTGTTTTTATTTCAGTGGCAAATTTTGTGAGAAACACCGATAGAAATCTGCCCCTGATTACTTTCATTGTAGAAAATCTCAACATGAACTTGGATAATTTAATTAGACACCTCGGTCCTAAACGAGCGAGATCTTTGAGATTAAATGCTCCTATAAATTTCACAGAGCCAGCGATTCTGGTTTTTCTGGCCAACAATGACTACATAGTGTTGGAAGGGGTTGGAAAGGGTTTCCACCCGGATGGAGGCGTTTATCTCTTTAACTCGACGTCAAATCCTGACCTTTTTAACATGCTGGCAGAGTCAACAGGACAAGTGGGTACAATTCCGGTGGGTAATTTAACCGTGGATATTGCAAACTTTTTAAGTTTACGGAATGCTGCTGCGATAACTACATTTATGACTACCTGGGGCAATGCGGTGAGGTCAGAGTTAGTTAAAATTGCTGGGGTAGAGCCATCTCTGGACAGTGCGGCGTTCCAAGAAGAAGTCGTGAGAAGACTTATGCACGCAATAAATAGCCAGCCAAAACTGGATCTGAGCAAGAATGAAGTTGTTAACTGGGTTGTTATGACCGCGATGGAGGGATCTTTGCGGGACGTTTTGCTAAATCCGATTAAAGAGAAGGTTAGCAAAGATATGCAGAAATGCAAAGTCATTCGAATTGTTGAAGTTAATTTAGCATTATTTTTTATAAGGACGATAATGCTAGCGACCAATTAGTTGACGTACTGGGTCGAATGGGACAGCTCGTGGCAGGGTCAAACATTGTGCAGATTATTGCTTCAAACCAGACGCCAAATTATACCGATGTTATGCTTCCGCTTTCTGAACGATGGGATATTCCCACCAGTTGCGTACAATCGGGCGAGATTTGTGTAAACGGGCCACCGCAAGTAGAGGTAACTTTTTATTAGTAATTAATCAGTAAAATATGTTAATTATTTAATTGTTTGATTGACAAATTAACAGGTCGGTAGCGTCCCGTTTCTAACTTCTTTCAAGGCCAAACCTGAAAATCACATTGTTCCCAATTCCATCCTCTCCAACGACGGCCTTGTCCGGGGGATGAATATTTTGGACATGGTTGACTTTACAAACGTGTCTCACGTGGATCCCCTTCTTGAAAAGTTGACCAGTTTTGACGGACTTGATGGCTTCTGCTACTTTAATAACGCAACTTCTTGTCCGAATAAGGAAAACTTGGGTAACGATTCGTTTGAAAATGAGATTTTTGTTAGAAATCGAGTAAGACGTGCAGCACGGGAAGAATCTGCTACGTCCAGTAGCTCCAGTCTCCATGGTTCAAACATGATAACTCGAAGTGTTAAATTGATTCGGGGGTAAGCGGCTGGTTAATTGATTTGCATATTAATCTAATCACTTTTATTGCATCGATTTACCAATCTCTTCCAGACTTTGGGACAGGATCAGCCCAGTCAAGCCTAAAACGGATAAGTCTCACCCTACGCAATCGGATATCTTACACAGTAAAACGAGGTCACAAAACCAAGCTGGGTCACCTTCTATGTGGAAAAAATGTGTCCCTTGGGCGCACGACGGGCTCGGCTACGTCGACGGATTCACCTGCATGGGCAACAAAGGCGTCGTCTCAGTCGTCCCACTTTCACCCGAAGCATTAGAAAATAATCCTACCTCTTTGATGACCACCGATTATGGCGACACGTATCGAGACTGTACTTTCTACAGGGACCCGACCCGACCGTTTGGTTCGGCCCATTGCACCGGCAACAAAAGCGAGATCCATTACACATCTTGGATGGAACAACGGCCGTTTGATCACTTGAACGACCACCTGCTCATGGTGGCATTGATCCTGCATTTTATTCGAGTCAGTAAGGATGACGAGGATAACGTGAAATCGGATCTGATTTCCACGGATGACGAAAAAATGACAATGTGGCGTCAAACCCTAGACGATATTGCAAATATGTTGGAGTTCTTGACTATTAGGGTATAAATTAATTTACACCATATTAAAATTAGCTAAAATATCCGTAATTATTAGCTCACCCTGCGTAGCACGAGAGCTATTGAATTCCTCTTGTCCGTCTGTCGGTCCGTCTGTCCGTCTGTGTGTTCACGAGTTTTTTGCATCAATTATGCTAACTAAAAATCCCCTTGCCCATTATTGAGCATCTTAATCGCACCATTGGTATGGAACAATCCGTGACGCAATTGGTGCGAATCAACTCAGGAAATCGATAGGGAAAAGACTTCAATTTTGGAATTACTAGCACCTTTGGGGTCGAATAATCGGTTATCGAAAATGATGCGAAATAATTTGGATAATCTATGCAAAACGCACCAAAAGTGCTAAATAACTGGAAGAAATAATTACACAATTTTGATCAATCAGTATGCAAATGGTGCGAATCAGCTGGGAAAATTGTTCGACGGTGGAGTACAATTTTGGAATACGTAGCACCGTTAGTATCGAACAATCCATTGATCAAAATGATGCGAAACAATTGGTTACATTGATCCAAAGCGCACCAAAAGTGCCGAATACCTAGAAGAAATTATTTAAAAAATTTGACACCACGATCACATGGTTTCCTGACAAAAATCGAAATTGTGTCAAAATTAACTCCCGATTTTAACCATTTCGGCTGCACCATTGGTGCAATAAATATTATATCCAATTACTTTTATTTTCCGTTTATATTGCAATATTGATGCAAAAATATATAAAAAGTATGATCTCTTTTGTCAGCTTATTCCGCAACTTCGGTGCAAAGTAATTTCGAAGTCAATATGACAGGGTGAGCTACTTATAACGTTACTACGGTTTATTATGTAATTTATCTATTTAGAATGATGCCGATCAATGGTGTAGCGTTTGGGGACGTCGTCTTCTCCAGGACAGGATCGACGATTGGGACACGTTCAACCGAAAGGGAGCAGCAACCTTGGAAGAGTTTGAGATCTTTGAGGAAGACTTAGAGGCTTTGTGTGAGGAAGTTGGTGAACTGGTGGATAATGCTATGAAATTGCTTTAAAGACTTTAGTTCCACCATTTTTTAAATTATCAAGCATGAAAATTTTATTTCAATAGTTTAACCTTTACATTGATTATGAAATAACGGAAAGTTGTTGAATGGTGCAAAAATGAGAACTAAAAACTGAAACTATAATTTTCAAACTCAAAATTACTTAAACAAACCTCTAATATAATGCATTATTGAATTGCACGTGCAAATATGAGGCATGGAAATGAGCATCACTCGTCAATCATCACGCGAGCAGTCGTGTGACGGTTCCATAAAAAGTTATAAGCAACTGACATGGACTTGACCACTTAAAATTGTGTTGTGCCGGCGTGTGCATGTGTGATAAAGCATGCGAAATTTATTATTGATTATCTTTCCAAGCAGCACTGTAGTGTAACCTCCTCTTGACTGAATTTCCACCTGAACAAGACTGCTGCTACCATCACATGGCTTGAGTATTATACGTGTGACATACAAATGTAATAACTGATGCTATGTAAACCTGTGTTTGTACGTAGAGAAATATCATGCGAGCACAATAACCCTTTTATATCCACAAATGATTAATTGAATCAACTCCACGCAGACAAACGTTAATGCAACATTCTATCTTTGACGTCCGGCTAGTCTCGTCTCTCACTAAAAACATTGGTCCACAAATCGAATACGTTCATTGAACGAGAACACTTGGTCAACTTCACATCATTATTTTGCATACCGATAAGTAAATTAAGTACTTAACATGACAACTCCACTAAAGCATACCGTTTACCTTGTGCGACAGTAAGTTCGAACATAAATAGCTAGTTAATGAGTTACTTCGGATTAGTAAAAACAAAAGTGTGTAGTTCTTATTATTTGCAGCGGTCAGTGCCATAGTAACGTTACAGGAGAAAAACTGCGTCCAGAGGTTGATCCGCTCACACATTTTGGACACAAACAGGTCACAAACTTGTTAAAATTGGAAATGTGCACGAATTTATCAGATTATTTTAATGAATCAAAACTGACCAGGCCGCAGCGCTTGGAGCCCAATTGAAATCAGTCCCCTTCACGAAAGCCTATGCGAGCACGTATCCAAGAGCTGTGCAAACGGCGGAAGGGGTCCTTAAGCATCAACCAGTTCCTACCGAATTGATACTGGATTCCCGAATAGTTGAAAGAGTGCTTACATAAATTTGCACTAAAAAATATGTACATATTGAACGAAAGGAATTAATTATGAAATTATTTTTAGGATCATGGATATTTTACCGGTCGTACAGCCAGAGAAATGTCCTATTTTATGTGTGGCGAGTTAATAAATGGGGTAAAATTTAATGACATTGAGGTTCCTGAAGCAGAATCCGCTGCCGAGTTTGTCGAGCGAATTGAAGGCTTCTTCAAGGTATGCAAAGTTATGTATGTTGAGGCAATTTACTAGGATTTTTGTTTAAAAAATGCTTCAATTTAAAAATATCTATATCACAAGCTGGAAATGTTTGTCTGCAACGGAAGTGAAAGTAATTTTCCGTGACGGAAGTAAAACTGGAGAAAGTTTAACTTCCCTCGCCAACAGGCATTTTCAGCTAATTATATAGATACAATAAAAATAATAGTTCGGTGGAATTATGAACAATCTGACTTAATTTTCACGAAAATCAAATAACTTCTCGCCCGGCGGGAGACGGGCTTATACGCTAGTTTACAATATTTACAAAAATTCGATTGTAAACCTTAGAAATATTAAAATAAATAGTCCCTTATGTAAAAGTTTGTAAAATCTTAACTGTATACAAGTTGTGCAATTTTTTTTAGCTATTCGAGTAAATTTCCTCATTGTTAAATATGAAAGGTGAAAATTTTCATTTTCAAATTTGTAAAATTTTCTAGGAATTGTTTAACGTTTTGGAACAATCTGATAACACGGAGACCGTATTAGTCGTGTCGCACGGAATGTTAATGTGTCGTTTTTTTGCTGGATTAAACGATGACACGTTTTCCAACCTCTGCACCGTGTCAAATTGGACGAGGGACTGTTTCGCCATGGTGCATAATACGTCTTGCACAAGCTTAACGGTGGAATTTAATTCGGATAATAAACCCGTACTGACTTTTGGAAAAGTTTTGAGCACGGAGCATCTTGAAGGTCTGGAGGACGAAGGTCACGGCCCGTTCCAACATCCCGGCAAGCATTTGTCATCGGAGGAAAGATCACAGCTTATCGAAAAGGTGAGGAAAACTCCTGGCGCGGCGAACGACATACCCGGATGTGCTCCGGTATAGCTAACTATAATATTTCAAATACAATTAAAGTATAAATTTGTTTGAGTCACAAAGTTTGTAAAAATGCAATAACGAAAATAAAAACTTTATATGTCAGGAGGTATGTAGATAATGAAAACACTTATTATGAGCATACATGTGTATGTGCATACGTGCGAAGGATCAACGTGTAAATTTGACAAAAAAAATAATTAAAGTGTCTACATGAGTATAAATTTCAATGAAATTAGTTTATTATATTTAAATTTGTTCCTACTATTCCTATATTGCACAAGTTAGTTTCCTGCAAATGTGACTCGAATAACTGATAATATAAATTTAATCTCATATATATTATATATGTATAATTTCCAACTTGAAGTTTCTCGCAAAATTTTTAGCTTTGCCATGTAACTTTGAACGAGTCATTTCTCTTAAATAAATAATTTGGAGTGCATTGGTATGTGCATATGTATATGTATAATTCCATCCCTGACAATATGAATACATATGTAATGACAATCATTTCGTTATGCAAAATCTCGTTAACTCGATTTTATTTAACTGTACGAGTAAATATATTTATAAACGAATCAAAAACTAGTATTTTCTACGTATGTACATACATATATAAATAGATATGTACATGCATAACATATACATAAATAAGTACTTACATATGCATCCCATGAAAACAAGTATAAAAGTGTCATCTTTTACAAACCGGTCGAAAAGATAGTGAATCTGTAGTGAGTCATGTCTATGTGCATATATGTACACATGACATTTATACCCACAGTTCCCAAAGTAAATGTATTTAAAATTGCTGTTTGTAAATCCAGTCATGTTTTATTTATGAAGTAATGAGAAACCTGCAAAATAAGCACAATATTATTTCCATGGATGCAGTATCGCCTCAAACATGAATTTACGTACTTGGTTGACGTATTGTAGTCGCAAATTAATTCAATCCTCATCATGTTGAAAAAATACACGAGTTGTATTTTTATATGTATAAGGAAGGTCACCCAACCAACTGGCTGGCTGAACCAGCCAACAATTCCTGGTACGAAATTAATGGTATCCTTCCATTGTAAGAATTACTCATACTAAACTTACTTTCCATTTCTAAATCTGCTTTTCTCGATATTTGTTACTGCTTTTGTATGCAAATTAATTGTGCAAACCTAATATTGTGCAGATTTAAGCAAGTTTAGCTTCATTTAATCTCTGCCTTTACAGCAGTACGGTCATCCTTTGAATTGTTAAGTTTCGTTAAAAGTATAAAATGAATTTTCTTGTTGTAATTTGTCTCACATGGTCTGCTCTTGTCTGTAAGTACGAATATAAGTTATACTAAGATTGTTAAGGGACAAAGGTGTTTTTGTGGCCTGAATTTTGACCATGTTGCCAGAATGGAGGATTTGTGAAATTTCTTTTAAAAATCGTACAAGTCTTCTTCTTTATTTTTATGTATGTCTCAGAAATCCTCCATGTTGGCATCGATGTGAAAATCACATCCGAAGGGGGTAGGTTTTGACAAAATATGCAGTACTCAAACCCAAAAATACCAAATTATGGTAACTATGTAACATATTTGAATTTTATTTTATTATCGTGATGATAAAATTAGCCCGAGCCAGGACTTTTGGAACCGTCGTGTCCGTCCTTCTGTCTGTAGATCAGGATTATGATAACTCCCGTTAACCTTCTCCTATCGACTTGAAATTTGGTACACATGTAGTATGGGGCAAATAGTGAGTTAAGTTCGAAGATGAGCAAATCAGTTAACTGGTTGACCGGTGTGGGTCGTCTGGATGGGTCGGGTATTATCACCAAAAGTTCAAAATTGTCACAGAAAACTGAAATTTGATACAGAGATTACTAATGGCTCCTAAAAGAAGAATATTGATTGAGATGGGAGAACTTTTTGTCTGGAGGGACCCGAGTGGGTGAGGGTGACCCATACCGATTTTTTAAAATCGTCATATCCAGTTGAAATTTGGTAAAGAGATTGCTTCTCATGAAAGAGTATGCAATTAAAAGTGAGCAAGGTGTAACCAGAGTGGGCCATAGGGTGACTCTTTTCTAAAAGTTCGATATTCAAGACATTAGTCATATTGATTGGGAAATGGTTAAGTGTGATGGAATTTCTGCAAAAACACGTGCGGGCTGAAATTCAAATCAAATCCATCATCCATTTCCCAATTAATATGCACATATACAGTCGGTTTATTTACCATACGACCCGCGACGTCACCACTGCAATGCTATTAGTAATGAGAGTGATGACGTCGAGGATCGTATGGTAAAAAAAATAGGAGTATGTACAAAATTGTACAATAGCTGCATCCATAGTCCATTTGTTCCATTTGTTAGTGATTTGGTGATGCTTTCACAGGTTCATGATTTCAGCATCTTAATCACCATAAGGATTATAAAATCGACCAATCAGAAAATTGGAATAAAAATATTTTTGAAAATTATGGAGTATGGATGCGAGAAACCATCAAATTATGACGAAATCATGAACAAATCACGGACTATGGATACAGCTAATGTAATGACCGAATTACTATTTGAATCACCCAGTAGGGTCACCCCCACTGGTTTTCTCAAACGGTCTTAGAAGACTGAAATTTGTCATGATCTTGTAGGGATATGCCAGGTTAATAAATATCAAGTAAATTAAAGGATTTTTTTGCCGTGGGGACCTAGCAGGGTGACCCATACTGGTTTTAAGAATTGTAATTTTCAGCTAAGAAATTTTTAGCCTCCATACCATAGCAATTTTTAAAACTACGTCTGCGTATTAAATACAATTTTGGATGTTCAAGATTTTAAAGAAGCGAAGGTGAAGCGGGCAGATTTGTAATTACTTCAAAAATTTAGAAGCGGATTCTGGTCCCGACTAGGACTAAATGAGATCTATGCTGTAGTTTTTTTTAAATAATTAATATTACTGGTAAATACCATACGAAAAGACATGAGATTTTGAAATTAACAGAAATATGAATAGCTCGGCTCGGGCTATGTCAAGTTCACCATTGTTGAGTTAAAATTAAAATTAAATGGTTACAAATCGGCTCGTGGCAAAAAAAAATGGGTGCTGCAGGGCCCAGGAAAATTGCTTATCCCTTAATAATCTTTTGTAGTTTAATTGGTCTACATATTTACATTCGCAATTTTTGCAGTGCAAGAAAATGCTTGCCAAAACAAACCCCCTCCACCCGTTTTGTCTCCGCCAACAACGAGTCATGGATTTCAATCTGCAGATGAAAAAGGATGCCCGCCTTTCGTACCCACTTTTAATTGTGGCCCCTTCGACCCTGCCAATCTGAAATGCAAGAGTCACGCGGACTGCACAAATGGACAGTTGTGTTGCTCCGAGGGGTGTGGCAAAGAGTGCAAGGATCCTGCACCGAAGGTGGTTCACCCGGCTACAAAACCATAAATGGTGACGAGTCAACTCTGATGACAAGCCTGGATTCCTGAAGTGTTTTTTGTGGCGAATGTGTTTAATATTAGGTTGTAACGGGATATTCATGTATGAGTTAAATAATTTGGTTACTATTACATGCAAAGTAAATACACATATTTGTATTTGGTTTGGAAATATGCAGTTTTTACCAAATACAATTTTTATGTTGGATGTAATGAAGGCTGTCATGTTTTTAGCGTTAACTGGCCTTTTTTATCATGTACATTGGGGAATTTTCACCATGATTTCGGCACTCCAAAATCTATAATTGTATTTCAATTTTCTATCTACATAGTTTCTTATTTCGTACTCTTGTTAATTTGCATCGATGTTGTATCTTTAAGATAAATACCTACTTAAATATCATTCTTTTGTGTTATCCAAGACTTCGCATTCTTAAATATTCACACCAACTCGTCCATTGAAAGTAATACTAGTAAAAAAATCGGAAGTAGCAACATGAAGTATGAATACTTGCTACAAATATTATCAATTTCTTATTTTATTCTTTTTTACGTAGACAAGCATTTTCCATAAAATTCCAACTCCTGTTCGACACAAGTGTCAAACATATTCTCACATTTTTCTATTATCACACTTTTTTCTGTAGTATCACTCGTTTCCATATATTTTTCTACCAATTCTCTCGCCGATAAAATCCACCCATTTTCCATCTCCCGCAATCCTTCTTTAAGTTTCTTCGCCTTTACAAGCCTTTTATAACACTTTTCATGCTCTATGTACAAATCGTGCTTCCTATTTTTTCCAACATCCGGAGATTTGACGCCGCTCAGGTAACACTTCTCGGTCACGTTATCGCTGAAGATCCACGGTTTAAAGGCAGAATGTTCCGGATCCGGCGTTCCCGTAAAGAAGTGAATATCTCGCCATCCATTATCATTCAAAACGCTAACTTGACTCGACGTGGAGACAAAGGAACCATCACATCCCATGCAAATCCCACTCGGCCCATCTCGCAAAATCTTCATCATACACTTCTCATCAAACTTGTTATCGGAAGAATACTTTTTCAGCAATTTTCTCCCTTCGGTAAACCTTCCATCGTCGTCGTCATCAAGGCTGGAATTAGTTCCGAAAACAGCGGAAAAGTCGAAGGGAGTGACCCCATCCCAAAATCCCAGCTCGACCGCTTTCTCTTTAAGTCCGTGCGACATGAGGTCGATTTTTGTCCGGATGGATAAATCGTTCGAGATATTTCTGTAGCCACTTTCCACCCTCTCGGCAGCCCAGTAAGGTCCCGCCGTCTCTAAAACGTAGGCCTCTTTCCTATCCGCGATGAGGAAGGAGTTGTGATACGACCAGTTTTTCATCGAGTCGGAACAAGGCCCACCTTATAAATGTGTCCACATTAAAAAATTATCAAAATTTTTGGATTTTTGCCCACCTTGACCGTGGAGTTCGAAAAGTGTGGTCAGAACGGTGACGGCTTGTGCAGCAGTGGTACTGCGGATGAGACCCAGGCGGACGAGGTCCATGCCGAGCAGTTTAGGTTTAATGTCCTCTTTTGGATTATTTAGCTTCGTCCAGACGGCTTCATTTCCTGGAAGAGAAGGAGTAGGATGTAATTTTGAGGATAATATAAATCAGTGGGGCTATTCAGCAGATTTTAAATTTAATCGAAAAGTAGAAAATTGTGGATTAATCTATATTGGAGATCTCTTTTTTTAAACTACAGCTATTTTGAAACTATATAATCATTCTTAGCAAGTAGAATGATGTAAATATGTATGTATGTAAATATGTACCAATGCACACGCCGTGTTCGTTAGCCCCCATTTCTGCCCCCCACATCCAACTCGGTTTGCTAAGGACTGTGGCATAGGTCTCTTCAACTTGATCAATCTCGATGTAAGTGCATCGTTCTGGGACACTTTTGTCGTGGATCTGATAAGAAGAACAGATTATTTGGTTAAGTTAAGTTAACTATGTGAAGAATTGAAACGCTCGGATGTAAAACAGCCTTCGCGACAATTTAAAAAAATATTCAACCCAGTTACATTTAAATACCGTTTTGTAAAATTAATTAAAAATAATTTAATTTCAATTTTAGCCCGAGTCAGGCTTATTTTGAAAAATCAGTATGAATCACTCTGGTTGCATTTTGCTCACTTTTAACTTCATATTCTTTATGAGAAGCCATTAAGTATCATTGTGCCGGATTTCATCTTTTTAAACAATTTCTAAAAATCGATATGGGTCACCCCATCGGGTCGCTCCAGATAAAAATTTTGACCCCCACTGGTCAACCACTTGACCGATTTCGCCCATATTCGAATTCGTTTCCTAACTTTTCCCATCATGCGTATGGTAAAAATTTCAAGTCAATCGGTTCAGCCGTTTTGGCTCTATCGTGCCGGACAGAAAGACGGACGGACGGACATGACGGTTCCATAAGCCTTGACTCGGGCTAAAAAATTTTCAAAAACGATATTTAAATGTAACTAGGTTGAGTTTTACAAAAAATTGTCGCGAAGGCTGTTTTACATCCGAGAGTTTCAATTGTATTTATTCATTTATAGTTTTAAATAACATTTTTCACTTTGGTAAAAAGCATGGTAATTTAAACTGATAACATCAAAGCAATTTAATCAAGCTATCCAATTTAACTTTACTGTATATATAGTATTCCGAATTTCATGCAAATGTTTTATCAGGGCAATAACACTAAATGGTTATCCATGTGTTTTACCTGTTTTGGGACATATATAATTTCCTGTACTTCATCTGATGGACGGTCAGAATTTTTGCCGAAAATAACACAATTATTCACTGTATTTGGTGGAAGACAAACAAAAGTGTCACATGAAATAGGTTTCATGTTTAATTTTGAACTTTGTATTTGAATTTCTTAAGTTTACGAAATATATTGACGACTAGTGTTCAGCACCAAGGAACACATGTGTGTGTTCAACATTTTTACCGGATTGGATGTACATTGTACATACTTGCATCATATAATGTAATCCCGTGTACCCGAATGTTGATGCAAGAATAAAGCGTACAAAATCTGGTAAAAGAGCCCCTCTGCATGTGGACATGCATACTGACAGTACATACGTGTATGCAATATGGACATACACAGTAATGCATGCATAAGTATGAATTTTAGTGTGTAAACATGTATGCAGTTTTATATCAATTACTATTAAATATGCATTATTCAATAAGAAGTTCCACAATTCATACGAAATACACCGAAATATATAAAAATACACAAAGTATGCTTACAATTTATAAATAATTAAGGATACCACATGTATATGTAAATTCATAACTTACTCGTTTGAGTAAACTACATATTGTTAGCTAGTTCATCATTTTGTTTTATTTTATTTGTTCACGTTGTTTGATTTAAACAATTAAATATTTAGTACTTGAACACTCCTAACACGTGGACGACGCACGAGTTTATATAATAATGTAAATGTGGATATGTGGATGTAAGTATATGTGGATAATGCAATCATGAAAATTAACCTTCCTCGGATATCAATTCATAGAAATGAGCAATATAGTTCGTTCAGCAACATGTTATGAAACTAATAATAAATATATACCTAAAGTTCTTACTAAACTTGTCGCAAAACATCCTGTACATAATTTGATATTTACAGGTTGTTGTGCAGTAATTCGTTAATTACAAAGTTCTTTCTTCAAGCGTATATGTATTGCTTTCTTGATTATAGCATTAAAGAAACTATCCTCAGACACCCACCACATCCGCTATCATTAAGTTTGAGTTACCCATCACTTGCAAATTATGCAATTACTGATATAATTCAATCCATTTTCCATTAGGTATTTCTGTTTCTTACTCCTAAACAATGCATACTTTAATACATAAAAATAACATAATACATTAATAAATTCCAAAAAGAAATCCTCACTACTTATCTGATAAAATTAATGTTAGAGTTGAAAAAATGTGGCGTCAAAAATTGTTCCTTTTATCTCAAATTAATGTTTTCTTATTTTCTACATGCATTCCCCTTAACTTAACCTGTTCTTCTCCTTTGCTGCATAATATTATCACAGGAGAAGCAATTTTAACCGTTATATCTCAACCCTTGAATCTGCTAGAAGAAACATCCTTTGAGTTTACCACTTTTTCCAGCTTAACCAAACAGCCTCGAAATCCAAAAATTATTCAAGATTTTCCTCATTTCCTACCTTGGCAACCATTCCGGCCGCCGTCCAATTGTTCCTACGACGAATACACCAAACCCAAATATGCAACTCGGTACAGCAGCTTGAAAATCGGTTTCATGATTTATCAACCACATTCAAACTTTTACAATTACTTTACCACGATCCAGAACAAGCTTTCATACTGCGGAGAAAATCCTGCCTATGTGTTCATCATTTCTACAAAACGTCCCGCGATTGAGGACAGTTTCAATTATTTTATGGTAGACCAAACTCTCTTCACGTCAAAGATATTCGTTATATCGCAAGGTCGAAATAATTTTCAGGATTCAAACATTTTCTTTGCATTTTGTTACACGTGCGGATCCCCCTTTCCTCAAGAAGTTGAAGATATTGCTTCCATAGAGACGCAAAAATTACTGACATCTTTGACCAATTCATGGTACCACTTTAATGGAAGAAACTTACGTGGGAAGTTCATTTACGGATTAGAAAAGATGGAGCCAAAGTTCCAAACTTGTCACAGCGTTTTTGACCCATTGGGTAAAACATTTGCGTCTCAGGAGACTTGCACATCGTCCGTAATTAGTGTGTACCTTAACCTCTCCAGCCCTAAAAGCAGCGACGACATTATGAAAAAACGGGTCGATGGTATTTATTTTGGCATCCTTATATTTCCATCCCTTTACGCAGACCACTTGTCCCGTAAATACCCCATGAGAGATGTTTCATACAATTTTCAGAAACGAGAGTTTAAAATGGCCACTATTTTCTTACCCGGGAAAGGAACTATGTCATATGAAAGCTTTTTAGTTCCATTTGATGAAGAAAGTTGGATATCTCTGTTGGTTTCGATACTGGCGATATCACTATTAATTTCATTCCAGAAACAGACACGAGGATCAATTTTAAGAAAAATATCTGCCTTTTTAGAAGCCTTGTTTTACATAATTTCGGCCCTATTCGGACAATATAATGAATCACCTACTCCAAACACGCAGGACAGGAACTCGTTCATGAAGAAAGTGTTTATGTTTATCTGTCTGATTTTCTTTTATCTCGTGGGCACCGTATTTTATCAGGGATCCATATTTTCTTCACTCGTAGCCACAATCCCTCCAAATTTACCAAATACTTTAGAATCTGTCCTTAGGGCGAGGCATGCTCAAATTTTGACGACAAGTCATGTATATCTTGAACCGCCGTGGACTACAAAATTCTCTCTTTTAACGACAATCTTGATTGACACCGTGTTGGACGTTACGCCAAAATATTGGGACACGTTATTCCAAATGTTATCCCAGCTAAAGAGAAAAGTCCACTTTATTAAGACAGATGAACAATTAAACCTTGGCTTTGAAATGGGCAATGGAGGTCTCAAATCGGGGATGGAAAATTCAACTAACTTTGAAAATTCCATCTTTACAATTATTAGTCTGGAGGCAGATTTGGACCAACTTTTGGAGGGGATTGAACTCAAAAACAAGAAAGCCTTTATCGCAAGGAGCTCGGAAGATTCAAAGTTTTATATGTCGCTCTTGGTCCGTGGGAAGCGATCTTGGCTGAGCCCTCTGGTGTCGATTATTTTCGGAAAGTTGGAACAATCCGGATTGTTTGAGAGGTGGCGGGAGTTTGATAGGTTGAACAAACTGATGGGCAATGTGAGAAGGATTGTAAAGGATAAGGACACATGGCGGGAAATTGTAGTTAAGAAGCTGGCGGGATGGGAAAACAGGCGAGAAGTAAACTGGGAGGAGGCGGACCCTGTTTCCTTGGGCGCGTTGAGGGATGTAATTTCCTTATGTGGGATGTTAGTTTTAGGAACATTGATCCTGTTTTTGATAGAGATTTGTAATTCCTCGACGAATAAGTTGGTTCCAAAATTTATAAGAAAAATTGTGACAAGTTTGTTAAAATATTTGCAGTGATTGGCAATATTTTGATTGCTGACGATGTAATCCAAGTATGTAGGTTTCTATTTTTCATATCAATGTATGTACATTTACAAACTGTAAATATGAAATCAATAAATGAATGTCACTTCTGCGGGAAGAAATTCGTCACTTTTGGCGAATGTGTTAGACATTGTCATACTTTAGAAAAGCTAAAATAGTCTTTTTCGCAATGGGCATATCGGTAGTTTAAAAATATTTTACTACCTTTTCGACATTCTGTAAAACTTGTATATCAGATAGTTTAATTATCGTCGTCCTAATTCTAAAAACCCCTAAGTGCAGTCTCATCTTAATTTTAAATAACCCTAAGTGAGACTTCTTCCTAATTTTAAAAACCCCTAAGTGCTGCCTTTCGTTAATTTTAAAAAGCCCTATGTGAAAAATAAAAACGAGTAAAAAGCCCTAACTGTAATTCAAATTTCAAATTATGCATAATTAATTAGTTGTGATAAACTAATGAGAGTATCATACAGTGATACTCTATGATTACAAATTAAATTTTGAAAATATTATGCAGGCTCATTCCATTTGTAAGCAACTCGTTTGATCGAGTACCAGAAAATAGAGGTGCTAAACCCTGCTCGCTGGGTTTGGCTGCCTGGCCATGTATTTTCCTCTCTTTTGTAAGAGAACACCACACAGCCTATACGTTGTCAATGTTCCCGGCCACGTAGGAACGCAGAATTATTTACTACTGTCTACACAAGCAGTCCATGTTAATTTTACCTTTTCGAAAAATCACCAAAACTCCAAGACGGACAAAAATCGCGTGAGGTTTTAAACTTTTTTATTTCCCCAGGTCCAAAGGCATCGATTGGCTTATCTCCCCATAAGCGATTTTTGTCCGTCTTCTTGACAATCAAGTTTTTCAATGCATTTCAAATTTCTGATTTTTTAGAATTTTTGACTTTTAAAAAATTTTTTCTATCAATTAATGATTAATGAATGAAATCCGTAAATGTAACCTACCCCGTTGAATATATACTTTGGCGAAGATTGCATTTTGAATGCATTTCCAAATTTTCTTATAACTGCTAAATCTTTACGAAAAAATTAAATTTTCAAAATTTGATTTTTATTATATGTTGTATTTTATATTATGCATCTATTATAATATTGTGGACATGCTATCAAATATGGGTGCGACGACGACCGTGTGGGTTCAGATGGAATGAGCCTGCAAAGCTTCACTGGGCTATTCTTAAACGTATTACTAGATTAAGGTGATATAAATATAAAGAGTTTTACCTGGAAAATTAATTTATTGCTAATTTGATATGAAATTATAAAAATCTGTTTCTCTCCAATTTTGATTTGCATAAGAATAGGATATTGTACCACGAGTACAACCATGGTAGAGGAATCAAAATTGAAGAAATTTCTTGCTGCGAGGCTAATTGGCCGCCCTCGTCATGGTTAATAACATTGGTGACTAAAATTTGCACAACTTTACCAATTGATGACCGATTTTCAAAATGGCGACTGTTTTGGAAAGCTCAGGTCAATTGGCGAAATATATATTTCATGATTTTTCAAACTCGACCACACCCCCTCGAAATTAAGATCAGGAGATCAAAAATTCCAGAAAATACAATTAATGCATACATCTCAATTTGAAAGCACAAAAATCGAGTTTCATATCGAAAAAATACCTCGACCCCCTGGACACTGAGCAATATTGAAGGGGTCACATGCCCCACCCCCCGTGGGTGTGGCCGCAGGCGCCTTTTCGATTTCAATGAAATCATGTCATATGATATATCATTTTTCCCAACTTGACGAGGGGATTGCGATTAACTATTCTTTGAATGCATATGTATAATAGTTCCATCAGCAAACAGGCCAAAAATCT